AAACTATTGATTAGGTAACGATGTATACTGGGCTTGGGTAACTTGTTTGCTGCAAAGTTGCAGGCGAGGGAAGACGGAGCTACACCTTTTGCACAGCATCCGGACGAGTGGTGTAGCAGCGTCGTCACGTTTTCAGCACTCAACTTCAGATTGTGACAATCTATACGACTGAGATCTTTTGCAAATATTACTATTGATCTGAAAAACACGAATACTGTTTATATCTGTCTCTCTCTCGCTACACCATACATCTTTTCGCGTCTACAATCTGCTTTTGTCCTTCACCACAGCATCCTGCACGCACGGCACGACTTCTACAAACATTTGAACTTCATCACAATCATCTGAGCCCTCCAAGCTATGCATGCCTGTGTTTTCTGTTGTCTCAAGGCGGTGCAGTGCGGTGTTGCCGCCCCAGCCAGTTCTGCATTGTGCGAATTTGTCGGCGTGGAAGGCGGGTTTTGCATGCGTCGAGCACAGTGTTCTACCCGCGGCTTTAAATTGTCTACTCCAAGGCAGTTATCTACGACTTATATTTCACATATATTTTGAATAATAAATAATCATGTATTGTATTGTCTCTCATAGATTTTTGTGGTGGTAATCCTCACACATTAGCCAATATCCGAGGCGTAAAATCCGTATGTGCCGGAACGAGCGCGTGCCCTCTCCCCTCTCTGCAGCAAACCCACATATACTTTTTACCCACGCCCCCACGCACACCTCCCTCTTCGCCATTTTGGCACATGCTGCAGCTCTTAGCCTTGCAGTAGAAACGCACTGCTGCTGGTGCTGCAGCACCTGCCAAAAAGTTTTTGTTTTTCTCCCGTTTGCCTCCTGCAGAGTCTGTTTTTTTGAGTCGTAGTGCGCCACGACTGTGTCGAAATCTCGTTTTTCTTTGGCATGGCATTGATTGAATTTACCTTTTGCACACGGGCTTCTGCGTGCGGCAGGTAGGTGAGGCGCGGAGTGTATATTTTTTTTTCGAGAGAACCCGAGTTGCAGATGAGGGGTCCTGTTTTTGATCCCTGAACGGTTAAAGTATGGATAGATATGGAGAGGCATATGAACGCTGCTTGTATGATTGGCTTTAACTTGCTCGAAAACTCTTACAGCTTCCGTTTTCTATGTCTTATTATTTATTTTCCTGTATCTTTATTTATTCGTCGATAGAACATTGAAACTTATGAGATAGCGATGAATTGAGAATCGTGTACTGGAGAGCCGTGATATCCCCGGTGGTACGGGCATACTATCAGCGAGCTGCTGGAGTATTGTGGCTTATCCGCTCTACACAGTCGCACCGTCATGGAATATACAGTGACAAGAGCAGATATTAGAGCTACGAAGGATATCGCAGCAGTGAAGAGTGTTATCATTCAATCACGCTGGCAGATAATCGTCAAGTTGGGGGACTGTTGGTATCTGTGACGCCAAAAAAACAAAAGAAAAAGCCAGAGCAGCTGCCAGTTATCGTCTCTGTGGCGGGCACGCAATTTCATCGGGACCGGGCTGCCCTTTTCTGCCTCGCCTGCTTCTCTAGGCTGATAATATGCAGGGCTGAAATCCCGATGGAATGAAAAGCATTTCTTTTCATTTTTGCCGGCGGTAAACAGTCATGGCGTATGATGCAGCTCGGGAATGTATCCGCGATTGGACGGCGGCGGCAGCGGCGGCGGTGGTGGTGGTGGTGGTACCTGAGCGGTGATGTCTGACGATAGGTACAGCGCTCTCTCTGCCATTAGCTGCAACGAGTACGGCTGCCTGTGCACATGAAGAAAAATGCGTTGAAGCCAAGGAGCGAGAGAGCGTGATGTCAGTTGATGAAAAAAGCTTTTTCGTGGTCTACGCACGTACTAGCCTCGACGCTAGGTCATTATGAACACGAGCGGACGGAAAGCTGCCAGTTCCCTTATCCTTCCACGCCCCCGTTTACGGGTTCGTCATCCTTCTATCGGCAGAAATCGTGTCTCAGTTTGTCATGTTTCCGCTAGAAAATGAATATTGACTACTCATGTTCTTTAGAAGCCGTTCGTACGTCGAAAACTGCTTTTCTGGAAGGCAGTCGTCTTCATCTCATTTTCATCAGCCATCAGCTCGATCAGCTCGGGTTCCCTTGCTCCCGTTCGCTTTCAGAGTTCATTTAACCATCTTTAATAGTCCTGTTTAATATATTGCCTCGTAGCCTTTAGCGATACTGCTGCAAGTCTGAAACTTAATTATGAAACTCTAACATCTGCCTGCTGGGTACTGCTTCTGTTTCTGCTCGAGTGCCTGCCGTTTCCTGGTTTCGCTGGAAGAGGCCTGATTTGTCTTTTTGCAATTCGAAGCACAAGTAGACCAGATGCTTTTTAATAATCTGCTATGTGTGTCATACCGGACTGGTCTGACTGAATTGCCAGGTCAAAGATTCCCGCATAGGCCAGTTCCGACGACCGAAAGCACTTGCTGAATGAGTCGTCTGGACCAAAAAGAAAAGAAAACACCGTTCAGTCGTCACCATTTGGACCTTGTCCAAGAAAACCCGAGATTACCTTAACTCGCAGCCTATCCTGCTGTTTCGGTAACTTTGTACGGGAACCTTGTCATGCTCGCAGGAGAGGGCTGGTGGTGCGTGCCTGGGTCGATTTTACCTCGTCTTGGGCAGTTCGAGGCTTAGCGCTTTAGCTTTATTTGTTTGGCTAGTGAGGTTTAGGAAGGCGACCCAAACTTTTGAAAAAGCTGTTGAAGCGTGTCTGCTTTTGATGCTTGGTAAGGATGATATAACCGTTGGATAATAGACATCGATATTTTGTCTTTCTATCGAATCGTGTCTTATCTGTCTAGATATTCTTTTATGATTGGGTTTTGTAGTCTTTGCCGTTTTAATCTTGAATCAGTCTGTGAGAGAACAGACGATAGTGGGGCATCGAATTCGCTCCAACCAAGTTATCTATATCATGCGTGGTCGGGTAGAGATAAGCAAGCGTCCTCGCTCAAGGCGCTTCTCTCTGTTATAAAGCATCAAGAGGTTTTCACAGCTAAAGCATAGATCTATAGAAATCAGTACAGTGTGAGACCCCAGAAGCCTGTGATGACCGAAAGCGTCTGTCTCGGCCAAGGCGAGGTGAGTTTGCTCTTGCATATATCGGACCTCCAGATTTTTTTAGTCGAAAAGTTCTACTACTCCAGACTTCGCTCTTTATTCTTTCCAGCTTGTGCTTCTATGGATTGTGCGTTTTTTCTTTTGCATATACGAACCCATAAGTCGATGTCTACCTACGGTGCTCTAGCGATGGAAAGCCGATAGCTGCACCTGTCTATGCGAAATCTACTGCCAATATCGTCCTGTTTGAGAAGCCGCTGTTCTTTCACTGTCGACTTCAATCTACTTCTGAGCTTCCCTTATTATAAGAGAAGGCGATTGCAATCGCGTCTTGGAAATCTACGGCCGCAGTAGTGATCAAGCTCTATCTCAAATCAGCCTGCCATTGAGTATCTGTACGTTGCTGTTCTCTCATATCACTCTAGCTCTTTCACTCCGCTCTTTCTGCTACTTCTCGCAAGATTCAGGTCTCTATTTATGTGTTTATCTCACAACTTCCAAAAGACAGCCCAGATCATTCAATTTATTTATTCTTTGCCCGATTTTGTCGTCTATAGAACTGGTTTTGAAACTGCTATTTTATATTGGCATTTTGTTGATGTTGTTTGGCTTTTATTATATCCGAACCTAAGCCGAATCCCGAATAAGCTCTCGCTACCGTACTTCTCGCTTCGACTCCACGGGTTCCTGTTCCTTCAATTTATCGCTATAGCGAGCGTACGCCGCTCAGCAGAACTTAACGGGAGTCTCGCCCATGTGCTCTTAGTGCTATGATGGGTGTCAGGCAGTTATATATCCGGACGAAGACGCGGGGAAGGTTGACCGTTCTGGACAACCGATTGCCGTATAATGTATACTTCCTAATGCATACTGCCTGAGCTATTTCTGAGGGCGGAAAAGCATCGCTGACTGTAATCAGGAAAAATATATGCGCAAGAGCCTACACTGAACCAGCACAAACGCGATATTTACCTCAATTTGATTCCTGACCACCATCAACCTCCCCACCTGAGAAAAAGTAAAAACAATAAAAAGAAAAAGAACATTTCGCTTACATTCATACGTTCAGCAGCTTCTCTGCACTCCATGCAAAGTACATTGCCAAAGCTTGGAGCAGGAACGCGGCGGGCGGGGCGGGGTTTGGCTGTTACGCCAGTTGACAAAACGGTCCAGCTATATCCGAGGTGGACGCGCGGGGAACGTGAGCCGCTGCCATTCAAGTCTGTCTTCGTGAGCAGTGGGGTACATTAGAAGTGCAAGCGAGACTTGTTACAAATGAGCTCATATGTTTTATCCGCCAGGATGGAAAAGGAAAAAATAAAAGGGCTCGGTTGGCGGTGTATATTCCTTAGCCGGGGGAACTAGTTCTTGGCTTTTGAAGAAGTTCGACTTTCGACTCAACCGAACGGTTTCTTGGGAGGAATAGAGTGCGTTCGGAATAGCATCCGCTTACGCAGGTATATCGCTTGGGTGTCAAACACGCTGCCTTGTTCAGAAGCGAAGTCCTGTTCCCTACTTCCGCTGCTGTATACAATCTTGCTAATGATTCCGCTCATGTGTGATCAGGGAGCTGCAATTCAGCTATTGCCTTTACCCTTTTTTCACAGGTGGGAATTGCCCCTCGTCTCACCAGTAATCCAAAGCACTAGCTACTTTGCAACACGAAGTGATGCTGGTCTGCATCGATTGTTGTTATGATAGTTCCCGTGAACTGAATCCCCGGACGCACTCACAAGCAGAGGAAGGCTTATTTCCGAGCTACGCGCCCTCGGGTTTATCAACCGCCACCAATTTCGACAATTACCAGCAGACCATATCAGTGCAAAATAGCTCGCAAATAAATTTCTCAAACACAAAAAAATTACAAATCATCATCTTTATGGTAGAAACAGAAAAAAGAGATGCAAAAAAAATCAGATCTAGACGGGACTCGAACCCGCAATCTTTGCCTCCGGAAAGCAACGCCTTACCTTTAGGCCACAAGACCATTTGATACGCAAATTAGTGCGCTTAGTCCAATATAATCCTAACCTTTGTGCATCACGTGATATATATTGGTTTTGCCTTTCATGGACTGATTTCGAGCTACGACAGAGCGGTGTTTGCTGGAAAGGTTTTAGATATGAATTCAGAAGCTATATAAAGACTTTGAACTAGCAATTGAGCGCGAAACAGGCACGTAAAGACGATATCGTGATTTTGCCGATTCTGCTGCTCGTCTAGTCACGTGGTCGTTCATCGCTCTATATACCGCCCAGGAAGCCTTACACAAGAATGAGTATCAGAGATGAGAGAGAGCGCAGTTTGCAATGATCGCAATGCGCTTTTGAAGCATAAGCGTGAGGGTAATGTGCTGATCTAATCAGAATGGTGGGAAGCAAGAGTGAGAGACGGCAGCGATCGGATTAATTGATAGACGCGCTCGACTTGGCTAGCAGGGCACGACGGTGCACCTCAGCGCGAATTTGGCCAATGTAGTGGTTTCCAATGTCTTCAGAATAATCCCTTAGAGAAACTAGACACGTTTAGGAGGACTTTATGACGCGAGAACTAAAATAGCACTTGAAAATTGGTCAATAGTCGGCAACTGATAAGGTGGGATACAACCGATGAGCAGTGTTGTCTGCCTTCGCCATATCGCCTTTATCTCCAAAACCACCTCACGTTAATCTGCCGTCTTTCCGAGGTATAGCGAATCTGGAATCTTGGACTGTCGATAATCAGATTGAAGCGACTTCGTGCATTAATTAATAGCAGTCCTGGGAGATCGCGCTGCGTAATATACGTTGTTGGTCAAAATCGACATCAGCGCGTAAACGGCAGTCAGCACAACGCTTCCAGCTGTAACGTCTCAGCTATGGCATGCACTTCCAAAAAGTTCAATTACTGAGCTCATATCATCCCGTCAAGTGCTTCGATGCCTACTCCGAAGCGAAATAGAATCATAAAATCTTAACAGCAAAGGTGTTCCACCACGGGCCACGCCCGACTTCTAGAAGTCTATCGGATTTGGGCACTTGATACGCCTTGGCCATGTTACGGCTCTCGCTAATTTTGATTCGGTCGGTGTTCGAATCATGAGCAGCGTATTAGTGAGCGAATGTCATTGGTGGCAAATAGACGTGTTTGTCGTCGGTGAGAGATTGAGATTATGCGGATAGTATGGGGGGGTGCGGTTGTAAACCAACCTTAAGTGTCGAACAGGACGATGCATCTCGAGTATGAAAAAAAATTGAAATAGCTGATTGATAGTCAGTAAAGAAAGACACAACCAGCAAAGCCAGACATCATAGACAGCCTGTCCGCACTATCCCGACCTCAAGTCAGTTCTCGCATTTGACATCAGTTGATCGAGGGGAGCCCAAGTCCCCCAATCACGTGATAATTTCCAAGGTGGGTTAAAGTGTGATTTTTGGGGACTATTTCAATCAGCAGCACTTAGTGGATTTCTTGCGGAGGTCAAGGCACACGGGAGCCAGAATGATAGAGACATTTGCTCACTCTACGTATTAACCTCACTGAATGGGCTTTCTGAATCCTCGCGTGGGCTTCTTTTTCGCGATCTTTCTTACGCATAGAAGCACATGTGATGCTGCTGCGTCTGACGCGCATCTCTTTCTCGGCTAATTTATTTATTGTTTGGAGGTCTCGAACTTTGCAAATTTCTTGTCCTTGGGTATGAACATTTGAAGGGTTGCTGATGCCCGTACTTTGCTAAATCGTGCTTGCTCTCCAAGCTAAGTCTATTTGCCATGTTGAACTACTAACAAACCGCGTACTCGCTGCCTGCTCGGTGTGCGCTACATATCCATTGCCCACCAAGGGACCCACCAAGGGAAGCAACTCCGGCCGTCTGCTCTTATTTTTAGCCGAGAGGTCTCACCTCGCAATCTGAAACATTTTACCTTGAATTCCGCTGGCGTCGAAAACCGAGGGGAAACGTTAGGGATGGCTTCCTCGTTTATTTTAGCTTCCGTGTTTGCGAAATCACGCGAGAAGTTTCGTCGGTAACCTAAATGTCGGGACTTTGACTAACGCGAGCGATTTCTTGTTTCGATACTTAAGATACAGGTGTAGCGTGAGTATACTAGCGATTTGTAAGTTGCTAGCAGAATTCTTGATCCTGGTTTTGAGCCAACTGGCAATGTCGTGAAATACCACAGCGGGTATACTTGTTTTCTCACCACCGCCCGTTCGAAAGAATGCAGCATGCGACAATCTTGTACGCCTTTCGACTTTGAGCGTGAGAACGTACGAGTAACTGCGTCCCCGGCAAATGTCGAGGATAATACGTCTTCGATATATGCACAGCCTAATGCTCGACTCATCCGGCGGGGATTTCGCCCGCTCTTGACTGGCGCGGCCAGGTCTCACTACAGAGTCGAGATTGGGTTGTTTCTCCAGTAAGTATGGAGTTTTGTTGTTGGTCTTCTATTTTGAGATTACTTAAGACACCTAGCCGTTCTATGATTATTATCATCGCGTTCATCCGGTCGCTCAATTTTCCGCAAACGACGTTCTCCTTCGCTACCAGCGACGAGAGCGGGATGTATCAAATCCTTAGTGCTCAGCAGACATACGCTTACCAACTCTCATCATCTCTCGGCCGAACCCCAGCAACGCAACGAGTTATGCAAACGTACAAGGCTAAATTCTGCATCTAGCCTGTCCGGCCGTCCGTCCTGCTTCAACCCACGGCACATTTTCTGGTTAGTCTGTCTTCCACGGGGCCTGCCGTGGCACTTTACCCGAATTAGTCTACGGTCTTCAGCTTTGTCGGCGATCACTTCTGTGAGGGAAGGTGTCCCGTACTGAAGAGATTGCTGGGGTAGATGTATGTCTCTGTTCCTGCGCGGTTCTGTGTCATTTTGGTCTTTTCGTGGTATTTGCTGGTTGTATAAATATCGTTGATCTGATTAATTGGTAATGTCTCGATGAGAACTTGCTTAAACTCTTTATATTGTCTCTCATTAGCCACCAGCAAGCAAAGCGAACAGATAACCGAAAAACAACTCAGTATCGGACGTCTTCGTCTAGCGACGATAGTACTTCTCACATCTGTCACCTTCGTCAATTCGTCAACTTCTCAAAAGTTCCTCTTCACTCTATCGTCGAATTTCGTCAAAACTGTCAAAGTTGCTTTGCTCGCCCGATCTCTGCTATTCTCGTTCTAGCTAGTTACTGTTTAGCGAAAGAAAAACGCGATCAGACCTTGTATAGAAATTTCGCACGACCTTCGCGTGACTTAGGGTAATCTTAGTATCTGCATGACTTGAATCCCTGCTGACGGGTCCTAAAGACTCTGATACGCTGTCCGGTCTATATTTCGACATCGATCATGTTTCTCGCTCTATTTTCCAATCTTCTCGAGAGATGAAATCTGATGATAACATGAAATCTGATGATAAAGCTGATCAATGAGGCTAGTTAGATCGCTTTTACTACCGTTTCTATATCCTGATATTCATCTGAATACATACGCGGGAGTCTTATCACGGTTTCGCGCGCTTATAGTCGAGTGATCGTACGACTATACCGCGCAGCCCGCCTGAATTCATCACGTTTTTTATGATTCTGAGAGACCTGTGATTGTTATTCTAGATAGTACTAGCCTAAAGTTGTAAAACTGAGATATTCATATCAGGATACGTCTCCCTCGTCCCGAGTAATTCGCAGATACAGAAACTTGCTGAGCTCGGCTCTACCTATGATCGTAACGTACATTCTACTCATCCGTCAAGTGCAAAGGTTACCGAACTCACCAGCTTTTTCATCCCATTTCACTGCTTTTGTAAAACACAAACAAGCGTCCTAACCACCCCTCCAAATATCAAGGTAAATCCTCTTCACAACCTCGCAACATCCGCAAACTTCGCAGCCTTGTCTCTCAACCAACCGAGCCGGTTTCGGGTTTTAGCTTTCTGCAAGCCTGCTTCGCTCTCTGCTGCTGCTGCTGCCGCCGTCGCTTCTGATTTGCTGATCGGCGGCTGCTGGGCTGATGCTTTGACTGGATGGCTGGACGGGCGCATGCATACCCGCGAATAATTATGTAGGTGCTGCGTAGGCGACCTGTCGCACGTACCGGAGTAGGACGCCGAGGCGGGCTGACTGTCTCGGGACTCGTTATCGCCCGTCTTTGTTTGTCTGTGGTCTTGGTTTTTGTATGATTGAGTAAGGCGATCAGATATAAAACTGAGTTATTTGAAGTAACCATTTATTTTAACGGTCTGGTTTTGTTTGCAAGTCGGAAAGAAATCTCCGTTTATAATTCGCAAACTCGAAAACAGTCTAAAAAGTCAGCGGTGCCTCTTCTTTCCAGACCACAAATAGTGCTCTAAAATAAGTGATTTCAGTTTTCCTTCCAAAAAAGAAAAAATAGAGTAATAGTATAGCTTCTCTGCTTCACCGCCACGCTTGGCTTGCTTCTCCGGCGATGCGATGTCGGGGGAAATGGATCGGGCGGGATGGTACTCCCGATACGTGGCTATTCCATGACCACCGAGGCTAACGAGTCTTTTGCGCCAGGAAGAAAAAGCAGGATAGAAATGATGAGCAAGAGACTCGACAAACTAGCTCTGTTGCGTCTAGTTCGCTGGCTATATGTGCAAACTCTGCATGACGCGCTTCGTTTTTTTGCCTCGCAAAATCGCAGGATATTCGAAATGTGAACCGCACAAGGGGCACATGCATGCGACATGCCTATGTCATGCTATGCCATGCCATGCTAGGCTATGTGTTGCCACCGCCTTCCTCTCGACGCGGTGCTTAATAATAATGACAGAATTCCAAGGAAACTACATCAGCGCATACCCCCACCCCCTCTCCCAGCCGCTCAAACCCACGGGTAAAATCGAGACTTGCTCGCGCTCATCACAAGAGAAGCGCATTTCGACAGGTCGACTTTTTTTGTTTGTGCTTATGTGTGTCTGTGTCTGTGTGCGTGAACATATCACGTTTTCTTTTTGCCTTTCGCGCTTTCTGGCTATTTTAGGTTATTGCGTAGGTGTGGGAGAACTCAAAGATCTGTGACTTGACTATCTCTGTTTCGCGCGAAATTGCTGTCAAAACAATTGATATATTTACTAAGAGCCTCTCATCACATCCACAAACACACCCTTTCCAACAACAACACCGTCCGTCTCATAAAGAGCGCGGGAACTCCTCAACAGGGGGCTCCTTCTCGCGTAGAGGCAGCCCTGGTAACAGAGTTTTGGCACCGCTCTCGCTAAGACTGCATAGACGAATTACGAATCACGAGTCTCGCTTTGCATTTACCCTAACCCGATGTGATTTGTTATCAGTCCCTTGTGGTGATTAGCCCTGGCCCAGATTCTTTTATTGATAGCGATACGGCGAGGGAGATTCAAGGCGGAGTTGCATTTAAAAACAAAAGAAGGGAAATGTGCTGGGAAATAACTGAAAGGAACATTTTATATTTCAGGACAGTAATTTTACCCAAGTTTCTAGCGGGCAAGAAATAACGCACCTTTTCCCGCTTTCCGTACGAGTAAGTTTTTGCGGCGGGCATGTAAATTTGGGCGCTTGGACGCGAGGTGAGGTCCGCCCACCACGCTCGGAAGGGCGATCTATTCGCATCTGCAAACCGCATTTTGCCTTTGTCTTTGTTATTGCTACTCTGTGCAATATTATATAAAAGAGTCTCCGGGCAATGGAAATACGCCTTAGATATAATAACAGTATGACTAGTCGTAGAGAAGTAACGGGAAGTATGAGCGAATGTTTAGTAAAACCAGATTTTTCCGGCGCAAATTCATTGCATAAACATAATAAATCAAAGAAACAGAAACTATTAACCTTGCTCCCGATAAGCCAAGTATGTGAAAACAGAAATAGAAAAGAAATGCAAAGAAAGAGGATGTAGAAGTGTTCGTAAATTGTTTCAGGTCAAAAAAATCTTCTTTTGCTCGTATACCGATAGCGAAACACAAAGAACCTTCAGATCGCAGACTGCTGGATAGAGATCGGCGACAGATGTTAATAGAAAGAAAAGAAACCAAGATTAAACGAGTCATTAATTCATAAGAGATCAAGAATAAAAGAGGAAATTCGAAAGAAAAGTTAAGTGAGCCCAAGATATTGTAGATTGTAGTGCAGACAAAATGATTTTTGGGGCGGAGCTCCGGCGCTCCGCTTGATGTATTACTGTTTAGTGTTGCGGGTCCTGCTTGTTTTCTTTTGCCCGCTGTGTTTTCAAACCATACCAAGTGATGCAAAAATAAATCTTAAAAAGGAAAAGCCGAGATCAAATGAAGAGATCAAGAAAAAAAGCATTGGTGGAGATGGGTTACATAAACCGAGGAGCAGCGCGCCACAGGGTTGTCTTCCAGTCTTCCAATTTGTGGTGCAGTTTGAGCAATCGATCTCGTTTGGCCAGATATTGATGTTCGTTCCCTATAGAGAGCGACATGTGCTGCTGTTGCTGCTTCTTGGCCGTGCCGTCCTTAATACTTTCGTACTGCTTGACTTCCTGATAAAGCCTCCTGTACTCTTCATAAAGAGTCTTGAATCTCCTTGCCATTTTCCTCAGTTCGTACTCATCGTAGTTATCAACTTGTCGCGAAAGAGACTTGGGCTCAGCCAGATCTGCGGCCGTGATTGGCGGCGAGGCGCCCAAAGGTGATGGCTTGCGAGGAGACTTTGTACCAGACGAAGACGTGCTTTCGGATCTTGACCGCTGCATAGGTTCTGACGCTGACTGCGTCGGTGTCGCGGTCGCTGATGCTGTTGTGTCAGGCGCTGCTTTTCTTTTCTTTGTAACTTCCGGCTTTCGGCGCGACATGAGGTCGACATCGGACTCGGAAGAAGTCCCGCTTTCTTCCCGCTCGCGCTTGAGCGGTCGGGATTTTGTCTTTGTCGAGGCCTTGTTCGGTTCTTTCTTTGTGGCCGCCGGATCTTCCTTCACTTTCTTTGTCGGCGGCATTTTTGTTTTCAGAATCGCACCACCGGCGCGCTTGACAGGCACGTCCTTTGCCGCAGAGGATGATGACAGAGGCAAAGGCGCAGGCGCAGTCGCCGGTGGAGGAGCAGGGAGATCGTCGAGCTTCAGGACTGGCACGCTATCTTCGGACTCGCCAGAATTCCGCAGCGCAGGTTCTACCAGATTCAACCACACCGGATCGTCTTTTGGGATCTGTAATCGCTCATAGGCTTCCTCGGCCCGCCCGATTGCCTTTGTCCGCTCTGCCGGACTGTAGGCACGCCACTCCCATGGCCGAATTATGTCTCGGTAGGCTGCGTCAGTCAGAGTGTATTGACAGTCGTCAGTCGAAGCATCGCCGATAGGCACAGCGTATTCTGCTAAGAGGGCTTTGATATCCTCCAGCGGCGCCTTGGTACGAGCGGCGAGTTGATTTGGCGAGGCAGACGCCGAGAGAGCAAGGAAATGTGTAAGACGAGTGGCGAGAGAACGGAGGGAGTTGCGAGGAGAGGAGGGGGCGAGCGTTGGGCGGCTTTTGGCAGCGACATGAAGTGAGCTGGGAAGGTGCGGCGAGGCCGGCGTTATTCGTGGCGAAGAGGAGAGGGCGCGCGAGGAGGCGCGAGAGGGGGCAGGATCAAGCAGCGTTGTTCTGTTGCTGTTAGTTATACATGGTCTTCAAAAATAATAGAAGGTTGGCGGGAAGGAGGGGGGTGGAAGTGACGGAGGAAAGTCGATGGGAGTCATGTACCTCAGAGAGTCCTTCTCGCGCACACTGGACTTGATCCGAGAAGAGTCTAGAGATTGGTTGTCGACGGCGAGTCTGTGCGAGAGCTTGCCGACGTACTTTGCAGAATCCTTTGATCCGGCGTAGATATCGACAAGAGACTGCTCGGGGACGGTCGAGAGCGAGTGCAGGTGGCCCGCTATGCGGATAGACTGCAGACGGGCCATGATTAGTATCAAATGGGTACGCACGTCTGACGGCAGCATAGCCGACGTTCGCAGGAAGACTGTAGAAGGAGACTTACGGGATTGTCGCCAAGAAGAAGCTTGAGAGAGGAAGGGTCGTGCTCGGCAGCGCGGAGCACATCCTCGAGGGCAGATTCGGAGAGCTTGAGGTGGAAGACCTGGGTAGCGGGCCGCGAGGCCGCTGCGGTTGGCGCCAGCCTGAGACCGGCGGAGGGAAATAGCGCCGGCGAGGACATGAGCGGAGGGAAAGGGGGGAGAGAGGCAAGAAGACTGATCTTGCAGCAGCAGCAGCAAACGGAGCAGACGGGAGGTGAAGCGGCGAGCAGGAGGAAGGAAGAGAGGCAGTCGGAGAAGAGTCGAGAGGAAGAAGGAGAGCGGGCCGACGGTATCGGCTTCAAGCGAATTCGTTGACGAAGGTCAGGCTCGCCCAGGTCGCGGTTAGGGCGCGATTGCGGGGTTTGTAGTTCCTATCTGGGCGCAGCTGAACAAAGCGCGAACGCAGTAGCAGACGTCGGTTTTGCTGCCTGGTTGATCTACGACGGAGCTGGAAGGATTATCTGGCGGACTGATATCGAGTGGAAGGGGTCTAAAAGCTATGGAGTCTGGATATCTGGAGGGCAGTCCACCGACCGGGCACTGCTTCGTCACATAAATAATCGCAGCCAGAGGCAAGCATTAGGGCATGTGGCGAGCTGCCCCCTGAATATAATTACACGCCACTTGAAGTGATATCGCGGCCGGATGCCAGCAAAGAGAGCGCTCTGGCACTTGCAGTGTCTGGTCTGGTCTGGCAGGGGTCTGTCTGGCAGACAAAGGCCTTGTCGACCGCTCCGTCGCCGTGCAGCGGGTGCCGTGGCGGGCGCTGGCGGCGGTCGGCGGACAATCGCAAGCTCCCAGCTCAGTGCTATTTATTATCCACCACCGCGGTGCCCTGTGAGCTGGACCTGGCTTGGCTGTCTTCGCCGCCTGCTGCCGCCCAACACCTGTTTCCCTGGCGGATCATCGTTGTCAACGGCTCCGCAGATCCCGATTCTGCTGCTGCGTCGTGGAGATCAACGTGCTTCTTCTCGTCAGCAGTTCAGTTGCGCTGCGGGCAGAGAGTTACTTAATGGCTCCCTCGAGTCAAGTGATTTGCCTCTGGATATTTGCTCTGCTAATGTATTAGTCACTAAATTGTCAGCATAAGCGCAACAGCAATTGCTGCATGGCTTCCACAACTGCTCTCTGTCAGCCTAGTCGACTTCGAGCGCCCGAGAAGCGACGAGAAATCTGTTGAGCTTTGCTAGCTTACGTTCTCTGCTTAGGCCTTGCCTGAACCTGTAGAAGATGCTTCAACAGAATACTGCCCGCTGCCAAACAGTCGTATCGCCGCCTGAACATACAAACACACAGCACAGCGCATGCACTCTGCGTGATAGCCCAGTGCTGTCAGCGCTGAGGCTGCTGCCGGCGTTCCAAGTCCTGCGAGATGCATCATCGTCTCGAGTCAAACCCGTTTGCTTATAACCAGATCCTCCCCAAAATGTATTTGCTGCCCGCGTGCGCTGCTGCTGATCAGTAGCTGAGCTCTGCTCACTAACTGCTTACGTCACGGCCTCTGCTCTGCACAAACCTCAAAAGTTTGCGCACTTCTTTACCGCTACCTCGCCCTCATTTTATGTCTCAGAATTGTTGGGCGCACCCGATCGCAGAGACATTAGAGTTTCTATAGTGTATGGCGCCCTCAGCTGTCCGCCCACGTACAGAACTCTAACCTCTCCTCAGTATGCTCCAAAGGTGTCACCCGTCCACCTCTCCTCGCCTGCTCAGCGGCTTGAAAAAACACCACCTCCGCACTGCTCATCTCCACTACACCCCTTCTCCGCCCATCCGCCCATCAGTTCCAGTCCCTTTAAATCAATCTCGGCTTCTTGTGCTTCTGGTTGTCTGATGGACCCGCTCACCGAGGCCCCGGAGTCTCGCTCGGCTCTTTCGCCCGCGTTCTTTCTCGATGGCGACGAACCCGAGTACTACGCATTCCACGACCTCAACATCGACCAGCCCGCCCCTTCCGCTCAAGCCGGCACTTCGAATCAGCAGAATCAGGTTTCTTTTGAACAACTCTTGAGAGAAGCAAACGAACTCGAGAAACGGACCGGCCGCCCTGTCAACCGCTCGCCCGAGTCAATAAACACGACGCCAATACTCACGCACGACGAAGATGACGCTGACGACGACGACGATGTTGAGCGATATATGGCAGAGCACTTTGATTTCGAGTCGGCCACGACCGTCCTCGCTGATGCATCAACAATAGCGACCGCTCAGAGTACGAACAACATCACCATCCGCAACAGTGACTCTGACTCGTCCATCTTCTCTGTCAAGCGCAACGGCTTCTCCTACCCCCCTTCCCCAAAGTCTTTCTCGTCGCAAAAGTCAGCGCCCGCGGCAGATTCCTCGACAAAGAATTCCTCTGTCCGCGCCATCTCGCCTCCACAGCACTCGCCGCTTTCGACCCCGCCGCCGCTAGAAGACGAGTCCGTTTACGCGAAGCCCCTCGACTGGAGCCCGCCTGAGGTCATGCCGGACTTTGATCCGCTCGATTGGCTGTCTCAAAACACAAAGTACCAGCTCTCAGTTGCGACTGATACTCTCAAGTCCCGTGTTGAGACTCAGATAAAGGCCGTGCTTACCTTCAGACCATCCCCTACTGAACAGAACATGCATCTGCCGACCTCTACGATCGCCAAGGCCAGACAACAGCTGAAGAAGCCCTTCTCGTCCGATCCCAAGACACTCGAGCTAGACGCCATCGTTGTCTGTGATCACAACAGATACAAATACATCAATGTCTGCCTGGGGTGTATGAAGAGAGAGCACAAACGTGCTTCTCGGAAGAAGCTGCCGTCTGCCGATGACACGCACTGGTTAGAGTCGCAGGACAACAGAGGCATCATGTTCAACTGTGCTGAACTCTTGGAGATCCCAGACCCTAAGAACACAACCTTTGCCGCTCAGGAAAACAGTTTGAACGAGAGTCAAATGGACGACAACATGAGACAGCTTGAGATTCCCATCCGCATTCCCTGCTACTGCCGACACCACGCAGAGAAGACTGGTTTCAGGTATTCTTAAATCTTGCATTCACCCATTTATCAGTTAATCTAGATCTAACTCTCCGACTTTTAGGGTATACTTCGTTATCAAAGACCACACAGGCCAAGTGGTCGCCCGGACATTCACTGAACCCATCATGATTACGGACGATCACAAAACATCAAATGCGAACGCTCGACGGAAGGCCGCCAACACAGCGGCTACCCAGCCGGCATCTTCGACAAACGTCTCTGATGATTCTCTTTCTGGATCACCGACGAACGAATACGGCTTTAGTGAGTCTGCAAATCCACGCAAACGCAAGATGTCTCCGCGGTACAGCCGGCGAGCACCCAATCCGATGGCTCTCAACGCAGAGTCAAGTCGTCCTACTGCTGATAGTCAGAGGCTGTCTGTGCCTGGGGCACCTTCGGGCTCGGTGCCTGCTGCTGCTGCCTCAAGTGCTAGCACACAGCCTAAGCAGGAGGTGCCTTTCTTCCGTGCTTTTGAAGACGCAAACTTCACAGCGCATTCCCATAGCGTTGAAAGTTTCGGTTTCCCGGCTTATAGCAGCAACACACCGCTTTCGTTACAGCAGCCTCGTGAACCTGCTATGTCGTCGCATGCGTCTTCGCCAATGTCAAACCCCAGTCCTCTCTCCAACATCAGCACACCTGAATCAAGCCATTCGGTCACTCCGGCGACTGCTTCGGCGAGGAGAGCGGGCAAGAGCAGCACTGGCGCTTCTGCTAACTTAGTGCCACCATCTTCCATGACTGCTTCCGCCCCTCCGGCAGACGTGCCATCTCTGCAGAGACTGATTCCTACCGAGGGACCCATTCGCGGTGGTATCGAAGTGACCATGCTTGGCAGTGGTTTCAGACAGGGACTTACTGTCATGTTTGGCGAGCAGCCGGCAGTCAAGACCCACATCTGGAACGAGAGCACTATTGTTGCAATTCTGCCTCCCGCTGCTACGTCAGGGCCTGTGGTCGTCCGACTAAAGAGCTTGACCGAGGTCAACAACCCCCTGAACGAGAGCCTGAAGTTGTTCACGTACATCGACGACACCGACCGCCAGTTGATGGAGCTTGCTCTGCAAGTCATCGGCCTGAAAATGACGGGTCGTCTTGAGGACGCTCGGCAGATTGCGATGCGTATCGTTCAGCAGACCGGCTCGGGCGGTGATGCGGGTAACAGCGAAGCTAATATCATGGCTGCTACTACTGCCTCCTCCACTCTCGAGCTGACTTTGCTCAAGTGCCTCGATCTTGTCGACTACAATGAGTCACCCCATAAGGTACAATGGCAGCTGCAGAATAGCTCGGGACAGAGCATGCTCCATCTTTCTGCGTTCCTCGGATTTCAGAGATTGGTGGCAGCTCTTCTGGCCAGAGGCGCGTCTTACAAGCTGAAGGATCACGCAGGTTTCACACCCCTTCATTGTGCAACATTGAGAGGACATCGTGAAATCGTGCAGAGGTTCCTGAACTGTGGCGCCGACCCGTTGTCGCGTTCTTCGTTGGGATATACCTCGATTGATTTGGCTACCGACTCTGCGATCCTCAAGCTTTTAAAGAATCACGTCGCGAATCATATCTCGGAAGCCTCTATCTACCCGTCGCGAAGCTCGCGCCAGTTCAGAAGAAGACTGCTGTCGAACGACAATGCTGAAGATTTCCCTGACTGGCCTTCTTCATCTGGTCCTTCATCGCCGGCAGAGTCGATGAGCGATAGCTACCCTGACTCATTGGATGACGAAGCCTCGGATGCTACGCCGGAGAACAAGGAGGACGATGAGAGCAGAGGGTGGTCGCGCCGAAGATTCTTTTTGCGTGCAGGACGCCAGGGAGATTCGTCGCCGACCGACAAAGCCAAGCAGCTTCAGCTCCGGCTTGCGGAGTATCTGTCGCAAATCCAGGGCCAGGCATTCCGGCCTAACTGGGATTCTGCCAACCATTTCATGCACGACGCTTTTACTTCGTTTGCGTCGGTGCGTCCTACGCTGGCGAATATTGCTACAAATATCCCTGCTCACAGTCGACGTGCGTTGGAGAACTCATGGTTTGGCGACTACATTGCTAGTGCGATGGGTACCGGGGCCGAGAGAAAGCGGTCGATGGGCGCCGCTGGTGCACCACCTAGCTATGAGGAGATTTATCCGGAGTCGTCGTATGTGCATCCGAGCGTGGGCAACACTGTGGATGTCAAGACGGCTGAGGCTTCCTCTGTGAATGTGGAAGAAGAGCCGGAGCCAAAGTTGAGCGAGCAGGAGATGCTGCTGAAGTTCTGGCAAAACAAGAAGAAGAAGCAGATGAGAAACGATTTGATGCTGTTTGCATTCTGGGTAAGTAAAATTTGTGCGCTTTTGTCGCTGATCACCACATACTAACTTAAGTATTTTGTATAGTTGCCGGTTCTTCTCGTTGTGTTGTGTTATGGTGCTATGAGCATGTTTGGCATCCAGATCTCAGAGTTGATTCCGATCCCGGATAAACTTGTCGAGTTCTTTGCCTCCCGCGCAACCTCATTGTCGGCGCCATCGGTGTCGTCAGCGGCGGCATCTGCTGCGCCAGTGGCGGAGATGGTAGCTGCTGCTCCGGTCGCTATTGCCGCAACTTAATAACGCACTGCTGCTGTTTGGGGTGGTTCGTTTATTTCAGTTTCCGAGTATACGCTTTCGAGTGTGCTGAGTTATCCGGGTTTAGTAATAAGGTGATTTTTCATTTCCTTTTCTTTATCAGTTTAAGTATATATTCCATAACGATATGTAAAAAAATAAGGGTGGGAGTTTCTTTTTTTGTGTGCAAGGGTATAGCTATACATTTTTGTCTTTTTTTTGCTTGCTTTTATTTTCCCATTATATCTGCGTTTAATTATCTTGATATCTTTTTAGTATACAAATACATACACAATATATAATTGCTGTCAATCTTATTCCGACGTTTGTACTGTTTATGTCGTAGCGAATAGGTAATCTTCCCGAGCATCGGCGTCCATTTCTAGAAAGAGAATGATACCGGTCTCGTCCATACTCCGCAGGATCTGGATAGCGCGCGAGTATTGTTCGCGGGACCAACCGCAGGTTTGGCGCATTGAAGAGAGAAGTTTGATTGCTTCTTGGAACCTCAGAGTTGCTTCGAACGCGGCAGAGTTGGTAGGCGCGGTAGCTGGGTCGACTACGGATGTGGCAGGGGCGGGTGTGGAAGGTGAGCGGCTTGCTTGGACCACGTCGAGGATCTGCTTGAATGAGTCTTTGAATGATTCAGAGACTAGCTTGACTGCTGCTGTGAAGGTCTCCGGGTCGACGATCAGAGGGGTTGTGGATGTTGTATCGCTTGCGGGTGCGGGGATTGTGGAGGAGAGTGAGGCGGGCGTGAGAGGCTGGCGGGCGCGATGGAGTGATGTCGTCGCAGAAGGGAAAGACGACGACGACGGAGATAATGAAGAAGGCTGCGACGGCGACGACGGCGGCGGCTGTTGTGCTGGCCGGATAGGCGTAGAGATTTGAAGTTCGGGCGTGGACGAAAGGCGGCCGTTGGTTGTCTGGCTGGGAAACTCGCCGGATGCTTGCGAGGGAATGAAGTTTGTCTCTGCAGAGACTGATTCGAAAATATTTGCGCTGCGTAATTGTCGCTGCTGGCGGTCCAATTCTTGCTGGACTTCGTGTCGTAGGTTCTGGTCTCCGTTGCTTTCTTGCTCCTTCTGCTGTTGCTGCTGAGACGGTTGCTGTGTTGATTGTGTTTGTTGCTCTTGTTGTTGCTGTTGCGGTTGCGGCTGCACCAAAAATGTAAGACTAGAATATTCGTGTCTATACCGCGGGAATATCTCGCGCATGACTTTCTCGTACACAAACGACTTTGATCTAAAATGTTTGCCGTTGTGGTTTGCCGCGATGAACCGCTGCCAGACATGGTCCGGTGCTTCGTACAGATTGCGCTCGGGGTTCCAGACGAAGCCTGGAGTTACTTTGAGTTTAACCCATGCTTCGTACATACGTCGTAGCTAGTTTGCAGCTGTTAGTGGTTGAAGTATCGAGTGCAGGAAACAAAAGACCTTACGATCTGGACGTGGTTCTTGACATGTGCTTTATCGAGATTGGTGCCGAATTGTTGATTGAGCTTAAGTGTGATACGTCGCCACCCTTCCTTCGAGAACCCGATATCTGAGCCCAGTCCATCGCGGGCTGTTTGCGCTAGTGTGTTGAGCAGGAAAGTATCGCGCTCCGGAGTCCAGACGGTTTTGTTGGTGTAGTGTGGTTTGTCCATGGCGTTTGCATTCATCGGGTGTTTTGATTCAGCGGGTTTGCGGGCATAACCGAGGATAAGAGCTTGATATATGGACAGCACCCATACACATGTCTGAGATCAGTGGTTAGCTTGAGTGTTATTCAGATTCATGTTGAGAAAAGCACGACACTCACGCGTTCAAAACAAATAGCTGGATGCGGAAGTATTACGCGTCAAATACGATGTTTGGTGCGACGCTTCAGCGATGTTTGGAGAAACGTGGTTTGGCTGCTGGGCTGTGAGGATTTTGTGGGTGTTTTATTGTGGAAGTAGGGTTTGGGAGTGTTAAAACTGCACTAAATTCCGGATGTAGGACTTGGTTGTCAACACAGCTCGGTAACTTGCAATTGAAACAATTTCTGGTGTTTATATACAAATTACATTAATTGTATTTTTTCTATACCTTTTGTTCTCACTACAATGTGCTCCTTCCTGACAACAATGGCCATGCCAGCATCGAAGGAGGCCTCGGTTTATGATTTAATTAGGGAGCAGAAGGTGATTTAGGGTTCTCGCGAATAAAGGAACAAAAAGAAAACCGTAAACAAAGCGGCCAAACACAACCAGCCAGCCACCTCCCTGCCCGTCACCTTTCCCTCTGCCTTTTGTTTCCGTATATTGCCCGGTTTTTGCTTTAGGCTCCGGTTGCTGTATACTTTGCGGTTTGGAGTAGTTTGTTGCTGCTCTGTCGCTTCTTCTGATCTGTGCGGATCTTGTCCAAATCACTCGTTCGTTGTAATGGAGTCTTCGCCCCAATCCCCGGCACGAGACCGGCTGCCGACCCTCTTTGAAGTTCTGAACCGCCGAACGCTACCCCCCGTGGACTTGTACTCGTTTTACGTATTTATGCGTGACCAGCAGCTCCAAGTCGATTATCTAGATTTCTGGTATGTTTGTGCCGTAAACAACAGGACCCGAATAGGAGGCTAATATATAATCCAGGCTTGATATCGCGCAGCATCTGTCTCTCTGCCGTCTTTATGTCCGCCAACTTCGCGAATCGCTTTTGATAGAGACTCCAGACATTGACGGGAAAGGGTCGCCGCACTCTTCGATGGTTCTCGATGCGCTCAAAGTGCCAAAGGAGTCGCTATCACCGGACGAAAAGAACTCGTCAGACGAAAGTCGGCGGGTGTCGATGATTATGCGGAGTGAGTCTCTGACCGTGGCAGAGCCGTACTCTCAGCAGGATATTATTTCAAAGAGGAATAGCGCGGTGAAGCAGCATCAGGATCGGCAAAAACAGCTCGCGGAGCAGAAGTTTGGAGGGGAGAAGAGCGAGGAGCTAAAGGATAGCGAGGAGAGACGACTCACGCTGACGCATTCTGCGGGATCGACTGTCACTCGTCTCCATGTCAAAGAATCTGCATATGGAATTATGGCGACGTATCTTGTTCCCGGTGCTGAGTGCGAGCTAGCCCTGCCGCTGCATATCACACGTGGTATCACTACATCGATCGAGGTCGACGGACGGGATGATCCTGAGGTCTTTGAGGAGGCAAAGGAATATGTTTTCCAGGCTATGGAACGAGAAGCCTTTCCTGCCTTTTTAGAATACAAGGCACTAGGCAATCTATCTCCCGCTGGTGCCATCACGCGACTGTTTATCGGTTTGTTTTCATTGTTTGCTGCGTTTTGGGTCGCGTTCATCCTGATCTTCTTGGACTACCACAAGACTGTGCGCTTGTGGCTTATCTTGCCGTTTTCTATCGGTATATACGGCTGCTTGAGCTACCAGTATTATCTGGACCCTATCTTTGTCTTTTCGGGATACAGCGAGTTGACGTATTTCAAATACCACAAACTGAGAGAACCCTATGTGAAGTCCTTGCTGGTGAGAAGAGCGGTTTGGGTGATGGGTGTGGCTGTTCTTTTGATTATCTGTCTTTGTGTTTTGTTTGGATTGGTTCCGGGAAGAAGATTATAGATTCTCCAAGAACCTATGATTCTATAAAATGTGATGCGTGTCTTTTGGAGGGGTTAAGTTTGGATATGGTTTTGATTTTGAGTAATGATTGGCGTTTGCAAGAACTTAATGAATATATACCGCTATTTTGTATTTGATCATCTTCCGTCGACAAATGTCTTAACGGCCTCGTCAAGATAGGCGTATACATCCCCCATCTTCGGCTGCCATCCCAGCTTCCTTGCTCTCGTGGCTTTCGAGCCCGAGTTGCTGATGAACGCCTTGTACAAGCCCTGCGCTGATTTCTCGCCCAGAACTTGAGCTAGATCAGAGACAGACCACGGTTTCTCAGTCTTGGAGGTGTGGTTCTCGTCGATCACGCCGTATTTCACTAACGGTGCATCAAGTGCGGAAACCAGTGACTTCCAACTCTGTTCGCCGCTCTCAGCAAAGTAGTAGCCCAGCTCGTTCATCGCTAGCTCTGAGGGGTTTCGCAAGTAAGTGGTGAGCAGTAAAAGATAGAAGTCAGCGAGGTCGTCGATATGCACGCTACTCCAGATCGCGTTGCCTTCACCAAAGCATCGGTTTGCTTTCGCTTGCGCCGCGATGCGAATCGTTATCGGTATTTGCTGAGAGACTTTGTTGATCGGGCCCGATGAGTTGCCGTAGATTAGAGGCGGGCAGACGACGATCGTGTTGACTTTTGGTTTCACGGCGTGGATACCGAGGATCTTGAGATCGATATCGCGGTGATGATGTTCGAGGCCCCAGGACGTGATTGTCTCGATATCTGCCTCGTCGTCAAACTTGCGAGTAACCAACGTATCGTTCTCGCTCTCGTCGGTGAGAATGTATGTGCCCGAGGTGTGAATGAGTAATGCCCCGTCTTTGATTCCCGCCGCGATAACGTTCGCCGACAGTTGGTCGTCCGAGGAGTTTCCAGTATGCACGATGATATCTGCGTTCGAGACAAGAGTAGAAAATACGGGGTCATCGTATCCTGCCTCGCCAACTTCAACAGACAGGTCGTAGTCTGAATAGATAGCGGCGATCTTGTCAGCATACGACTTGTTCCTTGCAAACGCAGTAATCCTGAGATTTGGGATGTTCGCCTTGACGAATCTGTCGAGGACAGCGCCTCCAATGTAGCCCGATGCACCGGTAAGTAGTAGTTCCAGCATTGAGATTGAATAGCATTCTAGAAATATCGAGGTAGTTTTGACAAAGTCTCTCCGTCAGTATCTCCAGACTGAACCGTAGGCCGCCCTGATGATGACTATGCCCGTCAGGAACCGACCAGGGCCTTTAAACCTTAACCGCAATTCCCGAAGTCTGTCTGATGACTAACTGCACGTGATATGACTAACATCGAAAAAAATCCAAAAAACTTTGGAATACTGAGCGACGGCGACAGATCTTTTGTATTATCCAACACAGAGAACCAGCAATAAGAATGTCATCGGCCGAGGAGATTGCGAAAACTGCTGCCGCGGCATCGGCGGTGTTGCGCCCTGTTTCGAACGAGGCGCGAAATGCTGCGCTAACGAAGATTGCGGAGATCCTGATGGCGAACAAAGCATCAATCGTCGAAGCCAACAAAATCGATCTCGAAAACGCCGAGAAGAATAGCGTCGCCGGACCGCTGGTCAAGCGACTGGATTTGTCGAAAGGCGACAAGTTTGACGCGATGTGCCAGGGCGTCCTGGACGTTGCTGCGTTGCCTGATCCGATAGGGAAGGTGACCTTTGCGAGTAAGCTGGATGACGGGCTCGAGCTGTATAGACTTACTTGCCCAATTGGAGTCGTGCTGGCAATTTTCGAGTCGAGACCGGAGGTTATTGCGAATATTACAGCGCTGGCTATTAAATCTGGTATGCTCGCTCTACTTCCTGACTGGCAATCAGAGATTGTAGTGAGTCTTGGTGGCTAACTTCTTCATTGTTCTACAGGCAATGCCGTCATCCTGAAAGGTGGAAAGGAGTCGTTAAGTACATTCACAGTTATTTCCAAGCTTGTCCGAGAAGCTCTCGCGGGGACCGAAATCCCATCCGGTGCTGTCCAGCTTATCGAGTCGCGGCAAGACGTCGCGGGTCTGCTTTCGCAAGATCAGTACATCGACCTCGTTATCCCTCGAGGCAGCAACGAGCTCGTGCGGAGTATCAAGGATAATACGAAGATTCCAGTTCTCGGTCACGCTGATGGTCTTTGCAATGCTTATATCAATGGCGATGCAGACGTCGATATGGCTGTCCGCGTCGTTGTCGATAGTAAGACAAACTACGTTGCGGCGTGCAATGCGATTGAAGGTCTTTTGATCCAGCGAGGCGAGGCCTTGACTACATTGCTTCCGGAGATTGCAAAGGGTTTATTGACCGCTGGAGTTACGCTCAAGGTCACCCCCGAGATCGCCGACGCGCTTGCAAAGGCTGGTGTTGCTGATGCTGAGAAGATTGTTCCGGCTGAAGACAAGGATTTTGAGACTGAGTTTTTGTCGCTTGTGTTGGCTGTCGGTGCGGTCGATGGAGTGGAAGAGGCGATCGCTCATATCAACAAGCACAGCTCGAAGCACACTGACGTGATCGTAACGTCGTCAGAGGAGACAGCAAACAAGTTCATGAACAGCGTCGATAGCGCGGGTGTGTACTGGAACGCCAGTACGCGTTTCGCCGACGGGTTCAGATATGGATTCGGCACCGAGGTCGGAATCAGCACAAGCAAGATCCACGCCCGCGGGCCGGTCGGTCTGGAGGGGCTTACTTGCTACCATTACCAGCTTCGGGGATCTGGACAGGTCGCTGGAGATTATGTGGGAGCAGGGGGTAAGAAGGAGTTTAAGCATGAAAAGCTCTGAAGGACTTGGGTGTATGTTTTGTCCGCTGCAAAGCCGTGTATTAAAGTGTAAATAACAGATATCTGGCATAACTACATCAATAATTAATAACCCAGCTTTCCCTCAATTCATACAATTGACCCCGCGCCAATTCCAGCCTGCCCCCACAGAACAACAGGCTAAACCTCACAGATCTGAGAGATTAAGAACCGCTTCCGCAATTCAAAACCCCTCAGAGACAACTAACATACAATCTCAGTAAAAAAAGTGCCGCAAGGGTGGTGAGGTGCCGACACTATCCACATCGCCCAGAAGAAGACCACGAGCCATGAAACCAAGTCGCAATCAAAAAGAAAGAAACAAAGAGTCATGAACCACATAATCCCTCCCGAGAGCTGCAACGGACTCAAAAACACTTACATCATTGATTGGTTTAGTTGTAAAGAAGAAAAAAGGAAAAAGGCAGTTGGAAGGCAGACCGACGTGGTTTTATTCTGGCCTGAAAAGCTTAAACTTTATTACTGTTTAAGGCCCTAACTGCACAAACATAACTGCTGTTATGCCGAGACTTAAACCTAAAAACTCTAATGGTCCGCTTCGAAGAAATTTTTGCAGAAAGTTAACTAAAACCGAACCTCAGAGGTCGCTGGAAGAACCGAAAAAATAGAACAAGAAGGCTTCTCGAGGGACATTGTACTTTGCTACAAGATCAACTCGTCAGCTCGTTTGGGGATTATCAAGATAATTGCTTGTTTCGTCCCTTGTATTCTGATTCAGCACAACTAGCACCGCGAACTACCAATATCTAATCTTCGGCCATGGACTCCGCAATCGGGGACTCTGCTCTGTCCTGGCGCGACCTGAAAGCCGAAGCAACGACTGAGGTTTTGACCTCATCGACCAAGAAAAGAGTTCAGTTGTTTGGTTCCATTGCAGCTGCGGTGAAGGCTAATGGTGAGTGCTGATTGCTTGATACGCTGGGGAGACTTTACTCGAGCACACTGCTGACAGATCTTTCTCTCAATTACAGAGGCCGCCGCAGATCTGCCATTGATCCTGCATTTGCTGTTTTCAACATACACGTTGTACGATGACCACGTATCTAGAATGGCAGTCATCTCTGCGATTCGCGCACTATTCGAGTCCAGCATCGAAGAACTTCCAACCAAGTTCATACCGGCTTTGAAGCGAGAGTCGGAGAAGAAGGGCATGACAGCTGCCGACTATTTTGTCCTGCTCGAATGGGCAAACGAAATCCTGTCTCTCTACAGCGCAGATCAAAGCTCACAGAGACCGTTATTTGATCGATGGCATTCAGATCTCGTTGCTATTCAGACGCTGTGTCTTGACGCGTGTCTCAGTTTCGCTACGGACAAAAAGACCAGACTTGCTGCTAGCGCCGAGAAAAGTACTCGCGTGGCCTTGAATTCCGTACTTACTTGTTACGGTGATGCTTGTGCGATCTACCTAGATATCTTAGCATCAAAGACCTCAAAGCTATCATCTGCGTCTTTACTAGGCGCGCTCATCAACACTGCCTCGGACTTGAAGACGAATCAGCAGGCGTTCAAGACCCTCCAAGATCGGAGTTCTGAGATCTTTGCGTTATACTGTCGCGAGATTCTTGGATCAAAGGCTTTTGTAGGTGCCCATAACGCGAAAGCTTTCAACAGATTTTTCCAAGAGTTTTTAACTCCCGAGACTCTGTTGAGCGAGATTGCTGGGCCATTCGAGAGATCGATTCTCAGAGCGCCGGAATTCGTTCTTGGCCCCGTCAGTCTTCAACTTATCCGATCTATCCCGTCCACTATCGATTGCTCGGTGGCTGTTTCAAAGCACTTTTTGAATCCACTACTATCTGCGCTCAAGTCATCTAAGGACGTTGTGCGCGAAAATAGTGCCGCTACTCTGCGTGAGCTCTTCAAAAAGTGCATGGATTCGGAACTTGTGCCCAAGATTGCGAATGAGCTCATTACACCCTTGAAGACTTCCAAGGTCACTGCTGCCGACCAACGAGCTCTATACATCGAGGTTTTGTCTTCGCTTCCTTCCTCGTCAGCGCTGGCCAAGTCGGTCCCAGCGGGTTTGATAACTCTGGCTTCAAAAGAGACAAACGAGGCTGTCGTATCCGCGATCGCCAACTGTATGCTTTATTTCGTCAAGTTTGCGCTTGATAATGAAGAGGCTCTCGAGAAAACCGTGTCTGAAAGCATTTTGAAGGGATTGACCGATAAGCGGGCGAACCTGCGAAGGTTGTGGATTATGGCTGTCGGTGAATTTGGAATGAAGCTCACGCCGTCGTCTTCAAAGGCGTCAGTAGAGTTTGTGGCCAGCACTCTTCCCAAGCTGCTAGAGTCGTGGAAGGAAATTATTGCGAATGCCTCGGCGGCGGTACAGAGCAAATTGATTGTTTCTGGATACGTGGTTGTGGCACTTACCAAGCGGCTACTTGATCTGAAAGAGCCCGTGTTTGAATCTGCGATTGGAAAGTCGGCAAAGATAATCGAGACGGCTCTGACTGGTGGTTCGAAAGCTTCGTTCTTTTTGCAAGATCGAGTATATACCAAAATCTCAACCCGCGAGGAGCAAACATGGTGCACCAGAGCTCTGAGTGCTACTGCATCTAGCATTTCCCCCACCAAGGAAAATGGCGCGGCTTGGGCGTTGGCATTCATATATTTTATCACCAACCCTGCAGTCGATGCGCGAGTCCGTCAAGATGCTGCCGTGTTGCTAGGCGACGCATTCCTCCAGTCGCCAGTTGCTGTCGGCAAGTCTGTGATTCTGGCTCTGTGGAAGTGGATCCGGCAACTAGAGGATCCAGCTAAGAAAGAGCAGTCTCCGGCGATCTCGGCGCTCGGTCTCAAGCAGCTGCGTATAGTGCTGCAGGCGATCACTCCTCGTGATACCGACAGAATCCCGAGCGATGTTCGCACTGATCTGTTGATCGAAACTGTTGTGATTACGCATCACGAGCTGCTTGATAAGGCCCAAGACTGGATCACTCTGTGTCAGCGTCTCGGAATAGATCCGGGCGAGCTCGTGGGATCGCAAGCCTCTGAGTTTGAAAAAGTGATCTCGACGACAGCTTCCGAAGAGGGGCAGACCGAATCTGTCATCGACGCAACAATGAAAGCTGCTGCAACTCTTGCCTTCGTGCGGCCTGATGTCATCTCTCCGTTCTTGAGAGACATGCTCGTCGAGGATTTGGACGCTTCAAGGCTGGAAGGCATTACTGAAGAGTATGTTAGTATATGGCATACTCCTGATAATGTCTTGTGCATCGACGTTCTCAGTAAAGAAAGAGAAAAGTACGCGGTTGATAAAAACACCAAAGACTATGCTACTCTGAAATGGGAAGCCGAAGTACGGGCCGAGCTCGCAAAGAAACAGGCACCTACTCAGAAGAAGTTGACCAAAGAAGAGCGTGCGAAGGTTGATGCTCAACTGAAGCTGGAGAAGGGGATTCGCGAGAAAGTTCAGAATGCTTATTTGCACGTCAACCGTGGTGTGAAACTCATTCATTTCCTTAGCGCTGCGGGCACCGACAACGGCGCCGAGGTCTGGTTCCCGGCTGCGACGAAGAGTCTTGTTTATGCTCTTCGCAGCAATCTATCGATGCTGGTCGGATCGGTTGGTATCGACACCTTTCTCGAGCTTTCGGACAAGGTTAGTCCGCGAGTCGGACCCCTTCGTCGGTTCATTGGTGTTGCATTGCTTCGAGCGATTCAAGTCGCGGATGTCCCCGAGAGCCTTTCGCAGGAGCCTCTACGTGAGCTCGTCGTGCGAATAATGTACAGACTTCGCTTCTTGTCTGAGCAGATTCCTCTTGATGCAATCTCGCTTATATACATTCTGCCGTTGATTATGCTTATCTTTGCGCAAAATGGTATTGAATGCAGGGACACTGAGGAGAAGGATGAGCAGTTGATGCTTGCGATCGAGACATTGACCTACCACACTGAAATCTGTGAGTTGATTATAATTGAAGTAAGAAAATGGACTATAGCTAACGGTATATTGCAGTCGCCAACACTTCGGTGCCAAGATTGGAAGTACTTGTTGATCTCATCAAATTGATGAAGGCGCAACCTTCCAAGAACAAGAGTATCAAAGAGTGTCTGCTTGGATTGTGTCAAAGCATGTCAGCCAATATCAACGACGACGAACTCAACGTTTTTCTTGCCGCGAGTATATCAGAAGATAGTTTTGTCCGTGCCGCGGTTTTGGAGGGTATTGACGTAAGTTACTCTCAGGCTTGATGTACAGGCAACGTCACTAACCAGCTTTATGCACTATATAGTCCGAGTTTGAGATCTCGCATATCGGATATTCGAGCGAGCTCTGGATCGCCTGTCACGATGAAAACGAATTGAACTCAAAGACTGCTAACGCGATCTGGGAGGAGAGCGATTTGTCGATTGACGAGCAAACACCGCTGAAGATGCTCACGTTTTTGGAAACCCCTGATGCCTCGATCCGGAACGCGACGTCTCGCGCAATCAAGGATGCACTTGAAGAGTTGTCTGGGGATCATCCCACTCTATTCCATGACTTTTTGCAGGCCCTCATGGATCTGTATAGAGAACGTGCGAAACCTCCGGCGACTATCTACGATGAGTTTGGAATGGTTGCACAATCATCTTTGGATCAGAAGGATCCATGGGAGGCAAGAAGCGGAGTCGCAGTCACCTTCAGAGAGATTGCGCCTATCTTCCCCGAGTCTGAGCTCATGGGATTTGTAGCATTCTTGATTGAGGACGGTGCGTTGGGTGATAAAGAGCCCGATGTTCGTCAGCAGATGCAGGATGCGGCAATTCATATTCTCGACCTTCACGCCAAGAACTCTGTTGACACGCTGATGCCTATTATCGAGACCTGTTTGGCTGCTAAGCATAACGGTTCGGAAGTGCAAGATCGCATCAAGGAGAGCGCGATTGTGTTGTACGGAACGCTTGCTCGACATTTGGATGACGATGCTCGCTTGCCACCCATCATTGAGCGCCTCATCGCGACTCTGCGTGCTCCGTCTGAAAATGTGCAGTTTGCAGTTTCTGAGAGCTTGCCTCCGCTTGTCAAGCGTGTCGACGGCGAGCGAATCAGCAAGTACGTTGAGAAGCTTCTTAACCAGCTGTTTGCAGGAAACAAGTACTCTGAACGACGAGGTGCCGCTTATGGTCTTGCCGGTTTAGTCAAGGGCGTTGGCATCTCTGCGCTTGCTGATTACGACATCATTCGATCGCTGTCGACGGCTTTGGAGGATAAGAAAGACCCAAAGAAAAGACAGGGAGTTCAGTTTGCATTTGAGACGCTGTCCATGAGCCTGGGAAAGTTCTTTGAACCCTACGCGATTGAGATTCTGCCGTTTTTGTTGACGTCTCTTGGTGATGCGTCGAACGAGGTGCGGGAGGCAACCTCTGATGCTGCAAAGGAAATCATGAAGCACACCACTTCCTATGGCATCAAGCAGCTCGTACCTCTCACGCTTGACTTCTTCAACCAGAGTCAGTGGAGATCAAAGAAGGGAGCCGTTGAGTTGTTGGGTACGATGGCCTACTTGGACCCCCGCCAACTTTCAGAAAGTCTGTCTGATATCATTCCCGAGATTGTCGGCGCTCTGAACGACACGCACAAGGAGGTCCGAAAAGCGGCGAGTCAGAGTTTGCAGCGGTTCGGTGAGGTCATCAGTAACCCCGAGATTCAAACTCTGGTGCCTGTGTTGCTGAAGGCGATTAGTGATCCGACAAAGAACGTTGAGACTGCGTTGGATGCGTTACTGAAGACCTCTTTTGTGCATTATATTGATGCCCCGTCGCTTGCATTGGTAAGTAATACTTTATCCTGACTTAAAACATGATGACGGCTGACTTCTTTATTTAGATTGTGTATATCCTCAAACGAGGACTGCGAGAGCGCTCCGCGTCGACGAAGCGAAAGGCCTGTCAGATTGTCGGCAACATGGCCTCGCTGACCGACAGCAAAGACCTTCTTCCGTACCTCAACGATCTTGTGGCTGAACTCGAGATCTCGATGGTGGACCCCGTTCCCGCGACGCGCGGTACTGCTAGTCGTGCGCTTGGCTCACTGATTGAGAAGCTCGGCGAAGAGCAAATGCCTAACCTGATTCCCAAGCTTTTGAGCACTCTCCGCGCTGACAACAACGAGGGAGACAGACTTGGAGCTGCGCAGGCGCTGAGTGAGGTCATTTCCGGACTTGGAGTGCGCAAGCTCGAGGAGCTGTTGCCAGTAATCTTGAAGAACCTCGGAAGCTCAAAGCCAAACATCCGAGAGTCGTTTATGAACCTGATGGTGTTTTTGCCTGCTGCGTTTGGAAACAACTTTAGTCCTTATCTGGCGAGAGTTATTCCTCCTATTTTGGCGGGCTTGGCGGACGAGAGTGAAGTGATTAGAGATACGTCGTTGAGAGCTGGTCGCTTGATTGTCAAGAATTACGCTACTCGGGCTGGTGAGTTGACCTTATATATTTCTTATAGATGATGCATACTAACTTATACAACAGTTGATCTGCTACTTCCCGAATTGGAGCGTGGCTTGTCCGACGAAAACTACCGAATCAGACTCAGTTCGATCGAACTTACCGGCGACCTGCTGTTCCAGATCACCGGAGTCAGCAGCACGAATGCCGCAGCAGGCGACGAGGACGAGGAAGTCGACGAAGACAGCGCGGTTGGCGGCGAGGTGCACTCCAGTCTCAAAGACTTTCTTGGCGCCGAGCGTCGCGACCGCATTCTCGCACTGCTGTATCTCTGCCGGTCGGACGTCACTGCGCTTGTTCGCAACGCGGCTGTGGATGTTTGGAAAGTGCTTGTGCCCAACACCCCGCGGACGGTCAAAGATATCCTGCCGATTCTTTCGCAGCTCATCATTCGCCGACTTTCCTCGTCGGACGAGGACCAGCGCGAGAACGCGTCGCAGACGCTGTCGGAGCTGGTGCGTCGGTTTGGCGACAGCTTGCTCACGCAGGTTCTGCCGACGCTCGAAAGCGGTCTGTTCTCGAGCGACTCGGACGCGAAGCAAGGAATCTGTGTTGCGCTTTCGGAGCTTATTGAGGCTACGCCGATGAATGTGCTGGAGGTGCACGAGAACACGTTGATTGGGTTCATCCGAGGCGCGCTGGTGGATTCGGACGCCAGCGTGCGCGAGGCGGCGGCGCAGACGTTTGATACGCTGCAGGAGACGTTTGGAAACTCTGCAATCGATCAGATCCTGCCGCATCTGCTGAACCTGCTGCAGACGGCGGGCCAGTCCGAGTACGCGCTTGCGGCGCTGAAGGAGATCATGTCGTCAAAGTCGGACACGATTTTCCCGGTGCTGCTGCCGATTCTGCTAAAGTCGCCGATGACTGCGTTCAACGCGCGCGCGATGGGCTCGCTTGCGGAGGTTGCGGGATCGTCGCTGTACCGCAAGCTGCAGTCAATTATCGAGTCGATGTTTGACGAGATCATTGCGATCGACGAGAAGGCGGAGGACAAGGATGAGGAAGACGAGGAGACGAAGCAGGCGTTGAATGACGCGATCGATACGATTGTCAAGTCTGTTGACGAGGACGAGGACGGGATCGAGCTTGTTTCGGATATCTTTTTGGAGTTGGCGGAGGACGAGGCGGCGAGCAAGCGCGCGCTCGCGTTTATCCATATGGCCGCGTTCTTTGAGACCGCAGACGGCGAGGATTACGCTGAGTTTGTGCAGCCGTGGATCACGATCGGTCTTTCGTCGCTGTCGGACGAAGACAGCGAGGTTGTTGCCGCGGCGTGGAAGTGTCTGTCGACGGTGGTGAGCAAGCTGCCAAAGGAGGCGCTTCTAGACCTCGTGATCCCGACCTCGAAGCAGCTGCGCACGCTGCCTTCCTCGGTCGCCGGGTTCGCGCTCGCCAAGGGTCCGAACGCGATCCTACCGATCTGCTCGCAAGGTCTGATGTACGGCACGACCGAGCAGCGCGAATACGGCGCCAGGGGAATCGGCTACATAGTCGAGCGCACCCCAGCCGACATCCTGCGCCCGTTCGTGACGCTGATGGTCGGCCCCTTGATCCGCACTGTGGGCGAGCGGTTCCCGTCTGAAGTCAAGGTCGCGATCTTGGACACGCTTGCGGTGATGTTGAGTAAGATCCCGGCGTTCTTGAGACCGTTTTTGCCGCAGTTGCAGCGGACGTTTACAAAGTCGCTCGCGGACGCGGGGAGTGGTGAGGAATTGCAGCGGAGCGCGCAGAAGGCGTTGGATGTGTTGACGGCCGTGCAGCAGGCCGCGAAGAAGTAAGAAGTAAATAAGGCTAGCAAGGTGTATATCTTTTCACAGTTTATAGTATATAATATATCAATGTCATTTCTATAGTTGTCTCTCGGAAAGAAAAAAGATGCGCTGGACGAACGCTTGATCGGGTCAACGTTGACGAGACCTAACCCGCAGAGAATGTAAAAGTCTACGCCAAGGTTTCAACTTTAAAGAACGCGTGAGTGACGCGTCGGGTTTTTTGGTCCAGGAGCTGCGGTGGGGCGTGTGCTGGAGATGGTAGGTTTATAAGCTTGGAAAAGGGTGAAGAGGTCTGAGGGGATGGTATGGAGGAAGAGCTGTGGAGGACGTAGAAGGAGGAGAGGAAGTAGAAAAGGAGGGAGGTCGGTTTTAGGAAAATGGGAAGGTTGAGAGAGAGACCTAACCCGACGGTAAGGGGTACGCCGAGAAATCGAAAATGTGTTGATTTTGAGATGGAGGAGGGGAGTAAGCTGTGATTTTGAGAGTGTCGGGGTGAATGAGAGAGAGAAGAAAAGGGGAGAAGGGGAGGTGTGTGTTGGAGCATGGAGGAGGAGGAGGAGGTGGTGGTGGTGGTGATCAACTGCTGCTACTGCTGGGTGTTCAATACGCACCCCCCCCCCCCCCCTCGTCGGGACTTGCTTCCTCCTGAACTCATTCGTTACCTGAAGTTTCTTCCCGTCCAAGCACAGACGCCGTCTTCGCACGGAGAACAAGAAAGAAAGAAAGGAGCTTGTCGGAATTGATGATGCGCGTCGTCACATCTATTGATGTAGACGGTGGTCACATTCTGGGTCGTCGTGGAGTGGACGTCACATTCCCTCTCTGTGTAGACTACTGAAAACACGACATATTTCAAAATATACACTCAATTCGATAAAAACGTTATTTTTTACTATTGTCACATAAAAAGTCTTTTCAAACATCAAATATAAACACTCGAAACAGAACAAAACAAACACATGTAACGTTGAGAGACTTTGAGAAAGACAGAAAAGAAGAGGTAATACATGAACTTTGGAAACACACTAAGTGTGGCAAAGGGGGGTCATCAAATGGGTGGAGGAGGTCATCAGCGTACGTAACAAAACAAATAAAAACAAGAAGTGCAAACACTGGAAAGAACAAAGAAGTGCCACAGACAGACCAAGAAATGGGGGGTGGGACGGACATAAAAAACAGACATATTGAACATGAGAGGGGAAAATAGAAATAAGAAAACATCAGACACTTTCGTCATTACGCCTTTAGCAAGCCGCGCTACCAATAAATTTACTAAACCATCGACAAAAAATAAAAAGAGTGAAAAATGAACAGAACAAGCAGGTGGTGGAGATTAGATTACCACAGCAGCAACTCGTCCTCGTTCGTGTAGATCTCGGTGATATGACTCGACGACGCGCCGTCGGCTTCCGAAGACATCGTCGGGTCACACTCGATCCACGTCCCCAGCGGCAACGAGTCCTGCGCTTGCGCCTGCTGCTGCGCCTGCTGCTGTACCTGCTGTTGTTGCACCTGCTGCTGGGCTTGCTGCTGGGCGGCAACCGCGCCCTCGTCGATGTACGCCGGATTCACGCTCTGCTGGATCTGCGAGCGCGACATTGGCATCATGCGCAGGAAATTCGGGTTTGTAAACATCATGCTCATGTTTCCCGACGCCATCGACGCCGGCATCTCCGCCGCGCTCGGAATCGTCGTCGTCTGTTGCGGTGTGGCCGCCGGCTGTCGGTGCAGGTGGTGGTCGTGCCCGTGCGTCTCGGTCGGCGACAGGAACGGGCTCTGGTTGTGGTGGTGGTGGTGATGTTGCTGTGCGAGCAGGTGCTGGTCCGTCAGGATCATGCCTCCGTTCTCGATCGGCGAGCTGTCGAGCGGCGACACGGGTGCTTCGACCTTCGGCGTAGGCGACGGATGGCCGTGGAACGACGACGCCGGGGTTTGCTGCTGCGACGACACGACCAGCGACGGATGATGGTGCGACGAGGTCGACCCCCGCGAGCCCGGGTGCGCGCCAGGCCGGGTCACGGCCGGCGGCTGCGACATTGGGGTGAGTTGGCCGGCGGCGTTGCGCATGCTGTTGACCGGGGTGGTGGTGCTTGAAGGCAGAGGCGGGCGGCGGGCCGCGCTCGAGAGGGAGGATTTCGGGGCGTTGTTGGGGCCGGTTGGGCTGGTGAAGAGGAGGGGCATCGTCGAGTTTTGCGTGGAGGTCGGGGTGTCTGACACGAGGTTCATGACTGCGACGCGTCGTTAGCCATGAACTTCATTTATTCAACGTAAGAAACAAAGAAAGCACATACACTCGTGGTCATCTTTGAGCAGATGCTTCAAAACCTGGATATGACTGGAGACCTGTTTTCTGGTCCTCACTTTGCCGGTCTTGCGCAGAATGTAATCGGAAATCAACTCGTTCCTGCCACACGGTCTGCCATTCACCGTGATCTTTCTGCGGCCGACCTTTGGGATTTTCTTGATGGCTGTAGAGACGTGAAGTTAGCTCTAGCTCACATGAGTTTGAAAGAATTAGAGAAAAAAGAGAGCATACCCTCCATAAAAGCCTCCTCAACGTCAGAGCTCCAGATCGAGTTCCCATCATCGCCATTCTCGCGTCGCTGCCGCGCAAGATACGCGCCGTAAGCAGGTAGATCAGAAAGCGACTTCTCCATCGACACCGACGACGGCAACCTCCCCGGCGTCTGGAACGGCATCAGATCCGCGCGTCGCTGCTGGTGCTGCTGCGGCTGGTGCTGGTGCTGCTGGAGTTGGTGCTGCTGGTGGTGCAGGTGCTGGGTGTACATGCGCATGCCCATGTTTGACGGCAGCGCGGGAGCGGAGATGGTGTGCTCCATCATAGGCGCCATGGTCGGTTCGATCGCCGACGACGGACCAAAGAAGTCCTCCTCATCATCATCATCGTCCGAGCGACGACCACCAAACCCACCTCCGAGCGCGTGATGCGAATAATTGATCGACGACGCGGCCGAGGTCGAGAACGAGCGCGCGAGCCGGGGCCGTTTCGCGGCCGCGTTCTCGGCAGGGGACGAGTAGAGCGTGTCGGAAGCGCCGAGGGACGAGAAGACGGTGCGCGGCGTGGTGAGCTGGTGCGGGCCGAGCAAGGAGGTGTTGAGCGCGGACGCGTGGTCGTCGTCGTCGGAGATGGGGGAGGTGGCGAGCGAGCGCGAGCGTTTGAGGGTGACTGCGGGATGCAGGTGGGGGGAGATGTCTGCGATCTGCTGTGGTTGTTGCTGTTGCTGCTGCTGCTGCTGCTGCTGCTGCTGTTGCTGTTGTTGCTGTTGTGATTGGGCGTTGTCTTCTAAACGTCTCCGGGGAGCGGTGGTAGGCGGAGTGATGTTGAAGAGCGAGGGCATGAGGTTTGAAGACGGCGTCTCGAGATTTCCGAGCTGTTCAGGCTTGACGATAGTCTGCTCGCCGTCGTAGTACGCGGACGAGGACTGCCGCGTAGCAAGCGGAGTGCGTTGCGGGGAGAGAGGCATCATGCTCGGGAACCACGAGGGGGGCTAGGGAAGGGGGTGTGGACGGAGGATGAGCGGAGGGAGCGGCAGGGGCGGTAAGGGGCCGATACGCGTCGGAAGAAGAAGCGCGTAGGGAGAGGAAGGCAACGAGCGACTATGACCGCGGAGGAGGAGAGAGAAGGGGGAGGAAGAGGGAATCGCGTGAATGGGTGCGCGACGGGCGGAGGAGAGGCGCGGGTGGAAAGGAGGGAGGAAGGCGCAGATCAGGGAGGAGGCAGGGGGGATACGGTGAAAGGAGTGGCACCGTTGTAAAGAGGAGAGAGAGAAGAAGAAGAGGAGAGAGCGAGAGAGGAAAGAAGAGGAAGGGTGGATGGAGATATAAGAGAAAGAGGGAGGAAGGAGGATGGGGAGGAAGAGGAAGAGGAGGAGCGGAGGAGAGGCAAGAAAAGAGAGCGGAGGGTGAATTAAGGGAGTCGAGCAAAGGGCTGCTGGTGCCGGACCCGACTCTGAGTTCGCTGCGTCAACACCGCGTCCAGCGTGTTCTGGCTCGCCTTTGATTTATTGAAGACTGATTCTATTTGTGTTTTGTATTAGTATTTATTACTCACTATCTCTTTACTCTGAATACTTTACTCCGACTACCCGCTCTTTTCTACAACTACACGCTGCTCGCGCTATCCAGGGGCGGGTCACCCGGCAGCCTTCTCTAAACCTTCTTCGCGCGCGTACTGCATAAACACCCTCTCCACTCCTCTTTTTATAAAACAAAAAAACCAGCAATCACAATTACAATCTACAATCACTTCCACAACAAAATACAGATCTCTCAAAAGCCACGCGCCCGCGACAATTGCGCGCGCGCCGGGGTCGTGTAGTGTTCGCGCACTGAACGCGCGCGCGTTGGGCTTCTACGCGTCGTTAGTGAGCTCGGCGGTGTCGCTATACTCGAGCCGCACTGCGCGCGTTGGTCACTATCAACATCCTTCCTGATTAGTGATTAGTTGTACGATATTTGTGGAGGTTTGTATCTGTATATGATTGCAGATATATATTTATTGTTTGTTGCTCTTTGGTTAATTGCATTGACTTCTATTTGATACCTCTGCACACGTAGAGATCATAGGGAAGGGTGCTGCCGTGCTGCCCCGCCTTCTGATACTTTCGTCTGGTAATCACTGGTAATCACACTGCTTCGTCTGAATGCTGAATGCATTGCTGGGTGCTGAGACTGAAGATAGAATACCTCGTTTGAGTCTACTTGTCTGTACAGTTATTCTTGCTCACATTCAGTACACGTCCATTACATATTCACTATACACACTCACTACACACTACACACTACACACTACACACTACACACTACACACTGAACACTGACAAATCAAACGCCTCCCCCTTTCCCTTCTAGCTCCTAATATACAAGATAAGCCCACTCCTAATACACAATCTAATACACAAACAGAATAGAAATTAAAAAACAGCAATATAAAAACTCAGGGGAAACTAATAGCCAAATACAGCCACCAGCAACTCCGGATCGACAAGCTCGCTCGCGACCCGCGTCATCATCGCATTAGATGAAGCAGCCCGCTCGTCCGCGATCCCCATCGACACATCTCCGTCTCCGTCGCCGTTGCTGTTGCTGTCGCCGTCGCCGTCGCCCATTTCCTCGTCGGTGTCGACGTGGATCACAAGGAGGGCGGGGTGTGATGGTTTGGAGGTGGCTGGACGCGGGGGGTGAGGTTTCCGCGGACTTGTATTTGTGAGCGTGTCGCGCAGCATATCGTCAGCCTTGCGTTTCCGCGGAGATGAAGATAAAGCAGCAAGTTTTGCAGGAGCTGTTAAGGAGGAGGAGGAGGGTGATGGTACAGGATCTGTGAATGCGAGAAAGCTGGTGGGTGAGCCGGTGTAGACTTCTTCCGAGGGTGCTGATGTTGAAGTCGACTGGGTTTGTCTGGTCCTTCTAGTTGACTTTCTCGCTGGTGTGTGCTGATGGTGATCAGATTGAATGCGTCGCTTTTTCAACCGACGCGCTTGTTCGTATATATCCGAATGATCATCTTTACTGTTGTTGCTGTCAAGGGTGATGAGGCGAGGGGCGGCGACGCGGTCGAGATCCATAGCGCATGCATCTGAGAGAGAGAGTAAAGAGTGACGAGGAAGTGTGGTGTTGAGCAGGGAGTGTGAACGGGGCGATAGTATTGCTTCATCTGTGGTGGATTGTGAAGAGAGATGGAAGGCGGATGTGGATGTGGATGTTCTTGCGGATGTCTGTCTGAAGGTGAACCTGGTGCCTGCCCAGGGTTGCTGTGCGGAGTCTGTGCTGTCTGTTTTCTTCCCCGACATCACGACGACAGATTCAACAATCAGTGTAGAAGATGCAGATCTAGAGGATGAGAAGAGTAGTGGAGGGGCGCGGGGCAGGTCGTCGGGTTGTGGTTTCTTGAAGAGGATGTAAACAAAGCATTGAAACCTTAAACGGGCGAATTTCCGGAAACGGACGTGTGACATTAAAATATTAAATCAGCTTCTTGTTGTTCTCTTCTTTTTTGATCTGCTCTCTACTCTACATTTGTTGATTATTGTTTACTGCAACTACTTGAATATGCCTCCCAAATCAACCTCAACCCCGAAGAAACGCGCAAGCCCGACGAAGCAGCCCGCAAAGCAGCCCGCAAAGCAGCAGCCCGCGGCAACTCCCTCGACGCGATCAAAGGCTAAACCCACCGAGATCGCAAAGACCACTGCGAGTACTGCAGCAGCACCCGCGCCCAAGAAACGCGCTGCTTCAAAGAGCAAGAGTCCGACGCCGACGGAGACGCAGGTGGCAGAGTCTGCGACTACGACTGCGCCGGAGACGGCGAGGGTGCCGAACGCGGAGCTGTACCGCAAGCAAATTGTTCCGTCGGTGATTATCCTTGTTGTCGCGGCTTTGGTGTATTTTGTGGTGACGAAGGTGGATGTGGAGGGGTATTATCAGCGAGCGGTGTTGGTTGGAGGAGGGCATTATAAGAAGGCGATGCTGGTTGGAGAAGGGTATTATAAGAAGGCGGTGCTGGTTGGGGAGGGATATTATAAGAAGGCGAAGTTGGTTGTGAAGGAGAGACTGCAGTGAGCAGAGATGAGATCAGGTGAGAAGCAGTGAGATGTACGATATCGATCTGTGTTGAGAGATAGTAATAGTATTGCAACATATGCTATTGTAGTTATTGTAACTTATCATGTAAGTAGTCAACTGACTATATTCATACTATGACAGTAATCATAGCAACCACCGGAAAAGCCTTGATGTGGCTTTGATGCGGCACAGTTTCGGAGAAGACTCAGCTCGCTTGGTCGGAGAAGAGAGGTCTTTGCTCTCTTTGTCTGATATCTAGAACTGTTTGATGATCTTAGGTGTTTATATCTTGTGAATATGTTCTTATATCTGGATTGAATATAACAACACTCATTAATTATATCCGGCAGAAGCGGCGGCAGCCAAGACGGCGATATGTCCGGTCGAGAGCAAAGAGAATGATACACAACATACAATAGCTGCATACAATTACTACATTCTACATTCTACATTCTACATATCAATAACAACGTCATAAACAAGTATAATAATATTCATGATATCATCTCTCATAACCACCTCCAATCTCTTCTCACAAACCATCACGCATTCGTCATCGGCTACGAAGCCCGCTGCCCGAAACCTTTTTTTTTTATTTTTTCTTTTTTCTGTTTTTCCGTGCGCCTCCGTCGACTGGACTAAACCTGTTTTTGTAGTCGTTGATTGTGGTCATAGTTGTTGTATTGTTGTTTGTGCTTATAGAGATATAGTCAATTAGTAGATTGTCATTAGATATAGCAGACATAGTAAAGAAGAGAATAGATACAACACCTGAACACTCTTCGTGGTGTACCGCAGACCCCTCCTCGCCGCACCCCGCCTTCACTTATCCTCGACCACTTTCTCTTCTTCTTCCTCTCTTCACCTCTTCTCTTCTTCCTCTCCTCATCACCTCTTCGTCACCTCTTCTCCTCTCCCCTTCATCTCCTCTCTCCTGCTCATCTCCTCCTTCTCCTCTCTCTCCTCCCGATCTAGATGTCTAGATCCCAGCTCTTCCTCTCCTCCAGTCTCAGCTCCCCCATTCTCCCCACTCTGCGACCCTCTCTTTTATCTCATTGACTTCTTTGCACCTCATCTGCAACAGTCACTCGTTAAAACAAATATCGCAACTACTACACCACCCTGACCATCAGTCAACCTCACCAACGCTCTCTCTCTTGGCCCCCCACGCCTCCGATCCACCTCCTCATCCACCATGTCGGGCATGACCGTCGGCGCCTCCATCTTCGTCGCCGTTAAACCCATCGTCAAAATCTGTCTCTCCGTCTTCCCCGGCGTCTACTTCTCCAAGAAAAGTATCCCCTCCTCTCTCTTCTCTCTCCCCTCACTGCTCTTACTATGCTAACATGACTCTTAGATGTCCTCGACATCCACACCAGCAAAAAAGTCTCCTCCATGCTCATCAACTACTTCCTCCCCTGCATCGTCTTCAACAAAGTCGTCAACGCATTCGACTCCGGCACCATGCGCACCGTCGGCGTCTGCGTCCTCGCCTCCGTGCTCTACATCGCCGCCGGCATAGTCTACTCGTACGTCTTCCCCCTCCTCTCTCTCTCTCTCCACATACTAACTCCACCCAGATTCGTCCTCCGACTATTCACACCCGTACCTAAATACTGGCGCGGCGGCTCGGCCGTAGCTTCCATCTTCAACAACGCGGGTGACATCCCCATGGCCTACGTCATGACCATCACCGCAAACTCGCCATTCAAAGACGGCGACGAGACAAAAGGCATCGCCTACGTCTCCGTCATGATGTCGGTCTACGTCGCCGCGCTCTTTGCATGCGGCTCCGTCCAGCTGATTGAAGATGACTTTGACTACCCGCTTTCTGAAATCGACCTCGAGCTCGCGCAAAAGTCGACATCCACGACGGCGCCAAAGTCGAGCAAGAGTCAGAGACTGAGGAATATGCTCAGACGCAAGACATCCTCGTCCGACGCAGAGGAAAAGGAAAACGAGAAATCAGAGTGCGAGACGCAGCCAGAAATGCCGACCGGGCGCGCGAACCCGATCCTCGCTCGCACGAGCGCGCTGCAGGCAGCCGACTCGAACGAGCTGCGGCCGACGGACTCCCCCGGCGTGAGATCGATCCGGCAGCGGCTGCGGCGGACGCAGGAAGAGTACGAGCCACAAGATGATGAAGACGACGACGGTGACGCGCTTGATCCTGTCGTCAGCGCTGTGACGGCCGAGATTGTGCATCATGAGGCGCATAATGTCGTCTTAGCCCGGCTTATCATCTTTTTGCGAAACCTGTACCAGCCCCCGACCGCCTCTCTCATTGTCTCGATCGTGGTCGCGGTGATTAACCCAATCAAAGCGCTGTTCGTGCAGACCGACTACAACATGCGCCAAGCGCCCGACGGCCAGCCGCCGCTCGATTTTGTGATGGACTTCACCGAGTTCATCGGCAACGCGTGCGTGCCGTTCGGTCTCCTGCTTCTCGGCGGCATGATCGGCCGTCTGTCAATCAAATCCCTCCCGCGCGGATTCTGGAAATACCTCGTCTCGATCGTCCTTCTAAAACTAGTCGTAACCCCCATCATCGCGATCGCATTCACGCAAGGCCTGCGCAAAGCCAACGTGATTGACAGCGACAACCTCGTGCTTGCCTTTGTCTTTATCATGTCCTCCGGCGTTCCGAGCTCGACCTCGCAGGTCTACCTGACCTCCTTCTTCGCGCCTGAGGATATGGAGCATATTCCGCAGATGGATTGTCTTGCCGCGTGTTTGATTGCGCAGTACGTCGCGCTTGTGTTTACGTTGGCGATCTTAGTTACTTATACGCTGCAGATTATCATCTAACTGTCTTTTTCTGTCTTTGTGTTTGTGTTTGTGAGTTTGTTGGAGGGGTTGGTATGAGTTTTGATTTGGATGGGAATGGCAAGTCGTTCATGATCTCAATGTTTGCTTCTGCTTTTGTCTTTGCTTTTGTCTTTGTTTTTGTTGTTGCTTTTTATTATTCACAAGGATGGCATGGTATTCTTCTTCATCTTCAGTTCTTCTATATATGCGTTTAGTTACTTTCAAGATTTTTTAAAAAATACGGAGATAGTAGAAGAGGAGGGAGAGTAGATGCGGAAAAGGGAAATCTGTCGCGTGCGCAAAGTCTCTCCTACAAAATCTGGATTCTTGAGCACTTCTCTACTCTACTCTACACCACCACAACCCTCACCTCACCTCACCTCACCTCACCTCACCAACATCCACCAACAGCATCACCAACAATCAACACCCAACAAAACCAAAAAGCTACAAACCACCCTTTTCCGGCGCCGCTCCGCTCCGCCAACGCCAACGTCTTATCGGCCCTGGCCACGCTGCGCTTATCGGAAACCTTAAATGCGGAAGCCCGTGCGCGGGAGACTAAGCGGAAGGAGGAAAGGATGACGACGACGGCGGGTGGTTTGCACCGCAGGTTTGATTGGGATTGTGTGGTGAATGTGGATTATAGATGAGGGTTGTAGGAGGAAAATAAGGAAAAAGGAGATGAAGAAGAAGTGCTGGGAAAGATATGAAGGAGTGGTTTATTCAAAGTGAGAGCAAGCAAGTGAAAAGAAGTAAAAGTAGACTAAAACCACGTCGAACGTCGTCATCGCTAGCAGACAATGACGTGCTCTTCTACTTTTATTTCTACTTTTCTGCAAAAGGAAGGTTTTTCTCGTTCTGTGAGAGTTGTTTCGTTCTGGAGAGAGTGAGATGATGATGATGATAAATCTCTGTATCAAGGGAGAGAGTGAGATGGAAGATAGGAGATGGAGAGAGAACAGAGGTATAGAGAAGAGTGAGGTGATGGGGCGTCGTGTGGGTATCGGAAATCAAAGGGTCGGTTGGTTAGTTAGTTAGACCCTCGTCGTCTGCGAAAGTGTTTTCTGGTCTTTGCTAGTGGTCAGCCATTGCACAACGATTCAACGCAAGAAAAACGCAACTAGATAAAGCGGTAGCGCGGATTTTAAATGTTGATGTGCTGTGTTGATCTGACGCTTGCAAAAGTTGGTTTACTTGTCTTTTCTGGTGAGCTATCCAGCGGCAATCAATCAAAGCGAGAGAAACGCAACAACCTCTCTCTCTTTTGAATAAACAGTAGCGCGTAAATCGTGGTGTTGTGCTTATAAACGAGCTTGTTGGGAACTTATCGACGAGCTTGCGGGAATATATCTGACGGTCGATAGACTCGCTTCATCATTGCAAAAAGAGATGGTATGGCTGTCTGGATGATTATCCTCTTCTGCGATTTCGGAGAAGTGTTGTTGCTGTGTCGTGTTGCTGATGAATAACTCTCATCAATCCATTCGATCTTCAAACTCCGACGCATCCTTTGTAAACGCCTTGTCGATCAACTGCACTCATTACCACCCCGCCTTTGCATCTGCTGATACTCTCCGTCCGCGCGAGGGTATACGCAGTGCAATACGGTATCATGCCATCATGCCTTCAAAAATTCCATTCGTCGCTGTATCTTTGCAAAGATAGAGTCTAAATCTCATGATTTCATAAAGTGGGCAGACGGATGCCGCCTTTTTCAAGCATATCAGCAGAGCGCCGACTTCTCTCTCAAGATAGAGAGATAGATAGATAGATAGATAGATAGGCAAGGCAGACTAGCTTATCATCTGCTGATGTTTGTTTGCGTTCGCTGGGGGTAGCTTGCGGTACGGTATCATACCATCATGCCTTCGAAATCTCTTGTCGTCGCTGCATCATTGCAAAGATAGGATGTGAATCTCATGATTTTACAAAGTGGGCTGACGGATGACGCCTTTTAAGATATAGAATATCAGCAGGGCAGCCATCCTCACTCCCTATCTCAATAGATAGAGAGATAGAGAGATAGAGAGATAGATGGACGGGTGGATAGATAGGCAATGCAAGAAGATAAGCGATAAGATTAGATCCTCCCGCGCTCCGGACGTGGACGCACGCCACCCGACTGCCGAAGAAAAATAGAATGGTCAATGATAAGATAAGACCGACGGCGGCGGCGGTGGAAGTTGTGGTGGTGTGCAAGGTATGGTGTGCTTGCGGAGTTTAGATAGATAGATAGATAGATAGATAGATGGAAGAGATAACAAATGTCAGCGTAAGAGCGCTGGGTAACCGGCACCGCAAGGAATCCAGAACGAGGCGGAGGAATGCGAATTCCTATCATGACCTCGGGATACGCTATTACTGCTGCTGCCACCAGCCAGATAGCAGCAAGCCGACACATCCGACGCCGAGCATGCCACCGAGCAGCAGCCGAGAGATAACGAGCGCACGGGATGCAGATCAGAGGCAGAGCATGCCAATCATGGGCTTTTCGAACGCCGCTCCGGGCATGGCATGGCGTCAGCGGACGGACGACGATAGGGAGTGCGTGCACGTGCGGCGTCTGGATTCTTTTGCTCTTTTGCTCTGGTGATTTCTTCTCTGACTTGCTGCGACCTGAATCTCAGTGTTGGAAGTCAATGTTATGTAGATATATTGGCTGATAAATGTAACCACTCAACAAATCGGAAAATCAGTCGTCTACAGAGATGTGGGAGGGGGGAGGAGCGGCGCTTACTAAGCCAGAGCCAGGGAAAACACATCCAAAACGAGCAATCAAGTGAAGCGAAGCACTTGCCATCTCTGTTTGTTTATATTTATTCACAGCGAGCGGATTATAATCAGATTGTGCATGCAGCCGTAGATAAGAAACCCGGAGGCCGGGGCGGAGCGGACCGCGGAATAGTTTCTCCGGGGGCAGGAGACAGAGATGGACTGGGCGTCGGGGTATCGGCTCGGGTGAGAGGGAAAGATGTGTGATGAGATAGAGAGAGAGAGATAGGAGGTGAGCGGGAGGCCATGACTGTGAGCAGAGATAGAGATATCAGGAAGAGATAGGAGAGATGGATGCCGCAGGCACGATATCGGCGAGCGAGATGGACGATAGACAGATAGGAGAGATAGAGAGGAAAGGAAGAGAGGTATATGAATGGAAGGGACCGCCGGCCTCGAAAGGGCTACAATATCACTTCTCAGCACAGGACTGATGATCATGAGCAGAGATGGCGCAATAACAGATCAGATAACACAGGGGTCCTTTACCGATTCGGGCGTGGATAACTCTCTCTACTAAATATAGCTATGGCGAGGATAGGATTCGAGGTGATGAGGAAGACGGTCTGCGCACAGAAGTCGTGAGTCAGAAGCGCCACAGCTGTCAGGTCCAGGAATCTTCACTTTGGATGAGTCAGGTGGTGTCACTGCTGTCTCTGTCTGTCTCTGTCTGTCTCTGTCTGTCTCTGTCTGTCTCTGTCTGTTGTCTACGCTGCTGCTTCTTGCAATATCATTCATCATCAATAACAATTATCTACATAAACAAACCATGACAAAAACATTGAATCTCCCTCGGGCATCCCCGACCTCCCCCTCCTCCACCACCTCCTCGATCGTCGCCGTAAACCATCGCCGAGCAGCGCCGCGCGCGTCGGTTCGGACGCGTAGAATGAAAGTTGTGAGAAAATCAGAAAGTCAGAAAGCCTAGAGAGAGAGTTAGAGAGAGAGGCAGCAAGGGAGGGAGAAAAATTTGGTGCTGCGCCCTGTCCACGTTTTCATTTTTGGAAGTTTCTTGGATGCTGCTGCTGTTTCTTCTATTCCTGCTGCTGCTGCTGCATTACCTGTTGCAGCTATAACAAAAGCAGCTAGCTATCTACGCACCGTTGTTATAATTACCAAATCCGAACAACAACGCATAAACCACCATACACACTACCAGTCTAGACCCTCTCTTGACACTTTACACTTTACTCTGCAGTCTGCACTGCACGGCAACCATCAAGGTGTGGAAAGCAAAGTTAAGAACGCGAACGGACGAGCCAAGCGAGGAGGTGTGGATGATGTGCACGCACGGCCGAGGCGGGAAAAATTTTTTTGGGTGCTGCTGCTGCTGCGGATGCTGCTGGTGGTGGTTGAGTAGATGTGGAAGGTGGATGTGTGGTGATGTCGCAGATCTGATCGATCTCTCATCATCATCATCATCATCAACCTCAATATCAGCAGCAACAACAAACTAGATCAGCAACAACAACAACATCATCATCATCATCATCATCAAGATCATGAGCAACGAAAAAAATGGCGTATGTGGTTGTCGAATATACGCACAAAATGCCGATGAGATGACGCAATTAAACCCTTTTCCCGCCTGGTTCCTGAACCGACCCTGGACAGCTCGCCGCCCGGCCTATTTGAGGAACACTACTTCAGTGTCATTTTATGTGATTTGCGTGGTTATGAGGGATATGATGAGACTGCTGTTTATGAGATGTGGTGATTAATGATATTATAGATGACTATTTTCCCTTGCATAACTAATGATAGCAAAACTAACAAGAAAACATTTTGTGCCAGCATTTTTAGTACTCTAACGCCGGTTATCAAACAAACAGAAACAGAAACAAAAACAATCCAGGTCCCAAACGCCTCATTAAACAATTAACAACAATAAAGAAGATTCATATCACTACATGACCATGTGCTCGACATCCTGGTTGGTGTCAATGTAGTCATACCCAGGCGGCGAGATCGGCACATCGTCATAGGTAGGCGGCACCTCGTCGTCCCACGAGATTCCCAGCCCGCCCCGCTCAGTCAGATCGACAGCAAACTGCATCCGCAGAATCCGCGCCGCTCCTGTAGGCGTCGTAGCGTGCTGGCCTGTCGCAGGCAGATGTTCCTCCGAAACCAGCATCTCGACAACAAGCAAATGCTCAACCGAGAAGCCAATGTCCGGCACGGCAACGTTGCAGGCGACCGGTAGACTGACTTCGTCGGCAAACGTCGACACAGGAACCTCAAGCTCGATCTGGCCGTCGTTTGAGAAATCAGTCTTCCATCCCCGACGGATCTCGCCCGAGGAAATCCCCCGCACGTCGTCGAGCGGCGTCGTGGAAGACATGTGGTTCTTGCACACCGACTGCTTGGTCTTTGCCGTCTCGTTGAGCACCCAGTTGAGCTTGCGCAGCGTCCACCGCGTGCGCTTCTCGCGGTTCACGAGGTTGTTGACTTGCAGGGTGAGATTTAACTCTGACTTTGGGAAGCAGATCGCGGGCAGGGAGGCAGTGACGTTGAGGAGAGTAGGTGGGAACACGCGCAGACAGCGGCGGATGTCGGTCGAGGGCACAGAGCGAAAGACCGAGATCGACCGCACGAGGGTGATCGGCCGGAGGTCTTTGGCGAGCGGCACGGCGACCGCGCGCAGGTGGTAGGAGATGCCGACGAGCGCGGAGGCGGTCGAGGCAGGCATGTCGCCCGGGAGCAGGTGCGAGAACGGGTACCCGTACTCTGATCGCGGGAGGGTGGTGTCGTGCGAGAGCAGGTCCCACCGCTTGAGCACGTTGGTCTGCTTGATACAGGACTTGCAGGAGGGCGAGACCGGCCGCTTGAACGAGATCTCCTGGACGAGCTCGAGGGTGACGGACGACATGGGGACGGCGTAGGCGTTGACGTAGAGGAAGAGTAGGCCGGAGAGGAGGGCTCCCGTTGACTGCTCGCGCGTGCCGTAGCAGATCAGCGGGGGGACTCGATCACGAGGTTGAATTCGATGGGACGGGGCGCGGGAGCGGTCTTTGCGGCCGAGACGACCGCGCGCGCGGGCGAGGATCCGCGACGAGGCTCGGGCTTCGCCGGGAGCAGGACAGGGGAGTATGATGGAGGGGCGCGAATGGATGGCATTGTAGATAGAAATCTGTGAGTGAGGGGAGAGGAGGAAGAAAGAAAGAAAGAGTAATGATATATGACAACAACAACAGAACAGAACAGAACAGGCGGACGTCGGGTTTATATATGTGTTCCAGGCGAGGGACGAGATCGCGTGAGTTGAGGAGGAGGGGAAAAATCGAGAGAGGCGGGAATGGAACCGGTTTCAAAGAAAAGTAAAAGAGAAAAAGTAGAGTTCAATGAAAGGAAGCCGCCGGCGCCCGAAGAGGAAAGCGGCCGAGGCGCCGGCGCCACCGTCGCTAGAAGACTGGTGTTGAAGAGAGATGGTGATAGTAGTATTGAAGAAGAAGAAGAAGAAGAAGAAGAAGAAGAAGAAGAAGAAGAAGATAATACTACTACTTCTACTTCTACTACTTCTACTAATACACAGCAGGAAGACAGCAACAGAAGGGCAGGTGACGCACCCCGCATAGTTGTGAGCCGCACAGCCCGCGTGGCGCAGAGTTGAGACCAGGAGCAGATTTACTCTAAAAGCAATTCGATCCCGTGCGTGCGGCAGAAAGCCATTCGACGGGCAGCAGTGCAGCAGTGCAGCAGTGCAGCATTGCAGTGAGTGTTGCAGTAACTATAGTAAGTGTTGCAAAGGGTTGCAGCAGGTGTGCTGTGTATTGTAATTGTAATTGTTGTGTAGTGTGTGCTGTAGTGTACTTGTGTGTTGCTGTTGCTACTCGCTCCTACGCAATACCTAGCAGTCACTACGCTATTAACTCTCTACAAGCACGCATAATATAACAGCACAAACAACTCAGTGCTAATAATACCAAAACCAGCAAGAAAAAGACAGAAAACGAAAACAGAGAAAGTTTGCCGGGGTCTCGGCAGAGTGGAAAAAGAGAGAAAACTGCTCGCGATTTAAGGTGTGGCGCTCGTTTAAATGCATGACGGCTTGATCTGATTACTTCCTTCCTTCTTCCTCCTTGCTGTGTATAGTTGTAGATGTAGTTGTAGTTGTGGTTCTACTGTAGTCTATATTATAATAACAACTCACATCTGATATATCAACTTTCTACCACATCCATCACAGGGTGCATGCCCCCCTGCTCGGAACACCTCACAAAGCAAAATAAAAACTCACCACCAGAAATGACTAAACTAAAACCTTCACACTGCAGTCAACAGTCACATTCTACGAGAACGTGCTGCGAGAACAGAAGAGAATAGAAAGAGGGCAGTTCACTAGATTGCTCACTTGATTGAGTGTCTCCGGCTATTACATTGGCTGTATATACTGCTGTATATATCCTGCTGTATATATTACTCAACACATTACAGAACGAACAATCATCTACTATACCCCCACGCCAAGTACCAATACCCAAACCAAACTACAATAACCGGACGGTTGATTGCGGTCGCTGTCAACTTCACCTTTGCTAAAGTTCCAAATCCAGGGATGCACCCGCAACCTGTGCGCTTATTTCGCAATATTGCGCAATCCGTCGTTAGCCTCTTCTCCCTCTTATTCTTTCCTTCTTCTCTGCTTTTTTTTCCCTTAGTCTGTGTGTGTCTGTTTTTTTCATCAATTTTTTCATCATCTTTTCATCATTTTTGTTGCAGATTTTTCTGCACTAATTACAGACTAATTACAAGCGCGGTTGAAGACATGCTGCAATAGGACAAGACGGGATGGCATCACCTTTCACTCTTGTTTGCTTTTATTTTGCCATACTTTGTCTTGCTCACCTGCATCTCTGTAGTATATTTTATAGACTCCCGCTTGATCTGGCTTATGTATGGCTTGCGTATGGATCAGTTTCAATTAGAGATCACTCAGTACTCTCATCGTCAATATCCATACTGCTTCATGCTCATGCTGAAATGAAATGCCGCCGGCGCCCGCCTCTTCCCTGCCGTCAACTCACTACAACAATCTCAGATATCAACAGTTCATAAACAGTTCGGAAGATCGGCGTAAACAAACAAACAACAACCAACAATAAACACCCACAATGTCTCTCACTCCCGCCGATCTCGTCAACACCACAACCCTCGGAGATCGCCGTCCAGCCCTTTGTTCTCCCCAAGCTTACCTCATCGCCACCCTTCCTCACTCATAAGCACCCCCTCACGCTTATTCTCTCACGGCTATGTCCTACACGCGCCTGCCGTTTTGTTTACCGCTTACGCCAGCGGGCGCGCAGGGCTCTCGGGCGAAGCTTCCGCGTTCCAGCGATCGACGCGTAGGTGTCGTCGGTTCACCGCCGTCGTGGGCTGAACTAACTGAACCGGCCGGAGGCTCTAGCAGTTGTTTGTTCTGTTGGTATGACATCTGCCAGAGTTGTAGATCCTGGATCCTGATGTAGGGTCCAGAGATACAGAGTCAGATAGACAGCTGCTATATAGAACCATTCCTATTATCTGACTTAGATGTTGAAATAGTTTTAGCTTGAGTGTGTGTTGCAGACATATTCTGTCTTCTTACTCTTATTCTGATGCTTCAATCGTTTATACAGCTTCGCTTTGCAATGTTATACTGCATGCTGCATGCTGCTATGCCATCGATGCCATGATCAGTGATCTGCGGCGTTGAGCACCTACTCATCCTCACATACACAGCACAGCTACTCAAGAGACTGTCCTCTATTCCTGATGCTCTTAGACTGCTTCGACTCTTTCTCTTCTCTTCTCTTCTCTTCTTCTCTCTCTTTCCTCCTCGTCAATCCCAGATCTAGACATCTGCAGGGTCTACCAGACTCGGACCTGACAGATCCCTTTGTTCTTTCAGGGGCTTCACCGTTTTCCATCTCTCCCCCTCCTCCCCCTCTACATCTTCTTCTTCTCCTCTTCGTATTCTATCTCCTCCTCTTCTCAACTACAAATACCCTCCTTCATCTCTTCATCTCCTACTTCACCTCTCTCCTTCGGCGTTGCTCTAGGTGCTGCCTGCTGCCGACTGCCGGGAGCCGTGTGTGGCGTTTTAACCTAATCTGGACTAGCGCAGGGGTCCCTACCCGGCCACACGTCGTCATCGTCACCGTATCACCACTTCAGAAAATAGCTCTCTCACATCCACTCTCTCTCCTTCAGCACCTCTCTTCAACACCTCTCTTCAGCATCTCTCTCCAGCACCTCAATGTCTGAAGCGAGTCCCGCAGCAGCGGCCTCCGTGCCCGCGCAAACCACCCCCTCATCCCCATCCCCATCCCCCGCCCCCTCGTCCTCGTCCGACGTCCCGGCCGTGGCCCCCGACCACCTCGACGTCGACCTGATCCTGGTCTTTGACTCTGCCGGCGCCGACCTCTCCGACGAGCAAAAGACGCAAGCAGCTGCCGAAGCCGCGCTCAAAGATCTCTTGTTCTTGCTCGCGAACGCGGGCTTTGATTTCACGATCAGGGTTAATCGTCCTGGATCTGTGTTTATTTTCGTCAAGGCTTCCGATGCCGTCGTTGCTACTGCTTCGTACCAATCAGAGTGCGTGATATTCTCCTCTCTTCCTGTGTGTGATCTAGCTGCTAATATATTATTGCAGAGCTCGCGATTGGAAAATGGGCGTGCGCACGACCGTCCCTGTCGCTCCTTCTGCAACAGACGCGCAAGAGTTCTCGGTCGCCGAGAGATTACGTCTCGTGCACGATCGGCTCACAAAGCCAGAGAAGGAGAACGGGCTCGGAATCACGCCGGGTGAGGGTGATTGGGTCTATATCTCTTCGATCTTTGCTCCTCACGATCCGGCTTTTGACGTTGTATGTTTCTAATTCTCTTGCATTTAAGTTAGAATCAGAGCTAATTGTGTAGGCATGGATCAAGCGGTGGTCGAAGAAGTACGTCCTGGACGATGACGAACTCGAACTGATTCGCAACACGTTTGGTGAGAAAGTAGCGCTCTACTTTGCTTTCCTGCAGTACTACTTCAAATGGCTGCTGTTCCCCACCATCGCCGGCATCTTCGCCTACCTCTTCCTCTCGCCCTTCTCGCCCCTATTCGCACTCATCAACGCCGTCTGGTGCTGCGTCTTCGTCGAGGCCTGGAAACGCCACGAGCTCGATCTCGCAGTCAAATGGGGCGTCAAGGGCTGCTCGAACCTGCACGCGACGCGCGCGACTTTTAAAGGCGAGACCGAGCGGTCGAATCCGATCACGGGCGAGCGCGAGCAGTACTATCCGTCGTGGAAACGCGTGGTCAAGCAGTTTACTGCGATTCCGACCGCGCTGGTTGCGGGTGTGCTGCTGATGGCGCTGCAGGGCGTTGTGTTTGTGATTGAGATCTTTTTGGCGGAGATCTACGACGGCCCGCTGAAGCAGTACCTTGTGTTTCTGCCGACGGCGTTGCTGGCGACGCTTGTGCCGACTTTTACGGCGTTCTACAGTATCGTCGTGACGAAGATGACAAACTGGGAAAACCATGTGTCTGCGCACGCGTACGAGACGTCGATGACGCAAAAGATGTTTGTGCTCAACTTTTTGACCTCGTACATGGGTCTCTTTTTGTCGTCGTACGTCTACCTCCCGTTCGGCCACCTGATCGCGCCCAACATTGACTTTATCACTTCGACCGTGAAGCGCGTGGTGGGCGAGTCGGCGGCGCAGTCAAAGAAGACGTTTTCGATCAACACGCTGCGTCTGCGCCAGCAGTACATCTACTTCACCGCCACCGCGCAGGCAATTAACTTCTTTGTCGAGACGCTGCTGCCGTACATCCAGCGCCGGCTGTTCAAAGAGGCCAAGAAGCTTTCAAACAAGGTGACGGGCGCGCAGACGCTCGTGTACAACGACGACCCTGCCGAGAGCGCGTTCTTGGGCCGCGTGCGCGCGGAGGTCGAGTTTCCCGAGTACGAGGTCGACGAGGACTACCGCGAGATGATTGTGCAGTTTGGCTACCTGTCGCTGTTTTCGACGGTGTGGCCGCTCGCGCCGCTGTTTAGTTTCATCAATAACTGGGTCGAGCTGCGGGGCGACGCCGTCAAGATCTGTCTGGACACCAAGCGGCCGATTCCGAGCAAGGCGGAGTCGATCGGCGCGTGGCTTAACAATCTCTCGTTTCTGACCTGGCTCGGGTCGCTGACGACGTCGAGCCTGGTGTCGCTGTACCGCAACTCGGCGACGAGTCTCGAGTCGGGCGAGCTGGTCTCGACGAGGCCGTGGATGCTGCTCACGACCGTGCTGTTGTCGGAGCACGTCTATTTCGCGGTGCGGTACCTCGTCTCTGTGATTTTCAACGCGCTCGAAAGTCCTGTTGTGCTCGACGCGCGCAGGGAGAACTACGTTGCGCGAAGCGGCATGCTTTCCGCGACTACGCTCGAGACCGAGAACGAGAAGGAGCAGGAGGTTGCGGAGGACGTGCGCGAGTCGTGGAGAGCGAAGGTGCAGGACGCGGTGGTGGTGTTTGGGAGTTCGTTGGAGCTCAAGACCGAGGCCGAGAAGAAGGAGGAGTAGATAGATTTAGACAATGTAGTTTCATACATCACGTTGGTCAGGGGATTGGGAAGGAGGTAAACAGTGCTGTAGTGTGCTGGTCACGTGCTGTCTCTCCGATAGTGTTTTTGAGTAGAGGAGACTGTGAATGTAGATGTCGATGTAGTTCTTGTGGTTCTTGTAGTTCTTGTTGTTACTGTAGTTACTGTAGTTATTGCAGTTATTGCAGTTGCTTTTGCCTTGTCTATATCCGCTTCCATGACAGAAAGACGCAGCAGGCCGGACCTCATTGTCTGCTCTCGAACCGGACAAAGAGAAAGCTTATCTGAAGGGGCTCACTGAGTAATCACAGCTGCACAGATACAGTAAGCATTTGATAATCATAGTACAATATATTACTAACCACATATTAATCCTGACTAACCAGAGAGGCTGTGTCTGGGCGCACTTTTTTGCGTCCGATGAACCTGCTCCCAATCGACACTCGTCCTCGTCCTCGTCTTCACCACATCCTCATCCTCATCTCCTCGTCCATCACCAACTCCTCTCTGCCCTCTCTCCTCTCCTCCTTGGGCGCGTGTGCCTTCTGAACTTCTCTGCAGTGCTTCCCAGCAGCGTCTCCTGTCCACAATGTCGACGGCCTCGCATCTGCATCAAATGTTCGCGGCCTCCCGACCCCGGACTCGCGACCCAGTCCGTCTTTTCGTGCTTCAGCTTGTCCTCCTCCTCGCCCTCTTCTCCCGCCATGTCTCTGCGTCGCCTATTCTTGAAGTCGGAGTCTCCTCCTCTGCCTCCTCTCTATCCTCCTCAGCAACGACCACCACCTCATCCTCCTCAACCCTCACGCTCGCATCGGCTATTACAGTAGGCTCCAGCACCTCCTCGCTCGCCATCGCAGGCTCGAACGCAACCGCAGGCTACGGCACCGCCTACCAGATAAACATCGTCAGCGACTCCCTCTCGCTCGACTACACCGTGCCCGTCAACCCATTGACCGTCGATGCATCCAGAGTCGGTAGTTCGGTACGTTTGTTCTTTGTTCTGCCGGCGTCGTCATGATGCAAAAATAGAAAAAAAAGTTGAATCTTCTCCATTCTCATGAACAGCACTAACTATCCCGCAGAACATCACATACTACGGCGAGATCGTCCCGTTCTACGCAAACTCCTCCATCCAGCTCAACGACTCCCTCATCGCCTACATCTCCTGCGACGATTCCTCCGCCGGCCTCGCCGTCGCCCAGGCATCGAACTACAACCCCTCCTTCATCCTGCTCTACTCGACCGCCTCCAAGTCCTGCGAATTCGTCTCCTCCTACAAACAGTACAACACCAACCTCGGCGCCGTGTTCTCGGTCCTGTCCGCCTCGATCGGAAAGCAGATATTCTCGTCCACGCGAAACAGCGCTTCCCTGCTCGAAGCATCGATCGTCGTCAACACTACCTACATCTACAACGCGCTCACCTCCACCGCCTCCTCCTCCGCCATCTCTTCCACCAAGTCCTCCTCAAAGACCTCGAGCCCGCACACCACAACCATCTACGCCACCCAAACCGTCTCGCCAACCGTCACAAACCCGGGCTTCTCGACCTGGACACCCGCAGTCGACCCGACCTCGACCGTCGACTCCTCCTCCGCCGCCTCCTCCAGCTCCGCAAACTCAGACGACAACGGCGGCAGCAAAACCGCCGTGGCAATGATCGTGCTCTACTCCGTCACCGGCCTCGTCTCCTGCTTCTTCCTCCTCATCATCATCCTCGGCGCCGTCCGCGCCCACCGCCACCCGGAGCGGTACCAGCTCACCACGAACTCGGACGGCACCGTCCAGCGCACGAATCGCGCGCGGGGCCTTGCGAAAGCGGTCCTGGACTCGATCCCGCTCGTGCGTCTGCCGCAGCCGCCCGAGCCGAACTTCAATCGCTCGACGAGCGTCGCGAGCGGGACGACCGCGGCCGAGGACGGGATCAAGCTCGCGGAGTTGGATCATGATACCGGGCGCCGTCTGTCGCGGACCGAGAGCGATGGCGTGTCGAAGGAGGAGACGACTGTTGACAGTGCAGCAGTAACTGCAAATGAAAGCAGCACTGCTGCGTCGCAAGAGCCGGTATCAGAGGATCTTCTCCCGTCCTCCATGATCCCGCTCGACGGATGCCCTATCTGCTTCGAACCCTTCCTGCCCGGGCAAGACCTGCGCATCCTGCCGTGCCATCACGGATTCCACGCCTCGTGCGTCGATCCGTGGTTACTCAACTCGTCCTCGCAGTGCCCGCTTTGCCGAGTCGATCTCAATCTGCGGGTGGGCGAAGATATCCCTGATATGCCACCGGGCCTGATCGACGCCGACGAGACAGGCCAACATACTCCCTCCGCCGCCGCCCCTGCAGCGCCACCCGCGCAAATCGACGAAGAAGGCTGGGCGAGCGTCAGACTCAACAGATTCCTAGATCGCTGGAACGCGCAGTTACTGCCGGCTGAAGAGCGGCGGGTTGCGCTGCAGCGCGTGCGCGAGGAGCAGGAGGCGAGGCAGCGCATGCGGCGGTTGCGCGAGGAACATCTGGGGAGTAGCGAGGGGCGGAATACGTGGCGGCGGTTTGTCGATATGAGACGGCGGATGTTTCATTTACAGCAGCAGCAGCAGCAGCAGCAACAGCAGGAGCAGGAGGAGGAGCAGCAATCAAGCCAGACTTCTGAAGAGTCCTCCGCCGGCGGTGATCGTGAAACAACTACAAACGAACGCACACAGTAATTTGAAAGTCTAGCATTACAGCAATATGGTGCTTACGACTCTCTTTCCCTGCACACTCCTTCACGCACGACATTCATTCGCTAGAGACTTTTCAACATACTAATAATCTATTAATGGGATATACATCGGTTCATTCGTTCATTCATTTATCTATCTATTTAATATTTCTTGCTATCGTACATTCCTTTGGTTGATATACAGCTTCAATCTTGCTTTTGTGCTTTTCCTTTGCTGTTTGGGAAGTTTATTGTTTTGGTTGTTTTATGTGGTCATGTATATGAGCTGATGATGACATTTGAGAATTTACGAGGAAGAAAGAGTCGTCGTGTTTTGTATATCTGATCAATATAGCAAAAATAGTTGCACTTTTAATCTATCGTCGTAATCTTGTATCTCTAGTCTATGATGAAGAGAAGTCTGTGTATTCTTCTCAAGTCTATGAGATATTGAGATATAAGAAATCACGGCATCCCCGCCGAAAACGCACCCGGCCATTTCTCAAACCATCCACAATACTGATCCTCAACCGACTCACTCGCCAGCACCGCGATCTCCGTCGTCACCTTCACCAGCTCCCTCGCGCCTTCTTTCCACTGCTCGACCTCCACGCCCTCATCCCCCGGCACGGCCTCGAAGCACGCGACCCCAGAGATCAAGACATCGACCATCGCGCCTGCTTTTTCGACGTTGGTGGTGATTCTGTTTATGAACCGCGCGAGGCCCGCGACGCCGTGCTTTTCTTGCACGGCGGAGAGGTAGGCGGGGACGAGCCGCCGTTTGAGGAGGGAGGTTAGTAGGAGAGAGAACATTCGCGTTTTGGTGGAGAGCAGCTTGGCGAGCGTGAGGAGGCGGGAGAGGCGCGGGGTCGGTGTGCCGTCTGGGTTGTAGAATTTCTCGGTCGAGAGATTGAGATCGAGACTGTCGTCGTCGTCGTCGTGGGCTCGCGGGGTGAAATCATCGTCGTCGTCATCGTCATCGTCATCGTCATCGTCGTCGTCGCTATCAAAGTAGCTGTCGTCGAGATCGTCGAGATCGCCGAGCATTGCCCGCGGCGACCGAATGAACTCGTCAATCTCGAGTTTCGCGTCGTCCAAGATCAACGCTGCGTCCTTGATCTCATGCACGAGCTTTTTGATCAGTCCCGGGGGTACCGCCGACGGCGACGACAGCGCCTTTTCGAATTCTTCGAATGCTTTGCATTTCTCAATGACTATCCCCGTCGTTCTGAACTTTACATCGTCCGGTAACTGTACGTCCTCCTCCTGCTGCTCAGAATCACCAGAAGGCTTCGCCTCATCGCTCAAATCCAGCGCAAGACTCTCCATCATCACCGCCACCGCATCCGCAGCCTTCGTCCTCCTCGTCTGCGTCTCCCGCTGCCGCCCATCAACCCCATCCACCAGCTGCGCGACCGCAATACACAGCTCCACGCAATACCTCCTCCTCTGCTCCGCCAGACTCGCGACCGCAAACCGCAGCTCGCTCCCCTGCCGCGCCGGCGTCTGCGTCTCGAGGTACTGCGCGACAAGCAAGCCCAGCAGCGCGCCGAGCTCGCGCAGACAGCCTGCGACGGCGGCGTCGGTTGCGGCCGTGGACGCGTGGCGCTGCGCGTCGGCGTTGATGGTGGGGGAGAAGCGCGCAAGGCCGGCTTTGGTGGATTGGAGACGGATGTTGGCGATCGTGCGGGCGAGGTCGAGCGGTTGTGTTGTGTTGTTCGCGGGGTATCGTTGGGGGTTGTAGTAGGGGAGGAGGAGGAGGTGTTGCGGAAGGTGTCGAGGGCTTGTTCGAGGATGGTCCGCGTGATGTCTGCGGTGTCGTGTAAGATCGACGACGCCATTTTCTCTTCTTTCTCTTCTGCGTTTGTGGTTTGGTGAGGGTGGTGAGTTGTGCGGTGGGGATCAGATGAGGGAAGGTAGGAAAACTGATGATGGTTGGGAGGGGTGGTGAAACTTTATTCGCGGAAGAGGAACAAATTTTCATTGTTGAAGAAGAGATGGATGGATTATGGGTTTATGATGCTGCGTGTTTATAGTAGATGTGATTGTAGTATGATATATTGTATATGTATTGTATATGTATTGTCTACGAGTATGCAAAAACAAATGGTATCTGTACAAGAGTTAGCGATCATCCACAAAGACAACACACTCTCATCCTCCTCTTCCTCAACGTCGTCTATCAACGACAGATGAAGCAAACAAAATCAGACATCCCAGGAAGGTCAAATGGGCGGTCACCGACAGTCATAAGAGGGTTCTTAAAGCGACTGCTACCGTGGAAACTGCGAATGTTCTAGGAATCTTTCATCACCTTGTTTGCTCCATCTTTTTGTTGAGGAGGAATTGAGTAGAGAGGAGAGGATTAGAGGGAAGGGGGTGTACGTACCAGTTTGTTAGGTATCGGTGTAGAATCCAGACAAAAGAAGAATGATATCTAAAACCACCACGGTTAGCTTCTCATCTCTCTCAACGTCTAGATACAGGACGGAACAAGAAGCGAAGCAGCAAGAAACGACAACATCTCCGAACCATAAAGATCAGACAAAGTTACTGGCAAGTAATAAGGCACTCCTGCGAAAGAGGCCGATAAAATCAACAGTTGGTCCTCGTCATAGTCGAATCGGACATGGAAAGAAGTATGTGATTCAATATCATCAAGTAGGAACTTCGGAGGTCTGTTCTCTTGCTGCTTCTTCTTCTTCTCCTGCTCTTGCTATAAAGTGTTTATAAAAGAGATGTTGACTTACCAGCAGTTATACAGCAAACTGGCTGCTGCCCGAAGAAAGAAAAGAGGAGACCGAGGAAGAAGAGAAACGAAAAATTTATAGTGCAGAGCCGGTTAGGGTTAAGCCAGAGTGTTACCCGGATGTTGAGTCATAGATTAGATAAAAGAAAGTAGTCAGATCTTAGTCATGGTCCTCTTTGGGCACGGATATTCATGCGTCAGGTGGTGAGCATTGGGCTTGGTGAGGGAAGGATGCGATTGCTGCTGGCTGAATATTTGTAGAAACAAAGCAATTGAGCTGGGATTGAGTAAGGAATTATTGACTTGTTCATTTGGGTGAAGAACTGACGATTGCGGTGTGGAGGCCGTGATCGACGTTGTTTTCTGTTGTTTGTGGCGGAGACTGAAATCAGCCGACTCCCTCTTCAACTTCAACTTCACCGTCTTCTCTTCTTCCTGCTCTCACCTTCACGCTTGCAATGGCAGCAAGCAAACTAATCCTCTGCCTCAACGCAGGCTCCTCCTCCGTCAAATTCGCCCTCTTCAAATACGAACCCAGCACGCCTCTCCTGCTCGAAGGCGCAATCAACGGTATAACCGCCGACAAGCAGTTCCTCGACTTTAAATCCTACACCCCAGACGGCAGCACGCTCGAGTCGATCAAAAAACAAGAGATCGAGACTCCCGACCATGAATCTGCGTTCAAGTACTTCATGCACAGGTTGGATTCGCAGCAAGGCGACAAGCGCATGCTCGACTCCCTCGCCGACATCTACGTCGCCTGCCACCGCGTCGTGCACGGCGGCGCGAACCCGCGCCCGCTCGTCATCGACGACTCGGTCGACCACGAGCTCGAGATGCTCTCCGATCTCGCGCCGCTCCATAACCAGCGCGCGCTCGACATCGTGCACTCATGTCGCGCGCATCTCAAGTCGGCGAAAAACGTCGCCTTCTTTGATTCCTCGTTCCACATGTCCATCCTCCCGCCGATCTACACGTTTCCCATCAGCCTCGACGTGCAGAAACGGCATCAGCTGCGCAAATACGGGTTTCACGGGCTATCCTACGCGTTTATTGCTTCCGAATCAGCAAAGTTCCTCGGCGTCGACGGCAGCGACCTCAACGTGATTGCGCTCCACCTCGGCTCGGGCGCGTCAGCATGCGCAATCGGCAGCGGGAAATCGGTAAACACCTCGATGGGCCTCACCCCACTCGAAGGCCTCCCGGGCGCCACCCGGTCAGGCTCGATCGACCCGTCGCTGATTTTCCACTACCACTCCAACTCGTCGCGCATGTCGGCCTCGCTTTCGAAAGAGCTCAAACTGACGGTGGCAGAGGAGATCCTCAACAAGGAGTCCGGCTGGAAATCCCTCACCGGCACCACCGACTTTGGCGAGATCACCGAGCGCGCGCTTGGCCAGGGCGACGAGGTGTGTAAGCTCGCGTTCGACATGTTTGTCAACCGCGTGGCGATGTACGTGGGCCAGTACTGGGTCGCGCTCAAGGGCGGCGCGAGCGCGCTCGTGTTTGCGGGCGGGATTGGCGAGCGCGGGGCCGAGCTTAGGAAGGCGGTTGTGGACGAGGTAGCGTGTTTGGGGTTTGAGCTTGACGAGGAGAGGAATAAGGCGGCGGCGGGGTCGGACGCGGTGGTGGTTGAGATTTCGCCGGAGGGGGCGAGGTTGAAGGTGTTGATTGTGCATACGGATGAGCAGAAGGAGATGGCGAAGGAGGTGCTTGATCAGGATCTGTGATGGTGAATAGAGTCTACGTGTTTCTTAGATGCTGAAGCAGGCTGTTAAAAGTATCAGAGTAAATTGTATAATTCAGAGTAATTCGTGTAATGATCCAGTAACATCAAAAGAGTTGAGTTGGAAGTGGCCGCCGCACCTCAGATCAACCTCCCACTCAACCTTCTTCTCATCTGCTCCCGTTCCATCTTCACTTTGCTGTTCATACAGACCAGCAGTCTTATTTAGGATTAATTACTGTGCTGTTTAATAAGACTGACAATAATATTCTATGAGCTTAGATTTGAGAGTTCTTGGTACCTTCCGCTGACTCCTTGTCTGCCCGACTCCTTGTCTGCTTCCACTCCTTGTCTGCTTCCACTCCTTGTCTGCTTCCACTCCTTGTCTGCTTCCACTCCTTGTCTGCTTCCACTCATTGTCTGCTTCCACTCATTGTCTACTCTGTCTACTCGTTCCTCATCTGCTCTGCCCGCTCGCTCCTTGTCTCTCTTTGATCCAAACACATTTGACTCTTCTTTGCCTTCTACTCTGTCTGACCTAACCACCACCCGCTCCTTGTCGTCTACTGCTACAAGATGCCCGCTCCCATCCCTATTCCCCGCATTCTCCCCGCACTCCCTCTTCCTCTCACTCACACTTCCCTCTCCCAATGAAAACTGGTATCTACCTTTTCTCAGCCTACTGGGCAGCAACTCTGCTCGTCCCCGTTCAAGCCGCGCCTTCTATCCCCACCGTCCGCGCGAGCATCCCTCGTAACCACACAACCTTCTCCAACACCACCACCACCGCCCACGACTCCGCCCGCAGCTTGCCCGTGATCGACCTTGGCTACGCCAGATACCGCGCGTCCGCATACACCGAAGAAGGCGACTTCTACACCTTCTCCAACATCCGCTACGCCGCTCCCCCGACCGGCGCGCGCCGCTTCGGACCTCCCGAGCCTCCGCTGCAGGAGGACGACGATGTCGTCAACGACGGCAGCTACGGGTTCATGTGCCATCAGGCGTATAACCTGCAGTTCAAGGGCCTTGAGTTTGTCGCGCCCGCAGACCAGCAGAGCGAGGACTGTCTCTTTCTTGACATCTACGTCCCAGCCTGCGCGTTAGCAACGACGATGACCGCCAGCAACGCCTCGGCAGCGACCAAAGCTCTCTCGTCGGACCTTCCGGTCCTTGTCTGGATCCACGGCGGCGGCTTCGTGTTTGGCCAGAAAGACGGGCTGATGACGCCGCACGGCATGATGTCTGTCGCCGACGGCAAGATGGTTTACGTCTCAATCAACTACCGTCTCGGCGCGTTCGGCTTCCTGGCCGGGTCCGAGGTGAAAGAGCGCGGGCAGACAAACGTCGGTTTGAAGGACCAGCGCGCGGCGCTGGACTGGGTTGCCGCGCATGTCTCGTCGTTTGGCGGGGACGCCGGCCAGGTGACGGTCATGGGCGAGAGCGCTGGTGCGTCGTCGATCATGCACCACATGACCGCGCCCGCGCCGGTGCAGTTCAAGCGGGCGATCTTGCAGTCGACGGCGTACTATCCGCAGTACGACCCCGATCTGCTCGATAGCCAGTTCAAGGGCTTTGCGGCCACCAGCGGCTGTGAAAGTGATTGCGACAAGGACCGGTTCGAGTGTCTGATGCAGCTCGACGAGGATAAGCTCGCTCAGGCGAACAAGGACTACGTGTATTCCACGCGATACGGAACGTTTATGTTTGGTCCCTACGTCGACAGGGAATACGTTCCCTTGCTCCCGCTCTTCAGACTTGGCTACGGGCAGTTCAACAAGGACGTCCACGTGCTCGCCGGCCACAACAAGAACGAAGGCCACATCTTCGCCGACCCGACCGCGATCACGGACGCCGACTTTGCAAACCTGCTTGTCGAGCACTTCCCGAACGCGACGCAGCACACGCTCGACGAGATCCAGGCGCTCTATCCGCGCCGCAGACTGGCCTCGCAGCGCGCGAGCGATATCATCTCCGAGTGGATCGTCGGCTGCAATCTGCAGTATCTGGACGAGTACTTTCCCAACACGTACCTCTACAAGTTCTCGCTCCCGCCCGCGCTCCACGGACTCGACCTCGTGCTCACCTTCTGGCGCGACGTGACGCCCAAGAGCAGCAGCAGCAGCAGCAGCAACACCACCCTCTCCAACAACGCGCCCAGAACCCCTCTCTCCCTGCGCGAGCACGCCGTCGAAACCTTCGGCCGCCGCGCGCTCTTCTCAAACTGGTTCTCCGAGCTCGCGCGGCACTGGCAAGAATGGGCGGTCTCGTTCGCGGTCGGCGGCGATCCAAACTACCTCAGCACCTCGGCCGTGCGGTTCCCGATGGCGAACGAGGACCCGGACTCGCGCGCGATGATGGAGGTCTTGCGCGATGGCGAGTTTCGCGTCACGTCGTTGGCGGAGAGTGGGGCGGATATGGGGCGGTGCGGGTTTTGGATGGAAGGGGATTGGACTGGTCGATAGTCTGAGTTTCTCTGTGATGTTTTGTTTGATTTTATATTTAGTTTGATTTATATGGGTGTTTTGGTGTATTTTTTGCTATTTTTGGATGTTTTTGGTGCTACTTTCGTCATTCGTTTATATCCCGTGATAATAAATCTTCAAAACTGATATCCCTAGTCATAGCAAGCAGAGAAAGGATCCTAATCCCTCCATGCTACATTAATCCCACTTGTTTAAACATATCTTCGTTTTGTAAATAAAAGTACACAAAGTCAAAAAAACTATAGAAAATCTTTAAGAAGAGCTAATCCAAAACAAACTCAAATAAGAAGGAAAAGGTTGGGGAAAGGGGGATTAGAGGTCGCTAGCATGAAGTATACTGATACATTTTCGATGGTGGTGGTGGTGGTGGTGGATTCTTTTTTGTGGTGCAGTGGTGGGGGTGGTGGTGGTGGTTGAGAAAGAGAGATATGCATGGGATGAGGGGCGGTTGAATATTGAGAGAATTCTGTGGTTGAAGAGCGAGATAGATGTTGTGCTGGTTGTGACTTGAGATTTGGTTGGTGCAGTTTGTGAGGTTGAGAAGTCATATTTTCGGCGGTGGTTGGTGTGTTGCAGAGGCGATGATGTTGTGATGTATGTGACGAACAAGACAAAAAAGGCATTAAACGATGGAAATCAAGTAGATAGAGCGAATGTGTAGCTGAGGGTCGACGGATGATAAATGATTACATAGGATCATAGCGATGCAACTAAGAAATATGTCAGTATATCTACACCACAGCAGGGTGAGAGAGGGAGACTTACGTTGTCCAGAAGAGTTTGCAGCTCATCGTCTGATTTCTTGTCCACGAGACTGTAAGCGATTGTCAGTATTTACCATAAGCGGAGAGAAGAGAAGGTGGAAGACACGTACCTGGGAATCAAAGTCTTTGCTTCTTCAGCTTCAGCGCAGGATAGCGAACCTAGAGTTAAACCAATGAGTTACAAACTCGCACGCACAAAAATAAAGGAGATGTAGAATAGATAAATACCTAGCTGTGCGATTTCAAACGGGTGCAGGTTTGCGTTCTCGGGGCCCTTGAGCAGATGCTCGACGTCGCTGACCGTCTGCTCGTCTTTGAATCTAGCAAAGGTTTCGAGATATTCTTGCGTCTTGCGAACGACCCTAGAGTAAATAGATTAGTTAGCAACTCCCGTCATCACTGAGTTTGAGATGAACAGATGGAGAAAACGCACGGGTTGGAGGACAGAGGCACCTCATCATCTTCGATATCATCCTGCTCCATCTTTTCATCAAAATTCCCCGCGCCCGCCTGCTGCATGCGCATCTCGCGCGCGCGCTGCCGCATCGCCGCCAGCATAAGCAACCGCGCCTCCGACAGATTGAGCGCGATCAGCGGCGTCTCGATCCCGTCGTTTGAGATCTGCTTGAGCTCAAACTCCGGGCCGAGCTTGAGTTCTGCGGCGTCGACGTCTTCGAGCACGCCGTTGATAAGACGGCGCGGGCGGGGTCTGGCTGTCGACATTTGTAGTCTGGTTTGATTGTTTGATGAGGTGTGGATTGGAGGATGGATGGTGTTATCTGTGGTGTTTGTTGATAGCTGAAGGGGGCGATTGGATGACCTGATCTCTCTCCACCTCGACCTTTAGAACCAGCCAAGCAAGTATCAGGAAAATGCCGATTGCACTTCCGCCCAGTCAAAAGCACTACCAAACAGTCTGGTCAATAACAGAAACAGAGAACGAGCACACGAAGAACGAGATGGCGATGAGAGTCGAGGATAGTTGGTTGTGTTTTTTTTTGCGGCGAGTTTGGCGGATTTCAAAGGGTTCGAGAAAACTTTATTTTTTGGAGGTTCCGTTGGCGGAGGCTGCGATTAGTTTTGGTTGACCACTATCGCGTTGTTGATTGCTGCGACTCATTCGACGAGAACGAAGAGGCAGCCAATTGATCTTGTTCAAGTAGATTAGAAGAGCTTGACTGTGTTGTTATAACAGATCAGAAAGAAGTTGATGCAGAGAGATGGTTGTGTACTCGCTGTATATCCTCAACAAAGCCGCCGGTCTGATCTATCAGGTCCGTTCCCCCTGCCTGCGCTCGAACAGCGTGCTGCTCTGTTTTGCCCATTTGCTGCTGTCATGACGATGTGCTAACTCGAATTGACTGCAGAGAGATTTCAATGATGGCCTGCAAAAGCTGTCGTCGAATGATTACCTGGTTCTGTCTGGCACTTTCCACGCGTATGCCTACCATCATCTCCCCCTCATCTTTCTCTCCTCTCGACCTGCGTATCTAACAGACCTCCTCCAGCGTGCACGCGATAGCCTCACGCATCTCCCCCGTCCCCTCCTCCTCCGGCATCGAAGTCCTCGAAACCGACACTTTCCGGCTACAATGCTTCCAGACCCTCACCGGCACGAAATTCCTCCTCATCTCCGACCCGCGCCAGCAAAGCTCAGACACGATCCTCCGGCGGATATACGAGCTCTACGCAGACTACGTGATCAAGAACCCGTTCTACCAGATCGAGATGCCGGTCAGGTGCGAGCTTTTTGATAGGCATTTGGCGGCGTATATTAAGGCTATCTCGTGATTTGTCGGTGATGAGTTTGTATTTCTTCTGGGTTTTAGGCGTTTGTTTTTGTTAATGGATTTGCAATCGAGAATTGCTGATTATTTTCTTTTTATCTGCATCTTATCTGTTTATTCACTTCATGCTCGAGTTGTTACATGTATACGGTACGCGCGCATGTCGTCGCAGCTATCTGCCTCTTGTAGACACCTTCCTTCCACTTCTTCTTTCCTATCCTCCTCTGATAGCATACTTGTGTTATCTTCTCCAGCAGTCGTGATTATACAGCTCTTATTGACCGGCTCTGGTCCCTGAATCGAGCGGAGACAGGCTCTACAAATACAATACACAGAGCTGATAGCAGACCACGCCAGCTCAAAATATAAACAGTTGGTAAACAGCAATATCAAACCACGATCCAGCATATCAGCAAAATACAGCTCATAACAATGTAAACAGCAATAAACCTCTCTCTTTACTGGTGATTATATTCGCAATAGATCAACAGTCGGCAAGTGCACCCTCCGAGACGCCGCTGGGAGAATCTCCAAATTTATTTTTTTGAATTTTTTTTATTTTCGAGTCTTCACCAGATATCTCTATCCATCAGCACCTATCCTCTAGTTTATCTGCTCTATTCTTCACCGTCTCTAATAACTACAAGAGTGGATGAATAAAGTACTGTCTACACTGTTTAAAGTACGGGCATCCGCATTCTTCAAAACCGCTCTTCCACGCACCTCATCTCCAGCCTCCTCCTCCTCCGCAATCAACATCTTCTCACCAACAGCACAACCACCACTCACCACTAAAATGACCTACCACGCCCACGCCATTTCCCGCGACAACGCACACTTCACGCCCCCCGTGAACCGCTCGATGCTCGTCCTCGACCGCGACTTCTTCACCGTCCGCGTGCCGCTCACGGCCCTGCAGATCTTGGATCCGCGCGAGTTCAAGGCCGTGCGCTCGCTCGAGCAGGATCTGCTGCAACTCCACGGCGTCGGGAATATCGTCAAACGGCGGCGCGAGGATGGCGACGGTGGCACGGATTTTTTGATTTTGCTTAGGCCTGGGTTGGGGCCGGGACAGATGGAGGGGGTGAGTGAGAAGATGAAGGAGTATCTTGAGCAACATCCAGATTATCCGCTCGTGCCTTATACTCTCGAACTCGGCTACAAGCATTGGAAACCAGGTGCGCATCTTTTATTTTCTTTTTGAGCAGAGACAGAAGCAAGAGAGCGGGAACTAACAGCTTGAATTACGACATGTAGAGGAGATCTTGTCGGCGGTACTGCCCGAAGATCTATTGGACGAAGTTCCGACCGGGTTTAGTTTGACTGGACATATAGGTAAGAACAAAACTTCATTTTGTGGTTTCTATATACAATATTCAAAAATCCAGAGAAAAGCACAAGCAAGACAAGAAAAGACAGATATCAAGACCCAGGATGAACAAAAACAAAGAACCCAAATTACAAACAAAACAAACAAAAAACTCCATGTCTAAACAGATTGTCAATTTTTATTAACCCAATTTCAATGATTTTTAGCACATATGAATCTCCGCTCGCAATATCTCCCTTACAAATACCTGATCGGCCAGGTGATCCTCGACAAGAACCCTTCCGTGCGAACGGTAGTCAACAAGCTCGACACGATCGACACCGTCTTCCGCACGTTCGAGATGGAAGTCATCGCGGGCGAGAAAAACTATATGGTCGAGCACCGCGAGAGCGACTGCACCTTCCGGTTTGACTTTTCAAAAGTGTACTGGAACTCGCGGTTGCAGGGCGAGCATCTCCGGCTGATCAGTATCTTCAAGCCTGGCGAGGCCATCTGTGACGTTATGGCGGGCGTCGGACCGTTTGCGCTTCCGGCGGGGAAGAACGGGTTGATGGTGTTGGCGAACGATCTGAATGGCGACAGTTTTGCGAGCATGCAGGAAAATATCAAGATAAACAAGGTAATAATATACAAGATGAAGATTGGGATGGCGTGTGGTTCACACGCCATGGATCTCGTAGGCCTCGCTTTTCAAGACGATGCCTCGAGTATGCCGTTTCTTTCGTTTCCGCTCTTTTCGTTCTTTGTTGATGAAGATTTTGAAAAGCCCGAGCCGGACGACGGTGACCCAGTTGCTCATGTCCAACATTGCTGCGAATCGTGTACTAACTCTTTCTCTTTCTTGTGTGTAGGTGTCTAATAATGTGTTTCCATACAACCTTGACGGCCGCGAATTTATCAAAATCTCAGTGTCGGAGCTGCGCAGGCTCGCACATCTAAGAAAGATGCTGAGGGTCCCGGTGAAGGATGCGGCGAGCGGTCCGGAAGGTAGCGGCGGCGAACAAGGACCGAGTAATAAGAAAGCAAAGAAGGCGGAGAACTCCGTGCGCAGGAGTGATATGCAGACGAGTCCAGACGGCGGGAAGGAGAAGGGCAAGAAGAGCAAAGGGCGACAAGGACCAAAGGTGAGGGAAGTGCCGGTGCCGACGACGTACGCACACTATGTGATGAATCTCCCGCACGCAGCGATCGAGTTTCTAGGTGAGTTCTGACTGTTTGCCTGTTGTTTCGTCTGATAGCGCGCTATGATGTAGCAGAAGCCGGGTGCTGTGGTCTATAGAAGAAGACTGCTGTGGCCAGCTTCGAGATCTGTTTGCTGCTCTGGTTGCTCGGCTCGACTCGATCTCTCGCGGCGCGACGGCAGACGCCGCGGGAAGAAGCAGAAGTGACGAAGGGTAGCAGAGAGAGCTACGAGAAGAAGAAGAATAAGAAGAAGAAGAAAAGAAACAACAACAGCAACAACAAGAAGAAAACAACAACAAGAAGAAGAACAACAAAAGCAGAAAAACCGACGCAGCAGCGCACCGCCCTCAGGCACCCGGCTTTGATTAGTGGCGCAGTTGTCATTCGTGGCCGTGCGTGGCTGTGCTAACTCACGTGATTGATTCTAGACGCGTTCAGGGGACTCCACAAGGACGACGACGTCGCGACGACGCCGATGCCGATGGTGCACGTTTATTGCTTCCACAAGTCGGACGATCCCGAGGACCCGAAGCCGGAGGACAGTGTTGTGCATCCTGCGCTGAGGCAGGTGAGTTAGGTGTTGTTGCTGTTTAGTACGAAGACGGTGGGTGCTGACGGCCGTGGTGTTTTCCTGATATAGCGCGTAGCCGACGCTCTCGGATTTGAGATTCCCATCGAAGAGCTCTCGTTCCACTACGTCCGCCTCGTGGCGCCGTCAAAGACGATGCATTGTATTTCTTTTAGACTGCCGCGCGAGGTTGCCTTTGCGCGGGACTAAATGCGGCAATAAGACCGCGACCAGGACAGTTTTGGTAGACAGCAGTGGTTCAATCACCAGTGACAGTAGTTATGTAAATAGACAAACTTCGAGTCGAGGTCTCGGTCACACTCGCATTCTCATTCTTCCCCGAATCAAGACAGACAAACAAGACATCAGCAGCAGCAGCGGAATCAGAATTCAAGCCTCGCTCGACGTGCGGTGCACATGCCTTCTTGACAGATGGATGGGGGTACCTGGCTAGTCAAAGCTTGGCCGCGGGCTCATCTCCACATTTCCTGCCTCTTTTGTCGTTGACATCTCTGCCCTTTTGACTAACGAGATAAGAGCTAGGCGTGAATTAAGCCTGTCAAAACAGGTTGGTTGTTCTTTTGTGTTGTGAGTTGTTTTTTCTTTTTGTTTTGTATAGATTCTGCGGTGCACTTTCAATTGCTGTTCTTCTGGCATAGCTCATCTGGCCGTAGCCACACCTATCTTATACTACCACTACTACTGTACACTTACAAACCCTCGCTCCTCCTACTTCGCCTTCACGCAGTCTCTAATCCGTCTCATCTTCGGCTTCTGCGCCTTCAAATACGCACAGTACATCTCAAACGCGTTCTAAACCGTTCGGTTCTCATTAGTATTCCGCGCCAAGTAGACGTAAATCTTAAGCAATCAGAAACTTACGTTTGCGAGCAGGACAAGTATACCGCTGAGAAGACTGCGGACGAAGCGTTTCGGCATATGCTTCAGCATCGCCTTTGGAAGTAACGACACCATCGCACTACAGACACCACCACCGTTAGCATCCTCTCCTCTTCCTAAACAAGTCTTCTTCTCCTAAACAAAAAAAACACTTACTCTCCCGTCAAACCGCTGACGACCGGAAACCCAAGCGCTCCAAGCATGGTCACCAACATATCCCGTCCGTTGAACACGTTAGACGCGCCCTTGAATTTCCACATCGCCATTCCGCCTAACGCACCCAGGTCGGCGTTGATAGCTATACCCATCGCGTCTTGTGCTGCACCTTCCCCTGCTGCTGCTTCCTCTTCTTGGACTGGTTGAATTTCTTCGATCAGCGGTTGTGGCTGCTCAATTATTTCTTCTTCAACTTGGTGTTCCTCTTGAACTCGATCTTCTTCCACCTCATTATCTTCCTCTTCCTCTCCGTCGTCGTCAACCCATCCATCTTCATCACCTTCACCTTCTTCCGGTTGCTGTCTCTGTTCCTGCCGCGGCTGCGGTCCCCTACCCATGATCGCTTGGAGCCGTCTGTGCATATTATAATCCACCTCCAACTCCCGGATTTCCCCCATCAATGCCCCAATATTATTCTGTATCTCGTCAAACACCCCGCTCTCTCTCGCAACCGGCATCTCCTCCGCCACCCCCTGCACCGCCCAACTCACCTCCTCCAATTGCTCGAGCGCAGCCGTCAGCTCAGTCCCCTCTCTGTCTTCATTCTCTACCTCAGCAACCTCGTCCTCTGCCCCGTCTTCCCCGCCGTCTTCCTCAACAGGCCCGTCTGCCTCCACCGGCGGAAGTTGCTGCTGCCGGTAACTATACAGATCCGCCTGCTGCTTCCACCACAGCATGCGCGGCACAACGTGCTTGTTGTACAGCGACTCATACCCGATCGCGGCCACCGGAAGTAATAGCAGCGCCGAGATCGTCGACAGGTGCAGGCTGCGGCCGATGCTGTAGCCGCGCTTCTCGTCAAAGGGCAGGCTTGCGAGCGGAAGCACGACGGAGCTGATCATCGCTAGACTTGCTTGGCTTAGATATGTGCGCGAGCATACAAGCGCAAACGGGATCGTTGCAATCGTGAGCATTCGGACTAGCGACGTTATTCAGTCAGTGATGGCACTACATCAGCAGTAGATAGTAAGAAGGCAACTCACAACTATCAATAGGCGAGACAGTACGATCTAAATCCGCAAACCGACTCAAAACTTTCAAGCCCGTAATCGACGCCTGCCGCCAGGTCTTGTCGGACCTCAGATACCTCACAAAGTTCTGATAGAAAAACGCCTTTTTCGACGGCTGCACCTGATCGAGCGCCAGCAGCGCGATACTCTCCTCGGGCGAGAACGTGCTCAGGATCGAGACCGCGCCGAGCGCGTAAAAGTTGCGAAACACGACCGCCGAGATCGGCCGCACAAGACCGAAGCTGAAGCCCGTGATGAGCGAGAACTTTGCGATCGCGCGCAGACTCTGCTGCAGACGCAGCGTCGGCGGCACGGGGGGCTCGATCGGCGCGATGGGCGCGCGACATTGCGGGCACTCTTTGAAGTCTTGGTTCGGCTCGATCCAGGTTAGCAGGCAAGACTCGTGCGCTACAAGAGAGCATTTGCATGGATGCCGCCAGTTGTGGGAAGAAGAGCCGTCGGGCGGGGGGTCGTTGGAGGTGCCGAGACAGATCCAGCAGGAGATGAAGTCGTTGGAAGCGGGGGAGACAGAGGAGTTGGGATCCTGTTCTGCAGCCACTGCTGAGTCGAGAGCAGGTGCTGCCTCGCCAACTTTGTCTGCGACTTCTTCCATTGCTTCTGCTGAGTATCTTCTTGCGCCGGCTGGATGTACGCGATGGTGGAGAAGAGTCGAGGGCGAGGCCTCGGTAGATTTATATGCGATGATGATGACTTGATTGATGTTATGTAATGTATTAGTAACATATTCTTGGCCTTGTTTGCCGCAACATTCCGCTCGCCAACTCTGTTCTCGCGGTGAACACAATAAACAGCAAGCAATTAAGCAAGTCCAACAAGTCCAACAATCAATTCTTCCTCGCTGCGTCGAGAAAACCGTCCGCGATGAGCTCGTCAACACGCATACAGTGAGGAAGACCTACAAACCTTAAATGCCCCTGTGCGCAGATTGTGAAGCCGCGCCATAATCAACAAAGGCTGGATGAACCTGTACTTGTACATTGACTGCTGTTTGATTACAGGCAGAGACAGAAGAAGAGGGAGTTAGTGATTGTGGATATTTAGAAGAGAGGGATGGTTTGCAGTTGAATATATTCACGACGTGAGAGCAACTGATAACCACAACTCTACCCCGTCGCTCACACATATCTACTACCTCTCCAAAAGGAAGAAATGACGACCGCCGATGCGAGCACGCAGGAGTCTAGTACCGCAGATCAGAATACCACCGGCACCGACAACTCTGCAGATCAACAACAACAACAACAACAACAGCAACAACCAGTCAAACGCGGCCGAGGTCGTCCGCGCAAATACCCACTTCCCGAGGGCTACGTTCCACCACCCCCAAAACCCAAGCCGCCGCGGAAACCGCGCGAACTGACTGCTCTCGAGCTCGAGCACGACAGCGAAGAACGACAGAATGGTAACAACAACGGAGATGAGGGGTTAGCTGGGACTACTACGCCTTCCGGACGACCGCGGCGGCGCGCGACGACGAAATCGGTGGATTACAAGAAACTTGAGGATGGCGCTGAGATTCTTAGTGCGATCTTGCTTGACGATGACGAGGAGGTTCCAGCTGAAGCCCACTCTCAAGCTCTCCAGACACCGGTGCCTGGTAAACGACGGCGCGGACGGCCGCCGAAGGATCCTATAAACGGGCCGGTGAAGCGACCGCCGCCGAAACGGGCGAGAGTGGACGTTGAAGAGGAGGATGGTAGTGACGAAGAGTTCGTGGCGGGCGGGGACGAGGATGAGGGAGACGATGATTTTGCTGCCGCGGAGGAAGAGGAAGAAGATGATGACGTGAGCGGTGTAGAAGACGAGGCGGAGGATGATGAGTTTGACGCCAAAGCCAGCAGACGACGAAAGCAGCAGCTAAAGTCGACGCCGTCACGCAGAGCAGGCGCAAATCCACCTACGCAAAGGCAATTTCTGAAATACAGTTCGTCGGCTGAAAGCCGGATGCAGCAGTTCTTTGGCCCCAAGGCCTCAGGTCTGCTAGAAGGCGCGCGGTATCGAAATAAATGGGTGAACGAGCTGACCGTGCTCCGCAGGTCGCTGCTCGATGATCCAGAGAGCACGGTACCCGTGTTGCTGGAAAGCGCGGGGTTTAATACAGGGCTTCAGATTACTTCAGACTCGAGCGTACAGCAGGCGAGAGAGCTGGGGTTTGTGCCGAGTGGACGGGCGATGCGGTTTGACATTGGGTATAATGACGCGCTGAAGCAATTCACGATCGCTCCGTATGAGACGGTCGAAGTCGGTAAGCTTACGGACGGGAATAGAGAAGGATTGATTATGAACGTGGGCGGGTATCCCACTGCTTGTGAATGGGCACCTTCGAGCTCGGAGTCAGGTAAGTACATGATAGATTATCATCATGGTCGACGTGCTAACATCTGCATAGACACACAGTATCTTGCGATCCCCGTGATCAGCAAAGCAGACGAACTTCAAAACCCAGTCTTCCACCCGCGAACATATCCCTCCTCGATCCAAATCTGGGAGTTCACCCCGTCGCCTACGCCCTCTGTGCGCCTCGCGCTCTGCCTGACTCACAACTGGGGAACTCCCAAGAGTCTTTCCTGGTGTCCTGTTGCGCGGAGTGCCACTAACCGTGCTATTTTGGGCGGTGTGTTTTGCGATGAGAGTGTGAGGTTGATTGCCGTTCCTGACGTGGAGCGTGCGGCGACGCGATATGGTGTGTAGAGATCCAAAACATTGTGAGATCCGCGGATTGAATGCTGATGTGTTTCTGATTTAGTGCATGTACAGGCGCCTTTTCTACAGGTGTCTTTGCCTGGAATGTCGATCTACTGCTTCACCTGGATCGACCCACACACGATCGCCGTCGGCGCCACGAACGGCTACGTCGCGACCTTCAACGTCTCAAACACCACCCCCTCCACATCCTCCTCCTCCGACATCTCGACAAGCCTACAAACCACCCCCCTGATCTGCACGCCCGTGCACCACAGCCTGATCTTCGACATCAAATCCTGCGGCCCGCAACTGCCACACCTCCTCGTGACCACCTCCGCCGACGGCTACGTCCGCACGCTCGACACGCGCGACGCGCGCACCTGCGGCGCCGCAAAGACGCGCATAAAGGGCTACGCGGCCGCGCTCGCGGTCCACGCGCCCACGCAGCTCGTCATCTCCACCGACGACGGCACGGCGACAAAGATCTCGCCCGCCCGCGCCATCTCGCGAGACCTGATCGTCACACGGCACGACAGCGGCGTGACCGCGCTCGCGACCTCGCCCGCGCAGCATCCGTTCCTGGCCGCGGGCGGGGCCGATGGCGCGGTCGTGGTTTGTAACCTTGCGGCGGGGCTCGTGAGTAAGAGCGCGACGTACCAGAATTGGCCGCAGATCCGAACTCTGAAGCTTGAAGTGAGCACGATTCCCGCGGCGGTGATGCGCGCGGACGGCGCTGTGGCTGCGCGGGTGCAGGAGTCAGCAGTGGAGACGGTGGAGAAGTTTAGGTTCGTGGAAGGATATAAAGCCGAGACGATTGGGAGCGCGGCAAAGGGAGACAGGAATAAGAAGAAAGTGATAAGTCCGTCGTCGATTTGCGTGACGGCGGTGTCGTGGTGCGGAGAGAGGAGGTTTGGAGGGTGGTATGCCGCCGGGTTTGCCAACGGGTGCGTCAGAATTGACAATTTTGCTGTTGAGTGATGTAGTCACTGGGAAGGCGTTTTTGTCTAGTTTAGGTATGTGACGATGTGTATGAACTACTTTTTAGTTGAATCATTGAATCACCACCGTTCGGGTAACGAGATACGTGTGTCTGCTGCTCAATCTCGTTGTTTTCAATATTCCCCTTTCGGGAAATGAAATAGGGGAACCCCATCGCCGCGTTACTTGCGAGGGCTAAAAAAACCCAGTCCCCCCACTCTCGACTAGACAGACTCACGGACTCTCGGAGTTTTTAGAACGTTGTTAGATGAGGAAGTTACCTGCTGTAGATTAGAAGTGCGAGCGAGGATTTAGGGACTGGCTGTGGAAGATGTGGGGGGTATCGCCGCGAGGGCTAAGCCGAGGCAGCAGCGCAGCGCAGCAGCAGTGAACAAGAAGCAGCACAGCGCAGCAGCACATCAAATTACAAACAGCAGAGTTTCACCGCGGCAGCAGCAGCAGCAGCAGCAGATAGAAAGAAAAGAAGGGGGCGGCGTCTCCGCAGACTGAAACCAAACTATCGCGAGCGGCGAGCTGCGAGCATACGTCTTGTGACCTGCGCTGCTGCGATCCGATGCAGCTCTTATTTTTAGGTCGCTGCGTGCGTGCATTTATGCTGGTTTCTATTTTAGGTAGGACGTGGATTTACAGCACCGCATAAGAAAAAGAAGATGCGTAGTATACATTCTACAGAAGAGAGAAGAATAAAGCTGGAAGTAAGCCAGCGACGACGATAACGAGGTGCTGAAGGAGGAGGAGGAGGAGAGGAGGCGGGTGGCTGCTCAGATAGGTAAAGCAAGCGAGAGGTCTCCTATTCTCTCTCTACAACACTTTCTTGTTCCTTGCTGGGCTCCTTCCTACGCACGCCCTCTTACGCAATAAATTGAGACAAAGACAACAAAGAGCGTCTAATAAACTACTCCCTTCTCAATTATATCTCTGTCTTATTTCTAAAATAATGATTATTCTTGATCATCCCGATAGCTATCTATAAAAATTGACAAAGTGGCTGGGCACGCATTTCATTAGTGATCCAAGCCCACCCACCCAGCTGTCAAATTAGCTAGTTTTTTAGTTACTCAAATATCGAAAGAAACCCTACCTACGCCAGCCTAGCCACTTGTACCACCCTCGTGCGCCGTCGGCTAGCTCGTCTACTTTATTATTCTTCTCGTGTGCTTGCCGCTACCGATGGATCCCAACTTTTCTTTTTTTCTACTTTGCTCGATTGGATGGTAGGTGGCTTGTAAGCAGGGAGGAGGGAGGAAATGTAGGTGGAACGGACTTTTGGGAGGAAATGAGGATATAGAAAGAGACTTGAGCTACTTCAAGCGAGGAAGACGCTGTGAAGACAAGTGTTTGTCATCTTCACGACTGCTGCTGTCTCGCTCTTCTCGTTCTACTCAACAGTCAGCTGCGTGTGTGCTGTATGCTTCCAGAGCCCAAGCAGAGCAAGCAAGATTACCTCAGAAACTCAATCAACCCGTCCCTCTTTCCAGCCTAGCCCAACGTCTAACGCAACTAACGTGGTGCTAGTTGACTAGAACAAACAGCACATGACAGACAAGACGCAGAGAACGAAGAAAGAAGGAAGCAAGCAGAAAAGTTGTGACTCGTCTATACCTGTCTGTCTCTGTCCCAGCAAGCCAAAACTAACAAAAGACTAATCTATAGTTAGCGGCAATGAGACAAACGGTTTTGTTCCCACCCGTCCAAAGCTAAAAACCGAGAGCCAGCACGGGGGTTCCATTCTATTTCACTAAACCCTCTCTATAGTTACGTTAACTCTACAATGAGGAATTTTTGTAGTGAATGCTGTTGACGAGTTTGTTCTCTAGTGGCTTCTTCTGCCTATAGTTGCCCTGCTGCCCATCGGCCTCTTTTGTTTTTCTATCGGGTTCTGGTGTGAATGTGAGTGCGAGGCTGGTGTAAGGCGCGTGAGATGAGCTGATAGCGTAGCGTAGCATAATCTCTCTTTCTGTGTGTTATAATCTCTCTTTCCTTTTCTCGCAGACTTCTGTCATTAGCAAGATACTACAATTCTCGAAAATGCAGACTATCCTCTTCACACCCTTCCTTTGATGCGCTGTCATCTTCTCTATGCACTGCGCAATGCAGTGCTGCTAGGCTACCAACAATGCATATACGCAGCCACCACCGCCTATCCACCCGCGCTTCCCAATTCCGGCAGCACCTACAACCAAGCCATCCATCCATATTCTTCATCCTTCTTCTCTCGGTACATTTTACACCGCTACCCAATAATCCCTCGTTTACCCAACTCTCTCTTCTCAGTAGTTTAGGTTGTGTGTCGTGTGTTCGGGTGGTCTTTTAGATAGGCTAGCTAAGACCGAGGTAGATTGTATATCGATTAGAGGGGGACCAATTTATTTCGTCGGGTTATTGTCTCGTTTGCTGTCATTTTGTTACTCTCGCTAGTACTTCTACTTTTTCTCACTTCTTTGATTGCGATATCTAGCTTCCAACCTACCAATCTTCTATCTCATCCCTTCTTCGTGAATGTCCTTCGCACGGCTATCAAAACCAAAACCGAAAAATCATCTCAGAAAATACGCAGATGATAACAAGAAGTCGGTGCCTGACCGAAGCTTAGACCAATCGTAGTCCTCTCAATTACAACCCAACCTCTCCCCATCGCCTCGCAACTCTCCCAACACCGAATCTACGATATACGCAGAACCTCACAGAATCACAATGAAACCGAAAACTCATTCGTCGTCGGCATCGCGATGGTTATAAATGAAAACTAGAAATGGAGGTATACAGCTAGAAAGAGAGAATTTTGATTCTGTAAAAGTAGGAGGGAGATGTCCCAAACGCTCTATCGTTGTCGACGTCGTCGTCGTCGTGTTCAACGGTGCTCATCTCCTTCGTGATTCTGTCTTCCGTCCTTGTTTTCTACCATCTGCATCTTGCTACTGCACCGTCTTTCTTCTTCTGACAGAATGCTCAACTGCTTCCGTCATGTACACGACGCCCGCCGAACCTGTACGTGGCCGCTCTGTACGCTTTCGGCAATCCATCTCTCGCACCCAACCAATCCAGCCAATCGCTCAGACCATCCCGTTCACACCTCCCCTCTCCCTTCTCACACTCCCGTACGGCCCTAGCACCATCGGCTTCCTTGGCCGCACCCGTCTCCCTCTTCACCCTTCAAACTCTCCTTCCTCCTCTCTCTCTCTCTCTCTGTCCCGTCCTCGCTCTTTGTGAAGCGCCACCAGCCACAGAGGCTTGCCTAATCACCTTGCCGCTTCCGGTCTAGCTGCGTCCTCATCGCCGCGCTCTTGTTTCCCGCCGTTGCCGGATTAAAATGAATGGCAACGAAAGAAAAAAAAATTCTCCGTCTTCCTCCGCCCGCCCTCGCCCGCCACTTCTCTCAAGTGATGATTGTAGGTATAGAGGTATAGTAGATATATAATTACCATAACACAAAACTATCACAACACCTCGCTAAGCACTCCAAAACAATTTCCAATCCCAAATATATACAAAATTATAAAAGTAGCGACAATACAGCCTATAAACAGAGAAGGTGAAAAAACTTAACCAGCAGTGCTTCAATCACACCTGCTAGTTAGTACAGCATACAAGATACAATAAACGAACGGATCCGAACCCCGACTTCCTTGAGCAACAGCAACGCACACACAACTGATTAAAATATAGTAATAGTAAAAAATGCTGTAAACTCCGACAATTCTATAGTGGTATCTTGAATTCAAGTGAGAAAAAATCAGAAGATATAACAGTCTGGTTCAAAACGAGCGCCTTGATGATAACACCATCCCAAAAAAAACAAAAGTATCGAATGCAAGTAGATAAAGAGGCTCCAATAACAACCCCAAAGATGATGCAAATACCCAAACAATTAAATAGCGGATAATACAAGTATATACAGGAAATGAATAAAAACCCGTAATCACACTCTGGTAGAGTGCTTAGAAAATAGGCAAGCTCTGCTGTAACCGCGCACCATCGGTGGTAGCAGGCTCTTCGTAATACTGTTGTTCGGCAAACATATCGGCAGACGCGTCAAACTGTCCGCGCCGACGCTGGCGCGCAACGTTGCCCGTTCGCGGAAGCATCTTGGCCATGCTGAACTTGCGCAGTCGTCGGCTGGGAGGAGGCGACCCGCTGCGTTCTTTCTGCTGGTGATGTTGTTGATGGTGGTGGTGGTTTGCCTTGTTGAACTCGGCCGCAAACAGCGACTCTTCAGCCTGCTGCTGGTTCATATTGAGCTCGACTAGCTTGGCGTTGTAACCATTATAGTCCAGCTTTTGTTGATAGAGGTTGAAATACTCAACATCGACAAACGACGGCGACGCTTCTGACCACGGCGAGGAGGCGACAGAAGTAGCCGGAGTCGACTGCGGCGATGTCCAAACTGATCCCGAAGAAGCCGTTGAAGCGCCTGAGATCGGTCTATTGCTGCTGCGCGCAGGAGTAGCGGGCGCCGCGTTGTTATTGACCACGCCGCTGTCTTGTCCCCATATCAGCTGCTGCAGCCGCTCAGACGCATTAACAGAAGCTGAAAAGATTCCAAGACCTCTGTGCTGCTGCTGCTGCTGCTGCTGCTGCTGTTGCTGCTGCTGAGGAGACGCATAATGCTCCTGAGCACGGCGCTGCGGCCGCGATGGTGTGACAGGTACCTGAATCTGAGGCATGCGTACTTCGATCGGCGAGTCGTTGTCGGGCGTAGCGTAGACGAACGCCATCCGGTTTCTGAATGGGTTGTTGAGACTTTGTTGCTGAGACTGTGGCGGGGGAGTAGCAGGCGATTGGAACTCGTAGCATGGCAGCGTAGGCGTGACGGGAGTAACTGCGCCGGTATAGCAGTTGGCGTGTGTTCGTGTGGGTGTGACGGGCGGTGAGCGAGGCTGAATGGCCGCAGCAACGGCTCTCTGGTGCTGTTGCTGTTGCTTCTGTTGCTGCTGCTGTTGTTGTTCGAAAAGACGGCCGCCGTTGTTGTAGTAGTTGACCCGGGCAGTGTACTCCTCGTGCGAGACCGTGAACCGCGAACACTGGGTGATAACACTCGACAGTTCACCAAGGGTTATCCGCGTCTGCGGGTTGAGGTCAAACATGCGAGCAAGGATGTCGTTGAGTTCGGGGGAGATGGGCAGGATTCGCTGCAGGTAGTGCGGGGATTTGAGAAACGCCTTGAAGGACTCGTCGGTCTCGCGGTTGGCGGTCTTCCAGGGGTTGCGGCCGCAGGTCAGGTTGATGAGGATGACTCCGAGCGACCAGATGTCGTTGGCGGCGACGTCGTATCCGGATGATGAGGTGGGTGCATGACATTCTACAAGAGGTTAGTAGAGTGGTATAAAGGTGGAGGTAATTAAAGTAAGACGCACCAGGAGACATGTAGAAAGAAGAACCGCATCCATACTCGAACGAGATTTTGTCAGTCGTAGCAAGGCCAAAGTCAGAGAGCTTGAGAGTGCGTCCGCCGTCCGAAACAAGGATGTTCTCGGGCTTGAGGTCGCGGTGATAGATGCCCATGGTGTGACAGTACTGGACCGCGTCGACGATCTGCATGAACGCGTCTCTAGCGCGCTCATCGTTTCCCACAAACAGCTTCTTCTCGGTGATGTTCGAAAACAGGTCGCCTTCGGGGCAAAACTCCATGACGACGTAGAGGCCGTCGCGGCGGTCGATGACTTCAACGACCGAGATGATGTTTGGGTGAAGATGAGTCTGCGTGAGCAGCGAGATTTCGCGGTGCAGGATGTCGTTGTGCGTGTCGGCGATGGGCGCGCCGGAGTCGGTGGAGCGCAGGAGGGCCTTGACGGCAAAGGGGACGAGGGTGAAGACGTCGACGGCGGTGTAGACGACGCCGTATGCGCCGACGCCGAGGACACCTGTGAGTTCGATGCGGTCGTCAAGAACGCAGCCGATACGCTGCGAGGCCGCGCGCGCCAGGACAGAGGACGCGGGTGAGGGCGGCATGGCTGAGGAGGAGGGGGGGAGGGGGGAGGGAGAAGAGTGAGGGAGTGTGAATGGACTTGGAGAAGTGGCGATGATGGACGCGGCGGGGAAGATATGTGGACGACGGAAGCCGGCGGCGGCGATCCCAGAAATTAGAGTTTTATGGATGCGTCAGCCCGCTGGCACCGCCACATGCGCCGCAGATTTGTGATTTATGGCGCCGAGTGCTTCCTGCTTCCGGCGCCGTGCATCTTGCGCAGAGGCAGGAGCGAGCAGCAGAGGGAAGAGAGGGATTGTTTGGGGTGTAGGAGGATGATAGAGATGGAATAGACAAAATACAGCCAGATCAGGCCTCGGAATAGCAAGAAACGGAGGAGAAAGGGTTACCAATCTGGCTGCCTATTTAGGAAGCAGTGGAAAAGGGCAAGACAGGTGACATCACAAACATTCCAAGGCTGCCGCTTCGCGAATAGCGCGCAGAGCATTGAAGAAGAAGCGCACGGCAGGCACGGATCTGGCTGGCCCTTCCCTGTCGCCACACGTCCGCTGCTTTCTCCAGGCCGTCGCTGCCGCCGCGCTCGGTTGTGCTCGGCTGCGTGCGGGCTTTGCTGGGATTCGGTGTGCGCAGGAGCGGGTGCAGGAGCGGGTGTGGGTGTGGCTCGGCGGGCGGTGGTGAGGAAGTTGATAGGGAGAAGGAGCGAGGAATAGGGGTCGACTGGCTGGCTGGCCCACAGTGCACCCACTCCATCATCAGCTGCTCTACGGGGATTCGGGTCTTGCGAAGACGACTACGGGATGACGATGATGATAACTATGATGATATAGAATATAACAAACAATAACAAAACAAAAGCGTAAGAGATCTAGACATAGGTAGATGCACATGCAGAGCTCATCTTCTCCAAACATCCCCAGCACTTCCCCTAATGAACACCCGCTGGCTGGTTACCAGCAGCCAGCCCAGGTGACAAGCCTCAATATCGCTCCTGGGTGCATGACCTTTGCTTACCTGCTGTTTCCCTTCGTTGTACGCGCAAAAAGAAAAGAGCTTCGAATATCAAGCATCGTGCAGCGCTGGAGCATGAACACCGCGTGTAAAAGGGAAGGACCTGCCGAGCCAACGCACTCTTCTCGCTGCAGGAGCTCTCGTGGGGTTCTGAGCACTTGGTCTATGGCTGAAACTGCCAGCGATGGTCTAGTCTGCTGCCAGCTATACTCGACAGAGTTGACTGCCAGCACTATCGTCTTGTCCGTCGTCTGGCCTGCGACCTTGACCTTGCTCCTCCCAACCACCACGCCCTCCACGCTTCCCCATCTCCCAACCAGCTCACACCTCCACCCCCCTCAGCACCCGCGCAAGACACCCACCTCAGCAAACCATCAAACAGGCAACGAGCAGCAATCTCTGCAAATCCTGCGCCTCCAAAAAAAAATCCGCCTATCTCAAAGCGGTAATCATAGCACCCGCTCACAACTCTGATCATCATCTCATTGACCGTCCATCCAACCTGCCTGCCTCTTTGGGCAATCATATTGAATTTCCCTCGTCCATCTCCCTCCACCGCGCGGCCTTTTGCAACTGCGCCCGACTAAAAAGCAAAAGCATAGGCGAGATGCAAATCCAAAGCCTGCCGGATTACAGACAACCCACTATATTATTCGTTTAAACATCTTTTTCTCTCTGCCTTCCTCGTGTAGAATACGCCTCTTTTTTCTTCTTCTGAAATACTTACTTTCACCTACTCGCGCCCGCCCACGCTATGCACACTACCGACCAATCCGGCAAACATAGTTTTGTGATATCTTTCATCTTATTCAAATAAAGATGATTGATTTTATAAATCAATCTGCCTGTCATCCGACTTTTCCGAGCCCCTTTCATCCCTTTTTTCTTTTTATCCATGCAGCTGCAGTCGCTCGGCGCCCATCGAGGCTGTCAAGTACGACTATCAATTACTTTATCGTAAACATCTGGTGCCTAGAAGATAACAGCAGAGCATTGCCGCTGCATCTGTGATTCTGACACCCTCGTCCCCTTCTCCCCAGCGCCGCAGCAGGCCACTTACGTATATCCCCCTGCGCTCATCTCTAACGTTCAATATCAATTGTCTCCAGCTGCTATATATATCTCTTTTCACGACACTCCGAGAGAAAATGGAGGAGCACCGTAACGCGCGTCGGCGTCTCGTTCACGGCTTGACGTCACACTGAGGCTTCACAAAACCGCGCACGTCCTCGTCGCCGTCGTCGTCCGCATCGTACTCCTCCTACTAGCCACAACGCTTCCGCGTTCTATATACCTTCCGTCTGTATATATCAGAAAGAATAACTCTTGATTTTACTCTACAGGCCTGGAATATAATATATAGAGAGAAGAGACTAGGTCGATGCATCTGCGCTATCGCAACCAACCGAGCTGAGCCGCAAGCCTTTCCTGCTTCAGAAAACCAAAGAAGACGAGACAGGAAGGACCCTGTCTGCGCTCCCTTATCCTCCACGTCTCCGATCCTTCGATCCACTTCTTTCGTCTAAATTCCCGCTGCTCACAACTTATTATAGAAAAAAAATCTATATAAACCCGCGCGGTGCCCCCGGGGCAAGAACGCTGTGACAGCAGTGAAACGGAGAATGACGAAAGTTGGGTCGTCGTTTCGTTTCAAACACTTCGTGACGTCAGAGATGGGCGGCGCAGCAGCCCCCCGGTCAACGTGTACGGTCTCGTTTCTATGTGCGTCTTGAAACTGCAGAGACTCGATTGTTTCGATCTTGTGAGTTGGTTGTAGACTGATACACGAAGTGCGAGAAGATCGTTGCGTCTGATGTCGAGCGAGGTAAGGACATTGGGGATGTAGAAGACAACTCTGCAGCAAAAGTCCTGCCTCACGACACCTCGATATGAAGCCAAGATCGCATTATTTCGGTCGAGAAAGATAAGATTAGATGCCGATATTATTAAACATATATATTTTTGAAAACCAGTGCCTGACAATCTTCTCTGGCTACATTAAATATATGTAGATTCCAGGTCACGTGGTTACGAGATGATGATGATGATGATAAATCTCTGTTTTAAGTCCGTTGCAACAACTAGGTTATGACAGACACGTGGTTACGAGATGATAAGCCTATACGTAATTAAAGATATGCGAATTGTTATCACATGCTAAGTAATTAAGGATCAGTAGACAGATTCGCATATATTTCAGCGATCATCATCAATATAATCTACAAATCATCACAGAGCACTTTATGCTGTTCAGCTAAAGCAGTCTAATGATTTGCAATCACGTGATTTGCTTCTATCATGTAATGCACAGAGATGCTCTAGATCCAGATCATCACCATGCTTTTCTCGCTTTGGCTGAATCGATGGCAGTCTGGCTGATTTAAAATAAAAAGCCGGGAGACTCGCTTACTACAAAAAGAGCGGCGATGAATGAATGAATGAACGAGTTAAAATACCGAGAGTGGCCGGCTTTTCCGGTCTGGCTTGGGTCTACGAACACTTAGGGCGTTTGCGCCGCGGTCATTGGCTTTGGCTTTCAATCAATTTTCAATCAAGATTAGCGGTCCGGGTGTACCGCCGGAAGATCTATCAATCTAGCTTTGACGGAGGTGATATTGTTTTCATACAAGAGTATTTGCTTATTGCGCGGGACAGGCTTCCGCAGCTAATAAGACGGCTTGATGGTTTGCGCCGCCTGCCTTTGTTGTTTATCTTGTTGTCTATTCTGTTGTTTATTATTGTTGTTTATTGTCAGGAGAAGATGAGGAAGTGGTGAAACGAAACGACTTGGGATATAGTTTACTTTGGTTGCTGGCATCACATCTCGTTTAGACGGCCGTCACATGGCAATAAGTTTGGAGGAGGTAGAGTTGGTGGAGTGATGGAATGAGATCTAGACGGCCAGTACATAGCCAGCCTGCTCTTAGAAGACAGAGAAGACAGAGAATGCGCACCACTCAGAGAGAAGGAAGAGTCAGCAGCAGCAGACACTTCTTGCTTACAGACACTTGCTCCCACGCTCTTGCCCTGCCGCCAGCACACCTCCACACACAAATATTTAATGATTATTCAATGAATATTAATGAATGTGCGCTTGCGTTTCAGGTGGGTGTACGCGTTCATTATATGTTTGAGGACGACGATAGTGTGGGCGGGTGAGACAGCGGACTTTGTTCGTCCGCGGAAAAGGCGTAGAACGGGTGAGGAAGTTTAATCATCATACCAACCACGCGACTGGCTAGTCAGCATGACGACTGACGACTAAGAGCGATGACAAGGGAGGATAAGCATAAGCATAATCGCAAGAAAGATGGGCGACGACGCCAGCCGAAGCTTACGAGTGCAAGTGACGTGGTGACATCTTGTTCATCTCCGGCTTCTTTGCAGGTGGACATTGACTGTAGGCAGCCAGCGTGCTGTGGTTGGGAAGTAACGCTGCTTGTTGGGCGGAGGGTTGTTAGCGTGGATTTTAGGCGGCGGTTGTCTGGATCCAGACATTCTTCTCGGATAAAGGCGTTCAGACTGCGGTTAGCGCAAGACAGTTGCGTACCGTCGACTTTCATTCATGTACGCGGCCCACCACCTGCTGCCATCATCACCACCGCCTCCGTCTTGTGCAGAAAGACACTTTCATCCCCTTCAAAACAGCTTGCAAATCTCCTCCGTCCCATTCGCCTCTCGCTCCTCGACACAACGCACTCGAATCAGTGCCAAATACCAAGTCCCCGAAATAAAACCCTAAACTCGCCCAGCAGCGGCAACCAGCACAGAACTCTAAACACTCAGCATAAAAAGCTTAAAGTCTCGGTTAGGAAAAGAGATTTCGATGCGCACACGCGCTGCAACAGCAAATCTGCACTGAGTTAAATGAGTCCGGACAAAAGCAATCGAGCGACGCTATTTGTAATGCTGACCGTGGGTCGAATAATCCATCACCACCTCGCTCTGTTTCCCTTTCTCTTCCTCTTTCTCTGCCCTCTCCGTCGTGTTTGTAAGAATATCTCGTAGTCGATCGATATAGAGCCCCTCCTCTTCGCGCGACCAACTTACCCCCTCCTACATAGTCGGCCTGCGTAGCATCCTGCGTCCTGCATCCTGCCTGCATCCCACCCTTAGCCCCTGCTCCTGGCCCTGGCTTTTTTTTGTTTACCCGTTCGGCCTCCCTCCGGCTCCAACTATGTTCATGCTCATGCTCCACTCCGTAGCCCGTACTCTCTCTCACGGGCTTGGCGCACACGTCATCTACGTCCAGCTCCGAAAGCCATTGAGAGGGTCCTGCCGGGGAGTGGGGAGTTGGGATGCTGGCAAAAAGACCTGGAGGTGAGGACGAGGAGGAGAGAGAGATAACGGCTGGGCAGCGACAGGAAAGGGAATTTCTCGGCCATTCACGAACATAAACCTAATCCACCGCCTGTCAAAAACACAAGAACGCCCACCAAATCTAACGCAAGCCAAGCCCAGTCTGCCGTTCTGCTCTGATCCAGCGACGAGAATCTGCCCGTCTGCGATGCGAACGGATAACGAAAAAAAAACATGAAAAAAAATGAAAAAAGGTAAATAGGCAAGAGGAAGAGTAGCGCAGGCGAAAGATGAAAGCTTATGGGCTGGCTAGGGTTGACGTCACGGCGTTACCTTGCGGCAGTTCCGAGGCACTCTGCGGTTCGACTCAGTCTGTTCTGGGAGTTATACAAGATAGACAGGAGAGAAGAGAGATGTAGTTCTCTGCTGGGTTGATTGCGAGAGCAGGGACAGAGCAGGTGGGGACGGGGAAGAGCACCCGGCAAAGAAATTCCGCATCAGACATAATCTGATGATCAAACAAAACAGCGGCCACTAGCAGTGATAATCAGATAACTCATCCGCCAGCCGGCCGGCTAGTTCCGAATCGCCGCGCCCTCGCCCGTTCTTCTTCCTCACCTGTTTTTTTTCTTATTGTTCTAGTGCGGTCTGTCGGTCCCCCGCACGCACGCTCTATGCAGTGCTGTGCAGTGCTGTGCAGTGCGAACAGCAGTTCTCGTACACTCACCTCGAATCCAGTCCCCATTATCCGTCCCTGCCGAGCGCGACGAAAGCACACGAAGATAGTAATCCGGCTCGTACAGCCTGGGCAGGAGAGACAAGACTTGTCAAGCCTTGCTTCCTCACCGTGCCCGATCAATTTCTCATACGACGATTCCTTGGCCAACTCTGTTTTTTCTTTTTTCTTTTTCTGTTTAATTTGCCGTGTCGCAAGACAGGCGGAAAGAGTAAACCACTCCGGTCGGAAGAGGGGGGCAAATAAATGGCCGGTGCGTGGTTTGACTCTAACCGGCGCCTGTACTCGCTCTCTGCCTGCCTGTTTTTTTCTGCTGGCTCTGGCCTTGGTCTATGCCGTTCGCTGGATGTGCTGTGTCTAGACCCCGCATGGACCCCTAAACGCAGTAGGGCACGCGAGCACGCAAACCGCAGCAGCGACAAATAGAGACCACTACAGCGCGACGCAATAACAGCAGAGCAGGCAGCGACGTGACAGAGTGCCAGCACTGGGCTGTACACGAACCCAAGACAATACAAGAAATGCCAAGTCGTAGTCAAGCTTGTGAAGAGCCCGCGACGTGAAGGCCGAGCCGACGTCGCAGCACCGCGTGCAGGCAGAAAACCAAATTAAGCTCGTCGCTCGTCGGAACTAATCAGATCTAGACTGGTCGACCGACCCGGCTCGAGAGTCGGTCGGATATCCAGTTCCATCTCTTTGTCCCTGCCTCGCTCCCTGCTCCTGCACTTCTTCCTGTCGCTTTTGTCTCCTGCTTCTTTTGCTCTGCTTCTTCGCAACAGCACATACACACACCCTCACTCACTCTCACACCCACCCGTCCACCTCGTCACCGGCGTGCCAGCGGGCTGGTCGCGCCGCATGAGCTTAATTACGATAACTCTAACCAAATCTAAGCATTTAAGCTTTAACTCTATTCCGGCTTTGGGTACACACAAAATTTACTCGCTCCATCTGCAGGACGCTATCCTCGACCATCTGCTCTATACCCAACGCCCCTCGCTCTCCACCCATATACCATCCGCACCGATCATCTATGGTCCAGACCCTCTCCCCCGTCCATGCTCGCTATTTTTCCTTCCCTTGTCGCGCCAAGGCAGGAAAGAAAACGAAGCAAAAAAAAAACGCTAGCAAAAATATACCAATCGCCGTTCGACACATTCGCACACTGTAAATATATTTGGCGCTTGACTGGACGCCTGTGCACGCCTGACACGTCTTCCGGACCTGTACCGATCTCTCTTGCCACCATTCATCTCTTCGTGCTTATATATCGCCGCCTCTCCTTCGTCTCTCCTCCCTTCTCTTCTCCCACCTCCGCTGTCAAATAGACATTCATCTCCCCCCTCCCCTCACCCCAGTCTTCATTCCACAATGAAGTTCCTCTCGGCGCTTGCAGTGCTTGCCGCGGCCGCCTCCGTGCAGGCTAAGATCAAGCAGCCCAACGCCTGCACCAAGATCTGCAGCAGTTTCCTCGCCTCCTTCCAAACCGACCTCGGCTGCGACAACTCCGAGGACTTTGACTACGCATGCTCGTGCCAGTCCGAGATCTACACGGACTCGTTCGCGCTCTGCGTCAAGACCTGCTACGACGACGAGCGCGTTTCGGCCTGGAAGACCTGGGTCAAGAAGTGCACCAAGGCTGGTTACGCCTACAGCGAGGGATGGGATTACTACTACGAGGAGGGTCTTAGCGACTACGTTAGTGCCGCTAACATCAACAAGACCACTGTCGTCGACAAGCCTGTCCTCCCCAAGTACGCGACTGTTCACAACAACTACCTCGCTCGCTTCCAGAAGAACCGCACCATGGTCTGGGCTGAGTACTACGGGTCAGTTCCTCTGTCCTTTGAAGTAATTGTGCGATAAAAACTAACACCACATCCAGAAACATCATCAACTCTCTCTGGGCTCTGCTCATTCTCATCTCCTTCCTGCGCCTTGTCTCGGTCCGCTTGAGCCCCCGCAAGGGATCTGCTCCCTACGGCTTCGTCACCAAGTTCCGCAAGATCTTCATCCTCCCCGCTACCTTCGGCAAGCGTCACATCCAGTCCGTCAAGGGCTTGGGTACCGTCCCGCTTCGCTGGCAGGCACTCGTCGTCTTCCTTCTCTTCTGCATGATCATCATCTTCTCGTTCGTCGACATCCACATGACCCCGCTCCCCAACACCTACTACTCGCATGCGCTGCAGTGGGGTCGTTATATCGGTGACCGCACCGCCATCCTCGGAATCATCCAGCTCCCGGTCCTCTTCCTCTTCGGCGGCCGCAACAACATCCTCATGCTCCTCACCGGCTGGTCGTTCGAGACCTTCAACGTCTTCCACAAGTGGCTCGGACGGTTCACCTTCCTGGCCATCTGCTTCCACGCCTGGGCGTTCTCGTACTACTACGGCAACGTCGGCGGTCAGAACGGCACCGGCAAGTGGGAGTACTACAAGGAGGAAATCCTCCAGACCAAGGAGAACTACCTCGGAATCGTCGCCATCGTCATGATGGGCCTCATCATGATCGGCGCCGCCTACCCTCTCCGCCACCGCTGGTACGAGGTCTTCCTCGTCTTCCACATCTCGCTCGCCATCTGCTTCTTCGCCGTCGCCTGGCATCACGTCAAGGAGCACGGCTACATGAACTACTTCTACGCCGCCACCGCCGTCTGGGCCTTCGACGTTCTCCTGCGCGCGCTCCGCGTCGCGACCGCCGGTCCCTTCACCAAGGCCCAGATCACCGCGCACGGCGACGCCATCTACATCGCTGTCAAGCCCTCGCTGCGCTGGTCCGCCAAGCCCGGCCAGTACGCCTTCATCTACGTCCTCCGCCACAACTTCTGGGAGTCGCACCCGTTCTCGATCGTCGAGACCCGCGACGGCCACTACATCTTCGTCGCCAAGAAGCATAAGGGTCTCACCCACAAGCTGCACACCTCCGTCTCCAAGACCGACAACAAGACCGACATCGCCCGCGTCTGGATCGAGGGCCCCTACGGCGACACCTTCCCCGTCGCTCGCTACGAGACCGTTCTCCTCATCGCCGGTGGTATCGGAATCACCGCCATGCTTTCCTACGCGCTTGACATGAAGCGCAAGGGCACCGACCAGCACGTCGTCCTCTACTGGATGGTCCGCGAGTCCTCCTCGCTCAAGTGGGTCAAGGAGCAGCTCGCCGAGCTCACCGAGTCCGGCCTGATCGAAATCAACATCTTCGTCACCGGCGAGTCCGAGGGCGAGAAGACCGCCGCCGCAGGCGATGAGTCCTCCACCTCGCTCTCGGACGCCTCGGCCTCCGACAAGGAAGGCCGCGCCATCTCCGGCCCGCGCTACTCCGTCAAGTTCAACGCCCGCCCGGAGATCAGAGAAGTCATCGCCTCGACCGTCAAGTCCGCCGAGGGCTCCGTCGCCGTTGTCTCCTGCGGCCCCGACACCCTCGCTGACGAGTGCCGCTCGGCTACTACCGAGAACCTCGACCAGGGCAAGGGACGCGTCGACTACTTTGAGGACGCGTTCTCGTGGGCTTAAATGGTTTAAATATAAAAGAAAATGCTTTTTTGTGGGTTCGGTTTAGTAGTTTTTTTTTTCCTTCTTTTTGTTTCATGGATGACTTTTATTTTATTTCACTTAGAATTGTCTAATTTCGCTAATTACTTAATATTGCAATAATACATGATATGTAACGATATTCACTATTTACTAAATCTCATTTACTTGAGAAGACTAAGCAGCGGCCTCAAGCTCCTTAAGCTGTCGAAGAGTGTCGACGACCGTATCCTTGTAGCTATGAAACTTCAAATCAGGAAAGACCTCCTTCACCTTCGCCAGGTTCGCGCCGCCAATCGCTCTCTCGCGCTTCAACAGCTCGTCCGAGTCATCCGGCCCCTTCGCGTACGCCTCACCCTCGGCCTGATACTTCTTGATAATCTCAATCAAGCTCGAGTACGAGAAATACCCGGGCGAGACGATGATCCGCTGGTTCTCGGCCTTGGGGTTCCCGAGCGCGGCCACGTGCGCGTACGCGAGGTCGCGCACGTCGACCTCGATGAAGGAGTGCTCCGGGTCCGGGTTCTCGGGAGTCTTGTTGAAGCCCTGGATGATTTGGTTCGAGGTGTTGACGGTCGAGGCCGTGACTTGCTGGTACATGGGGCCGAACACGAAGGGAGGGTTGAGCACCGTGATTGCGAACTTTGCGTTTTCGGCTTTCTGGAAGTCCCATGCGGCCTACACATCAATTCATTAGCATATGGTGAGGGGAAAAAAGGAGATTTGGATAAGTACCTGCTCGGCGACCAACTTGCTGGTAGCATAAGCATAGCTAGCATCTTTCTTCACCGCCTCCTCCCACGTATTCTTACACCAAACAGACTCATCGTAAATGCGGTCTCCCTTCAAGATATACACCGGCCCATCAAACACCGACGCAAACGACGCCGTAATAACAACCTGCTTCACCGTATCCTTCGCGTTCTTCTGAATCGACCGCAAAACACCCAATGTGCCCTCCCGCGCAGGAACAAGCAAGTCCTTCTCGTTATCGCTCACGTTGAGCACGAACGGCGACGCAACGTGCACCACGTACTCCGCGCCCTTGACCGCCTCGTCAAACGCTCCGGGTGCAGTAATATCCAGCACAATCACAAACGTGAGCTTGCCGCTCGCGACCGCGTCCGGGTGCTGCGCCTTGATGTACTCGGCTTTCGACGCAGACCGGATGGCGGCCACGACGGTGTAGTCCTTTGCGATCAATTCCGCGAGCACGGCGGCGCCGATGAAGCCTGTTGAGCCGGTGAGGAGGACTTTGGGTGACATGCTGGTTTTGATTTGTGGTAGAATGTCAAGTGTGGGAGATACGGGGGAGGAAGTTGACAGAAGATGGGTGAGGTGGACGAGAATATAACGGGATCGGCGAGTGATTTTGTACCTCGGACTTGGCGATCACGCCCGTCGCTATCGCCTCGACAACTCCGTTTACCCTGCCTCGCATACCTCTTACATCCCATCCATCTACATCTATTTCATTATAAGAAAAAGTACAAATAGAAATAGTATCAAGTACTAAGGAAATGTAAGAAGAGCCAGCGTATTCAGGCTATCTGGAACCTTCCACTTCTGCTGACAAATTAAACTTGCTGATGATGAAAGATGATATCACGTCGGCGTCGGCAACTGCTCGGACATCGTCGGCTTTGCTTAGTAAGTGCTTATGAACCCAAATATCTTCCATCTCAATTCAGGAATGCATATGACTGCTGCAATTCAGTGATCAGAAGCCTTGCCGGGCGTAAATAATTGTCTTTGAATTGGGAGGGAAGAAAATTACGAAATGGCCGGCGCGTTAATAATGTGTTTACTTTCGTCCCAAACGAGAAACCCCATTACACCAGACACACGCGCCCGCCTGAACTCGAACACAGCGCGCTCACCGCCCGCCTCTCTTTCTCCCTTCTCCCCTCCTTAACCTCATCACGGATTTTCGGCTTCCGTCCCACGACAACTGTCCGGTCTATTTTCCAGCAATAGATCGGCACGGACGATATTTCGGCTCTCTCTCTCGACGGCAAAAACTTGGGGAGTGGGGAAGAGGAGGCTTTGATCTCCTTCTCTTCTCTCGCATGCATGGCACCTCGTGAAGTCGTCAGAAAGCTGTCTATCCTGCGCAGGTAGCACTCTTAGAGGGTGGCATATACCGCAGTGGTAGCATTCTCAAAGAGTAGCCTATACTGTTTCATGAGCGTTTCCAGAGAGTTCGCAATACCGCGCGGGTAGCGTTCTCGTACTGAGAGCAGCGTACACCGCGCCAGGTAGCACTCTCTGGAAATACTTTGTGGAACAGTAGAGGCTCATCTTTGAGGGTAGCATATACCCAGGTAGCCCTCTCTGAGAGTAGCATATACCGCAGCAGGTAGGACTGGCTTTCTGGTGGCATAACCACGAGAGGTGAGAGAGCTGCTGATTCCGGTCCGGATTCGCGGTTGCTCTTCCTCCACGAGTGGACGTCGTGCCATGCATGCGAGAGAGGAGAGGGAGAGAGAAGCTAACTCGACCAAGCGGTCTGGTAACTGATCCGCACGCGCAGATACCGGGTGAGTGCGCTCAAAGGAACCGCAATTCCGTTGTCGGCCCGGTCCCTCTGCGTGGCCGCCCGTACGCGTGGAGATCCTGCCGGTCAGGATCGGCGCGGTTGGTCAGGGCGGTCAATCTGATGAGTTTCTTCTTTAGCCAGGTTGCTCATCGGATTTAAAACGTCTTCGTTGTCGCGTCTCTTTAACATATGCACTGGTAAGTTGCGCTGTCGCAAGGGAGCCCCGAGGCGACGGTTGTTGAAGAGAGTCCGCATGGCCAAGTGGTTCAAGCGCAACGTTGACAATCCACCAATACGGGGGCGGTCTATGACTGTCTCCTGGGTGAAGTCGGGTTTTAGTGGGTATGGCGATTTCGAGAGAGTCGCAGAGTCCCACATAACTCTTGGATAAGAGCTTCTCTTGTTCAAGAGTATGCGTAATGCATTCTTCCCGATCCTGGCACCAATCGCTATATGCGCGCTCTTACTGTTTCTGTATTTTCTGTATCTGCTTCTCTGGTAATGTGCTGTTATGCTGTTATGCTGACATGCTGTTATGCTGTTGTGATGTTTTGCTGTTACTTTGTTTTGTTGTTCTTTTGTTCTTTTGTTTTATTATGTTCTTTTGTTTTATTATGTTCTTACGTTATATTTTTAGCTGAGAGCAGAGTTGTTTGTGTATTTGATGTACAAGAGCGCGCTGGCGGTACCGTATTGTAAAACTAAGAAAGAAAAAAAAACAAATCCTCTTTTTATTCTTGAACTACTAATGCTTGAGCAGGAGACAGTTGGTATATGTTGTGGCAGTAAGTACATCGGCTGGTTTGTGCACGAACAAGTACTCTATTTCTGTTACTAGGACATTTGTCATGAAACGCAGGTATTTTCGATGATCGATCTATTTGATTAATTCCAAGTGTATTTTTTCTTGAATATCCCTTGAGAAAGAGATCGAATGAGATCATAGCGGGTAGTGCGTCGCAGCACGCCGGATGACATCTCCCCGCAACCCCACTCTCATATGAAAGATGGGTCACGAGAACAACTCGGACTGATTCCGAGAGAGAATTTGCGAGAAGCAGCTCTTGAAGTAGAAGAGGACATGTTGTATGCTGCAGTTGACCAATACAGGGGATAAAAATAGCAACAGATACAGGATATTGCGACAAAGCGAGAGCAAGTTCGGCCAAGTCCTCTTCAGCGCGCTCAACTCCGACACATTCAGACTGATCTTATAAGAAAACGTCAAGTAAGTAGACAGGCTGACAGCAAGTCGAGAATCAAGACATCAGACAGGCGACGGATGCTCGGATAGTGGGGATCGATGATTCAGGGGGGACAGTAGATCTGAGATGCCGGGGGTGAGACAGAATAAGCGTATCCGAGAGGCGGAGAGCAGGAGACTAGACTAGAGATAGAATAGCGCGAAAAGCTGACGAGCGAATGAGAAAGCGTATAAAAGAAAGCAGGACAGAGGTTGAGTGAGGAAGAGTGAAGAGCAGGCCGGGAAGAGTGAGAGCAGAGAGCGCCATGTGCGGCGCGGAGTCAGTGCGCCGACGTCATCGCTCGCTGTCGACTCTCGGCGTTATCCGAACTTCGGAGCAGGGTTTGTGAAAAGTTTTCCTTGGTCGGGGATGGGTACTTTGAGATCCTGATGAGATGCGGTTTGAGGAGTCGGTGCTCTGTATGAAGATGAAGATGAGAAATAGTAGGATAATAGAAGGTCTACGAGTAGGAGCTGATATATAGCATGCGTGAACAGGGCAGATCGGATATAGAGCACTGTAAATAACAACGCTGTTCAGGACCATCACCATCTCTTTAGAATAGCTCCTTCCAAGCGACGCCCAGCAAGTAGATGAGCAACAAGGCTGCCGGCAGAGCAACCAGCAGCCGGACAAGCCCGACGACAGGCACGCGGGCATTTTACTCTTCAAATCTAAAATGCTTGATTTTCTTAGCTTCGTGTGCAGCGCAGACTCAGTCAACGATTAAAGCTTTGCGCTTAATCTTCCGTTATGCTGGCTCGAGCCCCTCCAACGTCTCGGAGGCAGCAGCACAGACTCGTTTACTCGGCCTGTTATGCTCTCTCGCACGCAGCAGTCGATAGTAATTCGCGCACCGACCGACTGTTAACAATATGATATCGCGATAGATAGCAAACGGTGGTCCAGGACGTTGGCTCTATCACCTCCTCATCTCACTCTCCTGCTGCTCACCTCCAGCTCTTTGTAACCATCTGCTGTTCGTCTTCGTCACAGGAGAGACGTCTAGACAATCATCAGGGCCGTCACAATGGCCATCTCCGCAAGCCTCAGCACATCTCGAGGATAACTTCAGTGGCGCAAAGCCACCTTTCAGCCGCCGTCTGCCGTGGCGCTTTCTTCTTCATTGTCGAGCCCGCAGCTTCCCTACTCCGGAATGGCTTCTTCTCGGATACTCGGTTGCCCTTATCCTCTGCACTTTTTTTCTTCCCCGGCCGGCTGATTAGCGTGTGTTTAGAGTCATTCTGGTGGGGCTCCCAGCTCAAAGAAAAAAATTAATCGCGCTAAACGGCCTTTGTCCTGCAAGATACGCTAACTTGGCTTTCGTCGTGCCGAACGATATCGGTGCCGCACTGACGGAGTTGCCCTTCCTCGCTCTCCGATTACTGCTTCCCCGTACTCTTTCCTACCGCTCTCACTACAGAGTTACGCGGCCTCCATCGGCGGGGTTCCTAATCACAGTTCCTTCACGGCCTCTGTCCTGACGTCTATATAAATCCCTCAGCATCCCCCCTCTGTCCTGTCCTGTCTTCTCTGTCTGCCTTTGATCTCGCTGCCTCTGCCTCCTGCCTCTCCTTGCCTCTAGATTTTATAAAGAGAAAACTTCACTACATCAATTGCAATGCAGGAAGAAATGTATTACGAGAAAACCAACACCGACTCCCTCGGTTCCCTCGAGAAGGGCGTCGACGTCGATACCATCAAGTACGACGAGTCTACATCGGGATCCATCGACACTCCCAGCTTTTTGCAGAGATTCGCCGAGCGCTTCAACATGGAGACTCGCGGTATCGAGATCGTGCCTGAGTCTGAGAAGGTTGAGAGCTCGCTCTGGAACGCGGCTTCTATGTGGTACGTCAAATCCCTTTCTGATATAGATCATCTAGGGATCAAAAGCTAATTGTGAAATAGGTTCGCGGCAAACATGGTCGTATCTACCTTTGCCATGGGTCTCCTCGGCATCTCCATCTTTGGAATGACCTTCTGGGACTCAGTCCTCACCATCATCTTCTTCAACTTCATCGGCATGCTCCCCGTGGCCTTCTTCTCCACTTTCGGCCCCGAGTTTGGTCTTCGCCAGATGATCCTCTCCCGCTACTGGTTCGGCTACCACATCGTCAAGATCTTTGCCGCGCTTAACTGTATTGCCTGCGTCGGCTGGGCGGCCGTCAACACCGTCGTCGCCGCGCAGCTCCTGCACTCTGTCAACGACGGCGGCTTGCCTGCCTGGGGCGGCGTCATCGTCATCTCCGCCGGTGGCCTGTTCATCACCATCTTTGGCTACAAGATCGTCCACTTTTACGAGCGATGGGCGTGGATCCCGACCGCAATCATCTTCCTGATTGTCATTGCGCGCCTCAAAATCTCTGGCGCATTCACTGCCGGAACCATGGGCACCGGCCGCGCCGAGGCCGGCGCTGTTCTCTCGTTCGGCGCCTCGCTTTACGGATTCGCGACCGGCTGGGCTACCTTTGCCTGCGACTTTGTCGTCTACCAGCGCAAGGACACTTCCAAGACCAAGATCTTCTTCTCCATCATCTGCGGCCTCGGTTTCCCGCTCTGCTTCTGCGAGATCCTCGGCGCGGCCTGCATGTCCGGCACGCTCTCCAACGCCGACTTCCTTGCGCAGTACAACAACAACGGCACCGGCGGTCTTCTCTTTGCCATCCTCGTCGACGACTCGCTCCACGGCTTTGGCCAGTTCTGCGTCGTCGTCCTCGCGCTTTCGACCATCGCAAACAACTGCCCGAACCTCTACTCTGTCTCGCTCTCCGTCATGACCGTCTCCGACTACGCCTGCAAGGTTCCCCGCTTCGTCTGGAGCGCCATCGCCACCGGTGTCGTCATCGCCATCGCCATCCCGGCGTACTACCACTTCACCAGCTTCATGGACAACTTCATGAACATCATCGGCTACTGGCTCGCAATCTACGAGGCCATCGCGCTCTCCGAGCACTTCATCTTCAAGCGCGGCTTCTCGGGCTACGACGTCTCCATCTACCAGAACCCCTCCAAGCTGCCTATCGGTCTCGCGGCCTTCGGCGCCTTCTGCTGCGGTGTCATGGGCGCCGTCATGGGTATGTCGCAGGAGTGGTTCACCGGTCCGATCGCGAAGCTCATCCCCGGTGACGTCGGATTCTTGCTTGGCTTTGGATTCGCGCTCGTCGCGTACGTCACCCTCCGTCCTTTGGAGCTCAAGTACTTTGGCCGTTAAGCCCATATAGAGAAGGGTCTTAGCACTCTCACCACAAAAGTTTTTGCTTTTTCTTCTTGTTTCTGCTTTTGCTTTAATTTCTTATGATTTCTTATTTATGGTTTTGTTTGGTCTGGTGTATTGTTGCTTTTTTGCTGGTGGGTTCGGTGGTTATAGAAATCGGCTTTTGTAGTCTTTAGTTTTCCTATAATAATACTTTCATTTCCTTTACTCAGTTTACTCTCATCAGAGCATTAGCCAGTCTATTAGCAATACATCTATAAACCTCCATCTAAGCTTCTCTCTATCCACCACCACCTCACCAAACTCCTGTACATTTACAGTTCCCAGACCGCGCTCGAGCTCTGGATGCCGTCGAATATCGTCGTGTTTGTCATCGGTACGTATTGTCGCGTGATGAGCTAGATTCGATCGGTTTGTTAGTCAGAGGGGAATGTTTGGTAAGAAAGAAGTAGGATGGGTGCGCACCTTGACTATCTCTTGGGCTGCGATGCCGCCTAGTAGAGACGAGATGTTGTGCAACTCCCCGCCGCCGTATCGGACACTGTGCCGAAATCAAGTTAGCAATAATGTGAGGAAGACAAAGAAAGAGGCCAGACGAATGAACATACAATTCCTTCAACACACTCGCCGTCCGCTCGTTAACTTCCGTTCCTCCAAGCGACCCCACAATCTCAAGCGCGATCTCCTTCAACACCTTCTCATCCTCATCAACCTCTTCGACTGTTCCGGGATACCTCTTCTCCCGCTCCTCGAAAACCTCGACCGCTCGAAACCCGACGTACACGCTCATCAACGAATTCTCCTCCTCCAACTCCTGCAAAATCTTCTTTGCCCGCGCCGTCGAAGGCGTGTACTCCTCCTCCAGCGACCGACCGTCAAAGACAACCAGGTTCCGTGAAAATTTGCAAAACGTGTCCACCTCGTCCGAAGAGATCGCGTCGGCCGGCCGGCCGAGCGAGAGTAGCAGTTCAGACACGCGCGAAGCAACCCAGTCGCGGTCCTCGAGCGCCTTTGAGCGGTAGATACTTTGTAGCTTGATGTAGGACGTCGTGTCGGCTTTCATGTCGGGGAGGGTGCCGGAGAGGGGCAGGTGACCGCCGCTTGAGGGTGATTTGGTGAAGTCGGAGATTGCTCTTGCGAGAATCCAGAATTTCGAAGTCTATTGATGCAATAATGATAGATCGTTAATACTCTGGTGGCATGAAATAATAGAACAGCTAACGAGAGCAAACTCACCGACGGACTAAGATTCTGCGCTCTATCGTCATTTAAGATAGCCTGGCTATTCGACGGAATCTAAAATCGCCAAGTCATAAATCAGCACCTCCGCCCTACCTTGCACAAAATAGAAGAGAAATGACCCACGGTTGTAGCCTGAGTGGCTCGCCAGACAGTATTTATCGCCTCGTCGAAGTTCTCGGCGTCGCTTGATCGGACGCCGGTTTTGATTAACGCCTTGAATTCCTTCTTTTCTGCGTAGGTTGATGGTGGAGAACCACCATGCTATAGAGACGTGTTACTCCGATCAGCATTTGTAAACATCATGGTCAAAGATAAGCCCAATTAAAATCTTACCGCATCTTTCCATTGCTTGAGATATATCAACAGCAGCGCCAAATACGGCACATGAGCATGATCCATCTCCGACAACCCATCCAGCTCGATCCCGAACGCGAATCTCTCTAACTCCGGCCACGGACAATCCAGCCTCAGATCAACCGTCGACTCCGGATGCGATTCCACGACCGTATGCTCTGGCGTGACGATCCTCAGCCGCGCGTAGAAGCCAATCGAGTTTATGATCACGAGCGGGATCTTCTTGTCCCACAGGACCTTGCTGATCGGTAACAGCACCGACGGGCGGATCTGGTGTGCGACCACGAGCGAGTATTTCTCCCAGTACGAGGGGTCGAGTTTGTCGAACTCGGACAGCGTCAGGCTCTCGAAGCGGCCGACCGAGTCCGTGTTTAGCTCTTGTAAGAATTCGGCGACTTTGGCGGCGCGCGGATGACCGATGCTGGATTCGTCGAGGAAGAAATTGACGTCGACGTCTTCTTCCGTCGTCAGTTTGTCGTCAACTACTGTGAATGATCCCGTGCCTATCATCGTCAATCGTCAGTTCGCCATCTCCCCACACCAGAGCCGCAATCGCTCTAAACTCAGCTCAAATTCAGACAATTACACAGAATACACACCAGGTAAAACCAAATTCTTCAATGTCTCCGCACCAGCAGCCGAAGCAGTCAACAAAACCACATGCGCCTCCTCCAGCGCCGCCTGCCCGTTCGCAGCCCACAACCGCAGCTGGCGATCATACTTGCGGTCTCGCGCGCTCACAACGTGTGGCGTTGCTGACCGCGGAACGTCGGTTTCGCCTGCTTTCTGCATCTTCTTTGTATTCTGGAGTGTATAACAAGAGAGTAACGAAGGACTCTCGCCGTCTATTGCTGGTTGATCTGAGTTGGCTGTGATGCTTGCTTGAACAGATAGGTTACGTAATATGCGGGTGAAACCTTATTTGTCCACCGTCGAAAAATCAGAACCTCGACCGCGGGATGCTGTCTACGCTTTCTAGTATACTAATTGGCTCACTTGATTCAAATATCTGGGCCAATCTATTGTCTATGGATATTAGAAGATATCCCATATCTGCGATCGAGTAGTCCCGAGTCGTAGCTGGAGATAAATATCATTTCAACCTATATTTTATTGTTCTCGCACAATTACGGTAATTGGCATAAACAAACCCCACTAAATTTCATTCGACTCTGCCCAAATCAGTGATAGTCACTGCAGAATCTGATACACAATCCCTCATATCTACTCAAAACTCAACTTGTAAGCCCAGTAGGTATTATCATAGGAGGCAGGAGAAACCGAGATGAGAAGCTCTTTTCCGACATGGCCTTCATGCGCAGGCGAGTTGTAGAAGTAAGGCGTGACGATAGCATAATTGAAGTCAACATCCGTGCTGTTGACCAACACTTGCTCGTTCTGAGACCACGGCCCGGCCGGCGTTGGCGCGTACTCGATAATGAGCGTGCTCGGGTCGTCGGATGTCGAGTAGGTGAAGATGTAGGCATGATGGTACTCCGAGTAGAAGATCGAACCCATAGAGCCACCATCAATTTGATAGCCGATGCTAGAACTAGCGGTGTAAACGGCATCGTCTTGTCTGCGCTTTGTTGCAAGAGGCTCGGTCGTATTCCATGACTGAGTGGAATTTTGCCAGTAGCTCCAAGTCGACTTGTCCAGGACCGTGCTGGCCGGGGCGGATGCAAGCAAAACGTCTTGGTAGTTACCGTAGCTCGATCTGTCAACTGCGTACATGTAAATGACTCCATTGACCTTCATGGTGGATAGGAGACCATAACCATACTGATAATCGGCGTCGTCGTCGTCATCAACGTAGTAGGAGCTATACACATCCTGGGGCCGGGTGGACGCAAAAGTCCCTTCATCTGGGTTGATTGTGTAATTGACCAACATTGATCCAATTGCCAGATCATCACGCTTCTCATGTAAGATCTCCCAGACCTGGACAGCGGTGGTCGCGGAAGTCATGACGCAGGAAGATCGGGGAGCAAAAAAGGTGAAGTAGTAAGGTTCGTTCATAGCATCGTTCTCGTCATCGGTGTACGGTATCATCGTATTATAGTCCTCGTCGATGTCATCGAGGTCTGGGTGTATTTTTGCCCATGACGGGTGGCTTCCGTTCATAGCCATCAAAAAGTGCGCGCCAGCACCCGCTAAGCTGCCCCGTCCATATTGAGACAACCAGAACGAGTAGTTCCCGATAGCGCAGTAGGCAAAGGGGCCGGTTTCCAGAGAGAAGTAGTCATCTCCATCATTCGCCTTCGAGTTGTAGTCTGTAATCTGGCCCCAGTTGACAAAACTGGCAACGCTGAAGTCGGTCCTGCGAGGGTAGACATGGTATCGTGGGCTGGGATAGTAGTGCTCGATCTCAAAAAACGACGTGTTCGGAAATAGCACGGTGCCTACTTCGTCGGCAAATGCAAACTGAACAAAAGCGTAGATGGTAGCGACAAGCTGTAGGAGTGTAAACGACATTGTTTCCCGGTTATTTCACTGAGTCGATGCTTCACAAAGCAGAGGAAATAGGCATCAATTATATACAGATTTTCTCGCAGTCGATCCCCATTTTTGAAACCTGATATCGTTTTTCCGTACCCTGCCTGACCCCTTCCTCAGCCGTTCGCCGTTCAGCCGTCCGGCCATCGAGGCAATCTACGCCGAAGAAGCTGTTAGCGCCAGCTAGTGCCTGTATACCTCTTACCATTCGAGGTCTAGCGAACACTCAGCCGCACGCTCGTCTGCTTAAAGAAGCTGGAATTCGGGATCAGAGTTTGGACGCCATCCGAGCAGACGATGCGGGAAATAAAGCCGCTGTAGAAATTTGGGACGGCAGACACACCAGGAGAAAAATTATCAAGATTTAGACTAAGGGGTCCCTTCCACACAATGACAAGAGAAAGAACAGTAGCCGTCAATTCGTAGTGAGTGGGAAGAGGATAGAACGCGTTTCGGAGCGCTTCATCGCCTCTCTGCAGGACACCGTATTTCGTAATGAGGAAGAGGATGGCGGCAGAGCAGCCGACGATGGCAGGGGTACCTGACTACGCCGACCATCAAGTGCCGGAGCTCCGATGCGGGTCGCGAGAGTGAGCTAGAGCGAGGAACCGATAACGGCGCGAACCAAAGCTCTGCTCAGTGGGCGCCCTGATTCTCTGCTGAAAGGGCAAAAGTCCAGAGCTTTGGCTGCCGGAGAAGCTAAGGGTGGATGCAGCTGAGGACGCGTACACCTCTTGGTTCATCGTCTGATTTTATAATCCGATATCACTTTAATCGTTATTCAACAAGTATCCATGACCTCGATCGACGATCTCTGCACTGCGAACAAGGCTCGCCGAGAACGGGGACCGTGATGGCTTGCTCGTCCGCGCTCTACTCAAATGCTATCGGAGCCCGCAGCTCTGCCGTACACCATTCATCGACAACTAAGCTCAGACCGGCATTCCACGTACAAATATTTAGTCAAGACTCCTCCCGAACTCTGGTAGTAGTTAGAGACCGCGTATTTTAGCGACGTGAGCCAAAAGTCGTCCCTGGAAATTGTTCAGCCGCTAGAAGACTATTCTTTTCGACCTACAAGCATCAGCAGGCAAATATACTTCCTTTTCTCCATGTAAATTGGCACTAGTATCCGGCGGCGCCCTAGTTTGAAACCGACTCACTGACTACTTGGTCTCTGTTCAAGAATCAGTAGCAAAAAAATAAGAGGAGGATTTGTTTTTTTTTTCTTTCTTGGTTTTACAATACGGTACCGCCCGCGCGCTCTTGTACATCAAATACACAAACAACTCTGCTCTCAGCTAAGAAATATAACGACATCACGTAAAAACATAAAGGAAAAACAAAACAACAGCATAACAGCATAGCAGCATGTCAGCACATCCGAACAGAACAGCAACCAGAGAAGCAGATACAGAAAATACAGAAACAGTAAGAGCGCGCATATAGCGACTGGTGCCAGGATCGGGAAGAATGCATTACGCATACTCTTGAACAAGAGATGATCAAGCTCTCATCCAAGAGTTATGTGGGACTCTGCGACTCTCTCGAAATCGCCATACCCACTAAAACCCGACTTCACCCAGGAGGCAGTCACAGACCGCCCCCGTATTGTTGGATTGTCAACGTTGCGCTTGAACCACTTGGTCATGCGGACTCTCTTCAACAACCGTCGCCTCGGGGCTCCCTTGCGACGGCGCAACTTACCAGTGCATTTGTTAAAGAGACGCGACAACGGAGACGTTTTAAATCCAATGAGCAACATGGCTAAAGAAGAAACTCATCAGATTGACCGCCCTGACCAACCGCGCCGATCCTGACCGACAGGCCTGACCGACAGGATCTGGACGCGTACGGGCGGCCACGCAGAGGGACCGGGCCGACAACGGTATTGCAGTTCCTTTGAGCGCACTCACCCGGTATCTGCGCGTGCGAGTCATTTACCAGACCGCTTGGTTCGAGTTAGCTTCTCTCCCCCTTCTTCTCTCGCATGCATGGCACGCCCAGAAAGCCAGTCCTACCTGCACAGCAGAAGCTGCTTTCTGGCGACTCCGCGAGGTGCCACGCATCACGCATGCAAAGGGAAGCAAGAAGGATCGAAGCCCTCTTTTTATTTTTCTTCCGCCACTTCCCAAGGTTTTTGTCGTCGAGAGAGAGAGCCGAAATTCCGTCCGTCTCGATCTATTGCTGGGAAATAGACCGAGTGTTTCGTGAGGGACCGTGCCGATAACGGTATGAATCCGCGCGGGAAGGTCATATACCAGACCGCTAGGTCGAGTTAGCTTCTCTCCCCCTCTCTTCTTTCGCATGCATGGTACGACGCTCACTATTGGGGGAAGAGCATCCGCGAACGGTCCGGAATGAGCAACTCTCAAACTTCTCGCGGTCTTGCCACAGAAAGCCAGTCCTACCTGCTGCGGTATATGCTACTCTCAGAGGAAGCTACCTGGGTATATGCTACCCTTAAGAGAGCGCTATCTGTTCCAGTAATAGCCGCCCCCAGAGAGTGCTACCTGGCGCGGTGTAGCCTGCCCTCAGTACGAGAACGCTACCCGCGCGGTATTGCAAACTCTCTGGAGATGCTCATGGAACAGTATAGGCTACTCCTTGAGAATGCTACCCATTTGGCATATGCCTACCCCTATCAGAGTGCTACCTGCGCAGTACGGGCTGCTTTCTGGCGACTCCACGAGGTGCCATGCATGCGAGAGAAGAGAGGAAGATCAAAGCCTTCTCATTCGAGAAAGGAAGCCGAAATATCGTCGTTCTCGATCTATTGCTGGAAAATAGACCGGACGGTTGTCGTAGGGCGGAAGCCAAAAATCCGTGATGAGGGAAGGAAGAGGAGAAGGGAGAAAGAGAGGCGGGCGGCGGGCGCGATCAAATAGGCGTGTTCCAGTCCAGGCGGGCGCGTGTTTAGTGTAATTGGGTTTCTCGTTTGGGCCGAAAGTAAATACATCTGACGCGCCGCCCGATTCGTAATTCTACACAATTTAGATGATTTAGCACGCCCAACAAGCGCCTCGTTCATTGGTTAGCAGGAATATAGTAAAGATAGATGTTTTCGTATAATTTTGTCTATTATTGAGCTAATGATATAGTGTGACTCTACAGTACTGTCCCGGTAATTGCAATCTGCCCTCTTTCCGGGTCGATTGTACAAGTGATTAAGGTCGACCACGCCGGCAGTTCCATTAAAATCACCTCCCAGACCTGTACCGTGGTAGTCTCCAAACACAGCTGTTAAGCCATCAACGATAATCGACACTAACCCAACTCTGGCCGACCACCATAACATAGCGGACGAGCACGCCCAAGTTTCTCATCTCCAAGTCGGTGTATAAAGCTGACAGTCACAAGTAGCAATGCCATGCTATGAGGATTGAGGAACGTATTATTTATTCGATAGTCAGAACAGTTCTTAGGTTCTTATATGGGGAAAATTCCGTAGGACAGAAACTGACGATGCTGCTCCGATAGGAAGTGGGCAGCCGGAGCCTGGGCTGCGTAGAAGCAAAGTTCGATCTGCTATTCCAGTCCAATATCGATTTAGCAAGTCTGCATAATCTGGATCCATGGTCGCTCTACCGCAAACTAGTCAGTCGGAGTCACCTAAAGAAAGACAAAGGACAAGTGGTTCGCATCTCCGTCGTCTAATCGGATACCATCTATCTGGCGTTGACCAGTTCATAAGAAGGTTGACTTCCTGCGTCTTCTTGCGTTTATAATGTAGCAACTCCGATTGTCAAAAAGTGGTCTAGGCATGGCAAATCGCGCATGTGCTGGAGTCGATCAGTAATTGCAGTGAGAATATATCCAGATCTTGGGTATTTTTTGAATCACCTACCATAGCGGAGTTCGAACAGCGCCAGATCGTAAGATCAGTGAAGAGCTTGGGATTAGGAATTTTGTTGACATATCGAATCTTTTGATTTCCGGGTTGGGCAGATCGATTACATTCCTGAGTCTAGATCTCAAATTTCGAAGGTATCCAGACGCAAGCAGGTGGGGATTTTTCGTCTGGACGTTGGAAGTGGGCACAAGTTAAGATGTTAGTGAGTAGTGTACGACCGAGCTGTGATTTCGAGCTGATGAATATCCACCACCAGAATATAGCCACGAGGATAGTAATAGCAGTCTGTAAATTTACACGCTGTATAATAAATACAACATCTGATAAATAAGCTAAACCCAAAGAACGTCTCTTTTCTCTTTACTATTACCCCACGAGTTGGCCTGGCCATTCGTAAACGTCAAATGTCAAGATAGCAACAAATCAACAGAATCATTCACAAACAGTTCAAATCACACACGTGTCTTGATTGTTTAATTTTACAAGTTTTTCGTATCATGAGGGATCGACAAAAAAGCAGTAAAAGCACAATTATGAATAGGAAGAAAATAATGTAAATTTAAAAATATAGTAAAAACCAGAGGCGGTCAAAAAAAGAGAAACCACTTCCTGCACCTAGTCTTTTCATTCGAGAGCAAAAAAAATCAAATCAAATCATGTCTTTATCTTTATTCTTTCATTAATTCCTTTACAAGTCAGCGTCATCCTCATCAGGAAGAGGCATAGCGGAAGCCTGCTCCATCTCGGCCTGGTACTTGTTCATCAAAGCATCGTCAACCTCGACCTCAGGGGGAGCGAGAGCGGGCGAGGCAACAAACTCCAGAGCGGGGTTGCCGACCAATTTCCTGGCGAGCCACAAGAACGGCTTCTCGAAGTTGTAGTTGGACTTGGCAGAGATATCGTAGTACTGGAGGTTCTTCTTTCGGTGGAAAGTGATGGTCTTGGCCTTGACCTTACGCTCCTTCACATCGACCTTGTTACCGCAGAGGACGATGGGAATGTTCTCGCAAACTCGGACGAGATCCCCTGTGAATCCGTTAGCTCGGCGTTCTTTCTTCATTGGAGACAATCAAATGATAAGTACTTACGATGCCAGTTGGGGACGTTCTTGTAGGTGATACGGGAGGTAACATCGAACATGATGATACCGCACTGACCGTTGATGTAGTATCCGTCACGAAGACCACCGAACTTCTCCTGACCGGCAGTATCCCAGACTAAAGAGTATATTAGCGACCATCTGGGATGGAAGGCGAAGATAGAAGAGAGTGGAAGCACGTACCATCAAACTTGATCTCACCGTAGTTGGTGAAGAAAGCGAGAGGATGGACCTCGACACCGAGGGTGGCGTTGTACTTCTTCTCGAACTCGCCAGTCAAATGGCGCTTGACGAAAGTGGTCTGATAGAAGAGATTTGTTAGTGATCCGACCACGTACGACGTAGTAAGAGAGAGCATATGTATACCTTTCCAGTACCACCGTCACCGACAAGGACAAGCTTGAAGGTAGGAACCTGCTGCTCAGCCATTTTTTCTTTTTATCTTTGCAAGCACAAGTCAGTATGCAGTTGATTAACGCGGTTGAATCTATTGCTCCGTATCGTTTTTTTCTGCCGTCTCACACACCACCCGATCCCTCGATAACGCTTTGTTTTTTTCTAGTGCTTGATATTCCGGCTTTCGATAAATCACGATAAGATGCCTTGACTGGACGTGGCGGCCGAATAGTTGATGGAAAAAAGACGAGAGAAGCGCAGAGATTTGATCCGTATATCGAGGTCACGCAGCCAACCAGCCTCCCAGGGTCAGGAACGAGCCCAAACAAGCGTGACATGGCACGAGGAGTGGATCGAGCATGAAAAAAACAAACAAAGGCAATTTGAATAAGCGGCAAAAAACACTTACAGGAGTGGTAGATTGATTAAACAAAAGGGATCCGTTACTCAGAAGCGGAAGGGAGGAGGAGGAGGAAGAAAGAGAAGAAGGAAAGGAGGTAAGAAGATCAACAAAATAAAAAAAACTGTGAAGAATCGCTAAGAAAAAAGTTCTGTGTTGGCTTTAAATGGGATGAAGTTTAGAGATTTATGGTGTATGCTCAGTGCCGCACGGCTTTGGCTGGAGCGGCTCAGTTCTACGTCATCATCGCCGTGTCCTCGAACCTCACGTAGAAGACAGCTTCAGCTGTATCGACATCTTTACTAATTCGTAGACTGTAAGAGAATATGATGTCTGTTTGCTCTATTGCTTTTATTTGTGTAAATAAACACTGATGTGTTGTAGCAGACACAGCTGACCACTAAACCAACCTCATCTCGCGCCCATCAAACACAGACGCGACCCGCCGCCCAAAACAGAAACAAAAACATTCACAATCTACCACCATCCACAACCAAATCGCAATCCCAACCACCCGCTTCCTGGCATCTCTGGACACTGCAAAAGCAGCACCCTCAGCATGTTCTCTACCTTTCAACGGCTGCAGCAGTACTGCGGCTTCGTCTCCAGCGTTGTGATTTGCATCATGGCCGCGATCTCCCTCTCGTCGTTCGTTCACCTCAATTACCTGACTCCTGTGCCGACTGCTTCAATAAGCGTCGATAATGTTCAAGTGTACATACCCCATCTTTTGTTTAACCTGACTGCTTGGCTATCTGATTGAATCATGCGTCGTGGAGTTAACATGTATCTACAGAAAATACGGTAAACCCCCCTATGGCTACAACTACAAGCGCCAGGAATATGCGAGCATGACCTTTGACCTGGACGCCGGTACGCATCTCAATCCTCCCCGTCCTTTCTTATACTCCTCATTCTAACAACTATCGATCATCTCAGATCTCTCACCCCTCTTCAACTGGAATACAAAGCAACTCTTTGTATACCTAGCGGCCACGTATCCCGGTAAACAATACGTAAGTCAACCTTCTCACCCTCTCTCTGTTCACATATCTAACCAGCTTCTACATTCAGGCCAACAAAGTAGTCTTTTGGGATTCAATCATCACCAGCAAAGAAGACGCCATCATCTCCCTCCGAAACACAACAGCAAACTACCAAATATACGACGTCACCGGCAAATTCAGGTACGTTCCTTTTCCTCTCTTATCACAGCTTTTTCCCAGCATCTAACAACCCTCAAATTCAAACAGCGAACGAACAGCTACAGTCTCGCTGGAATGGAACGTGCAGCCTTATGTCGGCCTCTTGACATTCAGCAAAGGCGAAGGCAGGTCAAAGTTCACTTTCCCTCCGCTCGCCTCTGCTTCTTCACAAAAAGCTAGATAGCAATATTGCCTACTGCACAATCATTGTAATTTTATATCTTTTATTATTCTCAGCCCTGACGCACATACACGCCACGCGTCAAGTACTTAAAATTTACTCACAACTAAACTTCCTGCCTGGGCCTACCTCCTCTTCCCCTCGTAGGCTGCCCTCCCCCGCGCGCAACATGGAGCACTCCCGCATGTCCAGACGGATACCCACCGCGGCCAGTCTGAGCTCCTCCGCGGCCATTAGCCGGCCCACCTCGGCCTCTACCACCTGCATTCGCGCCACCACGCCCGCGCTGCGCGCCATGCTGCTGGTGCTGTTGCGGCGGTGGCGAAGACCGATGGCTACCGCTATTTCCAACCTGTCTGTTCGTCAAATTAATTACAGACGAGCCTTCAACAGTCATACCCCGGTCCTCAGAGCACCGTCCGCTAAGCGTGATACCCCCGAGGAAAGTGTAGTCGAACACCACGTCCAGCACTTTTCTTCCGTCAATAGTCGAAATTCCAATCACCGTACCCGTGCTCGCAATCGGCACGTTTCCGGTATCCTTCGCGTACAGAACACGGTCCCCAAGCTGGAACTTTTGATTCTGTAGCTTGTGAATCGCATCCGCAGGCTTGAACAACACAGACGGCACAACATGCTTCAGCATCTTGATCTCCGTGCTCGCGTCCATCTGTAGGATCTTGTCAACAGTGGATTCAATCTTTTGCACCGCATCCGGAAGTAGCTGCTCGGAGTCAAGCGGCACGCGCTCCATCCGGACCGATTCCTTCGACTTTAGCCAGGCTTTGATAGCCGGCAATTGCTCCTTTGCAGCATGCTCAGACCCAAGAAGAACAGCAATATCAGGCCGATCTAGCACATAAAATTAGCACCGTAAACAAACACATTTCAAAACAAAAGGAATCCATACCAGTATGCATCTCCTTTATAAGTCCCTGGAACAAACGAGGAAACCTGGTCATATACTCCTTGACCAATTCCTTGGCCTGCAGACTGTATTCCCACCCCGTCGCCGCTCGTCTGGTGTACCCCAACACCTTCAACTTCTTCGACTCAAACTTAAGATTCAACCCCAGATTTGTGTTCTTCGAGCCATCAAACGTGGCCGAAAAGCTCGCAGTGATCTTACTCAACAACAGCATCGGAAGACCCAATTCACGACACACTTCAATAGACGTGAAGTAAACCATCTTCGCCTGCTCCTCACGCGCAATCGCCACTCCGAACCCAGTGTCGTTCGCATACTTTGCAATATTCACTGCAACATCAACGTGTGAGGCGTCACTGATCTTCACCACCTGCAATGGTCGGCCATACGCTTCAGGACCCAAGTAGAAGCCACGCGTGCCGACGGGATACTGCTCGTCGACCTTCGGCGCCGATCTCTCGACAAATCGCTGGTCCTCATTGACAACCGACGTCAGCAACGTCTGCACTGGAACCACTGCTTCTTTCTCCAAATCAGTATCAAACTCCTTCACCAACGCCCCGCTAGGAAGCTGTTTCAATCCCTTTAGCAAGCGGACCGTGATCGCAACCGCCGTCGCCCCGATATCAACTCCATGACGGGCATAGTTCTTGTATGCCTCCCCTGTTTTCCTGAAATATCTTTGAATCTCCTCCTGACCGTTAGACGTCGGTCGAATCTCTTGCCGTCCTTGCACAGTGAGCTTCGCATAGTTGAATAGCTCATCCGACACCGAGATGACCTGCGCCTCTCGAAGGTACGGGTATCCAACATACACAGACTGATGAAGCAACTTCTCCGCAATATCTTCAACCGTAGTGTTCTCAAATTGATTTTCGATAGAGATCACCATCGCCTCGCTGCGACTATCCCGCTCAAAGACACAAACAGAGTGCCTCGTCGTCAACTCAGCCGTAAATGGGATAGTCTTTAGACTTGGGAATCCAGCAAGCAAATCTCCGCCCAGCAGAGCGCCAGGGCTAAGACAGCTCTTGTACACTTTTCCTTCCATCGGCGGAAATTCGTACTCCGTGATGCTGCAGTGGTTGTGGTCGATATCAGGGAAGACATCACGCAGAGACGACTCATAGATCGAATCCACCGAGTTGTCGTACTTAAACTGAATCATCTTGCCAAAGGTATTGCGCTTCCGTTCTCCCGGAGTCAATTCTTTGTCATGGGCCGCCATTGCCTTCAGCAATCTGCCCTCGTCCACAAACGGGATCTTGACGACTGCTTCCCAGTCCATCTTCTTGCCGTTGAGATCAAGTTCAAACTCAAGAGGATAAAAGTCGATAATCGGCGACTTGGGATCGTGTAGAAGGGGCCGATAGGCCATAGGAATCAAAGAGTCACTCAATGGTGGCATGACACCCATGAGCTGCTGGAACGGCTTGAACGGTTGGCCGAACTGGAAGTTGAGATCAGCCTCGAGTCCCTTTGAAATATCCGAAACTCGGGGCGCATAATGGTATTTGAAGAACCATGACCATGAACAGACACCCTTGTAGTAATAGTTCATAACCCATTGTAAGCCCTGAACATAGTTGCTGCAAAGCTCAGTCATAGCTTCCTGGTTGTGGTACGAAAAGCCAAATTTCTCCTTGTAGTAATCATCCTTCCACCCGATGAATCGCTTCATCACGGCATCATGTGCCTTCTCCTCGCCCTTTTTATCTTCTTCTTGGACCTTTGCAGATCTATACTGCTCGAGCACGCGCTGCACGGCAAACTCAGCCTCCTCATCAGACTCGTCAGAATTCTCCACACTCGGCATCGTCAGTTTCACATTCTTATCGTCAATCGTCAACACAAGCGAGAGTTTTGTTGCCAAAGTCTTGATAAAGTCAATCTCCGGCTCGACAATGTTTCTGGGAATTTCCCATTTACTTTCTTCACTCTCCTGGGCAACGTTCACATAGGTTTCAATGCTCTCGAAAATACGACTCTCGCGGGTCGTGATCGTCAAAGGAGCTTGCTTCTTGTTTCTCGGCTTCCGGCCATCGGAAGTCGACTTGGACTCGGAGTATAGTTTGTCGTCGTGATCAGCTTCAAAAAGTTTGAACTCAAAGGTAACCAGTTCCTTTAGGAGCATTCGCAAGGTCTCCATATTGATCGTACCAGAGTCATTCAAGTATCCCTTGCAGAGAGGTAGGATTTTCTTATAAGCCTCAAACATAAACGTCAACGCTCCTTCGTTGATATGAAGCTGCGGCAGATTCGGCAAGAAATCGTTTCCGACGAATACGCAAAGAAGAATAAAGTCATCAATGACATGTTCCATATCGAATGGAAACGTTAGAGTATGCTTGAGATCTTTAAACTCGAGCTCTAGATACTCGCGCACGAGCGAAAGATGCAGCAAGAAGAATTTTTGGCGGAAAAGGTCTTTCGGTTTGTTCCTTGCCGGGCCGAACGTTACTTCTTCACGAAGAAGGGAGAAGTGGGGTTCATGGCTGACCAAGCCCAGCATGATTAGATCCGCATCAAGTCCGTACAGACAATGGCGAGTGTTTGCGTTGTATTCGGGCTGCGACTTTGCAGCTCTGATGTACTCCATGATCTTGTGCTCACCTTCTCCAGGCACCTCATGACCGGAGAGCACAATCTGGATGTTTTGCCAGCGTGAGTCCTCAGACACCTTTCTCGAAACAAAATAATGCAGTTGGGTACTGAGCTTGACCATGAACTCCGTTCCAGGGGTGATCGAGTTGGTATCAAATGGGGCCTCGGCCGGGAGCTCGGTACCCTGGCTGATTGCTTTTTGTCGCGCGTTCTCGGCATCGAGCGCGGTTCTGAATCGGCGGGATCGCTGCTGGTTCATCTTGGCTCGGGGAGCGACGCCATCGATGGCCATGAAGAACAGTTTCTTGGGCTTGACTTTTTCAAACAAAAGATCAATGTAGCGGAAGATCGCGATGAACATCTGATCTTCAGTCATGCGAAACGTCGCATCGTCCGAGTCCTTGTGGGTACAGTTGTGCAAGATTCCGTTCATGTCAAGATAAAGATTGTCAAATCTATGTAGAGCAGCAGAGGTCAGTCATCGATGTCGTGAATATGTGAGAGAATCGCAGCGGAGAATCATACTCTGGAATCTTGTCACCCTCGATCAGCTGCGAGATCAGCGGATATCTTTCTGAAATCCATCGGTAAAATTTTGGGATTCCTATAATTCAGAACAACAGCGATCAATGTCAGTCATGTACATCCTAGAAGCGACACAGACAGAGCGTGATTGAGCAATACAACGGAAGATCTGGGGATGGTGAGCGAGACGTACCCATAGTTTAAAGCAAAAGCAGCAACAGCAATCAAACAAATATCAGAGCAATGATTGCAAAGCAGACTATAATGCAGCAAGCAGCTAATAATCTAACGATTATAAGAGATATAACTGATCAAACTTATGTCTGCACAAAGGCGTTTGGTCCTGTCTTTAGTCGAGCGAGCCACGCACATCGCTTTCTTCTTGTCCGAACGGCGATGTTTTCCTTATTTTGGTTCTACTGCGACGGAGCTCAAGTCTGAGATCACGTGCCGTTATCTGTCCGGAAAGCCCTGCGGTTACCGTCATAGGGCCCTCGTATTCGCGATATAGCAGCTTCCGCGAGCACCCTACACAGGCATTGTCCAGGATACTTGATACAGAGCTTTTTATTCAGTCTGCATTTTGCTCTGCTACAATACTTCCAACCACATCTCTCGCGTCCTCCAGACAGTGCACATCCACCCAGCTACTTATCGGCATAGGTTGGGCTGATAGGGTTGGGGTTATCTAATCGCCTCCAAACCCGGCAAACTCTCTCCCCTCACACATTCTCTCAGACCAAAGGGCACAGGAATACGAGACAGAACATACACCGACGCCCTCTGCCAGTGCTAATCATCTCGCCCGTATCGCCCAAATGTCGACCCCCATTCCCGCGCCTTCGAAGGAAGAGCAGGCGCGTCTTTTGGAGGATGCGCTGAGCGTGGTGCGCCAGCAGTCCCATCTCATGATTAAGAACCTCGAGTCGAAGGGCAAGCTCATGGATGCGCTCAAGCATGCTTCCTCGATGCTCTCCGAGCTGCGCACTTCCTCGCTGGGCCCGAAGCAGTACTATGAGCTTTACATGTCGGTCTTTGACTCAATGAGAAACCTCTCGGTTTATCTGAAAGACAACCACCCAAACAACCACCTCGCGGACCTCTACGAGCTCGTGCAGTATGCCGGTATGTCCTCTCGTGCCTTTCTGATGCATCCTCGTCATTCAAGTCCGCCTTTGTCTAGTCCTTCATTTAAAAGGCTAGCAATTCTAGCGGCGAATATTGATGACGGGGTGGAAAACGTCACAAGTATTCTTTGTATTGCTTTGTTGCTGACCCTACTCACCACAGGAAACATCCTCCCCCGTCTGTACCTCATGGTTACCGTCGGAACCGTCTACATGTCTGTCCCCGACGCTCCCGTCAAGGAAATTCTCAAGGACATGATGGAGATGTGCCGTGGTGTGCAGCATCCCATCCGTGGCCTCTTCCTGCGCTACTACCTCTCGGGCCAGTCTCGAGACTGCCTACCCATCGGCGACAGCGACGGTCCTGAAGGCAACCTGACCGACTCAATTCATTTCGTTATCACCAACTTTATCGAGATGAACAAGCTCTGGGTCAGACTCCAGCATCAGGGCCACAGTCGTGAGCGCGAGAAGCGTATGAAAGAAAGACAGGAGTTGCAGATTCTTATCGGAAGTAACCTCGTCCGTCTAAGTCAGCTTGACGGCGTCGATGCCGAAACCTACAAGACAGTATGTCTCTATTATCCATTTTCTGTAAAAAAAAACAGACACTAACAATCCTAGACAATCCTTCCCGCAATCCTGGAGCAGGTCGTCCAGTGCCGCGATATTCTCGCCCAGGAATATCTTCTCGAGGTCATCACCCAAGTTTTCCCCGACGACTTCCATCTGCAGACCCTCGACCTCTTCCTTTCCGCGACCGGCAAGCTCAACCCCGGCGTGAACGTCAAGAACATTGTTATTTCGATGATTGACCGTCTTGCCGCGTACGCCAACCGCGAAGCTGAGGCGCAGTCGCCAGAGATCCGTAAGGAGCGCGAGGAAGCCCAGATGAAGAAACTCGCGGCCGCGGTCAGACGTATCCGATTTAAGGGAGACTTGGCGGAAGAGTATGGTTTGTTCAAGGACCACACTGTGGAGGAGCCGACGTCTGTGCCTGATGCCGCGCCGGAGACCACGGACTCGCTTGCGTCGCTCGCGCCGCCGATGCCGGTCTTGGACGGTGACTGGGGCGATGCGCCGACCACGGCCGCTACCGAGGACTCTGAGACCACGCAGTCGACTGCTACCGAGACCACTGACGACGAGGCCGAGCAAGCCGATACCGAGGAAACCACTACCGAGGCCGAAGACGTTGCAGACGACTCGAGCTCTGACGGTGGTCTGTTTGGCAAGGACGATCTTGACGACGACCCGATCAAGGAGTTTGCGCCCAACGCTGCCGCTGGCCGCAAGATTATCACTGCCGACAAGCCGATTGTGGAGTCGCGCGACTTGCTCGAGGAGATCCGGCTGTTTGAGGTCTTCTTCGAGCAGATCCAGCTGCTGATCAAGGCACGCCCCGACCTGCCGATCGGCGACGTGACGGCGCTGCTGGTGTCGCTTACGAACCTCTGCCTGAACTGCTACCCCGCCGAGCTCGAGTACATCGACCAGATCATGGGCTTCACGCTCGAAAAGTGCGAAGAGTACAAGGACAACGCGGACCTGCACTCGCCGCCGGCGAAGAACAACATCCTCGCGCTGCTGCTGGCGCCAATATCGTCGTACAAGTCGCTGCTGAACGTGCTCGCGATTCCAAACTACCTGCACCTGCTGCACGCGCAGTCGTACGCCACGCGGCGCTCGATCGCGGCCGCGGTCGCGCACTCGATCCTCAAGAACTACACCAAGCTCGAGACGCCGGAGGACGTCGAAGGCGTGGCGGAGCTGTTGCGGGTGATCATCAAAGAAGGCCAGCAGCCCGCGGTGCCGTTCAGCAGTACCGGTGCTGCGCCGGGCCAGCTCAACGGCGGAGCGTCGGCGCCGCCGAAGCGGAAAGACGCCGAGACAGAGGAGACGGTCGAGGAGCAAGGATGGCTTGCGCGGATGGTGCACTTGATTGAGTCTGACGTTCCGGATGTGCAGTTCCGGATGCTGCAGTTGGCCAAGAAGGCGTTTGCCGAAGGCGGCGACCGCGTCAAGTACACGTTCCCCGCGCTCGTGACGTCGTCGGTGAAGCTCGTGCAGACGTACTGGGGCAAGCGGTTTGTCGACAACGCGTACGCGCAAAAGATCGTTGCGGTGTTCAAGTTCGCGCACCAGCTCATCACGGAGATGTACGCGGCGGGCACGTCGGCGGACACCTGTCTGCGCCTGTACATTTTCTGCGGGCAGATTGCGGACCAGGTCGAGTCCGAGGAAGTTGCGTACGAGTTCTTCGCGCAGGCCTACATTGTGTTTGAAGAAGCGCTGACGGACTCGCGCGCGCAGTTCCAGGCGCTGAGCATCATCGCGGGCGCGCTGCACAGTACGCGCAACTTCACAAAGGAGAGCTACGAGACGCTGATCACGAAGAACGCGCTGTTCGGCTCGAAGCTGCTCAAGAAGCCCGACCAGTGCCGCGCAGTCTACTTTGCGAGCCATCTGTGGTGGGCGGTGGAGATCCCCGTGCGCGGCGAGGAGGAAGGCAAGACGCCTTTGTACCGGGACGGCAAGCGCGTGCTCGAGTGTTTGCAGCGCGCGCTGCGGGTCGCGGACGCGTGCATGGACTCTGCGGTCTCGATCGAGCTATTTGTCGAGATCTTGAACCGCTACGTGTACTACTTTGACCGGGGATGCGAGGTCGTCACGGTCAAGTACGTCAACGGCCTGATCTCGCTCATCATGTCGAACCTGTCGAGCACGATCGACGCGTCCGTGACGGACTCGCCGCGGAAACATTTCGAGCGGACGCTGCAGTATATTAACGCGCAGAAGGAGGAGGACGATAGATTTGATGCGATTACGTGGTAGTCTGCAAGTAGTGCTATAGCAGCGGTAGGTTGCTGTTTGGAGAGGGTGTAGTGATCAGTTTGAAGTCGAGTGTAATATTTCTTATCTTATTTCTTTTGTGTACGTTTTGTTTTCTCAATGTCATTTATCATTTAAATCCAAATAGCCTGTTTGCACATGAAAAAATATCAGCAGTAGCTGCTTTAATACAATTACGTTTGAAAGAATAGTTTCATTTTTGAAGAGTACGGAATCTATTTGAAATGCATGTATGATCCATATATCCCTTCACCATTGCAAATGAACATAAGAAGCAAGAGAAGTCAAATAATCGACTCTTTCACTTCTAGTTTGCTGGGTACGCCTTTGTTTGAAGACAGAGCATCCCCTCTTTCCCATCATTCAAACCAAAAACAAGACAAATAAAGAGCCACTGTATAAATAAATAAAAAAAAGAAACTAAAATGATATTTTGAATTTTAATTTGAAATTATTTAATGGTGGGCATCCTCAAGAGGCTTGACGACGAACCAATCCTCAAGGCTCTCAGTGGGAGCAGCAACCTCGCCCTCGGCAACGGTGGAGTCCTCAACCTCGACGGCCTGGGCCTCGTACTCGGCGAGATCAGCCTCGGCACCGGCCTCGACGGTGGGGATGGCGGGAGCGGCGGGAGGAGTCCAGGGCTTGACCTGGCCGACGGAGTCGCTGGCCTTGACGGGAGGGGCCTGGTAGGACTTGAGCTCCTTGATGTAGAGGTCGGAGATGAGGTCTTGATTCTGTTAGTTTTCGGTTCTTTTCTGCATATGCAAAGAGCAAGTGAAGGATTGAGATAACATACCTCGTCGCGCGAGAGTAGTACCGAATCTCCGTCTGAGAACAGGAGCGGCAGCAGAGCGCTAGATGAAAGATAAGGTCAGCATACGCGTTCTGAAATCAGCCGACGTCTCGATTTCTGAGCAAGCTCCTTCTTCTCTGCGGTTTCCCATCCAACGCTTGTCTTTTTGAGTGGGTTGTGGTTGTCGGTTGTGGTGTTGTCGAAGGAGGTTGGTTGATCTTGAAGTCTTTTGCTGTTCGATCAATTGCGTTTTCCAACTCGTGCTATCCCGTCTAGGGCGTAATTTGTCGGTGCACCAATTTTCGCAATCAAGATATAATAGATGATTGCAGCAGGAGAACTGGAATAGAATAAGAACTGCAGCGAGGAACTCCCGGAAAGACAAAGACGAGACCGCAGAGAAAACCGCCGGAGGGAAGGTGATATTTATTCGAGACGGGGCAGTTGAGTGAACAATTCAGATACGTACAGCAGCGACACGGATCGACTGAGCGAGCATTGTAGATGTAGGATGGATTGGAGTTGGGGAGAGGTGGATAAAGAGACAGAGAACAGCGGGTGAAGGTCGACTTTTCCCGCCGACGACAGGTTTTCGAGGGCGGACAGGCCCAGGTCGCTGCCCGACGAATCAGCGCGCTGCTCCAGAATGTCACGTGTTGTTAGTAGTGACAAAGAGTGTGATTATGTCATAGATTATAAATAGTGGTTAGGGCTGGACAACGAGGATATCATCACCACTCTCGCCACCAGAATCTTCTTCTTTTCTCTATTCGAGCAGTCGACAGGTCCTGAGATAGTTGATCTGCTTCGTTTCCTGAGAGCGCATATATCCCATTAGCTTGGTCGATATATACCGAATCTATTCACTGCTTGCTGTTTCTTGCTATATCTAGACGCGAATAACAAAACACAGAAATAACAAGAGAGACGATGTCGTATGCAGCGACGGCAACCGCGTTTGCACCCCAGCCTCCCGCCGCGAGTTCTGGCTCGGGTTCGAGCAATCCTACGCCGTATCAGAGAAACCTGAATGTTCACTTGATTTGCCCAGACTGCCGCGAAGTGCCGCCGAATCTGGTGGAGAATTTCAGCGATGGGGATATGGTCTGTGGGTCTTGTGGTGTGTATCCCTCCATTAGTCGAGTGATGAGGATAAGATAAGCAAGGGAGAAAAGAAAAGAAAAAAGTAGAGAATTATGTAGAATTATATATGCTAATCTGTGTCAAGGCCTCGTTCTCGGTGATCGAATAGTCGACACACGGTCAGAATGGCGTACGTTTGCGAACGACGATCAAGGCAACGACGACCCGTCTCGAGTCGGAGAAGCAGTCAACCCGTTACTGAACGGATCGCAGCTTGATACGATGATTTCCTACGGCGCGCAGGGCAGCACTGCCGGACGCGAGCTGAATCGGGCGCAGAACAAGGTGGTGCACGACAAGCGCGATACGGCGCTGCAGGCCGCGTACAGCAAGATCTCGCAGATGTGCGAGCGGTACTCTCTGCCGAGGATTGTGCAGGACACGGCGAAGGATATTTTCAAAAAGGTGGAGGATCACCGGAAGCTGAAGGGCAAGTCTCAGGAGAGCATCGAGGCGGCGGCGATCTTTATTGCGTGTAGACAGAGCGGCGTGCCGCGAGCGTTCAAGGAGATTTGTCTGCTGACGAATGTGCCAAAGAAGGAGATTGGGCGGGTGTTTAAGGTGATTGACAGTATTCTGCTGGAGAGCGGATCGAGTTTGAATGCGCAGGTGGGAGCGACGGATCAGGAGTATCAGGCGGTGGGGACGAACGCGGAGGACCTGATGAACCGATTCTGCTCGCACTTGGGCCTGACGACGCAGGTGGCCAGCGGGGCGCAGTATATAGCTCGGCAGGCGGCGAAGGAAGGAATTCTGGCTGGGCGGTCGCCGATCTCTATTGCAGCGGCTACGATATATATGGCGGCGGGACTGTTTGGGGAGGCGAGGAGCGCTGCCAAGATAGCGGAGAGAGCGGGAGTGAGCGATGGAACGATCAAGACAAGTTATAAGTTTTTGTGGGAAGCGCGCGATAAGCTGGTTGATCCGGTGTGGATTGAGAGTAAGAAGGCGAGCATGAGCGGTTTGCCGAAGGTGTAAAGAAGTGTGTGAGGAAGTATGTGAGGAAGTATGTGAGGAAGTATGTGAAGAAGTATTATGCGAGGATATATAAAGAAAGAATAGTAGTGATGTGACAGAGTAAGAAAGTGGTAGCTTGGCAGAGTAAAAGTGAGAAGAAGAGAAGATAATGTAGTTGAATTGATTAATAGAAGCAAGTCAATATTGGGATGATGCCGAAGACGGCAATTATAGTAAGGAGGCTGGGCTGTGACGTACATCTGCATTGGGAGAAGGACGTCGGAGAGTCGGTGATGGTGACGAGGTGATGCAGTGCATGTTATTGTATTCTATATACAATGACTGCTACTACTGCTATTATCGTCTATATCCTCGTTGTTGTTTATATCTGCTACAATGTACTCGTCAACAGTCTTCTCTCATCAAATCTCAAATCTCCTAAAAAAAACGCCGAAGAATTTCAGGTTTTTTCTTTTTTCCTTCTTTGAAAGTCTGTTCAAATTTAACTGCGCACTGCGTACCTGTTTCTGCCTGTTTCTGTTCAGGGCGGTGTTTGCGTTGGATGCCTTGGTGGTGGTATTCACTGTTGTTTTATAGCTGTTCTAATTCAAGTACTGCTATTCTCTCTCTATTCCTCCTCTTCATCCCTTCTTCTCTTCACCTCCTCTTCTCTTCCTCTTCCTCATTGTTATCTCTTCGGCCTGTGATCGCCGGTGCTCCCGCAGCCTCACGCTAGCCGCTATAAGAAATAAGCCTCCCTTTTAGTCGGCGCCGCATCCTCTCCTGGTGCCCAATCCACTCCTCTTCACTACCAGTCACACCAACTCCCTCCCCGACACATTCCCCCACTTTACCCTCACCAGCCCGCCTCCCACGTTTCGTCATCGGCTGCCGTAAATAAACCTGCTTTCTCTGCTTTCCTTGTCGGCCTCCGTCTCGAACCGTCTTCACCGCTTCACCACCTTTTCTTCTCCTCTTCACCACCTTCCTCCTTCTCTTCCTCTTCTTCTCCTCTTCTACTCTCCTCCTCCTCCTCCTCCTCTTCTCCTTTTTCACTCCTTTATCTCCCCTCCTCCCTCCCCCTCCCCCTCCTCCATGGCATCCATCTCCTGCCCATCGCCCGCCCGTCTACGCGATGGCCCTGATCTTTCTCCCTCCCTCTTCCCCAACCCCCCCTCTCCTCTCCTAGCCTCTCCCGAAACTGCCATCCACAGACAACGAAGGCCCTGCTACTCGCCAACCGTCTCCTCCTCCTCTCCCTCAACCTCGTCCTCCTCGGCCTCCTTCTCCGCTGCATCCTCCGTACTCTCTTCCTGGTCCCCTGCCTCGACCTCAGCCCCCTCCACCTCTACCTCCTCCGCCTCTCTCGCATCCTCCTCTTTCGCAGAAAAAAGACTCTGGTCTGAAGAATTTCGCGTCCTCGAGTCTGACTTCCAAAAGTCTCTATCTTCCTCTTGTTTACCCTCCTCTCATCTACTTTTCTAACTCTCATCCAGATTCTCCTCCCGCACCACCGTCCACAAAGCAAACGTCCTCCGTCTCTCCCTCCTCCCCTTTCTCCGCTCCCACGTCGGCGAGTCCACCTCCGTCTCCCCCGTCGAACTCGACCGTCGCCTGCACATCCTCCACAAATGGTGGTCCGCCGCCCTCGCCGCCCTCCGCGACCGCTCATCTCCTCGCGCCGTAGCGGCCGCCGACCGCGCCGCCTACTTCGAAGCCATCTTCGGCATCCTCTCTCGGCACGAATGGCGTCTCGCCTCTTCTCACTCCACCCGCGACCTCTACCTCGTCTCGCTCTCGGACTCGCTCAAACTCGCGCTCGACCGCCTCATGATGAAACCCGTCCCGGTCTCGGTCTCGGTCTTTGCCGGCGCCGTCATCGCCCACGCTTTCTTCTATCTCCCCGGCGTCGCTCCCGCTCTGCTATACCTCTTCCAAGTCCGACACGCCGACGTCTCCCGCGTTCAAAAACAGTGCGGGCTCTCGCCCTTTGTCGGCGCAAACCTCAAGCGCTCCGCCATCTCTGTCTTCCCCTCCCATCTCGCGCCCCTTATTGTCTGCCACGCCCCTCCAACCTCTCGCCCACCCCTGCCCCAAGACCTCAGCGACTATCTCTACGGCGCATGGGCTCAGAGATGGTGGACAAGACAGGATAGCGACGTCTTTGCTTCGTTCTTCAAACACTACTACATCATCGCATCCGACTACATCGCCCTCACCTCCACCGCCGCAGATATCACCCCTGACGAAGCAATCATCTCCACCCCCGGCATCCTCATCATCCACGCCAGCATCCTCCGCATCATCGACGGTGTCGTCCACTGCAACAGTCCCAGCAACTCCACCCCCTCAACCTCTTCTAGCATAAAACGGTCGGCGTCACTACCCTCCGGCAAAGCTGACCCGAACGCACTACCGACCGAAGTCAACGCAACCATCCGCACAACCGTCTCGTCATCGGTCCTCGCGCGCCAGCTCTACCAGATGCGCATTCTCCTCGCCATCAAAGAAGTTCTCGACTTGTCTGGTCCGACATGCACTGCCTACGCTTCGACTTTCCTGCGCTTCTTCGAGAGCACCATCCTGCATGCTGCCGCAAAGCACACCTCGCTCTACGACGCCGAAGCCTGCGTCGTCCTGTGCGACCTCGCCGAAGCAGTCCTGACCACGCTCGCGGGCGCAACCCGCTCTGACCACGTCAACTGGTCGTTCTGGTTCGACATCATGAAGCAGCTCGTCGCCTCCGAGTCCTCCATGACCGAAGTCCGCGCGCTCTCGTTCCTCTACTCGTTCTGGGACAACATCGCCGCCGACTCGGACTACGCCGCCGTCGACTGGGTCCTCGGCCCTGCTGTTTGGCGAAAGTTCTTTTGCCACTGGGCGCCTCTCGTTCGCTCGTACTACATGCGCCTCATCTGCTGGCGCGTCATTCGTCCCGCGAGCCCGCAGTCAAGAGACGCCGTCGACCGCGTCGTCGACCGCCTGTCTTCGCTGTACATGGCCCTGCGTAGACTCGCTGCCTCGGGCCGTCCTATCGACGTCACGCCGTGCTCGCCCGTGCCCGGCCGGCGGATGGCGCTGGTCATGTGCTCTGGCCGCGACACGGCCGCGCACAAGTTCTTCCTACTGTCGATGAGGTTCCGGCAGGAGATTCTTTCTGCGGTCGAGTTTGAGAACGGCGATCGGTCGAAGAGCAAGGGAGTTGCGAACCGCTATGATGTGCATGATGAGGAAGTGTTTATTGCTGCGGCTACAATGATGCCGTCGTCCGGCCCTTCGTCGCTATCGGCCTCGTCTGCGTCTTTGCCGCTCTCTGCGAGTAGCTATAGTGCTCCTGCAGCGAGCACTTCAGCGTCTGCGAGCGCTGCAAAGGGAATCGCCAGTGTTTTCAGAAGATTTCGATCGTTCAAGAGCGGAAGCACAACGACCACAACTGAGTCAACAACCACTCAAGTTCAGCAGCAGACCAGCGTCAGCAGCGTCAGTGTCTCCGAGCAAACGTTCAAATCGACGCGTCTGCGACGCACCCCGTCTACGTCGTCGACAAACTCGACGAGCTCGGTGATCACGTCTGCCTCCGCGCTGACGATGAGCGGTCAAACCAGCAACGGGTTCGCGTCCGCCCCGGGTTCGAGCTCGACAGTGAACTCGCTGCTCGGGTCAGAGAAATCATACTGCTTCATGCTCCAGCCGACAGACGCGCACCGTCTGCAGCGGACACCCGCCACCAGCAATGCTAGCACGCCCACGCCGTCTGCCTCATCGTCGTCGACGTCCCTGCCGCTGCAGGCAAACAACTCGCAGTCGCAGCTGCTGCTCCCGCGAGGCGCACAGATCCCTGTTCCGCGACTGCCGTTTGCGAGACACAGCGTGATGGCGATGGCGAGCCAGCGCAAGGGCGCAAGCGGCTTTGCGGCGGCAGCAGAACGCAAGCTCGTGGTCGCGACGCCGCCGGAGAGTGGTTCGTCGTCGTTCGTGTCTGCTTTGCGGGATATTGCGAATTCCCCCGCGACGGCAGCGGCGGCCGCGGTGGTGGTCGCGCAGAACTCGCCTGTTCCGTCGTCGATTGCGACGTTTGAGTTACAGCCGTTTGCGAGCAGCAGTAGTAGTACCAGCAGCGGCAGTAACCTCACGACCTCATCAACCTCGCTCTCGTCCCTCACGACCGGTCTTTCGCCACACTCGAGCAGCAGCAGCGGTAACGGCAACGACAGCACCAACACCAACACCACCAGCAGCAGCACGAGCGGCACGCTCCCGTCGATCAGCCCGCACGGCAACTCGCTCAAGTACGCGGGCCACGCGCTCAGCGAGTGGAATTCCGTGGTCAGGCAGTACGAGCGGTTCGTGGAGATGCGGCGGAAGAAGGACGGGATCGATCTCGATCTCGATATCGGCACGCCGAGCATTATCGGCGAGGTTCTGTGCTGAACAACAGCACAGCTTGTATTATTTTTATTTATTTTTTTATATGTTAATTTTGGGAGTTTTTGAGTTAGATATAGGGATTTCTAGAAGTTCTTTTGCTTTGTTTCATTGTTACTCATTCTTTCAATCTGGGCTATTCGAGAAAAGAACTGCTCTCTCTTCTGCATGTGTATATATCCTAGGATATTATTTCTCTTTTAATATCTTCTTTTCTTTCTTCTTCCTGCTCATATTTATACTTACATATTTTGTCATTTTTTGCATTTATCTGTGATAGAGATACTGGAGGGACATGTTCATATGGTAATCTTATCGTATAAAGGGTTAATATATAACTATTATACAAACATAACTACAAACATAACTACAAACATAGCTATGAAACAAGAGCGAGCTGTAAAAATTGAGATTTGTGGGGAGGAGAAGAACGTCGAGAAGATAAAGAAATATTGTGGAGCCCCCTGAATTTCAACTCCGGTTATCTGAATGAGCCGCTGACGCTGATTGCATGCACCATCGCTCACCTCTCTTCACATCGACTACTTGCAGCACCACCCAAACTACTACCAATTCCAGGCAAAAAAAAGCAGGGACAAGAACAATGGCCGAAGCTTGTGATGTTATCCCCGTCCCCGAATTCACTCGTAAGTCCCCCCCCCCGCGCAGCATTGGTGTTGATCAAGCAGTCATGTCTGACAGACGTCTTTCCCAGCCGACTACACCCCGAAAGGCGAATTCCTCACCATCGCCGACCGGCCGGTGTACAAAGTGGGCTCGCCGACCTCGGACCTGGTGCTGATCTGCATCTACGACGTATTCGGGCTGCACAAAAACACGTTCCAAGGCGCAGACTACCTCGCGCTGCAATCGTCCGCCGCGCCGCCGCTCGTGCTGATGCCGGATTTCTTCGAGGGCAAACCGCTTGACCCCGCGCGGATGAAAGAGGAAGGATACCGCGAGTCCTGGCGAGCGAGCAACAGCGACACCGAGCACCTCGCCTATCTCGAGCGCGTGCTGTCGTACGTCAAGCAGACCTACCCCGGCGTGAAAGCGATCGGGCTCTACGGTTTCTGCTGGGGCGGCAAGCTCTCGATCATGGCGGCCAAGCACGCGCTCGTCAGCGCAGTCAGCTTGATCCATCCTTCTCGCCTCTCCGAGCTCGACGCGGACGGGTGCGAGAGCGTGCCGGTGCAGATTATCGCGACGAAGGACGAGAGCGTGGAGAGTTTGGCGGGGTTGGTGGGCAGGTTGGAGAAGTGCGAGTATGTGCGGATGGATGATATGTTTCATGGGTTTGCGGCCGCGAGGGGCGATTGGGGGGTTGAGGAGCAGAAGGAGAGGGCGCAGGAGGCGTTTAGACTTGTTGCGGAGTTTTTTAAGAGGGTGTTGTTGTAGTTGTCCAGCTTGAGTATAGTCAGCAATAGTCGAGGATAGATTAGAAGTGTCGCAGTCAGTTTACATGAGTACGAGAGTTCCTTATAAATCAGACAGTGAACAAGGTGGTCTGTAGATGCTATCGCATAGTCAATGACATTGCGTGCCTGTATATCACTAAAAGTTCCGATTGTTAAGGCCACCACGACAGACGATCCATTCAAATCCTTCCACAATTCTTACTCACAAACACAGCACCCAATTCCTATAACCATCACCACCGTCGTCACCACCACCATCGTCGTCGTCGTCAGAACTGCACTCGACAAAAAAAAAAGATTGTCAAGCCGAAACTGGAAAAAAGAACAAATCTCGCTCTTTTCAGAGAGAGCGCGATGCTTAGCAAATATTGCGCAAAATAGCGCAGTGGCGGTAGTGGCAGCGGGAGATTTGATCTGTAGAAGAAAGAGAAAGTATTGTCCAAAGTCGTTAGTATTTTTTTTTGAACAGAATGATACAACTATGACTTTTATCAGTTGCTCAGAGTGTAAGTATACACAGCGCACAGGCATTCGTTTCGAGAGCATCTCGGAGATCAGGTGTTGAGCCTCTTTCCGACCTCCAGAGCACCTATATCCCTCGCGCACTCTCGATCTCTATTTGTGTTGAACGGGAGAATTCGGGAAGAAAGTGTGCGATGGAGTTCCCGAGATGAGAAAGTGCTTGTCGGAGGCGTAGGGGTAGGTGTAGGTGTAGGTGTAGGTGAGCCGCGGTAAGGTCGGTCGGAAGAGCAGATCTGTTGACAGTGAAGCGGAGAAGGAATCCTCCTCCAGAACAAGTAAATGATCTGATTACATTCTCAAACCCTCCAAACACCAGGCCCAGCACTCACTCAACAAACAAACAAAACACAGCAAGGTCCAGACTAGAAAAAAGCTCGAAAAAGACTCGCAAAGATGAGCCTCGGCCGCTCCATGCGGATTCAAAGTTCAGAAGATGAGCAAAAGCGGAGGTGCGGCGCGCGTCCGCTTCTCGGAGTCCTCGTCCTCGTCCTTGTGCTTGTTGAAGTACTTCTGTTGTGGTTGCTGATCTTTGTTGTTTAGTATATTTGAGAGGTTTTGATTGCTGGACTGTTGGATACGGAAGGCGAACAAGGTGTACTAGAGCGACGAGAACAGATACGTGAGGAGATGCGATCGTGTCGGATCGCTGGATACTGATTTCGACTCCACATCCCCGATCTACAAGAACCACCCCAGAACAACACAACACATCTCCAGCAGCAACATGTACTCATTCCGAACAACAGGATTCAACGGCTACGCAGTCCAATACTCCCCCTTCTTTGACTCGCGCCTGGCCTGCGCGGCGTCGGCGAACTTCGGCCTCGTCGGCAACGGCAGGCTGTACGTGCTCGGGCTCACGCCGGACGGGATCGTGGCCGAGAAGTGGTTCGATACCCAGGACGGGCTGTTTGATTGTGCGTGGTCTGAGAATCATGAGAATCAGATCGTGGTCGCGACGGGGGACGGGAGTGTAAAGTTGTTTGATATTTCGCTTAGTGTGCGTATTTCTTACTAGAAGCTGAGATTGGTGGAGGTCTGGAGTCGTACTGATGAGTGGGTTCTAGGACTATCCTATACAAAGCTGGAGAGAGCATTCGCGGGAGGTGTTTTCGGCAAACTGGAACCTGGTCGATAAGAGCACGTTCTGCACCTCGAGCTGGGACGGATTGATCAAGATTGTGAGTTGCTGATAGAACAGAGAACTACAGACGCAGAAGCAGAAGAAGACTAACAGAGCTAGTGGTCTCCGGTGCGGCCAACATCACTTTCGACACTACAGCCCCCAGGCGGGCAACTATCGTGCACCTACGCAGCCTCGTACTCGCCCTACAACGCGACGATGCTCGCCTCGTGCTCGTCGGACTCGTTTCTACGACTATGGGATCCGCGCGCAGGAGGGATGCCGACAAACTCAGTCTACGCCCACAACGGCGCCGAGATCCTCTCGCTGGATTGGAATAAATACCGGCCAGAGGTGCTCGCGACGTCGTCTGTCGACCGCACGATCAAGATCTGGGACCTGCGATTTCTCGGCAACAACAGCAGCAGCAGCGCAAGCCCGGTGAACGAGCTACTAGGCCACGAGTACGCGATCCGCAAGATCGCGTGGTCGCCGCACGCGCCGGAGCTGATTATGTCTGCGAGCTACGACATGACGGCGCGGGTGTGGATCGACAGCACGGCATTGAAGCAGCCGTCGACGACGTTCAGCAGCGGGCGGCAGCCGGCGCGGAGGCCGAACGCGGGGCTGCGGTCGCTGTGGGATAAGCACACGGAGTTTGTCGTCGGCTGCGACTGGAGTCTGTGGGGAGCCGAGGGGTGGGTGTGCACCGTGGGCTGGGACGAGATGGTCTGGGTCTGGGACGTGAGGAGCGCGGTGGTGCAGTAAGGTTTAGTGGTTATGTAATGGATTACGTAAGATATTTGTGTAGGGTTGAGCCCTAGACACAGTAAAAAGCAGTCACGCGTAGGGTTCAGAGCAGGAGGAAGGGTGCGGCGGCGGGTCGAATGCGCCAGGCAAGTTTTCAGGTTCGTGATCGCAGCCCTCGACAACACCTCGACAACCGCCCATTCACCAACAACCCGACAACAGAAATGGCCACTTTCAGACCCCAGATCTCGGTCTTCGGCACCGACGGTGCGCTCACCGACAAGACCGTCGCTCTTCCCGCCGTTTTTAAGGCTCCCATCCGTTCAGATATCGTGCACGCCGTCTACACCGGTGTCGCGAAGAACAAGCGTCAGGCGTACGCTGTTTCCGAGAAGGCTGGTCACCAGACCTCTGCTGAGTCGTGGGGTAAGTGAGAGAAGAGAAGAGAAGAGAATCAATAAGAGAGAATGAGGAGAAAGTAGAACAAGAGGTTAACAAGTGGTATAGGTACTGGACGTGCTGTTGCCCGTATTCCCCGTGTCTCTGGCGGTGGTACTCACCGTGCCGGTCAGGCTGCTTTCGGTAACATGTGCCGTGGTGGTCGTATGTTTGCTGTATGTTGAGATCTCTGATCTATGAAAAGACAGAAATAAGAGACAGTGCTAACATATTTGGATATACAGCCTACCAAGACCTGGAGAAAGTGGCACGTCAAGATCAACCAGAACGAGAAGCGATTCGCTACTGCGTCTGCTATTGCTGCGTCTGCTGTTGCTCCTCTCGTCCTCGCCCGTGGCCACAGAATCGAGACTGTTCCCGAGGTTCCCCTGATTGTGTCGAACGACGTTGAGGCTCTTACCAAGACCAAGGACGCTGTTGCCGTGTTGAAGGCTGTTGGTGCTCACCGTGACGTTATCAAGGTCATCAAGTCGCGCAAGCTCCGCGCCGGCAAGGGCAAGCTCCGTGGCCGCCGCTACACTCAGCGCCGTGGACCGTTGGTTGTGTACGGAACCGAGGGTGCGTCGCTCGTCAAGGCGTTCCGCAACATCCCCGGTGTCGAGACTGCACATGTCAACTCTCTCTCTGTTCTCCAGCTCGCTCCTGGTGGACACCTCGGCCGATTTGTGATCTGGACCGAGTCTGCGTTCTCGCTGCTCGACAGCATCTGGGGCTCGGAGTCGACTCCCTCGGCCAAGTCGTCGTACGTTCTTCCGTCGAACATTGTGTACAACGCCGACATTACCCGTCTGATCAACTCTGCTGAGATCCAGGCTGTTGTGAAGCCTTCGGGAGAGAAGACCACTAAGCGTACTAATGTGCAGAAGAAGAACCCGCTGAAGAACAAGCAGGTTCTTCTGCGGCTCAACCCGTATGCTAAGACTTTTAAGCAGTAAATCAAAAGTTGTGATGAGATTGAATAAATGAATCATTGTTTAATACTATATTACTATACTATTAAGATAGAAGAAGTAGAAGTAGAAGAAGAACCGAAGATGTCATAGCGCAGTCGCAGTGACGCAACAGGCGGCGGGGGCAGGTGGCAGGTGGCCGCATTGGGCGATGGCAGCCAGGCTCAGTTATGCGAGATTGGCGATAGAGATGTGAGGTGGGTATTATTGTTGAATATAGAAGATATACAATGAGTAGAATATGTACAATAACTAGAATATAATACAATAACAGAATACATACAACTACTGGTGACAAACGTGCTGGTGCAAGCAGAGAACAGTCGAGGTCGAGGTCGAGGCAGGTGACCGCATTCAATTAATTCAACTCCGCATTGCTCTGTTCTCCTCCTCCTCCTCTCTTCTTCTTCCTCTTCCTCTTCCTCTACTCCTCCTCTCTACTTCCATTCTCTCATCTCCTCTACTCATCTCCTCTACTCACCTCCTCACCTCCTCTACTCACCCTCGCCATGGCCCACCGCGACGTAAAACGCCATCTCCTCTTCGAGATCTCCACCGAGGTCGCGAACAGAGGTACTCCCCTCCTCTTCCAACCCCCTCTTCTAACCTCTCTTCTAACCTCTCTTCTCAGTCGGTGGCATCTACTCCGTCATCAAGTCCAAAGCTCCCATCACCACCGCAGAGTACCGCGACAGATACACCCTCATCGGTCCCCTCAATCGCAAATCTGTACCTTTCCCCCGCCCCTCCTCACTTCTTTCTCCTCCTCTCTAACCTCCTCCTCTCCAGGCCGCTATCGAAGTCGAGGAACTCACCCCCACTGATCCATACCTCGTCGAAACCCTCCGCTCCATGTCCGACCGCGGCGTGCAGTACCTCTACGGCCGCTGGCTCATCGAAGGTATCTCTCCACTCTCCTATCTCTCCCCATCTCTCTCTATTCTCCTCCCGATCTAACCTCTCTCCCTCCAGGCGCCCCCCGTGTCCTCCTCTTCGACACCGGCTCCCAGTACTACCACCTCGACGAGTGGAAGACCGATCTCTGGAACGTCGGCGGCATTCCCGCCCCTCCCGGCGACGCCGAAACAAACGAGGCCGTCGTCTTTGGCTACCTCGTCGCCTGGTTCCTCGGCGAGTTTGTCTACCACGACCGCACCCGCGCCGTCGTCGCCCACTTCCACGAGTGGCTCGCCGGCGTCGCGCTCCCGCTCTGCCGCAAGCGCCGCATCGACGTCACCACCATCTTCACCACCCACGCTACCCTCCTCGGCCGCTACCTCTGCGCCGGCTCCGTCGACTTCTACAACAACCTCCAGTACTTTGACTGCGACGCCGAGGCCGGCAAGCGTGGCATCTACCACCGCTACTGCATCGAGCGTGCGGCCGCGCACTCGGCCGACGTCTTCACCACCGTCTCCCACATCACCGCGTACGAGTCCGAGCACTTGCTCAAGCGCAAGCCCGACGGCGTGCTTCCCAACGGCCTCAACGTCGTCAAGTTCTCGGCCGTGCACGAGTTCCAGAACCTGCACCAGGTCGCAAAGTCAAAGATCAATGACTTCATCCGCGGCCATTTCTACGGCCACTACGACTTTGATCTCGACAACACGCTCTACATGTTCACCGCGGGTAGATACGAGTACCGAAACAAGGGCGTTGATATGTTTATCGAGTCCCTCGCGCGCCTGAACCACCGCCTAAAGACCGAGAACTCGTCCAAGACGGTCGTGGCGTTCATCATCATGCCTGCCGCGACGCACTCCTACACCGTCGAGACCCTCAAGGGCCAGGCCGTCATGAAGGCCCTGCACGACACCGTCAACGAGATCCAGGAGGCGGTCGGCCGGCGACTGTTTGAGCGCTCGGCGCGTCACAACGACGACTCGGGCAAGGACTTTTCCGAGGACCTCAACGATCTCTTGACGGGAAGCGAAAAGGTGTTGCTGAAGCGCCGCGTGTTTGCGCTCAAGCGCAGCACGATGCCGCCGATCGTGACGCACAACATGGCCGACGACGCCAACGACCCGATCTTGAACCAGATCCGGCGCGTGCAGCTGTTCAACAACTCGTCGGACCGCGTCAAGATCGTGTTTCACCCCGAGTTCCTCAATAGCAACAACCCGATCCTGTCGCTTGACTACGACGACTTTGTGCGCGGATGCCATCTCGGCGTCTTCCCGTCTTACTACGAGCCCTGGGGATACACGCCTGCCGAGTGCACGGTGATGGGAGTACCCTCGATCACGACCAATCTCTCGGGCTTTGGATGCTACATGGAGGAGTTGATTGAAAACACCTCCGACTACGGCATCTACATCGTCGACCGTCGCTCCAAGGGCATCGACGACTCCATCAACCAGCTCACGGACTACATGTTCCAGTTCTCGCTCAAGTCCCGCCGCCAGCGCATCAACCAGCGCAACCGCACCGAGCGCCTGTCCGATCTCCTAGACTGGAAGCGCATGGGTCTCGAGTACATCAAGGCGCGCCAGCTTGCGCTGCGACGCGCGTACAGCTCGTCGTTTGACGAGGAGGACGAGGACTACAACTCCTTCTTTGACGGGACCGAGATGAAGCTCTCGCGCCCGCTGTCTGCCCAGGCCTCGCCGCGCGACCGGTCGGGGATGATGACGCCGGGAGATTTCGGGTCGCTGCAGGAGGTCCGCGAGGGACTCGACACGGATGATTATGTCGGGTTCAAGTTGCCAGAAGAAGACGAGGACGAGCCGTACCCGTACCCGCTCTCGTTGAAACGGCCGACCGCGGTAGGCGTGCAGACCAACGGCGAGAAGCAGTAGATGCATATTGAAGAAAAGACAAGAAAAGACTTTGTAAAGAAAGAAAGAAGTGTAAAGACTAGGACGAGCCGGGCATTTACCTACATTAGACTATCTGATTTTAATGTTTTTTGTGAGATTTTAGTGTAAAGATGATTGAGAGGTGATCTGTAATTGAGTGTGTGTGTGTGAACACGAGAGTGTGTTTGTTGGTTTGTAATTATTTTAGTCTCATTTGATTTGTTCTTCTTAATTCTTATTCATATTCATATTATATCCATATACATAACATAATAGTAATCCAATTCCGTCAACCCGCAGTGCAACAACCAAAACCACATCCCATCAAAGATGTCAAAGTGCGCCGCACGCCAGACGATAACTTCGAGAACATCATCGCAGCAGCAGCAGCAGTGCATACAGTTCACAGGAAGAGCGGATATCTTGTCGAATTCAAGAGGGAAGTAAGAGAATAGAAGATTGCTGAGCTTGTTGCAGTGTCTTGGAGAAGTAAGATTCTATCTGTGAGTTAATTGAGGATCCTGGAATTGACACCACCACCGACAACCACCACCAAACGCAACTCGATTCAACAATCATCAATGCCACCCACCCCCCCTTCCCAATCTTCATCAGCTCCCGCGTGATTGGCGGTTTCGGCCGCGGCTCCTCCGAGCTCGGCATCCCGACCGCCAACATCCCGTCCACGGCGCTCACCGCGCTCACGCAATCCGGCATCCCGGCCACGCAGACGGGTATCTATTTCGGTCTGTGTAAAGTCGCCGGCGTGTACGGCAGTCTCGAGCGGAGAGAGAGAGAGAAAGAGGAGGAAGAAGGGCCGCCGCAGAGTACGATCGTGCCTTCCACGACGGAGATTACGGACGCGGACGCGACGGTGCTGCCGATGGTGATGTCCCTAGGCTGGAACCCGTTCTACCACAACACCGAGCTGTCGGCCGAAGTCCACGTCGTGCACAAGTTCCGCGCGCAGTTCTACGGCGCCAAGATCAAACTCGCGGTGCTGGGCTATATCAGGCCCGAGTCGGACTTTGTCAGCGTCGAGGCGCTGGTCGAGGAGATTATGCGGGATATCGAGTATGCGAAGGAGAAGTTGGGTGAGGATGGGTTTCGGGAGTTTGTGGAGGATGGGTTTTGGAGTAAGGAGGAGGAGTGAAAGAGTTGATAATGTACATTTTGTTTGATAGTGTTGGGGAGTATCATAGCATCACATAATATCAAAAGTTTCACATAAGAGAGTAAGCATAAAATCGTTTGAAGCGAAGTCATTACAGCTTCAGGAAGAAAAGAAAACCCCACGCCCCGTCCAAACAAGAAAAGAAGTAAGAAAAAAAAAAGAGCATAAAAATCCATCATTAGCAACTTTTCCAAGTAAGTTAATCAATAACCAATCCAAAAAGCAAATTCGACAAAGAGGCGCTCAGAGAAGTTCGATTCAATTCAAGATTGGCAGAAAATTCCCCACAATCATCATCGGGATATCAAACACATCCCGCTTGATAGTCCACGTACACGCCGTCGGAATCTTCCGCCCCGTCGGACTGAGCAACGTACACTCCATCATCGTCGCGCCTCGCGAGTCCCCGAACGCGAGCTTGCTGAAACCTTCAAAATACTCGACCACCGAGTGATCGTCCATAAACTCGACCATGAACGTGCGTTTCCCAAGAAGTTGCTCTTTCGTCCACCCCGTCAGAATGCAAAACTCCTTGCCCACCGCCGCGACCTGGCCCGTTCGCCGCCACACGATCGTCGGCGTGCCAGAGTACGAGATGAATTTCTCGTACTCGAGCAACGTGCGCTGGAAACACTTCTCCATGAAAATCAAGTCTTCTTCTTTCAGCGTCTTTGTGCACGCAATAAACGACGGCCGGAAGGCAGCCATCGCGCGCGCGACCCGCATCAAATGTGGCCGATCGAACCGGCTCTTGAGATACGCAATGATCCCGTGATACCCCGGCGTGTACGAGAACGGCTGCGTCACAGACGCATACACCGTCTCTGGATCCCGCCTACGCCGCGGCGCAATATGAGGAGGTAGCGCAGAGGAAGAAGAGGAGGAGGTGGTTGCGGTGCCCGTAGGCGGCCCCATGACCTCGTTCCCCAGCGACGAGCGGTGCGCGGCGGTTCCCGACGACGACGACAGCAGCGGCGACGGCTCGCTCGCGGTCGGCGTCGGCGGACTCGCGCTGTTTTGCGGCGAGTTTCCCGACAACAGACTCGCGAGCCCGCGCGCGGCCCAGTTCGAGTCGCGGACAGCCATGTCGGCGAACCCGTAATCATACGAGATCGACGAGGACGAGTTTGGTGCCGCGCCGAGGATGTTTGAGGCGCTTAGCGGGGGGTCATATCTGAGGATCCCGTGCCGAGCATGTTTGAGAGGTACGAGAATTCCATGTTTGCTGTCTTTGAGCCGAAATCGTAGGCGGACAAGTTGAGGTTCGAAAAGATGCTGTCGGTCGCGTCCGGCGAGTCTTCTGCCAGCGGATCGGAGCCGAGAGAGGAAGGGTCGATCGTACCGTTCATGGGGAGCACGCTGGCTTTGCTATTACTGTTGCTGCTGGTATTGCTGGTATTACTGCTCGCGAGCGCCCTGGCAGCTCTGCTGGTGGTGGTGGAAGTGGGGGCGGGGGTGGTGGAAGCGTCGGTGGTCTTTGCAGGCGGTTTGTCCGGCGCGTCGCTCAGGTACTTTGCTTTCTTGCGCACGCCGTCGTGGCAGGTGTCTGAGAGCCCGCGCTTGACGCAGCGCTGGCAGGGACGCGCATCGTCGCATGTGAGATGGGCTTTTTGGCAGTGGAAGCAGGCACGCGAGGCCTTTTTGCGTTTCGGTCGACCGGTGCGCAGCTGGGAGGTGTTAATAAAGCAGTGCCAGTAGAAAAAGAAAGAAAAAACTAACGCTTATACCGCTGCTGCGGGCCATGGCGGCGGTCATGTTGAGCGTCACGCCTGAGGAGGTGGTGACGGTGTTTGGGCCGGGGGAGGTGGAGGGGGGAGGAGGAGCCATGGAGCCGGCCGAGAGCGAGGAGTCTTTGGATAACAAACAGGTAGACAGACAGCAGACAAGCTGAATAAACACAGACTTCTTTCCTCAAAAATCAGTTTCTTCTTCCAGCTTTTATTCCTCCAAACAACAAACAACAAAAACACAGAAGCAAAACGCAAAAGACAAGCAAACCTCTGGGCACGAGGCCCGTCCGCTGCGGCGGCGGAGACCTTCTTTCCTAATCGGGATGGGTCCGGTGGCTATTTTACCCACAGCCGCTCGTTCCCCGCTCTTTCGCCTCCACGTCCGCTCCCTTCCGGCCGCCTTCCGAGTTTTTCCTTGATGCGGGTGTCAGCGAGGGGTTTGTGGATGTAGATTTGTTCGTTGAAGAAATTGTCTGGTTTTGCTGTTCTTTTTGTCTTTTTGTCCTTTTTTGTTTATATTCTCTGATTATATTCTCAGATTGTAGAGTATAGACTAGTTGTTGTATTTACTAAATGTCCTCCTCCGAAAGCTCTTCTGGCAGTGCGCCTGTCCGTGTACGCTTCCTCTTCCTCTTCCCTACTTCTCCTCTCTCCTCTCTAATTCTGACCTTCATCAGCCTGCTCCCTGGAAGTCTCTCGTTGCCGGCGGTGTAGCCGGCGGCGTTGAAGCCGCCATCACCGTACGTCTTTCTTTATCACTATCCACCTCACTCATCCTCTCTACTAACAGATCAAAGTACCCATTCGAGTTCGCCAAAACCCGTCTCCAACTCGTCGACAAATCCCAAGTCGGTTCGCGCAACCCTCTCACGCTCGTCATCCGCGTCGCCAAAAAAGACGGCATCTCGACGATCTACACCGGCTGCTCGACAATGGTCATCGGCTGCACCGCCAAAGCGGCCGTGCGCTTCCTCGGCTTCGACTCGATCAAGAAGCTGCTCGCGGACGAAGACGGCAAGCTTTCGGGGTCCAGAGGCGTGCTCGCTGGGTTTGGCGCGGGTATTCTCGAGTCTGTCTTTGCGCTTACGCCGTTTGAGACTATCAAGACCGCGCTGATCGACGACGCGCAGCGCGCGAAACCCAGGTACCGCGGGTTCCTGCACGGATCGTATATGATCATCAAAGAAGGCGGCGTCGGCGAAGTCTACAAGGGCCTAGTCCCCGTCACGCTGCGGCAGTCGTCCAACGCGGCCGTGCGCATGGGCTCCTACTCTTTCCTCAAGCAAAAAGTGCAGGCGCTCGACGGCGGCGATCCGAACAAGCCGCTGTCGGGAGCCAAGACGTTCCTTGTCGGCGCGATCGCGGGCGTGATTACCGTGTACACGACGATGCCGTTCGACACGCTCAAGACGCGCATGCAGTCGCTTGAGTCGAAGAAGGAGTATCGTAGTACGCTGCACTGTGCGCAGAGACTGGTTAAGGAGGAAGGCGTGCTCACGTTCTGGAAGGGGACTACGCCGAGACTTGGGCGGCTGGTTTTGAGCGGTGGAATCATCTTTACGATTTACGAGCAGATCATTGCTGTTTTATAATGAGTTGTATACCAAAATAAACAGAGAACAGACTACACTAAACAGAAGGAAAGGTCATCTACGCCTTCCTCAACCGCTTGATCGCCTCCCCGATCGGCTCCCCATTATGCAACGCCTCGAAAGTCAAATCATCAATCCTCTTCCTCTCCGTACAAAGCTCAACCACCTGCTCGACCTTCCCCGCCGGAATCACAACCACACCATCCGCGTCGCCCATGAGGAAATCCCCGGGCTCGATCCAGAGCTCGTCCTTGACCTGCACGGGCACGTTGACCTCGCTCGCGCGCGTGAAGCCGTTCGAGCCCAGGATCGAGATGTCGCGCGCAAAGACGGGGAAACCCATCTCGCGCTGCTCAAGGATGTCGCGGAAGCGGCCGTCGACGATGACACCGGGCGCGCCGAGGTGTTTGGCGCGGGTGGTCATTAGGCCGCCCCAGCAGGCGGAGTACATGCCTTTGGGCTGGGAGATGAACATGATCTTGCCGGATTCGTTGTAATCGCACTAGTACGCTGTCAGCACATTCTCTCCACCAAGCAGCAAAGAGTACTTACAAAGTGCTTTGGCAGCGAGGGACTCGTCTTATCACTTGCGTCAACCATCTATAGAAACACGACAATCAGCACCACAATCAAATACTCCCAAGCATTAAAGCAGCCTACCTTCACCGTAATCGCCTCGCCAAAGATCTTCGTCGGCCCGGCCTGCCGCTCAGGCGAGAACATTGTAATTCCATCCAGAAACCCTCCAAACGGAACCTTGAGCTTCACGAGCGCGTCCCCGATCTACAAAACAGGCAAAAGGTCAGCTTTCGAAGCAGGCTGAACGTGAAAGAGGTGCAGACGAACATCACATGTAGCGAACGACTTGAGCGCCGAGATCAGCGCGGCAGATGTCTTGATCGACATTCTTTCTTCTTTCTGCTTTTATCAGAAGTATCAAGTAATTCAGCAGATCTCAGCCTTTTGTGCAAATGCCAGAGTTCAACAATAAAGAGAAGTAGTCAAAGCAGGCCGAGCCCAGGCCGATGCGGAGATTAGCCCTCGCCCACGTGCCGCAGATGATGCGGCTCATCAATATTTGTATATCACGTGATATTTCAAGAAGTGATGGGTGGGTGGAGGATGTGGGAATTGGCGGTGGTTTTGTTTAGTTGAGTGAAGTTGGAAATAGTTAAAGCAGATATCTACTTTATAAATATTTCATAGCAATTGAGCGGCTTAGAAGACGACTCAGCTCGGGCGGAGGTGGTGCGGTCAGCGAGAATTGGAGATCATGCCATACGCTGACCATCGGCACAACCGCATAAAACCAGCGCATTTAAAACTCCCCGAAGAAATCTTCTAAACTCCCGACTCGACCTTCCTCGACCCGCAGCGCTGTTGTTTCGCAGTGAGCCCAGAGATATAAGAAAAGAGATAAGGAAGAAGAAAGGAAGACGAATATGGTGAAAGAATTAGCTCGACCGGCGTTATTCTTCGCCCACAACGCAAGGCTGCAGCAGGCGCTGCTGTTTGGCAAGACTTGCTCGCGCAGCGATATCAGCGCGACCGCCGGACGGCCGTTCACTGCCTTGTCTGCCACCCGTGCGCGTGAGTTTAACGAGACACTGGCGCTGGCGGCAAAGTCTGCTGGTGGTAGCTCTGGTCTTGGAAGTTTTGGTTTATTGGCAGCCGGGGGTGCGGGCGCGGGAAAAATGATGTACAACAAATCGCGGCAGTTCTCGTCGCTGGCTACTCGCAGCAGTAGTAGCAGTGGAAGTTTTGCTCGGCGAATGTTTTCGACTTCGCGTCAGCTACTCAACAGCATTGCTAGTCCCGCCACAGCTGCTCCTGTTACCGATACCACAGCTGCGCCGCGAGTCAAGAAAGTGTTGACTGACCGCAGCGTCGGCGTCTGGCTGATCGGCACCTCATTCCTCGTCTTTGGCATCGTCGTCATCGGCGGCCTGACGCGACTCACCGAGTCCGGCCTGTCGATAACAGAGTGGAAGCCCGTCACCGGCTCGATCCCGCCCTTGACGCAGCAGGACTGGGAGGCCGAATTCGAAAAGTACCGCGCGTCGCCCGAGTTCAAGCTGTTGAACTCAAACATGACGCTTGATGAGTTCAAGTTTATATTCTTCATGGAATGGTCCCATCGCCTGTGGGGCCGCATGATCGGTCTTGTGTTTGTGCTCCCGGGCGCGTACTTCATCGCCCGCGGCCGCGTCTCGGCGCGCGTCACGAAGCGGATCGCGGCTATCGCGGGCTTGATTGGATTCCAGGGCTTCATCGGCTGGTGGATGGTCAAATCCGGCTTGTCGGACCATTTCCTCGCCGACGACGGCATCGACGGCAAGTACAAGGACAGCCACCCGCGCGTGTCGCAGTACAGACTGGCGACCCACCTCGGGCTCGCGTTCGTGGTCTATCTGTCGATGCTCTGGACCGGGCTCGAGGTCTTGAAGGAGAATAAGTGGATGAAGAGTCCGCAGGAAGCGGTTGCGCTGGCTTCGAAATTGAGTAATCCTGCGCTGAGAAAGTATAAGCTTCTTGCTGCCGGACTTCTTGCTCTCGTGTTTACAACCGCCATGTCTGGTAAGTTTTCTCCTCGTCTCTTACTTTTAGTATCGAATCACAATCTAACGAGTGTTGTCTGCAAGGCGCCTTCGTGGCCGGACTCGACGCTGGACTGATCTACAACGACTTCCCGTTCATGGGCGAAGGCCTTATCCCCCCCACATCCGAAATCTTCTCGACCTACTACTCCCGCTCGCGCGACGACTCCGACCTCATCTGGCGCAATATGCTCGAGAACCCTGCGACCGTGCAACTCGAGCACCGCATCCTCGCCACCACCTCCTTCTGCTCCATCGTCGCTTTCCACATCTACTCCACCCTCCTCAACAAGCGCGGTCTGCTCCCGCGCTCCGTCTTCAAGGCCTCGCATGGCGTCATCGGATTCGTCACCTTGCAGGTCGCGCTTGGTATCTCCACACTCTGGTACCTCGTCCCGATCCCGCTCGCGGCCGCGCACCAGGCTACCAGTCTCGCGTTGCTGACGGAGGTGCTTATTCTCTGCATCAGGCTACGTAAGCCCAGAGCAGAGGTGCTGCAGCTCTTGCAGAAGAGGAACGCGGCTGCTGCTGCTGCTACGCCTGTGAAGCCTCAGGTGCTCATGCCGTGATCAGCTGTAAGAGAAGTGCTGCGGATGTATATATGGATGGTGTGGTGTGTGAAGCATGAAACCCCAATCTGCTTGATACTATGTACATAATGAATTCTAATTCAAGTCAAGTTTCCGAATAAACGTTGTGATCTCGTAAAATTAGTATATTTGTATGCAAAAGCTGCTTTTACGGCACCACCAGTGCTTCATCTACCTACATACATCATAAATATAGATACAATAAACACATAAAGCCCGAACGTTCTGTCTGGTTGCTGTTTTGTTCTCAAAAACAGACCCTATTGATAAGAAATCGGTATAATCATTCTGCACCCAGAAGTACACGCTTTGAAGAGAGCGCGTTAGTTTATTCTTTGCTGGTTCTCCTCGCCTCCTCCACCTTCTTCGTCCACTCTATTTTTTTATATCACTTTTCCTTGACATTTTTCATCTGTATCATAATCTTCTTCATAACTAGCTGATCTTTTTTTTTTCGTTTTCTTCAAACTTGCTCTCTCCTTAGACAGCACTCTGAGCGGCGGACTGTCATTCCATCTTGTGGCCTTTGATATCTTCTTCCTCAGTCAAGAGGTCCGGGTTGTCGGGCTTGTGCTTCTTGTTTGAGTCGAGACGGCGCTGGACTGCCTTGATCATCTTTGAGAACCAGTAGACCTATAAATCGAAAGATTAGCTTCTGTCGTAGTTTAGGATAAGGTAATGAGACATACGTTGAGGAAGTCAAGGGACAGGTTCGATGTAAGGACGAAACACGGCAACCAAAACGGCATGCGAGGATCGCCCCACGCCTTGTAGAAGTCATAGATAAGAACGCCAGCAGACGCAAAGCCCCAGACCAGACGAGCGAGGAAGAACGAGAGCAGGAGGAGGACGCCGTTCACGAGCTGGACTTTCTCCGGGACAGTGTTTGGAGGGAGATGGCTCGTGAACCAGTGCACGTTCAGGAACGGCGTTGAGATTTCAAACATGAGAAAGACGGGGCCGTAGTACATCAGGAATGGTCTCTGCAGAGAGGAAGATTGTTAGTTGAGCACCTGCAAAGTCGAGATGTGAAGTGGGACGTACAAAGCTGAGAAGAAAGACGCTGACCGAAGCAATTCCGTGGACGGCAAAACCGATACCGAACCAATTGATGTACTTGAGACTGATGTAAGAGTCCCAAGCAAAGTATCCGACAGCAAAAGCGTAGACCAAGCCGCCGTAGGGCGAGTACGCAAACAGATGATCGACCTTGAGCTCGGGGTCGAAGAAGGCAGGGAACGCGAGGGCGATGATGAGCAGGCATTGCACCTGCGAGACGACGTGGATGTCGAAATTGATGCGCGTGCGTCTGGGCATGGTCTTGTACGAGCTGAAAGCAGAGTTGAAGAGCGGACCCATGAGGAAGAGGCCGTGGTAGAGCGCAAAGGCAAGGACGACCTCGTGGATGTGAGGTGCGAGCATCGGGAGGCCGATTGCGTTGCAGACCGTCGTCAAGGTCTCCTGCACGGCAGGAGGGTACTCAATGGCAAGAAAGTCCTTCATGTCTGAGGGATGAAAGAAGACTTAAAGCGGTGGAGTCTGTTTCTATGGACAAAGCGGCCTGGCGCTCTGATATGCTGTACTGTATCGGGGTCTGCCGGAAGAGCCTAAGTAGAACTACTACCCCGGATATTCGTCAGACCAAGATACCGCTGAGATGCTGAAAAGCGGTCAAATTAACTGAACAACGCGTTCGCAATCAGACAACCAGAAGCAGCTACTGAGAGGAACCCGCAGAGAATATCAGAGAGCGCAGGGAAGAACTCGGGAAGTGCCAGCACGGTCGACGAGGGTCGATAGAAGCTGTGGCTGACAGCAGCAAACAAGCATCTGACTAATCGCTTACATAACGGACCAGAGCCGCTCTACGCGTTCCTGTGCGCGCCACAAGTGGCAGTGCATGTGGCTGGAGGAGACTACGCCCGATCGAGCGAATAGTCAACAGACAACAGCGAAGGGGGCGTTGCTGAGCCTCACGTCTTCCTTCTGCTTTGCTCTGTTTGTTTTGCTTCAGGACGAGTGACTGGATTATCCCATAATAACCTGCGATATCCCTAAGATTGTGTTTGCTGGTGTTTAGCCTGCCGTATTCTGCTCGTGTGTTTGCTGTGTTTGTCTTGCAATAGCTTTGTATCTATTTCCTTTGCTATTTTACTGCAAAACTCGTATATAAACAACAATGGTCGAACTGTCGGATTTCCACAAGCTTGAGAAGATTGGTGAGGGTATGTATTCTGTCTGACTTCTCCTCTTCTATTCCTTTTGATTTATTCATCTCTCTTCTTCTACACACAATCTAACACTCACCACCCGATCAGGCACCTATGGCGTCGTCTACAAAGCACGCGACACGACAAACAATAATCGCGTCGTCGCGCTCAAGAAAATCCGTCTCGAGGCCGAAGACGAGGGCGTGCCCTCGACCGCTATCCGCGAGATCTCGCTTCTGCGCGAGATGCGCAACGAAAACATCGTCGAGCTCCTCAACATCGTGCACTCGGACAGCCACAAGCTCTACCTCGTGTTTGAGTTCCTCGATCTCGACCTTAAAAAATACATGGAAGCCATCCCCCAGAACGTCGGGCTGGGCGCGGATATGATCAAGCGCTTCATGTCGCAGCTCGTCCAGGGCACAAACTACCTCCACGCACACAGAATCCTGCACAGAGATCTCAAGCCACAAAACCTGCTGATCGACAAGGAGGGCAACCTCAAGCTTGCCGATTTCGGTCTCGCGCGTGCCTTTGGCGTTCCTCTTCGCGTCTACACCCACGAGGTTGTCACGCTCTGGTACCGATCTCCTGAGATCCTGCTTGGCGGCCGCCAGTACTCGATCGGCGTCGACATCTGGTCGATCGGCTGTATCTTTGCCGAGATGGTCACCCGCAAGCCGCTCTTCCCGGGAGATTCTGAGATTGATGAGATTTTCAAGATTTTCAGATTACTCGGAACTCCTGACGAGGACGTCTGGCCGGGCGTTTCGTTGCTGCCTGATTTCAAGACTACCTTTCCTCAGTGGAGCCGCAAGGATCTCGCGGCTCATATCCCTGCTCTTGATTCGGATGGAATCAACCTTCTCGAGGTAAGTTGTTGTTGGTGTAGAGTGCTGAAGTGAAGTGCTAACTTTATATGTGAATTAGGCCTGTCTCGTTTACGACCCTGCCGGTCGTATCTCTGCCAAGCGTGCTCTCAAGCACGCTTACTTTGTTGGCCACCAATCTCAGCCCATGCGGAAGGGAAATGATATGATGAGCGGAGGGGTTAAGTATGCTTCGGCACAAGGACGAGGAGATATTGGTGCTCAGTTTATGGCGAAGAATGTCAGGACGCGGGCATAATCTACATCTCAATCTATGTTCTTGTTTGTTCTTTTCTTCTATAATAGCAATCCTGCTTTTATTCGCGCCGGGTCTGTCGTATGATATGAGATCTCTGCACACTTTTTCTTCTGTTTCTTAATGTTTCTGGTTTAGTATGTTTGTCGTTCTTGTTTATCAATATGTTGGGATATCTTTGCTTGCTCCGATTTTTATATTTGTTTTTCGTCAAATGTCGACTACTTACATGGTGCGTACTATGCAGGAGTAGATATTTGACGAAAGTTGTCCACAAGAGGTTGCATTCTAATCAAGTAGATGCTTTTACTTACCTCGTATAACAAAATGTCATGCGTCATCAACACGGTTTTACAGGATTGTTTTTTTTTGTTGTGTATTGTTTCTTTAGTCATTCTATATCCTTGCCAGTTTCCGATTCACAAAATAAATAGATATAGCCATATTCAGAAAGTGAGATCTAAAAAGACTCGATTTGTAGCTTAGATGTTATAGTACAAGTGATAGTAGGGAATTATGTACAAAAAGAAGAAATATATGATACATCATTAGATCCAACGCCAGAGCAAAAGATAAACAGCAAACAATCAAACTTTTGAGGGATCCGGGGCCGCGACGACGAACTGGGTGACATCGGCAATGATCTCCTTTGTCGCGCCCAACTCGACGATTTCTTCATTGCTGAGCCGGATCGAGTCTTCTAGATTGACGGTGGTTATGCGCTGGCCGCGGCCTTTGAGGATGTCTTCTAGAGTAACCGGGGTGTCTGAGAAGATCTGTGGAGCAGAGAAAGGTTAGTAGGTTGAGGGAGGTTGAGGGGGAGTGGCGGGTGTAGAAGTGGGAGATGACGAACCTTGAGATGATCTGCCATCAGATGATGGTTCTTGCATCCAGGACAGCGCACCATGACCGTGCCATGATGGTATGCCTGTTTTGAGAAGAAGTGGTTTGATCTCGTTTTGCAGACGGTGCATGTGAACGTGATGTTGTACATCGGCTTGTCCATCGGGATCTGGAACGGCTTCGACTCTGCCTGCTTCACGGGCTGGTGGTCGGCATGCTGGCCATGGCTGTGGCTGTGGTTGCAGCAGCTGCCGTTGTCGCTGTGCTGATGTGCGTGCTCGTGAGTGTGCTCTGCCGTCGCGCTGCCGCTGCTGCTGGGCTTGTCGCTGAACGTGCGGACTCGTTGGCTGAAGGATGTGGCGGTGGCCGGGACGAGCAGCTGCTGGCGCGCAAAGAGCGAGGCCGTAGCTGCTGCCGAGACTCTGCGCTGGAGCTGCTGGTTGAGCAGGTTCGTCCCGTAGAGCCGTGATAGAACGTTAGTGCGCAACATGCTGAATATCTCCGAATATCTCTGAATACTCGGTCGTTGAGCAGCGGCGAGAAGCACAGAAGACAAAGACCCGAAGAAGCTTCGCCCTGGAAGCCCGCAGAGCCCGGCTGACGTCATGTGATCAGCACGTGCCCGGTGCCGCGCCGCCGCAGCAGCTCGTTGTCGGTCCTCGACGGCAGCCGACTTCGACTTCTCCTTTGTCCGCCATCTTCACCGGTTTCTCTGTCTGCTCAACCTCCTCAGCTCCTTCTTCATTCTCCTCGTTCAAAGCAGATGCACCGCCCATTGCTCTCGCGCTCATCATCGGCTGCTTTGATCAAGACATGCTTGCTTCTGTCTTCTAACCTGCTCTTCCTCCTCCGCTGCAAAGACAAATTCTCCCTCGTCCAGGACCCTTACCGACACCTCCACGCGCGCGACGACGACGATGACGACGATGACGATGACGAGCTCGACGGCGTCAAGTTCTGGGTGTTTATTGCAATCTCGGTGACCCTTGTTTTGCTCGGTGGTGTCTTTGCCGGTATGTCGCGAATATGTCCCCTGCATAGCTGCGTCTCGTTGATCTCTTAAGGGTCCTTTTTCTGATAATCTAATTTTTTTTCTCGCGATAGGACTCACTCTTGGCCTTATGGGACAGGATGAAGTATACGTAAGCTCCCGCCACTTCTCAATTGATTTTGCTCTCATTCTTTGTCACTGTTCGACAACTAACTCCACCTCCCTCTGCAGCTCCAAGTCATCACGGAAACCGGAACCTCCTCAGAGCGCCACAACGCCCAGCGTGTTCTCGGCCTGCTCAAAAAGGGCAAGCACTGGGTCCTCGTAACCATGCTTCTCTCCAACGTCATCACAAACGAGACCCTACCTATCGTGCTCGACCGCTGTCTCGGCGGTGGCTGGCCGGCCGTCGTCTCGTCGACTATCTTGATTGTCATCTTTGGCGAGGTCATTCCCCAGTCTGTATCGGTCCGGTACGGTCTTTCTATCGGTGCTCTGTTTACGCCGTTTGTCATGTTCCTTATGTATGCGATGTATCCTGTTGCGTACCCTACCGCTCTACTGTTAGATCGCGTTTTAGGAGAAGGTGTGTGAATCCTTTGTTCCCCCAATTCTTTCATAATAATTAGCTAACTTTCTACAACAGACCACGGCACCGTATACCGAAAAGCGCAGCTCAAGTCTCTTGTCTCGCTCCATCGCTCAATGGGATCCGAGCGCCTGAATAGAGACGAGGTCACCATCATCTCTGCCGTTCTGGATCTCAACGAAAAACCCGTCGGCACAATCATGACTCCCATCCAGGACGTCTACACCATGAGTGCCGACCGCATTCTCGACGAGGCAGCTGTCGAGGAGATTCTCAAGGCCGGATACTCTCGTATTCCAATCCATACCCCCGACGAGCCCTACAACTTCATCGGCATGCTCCTCGTGCGTATCCTCATCTCATACGACCCCGAAGACGCGCAGCCCGTGTCTTCGTTCCCGCTCGCCACGCTTCCGGAAACTAGACCGGATACGACATGTTTGAACGTTCTCAATTACTTTCAGGAAGGAAAGTCGCATATGATGCTTGTGTCTGACGCGCCGGGCGAGGCATACGGCGCGTTGGGTGTCTTGACACTCGAGGATGTCATCGAAGAACTGATTGGCGAAGAGATCGTCGACGAGTCTGACGTTTACATTGATATCTCGCAGGGTATCCGTCGGAAATACGTCTCGCCGTTAACCCGTCGCACTCTTCCTTCTCAGTTTGTCGCACAGCACCAGCACAACTCTGTGATTGTTGGAAACAACAGCAGTAACGAATTAGGAAGCTCAGGCCATTCGACCTCTCACTTACCTTTGAACAACAACAACGATCGATCAGATCCGCTTGTGCAATCTCTCATTTCCGCTATTGCTACCCCGCAGTCTTCGAGCAGTAATACGCCCGTTGGAACTGTTGCCGTTACGAAACCAGCCCATCCCAACATCAACCAGATGCCAAAGATGGAGCCTCTCAACCTTGCTATGAGACCCAAGCAGACTGCAAACTCTCGAGTCAAGATCAAGCGCGGTGCAATGGAAGATTACGTCCGCCGGACGTCTTTGGATGCCAACCGCCCGAATACCAACTCTTCCAGATACTCTGGTCCTAGCAACACCGATTTTGGTGTCATCCACGAGAGCGAAAGCGCCGCATTGCTCGACGGACCCCCCGAGCCTCCTAGCGATCCGTTCAACAGCTCGTCGCGCCGCGCATCCAGTTCAGGATCGAGCACGACGAAGAACGGTCCCCAGCGCCGTCCGTCGTTTATTGAGCTCAATCATCTCGATAGCCGCTCAAACAGCTTCAACAACGCGGGATACGAACGAGTCAATACGACAACGCCGGGATCCGTCATCAGCGAACCTGCTAGCGCAACCTCGACCTCAAGATTGCTGGACGGCTCGGAGTATCCTACCTTCGAAGCCGGCTGGCCTAACAGCAGTAACAGCGAATTCCACGCCAGCGGTATCATGGAGTCTGTACGTGAGGTGCATGGATATAAGAAGACGATTATTCAGTCGATGCCGATGCAGGACGCTATCTCCTCAGGCGAGGATTCAGAAGACGACGGCGGCAGTGACGAGAGCTCCGGTGGATCGAGTCGCGGCAATCACCATCACCACCACCAGCATCGAAAAGACCATCGTAGCAATAGCAATAATCCGTCGGACCTGGAGCGAGGCGAGGTCGACGAACACGGTGACTCGATTACTTCGTACCGGAAAAAGAAAAACGGCAAGTCGAGTCGGAAAGGAAGCTTTTTCTCCGTGTCTTAGACAAGCCGGACTTTGTGACTTGGCGCGGGGGATAAATGAATGTTTAGCGAGACGGTCTGTGTTTTTGGTATAACTATTCTTTGTGAAGTTTGAGATGATGGTTTTCTTCATTTTGACGTGGTGGATGGCGGAGAGACATTTGTGCAATTCTGATATCCTTTCTTTATTACATCAACCAGTGTTTGTTTATGAATTATAGTGAATATAAATACGGCGTATATTAGTTAACAAGTAAAGGACCTTTCTAATGCTCAAAGGGGAGAAAAGCAGGAGCAGACGCAGGCGGTGCGGCTCGTCGAGGACCAGCCAGCCATCCAGCCAAGCACCGACCGAAACCAAACTTCCCGCTGTGATCTGCGCTATCACACGGAAACGAAATAAGTTAATCCGGTGCCTGCAGCAGACCGGTCCCGGAAGCCCACTTTCCGAGTCGAGTCGAGTTTCGTCGAGGAAGAAAGAAGGCTCGCTGGCCCACTTGTGGAAAGAAAAAACTCGGGGGGTGTGACATCATTTGATCCTGTTCAGCGATATCACAGCCGGGTGTGACCTGCTCTCGTATTCTTGCGGCGGTAACTCGCTGGGTCCTACGTCTGTTTCTACATTGTGCAATTCTGTTATTTATGTGCGCAAAGAGAGGTCCGGCAGCACGACTGGCAGGCTGTATTCAAGAAGTCAGGGCGATGGAGGTCTGGTAAACCAGGGATCATCATCAGTTTTGGCTTTCATACATACACGTGCAAATAGCCCAGCCATGATCGCCCATCGATCATCTGCTCCGCTCCCCGTCATGTATGTCAGCCGGGCATGCAACGTGATATGCAAAGTTGTGCGTGAACGGAACTCAGACCGGCAGACTCTATTTGCAGGTTTCTTCCGTCTCCGTCCAATACGCTGTTTTTTTTTGCGCGCTCTCCCCTCTTGGCCCTTTTTTACGCTTCTGAAAGACTGGTCATCCTAAAATGGTCGATCTGCGGTTCCCGTTTCCCCAATCGAGTGGGTAGCACATCTTCTGCCCTCGTCTACTGTTATAATACCTGAACGTGATGTCTTTTCTCTGTCTCTGTCTCTTATTCTACACTCTGGCTTAATACGCGACCCCAAGCCAAGCCAAATTTCTCGTCTGAATACCCACTCTTTGTCTACCTCACGATCTCTTTCACCGACAAATATCATGACCCCAGAATCCCCAGAAACCGAAGGCCTCGCCAGTAAAGTGCCCGCCGCCCTGCGCCTGGCTCTCAACCCTCGTCCCGGCAAAGAATGGGAGATCCTGCACGCCAGTCCTCCGGTCCTGACGCCCACGGTTCCCACCAGCGTCATCAACTTCTCGTGGGTGATCGCGGCGCTCACCGCCAGCCTTGCGATCTTCATCTTCTTGAAGGCAAAGTCTTCGCGCATGCCGCTTGTTAACCGGCTGGTTGCGCTTGCGAGTATATGTATCGCTGTGTCGTCGTACGTGGTGGCATCCGGCCATGGGTACACTGTCGTCTCGAGCGCATCTCGCTCTTTCGCACCCGCTGATAAACAGTTGGTGTTTTACGCACCGTAAGCCTTCCTACGCATACTCCAGGATGACTTCTCATTTATTAATCTTTTATACGGGTAATAGATACGTCGGCAGAGCTCTTGCTTGTCCTTTGGTTGTTGCCGCTTTGGGCATGTTTGCCGGGCTTTCGACTACAACCATCGCTATGATCGCTGGTCTCCTCGAGCTGTCTGTCCTTTCGTTTTTGGCTGGATCTATGAAGATGTTTGGTTTCAAATGGTCTTATATGATCATTGGAGTCGTAAGTACACGTCTTTCCTCTACTGCCTAGCAACGATGTGTCTAACATTTGTCTATCAAAGATCGCTACCCTGATGAGCATCTACCTCGTCCGATCCCGTGCCCAGAAAGACATCAAAATGAGTACCAACGCAGCATTCATCCGTCCTCTGGGTTACACCGCCGCCGCCGTCACCTCCATCCTGTCCCTCTATCCCGTCGTCTGGGGTCTCTGCGGAGGCAGCAGCAAATCCAGCGTCACCACCCATCCTGTCCTCAACGGCATGCTCGACCTGTCGATGGTCACCTCCTGCGGTTACTTTGTGTCCAAGATCAGCAGCGGATTAACCGGTTCCATGTCTCGCGGTCTTGACAAACTCTCGACAAAGAGCGGACAGCTCAAGAGCGCTGACTCTGTCGCGGCTGATGAGACTGTGAAGCATGGCAAGCGAGTCTCGTTTGCTGATCACGAGGAACCTAGTGGGACCGCAAAGTCTCGCGGGCTGGGCGACGTCGATGCTTCTGCTGAGGACGAGTTGGCAGCTGAAAACCCTCTTGCGAACGTGCCGGGAGGATTTCCGTCGGAAAAGCCTGCTGGAAAGTCTGTTCATGATTTCGATGGTATCTCCGGTGCCGCTGGGAGAGACGCCGCGGATCGATCTATCGGTGGTGAGATGGCTGAGGGCGATATTTCTGATATGCCTGTATCTGAGAAGATGGCCGAGAAGATGGCCATGGGTGCGGACGGTTCCATGCCGTTCTCTTCAAAGTCTGGCGGTGACGAGAAGCTGGCCATGGGTGCGGACGGTTCGATGCCGTCTTCCAAGGCTGGCAGTGACATGCCGGGGTCGATGCCATCTGCTCCTTCAAAGGCTGGCGGTGAAATGCCTGGGTCGATGCCATCTGGAATGCCTTCTTCAGAGACGCCTACATCAGGTGGTTCGAAGGCCAATGCGGGTCGTGCCGCGGCCGGTGCTGCGGCAGCAGGTGTAGCTGGCGTCGGACTTGCGAAATCGCAGAGTGGACAGAAGGATACTCCCAGCAAGAGCTCTTCGACTACTAGTGACATGCCTGATTCTGCATCTGCCTCCCCGGAATCGCGCCCAACAGCAGCAGACTTGAAAAGCCCAACTCTCAGCCCCGCTTCCGGTCCGGATTCGGACGTGTCCCCAGAGTCGCTCGATATGCTGCCGGGCAAACGAGGATCTTCTGGACCGGTTGGTGCTTCTTCTGGAACGATGCCGTCGTCGGCTGCCAAGGAGCGCAGTATGCAGTACAGCGCGTCTGGAAGCTCAGAGGATGTTGCTCGCGGTCCGGGTTCTTCAAAGGGAGCGAATTCTAGTATGCCTTCCAAGGAACTTGGGGCGATGAAGAGTCTCAAGGGTTCTTCTGCAGGACCTTCTGCCGGATCCTCGCCTAAGACGGGAACGCGGGACATGCCGCGAGACGGCCCTGCTGGGACGTCCGACAAGTCTGGTGGTTTTGCTGATAGTCCAGCTGGAATGATGGCTACGGGAGTCACCGCTGCAGGCGCAGTAGGCGCCACCGCCGCTGCTTCCATGAAAAACAGCAAGACTCCCCATCAGAAATCCGATTCCCTTCCCGAGAGCATGGGCACCTCATCATCCGCCCCCGGCGCAGACCCTGCTTCGTCGCGCAGCAAGCCTCCCGGACCTGTTCGCAACCGAAGCAAGTCTATGCTGATTGATCCTCAACCTGCTGCCGAGGCTGTGTTTGACCCGAGCAAGCTGTATGACGATTCTCACTTCAGTCGTAAGGATATCTCGGCCTCGGGCACGGAGTCTGGAGCGATGCCGAAGAGTGGTGGTCGGGATATGGATATGTCAGCACCGGCCATGGCGGGGGGTGTTGCTGCTGGTACTGGTGCTGGTATGCCTCGGTCTGATTCAGGCATGCAACAAGAACTTCCGAAGCCAGAGATGGCTGGCACCGGAATGGCCGGTAAAGAACACCCCGATACTGCATCCACGATGCCATCTTCTGGAATGTCAAAGACTGGCCTTGACACACCGACTGAGCGATCGATCAAAGAGACTCCTCCCGCGAAACCCAAGCGACGAACTGGGATCGCCGCTGCGATCCTGGGCGCCGTGGGCGCGTCGGGGTACCAGGGCGTCGAGTCTGTGCTTAACGAGAACGAGGTCATCACCGGGACGACTAACGATGGAACTGCGTTGTCAAAGCCTGCTGATGAGGCCAGGAACCCGAAGGATTCTTCAGTGAAGCCTTTAGAGTCTGATTCTTCTGCTCGTGGACCTAGAGCTAAAGACATTGTTGATAGCTCTAAGGTCCCTGGCGGTGAGGGTATGGACCCGGACGTGAACGTTTGCAGCACTGTTCCCGAGGCTACTGGCGAAACCGGGAAGGGCTCACTTCAGCGAGGTACACTTCAAGGCGCGACGCAGAAAGATACCGTCAGAATGGACGTTGACGAGCCTATCCCGTCTCTCGACACTAACGTTCCCGCCGGCGGCACAGATGCGAATATGCCCATGTCCGGCGGAAAGCCAGATGCTGGACTCGAGCCAAAGAGGAAGGCACCTCGTCCGATTCCCGCTGATGTGCAAGTGTTGGACGGACACGAGCCTCGCTCTTTCAGCACCGGTATGCCAGACTCGCCCACTGAGCCCAGTTACACTATGTCCGGTGGCGGCGTATCTCCCGGCTTGAACCCGAGAGTAGCCGTCCGCTCCACAGCCGGACGCTACATCGATCCCAACGCGTCTCTACTAGAGAACCTCCTCCGCGAACCAACCACCTACGGCGGCCCGTTCGCGACCGAAGTCGATCCCTCCAAAGTTTCCGACAAAGAACTCGGCATCACGCCCGAGCTCGTCAAGTATCTCAAATCCGGCAACCCAGTCTACCGCTCCGCGACCGCCGACTCCGGCGTCACCAGCAGCAGCGGCAGCGGCGACAGCAGCAGCGACGGGTCTTCTGCAACAAAGCCGACGACAGTCAAGCAGAAAATCCTGGCGCCGTTCGGTCTCGTCAAGCGCGCAAAGTCGCGCCGAGAGGCCGCCGCGCGCCGCCGGTCGAAAGTCGATGAGGACGCGGCGGCCACGTCGTCGTTGGCGCCGCCGCCGATCCCGGAGCAGTACGGGAACAGTGGCGGTATGTATAGCGCGAGCGCTCACGAACCGAGCTATACCTACCAGCAGGCCCCACAGCAACAGGAGGAGTCAGACTACAGCACGCCGCGAAGCGTTCGTACACCCGCGATCGGCGACGGGTTTGAGGACGTGAGCAAGATGGCGCAGGATCCGAGGTTGATGCAGAAGAAGGTTACCGAGACGGTCGAGCAGGTTGCGTCGTCGATGCCGCAGGCTGTCGGTGGTGGTGCAAAGTAACTGTGTTTTATTTTGTTTTGTAAGGTTCTGTTTTTCTGCTTTAATAATTTAATATAACAAAGACTAGCTTGTGAAATAGTTTGTGAATATAATGGATGAGTCAATTCAACAGTATAGTATTGATAGTTAAGCGTTAAACACTAGATAAAATACACTAATAGACACAAACGCAGTCATACACATCAAACGTATGCCCGTTCACTGTATAAAAGGAAAAAAAATAGATAAGATAAAAGAAAAATCAACTGCTTTTAATAACCGAGTCCCAAGAATAAAGAGAAAAGATCTGTAGGTGTAACTTTCGTAATGAGATCGAGAGACAATGTGTAGAAGTAATCTACACCTCATTGCGTATTTGTAGAGGAAAGGAAAATCTATAGCGGAATGTATTGATTTCTTTATGCTGCCTCGGATGTTGTGAGATGCACTTATTTCAAAGAGACGAGTTTGACTATGATATAGTTAGCGTTGGATTCTGTCTGGATAGAAGCTGTTGAAGAAGAATAGGTACTTACTCTCAAAGATAAGAGTGGCGTTTCCCGGGATGTCTGGGGGAGCACCCTTCTTTCCGTACGCGAGGGCGGCAGGGATGGTCAAACGACGCTCACCCTTGAGGGCCATACCCTTGACACCGAGATCCCAACCTACACAATAAGAATTCTGTCAGTAAAAGCAAACTATAGCTGTAATCGACAAAGAGAGACTCACCCTTGATAACCTGACCCTTTCCGAGGTTGAAAGTGAAGGGCTTGCCCTTGGTGTTGCTGTCGAAAACCTTTCCGTTCGACTGCAGCTTGCCAATGTATCGGACACCGACCTTCTGGCCGTTCTTAGCACCGGCACCCTCGCCGATGGTCTTGTCCTCGATGACAAGACCGTTGTCGAGCTTGACGGTCTTGGGAGCGGCAGCAGCAGGAGCAGGAGCAGCAGCAGCGGCAGCAGCAGGAGCACCCTTTCCGGTAGGACCCTGCTCGAGGTTCTTGGCGAAGGTGACCTTCTTGTCCTTAGGGCTCTCCTTTCCCTCGTTCTTGGCCTTCTTGTCCTCCTTCGCAGCAGGAGCAGCGGCGGCAGAACCATCGGCAGCCTTCATCTTCTTGAGCTGCTTCTTGGAAGGCTTCTCCTTCTCAGAGTCCTTCTCGATCAGAGCGTCGAGATCCTCGTCCTCAGCAGCGCGCTTGCCGTTGGCCTTCTTGGCAGCCTCCGCCTTCAGGATCTTGGCCTCGCGCTTGATCTCCTCCTCGTCGTCGCTGTCGACAGGGGTGATACGGGGGTGATCCTCGATGTCGTCAAGGTCGTCAGACTCCTCGTCAGAGTATCCCTCGAGGATCTCATCCTCATCAGGGCTGAGATCGTAGTCCTCATCAGAGTCATCATCGTCCTCGCTGTCGTAGTCGTCCTCGTCGTTGAACGGGTGGCTGACGTAGTTTCCGACCAAGCTGACGGTGTACGAACCAGTGACCTCGAACAGAACCTCCTCGTTGGCACTGATGACGAGATCCAGGGGCTGCTGGTAGGCAGTCTTGGGGGAGAGAGTGCAGACAGGAACGGGGTCGATTTCGAAATCGTCTTCGTCGTCGTCGTCTTCCGAGTCCTCCTCGTCGTCCTCGTCGTCCATCTCGACGTCCTCATCAGCCTTCTTGCTGCCGTTGGCCTTCTTGCCCTTCTTGGGAGCTTCCTCCTCCTCCTCCTCCTCCTCCTCGGACTCCTCCTCGTCGTCCTCAGAATCGTCCTCCTCGTCATCAGAGTCAAGGTATCCGCCCAAAGCCAAGGGATCGGGTCGCTTCAGGATTCTGAGAGTGCTAGGAGTGCTCTCGCCATCCACAGACTCGGGATCAATCGCGGCCATGGTGATGCGGACGGTGACGGGGTAATCCTCGTCGCTGATGGAGACCGGCACGCCGGGGTGCACCTTCAGCAGATAGGTGCCAAGGGGAATCAAAGATGAGTTAGACATTGTGAAGATTATTTTACGGATTCAAGGAGCGAATTGCAGGTGTTGAATCGATGTAAGAAATCAGAAAGACTTGTGGCAACAGAGAAGAGAAAAATGAAACGCGCTCGCAGCAAAAAGAGAAAAACAAAAAAATATTTTTTTTTCCTCCCAATCGGCAAACTTTAAACTTTGTTTACTTTGTTCCCAAGGCACGAGGGCCTTAGATGACAGTGCCTGGTGAGTAATGGATTAGGTAATGTTAGCTAGATTGAAGATTGCCATTAGTGATTGAATACACAGTAGCAAACGACGACTGTGGTAGACATGAAATTCAGAGGTGTCTGTCTATAAATGAAATAACAGTGTAGACTTCGAGTGGATAGCAGTTAGAAGTCTGGAGGGTGCATGACGTATTCATATACTCGACTCTGACACCTGTTGGTTCTGTCGAGTTATCAGTCCTATCATATCTTATCAGGCAAGAACTATCTAAAACCAACCAAGCTTTTAGAAACTGTTATGCAGAGATGTTCTGACAAAGACGTTAAAAGGCGCAGATGATGATAAAGAGCAGGTCAGGCCATGATATTCGTCAGAGGCTCGAGCTCGGGCTCAGAGCTCACTTGCGTCCGGCTTATCTCCTTCGATAACGAGACAGAGAAGGCCACATTCTGATAGCGACAGGGCTCCGATATCTGATGAATAATTACACGGGTCTTCGACAGACTGGTCAGATTGCTAATCAGATCAATCAAAGCCGGGATTGCTAATCACCACGTGATAGATTAGAATTAAGGAGGACGAGGCGTTCCTTGAAATGCCCTGCTCTGGGGACAGGCTGAGGAGGATCAGCAGCCAAAAGCCGAAATGCCCGGAAATGGACATTTCGTCCATAGTGGTTTACTAATCCGCTCCGCACATCAGCAAGCAGCTTCTGTACTGGCTGCAGCTGTATCAACAGCTGCTATATTGTAATGCGTCTCCGGAGAGCGTTCTCGTGACTGACCACCGGGTGATCAGATAAGATGTAGAAAGCCGTGAAGTCGAGTCGACGACAGCAACCGCGGAATGACGCTATAAACGCGCCACTGAAGGCCATCCCCGGGCCTGTTCGCGGAATACTATGAAAGCTGCCCGTTTCCTATTATGTCAAAAAAGCCACGCTGAATAAGACGATGACTCTCGGCTCTCTCCGCGTGAGCCCCACCGACGGGCCTGCGGAGGGAAGGGCAGCAGAGTCCAGGCCATCGCGTCTGTGCATCTGCTTACTTTCCCCATTGCGTGCTCTGCTATATATCTATCTGCTTATCGCCATGGACCGTCTATCTGCCATATCTCTGCATCTCTATTCTCCACCTCTATCGCCATGGTCCTCTCATCATCATCGCTCGTCGCTGCCGAGAGCAGCGAATTTGTCAATGAGAAGGTAGATCGCGCTCCCGCACATGTCCACTCATCAGAGTCGCAGAGCATCTACGCAGAGAGCCAACCCGGCTCTTCAAGTCACACCATCGAGGCCGAAGAGCGGCCCGAGGTCTTCACTTCAAACTTCCATGAAGCGGCCGCCGTGCTCGTCCTCACCTTCTCGACCGTCATGAACACGGCCTCCACCGGCGTCATGCAGATCGCCGTTCCTGCTCTCGGGCGGTATTTTGGCATCTCTGGCGGTGATCTGTCGTGGTCTGTGTCTTCGTTCCAGCTTATGTCTGGTGCTACTATTCTTCTGTTTTCTGGGTGCGTTCTTCTCTCTGCTTTCAAGATCAAGGTGTGTTTAGAGCCTTACTAACATCTTCTACAGTATTGCTGATCGCATCGGCCGAAAACGCTTGGTGGTGTTTGCCTACTTCTGGTTCGCTCTCTGGTGTCTCATCGGCTCATTCACCACCAACCACATCATCTTCGATGTTTGCCGAGGAATGCAAGGTATCGCGTCCGCGGCCTGCCCTTCGGCGGGAGTCGGCATCCTGGGCTCGACATACAAGAACGGCCGCCGGAAAAACCGCGTCATGGCCGTCTTCAACGCCGGTGCTCCCATCGGTGCGTTCTTGGGCGTTGTCACGGGAGGTGTGACTATCCAGTACATCAACTGGCGCAGCATATTCTATCTGTATGCCATCGTCTACGCGCTGCTGACGTTGCTTGCAATCTTCATCGTCCCCGGCGACAACATCAACGACAACGTCAAGCTGAACCCGAAGCAGGTGTATAAACGCATCATGGAGATCGATCTCGTTGGTGCTCTGATGTCGATCACGGGCTGCATCGGATTTGTCCTGGCTGCGTCGCAGGCCAGCTCGGCCTCGAAAGGATGGGCGACTCCTTATGTTCTCATTGTTCTTATTCTGTCGATCGCGATTCTATGTCTCTTTGTTTGGTGGGAGTCTAGAGTCCAGAACCCGCTTATGCCCCTCAAGATCTGGCGCGCACCCGGGTTCGCGATCGTTATGCTTTTGATTCTGTTTGCGTGGATGGGATTCACCGGCGTCCTGAACTTCTACGGCGGTCTCTATCTTCAGGACGTCATGGGCGCTTCGGCTATCAAATCCACGCTTTACCTGTTCCCTCAGACACTAGCGTCGATCGCAACCGTCTCGATCGTTGCCGCGTTTCTGCACGTCGCGTCCGGAAGACTTATTTTGGTGATCTCGTCCACGCTTATGCTCGTTGCCTCGCTCTTATGGGCTCTGGTTCCTGTCGGGGCGCCATATTACGCTATGGTTCTGCCGGCAATCTGCCTCGAGGTCGTCTCCGCCGATCTCGCCTACAACGTCGTCAACCTGCACACGCTGTCGACGGTCTCCAAACGGGAGCAATCCACCGCCGCTGGTATCTTCTACACCATCAGCCACGTCGCGGGCTCTCTTGGAGTCTCGCTGTCGACCTCGATCGTGTCTAGTATCCTGAACCGGGAAGTGACCGCCGAGCAACTGAAGGGAGTTGTGGCGATTCCGGTCGCAATCACGGCAAAGGCGTATAAAGGAGCCTTTTGGTTCTCTGTCGCGACCAGCGCGGCGTCACTTGTTTGCGCTGTTTTTGCGAAGGTTGGAAAGCAGGGAGCGCGGCCGATGATGGACGATGAGGCGAATGCGGTGTTGTTTGAGGACGAGGAGGAGGAGGAGGAGGAGGAGGGGGATGGTGCCGAGGGAGTCGATGAGCTGAGCAGATTGTTGATTGGAGCATCTGTAGAGACGGGGTATAGTGCGATTGAGAAGAGCTAGTGTTGTTTGTATTTTGTTCTGGGTTTGTTGCACTTTGCATGGGTGGTTGACGATAGGTTAGAGCGGAGTTATCTAGTGTTTTTGAGGGTATCATTTGGTATAGACTAGTTTAGACCTCTTTTTAATTATGATCACATATAACAATCTGCCATCATCATCTTTTATCGGGGCTAGTAGTCGAACTATTCAGTAGTCGAAGAATCTGGTTAGTGAAGGGTCAAAAGGGTTATCGATAAGTCGATAAGGCGCGCCTGGACAAGACTCGACCCTGCCGAACAACCGAAACCACGCAACCCCGTTTATGTCATCACTCAGACAACGCCTCCCCACCCGCCCCGACTTTGCAGAAGCTCTACACGCGGATGGTTCGGTCTTTCGTTGTTTGTTTATAGGAGTAATTCAGCATATTCTAGACTGAGTGGAGGTTTACTTTGCTCTACTAGAATTTACTGCCAGCATGAGTTCAGAAAAGATGGTTATCGAGGAAACTTGCACGGCCTTATCAGAGCCCGAGTCAGAGCCAGAGATGAACGAGAAACACAGCAGCAGCACCGGCAGCGTCGACGACCCGATCAGCCACGCGACTTATGAGTACGCGCAGCCAGAGTACTACGCCGAGTCGACGACCTCGTCGGACCTGGTCGACCCCGAGGCGCGGCCGGAGGTGTTCAAGAGCACGTTGCACGAGGTCGCGGCGGTCCTGATCCTCACGTTCTCGACCGTCATGAACACAATCTCGACAGGCGTGATGCAGATCGCGGTGCCGACTCTGGGACGCGAGTTTAATATCTCGGGCGGTGATCTGAGCTGGAGCGTGAGTTCGTTCCAGCTGATGTCGGCTACTACCATTCTTTTATTTTCCGGGTGAGTCTTTTTGCATTTAGAAGTCGACGTGACGGTTTGCTAATGTGGTTATGTGTGAATATAGCATGGCAGATAGAATAGGTAGAAAACGCCTGGTGATTGTGGCATATGCTTGGTTCGCCATCTGGTGTCTTGCTGGCTCATTCACGACCCACCATATCGTTTTCGACGTCTGCCGCGGTATGCAGGGTCTGGCTGCTGCCGCATGTCCTTCTGCCGGTGTCGGCATCCTAGGGTCGACGTACAAGAACGGACGGCGGAAGAACCGAGTGATGGCGATTTTCAACGCCGGCTCGCCGTTCGGTCTGTTTTTGGGCATCGTCACCGGTGGGGTTACGATTGAGTATATTACCTGGCGGAGTATCTTTTATCTCTACACTATAATTTTTACCATTCTGACGGTGCTCGTGATTTTTGTGGTGCCTGGAGATAATATTAATGACAACATCCGATTCACACCCAAAGAAATGCTGATGAGGATTAAGGACCTGGACTGGACTGGAGCCGCGCTGTCGACTGTCGGATGCATCATGTTTGTCTTTGCCGCGTCGCAGGCCGCGAGCGCGACTAGCGGGTGGGCGACGCCGTACGTGATTATCGTGCTGATTCTCAGTTTTGTCGTTCTTGCCGGCTTCGTGTACTGGGAAATGAAGTGCGAGAAGCCGCTTATGCCGCTCCAGATCTGGAAGTTCCCTGGCTTCGCGACGATCATGGTCCTAGTGCTTTTCGCATGGATGTGTTTTACCGGCGTGCTCAACTTCTACGGCGGCCTGTATCTGCAGAACGTGATGGGTGCGTCGCCGCTCAAGGCCGCGTTTTATCTGTTCCCGCAGATTCTGGCGTCGGCGGTGGCGGTCACGATTATCTCTGCGATCCTGCATATCGCGCCCGGAAGACTGATTCTGATCGTCGCGCAGATGATGATGATTGGCGCTTCGTTGCTCTGGGCGCTGGTTCCGCTCGGCACGCCGTACGCGGCGATGATCCTGCCGGCCTTGTGTCTTGCGATTATCGCCGCGGACCTGACGTACAACGTCGTCAACATGCACACGCTGTCTGCGGTGTCGAAAGCAGAGCAATCGAGTGCGGCGGGTATTTTCTATACGATCAACCACTTGGCGGGCTCGCTCGGCGTCTCGCTTTCGTCGTCGATCGTGTCGAGTATCTTGCGCCGAAACGCGCCGATGACGACGACGCCGGTGCCGATGGAGATCCTGTCGAAAGCGTACAAGGGCGCGTTCTGGTTCGCGACCGGGCTGAGTTCTATGGCGTTAGTGTGCGCGGTGTTTGCGAATATCGGCAAGCAAGGCGCGCATGAGGAGGCGGTGGTGCCGGATATCGAGGGGGTCGCGTGCGTGCTCAAGCCGGGCGAGAAGACGTGCGGGGTGAGACGGCGGGGGAGCAGTGGAGCGAATTCGTCGGTGATTTTCGATAATGTGGATGCGGATGCGAATGAGGCGGGGGAGATGTGTGGGTTGTTGGTTGGCGAGCATGCGCGGCGGGGGTATGATGCGGTGTTGTGAGGGTAGTGTTTAATGTAACGATGGATGATGGTGGGTTGGAGCATTCAGGGTGGAGTTTCATTCTATTTGGTTGTGGTTTTATTTCTTCTATTCATTTCATTTCATAGTAGTCATAAATCATTTCATAACAGTCATAAATGCATTGATGCACGCTGTGCACATCTATGAGCTATAACGCGGCGTCATCACCTCCGCCCTAAATCCGAGGACAAGGCTAGACTCGGCGACGGCAGATTATATAAGAGGCTTATAGTTGCTTTCTAGACCACCGTCGCGATCGACCTTGCCGACACACGCGAGATGGACGCGAGACGGCGAGACGGACGCGAGACGGAAGCGAGAACGACTGGGCGGGATGTGAATGGTGACGTTAGTTTTGGTCTGGTCTTTGATCTGGGCTGGATTTCCTTTTGTAGTAATTTGATGTGTTTTTGAGTGGACTATTTGGTGATGATGAGAAGAATGTCAGTTATAAGTCAGGAACACGTACCTGATGTACTTCAACTATCTGATCTCAACAATTCTCTTATCTACAACAACATAAAGCGACAACAAAAACACTGCAACTGCATTCCTCTTTCGGTACATTCCTCCGACCCGGACGCTAAGCCGAGCACGAAGCCGAACGCGAACCCGCGCGCTATTAATCTCGGCTTCTTCTTATCAGATTCTCGGATCTCTGCCGGGCCCGAAGGTGGTGTGAGTCCGAGGAATGCACGTGACGTTTGCGCGTTTATGCCGCGCCCTCAGATTTTGTTAAGAGGCCGCGCCTGTTCGCCTCGCCTCGCCTCGCTCTTCCGCTTCCCGTCTTTTGTTGTCCACCCCGGTTCTTCGTCTCTTGTTGTCTGTCTGATATAATAAGCATGGATATCGTTCTCGAGGCCGCGGACAAGTACGTCTTCGACGGCATCTACAAAGCTCTCTTCCCCGTCCCCGAGGCTGTGAACTCCGTGCTCACCGAGTCCGTCCTCAGCTCGCAGCTCTTCGAGTCTCTCTCCAAGAACCTCTCGCTCTCATACATACCCACCGAGCCCTATGAGTACACCCTCTTCGCGCCCGGCGCGGCCGCGTACATGTCGACGGTCGCGCGCTCGAACGTGTACCGCCAGTTCATCTCGCTGTTTCTGATTACCTGGTTCTTCGGCGTCGTGCTCTACTTCTTCTTCGCGTCGCTCTCGTACTTTTTCATCTTTGATAAGCGCACGATGGACCATCCCAAGTACCTCAAGAACCAAATCCGCTTGGAGATGAACCAGGCATTGACGTCCATGCCGGTCATGTCGCTTCTCACCGCGCCCTGGTTCTTGGCCGAGATTCACGGCTACGGCAAGCTCTACTGGGACGTCAACGCCTACAGCAAGGAGTACCTCTTTTTCCAATTCCCGCTCTTCATCGCCTTCACCGACTTTGGCATCTACCTTATCCACCGCGGGCTCCACCATCCGAGACTCTACAAGCACCTCCACAAGCCGCACCACAAGTGGATTGTCCCCACCCCCTTTGCGTCCCATGCCTTCCACCCCGTCGACGGCTACATGCAGTCGTTGCCGTACCACATGTTCCCCTTCATCTTCCCTCTCCACAAGCTCTCCTACCTTCTTCTCTTCTCCTTCATCAACATCTGGACCATCCTCATCCACGACGGCGAGTACATCACCCAGCACCCGGCCATCAACGGCGCGGCCTGCCACACCATCCACCACCTGTACTTCAACTACAACTACGGCCAGTTCACCACGCTCTGGGACCGCGTCGGCAAGTCCTACCGCGTGCCGGACCCGCAGCTCTTTGACCACGACGCAAAGATGAGCAAGTCGACTTGGAAGAAGCAGTCGAAGGAGATGGAGACTATTGTCAAGGTTGTCGAGACCGAGGATGACCGAAAGTACGAAAACGACGAGAAGGTTGAGGTTGAGAACAAGAAAGAGAAGTAGATTCTTAAACTTATCTCGACACCAATCATCAAAAAAAAACACAAAGTTCACCAAAAATCTCTAAACATTTTGGCTACTCAATCTTCTCCCTTATCTTTCTCATGCTCATGTCAACAAACAGACTGTCTGAAAGCACATGGCATCAAAAGACCTGTTCTCGTTCTTTTTCTTATTCTTCTGCCGTGGTACGGGACGGTGCACGTATACTAGTGGGTCTGGCGCAATTTTTGTCTTTCTATTATTTTTTTTTATAACCAACGTTCTTAATAAACTGTTCTTTCTATGAGTTCAAGTAGAGTCTAAGCATAATGATAATCTTGTATTAACACAAAGTAGAGAAATCATACAAACGCCAAACTATTAAACCGACTACTCAAAACGAATAAACGCCTCACATCATTTTCATGTCTCCCTACCAAATCCTCTTCGCCACCATCTGAAACCTCTCGACTTCCTGCAAACTCACATGCTTCTTCTGATTCGTAGTATGCCCTTCATAAATCGACGACGCGGCCGACGGCACCGCTGACACAGGCGATATCGGCGTACTCGGTACACTATCGTCTTCGTCGTGCTCGCTCACGAGTTCGCGCAGCCCGTCGCTTAGGTCGACGAGACCCCATACGCCGCCCTTGCGTTCGCCTGAGACGCGTTCGTCGGAGAACGGGTCTGTGTCGGACGAGAGTTGCGTCGTCGGGGTTTTACTTTGCTGTTTCTCGAGGCGGCGTTTGCTGTACTCGAGCAGCACGGCGCCGAGGACGAGCTTGACAAACACGAGCGCGGAGAATAAGAGGAGAAGCATACCGGTGTACGCGCCGATCTCGATCGTGCTCCCGACGGATTTTGAAACCATGTCGAGGAGCGAGCCGGGGAGCATTGATGCCGCGGTGTTGTTTGCCTCGCCGCCCATGACGGAGGGTGAGTGTGTTGTCGTGCGCGTCGGTAGACTGAGCGGGCGTGTGGATGCCACGAGTTGCATTACTTGCACGGTACTCTTGATGAACACGCAGGTGAGCGGTAGGATAGGCACGCCAATGCGACGGGTGACGTTCATCTCCTTGCGGCCCCACGTTTTATTTGTGTTTTTCAAGTCGGCGTTGTTAACCTGGTCGACGCAAAACACAGTGAGGAAGCGCGAGTATACTTTTGGCCGCAGTTTGTTGAATTTGGCAATGTACGAGTGCTTCAGCCAGTCGACCGCAATCTCAGACCCGAGCACCACAACAGCAGGTCCAAACAGCGCCCCCATGAACGTGTTCCACCCTTTCCACGACTGCGGAATCACACCCCCGGTCGAGCCCGAGACTTCGACAATATTGCGCAGACCAATCATGAGCAACATCGTCCACAGCTGGAACCGCTCTGCGATATCGGCGCACGTGAGCTGGAACAAGTTTTCGCGCTCGAATTTCTTGAACACGGTTGACTTGATCTCGCCGAATTGGTTGGAGAGTAGCAGCGTGAGCAGTGCGTTCGAGTACGAGTTTACCGCGACGTTGAGCGTAATCATCTGGCAGAACAGCGCGGCCGAATGGAGTAAATTGTAGCAAACTGCAATCGTGCCAAACAAGTACATTTTCCAAATCGCGCCGTTAAGTGTCCTGCTCGATAACAGAACAGCAAGCACGTCCTGTCCGAAACTGCAAAACAGCTTATCGCCAATCTCAAGAACGTTAAACATCACATACAGCTTCACAGCCGACTGGCCGCGGATGTTGTGATAGAGAATGCTGGCGTTGAGAGAGGAGAGTAGGTAGACGGTCATGAGCAGGACGACTGATTTGATCAGGTCGATTTTCTGGGAAATAGGCAGCGAGCCGCGTTTCCGGCGTAGAAAGAAGCGCAGCTGGGTAGCTAGGACGACGAGAAATCGTAGAGGGAGAACGGTGAAGGAGTAAAGGAATGAGTCGAGGCAGGTTAGGAAGCCAAAGAACATGACCTAGAACAAATCAGATCAGCATCACAGCCGTGTTTCTCTCTGCTGAATTGCAACTCACCTTCTCGAGGGAAAACGGGATAAGTAAAAAGCTGACAATCTGATCCAGCTCTGTGTCTTTCAGCGCAGAAGCACCAGAATTACCGGTATCGTGAGTGACCTCTTTCTTCAACTTCTCCCACAGATGCCTGAACAGCCGTATTGTTCGCTGCGAGACCGTCTCTGTCGTCGCTTTGCCCTGCGGATCACCCTCAACCCCAGCAACTTTGGGCGACGCAGCCCGCCCCACATTCTCATCTCTTGCACTCATACTGTGCGGAGTCACCGATCTCGAGCTGGACGAGCGGCCGATACTTGTCTGCTGCTGCTGGTGATGATGCGGCGGGTGGTGTGAGGACGCGAACGCGTTTGCCGGCAGACTCTTGCGCTTGCGATGGAGCGAGGCCTTGGAGGACATGATTGCGAGAGGAAGGCGGTCTTCATACAACTTCTTTTTCTTGCTGCTCGAGAAGGTGTGCCGAGTTGGGCCACGCGAGAATCTGTGGGTGGTCCGGTTGTGTGGGTTGGAGTATGACGTTGGGAGATGGTTTGTTTGGGGGAGAAGTGCGGGTGTTGAATATAGTAATAGTTGGTACTATCGGCACCATCTTTACTGACTACATCAATCAGCAACATCAACACTGGAATTACAACAATTCTATTTACATCATCTTCGGTACAGACAAATCACATTATCATTAGCTGCTGTAGAACGACAAAGCCTAAAAGAACTCCAACGTAAACTCCTCGAGCACCTGCTTCGGCCGCCCTACAGCAACCCAAGCGACGTCCTCCTTCAGATCCATGACGATGGAAAACACAGTCTGCATCTCTCCGAGCAGACCCGGTTGGCTGTCGTCGTTGGCGCGGCAGATCGAGTTTGGGAAGTTGTCCTCGTCTTTTAGGAATGAGAAGATTCGGTCTTTCTGAGGACCCACAGCCAGAGTCTTCACATCTGTTTTCTTGTCCGACGCAAAAACGAGCTCTTTCAGTCGCATCAATCGCTCCTTTGTGTCTTCGAGCCAGATAACCTCGTTGATCTTTACACCCTCGACCAGCGCATGATTGGTGTGGTACAGTCTGCCCTCGGCATCGCGAGGAATCACAGCGATCCCATACGGTCCGATCTCCCAGCTCTCGGCATGTCCTTCACCCTTCCCGTCCGCGATTCCGAAATGTCCAAAACACGCCGCGCCGTCGCCGTACTTTGTCGTAAATCTCTCTTTGGCATCCGCCACGCTCGACGATTCGAGCACGAGACGCAGGAGAACGTGCAGCGGCAGCTTGTTCGTGTCCAGGTCAGTCGCGCGCAGCGCATTCAAACACACGCCGACTTTCTCAGAGTTGAACCCCACTTTCGCCAGCAGTCCCGCCTCGGTCATCGTCTTTAGCATCCGCGCGTTCGAAGGCGAGTCGAGCGGCGTCGTGATCTCGAGTAGAACGAGATTGCACAGCTGCGAGGTCTGCCAGTCCCAGTTCTGCGCCAACCACTGCCGCCCGTCGACGGTCTCGGCAAAGGTCGTGCATCCGTCTGGCGGGACGGGAATGTTATCATCGTCGTCGCTGCTGCTCTCGTCGCTCTTTCCGTTCTTTGGCTTCGCAGCCAGCGCGATCTCGGAGCGCGAGTTGAGCGCGACGATGTCGAGCAGCGGCACGCAGGCGCCGTCCGCGATACCGCGGAGCTCGTCGTGGAGATGCGGAACGAGCAACTTGATTGTCTCGGAGAATTTGGTCGCGAGGGACTTTACGTCGCCGGGGGACATGCCCGCATTGGCAAAGTAGGTCGCGTAGTTTGTCAAGCACGCGTGGATTTGGGATCTCGCCAAGGTTCCGTGTTTGAACCCAATCTATAGAGTTGTCAGAGATGAGCAGTCTGGCGGTGAAGTAGATGATTAGGAAGTAGCTACCTCATAGTTTGTGCCCTTGAGGACCAGTCTGTTGACCATTGCGGCGATGAGCGGTGATGTGGAGAGGAGAAGGTGCGATAAGACAAGTGGAGGAGGAGGAGGAGGAGGAGGAGGAGAGAGAAGCTGTTGTTCCGGCGCGCCCGCCACTCGCTCGACGATCCTCCCAACTCCGCCAACAGCAGCTTCTGCGCAGACAGAGAGCGTTGCGGTGGTTCAACTACGAATACTGCCTATATTATAGTAAATATCTGTATTCAATTGTTTAATAGTCATCATATACTTCATATACTTCATATACTTCATCGCACGGCTGCTCAACACAGATCACGTGCATTCAACACTTTAAGTTTCAATATGCACAGCCATCCCACAGCCACGCGGTTCTCTTTTCTCCGGAGCCCAGCCGGGGTTTATCGACAAAACACCGCGCAATTGGCCGAGTTGCAGCTGAATAGAAAGAGGTTTTGTTAGTTGCTGCTGCGGAGAGAAGACGCAGCACTTTCGCCGAGAAAAAGAACGGCGCCGGGCTGAGGGACAAAGGCCGAGAACTGCTGCTGCCGCGTACGCGTATTTGGCTGCTTCTTCCCAACCATCTCTCTTCTGCTCAACACACTCCCTTCTCTCTTCATCCTCACTACTTCACTTGCTGTCCGTCGAGATGAAAGTAGCTGATCAGGATCTCCCGAGTACGCTCCTTTCTCCTCTTCTCTCATCGTCTTATCATCCCTGCTAACTAACCACCCAGAACTCGTCTTCGTCCCCACCGATCGCGACACCATCGACATCCACTACACCTACCCCACCCTCCACGCCCAACCCTCCCGCGTGCACTACGTCGTCCAGTTCAAAGACAAAGCGACACCCATCGCGCGTCCTCCACCGCCCGTCATCGACTCCAAATCATCAGCACCCTCAAACGTACCCTTCTCGCCCGTCCTCTCCTCCACCCCCGCAGAAGATGCCCCTCTGATCCCGCTCTCGGTCGAGACCGTCACCCACAAGATCGGAGACCCAGCTTCTCTCATCTTGCTCGGCGAATATGAGCTCACGCACTCGGTCTTCTCGTCCGCGCCGCCTGCGTACTCCGAGCTCGAGAGCGCGTCCCCAACTACCTCCCAGCGTACTACCAGACTCACAAGCCTCGCTACCCTCCACCTGCACAACCCCTCCGCCAGAACGAGACTGATCGCCCCCCTCCCCACCGCAGCAGCAACCACATCCGACCCCAAATTCTTCTACGAGACTCTCAAGCGCGCGCGGAGTTCGCCCCCGGGCGTAGGATTCACCTACGTCCGTCCTGCGATGGCCGACCCCGAAACCGGGACTACGATCCCCGCAAAGTCCTTCACCTTCAACTGGGAGCAGACCAGCGTCAGTCACCCGCAGCTTCTCCGTGGCTCGATCCCGTCTCTGCACGCAAAGCTGGTCTACGTCGATCCCACCGTGCGCTTGCAAATCGCAGAACTATTCATCTACAACCTCAACGTTTTCCTGCTCCCCGCTGCGCCGGGCTACTTCATCGGCGCCGACGCGTCAAGACGCTACAACGAGCTCACGATCGACGAGCACAACCTCTACAAACTCAACATCATCGCCGACCGGAAGGGCTTCGAAGTCCAAATGCTGCTCTCCGCCTTCGCCCTCGCGACCGCCGGCGAGCGCGCGCGCTCCCTTCGCAATCTCTCGCTCAAGCAGCGGCAGGAATACGAAGCCTCCTGCCGCGCCGCAAGACAGGCTGAGCAAGAAGCTGCAAACAGAGCGGCGGTAGAGGAACGCGATGCCCGCAGGCGCGAAGAGCAGGAGGCTAGGGAAGTTCTGCGGCGGATTGAAGAAAGCGAGCGAGAGACTGCGGAGTTGCTTGCGCGCGAGAAACGTGAGTATGAGGAGAAGTTGAAGAGGGATGAGGATCTTGCGAGGAGGTTGGCGGAGGAGGACACCGAGGCCGAGCGCAAGGACGAGGAGTATGCCAGAAGTCTGCAGGCGCAGTGGGATGGTACCGCCGGCGCCGCGTCGCCCTCGGCTTCTTCCTCTACCTCGACGTCGACTTCCTCATCTGATAAACGGAGATCATTTCTACCACCCTGGGCCAGAAAATCGAAATCCTCCTCCTCATCATCATCACCTGCATCCAGCCGCCCTTCCTCGGGCGACAAATCGACCGACGACGCGAGAAGACGGCTGAAGCAGCAGCAGAAAGACGAGGAATTGGCGAGGAAATATGCAAAGGAGGATCAAGAAGCATGGCAGAGACTGTCTAGCAAATCCAGAACAGCTACTACGGACGAGTTTAGGAATCGGCCGTATACCAGTGCAGAGATTTGAACAAGTTGCTTGAGCGTTAATGAATATAGAAACAAGTTTATTGCGAGCTATTTAGCACTTATAATTACACATATTTACAACTCCTCTATACTATCTCAGCAAAACAAACTAGATGCAATTTCAAGAACTCGTAGTCCTCGGTGGAAGTTCGTTAAACGTCGCCTTCCAGATGCTTTTCGCGTTATACAAGTTCACGACGCGAATCCGCTCGTTATCCAAATGCGCGTGGTCGCTCGACTGTCCGCACGGCAACTGCGCCGCCGGCGCATCGAATATCTTCTCCAGATACCGCACCGCGGGAATCGTGCCTCCCTCGCGGATATACAGCGGCTCGATATCCCACGCCTTTGTGACCGCGCCCGCGAGCGTCTTGAACGCGTCGTTCTCGGGGTTTCCCAGCCACGCGTCTGCGCGCTTGTTGAGCTTGATTGAGAGATGGTTCGGCGAGCTGAACTTGCCGAATTCGGAGACGAGGAAACCTTGCAGACTTGTGCTGATCGTGTCGGTGTCTTGGTCGGGAACCGTGCGGACTGATAAGGTGGCGGTGACCTTGTGCGGGATGATGGTTTGGTTCGTCGCCCGCGCGACTTGCACCGCGTGGATCGTGAGCGAGGGTAACCGCCAGCGCGCCATCAGCTGGTCCTTCAGCAAGTGGATCGACGTGTTTTTCACAATCTGCTCGTACAGCGCCTCCTCCGCGTCCGTGATTGGTCGCACGGGCTCGTAAAACCCAGGGACGTTGACCCTGCCGTCGTCGTCTGTGAGTTTCGACAGAAGCTTGGTCATGTCCATCAGCGGTTCCCGATGGATACCTCCGTCGACTCCCGAGTGCAGATCCGGCAGATCGCTCGAGATCTCGACCGTCAGATGAATCAGCCCGCGGAGTCCGTAGTTCAAACACGGAGTCTTGTCGTCGAGCCAGTACGAGTTTGAAAGCACGACCCAGTCTACTTTATCCGGCTCGATCATCGCGCGACTCTTCTCGACCGCCGTCTGGAACCCAACCGACCCGCTCTCTTCCTCGCCTTCAATCAGAAACACAACGTTCGCGTTCAGCTTCTTTTCCTGGTACAGTTCGGCTGCGGCAAAGACCGCCGCGAGAATAGGACCCTTGTTGTCCGACACGCCGCGGCCGTGCAGGTACCCGTTCCGGCCAGAGAGAAGGTACGGATCAGACTCCCATCTGTCGTCGTCCGAGGCAGCGACGATATCATAGTGTCCGTAGAACAAGACCGTGCTGCCGCTCTTGTCCTCCGAGTTTGCTGAAAACCTGCCGTAGACGACCGGGTTATGTTTGTCGTCGGTGGTGATCAGCTCTGCGGTCGCGCCATATGTCCGCAAAAGCCGCTTTAGATACGACGCGCAGCGGCGGCACTCGGTCTTTGTGTCTAGCGATCCTGAAATCGTCCGGAACGAGACAAAGGTCGACAGCGAGGCTAGCAGCTGGTCGTTTGCAAACGACAGGTTCTGGTCCAACTCTGGGAACGCGTCGGTGATGTCCCACATGACGACCGAGTTATCGTTTCCGCCCGTGAACAGGAGCGCGCGGTCACCCCTCCTAACCCCGATCGTCGACAGGATCAGACCGTCGTGCGATTCCCACCGCGCAGCGAGCTGCATCTCGCGTGACCATTTCCGGATATACCCCGTAGCGCTCCCGCTGAAGATGCAGCTCCCGAGCGCGGAGATGGAGAGCACGTCGGCCTTGTGGGCCTGGATCGAGCGGATCAGTTGTCCGGCGTCGAGGTCCCAGATCGCGACTGCGCCGTCGGTGAGGCCGCAGTAGAGGAAGGTGTCGACGGCGGTCATGCTGAGCACGCTGGTTTGGTTCGCAAACGACCGGCTCTTGACGAGCTTGCCTTCCCGCATCACCCACCAGTTTACTATGCCGTCGCCGCCGCCGGAGAGAAGCGTGTCTCTGTTTTCCTCGACCGAGGAAGTTGCGATGTGCGTCGACGGGCGGTAATTTATCAGGCAGTACACGTACCCGTTGTGCGCGTAGGGAACAACATTATGATACGGCAGCTCGATCAGCGCTTTCGCAACCGACAGATTCGTACTCGGTGGCGCGCGCGACTGATTCCCCCCGGGTCCGGTAGAGTTGAAGAACTTATTGAATCTGTTGCCAGGCATGTGCGACTTGTCGGCCGACGTGTGCCGGTCGATCGTCGTGAGATCGCACCACTGGATCGAAGCGTTCTGGCAGCCGAGGAAGACGGTCTGCAGCGACTCGCTGTACTGCACTGCGAAGATGTCGCCGATGTCGTAGACGGAGTAGACGGAGTAGAGCTCTTGTAGAGTTTCTGTGTCCCAGATCTGGAGAACTGTTAGTGAGATTGGGAGAGTAGTCGTGGCGGATCAAGACGGACCTTTAATATCGAGTCGCTGCCGGCGGAGAAAAGCAGGCGTTTTTTATTTGAGATGTGCAGAGAGAGGATACTTCCACCATGACCTTTCAGAACCGCGACTTCTTGGAAGTACTCGAGATCATACACCTATAGTAACAGACAAGTCAGCCATACCGCACAACTTCATTCGCACATCGCCGAAGATCAGAAGAACATACAAGGATAACGTTGCCCTCCGTGCCTGCAAACAGGTAGTTATCCGAAACCGCGAGCGACAGCACCGACTTTGAGTTCTTCCACTTGTGCACCAGCCGAGGGATCGAGACGTCTTCGGTAGACTTGATCAGCGGGGCTAAAGAAGAGCAAGTCATGATTAGCGATGGGCGGCGACAAGCAGCAGCGCCCGACGCAGTTATAAGTTATATGAACCGCGGCGCAGCGCAGGAGTACTCACAGTCGTCGTCTCCAAAGGGCGTTCCCGCCCTCGAACATCCCTCGATCTTGAGGCCGGAAAGGGAAGCTGCTATGGCGTTTGCCATAACTTTTGAGATTAAGGGTCAAGCAAAGTGAAGCAGAACCAGAGCAGATCAGCTTTTTTGTTGTGTGGACTCTGCGGCCAGCGCGAATGACTCAGTCCGTGCGGTTTCAAGGACTAGTTTTAAGCTCTTTGTCTTCTCTTCTTTTCTCCTTTTAGCTGCTCTTCCTCTCCTCAACGCGCTGTTGTCTTCTTCACTAAGTCCGACTATGGCTCATGTGCAATGACGGATTTTCAGAGACGCGTGACGCGATGATGGTTGGGGCCTCAATGATGAAATTTTGTGTGCGACTCTGCAAACCTTCGTCTGCCCCTGAATCACGTGCTCTTTAAACTCTATTTTCTACACAAACTAACTAAGCTATCCTAAGCTGAGGTTCACCAGCCCGCCTGGGTCTTGATGGCCTCGTTCTGGATGACCTCGACCCAGTAGTCGTCCTCGTCGAGGATGAAAGCGACGTTCTTCATAAGACCGTCAGTAAGTCTCTTCTTCCACTTGACGCCGACCTCCTCGAATCTGGCGCACGCCGCGTCGAGGTCATCGACCGAGATCGCAATGTGGCCGAATCCCTGGGGCTGGTTGTTGCCGTTGTGGTAGCCCTTGAACTCGGGATCGCTCTCGGTGCCCCAGTTGTGGGTGAGTTCGAGGACGCCCTCGAAGTTGTGCACGCCGACGCCAGAGTTCTCGACAAAGTTGGGGTCGTTGTTGTAGCCGAGGAAGTAGAGCGTGAACTTGGCGGCCTCGTGCTCGGCCGTTCGCAGGAGCTTCATGCCCAGGACTTCCTGGTAGAACTTGAGCGACTTCTTCGGGTCCTTGACTCGGATCTAGAAAGTGTTGTCAGTAAAAAGTTCGGGGGGAGTAGGAATTGTAAACATACCATGGTGTGGTTCATTCTGTATCCAGAAGCGTCGGTGAAGTTCTCAGTCTTGGGAGTGCGAGTCCAGATCAACTCGACCCAGTATCCATCAGGATCAAGAGCAAAAGCAATATCCTTCTCTATACAATCATCGCATCAGCCACCACTCTCCCAATCACCGCTCAATCCACCACAGTACTTACGACGTCCATCACTCAGCTTCTTCTGGAACTTGACGCCATTGGCCTCGAGCTTGTCGCAGAAAAACTCGATGTTATCGACCGAGACGCAGATATGGCCAAAGCCGCGGTACGGGTCGCTGTTGCCGGTCACGACCTTGTACTCCGGATCATTCTCGGTGCCCCAGTTGTGGGTAAGCTCCAAGACGCCCTCGCTGTTGTTGTTAATTATCTCAGTTACGTGCGGATGGTGAATTCAAACAATAAAGCAGATACATACCGATCGGTCCACGCCTTGCCGCTGCTGGCGGCATTGGCGCCATCGAAGGCAAGGAAGTAGTTGGTGAACTTGGCCTCGGGGACCTCGAGGGTCTTGAGAAGCTTCATGCCAAAGTTCTCGGTGTAGAAGGCGACCGATTTCTTCGGGTCCTTGACACGAAGCCTGCGGGTAGATAACAGTCAGATAAGTCCAGTTGATAGCATCAAAGCGGGAAAGAAGACAGCAGTGGCATACATCGTGTGGTTGAGCTTGTACTTTGTGACGTCGGTCATTTTAGATAACTGCGCAAAGTGACGGGATGCGATAAGCGGCGGCAGACAAAAGTTGGTCGGTTTCCGGCAAAGAGCAGAAGCAGAGAAGCTCAGAAGCGTCTTTGTAGATCTGAAGAAGGTGTTGCTGAACGAAGAAGACGGCAGCAATGCGGTGAACATCGATGGAGAGCAGGTTGGCTGCGATCGCCTCTTTCGAGTTCTTTGCACTTCGCCGGGTGGGTGATCTACTTTCGCCATCGCTTTTGGTGGTCATTTAAGGTATCGCCGGACATGCGGTTTACGCGAGTTTCTGTGCTCATCGTTAATCTCCATAAATCTCTTTGTTTACTCTGTAATTACTCTTTTAAATGATTCTGTTTGATTTTTTGATTATATCTAGTCAAGGCCTGAATCTCCTCCTGCAATTCACTGCCTACTTCTGAACTCGTAATATTACTCACAAATCACGTGTTATTACATAACCCAGACAACAACCGAGCAGCCTCCTCCAGTTTATGACAGTTCCTCTGCACCATCGCCATATTCCCCATCGTCCCCGTCTCCACAACGCCCACACCGCCCTGATGCTGAAATCACGGCGCCTGACGTCGCTGCTTTCGCAGTCACTGACGCCTCTCTCGCCGCCTATCGACACATTCACGCCGTCCACTGACGCAACTCCCTCGTCAGATCACCAGTCCGCAAAGGAATCCCCATCCACCACCACCACCACCTCCTCCGCCGCGGCCCTTCCTCCCGCGCACTCCCCGCGCATCGTCATGGTCGTCCTGCTGACTACCAGCGGCAACCTGCTTGCCGCCTCGACACTCAACTCGTCGTCGGCCGCGACAATAGCACACTCGCTCGCGCTCTCGCCCTCGGTCTCGCAGAGTACCCTCGGCGCCGGTCAGAACGGCAACGGCACGACCGCGGGCTCGATCGGAAGCGCGACGTCGGCGATTCATCTCGCGGACCTCAGCCCCAAGCCGCGGGTCTACGCTTCTTATGCTGCTAATGTGTGGCGGTCTTATACAAAGTCGCTTGAGCAAGATGCTGTTTTCGAGACCGAGGATCCAGAGGTCGATTGGATCGCTGTCGAGAATGAGGTCAGTACTGTCCTTCTATTTCTTCTTTCTCTTTTTATTACTATATATACTAACCATTACCCACAGGAATCCACAATCATAATCCACTCCGTCGCAGGTTCCGTCCTCCTAGCTCTCGTCGGCGAGCGCGGGTCTCCGGTGGGTCTTGTCTATGCTCGAACAACAGCAATGGCCAGCACCCTACGAGAAGAGCTCCAAGGCTTCAGCTTCGACTAAAATCCTTCCTAGTGCTGCTGTCAACGGCAGACTACTCGCCGGAAGGGAAATCAGTGAGAGAGAAAATTAAAAATGAGGTCGGTTATATACGCACTATCCAGCTGTATTGCATTCATCTTGGTACAAGAGAAGTACTTTACCAGTTCCATTTCTTTTTTGTTTGTTTGCTTGCTTCTTCCTCTGTCTTTGTACTTGTTATTCTTCTGTATTTTGTATTATTATCTATCTCGGGAGTTATTCGGCAATCATCATGTTTCATCTTTTTCACATCATCCTACTGCTCTTCTTTTCTTAATCTAGCAAATTGGCTTTTCTTTGTATAAAAGAATTGATTATGCAGAAAAACAAATTCATATTTTATAAAAGATGTACCATCAAACAAAATGCCACCGACCAAATTAAACGAATAACATACAACAGCAGCGCAATTTTTTATATCATCTCAGCTTACAACCAACCAACCCTCAAACTTTTCGTTTTCTCTCCAGACTTCTCTCCTTACCACTCAACAACGTCAGGAACACCAGGAATCTTACCCTGGATGATCGGCCGCACAAGTCTTGAGCCACCTTCCATCCACGGGAAGTTATCTCTTCTAAACTGCTCGTACTTTGAGATATACTCCTCGTCCATCAGCGTCAATCCGATATCATCCAGTCCGTTGATCAAACAATGCCGTCTAAACTCGTCAATCTCAAACGTCGCAAGCACTTCGCCAGTCTCGCCATTGCGAACCTCCTGCTTCACAAGGTCGACCGTCAGAGGCTTGCCGCTCTCGGCAACAGGCATGATCTTCTCGTTGATTATATCGCCGGGAATCACGAGCGGCAGCAATCCGTTCTTGAACGAGTTGTTGAAGAAAATGTCGCCAAACGAAGAAGCAATCACGCACATGATGCCAAAGTCCGCAAGCGCCCACGGAGCATGCTCACGCGACGAGCCGCAGCCAAAGTTGGGTCCAGAGACAACCATGATCTTTGAGTCGCGGTAGCCAGGCTTGTTCAAGATAAACTCAGCTTTCTCAGTTCCGTCAGGGTTGAATCGGTCGGCGTAGAACAGGCCGACCTTCAAACCAGTTCGCTTGATGGTCTTCAAGAACTGCTTGGGGATGATCGCGTCGGTGTCGACGTTGGTGCGGTACAAAGGCGCAGCGGTACCGGTCAGGACTGTGAAAGGCGGGATACCGGTGCCCTTTGACGAGCCAGAGCTCTGAGCTGCAGCAGGCACATCAACCGCAGCCTCCTCAACAGTCTCGGACTCGGAATCGGTAGAGTCGTAGTACTCCGACTCTGAGACCTCAGAAGCAGACGCAGACGAAGGAACAATGATCTCAATTGGCGCCTTGGATTCGCTCTTGTAGTACTCACGGATATCAGTAAGATGGCCAGTGACCGCAGCCGCGGCAGCCATAGCAGGGCTCATCAAGTGGGTTCTGCTACCAGCGCCCTGGCGACCTTCAAAGTTTCGGTTCGAGGTAGAAGCACATCGCTCCTTGGGCGCCATGATATCAGGGTTCATACCAAGACACATGGAGCAACCCGCCTCGCGCCATTCGAATCCAGCATCGAGGAAGATCTTGTCAAGACCCTCGTGCTCGGCCTGCATCTTGACCAATCCCGAGCCGGGGACAATCATCGCGCGGGTGACGTTTCTGGCTTTCTTCTTGCCCTTGACGACGTTGGCGGCAGCGCGCAAGTCCTCGATTCGGGCGTTGGTGCAGGATCCGATGAAGACCTTGTCGACCTTGATGTCGGAGATGTTCATGTTGGGCTCGAGACCCATGTAGTCGAGAGCGCGGATAATCGCAGCCCGTCTGGTCTCATCGTCTGCGTAATCGGCGGGGTCAGGAACCTTGCCAGTGACCGGCAGAGCATCCTGAGGCGAGGTTCCCCAGGTAACAGTGGGAGGCACGTCCTCAGCCTTGATAGTGATGTCGATATCAAAATTGGCGCCCTCGTCGGTCTTCAAAGTCCGCCAGTACTTGACGGCCTTGTTCCAGTTGGCTCCCTTGGGAGCGAGAGGCCGGCCCTTGAGGAAAGCGAATGTGGTCTCGTCGGGGGCAATCATACCCGCACGAGCACCGCCCTCGATCGACATGTTGCACATAGACATGCGAGCATCCATAGACAGCTCGCGAATAGCCTCACCGCAGAACTCGATAACGTGGCCGGTACCACCGGCGGTACCGATCTGACCGATGATGTGGAGAACCAGATCCTTGGAAGTAATACCCGGGCGCAGCTTTCCGGTGACGTTGATCCGCATGTTCTTCGACTTGTTCTGGATAAGAGTCTGAGTGGCCAAGACATGCTCGACCTCAGAGGTACCGATACCAAAGGCAAGAGCGCCGAAAGCACCGTGGGTAGAGGTGTGGGAGTCACCGCAGACGATGGTGGCGCCGGGGAGAGTGAAGCCCTGCTCGGGGCCGATGATGTGGACGATTCCTTGCCGGGCGTCGTCGAGGCCAAAGTAGCGGAGGCCAAAGTTCTTGACGTTCTCCTCGAGCGTGGTTGATTGCAGACGCGAGTCCTCCTGCTCGACGAAGGTGCTCAGGTTCTTGTAGGTTTTGCGGGAAGTGGTGGGGATGTTGTGATCCACAGTGGCGAGCTGAAGAAAAAGCAGTTAGTGGCAAGACCTCGCGATTGTCATGAAGACAAAATCAACGGAGAAATAAACAACATACAGTGCAATCGAGACGGCGCACTTTGCGGCCGGCATTGGTGAGTCCCTCAAAAGCCTGGGGCGAGGTAACCTCGTGCACAAGATGGCGATCGATGTAGAGCAAGTAAGTGCCGTTCGATTCCTTGACGACGTGGTCCTCAAAGACCTTGTCGTAGAGAGTTCGTGGAGCTGGAACTGCAGAAGGCATACTGGAGTTCGAAGAAGAGGAAGATTGGATGATGAGGAGGAGGAGAAGGAAAAGGAGCACCGAGGTCTGCTTTTATGAGATCCGCAGCTGCTCTGCGAGCTCGGCCAGAATTTTTTGTGCGGCGACTGTCGGCGAGAAGTCAAGAACCAGAATAAGAACTGCACTTTGATTATGCATTTTACTCTTATCCTGGTGCTCTACTACCGACCAATCATACCCGCTTGAAAATAAGCTTGAGGGGTAATTAGTCATTATCATAATTACACCATAATCGCACATTCACACCGCAGATATGCGCCGGTATCGGCTTTTGCCATCTTCGACCGCGGCGCTGCCGATATCGCTTCCTCCGCGTGAGTCACGGGCAGCTCCGATTTCGCTGCCGGCCGGTCTACGAGGAGGAGGATGATGTGAATAGGAAATAATGAGAAAGAGGTGAAGGTAGAAGTGGAAGTGCATTGTTTGAGGCATATGTCGGGATTGAATGGGTATTGAGCGATGAGTCGTCGATTTCCAGTGTTGGAACCATGCGAACAGACTCGAGTTGGGAGTAGCTTAAAGGTCTGTTCCTAGTTCAGAATACTGATGCTGCTTTACGATGCTTGCTGGTGATAATAACCTGAATATTGTAATGCAGAATATGCCTCTATTCTAAAAACAGACTGTAAATATGTATGTATACCCAAAAGAAAAACTGTAGTATTCCAAAACCCAATCACTTTTCCACTTCCTCACTCTGTCTTCTCCAGCGCCTGAGCTTGTACCAACTCATAATATCTTCCCTTCAAACTCAAAAGCTCTGAATGCGTTCCCGACTCGACAATTCTGCCCGCATCAAACACATAGATCCGATCCGCGTTCTGAATCGTGCTCAATCTGTGCGCAACAGCGATCGTCGTCCGGCCTTTGGCCGCCTGGTCGAGCGCCGCCTGCACGATCTTCTCTGATTCAGAGTCGAGCGCGGAAGTGGCCTCGTCCAGCAACAGCACTTTCGGGTCACGGATCAGCGCTCGCGCGATCGCGATTCGCTGCTTTTGACCACCGGAAAGCAAAACGCCCTTGGTTCCGCACATTGTGTCGTATCCGTCGGGCAGAGACGAGATAAAGTCGTGGATGTTGCATTGACGGCACGCGTTGATAATTCGCTCGTCTGAAACGTCTTCCGCATTCTCGAGCGAGCCCAGCAAGATGTTCTCCTTGATAGTCATCGCGTAAAGCACGGGCTCCTGCTGCACAAGTGCAATGTGGCTTCGGTAGCTCCCGATGTTTAACGAATTGACATCCTTGCCATCAAACAAGATCGTTCCGCTCAAAGGCCTGTAAAACTCCTCAATCAAGCTGATCGTAGTACTCTTTCCACATCCGGACGCGCCGACCAGAGCGATGTACTCGCCCTTTCGAACCTTGAGATTCAGACCCCGAAGGACAGGCACGGCAGGTCGTGTGGGATATCTAAAATGCACATCCTTGAACTCGATCTCTCCCTGCACCTTCTCGCTATCAATCTCAGCACCAGCATCTTCCCAGCGATCAATCTCCGGCTTTCGGTCAAACAGGTTTTTGATGCTGATAGCAGCGCTCTTAGCCTTGCCCATCTCCGCGGCGTACGAAAACGCAACACCCGCGTTTTGTCCCGCGAAAATCGACGACATGTACGCGGCGTAAAAATTGAACGGCTGGTAGACACCCGACTTTACAAACCGTGATCCCCACCAGAATCCAAGACCCATGACGATAAACTGCGTAGACTGCGCGGTGCCGTACAAGATCGACGACTTTAGCGACGACGCTCTCATCTTCCGTCCCTGGCGCACGAGATCGGTGTGATACTCGTCAATGATCTTCTTCTCCATCGTCAGCGTCGCCACTGTGCGAACAGTAGACACAGCCTCGCACGCATACGCCGAAGAATTCTCACTCATCTTCTTCGCTTGCGCTTGCACGCTCGCGAGCAGCGAAAACCGACCGTAGCCAGTACCAATCATCAGCGGGAAGCACGCGACAAACACCCACGACATCCGCGGCGCTACAATCAGCGCCAACACCGATCCCGAGACCACGTTCGAGAGCGCGTTCAAGATCTGGCCGAGCGTGGCGCCGCTGAGCGATTCGACGGCCAAGGCGTCCTGCGAAAGTAATGCGGTCAGACGGCCGGTGGAGTTCTCTTTGACGTCGAAGAAGGTCATATCTTGACGCAAAAAGTATCGGAAAGTCAGGAATCTGATGCGGCGGATCAATCGCTGGCCGACCAGAGACAGAGACGCGTTGCAGATAAAGTATGCGGTGAGCTGCAGTATGCCAATCAAGAAGAAAATCAGAGCATACACGCGGATCTTGGCAAGCATCACGTCGTAGTCATCTGGACCATCGCGGAAAGCCTGGAGACAGAGCGCGTACAAGATCGCAATGGCGGGATGGCCGAATCCGTTGATGACCGCGGTGATGGATCCAATTAGAAGAAAGTGGTTGCTACCTTTGGTAAGAGAGGTGAGGAACTTGATGAGCGCAAACGTAGATTCCTCTTTCTTCTCTTTCGGCTCTGGCTTCTGGCGCAAAATCACGCTCGAGATCGAGTGGCCGGTCTTTGTTCTAGTAAGATTCAAGCCATGCTTTTCGTCTTCCTTCTCTTCATAAGAGCTAGTATCGTACGCAGTCGATGAATTAGCGTCGTCGGATTCGGAATCGTAGCTATCAGTCTGGTTGTCATCCACGACCACCTCCTTCGCCGCTTCAATCTTTTGCGCCTGAACTAGGGAGTAGTATTCTCCCTCCTTCTCAAGCAACTCATTGTGCGTGCCGCTCTCCATGATCTTGCCCTTCGACATAACAATGATTTTATCCGCGTCCTTGATCGTAGACAATCGGTGCGCGACAACAATCGTAGTTCGGTTCTTGGACGCACTGTCAAGCGCCTGCTGTACAACACCTTCGCTCTTCGTATCCAGAGCAGAGGTGGCCTCGTCAAGAAGTAGAATCTTAGGGTTGCTAACAATCGCACGCGCAATCGCAATACGCTGCTTTTGTCCTCCAGAAAGCAAGAAACCCCGCTCGCCGACGTGCGTATCCAAGCCTTTAGGGAGTCTCTCAATGAAGTCCAAAGCGTTGACTTGACGGCATGCATCTCGCACCAGCGTCTCCTTCTCAACATCCGAGACGTGCTCGTACCGCGTGCCTACAAGGCCGTACGCAATGTTTTCAAACACCGAGCACGCAAACAACACAGGCTCTTGCGACACAAGCGCAATCTGCTCGCGCAAGAACGAGACGCTGAGCTCGTTGATGTCGTGGCCATCCAAATAGACGTGTCCACCAACGGGAGTGTAGAACCGCTCTAGAATACCGATGATGGTACTCTTTCCCGACCCAGAAAAGCCAACTAAAGCGACGGTCTGGCCGGCTTCGATAGTGAGGTTAAAGTGCTCGAGGACGACAGACTGGGGGCGCGATGGGTAGATGAACTTTACGTCCTGGAATTCGACCTTGCCAACAAGTTCCTCAGAAGGAAACTTCTTGCCTTCGACAAAAGGATCGATTGCCGAAACGCGATCAATCGAGGTAAAAAGCTTAGATGCAGCAGCCATACCGTTGGCAATGTATCGCAGATGAGGAGGAATATGCGAGAGCCAGAACGCACCCATCATGATCACCATCAACGTCGACATCACCTGCTTGACTTCCAAGTAGTGCGAAGCAATGTACCTCGAACCCTGGAAGAACGCCAGCGCATAATTGCAGTGCATGAAGAACCAAATCAGAGCAGTCGTGAGTCCCAAAATCATGCCGGCTCTGTGCGCCCACAGCTCCGAGACGGAGAGGAACTGGTCGTATTGCAGCGCCAGACGCTCTTCGATAGCAAACGCTTGCACGTTGCGCACGCTTGCGAGGGTCTCCTCGGCAAGCGTGCCGCCGACAGAATAACCAGCCAGAGAGCGGCGGTAGAACCGGACCATGTAGCGAGAACATACTGACATTGTGACGACGACGCTCACGATGATACCCAGAAGAATAAACGACAATTTCCACGAGCGGAAGAACGCAACGACCATTGCGGCGATGAAATTCGTCATTGAAGATACTGCAAGTGATACTTTCTCAGACATTCCCTCTTGGACGAGTAAGGTGTCGCCGGAAATTCTGGAGGTAATCTCTCCGGTGCCGAGCTTGTCAAAGTATGCAATGTTCTGTCGAAGAGTAGACTCGAGATAATGGCTTCGGATTCTAGAGGAGAGGACTTCACCTCGGTCGATGAAGACGAAGGTAGCGATAGACGACGCGATAAAATCTGTCACGGCGAGCATTATGAAAAAGCTATATTACACATGGTTAGTCGCCATCCACAACTTGACAGCAGTAAAAGATAGAACATACAATGCAATCTGATTGATGGTCCTCTGAAATTCATCAGGCGAGATATTTTCGGGCATATCGTTGTACACCAGCTCATTGAAGCCGTAGGTGGAGTTTTCGTAAGAAGTGTAGTTGCCGTAGGTCGAGTTACCATACGTCGAGTTCCCATAATCATTGTAGCAAGCAGTCCCGTCGGTATTCATGCACGGTCTGTATGTGACAAAGAGCTGCGCGACGTTTCCGACCAAGATCTTGATAGCAGAGTTAGTATCAACGAAACTACAAAGAACCAGATAAATTGGCACATACAGTCATCAGAGGTCTCAGAGCACCAGAAACAACCGAGGCAATAAAGCCAACAGCAAGTATATAGCGATCACTCCGACTAGCATAACGATACATAGACCAAAACGATGCCTTCACAGGCTTGACGACTATTTGTGCCCGCAAAAGCTCTGCTTCATGGGGTGGCAAGTGTGAGAAGTCATCGGTGTGGGTCGGTAGGTTGATGTTTGTCGACTGTCCTAATAGCGGGGACGACTCCGACGGTGTCTTTTGCTGGTCTTTGGGTGAGTTCTTCGCCATGGTTGAGCGAGGAAGTCTGGTCGATTGCAGCAGTATCGAGGAAGACGAACAGGTGTCGATACAGAACAGGAGAGTAGATCAGAGACAAAAAGGGAGGATATCGCTTGGTTTTACTCTCGGGCAGTCTGCAAATAAGACTGTGGACTTTTCTGCGCGGAACGAGAAAACAGCAAATCAAAATGCATTATTCAAATTTTTGTTATCGATTGCGACAGTCGAGTTACAGGATAAGCGAGCACATCAGAGACTCGATCGATGGTGTCACCCGCTGGCGGGGTGTGTTGTGCACCGGCCCCCGTGAGTGAAATTGCCCGTTACAGCACCGGTGCGGATATGGCCGTCGAGAGACAGAAACAGAAACAGAAGTCAGCAAACAGAAAGCTTGGGAAAAGATAACAGAAAAAGAGTCGAAGCCGTCGGTCGCGGCACCGACCTGCGCCAGTCGATCTTCATTCCCGACCGCCACCACCCCACATGCAGATGATTCACGACGTTTACTCTACTCCAGGTCTATATCCGCATGAAAAACCCATCAATCCAAAAGATAGAATAGCCAGAGCATCATGATAGCGAACCACGTTGTGTCTTATCTACAGCTACCCACGCCTCTCCATATCTGTGCAAATCTCAACTCGCGATGGTGCAATCAGCCAATGTTCAAACCTTAAATCCTTATTTCCCTTACGTGCTCTTTCATAATCGGTCCCGGACCACCTCAGCGAGCCTGATTCGGGAGTGACTCTGTGAGTCTTTTCATCTCAATCCGGTGAATCTATGCAGAGATGTCTGGTCGGTGTCTGGTTGGAGTCTGGGATTGGGATAGCGCGAATGTGCTGGTTGGTGGTGAGTCTCCTCTCTTATTTAGGTCTCTCGCCGCCCTCCTCCTCTTCCTATATCACTATACACTGAGTGCACCGCAAATCCTTCAAATTCATAACAACACAAATTCACAACAAAGTAAGACAAAAATCGCATGCATTCTTTTTCATATACGTTGTCCTCGTATAATCTGCTCAAGAGACAACGCCAATACGCAAGACAATCAATACAACAGAATAAATTATGCGGCAGCAAAAGCGATATTTTACAGATTCACCAGTCTTACAAGCAAACCCCCAGCTAACCCAAAGAGACGTATATATAACAACAAAACCAGATATCAGAAAAAAAATCAAGATCACATTTAGGACGTTCGTGTTGATCGCAAGTCAACTTCATTATTGCTGGCGCATTGACAACTACTACACGTAGTTGAAGGTCAGGTTCATGGCCGTGCAGTCATCAGAAACATTGGAGGTATCGGAGAAATACGATATCTGGTAGTTGATGTCGTTGTTGGAGTAGTCGTACGGGTCCGACGTATTCTGGCATGCGTAAAATCCTGCATAGCTACCGTTGACGGTGAGAGTGCTATAATCATCAGCGGTACCGAAGACGGTAGCGTCGCTACCGTACGAAAGCTGGGCTTGCAAGATGCCATCTACAATCTTGAAGTAGTAGTAGATTCCGCTGGTGCCGTCAAGCGTCCGGATTGTACCGTTGTTTGATTCGTAGCCGTACGTTGTGACGCCGTTGTCCAGAGAAATAAACGCGTACGAGATTCCGGCGCCTTCGTGGAGCGTGACGACGTTCTGACCGTCGATGGTCAAAGAGTCGCTGGTAGCCGCCAAGGTGATGTTGGGAGTAATCGCGCCGGTCTCTGTCGCAGGTGTGTAGCTCGAGCTATCAGCAGACGAGGTCGTGCTCGATGCAGCAGAGGTAATGCTCGATGAATCTGCAGCGCTGCTGGATGACGACGATGTGCTAGTAGCATAGGAAACCATAAGATCAACGCCATACGCAGTGTCGCCGCTCGGACACACTGAATCACTTCCGTCCGTCGCCCAGTAGACTTGATAGTCGTCGCCGCAGGATGTAGCGTAGCTCTCGCCGTTGAGCTCGAGCGAAGTGTCTGATACTGCCCATGTAACATAGGTTGAATTTGAAGGTGCACTACTGCCGTATCTAAGAGCGTGTGTATCGGCATCGACCCAGATGATCGAGTCATCGTCGTCTAGGATCTTGAGGCTACCGTTGTCGAGGTACGTCGTAATATCTGTATCCGCACCAAAGTATAGGTATCCATCTCCATTTACAGACAAGGCCGAGTACTGAACAGGCGATCCCGAACGGATAGCGAGAACTCCAAAGTCGGCTACGGAAGTCGAGCTGGCGGCGGCAGCGCTCGAAGAAGTTCTAGACGCAGTGCTCGATCCGGATATGGCACTGGAGGATGCACTCCTGGTGCTGGAGACGGCAGAACTGCTGCCTGACCGACCAGATCCAGACGCGGATGCTCGAGAGGAAGAGGCTGAAGAAGTAGCAGAAGCAGACGCAGAGCTGGACGCATGCGACCCGCTGGCGGCAGCACCGCCAGAAACCGAGTCAGACTTGTTGTTTGACTTCTTGAGCCCGACGCCTAGACCGACACCGAGAGCAACACCGAGAATGATAACAAGCGCCAGCAAGAGGAGCAAAAGCGTCCGCACCCGCATTCCAAAGATCTGACTTCTGCTCTCGCTGCTTCTCTTCGTGGTCCCGCCTTTTCCCTGGGCGCCATACTGCTGTGCTTCCTTATCTAGTTGAGGCACCGTCCGTCGTCCGACGTCGACTAACGGCTGCTGATAGGATTCGTCAAGCTGAGGCAAGTACTGGGTGTCTTTAGTACTGCCTTTGTCGCTGTCTTTTGTGAGCTCTTTGCTGAGCTTGGGCAGGTTCTCGCCACCGCTTGGCTCGGTTGTTTCTGAGGAGTCTGACATAATGGGGGGTCCAGGCTAGGCTGATAGAGCCGTTCGTCGAAGTAGGCAGTTGCAGGGGCGTAAAACACAGGCAGAGTCCAGCAAGATAACCTCCTTGCGCGTGTCTCGAGTCGGTTCGGCGTGGTTTCTCGGCTGGCAGGCGGCAGGAACAGGCACAGAGAAGAGGGCAAAAACGTTCAATTCCCAAAGATGGTTCATGTCCCCAGTCGCGCATTTTTGCCAAACCCAAACCTCGACCACAATCGGACTAGCGCGGTTAGAGAGCATGGGGTAAGGGCTTTGGTGCAGCCGCGTGCTCAGCCGTTCGTCGGTGTACGTCGGCGGCAGAAGAGACCGCGGTGTCGGCTTTGTTTGCGGGTGTTAGTGGACGAGGCAGGAGCAGCAGCATTGGTCCTTTTACTGTGGAAAAAGGCTCAGAGGCTTGTCGATGGAGGCGGCTTCAACCACGGTTTCTCCGCTCGGTGTGCTGCTGCAGCCGGGGCGTCGGGGAGATGCGGCGCAAGGGCCGTAACTGTGCAGGATTATAAATAGAAGCAGCCTGTTCCTCTCCGTGCTGTCTCTTGACTCGATAAGTGTATTCCTTACGATTATTGGGATAATTCAGATAATGATCAGATTGTTTGTGCTTTCAGTCTATTGATTTGTATTCATATTGAAGTACAGCAACTCTAGTATATCTAAGTCTAATCCACCCCACATCAATATCGATTTATCATCATCCGCGCTCTAGTATATCTCATGTCGCGGCGCTTCAGTGCATTGTCCAGCCAGTCTAATCCAACTGTTCGGATTCTTCTATGCGTCAACATAGCCAAGCTTTCCACGTATACCCCACATCTGAACTCCTCATGAGTTCCTCATCGCACGATATATCTGGATAACCCCAAGGCTGTCTCGCCGCCGCACGTTGTCGTTGTCGCGTGCGCACTTAAACAGCACTCGATGTCACGTTCCAGGACAGTTTGACACCACCCTCGACCGCGCGTCTTCTCAGGTACGCGACCGTAGTCTCGTTGAGCTCCGGTCCGACCTCGCGCTTCTTCACGTCGGAGTAGAAAAGAGTATCGTTGACTGCCCGCTTGCTCAAAGCCGGGCCGGTCAGGTTCAGACCAGGCGGGGTGATGACCGGAATCACAATCGGCTTGACTGATTCGTTGTTTGCGACAGTCGCCTTGACGCTTGCCACCGTCTCGTCCTCAAGCGGAGCAACAACGTCCCGCTTGATCAAGATCGGCTCGGTCAGGTTCAAGTCGGGCGGAGTGATGACAGGGATCACAATCGGCTTTGTCGATGCCTCGTCGAGAACAGTCGAGCTGCTGTCTGCGATCGTCGTGTTTTCGATGGTGGCAATGCTTGTGAAGTTGGCAAACGGCGCTGCGAGCGAACCGACCAGCAGGCTGCTGATAAGGAGGAGGATTGAGAACTGCATTCTGATCTATCAAACGTGTATAGTGAGAGTTATAGTGATATCAGGCGATTGATCTCTGCTGAATCTCGACAGCGGCCGCCATGGTCTTTATACCATCTGTCGTTTCCAACTGCAGTCCCCACATATGAAACAGAGCAACTTCAATCGGACATTCAAACACCATCTTCCAGTGGCGATAACACCTCCACCGCGATTCACAACTCAAAAGAAAAGGTACGCGTCCACACAAAAAAGAAATAACGCGAGTTTCGCGTGGCAGGGCAATGTGGGAGGTGTAAACGCTACGCCCGCGACACAAAGCCCTGACAAAATCGCGCAGACCCTGAAACGGCAGTGTGAGCAGGACCGCGTGGCTTCTCGCGTGCTGCGGTTTTAAGTAACGGATGGCAAAATTGGTTGATAAGTGGCGCGTTTCACTTGCAGGATTGTTCTCTCAATGCAGGCTGTGCATCGAAAACTCGCGTTGATACGTTGGATTCATTGTTTGTAAGCGACGGACACTTTGCCCCTCATGTAGTTCTAATCAAATAAATCACCATTGTCACCATCAAACGCCGCAGCGAGCCTCTAGACCTCGCTCTCGATCCTCCTATCAACTCCCAAAATCTGCTCAAACACGCCCATGTTCCGGTCAATCAAGTCCTCGCGCGTGGCGAGCAAATTCCTCCGCCGCGCGATCCACTCCTGCTCGCCGTAATTGAATATCCGGGCAATAGCCTCCGCGTCCGTCTCGTAGCTTTTCTTGATCCATACTCCGGAGAGGGGAAGGTAGTCGTAGGCTTCGAGCATCTTTTTCGTAATCAGCGCGGGCGTACCGGTGATTACAGAGGCCGAGATCGCGCCCGCGGCTTCTGACTCTGTATACTTTCGAGCGGTAATCAGCGGGACCACCACGACCGCACGCTCGATTGTCGCGTAGTACGCCTGCAGATCGAGGTCTGCCTCTCTCACGCCACCTTCACCACAGGTATTGCATCGGTCTGAGTTCACCAGGCCTGTTTTTCCGTAGCTGTCGCATCGGGCAATGGAAATCGCAGCCACCGGGTGGATTTCCTCAGAAGGAGCATCAAGACGCGGCTGCGACACATCTCGGCGCCGTTCTTCAGGCTGCCCGACCAAGACAGCGCCAGGACACTTTGTATTTATATACAACAGACTCGTAGGCGACTCAAACACCGGAAACAATAGACTCGAATCATAAGAGATTGAGTCGCCGGTCCCCAAGTACGTCGGGAAATTCTCCTTGACGTACCGCCGAACGCGGCGCGACATCGTGACGAGTCCCCATTTGCGCTCGCGCATCCAGGGAATCATAAACTTGACCGATCGTTTGACCATCGGATTCCGGTTCACGCCCGCAGTTCGCACGTCCCACTGATGCGCCTCGTGCACCAAACACATGACTTTCGACCCTTCTCTCAGCATCTCGCGCAATGACTCCTGCAGCACCCTCGTGTCTTCAAGGCAGGACGTCAGCAGGATCAAATCCGGCGCAGGGTCGCTGTCGACCAGATCTGGAAGCGTCCTGTAGGGATACACTTTCTCCATGATGACTGTCGCAATGCTGGATAGAATTGAGTTGCTGCTCGAAGTGAATATTGTCATGTCGACGTCGCGTAAGTCGGTGAGAACGCGGATGACTGCTAGGACAGAGTCGATGTGGCGCTCGGAAGTGTTGACCACATACACTCTTCGACTTTCTCCGTTCGGTAAATCACCATATGGAGCAACGGAAAACTGCTGCTGCTGCTGTACCTGCTGTGCCTGCTGTGCACTAGACGATTCAGACACGGAACTGATCGGCTCCATGCTCGTAGAGGATACCGGCATTCGACGCATTTGCACGCCCTTGCACGAGACCAGAGCAAACATCACGATATTTATCGCAACAATAGCAACAATAAACCGCACCAGCAAATGCTGACCCCAAACTTTCGTGCCCATCATGTCTCCTTTCCAATGTCGCGTGAACCCGATAAAGCAGCGCCAGGTCCTCTTTATATAGACCCCTCCGTATCAGCGTCTCATCCCTGAACAGCCCAAAAATGTGGTTAATTGGCTAGTGCAGATGCCAAACGGACATATGTGGAGCGGGTGGTCGTCACTGCGGGCGAGGGTCGTGAAAAATTCAAGGAGTGATAAGACATTTGAAGAAGCTTGAGCTGGTATGCAGACGAGGTGCGCAGCATCCGACTATTGGGCTTGTCTGGAAATGCCGCTATCACCGTCATCAGAAGCCCTGTTGTTGCAAAAAAGATAACAAATAGATGTGCACTGTCAGTCGCAATTTCCTGGTTTGGAGATTAGTGGAAACCGAGAATCCATCCGGCGCTGATGAGGAAAAGCGGAAGAGTTCCACAAGCTATCAGCCGTATAAGGTTTCATTAGCGAGCTCGGCCCCTAGTCTGCAGCTACCGAGCCAGTGTGTGATACCTCTAAGGCACGATGTCACGAGCACCCATTCTTTTACTGCCCTGATCCAGTCTATACGCGCGTACGTACAGCAATGATGACTCAAGTAGACGCGATTGTTACATGTTCGCCATCGGTCTGATCGGTCTACTGATTTAGGACGAGAACGATTACGTCAGATTATAGCAATTCTGTTCGAGACCAGATACAGGCAGAAACACACAAATTAATCATTCATCAAAACAAAAACACAGCAGACTGATCATTATCAAAAGTACAAAAATACAAGACTAAGGTTTCTGCGACTTCTCATCCTCGACATTGACAGTATCAATGTGCTCCACATCAGCCATCTTCTCGATATCGATATCCTTCTCGAGCACAGCAGAATGAACACCGACATGCGCCGCGTCGCCGTCAAACACCTCCGCGATCTCTTCGAGCGACTTTCCGCCCGTCTCGGGGAAGAACAGATATACGAGCAAAGCCTCGACGCCGATCCAGACACAGTACACAATGTAGTACTTCCATGTGATTGCGTCCATCGCGATCGGGTTGACGTAGTTGTTGAAAATGCCGACGACGTTGCCGCTGAGCTGGTAAAGCATAGAGCCCTTTGCACGAAGAGAGTAAGGAACAACCTCAGAGATGTAGGTAGGCGCAAACGGTGCAGTCAAATGGTAGAATCCCTGGTAGATGTACATGACAGCAATAATACCAATGGCGAGCGAGCGACTCTTGAAGCCTTCTTCCTGGTTGACGGCCGACATGATTGTCCAGATGATGTACGAAACCTGCATCGCCAGCAAACCAAACAGAAAGCCTCGTCGTCTGCCGATCCGCTCAACTTGAGATGCAAAAGTGTAGGCGGTGACGATACCCCAAGCTGTTCCGCAGAGGTTCACAGTCAACTGCTCCTTCGCATCAGTGACGCCGATGTTGTTCAAAACACGCGAGAGGTAGTATGACATGATGGCATTTCCCGAGAGCTGCATCATAGCCGGCACAAAGAGCGCAATAAAAAACCGACGGCGCATGCCCTTTGTAGACCAGAACGTAGGCCATCGCGACTCCTTGCTGATCTTCTCGGCCTCCAAGGTCGCGGTGACCTCAGCCATCTGAAACTTGACGAGCTCAGAGTCGCGGTCGCCGCCAGCATGGTACTTGATGAAGAACTCGTACGCCTCCTCGTGCCGATCCTTCATAATCAACCAACGCGGAGACTCAGGAGCAAGGAACGAGATCGAGCATTGGAAGATGGGAAACACACACTGCAAAAGCGAGGGGATACGCCAGGCCCAAGCGGTCTGACCCATGTGGTATGTTCCGTATGTGATGGCGGCGGCAAAGAAGGAGCCGATAGGCCACGCGGGCTCAATGAAAGAAGTCATTCGACCTCGCTGCGGAGGGTATGCACATTCAATCAAGAGCAGAGGAGAAGCGGCGCCAGAGAGACAGATGCCGATGCCGAGCAAGAAGCGGGCGACGACAAACATGGGATAGGCCTGCGCCGCTCCCTGCAGCACGGCGCCGATGACGATGATTCCCGATCCAATAGTAATCGGCAGACGTCTGCCCCATCTGTCGCAGATGGTCGAGACGAAGGGAGTCATGATCAAGACGCCATAAGTAACACCGTTGGTCATTGAACCAAGCCTGCCGCCCTTGGGACTGCCGAAGTACTCTGTCCATGTCGACAGCGACTGCAGACCGTTCAGCATCGATCCGTCGAAGCCAGAGGTGATCTGCGTAAGCATGGCGCACATGAGCCCAACGTTTAACCGGAGAAGGTAGGGATAGTGCCACCACATCCGGTCGAGCTGCGGGATGTAGTCATTGAGGACCTTGCCCTCGAAGCGGGAAACGTCACCGATATCGATCATTCTGACAACGCGAGAACAGAGCAAGATCAACAGCAGAGGTCTGATCTACGAGCCATCCAGGGGATTTCCGGGGAACGCGTGCCATTATATCTCCTGCTCCCTGACGTGCAAACAATGGTGCGGGGCATCTTTGTGGGGAAGCGACTCGTGTGCGGCGTCCGGCGTGCGGTCCGCCGCCTCCGCCGCCCGCGAAGACGCCTGTATTAAAGTTTGAAGGCGGGGGACTCGGGACCTGCCCCTCCGATCTCTGAGTGCTGAGCAGAAACCCTACGGCGATCCAGGGTGGAGATCCGAGTGGAGACCCGAGGCAGAGGGGCAGAACAGACGAACGCTTTGTTTCCTTTATTTCAACTGCAACTGCTTATTCGGTCTTTGCTTGCTTATTCTATTGTCGTCGAGCGGCTGCCATGCGCGCCTCCACCGCCCGCGCCCGCCGCTCGCGCTCGATCCGCATCCGCGCCTCTGGCGTGAGCCCGGCTAAAAGCTGCTCGTTCGCGCTCACCCCCGTCACCACCGAGCTGGCGAGTTTTTTACCTCCTGCGGTTGCCGTCTTCTGCTGCTGCTGCTTCTGCTGCTGCTGCTGCTCGAGCCTGCGAACCGCCTCGGCGCGCTCGGAGGCAAGCTCTGCTTTCTCCTTGGCTTCGCGCTCAGCAATGTCTCGCTTCGTCAGCGCCGAGCCCACTCCGGACTTGGCCCAGTCCCATGAGCTTTTGCCTTCAAGCTCTCCACGTGCCAACCTAAACGCTTCTCTGGTCGCCCGGTCACCACTCAGCTCCCATGCTGTTCTCCCTTCCTCGCTGCTGATCGTAGGATCCGCCTTGCCTGTAATCAGTAAATACGTCACCATCCTCGGCAGCGACAGCGATGCCGCCAAATGTAGAGCAGTAGGCGTGTGGTGGTACTGCGCCGCCGGCTCGAACCTGAAGTCGGCGGTTAGCTTGTTCGCCGCCAGATACGATCCCAGCGGATTCAAGCGTGATTTTTTGACCATCGCGACAATCTGCATCGTATGCAACTCCTCCGGCGTCAGCTCCTTCTCTTCCGGCTCCTTCTTCTCAGCAGCAGTAGCTGCGGTTGCTGCTGGAGCCACGACTGGCTTGCTAACTGGTTTCGGCATAAACATCTCCCGTTTCGCAATCCGCGGTCGCGTGAGCTCGCCCCAGACGCGCTTAACCTCGTCACCTGTCGCGCGTCGCGTCGTAAACGGAATGCCCTTCACCCTGCTATCTCTCGAGTTCAAAACCGCGCCTTCATATCCAAAAAACACACCTCTATTTTGCCGTCCGTTTGCGCGTATGAAGATATGGCTTGCACGGTCGAGATATGGCTTCCACTCTTCGAGCAGCTCGCGAACTTCTTTCTCAAGCATCGCCTCGTTGTGTCTTCGGATTGATGATCCCGCAGAACTGGCTTTTCCTTTCGCATTATCATTCGCAGACTGTGAACCTCCCTGTTTGCGACGTGTAGTATAGCGGTGAACGGTTTTATGTAGAAGCACCGTCACCGGGTCATTTTTCTTCGCCATGTTTTGTGTATGCGAAATCACAGCTCCCGCAAAATGTCCACCTCCAAGCATAAAAATCGCACTAACAGGCGTCTCCTTCCCCTTTGCCTCGTCACTAGTAAACTGCTGCTTCTTAATCAGCTCCAGTCCTTCATCGGAGCTTTCAGCCGGAAACAGACATTTGTAAATGGCGAGCACTTCGTCCGACGGTAGAAGTGGGCTATCGAATGTGTGAAAAGGAGATTTGTGCACTTTTGCTTGCTCGGTTTCGTCTTCTGGAACTGCTGCTAGAGAGGACTTCCCGAATAGAGCGCTGACTTTGTCGACGTCCGAGTCGTCCGAGTCTGAATCTGATCCTGAAATCGACTCTTCGAGTTCTATATCAACATGTCAGTCTTCTATCTCCTAAGCTCGATAACATTTCTTCAATCAGCAAAAAAACATAATACCATCTAGCAACTTCTCAAACTCAGCTTGTCCGACAGCATCCTGCCCTGCAATCTTCCTCTTCACATTAAACCTATGAAGATCGCTCTTAAAATGCGCCCGCTGATCCTCAAGCGACTCCGTATCCAAATCACAGGTATTGCACCGACCCGAAGTAGGCGTGTTGAAACTCTGCGGAACCGGATCCGATGCTGGCGTCAGCGAGATTGTCTCCTCTGCTGGTTCGGGGTTGTAGGATGTTGAGAACGAGGTCGGGGTTAGAGACGCGAGGAGTGTGGCGGGAAGCGAGTACACGTAGAACGGAGATGGCTTTGACGACATCTGAATCTTCCTTTTTAGAATATGGCAAAAATCACCCTGTCCTATTTTTCTCTTTCTATAACGCCTTTTGTGGATAGAGGGCCGCCGAAGAGTTGCAAGAGGCGATAAATATATTCTCGAGGACAAATGACATCAGTGATTTTTTCCTACACTCGCTGAGCCGCATCTCTTCAGAACTAATTGATGACGAAGTGACTAATTATGGTATTTTCTTGTTCAATTATACTCATCTGGGTATTTTCTTGTTCAATTATACTCATCTGCGAGCAAGAATTACCAAGAAGCTGATTTAAAATTTCATATATTTGCTACATTTGCTATCTAATGACTCTCTGCAACTACAGACTCTTGATGGCCTCAAGAAGCGCGCTTTCATCCGGCGTATCCTCCCACAACTTGATCCACTCTCCGCTCCTGACAACCTCAGCCTCGCCCGGAATAGCAAACACATAATCCATGATCCACGTCGTCTCTCCCGCAGGCACAGTGTACGACAAACTCGGGAACGCAGAGCGAGGAAAGACAAGGTTCGTGTTGGGATCCGCGTGCTGCGCTTTGCCACCACCAAGTCCACCAGTCGTATATCCAGATTTGAGACCGGATACTCCTGCGTTCAGTGCTTTGCAAAGCGCCCAGTCGGCTCCAGCGGCACGGAACTCGCCCGTAGACGACACCTCTGTGCTGCGGATCACGCGCCGTCCTTTACCTTCGACTGAGACCGAGAATCCGCCATCTGCGACAGTGGCATCAACGCTTCCTGAATTGACAATCTTGAGAATGCGAACGTGGTACGCACTCTTGCTCGATTCTGGTGCAAACATCCAAGCAGACACGGCCACAGATTTATTGAAAACAGGCGAGTAAGATCCCGACACTGCCATTCTTCCTGCAATCATACCCATTCCATAATCCTGCGTGACACCGGGGGTGGTGTACAGTTCTCCGTCCGTCGTAATTGCAAGATGACAATCTGCTGCTAGATGGGGTAAGCCCTCCGCGTGCTGCGAGACCGAAAATCCAAAGCGACTCGAGTAGACAAATTTGCAGTACTTTGCGTTTTGATTGCGAAACCAGTCTGCATGCTGCTTTGCCGAAAGCGCGTAGGTGTGGCCATAGTCGTCGTTGATGTACATCTGGCCTGCAAACGGGGACTGGGTTATAAACGGCTTGTTCACTTTCTCTGGCTCTGTAGCGGTCCAAAACCGCGACTGTGACGGAACGGCGAGCGCAAGCATGGACTTCATTGCCCAATACGGTGAGTTTGCGGAGTTGTATTCCTCAGACATGAAAAGATTTGGGTAGCAGTATCCGACAGAGAAAGAGCCGTCGTCAAGCAAGAAAGGCTGGTCTCGCCAGTACCGGAGATTCTGAAGAAGCAGATGCTTAATGACACCCATATTCACGACAGGCTTTCCAGTAGTGGAATCAATCTTCTCGCCTTCGAGATCTGCATACGCCATCGCTGCCCAGATCGAAGAATGGGCAAAGCGATAGGTCAGACTCCGACCGAACGGGATCCCCGCCCCCGAGTCCGCGAACGAAGAGTAGAATGTATCAGCGAATTTGGCGGCGCGCTGACGAAACTTTGCGCAGTTGATCGGGTCCCATTCAGATGCATGGACGGAGTATATGAGACCGTAGAAATGAAACGCAAACGGGATGTAATAGTCGAGCTGACGCGGTGCGCCGTCGTAGTACCAGCCATCGCCGAGATACCAGCTGTTCATCTGAGCAAGTGCTTTCTGAGACGCATCCTCGTCGTGCTTTTCTCCCACCGTACGGAGACCCACGTTGACCAGCACGCGGAAAAACAGCCAATTGTTGGATACAATGCCGACCTCGTTGATGGAGTATAGCCATGTCGCAAACGTGCGCTTTGTCTTCTGCGGCAGTGGATCCCAGAACGCGGCCGGACACATGAAAAGACAATACCCGAGAGCCGCCATCTCGACCAATCGCTGGTCGCACGACTCTGGGTATCCCCAATACTCTGGTGAATCGGGATCAGTACCTGCGCCGACGCCGTCCTGGAAGTTCTCGACAAACTGCGCTAACACGCTCTTCACCTCGTCTGACGCGCCCTGCTCTTCGAACCCGGCTTTGATGGCCGCGACTGCCCACATTACGCGCGAGAAGCCCTCCAGTTGAGCCGCTAGCTGGTCGAAATGCGCACCGGTCTCAAGAGCTAGGATTGCGGCCTTTCCTTTAGAGTACTTGCGCAGGAGAGGCTTCAGAAGCGCGATCGCGCCTTCGAGCAGATCGGTTCTAGACAGTAGGGGATTCTGAGTCCAGGCCTCCATGGTCGATAGCAAGCAGTGTGAAGCTTCACGGTACGTTTCTGAGCTGGTGAGCTACCCGATGGCGTGGTGGTGAGCAGAGACATGTTCGTGTGCGAAGGCCATCGGTGGGGGAGGAGGGGCAGCGGGGCAGCGGGCTGCGGAGCGGGGTGCGGCCCTGACTCCGCGGGTCGGCTACCCCACGTTTTGTGCGACGCGGCTGCGCTTACGCAAACCCAGACGGCTGCTGTTCGAGCCAGAGAAGAACACAAACAGCTCGCGATGGCACCGACTGATTTTTGTGTGCAGTATTTGCTTAAAACAGCAAAGAGCAGGATGACGGTCGCGCTTTGCAAAAACCCAGAAGGCTTCAGAATAAACTGCAATGCCTTCCAGCAGGACGCGATCACGACTTTTGCGGGCGCAGAGTACGCGGCTGCCTACCAGCCTTCGGATCCAGAGAACGCTCTCTCACCTCGACTCATAACTCTTGCGCGCCGGATCATTAACGATGCTAATGCTGGAAAGTGGGAGTGTTTTGCATTTGACGACTACTTGCAGACCACGAACGACGGACACAACGTCATCAGCATTGGAATCAGCGGCGACGGGGTTATTCATCTCTCTTGGGATCTGCATGGCGACAAAATCAACTATCGAGCATCTGATCCAGGCCTTGCAAATGACCCTTCCCGTCCATGGGCTGCCGACGCTTTTAAGCCTATTCAGAACGATTTGTCGGGTATTCAGCTGTCCATGGTCACATATCCTCGCTTTCTCCGCATGCTCAACAACGACCTTCTCTTTGAGTTCCGGATCGGGAAGTCAGGCTTGGGTGATGACTACCTATACCACTATAGCAGCAAAACAAGCACCTGGAGTCCTGTGGGCAAACACTCGGGGATGTACCTCAAGGGGGTTGAGAATAACGCCTACATAAACGGCATCGATCAAGACAGCTCTGGTCGTCTCCACGTCTCGTGGACATACCGCGACTACGTCGAAGATAGACCTGAGTTCCTTTCTGAAAAAGTCCGCCAAACAGCAACGCGCAACGCTGGCCCGAACGGTCCCGAAAACAATCATGATCTGTACTACATCTACTCTGACGACGAAGGCGCTACATGGCGCAACACCCATGGAGAGCTGCTCTCGCTTCCCGTGACGCCTGATGCGCCAGGCATCAAAATCTACGATATTCCCAAGTTTAGCGGAATCATGAATCAAGAGGGGCAAACTGTTGACAGCAAAGGTGGTTTCCACGCACTGAACAGACAGGACGGATTTTATTACCACTACTATCGCTCACCAGATGGCTCGTGGACGAGGAGCAAAATCCTAGATCTGCCTGCGATCAGCTTTGGCGATAGAGGAAAGCTTGTAGGCGGGAGTGATGGAGATGTTTATGCCTTGCTACCTGGAAATGTAGGAAGCGATACGTTTACAATTACAAGGTGGGCTCGGGGAGGTTGGTCGAAAGTATGGCAGGAGGATGGATACACTGGAGAGCCATGTGTCGACAGATACTTGAAGGATGGAGTATTGAGGATTCTGCAAATCAGGCAAGGCAAGGTCGTTGCATTGGCGATACCTTTTTAATGTTGAACAATCATAGAATATGCAAATAGACAGAAAGCAAATGATAAAAGCCGAAGCTCCTGAACAGTAATGATCCACCCCACATCCCAAATGATGAGTAATCGCTTATCAAGTAATGCGGAGAAGGAAGGCCACCGGAGTGCGGGAATCGGTCCGCCGGAGCGTCCGCAGCCGCACCTTCTCCGCCTTGACTTGGTCTATTAAGCGCTCTGGCTCCTGCTGCCAGGAAACAAGCCAGCCAGCCAGCTAGACATTATACCAAAGCAGTCATGACCTTGCAAAACGGAAGCACGAACGGCAACAGCAAGAGCGACAGCCTGCTCGAGCTCTTCTCGCCCTCGGCTGTCGCGAAGATTTGGGGTACTGCGTTCCCAGCTTTGAACGAGAAAGCACCGCCTACTTCTGTTCCGGACTATACCGACGACAAGGGCAATTACATCATTTCGGGCTTTGACTGGTGGACCTCTGGTTTTTTCCCTGGATCGCTTGCTACCCTGCTCGAGCGAGCGGTCGCTCGCCCCGACAAATTTCCCACAGACGACGTACATGTGCGCAAACTCGAGCATGCCGTGCGATGGTGGAGCGAGAGCCTGCACATCCAAGCACCACGACGAGACACCCATGATCTCGGGTTTATGATTGTCAGTGCGTTCAAGCCGCTGTACGAGCTCACGGGTGACAAGCGAGCTTTCGCGTCCTGCGTGGTTGCAGCGCATGCTCTGGCCTCGCGATTCGTGCCTGAAGTTGGCTGCATTCGCTCGTGGGACTCGGCGGTGAACAAGGACTACTCATTCACCGATCCTAATAAAGAGGTTATTGTTATTATCGACAACATGTGTAATCTCAATATGCTTTACTGGGTCGCTCAGCAAACGGGCGACCAGCGATTATCAGATATTGCGACGACCCACGCTGAGACAACGCTGAAGCACCACTTTATGCATCCAAAGTGGGGTGCACATCATGTGCTTGTATACGACAAAGCAACGGGCGCTCCGATCTACAAGATCCAGAACCAGGGATACAAGAACGGCACTGTGTGGTCTCGCGGACAGGCGTGGGCGTTGCTGGGATACGCGGAGACATATGGATGGACTAAGAACTCCACGTTCCTCGATGCTGCAATTAAAATTGCGGAGTACTTCATTTCACAGCTGCCTGAAGATGGTGTTCCTCATTGGTAAGTGTTCAATGCTAATATACTTGAAGTTGAGAAATGTCTTAACGTCTTTAGGGACTTCGATGCGCCGCGGCCTACATTTCGAGACACCTCTGCGGCTATGATTGCCGCCAACGGCATCCTCGTCATCTATCAGTACACCCGCAACCCTCAGCATCTTGCATGGGCCCTAAATCTTCTGAAAAGCACCGTCGCTCTGTCTCTCTCGCCGCACGCATCTTTTACAAGCGATGAAGCAAAGCCGGTCGAGATGGGGGGCTACGATACCATCCTCAAAAATGCGACGATCAACAATAATGAAAACGCATTCAAAAGACTGGCTGATTCGGGCTTGGTCTACGCCGATTATTACTTCTTAACTGCGGGGAATAGACTTTTGAATCTTGGGTTGTATTAAGCTATATGGATAAAGTAGCTTTTGTGTTGGGGTTTTCTACATTTACTTATCAAAGTGTGTTTTATGTATCTCAATAGTCAGTTATAATAAACTAATCAGAAAATAATACCGTCACAGTGTTCTGAACCACAGAAATCCATCGAGTGGGGCAGCTGGGGTAGATCACATTCGAGCGCGTGAAAGTTTATCGGCTGTAAGAAAGGGTCTGGGCGTGCGGCTGCTTCTGCTTCACTTATCGCTTTCTTATCGCCCGCCTTTCAAGCGACATAATTTATTGGCTGCTTCTAGTTATTGACCTCGTCAAAAGAAAAGCCGTTTAATTATTTTCTTATCATTTTATCTCTCTGGATGCTGACAATCAACGACGATCTGTGACCCGCAAGGCTGATCAAACAATAGGCGCACGAGCCAACCCTGCAATGCGAGCTACAAAGCGCACAGCTAAGAAATTGAGCCGTATCTGCCATGGGCACATCTGTCGGAACAGCCGACCCAGGCTAAGAAGATTGCCCGGGAGATAAGCAGTCCTCACCGTCTCAGATCGCCAGATCGGTGTTCTTAAAGGCACTGGGGACGCTCTGTATTCTGTTTCTTGTTTCTCTGAGCCGAGTTGCTTTTGTCTATACTAGTGCTTAACTCTTACACCTCATTCCAGAACTATCTTATTTTACTCCAATGGTATACTACTTCTTTTTGTCTTGTCTCTTCTCTAGTCACATTGCTAACTCTTCTCAGATGGATGAGACTTTAGAGAAAAAAGCAGACGTAGCGCAAGTCTCTGAGATTGAGATAACTTCGACCTCGAGCGCGGATGAGACCTCCTGCTCTCCAGCATTTGAGATTGATACTGAGAAAGTACTAGAGTATCTTTCCGCATCCAAAGATCTTGCTGATATTGTTGCGTCGCCCGAGATTCTCGAGTTTGTGCTTGACAAAGTTCGATACGTGTCTACGGAGGAAGCATTGCAGATCTTGGTTCACGCTCAAGACTATCATGCGGACGATTACAATTTCCCCATTGACACAATGGACAAGATTGACAAACTTGTCTCTCTATCCGCTGGCGGGAAGGAGGGTACTGACGAGTTCTACGACATTGAGATGCGAATCGAAGCAACGTTGATGAAGTATTACTCTCCCTATCCCGAAGTTCGCGCTGTTGTCAGTCCAATTGATGATCCGTCCGCTTATGTTGAGACTCCGCGTGCGTACTTCATTGGCCTATTTTGGTCTGCCGTCGGATCTTATATATGCGAGCTGTTTCAGCCACGGCAGCCGTCTATCACGCTGCCTGCGACTGTCCTGCAGCTGCTCGTCTACCCGAGCGGATTACTTTTAGCTCGCGTACTTCCCAACTGGTCCTGTACAGTCCGGGGCCACAATATCTCTCTCAATCCCGGCCCATGGACTTACAAAGAACAGATGTTTACCACAATCATGGTGAATACAGGTGGTCGGTTCTCGAACCTCATCAACCACGTTCTCATCATCAGTCTTCCGGTGTTCTTTGACCAGTCATGGGGTTTGCAATTCGGATTTATGCTCTTAATGAACATCTCAACCGAGTTCTTTGGCTTTGGAATGGCAGGCGTGCTTCGGCGCTGGGTAGTCTGGAATCCCAAGGCAGTATGGCCAACGATCATGCCCACATTGGCAATCAACAAGGCGCTTATGCTTCCCGAGTCTAAAATTGCAATCAATGGCTGGACGATTACTCGCTACCGGCTTTTATTTCTTTGCATGGCTGTCTCGTTTGTGTACTTCTTCCTGCCAAACTTTTTGTTCAAAGCGTTGTCGACTTTCAACTGGATGACCTGGATCGCGCCACAGAATAAGAACCTCGCTATCGTCACTGGATCGAAACTAGGTCTGGGATTTAACCCAATCACTACATTTGACTGGAACGTCATCAATTATACATCACCGCTTGTCAAACCGTTCTTTGCTACTCTCAATCTCTATGCTGGCGCTCTAGGCAGCGGTCTTCTTATCTTGGCTTTATACTACAAGAACTACAAGTATTCCGCCTACCTACCCATCAATTCCGCAAACACATTTGCAAACGACGGGCACCAATACAACGTCTCGCGAGTGTCCACTGGTAGCGTTCTCAACCGCGCCAACTATGAGAATTACTCTCCACCATATCTCTCAATCGGAAACTTGATCCGTCAAGGCTCGGCGTTTGCTCAGTACACATTGTCGTTTGTGTTTGTGTTGTTGACGGATTGGAAGTTGTTGGTTGATACTTTTGCGGGGATATACCGCGGCCTGTTTCGAAAGCGGGAAAAGTCGCAGGTTAGTGAGTACTCTGATCCGATGAACAAGTTGATCAGTGTATACGAGGAGGTTCCTGACTGGTGGTATTTCACCATCATCATTGTATGCTTTTTGATGGGCGTGATTGCATTTGAGGTCTACCCCGTGAATGTGCCGGTATGGATCATCCCAACCATCCTGGCGATTTCAATGGCAATGCTGGTTCCAGGTGCTATCGTCTACGCTGTCTCAGGGTACCAGTTGGTATTAAACGACTTTATGGCCTTACTCGGCGGCTATCTGATCCCCGGAAACGGAATTGGAACGCTCATGTGTCGCTTTTACGGCTGGAATATGGACGTACAGGCGGAGACGTTTGTCTCTGACTTGAAGCTCGGACACTACGCGAAAATCCCACCCAGAGCGGTGTTCAGAGGACAGATGGTGGCCACTACCCTTCATCTTTTTGTCACAATTGGGAGTATCAAGACTATTGTGGCGACAATGCCGGGTCTCTGCACTTCAGCTCAGGAAAGCAAGTTCACCTGCCCGACCGAGAACGGTATGTTTACGTCTGCGACCATGTTTGGAACTATTGGTCCAGACCGGGTATTTAACACGCTGTACCCTGGTCTTGTCTACTGCTTTCTTGTGGGATTTCTTGTTGCAGTCCTGACGTGGTATGGACGACGTCGGTTCCCCAATATCCTGCGCTACGTTCATCCTCTGATTATCATGGCCGGATTCTCCGTCTGGGGACAGACATACAACCTCTCCTACTACACACCAGGTCTAATCGCCGCCTTCTTTTTTATGTACATCATCAAGCGTCGCTACATCGCCTGGTGGACAAAGTATAACTACGTGTTAACCTCCGGCTTAACCGCCGGTACGGCGTTCTCGGCAATCGTGATCTTTGGGGCCATTAACTATACGCAGACTGAGGTCGTGTGGTGGGGGAACACGGTTAGCTCGGCGGGGGTGGATGGGACGCAGACCGCACTGCTTGAGGTGCCGGAGGATGGGTACTTTGGGTTGCCCATTGGCGAGTTTGCTTGATTCTTTTTTGTCTGCTGTGTCTTTTATCTTTTAATCAATCTTATTCCGTAGCTATTATTACACGTAAGTCGAGATTTGTGAGTTTGTAAGCAATGCACCAAAGAAATAAGGCTTCAGCCATCATCAAAGCGTAGCAAAACTCAAGCACACGGCTCTCATATAGTGAAAGCGATAAGAACCTCAAGAGATAACACAACCACCCTCGCCTTGAGGCGGATACTCGCTTCCCGCGGGCTTTGCACACGTGCACCTACGCAGATTCAGAGTCAGCAAACTTCATCTATAAAAGTAGCGCAGAAATATCCGTAGCCCACCATTGGTCTTTAGGAACCGAGTCAAGGACGGACGAGATATGCATGCCGCACCCCGTCCACGTCTTACCGGCTGATAGTAAAAGAATGTAAGCAACGATTAAGATCACCCTGATACTTAGAAGTAAGCAACAATATACATACAGCAAGTACTGCAAGTAGCTGATCGACACATCTGGCTCAATAGTAGACGTAGACCCGGCAATTCGAGAGGGAGACGTGATAAAGAAGTGCGTATGCGGGAGGTGGAGTATTGTGACGAAGTAGCTTGGTCGAGAGGACTGGGGTTGTTGGTGGAAGACATTGAGCGATAGTTGAATAAGGTTTGCAGTGGAAGCGTAATAGGTTGATTAGGTTAAAGATGGGTTCAAGGAAGCTGGCTACTCCGGCTTCCTTTTATATCTACTTCTTATCTCTTTCCCCTGCTCCTACTCTGAAGGATTGCCAGATCCGGCGAATGGTCTGATCCTGGCATCGTATGACTTGTAGCTACTTCCAACTTCCTATCTATCCGGCCGAGGCCTTGTGGGGCCGTCTGGCTGTCGGGCGATAGAAGTCGGTAAGGTTCGCGAGGTCGAACCAGAAGATAAACCTTAATTAGTCATCTTCGTGACAAGTATCATAATGGACCCCCACCAGGGCTAGGTTTTGCTGTCATACGCCGGTTAGCGATTACCACGAGGCGCCTCTTATCTCTCTAATACCTGCTTCTATAGCGATAGCTAAGTGGTCACTTATAGACCATCAGACGGTATAGCAAAGCACCAGCTCACGGTATAAATATACGCGAACCAGTGTTTCCTGGCAAACACTATGACGTTCAGATTTATTGTCGTGTAAACTTTAATAGTTACCGTATTTCGGTTTAGGGTATAATTGCAGATAATCTTTCGATGACCGGCTGTACGATCAGATGTGTGGAATATAAGAAAGAGATATGTGATTGAAAGAAAGATTTTGGAGAGAGAGCTGAGTAGACAGATCGGGTTTGTCTATGCCAGTAATTTGGCTATAAAATTGGCCTGCTAGAATGGCTTCTTCTCAGAAGATTGCATGTTTAGTCTTGATCTAAAGCCACAGACAGTCGCACTCCATACGTAAAGTGAGCTCTATGATGCTCTCTATTGTACCTTTCTTTATCGTCTTCCGCTGATTCTCAATCAATTTCATGTTCTTCCATAATATCGAATACATCTTCAAAGGTTGTTAGCACTCAGGGGCTCTACGGGACAGCATTTACCCTAACCTCCTCAGCTGGGTTTTATTCATAATTTCTGCGATTCCAGCTCACGATCCTGCTTTTTGTTTTTGTTCCATGTCTGGGCGGAGGTTCTAGGATTTCGATTGATCTGCGTTATATCTCTTCAGCAATGCGCTGAAACTTTGTTGAGCTACTCAATTTTCTTCTTGTACGGTGTCTACAATGGACGACGACGACTCGGCCATTGCGCGTCTCAAACGCGTAGACTCGCTCGACGCTCTTCTGCCGCTTCTGACCGAGCTGCGCAAATTGTCTGCATCCCTGGCGCTGCCGTCGTCCGAATCTATGCAGATTCTCTCACATCTGCTGAGTGTGACAATTCCGGAATATTACGAGGCGTTGAAAGAGTACAGGAGAGAGAGCGGGATCAAGAGTCTGCATGAGGTAATGGCGTCCGTAGCTGGTCTGGGGGCCATTGTCTCTGTGCTCGCCGTGCGGATCGCGAAGGTCAAGCAGCGGCCGACGGATGAGGTTGAACAGAGTACTCTGCGATTGCTGCTTCTATTTCTCTCTGATATTATGCGGCCGGGAATCGTATGCACTCTCAGAGCACAAATCCGAGAAAGTACCAAGGAATCGCTTTACTGGCAAGAAATCTCCGCGCTCTTTGTAGGAAGCAAGATAGTTGCGACAGTAGCTGAAGCGTTCAGCGTGCTGAGGGAGAACTCGAGGCTGATAAACGAGTCGTGGATCTGGATGGCTGATGGAGAGCGGTTCACGGAGTTTTTGGCGGTCGAGGCTGTGCGCTTGCATGAAGCAAATGCGGTTGAGATGCCTAGGTTGGCAAAGTTCTCGAGCAGGGCCATGGCTCTGGGATATCCAGGTATGAAATTCTTCAAGACACTGTTTTTGACGCTCTTGAATTTGTTGTTAACACTCATCCAGATCACTTTCTAGAAATAATAATCAGCAGAGAGAACTTCCAGGTCGCGATCGATCTCTCGACAACTTTTCACTCCGTCGATCTCATTGCATTCACAAAACATCTTCTACGCCACGTTCAATTCCGCTTTCTAGACAGACTAGACCCTGATAACGATGCAAATGCTGCAAAGTGCGTCGCAGCGATTGGGATGTTGCTAGTGCAGCTTACGCCTCCGAGTCAGGAGAATCATGTCATGAAGTTGTTACAGGGTGGTGTTGGTGGTTTGCTGTTGCAAAGGGCGGTTGTATGTTGGCTGCTTTTTCATGGTAGGACTATTGTTATTGCTTGGTGATTGTTTGTGTCTTGACTAACGTCTTTAAAGGTCTGCATGAGGAAGTGTTTGAGAATACTCTGCGCCAGTGGGGAGACAAAGTTGTCATAAAAAATCAGCAAATAACGCGACAAGAAGGTGAGTCTGTATTTCATTTTCTGATTAAAGCATTGGCTAATACAGTCTACAGCACAAACGGATATTCTCTTTTTAATCATCCCTCACCTTACCCTCCCTTATATCAAGCAAATTACTCAATCCACCGCTTTTATCGAGGGCATATCAAACAGACTAGGCGCCATGTCACCGAAATTGCGATATATGGGCATGGCACTTGGCATGGCACTTAACGCGCGGGATGAGAACAGCCCCAGGCTTAACTTTGACGAAGTTGAGGGTTTTGCGAGCGAGTATGAGAGGTGGAGAAGGCTGTTGGAGATTAATGATGCGACCGCTATGGATGAGAACTGGTGGGATGATCTGTCGGTGCCGCAGGTCGGTACTGACCGAGAGATTTTAACGTCGGAGAGTGATGTGCAGATCTCGCAAGAACATAGTCAACGTGTAACGGGTGATTCAGATGACGAAGAGATAGAGGACGTGGAGGACACAGAAGGATTTATGCCTTACTCTCTCGTTGACGATGGCTCAGAAGACTCGGATGACGATCCTACTCTCCGCAACGAAAAAGTCCGGCCTCCGGTTTACATGATTGATCTGATTGCCTACTTCAACGAGACCGATGAGTCCAAAGGTTTACAAAAGCACAAGATTGCACTTGCACATGCTGCGAGGATTATCCTTCGCAAGTCCGGTTTTGGTCAAGAACTGGCAGTAACATCCAAGGAACTGGCTCAGATTATGTGCGGACTGAGGAATAACTACGGGTTGGACAACTTTGACCAGCAAAAGATGAACGCGATGATTGCTCTCTGCGTGACTTCCCCAGAGACAGTGGGAGCCGTGTATGCGGAGAATGTCTCGTTTGGGGATTACTCGCTACAAGAGCGGCTGATGATGCTGTCTAGTATTGCGCTGGCGAGCCTGCATCTGAGTGGGAAGAGCACGTATAACTTTGATATCTCAGCGGAAGACCTGTTTCCCAGCAAAATGCTTCCTGCCAGTGCACATTCGCGATTCGCGACCGAGAAGGATTTCGCTCAGGATTGGCATAAGGTTGGGCTTGGCTATATAGATCGCGAGCTGAGGACTATCAAAGCAGGATCCTTGAGGGCCTCAGTTGGGAACGCGATCGAGCGGGCCGACATGGGAAAGAGCGGGGAGGTCTTTGTCTCGCGAAAGTTGCTGGCCGAGCGAGAGCGGCAGAGCGGTGGTGGTTCGTCCTCGTCGGTGGTGAGAGCGATACAGAAAAACAGCGTTGCACCGATTGCCGGCTCCGCGTTTTTCTTCCCACTGTCAATGCGCTGGAAGTACTTCACCTCGAGTATCACCAGGAACTCATTTGGCGAGATGCTAGTAGCGCACTACATAAAGACAATGGCCATAGTCTTGAACTGCAGCTACCCATCTGCCACAGACATTTTTGACATGTCAGCCGAGCTGATGGCAATAGTCTCAACCGTGAGACGTGACGTGGGCGAGCCCACAGTTCTCGAAGCAGTCCTCACGGCCGTGCTCGTGGTCATGGACGTAAACGAAGAACGCGTGCTCGTAGACGCATTCTCAAAGCATCTGCTCGAGCTTAAGGACTACCTCGACGTCTCATGGGAACGCATAGGCGAGGAGGATGTGAGGAATTTGGCAGCGGGCGTGTTGGTGAAGATCTCAGAGCTGGTGAGTAAATGGCAGCGGCGGATGATGGGAGATATCATTGAGATGGGCGGCGCATGAAAGGAATTCGATTCCATGTACTATATATACTCGCAGTTTCTTTTTAGCATGACTGTTTACATTACTACACATCATTTGTCATTAGCTAGAGCACACTAACTATAATAGCATTCATATCTGCTGAAGAATAATAGATCAGATGCAAGTCTACAAAGACTGAAGTGTTTTGATATTGACTGGATCAGGGTAAGGTGACCAAAGATTGCGCCAAACCTTGTACAGCGCCTCTCCTTCAACCCGCGATCATCTTGACTTTACCCTTTCGCGGCCTTCTCCTTTGACCTACTCTTTCCTCAAAGCGCGTTCGTCATTCAGAGCCTGTAGTCTAGGCAGCACGTTATCTGATACATCATGGATGAGGATCTAGGCGCGAGTCAGTGGGACGACATCCCGCCCCGGGTCGTGTCGCCTTCAGCCGAGCCGCCTATTGACGACTGTAAGTTTTAACAAGACGAAACGTCGTGCTGATTATGTGCTAACAACTTGTCTGTTTCTCAGTGAACCCCTTTAGCCCCTCAGGCGATGCAGCAGCTGCGCCTGAATCAACTGATGCGCAAGATCCGGAATCGGCAGCAGAGCCAACGACGGGACCCACAGAGGACAGCACACCAGCGGCGGAGATCAAGCAAGATAAAGAGAACGGCGAGTCCGACACACCAAAGAAGCCGCTCGAAAACCCAATTGCGAAACTGGCAGCAGAGTTAACCGGCGCTGCGCCGAAAGAGCCCATTTCAAAGACAGCAGCTTCGAGCGGTACATATGCCGCTGTGCCCGCGGCGGCATCGCGAGCTCGCGCGTTGCGCATGGCGCGGTCGCGTAAGAGCTCGCTTCCGCCTGGTGCGCCTGCGCCGGTGGATGATGGGGGCTTGTTTAGCAGTAAGGTTACCTTTGAGGATCTCGATCCGGCTGTGAATCCTCTTGGTCCGATCGACGATGCTTCGCCGTCTACGGAGACACCCGAAGAGGAGGCGGCGGCGGGCGGCGATGCGAATGATGTGTTGATCCCGAAGGAGTTTGAGAACGAGCGCGGTTTGCAGAGTGCTAAAGAGTCTGCAGCGATGGCGGCCGCGGTCGCAGCGGACCCGTCGCTGATGTATGTGCCGATGGCGGTTACGGACGCCTATGCTGCTAGCGCACCTGGCAGCTCTACTGGCATGGGTGCCGGTCGTCACCAGCCCATCGAGCAAGCTGCGAAGCCATCGTTTGTGATTTCTGTGGGCGATCCGCTGAAGGTCGGCGAGCTGACGAGCGCGCATACGGTCTACAACGTCCGCACGCAGACGACGTCCAAGGCGTTCAAATATAACGACTTTACAGTCACGCGACGATACCGTGACTTCCGATGGCTGTACCATCAGCTGGAGAGCAATAACCCAGGTGTGATAGTGAGCGCTCCGCCGGAGAAGCAGCAGATGGGAAGGTTTGATGAGAACTTTGTCGAAGGGCGCCGAGCCGCTCTTGAGAAGATGCTGAATCGTATCGCATCTCACCCGCAACTGCAGAACGATCCTGATCTGAAGCTTTTCCTCGAGAGCGACACATTAAACACGGATATCAAGTTGCGTGAGAAGATGGGAGGCGCGTCGAGCGAGCCGGCGAAATCAGGGGGGATTTTTGGCGCGCTGTCGTTTAACGGAAAGTTTGTTGAGACAGACGAGTGGTTCGTTGACAAGAAGCAGTATATCGACGCGCTGGAGATACAGCTGCGCTCGCTAGCTCGTGCGCTTGACACGGTGATTATTCAGCGTAAAGAGCTGGCCGATACTACTGCTGAGTTTGCGGCCGCGCTCGCGTATTTGGGTGAGGTTGAGCTGTCTCGACCGCTTTCGGCAGCGATCACAGGATTGGCTGAGAACGAGCAGAGGATCCGAGATTTGCACGAGCGACAAGGGTTGCAGGACATGCTCACGCTCGGAGATACGATTGACGAGTACGTGCGCATGATTGAGAGCATCAAGAACGTGTTCCTGCAGCGGCAGAAGAGTTATCTCGCGTGGCAGTCTGCCGAGCAGGACCTTGCAAAGAAGCAGCAGTACATTGCGCGAGCGCTGCGGAGCGGCAAGACTGCGCCGGAGCGCGTGAGCGCGATGCAAGAAGAAGCAAGCGAGCACGAGCGCAAGGTGTACAATCTACGGGTAGCCTACGACGACGTGTGCAAGACCATCAAGGTCGAGTACGAGCGGTTCCAGCGCGAGAAGGTTGAGGACTTCCGGGCGAGCGTGGAGACGTATCTCGAGAGCGCGGTCGAGAGCCAGAAGGAGGCGATCGAGCTCTGGGAGACATTCTACGAACGGCAGGGATTTGCGGAGACGGAGCAGCGGCAGGCCGAGGAGCGGCAGCAGCAGCACGCGCAGACACAGTCGCAGATGGCGTGAGTGGGAAGGAGGGAGGGTAGGAAAGGAGTTAAATACACGATGCGGAGGTGTAAACGGCGGCAGGAGCAGGAGCAGTTAGTAAATATATGCGGAGGTGTAAACGGCGGCAGGAGCAGGAGCAGTTAGTAAATATAAACAGTAAATACTCAATTCTGACCTGGTCCAAGCCGAGCCGAGGAGCAGACCAGACTGCGGGCGCGGCGGGGCAGCTGAGCGCCGGATCGCAGATGCCTCGGCTGTCGTGCACCGCCACTGTGGCCAAACCCCGGTCCCGGCGGAAATCTGTGGCGGGGCGTCACATGCGGGCCGCCCTTTTATATTTCCTTTCCTCATCTACCCCAGACTCTCTCCACCTTCTACTACTGCCTTGTTTTTCTATCTATTTTTTCTTTTCCTCTCATCAAAATGAAGAACAGTACTTCAGAATCGAGCGCGGGTCCCAGTACTCTGGCCCGCGTCTCCGCCGTTTCAGCCCATCTCTCCCAAAACAACACCAAGGCAGACAACTCGATACTCGGTCTCGGAAACCCGGTCCAGTCCATGGCTGCCGAGCGCGCAGCCGCGTCGTTCCCCGTCCGCGAGCTCACATACTTCCTTGATGGCGGCGAGGAGGCGACATTGGTCCGCGAACGCCTGATGTCGGAGATTGAGCGGGATCCGCTATTCCAGAACATCGACGCCTACGATCTGAACAAGGAGCAGCTGCGCGAGCGCACAATGAAGAAGATCACCCGGCTGGTGCACTACGTCGTGGCCGAGCCCGAGGAGGTCACTTACCAGCGTCTTTCCCTTATTGGAGTCGTCGACATGGGTCTTCTCACCCGAACCGGCGTGCACTACGGTCTCTTCTTCGGCGCTATCCGCGGCTCAGCTACTCCTAAGCAGTTTTCCTATTGGATCTCTCAAGGCGCCGCTGAGCTCAAGGGAATCATCGGATGTTTCTGCATGACCGAGCTCGGTCACGGCTCGAACGTCGCGGGACTTGAGACTACTGCGACTTTTGATGAAGGATCCGACGAGTTTATCATCAACACCCCTCACGTTGCGGCTACAAAATGGTGGATTGGTGGCGCTGCCCACACTGCTACGGTACATTGACTGTCTTGTTACTTTAGTCATGCCACCTTCTAACTGACCATATCTGTCTTTTAGCACACTGTCTGCTTTGCCCGCCTTATAGTACACGGAAAGGACTATGGCGTCAAATCATTTGTCGTCCCGCTCCGTGATCCCACCAACTACGAGCTCAAGCCCGGTATCTCCATTGGCGACATCGGTCGCAAGATGGGCCGTGACGGAATCGACAACGGCTGGGTTCAGTTTACAAACGTCCGTATCCCACGCCAGTTCATGCTCATGAGGCATTGCCAGGTCGACCGTCACGGAAAGGTCACGCAGCCGCCGCTCGAGCAGCTCACTTATGGTGCGCTGATCGGCGGTCGTGTGTCGATGACCGCCGACTCTGCCCAGATGAGCAAGCGGTTTGTGACTATTGCGATCAGATACGCCGCCGTTCGCCGTCAGTTTACCGCCAAAAAGGGACAGGTCGAGACCAAACTGCTTGATTACGCGCTCCATCAGCGCCGTCTGCTTCCACTTCTTGCTCAGACTTTTGCCATCCAGTTCTCGGCCGACGAGATCTTGAAGATGCACCGCTCCCTCCTCAAAAACATCGACTCAATTGATCCCTCTGATAAAAAGTCCATGGGTGCTCTGATCGAGGAACTGAAAGAGGTTTTTGCTACCTCGGCCGGTCTCAAGGCGTTCTCGACCTGGGCCTGCGCCGATACGATCGACCAGACGCGCCAAGCGTGCGGCGGCCATGGATACTCCGCATACAACGCATTTGGCCCCGCATACGCCGACTGGGTTGTCCAGTGCACATGGGAAGGTGACAACTCCATCCTCGCTCTCTCGGCCGGACGCGCACTTATTCAGCGCTACCTGCAAGTCAAGAAGGGCCGCACCGCGCCAGTTTCGACGGGCTACCTCAACAAGGCTGCCGAGCTTGCCAAAGCGACCGCTGGTTCGCGCAAGATTGATTCGCCTGAAGTTCTTGTCGAGGCATGGAACGCAGTCGCGTCTGCCGTCGTCTGCAAGGCCGGAGCATCGTTCGAGGCGCTCACCAAGAAGGGCAAGACCGCCGACGAAGCGTTCGAGGAGACTTCTCAGCAGCGATTCCTCGCGGCGCGTATCCACACGCGTGCTTCGATGGTTCGCATGTTTTACGACCGCATTGCAACCGCTAAGCCCGAGCTCAAGGAAGTCCTCTACGACCTCGCGGCGCTGTACGCGCTCTGGTCGATCGAGAACGACTCAGGCCTGTTCCTGCAGGCCGGATACTTTACCTCTGCGCAGATCGACGAGGCCAAGGACTTGACCGAGGTGTATCTCGGCAAGGTTCGCAAGCAGGCCATCCCGCTCACGGACTCGTTCAACTTTTCGGATTTCTTTATCAACTCGGCGATCGGTCGCAAGGACGGCAACGTGTACGAAAACTACTTTGAGCTCGTCAAGAGACAGAACCCGTCCAAGCCGCAGGCGCCGTACTACGAGTCGATCATCAAGCCTTTTGTCGAGAGAAAGGATGAGCCTGAGATCGAAGTGGCTGAGCTAGAAGAGGACGAAGACTGATTTTTGTCGTCAAACCGATTGTTTTCACATCATTGCTGCTCACGATTTTGTCGCAACGTCTTTTTATTTTATGTATATGGGTTAATTATATGTTTTTTATTTCTATAGTAAAGATGTTAAATAGAGACTTATTTTCCTCTATAGGGGTCCATCATCCTAGCTTGCTGTTTTGTCGGCTTCAAACTCGTAAACCTTGACTCGTCTTCTCCCTGGTTATTAAAGTCCTCAAGACTATCATAAATGATCTTCCCTGCCTTTCCTCGCCGCCAACTGTCGATCCAATGCGCCGCCCCGCCGTCGAAATCCGGATATCCGCCTTTCATTCTGAGTCCCATGTACCTGCAATAGTTCGACAAAAACTCTTCGATATCGTTCGTCGGCGGACTGTATTTGCTATACACGGCCGGGTCGACTTTGTTCACACTGAAGAGGATGAAATCTGCTAGAATCCGCTCGTCAATCATCTTTGGATGCGTGCACCCGAGCGCAGACAGAATCAGCGTCCGCCGATAACCCATCGACGAGGGTAGAGATACACCAGGGGTGTCGTAGAGCAGCACGTCCGGTTCCTCGTTGATTTTGACAAACGTCGGAATCGTCCGGGTGATGCCTGCCAGGGCACCTGTCCGTGCTGCTTTGCCTCTGTTGACGCCGACGAGGCGGAGTGTGTTTAGGAGTGAGGATTTGCCCACGTTCGGCATGCCCAATGCCATCGTCCTGAGCCCGAAAAAATGATCTCGGTTTTCGGCTTCCTCTGTAATCAACTGTCAGTAAACCAATCTCTCGCTCGCAAAAAAACAAAAAAAGAAGCAACTCAACATACTCTTCGCGATATTCAACAACTTCTTCACCGTCCTCGGCTTATTCGTATCCACCAAACAATAATTCCCCTCCGGATGCATCGCGTCCAACAACTCCCGATTCACCGCACAAATATCGCTCTTCGTATACACCACGATCTTCGCCCTCGTCGCAATCAGCTTATCAAACAGCGCGTTCCTCGTCGCCAGCGGCGCACGCGCGTCCCGCACTTCGAATATCAGGTCAATGTCGGCAATCATCTGTTGCATCCGCAACATCGCTTTTCGGTGGTGGCCCAGGAAGTAGGATTGCGGGAGTCGGTAGTCGGGAAATACAGTCCTTGGCACGAATGTGCTGGCTTTACCTATCGTCTCTTTTATTGCCATTGTGCTTTGCTCGTCCGTCTATGCTGAGTGCAACTTGCAAATCCACTCGACAATCTCAAATACTTCTCCCAATTTTTTTTGAGTTCACCAGCACGTGGGTTTAGGGCAGCTACCTTCACTCCAGCAGCTTCAACTTCAACTAGTTGTTAAGTAAAGACTTCCGCTATTTTGAATATTACACAATCTAAATATACAGACATCTTCCCGCCTAAATAAACGCAAAGCTTTGGCAAAATAAAGCGCAAATGATGAACAACAAACAAAAGAAACAAACTAAACGAACAATAGATTAAAAAGAAAAAAAAAAAGGTGAGAAAATGAAAACAAATATCGCAGATTCTCAAGACTCAGCTCGGCTTTGCTCGCAAATACACACTAGTTTTCCTGCAGTAAATCGAATGAAGTAGGAGTAAAATAACAAAAAAAATAATCAAAGATAAAACTATTCCTCTGCGCCATTGAAAACTATAACGATCTCTTTTTTCCGAGCTAGTCCGCACGATACAACCAATTACAGAATGAAGCAGTATATCGACTTCCAACAAGAAACATCATACAGACATCATTCACCTCCCCTTCCAAACAACTCATGATTCAGTCTCATTCTCATTCTCGGTCTCGGTAGACTCCGGAAGCTGATCGATCTTCGCCGACGACTTCTTGTAAGGCTTCAAATTGTGCCGCACAAAAAAATCCTCAGACAACTCCTCAAAGAACAACCGGTACGTCTTTTGGCACAGGCGCACCCGAAGTGCGCCCTTGGAATGCGTCTGGTTCGCGTTCGTCACTGCGTCTCCGTTCTCGCCTTCTTCGTCCTCGGCTTCTTCGTCGGCATCTTCGCTCGGCAGGTTCCGACGCAAGAACGGCATCCGTACCCGGTCGGCTGGTACTCCTTCGGTCGGTGCAGACATGATGTATGACGTCAAGTAGTACTTCCACTTTTCTTCAGCAGAAATAGCATCGTTGAGGGTCAAATCCTCGTGAGTGATCATTTGGATTGCCATGCCCTTGATTTTCTCGTTGTATTCCATCCGGAAGATGTTCTCGTCGGTACCCAAGATAGCCTCGACCTGCAACCGGTAGATGATTTGATCACGGTTAGTAGTCTTCGGCATATGTCTGTCGCGATCATAAAGCAAAACAATCTCCGAGCACTTTGTGTCTGAGATGATTGTATGCGCATGCTTCGCAATCGCCTGTACCACCTTATCAACCGTGTACACCTTGAATGCACGATTCCGGTAGGCCTGACGCAGCGACTCTTCAAACCACTGGTGTTCGAGATCGCCCTCGATCAGCTTCTCACACATCTCCAGCAACTGACCATAGCAGTTTTCGGGTTGGAAAGCCAGACCCATGTCTTGGATCTTGGATGAGATGATTCCTAGCTCCTTTGCAAACTGCACGGGTTTTCTGTTTGCAATATCATGTGCGACTTCGGCCTCGAGCTTTTTGACCTCTTCCAATCTACTGTACAGCACCTGGAACAGCCGGAAGAAGCAGTAGATTGTCGTGTTTGCAAACAAGTTATACTTCACTCGTCGGCCGTCTGATGTAGGCGTCTCGCCAATCTGCGGCTCTCCCTTCTTTGCAACGTGCGCAATCCAAATCTCGCCAGCCTTCTCAACAGCTTCCGGCAACTGCGGTCCGTCGTCAGCAGGAGCAGTCTCGGGCTTTGGAGTCTCGTCCGAAACATCTGGAGTGGCCTCACGACTTTGGCTATCCTTCTCGCGCTTGCGGTTGTTCTTTGACTTTTTGAGCACATCACGCAGCAAGTCACTGTCACGTGCGGACTTGGCTCGCTTGCCATTCGTGACCGTAGACGGAGTCGGTGAGCCGTTTTCGGCCAATTCTTCAGTCTCAGAATTAGCCTGGCTCTCGCCAACATCTTCGGATCCATCCTGGTACGTGAACCCGAAAAACAGCGGGATGAAAGTCTTCAAGAAGCCATCCATCTTTTCGCGATCGTTGCTTGAGAACGTTGTAGAGTGCTCGAGATGAACAGAGAGGAGATGCAAAACGTCATGGATAACATCGAGCGAGTCAAAGTTGTAGTTGAGCTGCGACTTGGGCGTAGGCGTGAGTGGGTTTAGTCGCTTATTGGTCTGCTCCTTCTTGACAGTATCGATTTCGCTGACCAAAAATTTTGTGGTCAAAGTCTTCTTGTCAGCCTGCTTGAACGCAAGACCCTGGTGATCCAGAGACTTGTAAAACACACGCGCCTCAGTCTCACGCCAAACTTTGTTCCACTCTCGCTGCGCCCGCTTCCACTCTTCGTCTTTCTGTTTCAGACGCTTGAGCACAATCGGCACCGCGACAGCAGGATTCTCATGGAGCGCATCAATGACCTCCTGACCACGCTCTCGATCATACACCTTTTTGATAATTCGCTGGTAAATCGACTTTGAGGAATGTCCAAGTCCGGGAGCCAGTCTGAACGAAGCCTTCTCCTCAGCCGACATGTTGGAGATCCGATTCGCAATCGGCTCCAGGATCTGGATCGTGCGAAGATTGCCTTCGACGTTGTGATCGTACTCATGTCGCTCCTCCTCTATCCGGTGCAAGACCTCCTCAAATTGGTTTTTCCGGTGCGCAACGAATCCTGAATCTTCCGACGCCCAGGTCGGATGGCTGACCCATTCATCGTTGAGAACCTCCCAGCACATTTCATCACGGCCGGAGCATGGCTGGTGAGTCTCAGACTTGGGCAATAACCGGTAGCTTGGGCCGTACGACTTGCACAGCGAGAGCTCAAGTTGGTGCTTCTTGAACGCAACGTTCTCGATCGAGAGAGGACCATTGTCATATCCAACGCACTTCTTGAACCATTCGATAAGATCCTTATTTCCGCCGATGAACGCCTCAGCCTTCTCGACCAGCAGATTCTTATCAATGATATCTTGAGAAAACAAGTTCAGTAGCTTCAAGAACTCATTATAAGTCTGCTTGTTGCCGATATACTTCTTGACGCGGTCAAAGAAGGCCAGCTCCTCTGCAGTAGGACCTGCCTTGATTGGGGGCGGGAGCGGCTCGGGAATCATCGGGGTAAGGGTAGGACTCAGGGCATGGGCAGTTCCATCAGGCTTTGGAGTAAGCTTCATCTTCTTCCCACCGGTGCCGCGCATGCCAGAGACCGCGGGCAGCTCCATCTGCTGCATGGCCTGGCCAGGCGCGATGCCGCTCTGCTCGACAGCAGACGACGTGCGCTTCTTCTTTTCCTTGGGCACCGTCGGCGGAGCAAAGTGGCCAACAGGTGGCAGCCGTGTCGAAGCAGGGTAAGCAGCTACTGGTTCCGGGGAGTTGCCGGTTCGCTGGTGCGCGGCTTCGGGCAAGAACTGCTTGAAATCGTCCAGCAGATCCGGCGCGTCCTTAAACAACATCGTAACTTGAGCATACACATCTGCGATAGGCTTCTGCTCGCGCTGGTAGGTCTGCAGGATCTCGAGGAAGTTCTTGTAAATGTCGGGTTGCGAAGCGAATCGGTTCTAGCGAAAAGTTAGTAAGACGGAACCATACAATCATTATTTCTCGACAACTCACTTTGATCTTGTTAACATAGCTGATTGCATGATTGAACTCGACCGGGCCGCCAACCCGCTTCTGCTCTGCCTGCTGCGCAGCAGTCTGACGCGAGCCATTCGCGACAGCCTGGAGCTGTGACATAGAGTTACCACTCTGCGCATGCGGCTCGGCCTGGTAAGGGTAGGGTTCTGGAGGCCACCCGCCTCGCTGGTCGTAGACGGGTACTTGACCGTCAGGACGAGTGGTCGTCCCCATGGGCGTAGTGACTCGGATCGGGTTCGGGTCGCTAGGATCAAGCGAGCATTCGATTCTGTAGCCGGGAGGAAGAAATGTGTTGAATCCCTGGATTAGATTGGGGTGGCCGCTGAAGAGCGTGGAGACTCGGTCGATAACGCCGGGGGTGTCGATACTTTTCGGAAGGCACTGTTAGTACACGATCACCAAGAGAAACACTGTAGATATTTCAGCTGGTACATACCTCTGGCTCTTAAAATCCTTCATGATATCGAGGAACCGGTTGTAGACATCTGGCTGATTCTGGAACTGGACCTTGACCTGATCAAGATACGAGAGAGCATCCTTCACGTTCAACGGGCGATAAGAAGCAGCAGCAATCTGTGATGCAGCAGAAGCGCTGGAAGGACCAAGTCCCAAACCAGGTCCTCCTCCGAGAGGATGTTGCCCGGGTTGCTGCTGCTGTTGCTGCTGTGACTGCTGACCCTGCGGCTGGCCCAAGGGAGGCGGCGCAAGAGAGGCAGCAGTAGACGGCGGCGAGCCCGAGGTGAGTTTCTGGCCCTGAACAACTGAGGAGCTAAGAGATGGAAGCTGGTTCGGGGCAACCGAGGGCGACTGGTTGGCGTGATTCAGCTGCGGTGACGGCGTGCCGGACATTGAGGGCAGATTGAAGCTTCCGTGCTGCGGAGTGGACGCCCCCAGGCCAGAAATCGATGGAAGAGATGTGTAGTAGCCTTGGTTTCCTAGGAACAAGTTAGCCGGGAGCAAACGAATAGGATCACTCGTGTGGAGGGAGCACTTACTATTCCCACCTGCGCCAAGGGCAGCCGGAGGAGGGAGTACAGGGTGGCCGGACTGCTGCGAGCTGCACAACCAAGAAAAAAACACAAAAGTTAGTAAAGTAGATCCAACCTCGAGCATAAAAAAGATTTTCGAGGTGATTGGCGACGTACCCGAACGAGGGCCGGTGGGGAGGAGGAGGAAGGGACTGAGGCGGGCCTTGAGCACTATCCTGCGCGGATGGGTGCCATGGCTCTTGGGAAGCCATTACGAGAAATCACAGCACGCAGAAAGACCAAACAAAAGCAACGCTAAAAACAACAAGCAGCTCTGGACGTCGGGCGAAAGCGGGCAGCGGTTGCGAAGCGCAGGACGGATGGGGGAAGCAGAGAACGAGAGGAAGGAGACGATCAAGCCGGAGAAAGTGCACTGAGAGCCAAAAGAGCGATTCGGCTCAGAGCCGCGCGGCGATGCTTTTATGCCGCAACCGCAGAGGCCGCGCGCGGGCGCTGTCAATCTCCATGGCAACGCTTTGAGTTTGGGCTGTAAACAATGCGCCGCACGAACTGAAAACTCGGCTCTAATCAAATCAAACTACAAAACACTGGAAACCACAGTCACACAGTCTACAGTCCTCCGTCCGGAGTCGCGAATCCTGCCCGGCCTCATCAATCACCGCTATCGTCTATGGAGGTCCTTGAAGACCAAATCATGCAGGACGTGCAGCCGCCTGAGCGGGTTCAGGCTGAAGCTCCGCCTGCTGAGAAGCCTTCAAGCAAGCCAAAGGAGAAGCCCTCGTCGCTCTGCAAAACACCTCCAAGTCTGATCCGCAGCAAAAACAACGGCGCCGAGTTCCACCGTGGCATGCTACTAGGAGAGGTACGTATGGATCCCATTGAGACTGCTATATCTTTGCTAATTTATATTTAAACGATTAGGGCGGTTTCGCTCGCTGCTTCGAGGTCGAGGATGAGAATGGCGGAGTCTACGCTGCCAAAACGGTAGCGAAGGCATCGCTGACTTCTACCAAAACTAGAAATAAGGTAGGCGTCCATCAACCACTCCTTCTTTGCTGTTCTCATACTAACATCCTAATAGCTACTCGGAGAAATCAAAGTTCACAAGAGCATGGATCACCCAAACATCGTCAAGTTTGTCGAGTGTTTTGAAGACAACCAGAACGTCTACATTCTCCTCGAAATGTGCTCCAACAAAACCCTGATGGATATGCACCGTCGCCGCAAACGGTTTACCGAGCCCGAAGCAAGGTACTTTATGATCCAGATCCTTGGTGCCGTGAAATACATGCACAGCCGCCGAGTCATTCATCGAGATCTCAAGCTGGGTAACATCTTTCTGGATGAGAACATGCATGTGAAGATTGGTGATTTTGGACTCGCTGCGTTGCTACTGTCGGACAACGAACGGAAAAAGACAATCTGCGGAACTCCAAACTACATTGCGCCTGAGGTCTTATTCGGAAAGCAGGACGGACACAGTCTAGAAGTCGATATCTGGTCTGTCGGTATTATTCTGTAAGCTCATATACTCAAGGTCCCTAAATGTTTGATGAGGTGCTAACGAAGTTTAAGATACGCGATGCTATGCGGGAAACCCCCGTTCCAGTCGAAAGAAGTCAATATGATCTACAGGTACGTTTGCAGCGCCAGGCCGATTCAAAATCCAGACTGCTAACGTCAGTAATAGAAAAATCAAAGCACACGAGTATCAATTTCCTGACGGAGTTGATATCTCACCCGAAGCCAAGGACCTGATTCAGGCTCTACTGAGTAAAGATCCCAAAGCTCGACCATCACTCGATGAGATCGTCGACCATCCGTTCTTCTATAAGGAGACCCCGTCATATCTGCCAGTGACTTGTCTCGAAGGTGTTCCCCACTGGAAAAACCTTACACCTTCCATTTCTCGCCGTAACTTCCACAAGCTGGCTACGGCAGCTGGCATCGGACCCGGCACACAGTCTGCCAGCGTTGGCGACCCCGTCACCGTCAAAGACGTCATTCAGACCGCCGCACCCGCGGTTGTTGATCAGAGCAAACTTAGCAACATCTTACCCGAGTGCTTGTCCCCCAAGGTTTCAAACACAAATCTGCGCAACATCGTGACGAGTACGGCTCAAGAGAAGTTCAGCAAAGCGAGCGTTCGCTCAGCGCGATCTCTGAAGCCTCTCTCGGATCTTCCAATCAACAAGTCAAGAGGTAACGAGTACCCGCCTCTGGGACGCGCAAGGCGTGTGACCGAAAACGACGGATCGCCGCCTTCGAAGAAAGCTGCGCTTTCGATGCGGGATTCCGAAGCGCGCGAGCTGGGCGCAATTCATCAGCAAAGAAAAGAGGCATCGTTGAGTCCTGTTGATCATCTTCTTGAAGTACTCACCAACGTCAATCGGGCGCTTGAAGGAAAACCTGAGCGGGAGTCGGCGTGGGATGGCAAGTTGGTTTACATCGGTCAGTGGGTAGACTACTCAAACAAGTACGGCATGGGCTATCAGTTATCAGACGGTTGCTCGGGCGTTTATTTCAACGACGGAGCCACGTTGGTGTTGGATGCCGAAGTACGGTATCTTGAGTATATCTCGGACTCTAGCAATCCGGCTGCTCGACGAGAGCAATATCCGTATACCAATATGGAAAGCCTTCCCGCAGATCTGAAGAAGAAGGCGCGCCTGATGAATCACTTTAGAGAGTACATGCTTGCGAATCTCTACATATCCGAGCAGGGCACGCACAGATTCACCCCAGGCGACCAAGTGTCTTTCCTGTTTGACTACGCGCGAACGAAGCACGCGACCATGTTCCGCCTCAGCTCGGGTGAGATTCAATTCAACTTTACGGATCACTACAAGCTGATTTTAGCGGACCGAGGGAAGGTCGTGCGGTTCATGGACCCGTCTCGGAATGCGATTGTGATGTCGACGTCCCAGCTCGTGCACCGTGCGCGAAAAATGAAAAGCCACCAACAGCAGGGTCTGTCGGAAGGACACGAGGAGAAGATACTCGATCGCATGGATTTCATCACGACGACACTGCAAAGCTGGTATGACCTAGCGAAAAGCAGGCATCAAGCGCAATGATACTACGCATAGAGAGAGGGGAGAAGAAAAAAACAGCAGTGCTATTGATACTCTCTAGCCTGTTGTTCCATCCGAGACGGACATTGACCAAACCTTGTCCAGTGTTGTATAAACTCATCGGTTATTAATCATTAATTCTGCATGCATTGTGTGGCGCATTATTGTACATTGTATTATTAATATCAGATTACCTGCTGCTGTGCGATTGTTGTCGGTATCGTTAGAAATTCATCATGTTTTGTTGCTATGCGAAGAAGGGAGAGGAAGAGGGCGCGAGAGTGGTTTAGACCCAGCTTGAAAGTGTAAAAAGAGGCACGATACGTTGAGACTGCAGCAGCAGACCAGTTACAATAAAAAGACATTCTTAATCACAAGATTAATTATTATTTTGAGCTACAGCTATTACTCTTCCTGAGGCGGGCTAGAAACTGCGATCTGCTCCAACTCCTCGAATGCCTTCAAAGCAGCTCCGTAACGTTCCCACACCCCCTTTCTATATCCAACATCGACCTTGTTAATCATCGTACTCTCGTCCCATCGCTCGCCCAAAAAGTCCTCAAAGCTCTCGTAAATCTCCGCGCCGGTGCTCTCGTCCTTACCCACCACCGTGCGCTCGATGCTCCAGAGCGCCTTGTACGCTGAGCCCAGCGCGCACGCGTTGCTAAGCTCGAGGCGGTAGACGCCTTCCGAGGGACCGAGAACCTCGCCTGTCACCTGGCAGATCGCAGCGTTCTTGGAACCGCCGCCGACGACGTAGACGCGTCTGGGCTGACCGAGTTCGGATAGCAGCGGGCCGGCGCGCAAGCGCATGCTGAGGTTCTGGCTCTCGAGAATCGCGCGCGCGTCGGCCAGGGGAGTGTCCCAGTCACTCGGGCCAGAAGCTGGCTTCAGTCCGTCCTTGTGGTTATCGATGTAGCGCCACGTACCCGCTTGGCAGTCAGGCACGATCTCGGGTAGAGGGAAGTAGATGCCCAGCTTATCCTCGGATTCGGATCCGAGCGGAGGATAGGCGGTAACAGCGTCGTTGAACGAGCTCCACGGATCCTCGGCGGACGCAGGCTTGACTTTATTGATTTCGTCGCGGATCTTCTCGCGGGCGAGCGCACCGTTGCAGTAGCACAGCATGCCCATGTAAAGACCTTTGCTAGTCGGATGAGAAAACATGTGATAGGATGGCGAGGTTTTGTAGACTGGTGTGGAAACTAGCAGGGTCGTCGACGTTCCTAACGAGACAATGACGTCGAGAGGGCGGAGTGGGAGCGCAAGAATTGTTGCCGGGTTGTCGCCGGTGATGGGAGTGATCACGCAGTCCTTTGAGAACCCATACCGCTTGACAAAGTAGTCGCTGATGGGACCGATATGCTTACCTCCATCAGGCTCGACGTCGCCGAGTTTCCTCAGCAGCTCTTTCTTCTCAGCCTCACCGCCGCCGGCTACGATCTGCACGATCTCGTCGTCCCACTTCTCGTTCGGGATATCCCAGAGATTCATCCCACAGACGTCGCTCACATCCAAAGGCGCGATGGCGCCGAGCATCAACGACGCAAGAAAGCTCGAGACAAGAGAGATTCTATCGGTGTTTTCGTACTCTTCAGGATGTCTATGTCTCACGCGCAAGATCTGAGGACCTGTAAACCGATGATGCGACTTCGACCCAGTGATCTCCGCCAATTTGTCCGGTCCACCGACCTTGCTCTCAATCTCCTCACACTCCTTCACTGTACTGTGATCCTGCCAATTTGGGCTCATTTCGTGTGAAAACGCCTTGCCCTTCAACTGCGGCTCGAGCGGTTGGCTGGGATCGAGATTGGCAAGAAGGCTGGTGGCTTCCTTGGTCCAATACACCGAGCCATGCTGCTGGCCCGCGCCGGAGATACCCTTCACATTCGCAAACTTCAGCCCCGCTTTCTGTAACTTGCCGAGTAGGATATCAAACGCCTTGATCCACATCGCGACAGGCGCGTATACTTCGTTGAGCGCATGATTCGTAAAGACACCTTTTTTCGTACCGTATTCTGCCGTGTCGACGTCAAACTCCACGTTGGCTTCGAGGATCGGCTCTAGTTTATTGTTGATGGCGATAACTTTGATTTGCTGGGTCGATAAGTCAAAGCCCTGTAGATTGCCGCGTTAGTCAATCATCGGCACGGGTCGTAGTGGGTAAAGACACGTAGACTTACCAAGAAGAGATCGTCGCTACCCATCTTTATCGAGAAATTGAATATAAATATAAATGCAGATAAACAAAAATTTAGAGGATTAAATGAGAATTGACACTAGTTTTTCGGCGTGGGATCCAAAAACTTGAGAGGATTCCGCTTGTAGGCTGGCCAAGGCGGGACAACAACAAAGAATCCGATTGTGAAGAGAACAGCGCAGGTGTAGACGGTGATTTTGATGTCTTGCGCGATATATCCCGAGATAAAGCCAATGACCTGTACATCGAGTGAGTTAGATGCCTGTGCATGACATGACTTGCCTGGGGATTGAGCTTACACCGACGAGGGAGACGTAGTAGTTTGTAATAGAGTCCGCGAGTTGCTGGCCAACGAGGTCCTGTGAATCAGCAAGGTAAGTAGTCTACCCAGAGATAGCGACAGTCAAAGCAGATAATCAAGGGAGACACACAATAGGGCCTTCGAGGATAAGAGTCTGGATAGAAGACGAAGGCATTGGATTGGGCTGTGGGGGACGGTGCTGTTTAAACCGGAGCGGTGTGGAGGCTCGCGCCTGAAGGGACTTGGACTTAGGCGCGATTCGGCTGGGACGGCGGGTGGTAGTTTGGGCTGTGAACCACGTGTCTATAGTGCGGCATAGCTTGGTGCATATAAGCCCAGAATAGCGGCCGGCAAAAATCAGGGCACTCGCAGAACATCCGCAATGGGAAGTTTCTCCGCTTCGTTATCCAGATTACTATACAGATACACTCAAACACGCGTTTCCATAGTCAATAGACTGAAATTCATTCAACACCGTTGCTACAGCGATATCGAAGGTGTTTCCCGCTACCGTCCATAGTAAAGTGGGAGGCAGGCAAATAGCCAAGTTAAGCTTCAACCCCTGACCCGGCAGAATCGGATAAATACAACTGAGGTGTATGACTGAGCCATTATGTAAGCTTTCTAGAGTGCTGAGTGTGCGGCGTTCAATTTCTTTAACTCCTGACGCAAAAGACAGGACTGTTCACTGAACTCGATTACCTGCGTACAATGAACGTGCTACGTAGACGGTAAAAGGCTTCAAAAAATTCAGTAAATTCTGAAGATTATAAACATCTTCTTTACTGTCGAACAGCTCAAAGTCGTCGTGAATGTTGCTGAAAATGAGCCACAATCTCATCTAGAGCCAGGAGGCATGCAGGGCGCCACACTCTTAAGCGACAGGCGTCGCGACCACGCTGGTTACGAGCACTGATTTTTTCATTAATCATATCGTAAGATCCCATTTTGACTAACTAACCGAAATTTTGTTACAAACAAACGCAACGCAAATGAAAAGTAAACCAATAAACACAAAGAGAAAATATAGACATTTGAAAGAAATGAGAGTTGTTCGGAAAAGAAGCAATGCTAATTTGGTAAACCATCTTCAAAAGCCGTTTAGTCGACCTCCTCCATAGCGGACTCGGCAGCGACCTCCTCGGTAGCAGCCTCGGTGGCAGCGGCAGGGGCCTCCTCCTCGGTCTCGTCGATGTTGAGGCCGAGCGAGATAAGTCTGTTGATCCGGCTGGCGAAAGAGTTGGGCTCCTCGAGCGAGAAGCCGGAGGTGAGCAGGGCGGTCTCGTACAGAAGGGTGGTCAGATCCCGAACAGTGCGGTCGTTGACACCATCGGCCTCGACCTTGTTCTTGAGCTCCTTGATGATGGGCGACTTGGGCGAGATCTCGAAGGTCTTCTTCGACGACATGTACGACGACATCGAGGTGTCACGCAGAGCCTGGGCCTTCATGATACGCTCCATGTTGGCAGACCAGCCGAACTGGCCAGTGCGGATAGCAGCAGGGGCGTCGACGAGCTTGTGCGAGACAACAACCTTCTCGACCTGGTCGCCGAGAATCTCCTTGAGGCTCTTGGCAAGCGACTCGTACTCCTTCTCCTCAGCCTCGCGCTGGGCCTTCTCCTCCTCGGTCTCCTCGAGCTCGTAGTCCTTGGTGATGTCGACAAGAGTCTTGCCCTCAAACTCCTTGAGCTGAGTCATGGCGTACTCGTCAATGGGGTCAACCATGAAGAGAACCTCAAAGTTCTTGGCCTTGAGAGCATCGAGGAAGGGCGACTTCTCGACAGCCTTCAAGCTCTCACCGGTGATGTAGTAGATGTTCTTCTGGTGCTCGGGCATACGGGTGACGTAGTCGGTGAGCGAGGTAAGCTCGTCAACAGACTTGGTCGAGTTGTATCTCAGGAGCTTGGCAAGAACGTTGCGGTTCTGAGCATCCTCGTGGATTCCAAGCTTGATGTTCTTGGAGAAGGCAGTGTAGAACTTGTCAAACTGCTCACGGTCCTCGGCGATCTCGGTGAACATCTCGAGGGTCTTCTTGACAATGTTCTTGCGGATGACCTTGAGGATCTTGTTCTGCTGCAGCAACTCACGCGACAGGTTGAGAGGAAGGTCCTCAGAGTCGACAACACCACGGACGAATCCGAGCCACTCGGGAATGAGCTCCTCGCAGTCGTCGGTGATGAAGACGCGGCGGACGTAGAGCTTGATGTTGTTCTTCTTCTTCTTAGACTCGAAGAGGTCGAAGGGAGCACGACGAGGAACGAAGAGGATGGCACGGAACTCGAGCTGACCCTCGACAGAGAAGTGCTTGACGGCAAGGTGGTCCTCCCAGTCGTTGGAGATCGACTTGTAGAAAGCAGCGTACTCCTCCTCGGTGATGTCGGAGGGGTTGCGAGTCCACAGGGGCTTGGTCTTGTTGAGCTCCTCGTTCTCGGTGACGATCTCCTTGATCTTCTTGGACTCCTTCTTCTTCTCCTCCTCCTCCTCGTCGACCTCCTCGATCTTGGGGGCCTTGTCGTCGTCGACCTTCTCCTCCTCCTCCTCCTCGGGAGCGTCCTTCTCGACCTCCTTGGTGACGACGAGCTGGATGGGGTAGGCAACGAACTCAGAGTGGCGCTTGACAATGTCCTTGATGCGCTTCTCCTCGAGGTACTCCTTCTGGTCCTCCTTCATGAAGAGACGGATGATGGTACCGCGGGAGATTCTCTCGTTCTCGGTGTCGAGGGTGATGGTGAATCGGCCGCCAGCAGACGACTCCCAGATGTACTGCTCGTCGTCGTTGTGCTTGGAGATGACCTGGACACGGTCGGCGACAAGGAAGAGGGAGTAGAAACCGACACCGAACTGACCGATCATCGAGACATCAGCACCGGCGGAGAGAGCCTCCATGAAGGCCTTGGTGCCAGACTTGGCGATGGTTCCGAGGTTGTTGACGAGGTCAGCCTTGGTCATACCGATACCGGTATCACGGAGCTCGAGGATTCCTTGCTCGGGCTTGGGGGTGATGCGGATGTAGAGCTCGGGCTCGGTCTCGAGCTTGGAGGGATCAGAAAGAGCCTCGTAGCGGATCTTGTCGAGAGCATCCGAGCAGTTGGAGATCAGTTCTCGCAGGAAGATTTCCTGAGAGTGATTAGTTAGTAAGAGCACTGAGAGACAAGAGATGTAGATTGTAAGATCAATGACATACCTTGTTCGAGTAGACGGTGTTGATGATCAAGCTCATCAACTGCGAGATCTCCGCCTGAAATTCTGTAGAGCGACAGTTAGCAAGAAGGATCAACAGATAGAAACAAAGAGATCTACATACCAAATTGTTCAGTCTCAGCCATTGTGAATTATGTGAGTAGCAAAAAAGCAGCTTAATTTGCAGACTTTGTATGGGGAAGAGAAAAAAATTCAACGCGAGAAGGGCGGATGCGCGTGAAAATATACGCCGCCCGGCGGTTTGTTCTTGAACCTTCCACAGAATATTGTGGAAACCCGTCGTGCGGCGCGCTGCCGTTTGACTTTCTCCGCCTTTCCATCGGCCGGCAGCTGGTCGTTGGTTTATCGAGAAGTTCTGGGGTTTTGTAGTTGTTGATGTTGTTGATGTTGTAATTATTACTGCTGTTGCGTCTACGAGTCCCTGGACGGGTTGCGGGTGGACGGGCTGGGGTTCTACTGCTGAGTGTATCTTTGATATCTACAACATCCAGCTACTCGTAGTGTCGTGTTTTCTTCAGATCAATTGTAGATAGTTCCTCAACAATGAGTAGAATCATGGCTATCTTCACATACCATCCGACTGCACTGCTCTGCTCTGCACTGAACGGGAATCTACTAGAACTCCTCATCTCCACTTCCTCATCTGATCTGCCCCTGAACGCCCTCCGCGTCTTCACAATCACTCAACACACGTCCTCGCCATCACACTTAAACTTTGCTATCCAACCTCTCCGGCATTCGCATTCACCCATCGTCAATATCTGATGATCCCCCCCACATAGATGCGGATTCCACATGCGGCCCGCGGCCTGCACTCCTCGGCTGTCTGCCACGACCTGAGCCTGCGGTTCAAGCAGCTCATGGCCCGCCATGCCGCTCCGCTTGCCGTCATTTCCGCCGCCCACGCCAACGACCGCCGGGCCGCGACCGTCTCGTCCGTGACCTCGCTCTCGGTCTCCGACCAGGCCGCGCCCTTGATCACTTTCAATCTCAAGCTCCCCTCGAGTACTTCTAGACTTATCCACGACTCGGGCAGGTTCAGCGTTAACTTTCTCTCCGGCGCCCCCGCTGCTGAGGAAATCGCTCGGGGGTTTGCGGGCGTTGCGCGTCCTGCAAACCTGAAAGAGACTGACTATCTGGAGCAAGACGTGGAGGTTGTCGGGGTCGATTGGTTCCCGGTTTCTGATGCGCCTTTTGAGACCCCGATGCTTAATCGCACGCGAGTACTCAAGCCAGACGAGCACTCACCCGACTCATCAGAGTCATCGAGCACGCGGCCGGCGAATATCGCATTCGCCAGGGTTGACTGTACTGCAAAGCACTGCTTCTCCGTGCGGGATCACGAAATATGGGTAGGCGAGGTCGAACGACTCGAGCTCGAGGACGAGAATCTCAAACCACCACCTCCCGCTCTCGTGTACTTTAACCGACAGTTTGTTCGCGTGCACGTTGCAAATGACGCTGCCGCCGACGAGAAGCCAAAAGTTCGTCGGAGCCACCTCAGTCACGAGTAAAAATACGTTCTTCGTTCTTTGTAAATTAGATTTCTGTACATATCCATAATATATTCGCTAGCGCTATTTACATATGCAAAACACAACACTGCCGCAAAACTACGAGTATCTGCCCTTGCCGCTCGAACCCTTCTTTCCCTTTGATCGGACACGCTGGTAGACGCGGACATTGAGCGACTCCTTGTGCTCAAAGTCACCAAACAAAGCATCAACATTCTCGTCAAACAGCGAGCCATCCTCGGCCACACCTTCCTCATCTCCCTCAAACAAATCGCTGACAAACTTCTGGTTGAACTTGGCAACCCGGCCGGCGTTGTCGGCCTGCACGGCAGTGAATCCGGCAATGGTAGGATTCCACAATGGATGAACCCGCTGGTCTCGCAGGTATCTCCATTCGACTCGGGGGAAAGGTGATTGGCGAACAAACGTCGATCCGTCTGATAATTCAACCAAGCAATCAAACTTGTGATATAATGGCGGCCGGGTCTTGCCAGGAAGCAAATGCCTCCTCTGTCGGCGCTGCTTCGGAAGCGCTGCCTCGTATGCGCGGCGTTGCTCAAGCTGTGGTTGCATCTGCACGCTGCTCAGACGCGGAGCCAAGTTGGCGACCGACCGGAAGCTCGACAAGTCGACCAAAGGCCGACTCCGTGAAGCAATTGAAAGAGCCATGGTTTGCTTGTTGTCTTTCAACGTAGATGAAGTCTGCAACCCACTTCGCACCGAACTAATTTTCAAATTTTCGTGAGCGCGGCGGAGGGGCGCTTGCATATTGCAGAGGGCCTCGTACTGTTGTTTCGAGGGTCTGGTGCTGCACGTGATAATATTTTCCTACTCAAAGTAAGTTCGGTCCATGCGGCACCAGAAAAATATCACCCACTTCACGGTGTAAATATTTCACCTACACTCCTTTCCTTTTACACGACGATAATAGATCTTGATTCGACAGAGGATCTAGCGGGAACTCGAAGACAGGTCTTGTTTCGCCAATACAATCCTCTCTCGGAGTGCTCCGGTTTGTCGTGTGGACTTGCACCCTAACGAACCTGTCAAAAGACCAAAACTTGCTAGCAAAACACCGTCAGCGCTCAGCAAGAACCGAGCGAAACCTGTTTTTGCTCCGTCAATCATGGCGCGCGGATCCGCCGCCCGACGCGCGAATATAAGCAATAGCTCGGCCTCGAGCTCTTCGTCATCGCTCGCGTCGGCTGCTGTCGCTCCGCAGTTGCCCTCGGCCGCGCAAGATCTGCCTTCGCCGGACGTTTTAAGACGGCCGCCGGCGTCTTCGCAGGTGCACTCTCCGAGTTCGCTTTCTAACTCTCAGGGACCTGCGACGCCTTCGAAATCAGATCTGTCGGTCAATAAAGGCGACGTTTTGTTGCCGACGACGCCGCTCCATCATGAGTCGTCTGAACGCTCGCTGCGGAAGTCATCTTCGTTCTATAACGAACACTCGGCCTCGGCTGGCAGCAGCAAGACGATCTCGGTCCAGAACTCGATCCTCACGCCTCATCCGTTTATCGACTCTCTCACTATTTTCATTCTCATAATCCAGTTCCCGAACCTCATTGTCTCCTTCATTCATATCCTTTTCGCGTCCTTGACTTTTGTCCCGCCGCCCACCCCTCCGGCGTCATCATTGATCTCAGCACTCACTCACGCGACACAAGCCTCTCCGAGCCTTCTCACCGTCTTGTTTGCCGATATCACCGTCGCAGTTATCTCGATTTTCTTTCTACCGCGCATGCGCGCAATTATGGTCGATCTCGGCTCGGCGGTTATTGCGTCTGCTCTTGGAGGGGGTGGGTCAAAGACCGCGATTTACTGCACCTCGCTTCTGCAAATCGCGCGCGCCGTTCGGCATTCATTTTTCTTGATCCGCCGCGGTGCACTTTCGCCAGTATCCTCTTCGTCAACGACACCGTTCGAATACGAGCAGGAGCCGATTCCGCCGCAGTACTACCTAGCATCGGGAGGAAACTCTCCTCGCACTCTGGATATTCTGTACGGGTCCGCCGGCTGGTTCAGCCAAGCGATTGCGATCCATATTGTTGGGCAAAGCGTGATGCACTCGCTGCGGCGGATGTTTTTACGGAATGAAACGAGACTCAGCTCAATGCCGGCCGCAAGTTCGTCACCGGCTATACTGGGCGACGGGTACGGCATTGACTACGAGGCGGTTGCGTTTGCTCACAACATGCCGTCGTCGACTGCTACACCATCATCAAATAACACCCCTGTGAAAAAGAAGAAAAAAACCAACAAAGAAGGAAAGCACTATCAGCAAACACTATGGTCAGCGCTTGCAAACACGCTCGTTCTGGCTTCGCGCGAGTCCAATCAGATTCTCTCGGAGCCGCAGCCAGTAGTAGCAGACGAGTCCTCGCAAAACTGTTACGGCTCTTCGTTAACTGCCGACGAGAGCCAGTCGTTGCTCTCCTCTTTGATTTCGGACGATAATCCGTCAGCCAACGGCCTGGGGTATCGGCCGTCGGCTACAGAACCAGCGCTGTACTGCTGCGTGCGGTATATTCTCGAGAACGAGGTCGCGTTTGAAATTATCCCGGGTGATGCTGTGGCTTCTGCTTCTGCTTCTGCGGAAGGTAAAGCTGCGACCTCACTGCCAGCTACTGACTTAAACGGCCACGACGATCGCTCGTTACTGCCGACCTCGCTTGTGCCTTCAATTTTCTCCCACCCCGATCCCACCCAGGCCGCTGTTGGTTCCCAACCCCACGCATGCCAAGCGTCTCTTTACAACGGAGTCACAGTGCGCGTGAATGGCATCTTATGGCCGGAAGTCTCAGTCCAGACAATCGTGCCAAAACTACACTACCCCGGTCTGCAGCAAACCTCCGAAGGCCCCGCCGACGCGACCGTGCAGATGCTCGAAAACGCAGTGGCGGACGATGTCGAGATCAACGGCGGCTCGTTGCCAGAGTCGGCGGAGGAGTTCGCAGAGACGTTGCTGGTGGTTAGTGGGTTGACGCCGATTACGGAGTATGAGATTGAGATTTGCAAGAAGTTCAAGTATCGGCAGGTTACCATCTGCCGGACTGATATTTGCACGTCGCCTAAGGATTGTAAGTGCTACGTTGTCTTGTTCCTGATTTTGTCTGTGTACTAATTAGCTATAATCTAGCATCGACAGTTTCCTCGCAAGTGCAGCAACCATCGCGTCCTCTGTCGCCAGTGACTACACTTCTCGACACTCTATGTACGACGAACGAGACGCTCACGGAAGAAAAGCAAAAGCTGAAACGGTTCCGCCGCGACCACTCCAAGCATCTCTCTGCGCTGCGGTCCGAGATCGACGCGCTCAAGTCGCGGCTCGGCACGGGCGACCGCGGGGACGAACGAGCGTGGCGGCGAGTGCTGGCGTTGCGCGAGAGCGTGCGGAGGACGGAGGAGGAGATCGAGACGCTGCAGAAGCGGACGGTCGAGCTTGAGTTGGAAGAAGAGAATCTGGAGCGGGAAGTGAGCGAGCGACGGAAGATATGGCAGGCCGCGATGGGCGAGGCTAATGAGCACGAACGTCGTCTGCAGCAGCGGAAAGAAGCTATCGAGGCGCGTGGTCGTGAACTGCAAGCGGACGAGAGTTCGATTGCGGGCAAGTGCGAGAAGCTTCAGGCGCGACAACGGAAGCTGTTGGCTGAGTTCCAGCGGGCGGATCAGGAGCGAAGGCAGGCGTGGGACGCGGAGTTTAAGCGCCGCAAGCTTGAGCGCGAGAAACTGGCCGAGCGACGCCACGCGATCGAGGAGGAGTTTTCGAGCGCAATCACAAAGATGGAGCACGGGATCGACGATATCAAGGATAAGACGCAGATGACGTGGCAGTCAGTGAGTGTGTTTGGCGAGAGCGCGATCGCGACCGCTGCGACGGCGGTTGGCATCGCGTTGCCGGTGCCGATGACGAGTGCTGGTGGAGCGCAGGGCGGGATGAGCGCGCTGTCGCCTAGCTCGACTGCAAACTCCGGAAGTGTGAATACGCCGAGCTCGTCTTCTGCCGCGCTCACCTCGGCTCCGGGTTCGGTTGGAAACGGACCGTCTGTATCCCCCTTGCTTCAGTGATTCCTCTTTTTCTCTATCTTTTTCCTCAAAGTACGTTTTTGTGTGTGTTAAAGTTACGTCAGTTGACGAGCACGATGTGATCACGGCTTGCTATCCTGTCTTGTTTCTCGCTTTGTCTTTCTCATTCATGTAATTAGAATTTGTTTTTTTTTGATTTCGCAGTTTAGTTTTACCGTACCCCATGACAGAGTGGGAGTCGCTTGCTTGTTTTTGTTTTGTTGCGCTAGGCATCGCTTTTCCCGGATAGCTGAGTTGGCAGTACTTTAGCTACCTGGAAGAGCAAAAAAGTCGCTTGTATTTTCTTGTATGTATTGATTAATATTATTACTTCTACGTATGCCGTGAGTTACCCGTGATTACTAGCGGAAGGAGAGAGAGAGCGCGGAGATTCCGCCAGGATTTAATTTGGCATGGAATTAAACGAGATGCAGCCCACGCCTCAAGTCATGTCAGCGAATCGAAGCCAGCGACGGCTGCAGACGCCAGAGAGTGGCCGCACATGGACGGACGAGAGAATTAGAGGTGAATAGGACTTGTCTCTACGATCGCTCACGTGCGTGAGATGGACGAGTACCAGGGCAGGAAACAAGGCTTTGCCGACGGACTTGGCGGCTGCTCTCCTCCGTGGAAGGGTTGCAGGAGGCAATCGCAGGACTCGGCAGCGGAAAGTGGCAAAAACTAGAGTGCGAAAAAACAATGGCGTGTTGCTAAGTTTCTGGGAAGGCATGGTTTGAATTGGCCAATGAGATGACGGATGGAGAACACAGCTAGAGGTACAGCTGGGGATGGTGGGGTGCAAGCGAGGGGAGCAAGTCAAAAGTCAAGATACCAGCGACGTTGAGGCGTATGCTAGCGTGCATGTACTCGAGAGTTAGCTCCGACGACGGAAGCCGTTAATGGAAAAGAAATTGACATGCACGCCGTCGGCCGTCTGTCTGCTTGGAAGGGGTGCAGGTGGTCTCTTGCTGTATTTGGCAGAAGGTCAAGGTATCTAGAAGACAGAGACGAGTGCGAGCTATTGTGAAGCAGCACGTGGATAGTCAAAGCTCCGCGCATGTGGGACGAATGAAGGAGCGAGACAGAAAGCGAGCGAGCGCGGTATGAAATGCGAGACTACGCGTCGCGAGCATGTGCGCTGTATGGCGGCTCGAGACTGGCTCGCGAGCGAGGAGTCTTGCGTCTGTGCCAGCCGGCGGCGATCTGCGCGTAAGTAAGGAGACAGAAGTGAGTTTTTTGACAATCTGGTCATGGCGGCTGTCATCCCACCATTGTCAAGTCAGGCTTGCACCCGAAATGAGCAGGACGGAGAGGTCGACACGTACGGGCGGATGACAGAGGGTGAGTCGGGGTCGCGATGGAGCGGAGAGAAGAGACAAGACAGAGAAGCAGCGGAGACAAGCAACACAAGAACAGACAAGCAATACACACAAGAACAGTCAAGAACAGACAAGAAACCAACAGCACCCAGCCAAGACTGTCCAACGACTGTCCAACCTCTAATCATCCCTCAATCTGCCCGATAGTGGATCCCGCTGGCCATGGCGGGCCAGGTGGGTGCTCGAACGTGCGCCATAGGCCACAGTGAGCAAATAGGCCCTTGGGAGAAGTCACGTGCCGCCCAAAGCAGGCCTCTGCCGCACTCGTCTGAGCGCACGTGTGCGGCTCGCAGTGTGCAACGTGCCACAACCGCGGCGGGCGATTGGCTGCCAGAGGTCAGGGCGAGATTTCCTAAAGCGGCCTAGTCCAAATCTACCGAGTCTTCTCCAAAAAAGTTCTCGACGGCTTCGACCTCGATCGCGTCGAGTGGATATAAAAGACTCTCCGCGCTCGCTGTCTTCCCATCGCCGGCCAAGCTTCGTCTCTGTCTTGTCTTTTCTTGTCTCCGCCCCCTTATACTCCCTCTCTCGCAATGGCTCAGCTCACTTCCGGCGGCAACGCTGCCTTCCACAACTACGCAAACGAGTTTGCTCACATCTCAGACCCCAACGAGCGACGGAGGCTCGCTCTCGAGAAGATCGATAACGCGCCCTTTGGCTGGTACCATATCCGCGCCATCACCGTCGCCGGTATCGGTTTCTTCACCGACGCCTACGACATCTTCTCCATCAACATCGCCGTCACCATGCTTGGCTATGCCTACTTCCACGACAACAAGAGCAAGCTTCCCACCAACTCGGACACAGCCGTCAAGGCGGCCACTTCCGGTGGTACCGTCGTCGGCCAGCTTTTCTTTGGCTGGTTGGCGGACAGAATCGGTCGTAAGCGCATCTACGGTGTCGAGCTCTTGATCATCATGATCGGAACCATCGGCCAGGCTCTCTCTGCTGAGGGTCCCAGTGTTAACATCATCGGACTGCTTGTCTTCTGGCGTGTCATTATGGGTATCGGTATCGGTGGCGACTACCCGCTTTCCTCCATCATCACCTCTGAGTATGTTTTTCTCTTTCTTTTACAGTCTGCTTTTTTTTCTTTCTATATTTTTCTGTTTATGAATATTTTTTACTAACAAAATAATTACAGATTCGCTACCACCAAGTGGAGAGGTGCCATCATGGGCGCTGTCTTCGCCAACCAGGGATGGGGTCAGCTCACCGCCGCCATCGTCGCCCTGATTGTCACCCGCGGTTTCAAGGGTACTCTTTCGGCTGCCAACTCCGCCTCTGAGTGCCTTGGCAACTGCCAGACTGCCAACGACAAGATGTGGCGTGTTGTCATCGGCTTCGGTGCCATCCCCGCCTGCTTCGCTCTCTACTTCCGTCTGACCATCCCTGAGACTCCCCGTTACACCTTCGACGTCGCCCGCCAGCTCGAGCAGGGATCTGCCGATATCAACAAGTACATCAACGGCAGCAGCGGTGACGCCACTGCTGATGAGGTTAAGGCCATTAAGGAGATTGCCCCTGAGGACTCTGCCGAGCTCGCTGTTCCCAAGGCTTCGTGGGCTGACTTCTGGCATCACTTTTCGCAGTGGAAGCATGGAAAGATTCTCATCGGAACTGCTGGTTCGTGGTGCTTCCTTGATATTGCCTTCTACGGTCTTGGTTTGAACAACTCCACCATTCTTGCTGCTATCGACTACGCCGGCCAGGACAACGTCTACGACAACATCTACAACGTCTGCGTCGGAAACATCATCCTCACCTGCGCCGGTGCTATTCCCGGATACTGGTTCGCCGTTGCTACTCTTGACACCGTCGGACGCAAGCCTCTTCAGATCGTTGGTTTCGCTCTTCTCACCATCCTCTTCTGCATTATCGGATTCGCCTACCACAAGCTTTCCGGCCATGCCCTTCTCGCTCTCTACGTCCTCTGCCAGCTCTTTGAGAACTGGGGTCCCAACACCACTACCTTCATCGTTCCCGGTGAGGTCTTCCCCACCCGCTACCGTTCGACCGCTCACGGTATGTCTGCCGCGTCCGGAAAGGTCGGTGCCATCATCGCTCAGTGTGCTATCGCTCCTCTGCGTACCCATGGCTGCCCCGGTGGTACTTGCTGGTTGAACCACGTGATGGAGATCTTTGCGCTCTTCATGCTCCTCGGTTTCTTCGTCTCGTTCTTGATTCCCGAGACCAAGCGCAAGACTCTTGAGGAGATCGCCGAGGAGTGCCACGGCGAGTACAACTACAAGGGCCCTGCTGCTTTGAACGAGGACTCTGAGTCTTCGGAGAAGCAGGTTGAGGTTTAGATTGCTTATGTATATTTGTTAGAAAAATCTGCTTATTTGTTGCTTGTTGCTTTTCTTCTACGCGGTAATAATGGTTAATGCGCTTTCTGTCTCAAAAATTCGCTTGGAAAGATTTATGTATAGTTCAGTAATGTGTTGTTGAGGATGACGACGGTCACGAAAGCGATCTCGTATACATTTCTCCAGTTTAGTGATTGTTTTCTAGTTTTTTTTTGCATGGGATATTTATATAGGGTATGAAATTTGTTTTAATAGTATTGATTTACAAACACAACACACCACAACACAGCGTATTTGCCCGAAGGACGTGCAGTGCAAGCAAAGGAAAGAAACCCTTGTCTGCGTTGGAGGCTGTGCGTGCGTACAGCTAACCTACTCCGGCCAACTACGAAATGCCGATGACGACGACAAGTAGTAGCGTACAGCACACGGCCCAAACACCTGTTCAGAAGCCGTACAGAGGCCGTGAAGCAGCCGTGTTGACGTCAACGGGGTGGCAACAACATTCCACTACACAAACCTCGGGCGAAAAGAACGAAAAAAAAAGTGGCGACGGAGACCGAACGGTGGACTCGGAGTTGGTTAAACTCGCAGTTAATTATTTTAAGGTTATTAGCAGGTTTCGGTTAATCAGTCACCTGAGTCAACTGTGAGCCGCACGTAAAGAATTATGTCAGCAGATGCGCAGTGGTTAGTAAGAAGGTGATGTGCTTTACTGGTGGTAGATATGTCGCGGCTGGATCAGGAGATAGCACGACTTCAGAATTGAAAATGCTCGATTTGATACTATATGAAGCGTGTCCGGCCATAAATACCTTTCAATCGTGAAGGCTTTATCTGCAGGTATTGATCGCAGTGGGGTATTACCATAAGTATCGACGCTGGCTAACTACTTGTACCTTGATCGAACATGCGATGCCGTTGACAAATTGGCCAGTCTTGAAGACTATCGCAAAACTTCCTAATCAATAAAGAGACATCTGCAATGTACAATGAATCATTTCCCGTCGGAAAGATCTTAGGGGAGAGACACAGCGAGACAGAGATATTCTTCATCTGCGGGACGTTCATCATGCTCCTCATAGTGCAGAGCCATTCTGCAAAATCTGGTGCGCAAACCGTTCATCTGCGACTGTCTGTCTTTGACCGCTTGGTATCGAAGAGCGAGATGGAAAGGTATTTTAGTAACAAAGCCTACTTCTCTGCCGCAGTTGGTTCAGAACAGTGTCCGAGTGCATACAAACCAGTGTACATACAAACCTGCGGAAAACAATGCAGCTGTTCAGGTACGTCCGACTTTGTCTTCAAATCTGATTAGTCTCTTGGTCTAGGCTCAACATCTACAAGCTGAGTAGTGTTGAGGCCGAAGCAAGGGCATAGTTTGCGTTCCTGAACAGCACTGCTATACCAGACACTCACTCTTCCACGACAAGCAGAGCCCTCTTTGAATAGCTCAAACAAAACACAGCCACCTAGTTCAATTGTGCAAATTATTCGACGTTGCATCTCGGACTACCACCACACAGCTTCATAAAATAAAGAAACCGTCAATTAACCATACTCCAGACCAATGTTTACACAATTACCCGGCCTCAGCCTTCATCTGAGTTACCCTCATTCGAGCCATGCGCACACAAAAAAAGTAGACCTAAAGCTCACAAAGGAACTATAAGTCGGCCACCTGCTCTCGATCCAGATCCTGTCCGTTCTCCAATCAAGCAAACCCGTAATCCGTACCAAGGCTTTTGGTACAAAAGGTTACCAGCGGCAATCGTCTTACCTCAGTGGTACGAGGTCGAGGGCCTACGGAAGCACGCTCAAGTTTCCTAGTCCTTCTCTTGTCGCAATTCGAAATATTTATCCTCGGTTCCGTGCAGCAGCCCGCCAGAAAACTCGCGTGAAAAGTGTCAAACTGTCGGCAGGTCAATGGAAGACCAGGTTGAACAGGCGGTGGAGATTGCTCTCAGTAGCAATGTCGATAGTAATCTGAAGCAGCAGGTATGTTTGATCTTTTCCGCTTTCTACTCCCGTAGTTGATAATCTTGCTAACAGAACTTCCCAGGCTATGGCCTTCTGCAACCAGATCAAGGAGTCGAGCGATGGATGGCAAGTCTGTCTTGCGCTTTTTATGAGCGAACGGAAAAGGTTTGTGCTTGTTCAGCTTGAGCGGTATCTCGGGCGATTACTGACTGCTCTGATTTGTAGATCTCCAGCTGTTCGCTTCTTCGCGTTACAAGTCGTGGACGACGCCTTGGTTAAGCAGTATGCCATACCTTTGAGATATTAACTACACCTGATCCTACTGCTAACGCACTCAATTCAAGCCTGAACGGCAATCAAAAGCAATTGGACGAGTCGTCATTAGCATCCGTCAAAGACGCTCTTCTTTCCTACATCCAGCGCGAATACGGCCCGCAGAACACAGCGGAGACCGACGCAGTCTGTATGTCGCCTGCTTGTTTATCGCACTTGCTCTACCTACTAACAGCATCCAATAGTCATGCAAAACAAACTCGCTCAAACAATCACATACTTCTTCCTCCTCTCATATCCGCACACGTGGCCTACATTCTACGACGACCTAATCGCTCTCTCCTCAATCGGAGGCCACCTACAAAACGCGCGTGGTCTGCAGCTTTTCCTGCGCATCCTTCTCTCGCAGCACGATGAAATTGCCGATACGCTAATTCAACGGTCAAACGACGACGCGCGCCGGAATGTCACAATCAAGGACGAGATCAGGGCGGCGGATATGAACAAGCTGGCGGATCTGTGGAGGCAAATTCTGGTGCAGTGGACGAATCGAGAGGATGGGTATTTGATTACGGATAACTGTCTGCGCGTCATAGGTTCTTGGGTTTGTATGTTTTCTCTGAGTTGTTTACTGTTCTAGTTCCGTGGTGCTAACGATTACCGATCTAGCATGGATTGACATCTCACTGATTGTTACTCCGCAGTACATGCAGCTTATTTTCAGCATCCTCGGAAACGAGTCATTGCGCGGGGCGGCCTGCGAAACGTTGTCTGAGATAGTGAGCAAGAAAATGAAGTCGGCCGACAAGCTAGAGTTGATCGGGCTGCTCAATCTGCCGCAGCTCATCAGCCAGCTTCCTTTGGGCTCGGATCCCGAGTTTACTGAGAAGGTTGCCAGGCTCACGAATGTGGTGTGCACAGACTTGATTAAGATTTTAGATGAAGTGAGTATTTGTGTATGATGTATCATATGAAAAAGCAGGAATACTTACGTGATAACAGAGCCAACTTCCGCCTCAGCTTATAGAGACCGCTGAGAACCTTTTAGAGCAGTATATGCCGTTTGCAATCACTTTTCTGTCCAACGAATTCGACGACACATCATCAGAAGTATTCCCGACCATCTCAGATCTACTCTCGCTACTTCGAAAAGAAAAGAAGCGCAATCACCCGCTCACACCCAATCGTTTGGCGATGGTCACCTCTATCCTCAAGACTGTCATTGTCAAACTAAAATACGACGAGACAATGGATTTCCACAACGGATCCGACGACTCGGAGAATGAATTTCTAGACATCAGGACGAGACTGCGGCTGTTCCAGGATGCGGTAGCGGCGATCGATGAAGACCTGTTTATGGATACAATCTCTAGCGTCGTTATGGACTGTCTCTCAAAGCAAGACTGGCGCGAGGTCGAGCTTGGATTGTTTGAGTTGGGCGCCTATAGCGACGGTCTCCGAAATGCCGCAGCTTTACCAGCAAAGGGTCGGGAGAGTTCAAAGGCGATTGGTTTGCTAGATAATATGCTTTTGAGAATGACGAGCTCGAACGTGCTCTCGATCGGCCACCCTGCGATCAATTTGCTTTACTTGGAGCTTGTCGTGAAGAACTCGAAATTTTTCGAATCACACCAGCATCTTATTCCGCAGATGCTTGAGATTTTCGTGTCTGGAGTTGGTATCCACAGCTCGTACGTGCAAGTGCAGGTCCGATCCTGGTTCCTGTTCTACCGATTCATCAAGTTGTGCAAGGCGATGATTGGGGATATCGCCGAGACGGCGCTCGGGGCTATCGGCGATTTACTGGTGATCAAGGCGGAGCTTGCGCAGCGCGACGAAAACGACTCGGATATGTCTGAACCCGGAGCTGGCGAGACTGATAATATCGACAGTCGGCTTTATTTGTTTGAGGCTTCTGGGATTTTTGTTTCGGTTGATAGTGTCTCGGATGATAAGCAAATTACGCTGATCAAGGTATTTTTTTCCTGGCTTATTCAATTTGAGAAGAGTAAAGATCTAACAGGATTTATCTAGAATATATTAAATCCGATCTTCCTGGACCTGGAGCAGAGCCTTCCCCGAGCCCCCGAAGATTCACGCTTGGCTCTTCAGGTGCACCATGATATGATGGCTATCGGTACTTTTGCCCGAGGTATCGCAGACGGCGGAAAGCAAATCACGGAGCCGGTTCGCGAGCAATTTCTCTTGGCTAGTCGGGCAATCCTTGTCTCACTCGAGACGCTGTCCGGACTTGAGATTATCCGTGAAGCCAGTCGGTTTGCGTTTGCTCGGATGGTGCCTATCTTGGGGCAGTCAATCCTTCCGGAGATTCCGATTCTTGTCAACCGGCTTTTGACGGAGAGCAGTACGCCTGAGCTGATTGATTTTATGAGTTTCCTGGGCCAGCTGATCCACAGCTTCAAGGGCGAGCCGGGAATGTTTGATATGCTTGACCAGGTTCTCACGCCGCTTTTAAACGGTATATTCTACGCGCTCAGTGTGTCTGCGAACGGATCTACAGACGAGGAGATCCAGCAGACCGACATGAAGAAGGCGTATTTGAGCTTCATGCTCGGCGTTCTCAACAACGGCATGGGTGCAGTCTTGGCCAGCAATACTAATCGTCCGATGCTAGACTCTGTTTTGCAGAGCGTGGCTCATTACACTACGACAAGCAATGACTCCTTCATCAAGAAGATGGGCAGCTCCGTCTACCCGCGACTAGAAGAGATCCGAAACAAAAGCTATCAATAGGCAGAGTCGAATGACTGTGCCTTTTCATTTTTTATATACCCAGCATTTTGTTCGTACCAAAATCGCACATGTACAATTTCTGCTTAGAATGTTCTAATCATCTCACACTGTTTGTTGTACATATTTGTCCTTTTGCTTCTTTTGTCAGTCGGTCATTTATTTCCCCCTTTTTCCTTCACTTGGAGTCTCGTCGAATCGTGCTATGAACACTTTGCATTACGATCCTCGCTCGCGAGTTGCAGCCGTCAGATGTACTTATGAGAAAAAATGTATAATAATATTCCTGTAACTAGTTAAGCAGCAATGAAGAAGGAAGATATGACTGATGTGTTATGTAATTTAGTATAACTGCGACGGTGATGTTGCGGTTATGCCGAGGGGATTCTCTTCGAGCTTTGGAGGAATGATCTTCGAAATCACATTTTTACGACAAAGACCCGACTTCTTCCCCTTCTCTTCCCCGGATCGGTCGTCGATCTTTGCTTCAGCGCCCTTCTCTTTCTGTTGTATATCAGCGATCATTCCGTATTAGTCTAATCAATACGTGAAAAACCGGTTTCCATAGTTTTTTGTCTATCCAGGCACAAATTTACCACGTCGAGCGCGCGTGCCTTTGTGTGTGTTTGCGTGTTTGAAGGAACCAGGCAGAACCGTCTTCCCCATCAGCGCCCCGGTCTACGTTTAATACCAGCACACGACAGCTTCAACAATGTCTGATTCTTCTGACGACGATATTCCCTTGTCTAAACGCTCTCAGCAAGGTATGTCTCTTGTTTTGTTTTTTTATTTGGCTGTTTATGCCTGCCGCGTCGTCGGGGTGGCTATTATTGGGAGCTGTACGCGTCTGACGCGTTGCGCCCCCGTCTGATCTCTTCTTTTCGAGAAGATTTTTGAGCAGCGTAGTCGCGTTTGTGAGATAGATGCAACTGTGACTGACTTTGTTGATTGCTATAGAGTCTAGAAAGCGGAAGCTGAAAGTTGAGAAGGAGGAGTCTGACTTTTCTGACGACGAAGTTCCTTTGGTATGATCTCTCTTTCTCAGAGTCTTTCGTTTTTCCACAGAGGTCCCCATTTTCGGGATTCTGCGGATCCGGGACCTATATTCCATTGTGTATTCTAGTATATCGGACTTACACCCTTGTCTTGCAGAAAATTCGTGGAAAAAAAGCTGCCGCAGCAGCTAAAAACAAGTCCGCGCCGGTCGCCAAGAAACCAAAGGCCGAGCCTTCCGATGACTCGCACGTCTCGACTGCCCCGGTCAAGAAGAACGGCGCGTCGAACGGGAAAGCGAACGGGAAGGTGAAAGCCGAGAACGGGACTGCAGGAGCTAAGTCCGCCAAGAAACGAGAGACCAAAAAAGGCGCTACGCCGGTTGACGAGGACGGCAAGACCGAGCAGGAAAAGGAGGAGGAAGAGGCGTATAAGTGGTGGGAGGCCGAGCAGAATGATGGGACTGTGAAATGGACTACTCTTTCGCACAAGGGAGTCTTGTTCCCGCCTCCGTATGAGCCGCTTCCGAAGCATGTCAAGATGAAGTACGACGGGAAGCCGGTTGATCTCCCGGTCGCGGCGGAAGAGGTCGCTGGGTTTTTTGGCGCGATGCTCGAGAGCGACCATGCGAAAAACCCAGTGTTTCAGAAGAACTTTTTCAACGATTTCAAAGCCGTTCTTAAGAAGGCGGGGGGCGCGAATGTTGCGATTGAGAGTTTCGAAAAATGCGACTTTACAGACATGTTCAACTATTTCGAGGAGAAGCGGCTTGAGAAGAAAAACATGTCTGCGGCCGAGAAGAAGCGGATAAAGGCCGAGAAGGACAAGATCGAGGAAGAGTATAAAGTCTGCTACCTCGACGGTCGTAAGGAAGTCGTCGGCAACTTCCGGATCGAACCTCCAGGCCTCTTCCGCGGCCGCGGGTCGCATCCCAAGACCGGCAAGCTCAAATCCCGCGTGATGCCTGAGCAGGTGACGATCAACATCGGCGCCGAGGCGGAAGTGCCTAAGCCTCCGGAAGGTCATGAGTGGGCAGAGGTCAAGCACGACAACACTGTCTCATGGCTGGCGACTTGGAAGGAGAACATCAACGGTGCCACAAAGTATGTTTTTCTGGCGGCGAATAGTTCGCTGAAAGGCATGAGTGATTTCAAAAAGTTTGAAAAGGCGCGGCAGTTGAAGAATCATATCGACGACATCCGCCAGGATTACAGGCGCGAGTTGAAAGATGAAAAGATGGTTAACCGTCAGCGCGCGACTGCGATGTATCTGATTGATGTTCTCGCCTTGCGAGCTGGTGGTGAGAAGGGCGAGGATGAAGCGGATACCGTGGGTTGTTGCTCATTGCGGTACGAGCATGTCACGTTCAAGCCTCCCAACATCGTCGTGTTTGATTTCTTGGGTAAGGATTCGATTCGCTTCTACCAGGAAGTCAAGGTCGATCATCAGGTGTACAAGAACCTGAAGCTGTTCAAGCGACCGCCCAAGAGGGAGGGTGATGAGCTCTTTGACAGACTCGACCCGCCTTCGCTCAACAAGCATCTGCAAAACTACATGCCCGGTCTCACCGCTAAGGTTTTCCGTACCTACAACGCGTCCAAGACGATGCAAGACCAGCTCGGCAAGATTCCCAACAAAGGCACCGTCAACGAAAAGATGGTTGCATTCAACGCCGCCAACCGCGCTGTCGCGATCCTGTGCAACCATCAGCGCACTGTCTCCAAGTCCCACGAGCAGTCGGTGGGCAAGATCGAGGACAAGATCCTGGAGATCAAGTTCCAGCGGTACAGGTTGAAGATGCAGCTCGCGCAGCTGGAGCCGGCGCGGAAGAAAAAAGACCCTGCGTATTTCGAACGGGATGCCGAGTTGACTGATGAAGTCATTGACAAGATCATCGACAACATTCTAACTCGTGAGCGCGAGAAGATCGTGAAAAAGGTGCAGCGAGATAACGAGAAGCGAGCTGCGGAGGGAGAAACCAAGCTTTCTGAGAAAGAGGTTGAGAAGGAGACGAAAGAGAAGCTGAAGGCGGTCAGCGAGCTCGAAGCGGTGTACGCAAAGGAGAAGAAGTCGTCATTCAAAATGCCCGAGGTGACGGTCAGCTCTGCCGAGAAAGTCGAGCAGCAGATCGAGAAGCTGAACGAGCGCATCACAAACACGACCTTGCAGCTCAAGGACAAGGAAGATAACTCGACGGTTGCGTTGACGACGAGTAAGATCAACTACATTGATCCGCGACTGACAGTCATGTTCTCGAAAAAGTACAGTGTGCCGATAGAGAAGCTGTTTTCAAAGACGTTGAGAGAAAAGTTTAAGTGGGCTATTGAGTCTGCTGATGAGAAGTGGGTGTTTTGAGCAGGGAAGGTCGCTCAACATTGTTTATATGTAAAATTACTGTTGTATTTTTGAGAGTGGGAGTGAAGAAGAAGAAAAATGCAGAAAAGAATTGATGTTTTGGACGGATGGCGTGCTGTATGATGATTGCGAATCAACTAGTAGATTATTCTTCAGACGAAAATGCTTTCTTTTATTTTATCGTACATGCCAAGTAGCTTCCAAAGATAACCATAGCCTAGCAACTACGAGCTCATCTGCTTCTTTATATGCTCAAACAGTTCTTTGGCAGTAGCCTCCTGCCCCATCTTCAAGGCATACTGCATAGGCAAGCTGCTCTCAAACGCCGAGATGCGAATGAACTTCTCGCTAGCCATTGAACTCTTCATACCAGGCATAACCTCGATTCCTTTGTATATCGGTAGATTGAGAATCACGCGAAGGACGCCGTCTGACCGCATAACGATCCGCGCCTTGGATTGCCGAGCGCGCGAGGCCGGTGTTGATTCTTTACTTGTGGGCTCGGAAGAGTCTGCCGCTGCTTCTGGCTCCGGCTCTGCTTCAGCGTTCTTCTTCACGTTGAGATGTAAAACTCCTACGCCGCGCTCTTTCCAGCCCTCTGCTGTCTTGGTAGGATCCAGAGCGTAGAGCTTTGCGCGACAGCTAAATATAGAAGTCTCCATCTCTTCCCCGGTTTCGATTTTCTTTTCTTCGAGCTTGAGTTGTACGTATGGCTCAAAGTCGCCTGTCATGTCGTCGGTCTCTGGATTCTCGCTATTCTCGTCCTTCGCGTCTTCTTTGTCTTCTTCTGTCTCTTTCTTCTTGGGGGTGCCGCTGAATGCACTTAGGAAAGGATTTGAAGATGTGAATGAGGAAAACGGTTTTGGAGCCGAAGACTAGAACAAAGGTTAGTTTATGGATTGTCAGCTGTTAAGATGTAGAGCCAGTTTCAACGCACATCCGAGCTCTTTGATCCGAATATCGACGACCCAAACGCAAGCGACGACGCTGGTTTCACCGGAGCACCACCGAATGCCGAGGCTCCAGACGACGACGAGTAAAAGCTGAACGGCTTGGACGCACTGGCAGCGAGGCCCGATCCGTTCTTGCTGTTTGCTTCTTTGCTGTCTTCATTTTCTTTTGTACCAGCAGCGACTGCTGGTGTGGCGACCTTTTCTTCACTCTTTGCTTCTACCTCTTCAGACTCTTTTTTCGATTCATCACCGGCGGGTTCGTCAGTCGCGCTGTCGTTAGCAGACTCTGTCGGTGCAGCAGCCTCACCCGCTTCAGCAGTCTCTGTCGGATCGGCCTTCTTTTCAGTCACTGAATCCGACCGAACCCTTTTAGATACACTAGACTCTTCTTTAACTTGCTCGGCAGACTCCGATTTCGGAACCGGTGAGGATGATCGGCTTCGTTTGCGCGAGGTAGCGGCCGGCTCAGTTGTAGGCTCCTCAGTTTTCTCTGCGTCATTGCTTTTGGCTGATTCATCGGCTGATGCAAGTCAGTCAATACGTTCCTCATCTTTCATTCAGATAAATGCAAAATTACCTGTCGGCTCAACTGCAGGTTGGTCACTGGACTTTTCCGGTTCTTTGGCTGCCTCCGCAGTTGGCTGAAGATCGGCTTCAGACTTTGTCGAAGCAACTTCTTCCGATTTGAGCTCCGACACCTCAGTCTGCGCGGTATCCTCACTTTTAGAATCAGCAGACTTGTCCTCAGATCCCGTCATTGTCTTTCCGTTTCGCGATTGTGGAGTAGAATCAAGATCAAATCAACAAAGAGTGCGCGGATCGCATCTCTAAACGTAAATAATAAACAAGAAGGCGCCGACAGAGCGAGTTGCCCTAAGCCTAAATCTCACAAGACGCCCTTGCCCTGGTGCGAATGTGAGCGATCAACTTCAACACTGAAGAATTCAAATCATCAAAGGAGTTTTGTAGAGAAACCAGTTGCTGTCTTTGTTCAAATCACATACGACTGGTAGCTGTTGTATCTACTTGGAATTGGATCGGCTTTTGCTTTCTTCAGTTCTTGTTTCGTTGATCTTGTCAGAACGAAATACATAACGCAGGTGGACTCGCAAAAAAGGAAAGTCACTCACTCTTCTCGATATACAAATATATGACGCGCGGGCATTACTTTATCGATTTCCGAATACAGATTATATGAACAAGATGAATCGTTCAGGTTAGTTTTCAAGAGATGTTTGTCTTGGCTTTGCGGTGGAGATGCCAGTTGGGCTGATGCCTTGTTCAGGTCAACCGTCCCAGAGCCGTTCACACGGCTTCTCGAACGTGATCAATACGATGAACAGACCGAGTAGTATGCAGCAGCAGCCTGTCAATGCTGCTTCTGTTGCCGGAGGGGCTTCAAATAGCCAGCGGGGTAGGTCTCTCTTTTGTTGTAGTCCTGTCTTGTTTTCCAGTATCAGTATACAGAGAGAGGGCACCAGGTAGCGCGCCATCAGCTAACAAGATCATAAATCATAGGTCAAGTGCCATTATGGGGAACAGGTGCATTCGGCAAACCGGTGCTGTCGCAGCAGTCCCCATCCTCCGGAATCCGATCAGCCGGCGCCGGTTTTGGCAGCGGACCATTTGCCGGTGGTGCTCTGGACATGAACGATTTCCCGACCCTCGGACAGGCGACCGCAAAGTCCTATTCAGCAGTGACTGGGAATGGAGCCGGGAGTAGCATGATTGGAGGGTTTGGTGCACAGCAGCAGTATAGCGCACGTTCGGGAACGCAGTCTCCGATGCCACTAGTGTCGCAGTCGGGACCCCCCGGACTTTCTCAGCAGCAGCAACAACAACAACAACAACAGCAGCAGCAGCAGAATATGGATGCAGCTCACCAGCAGCAGCTTTTCATGCAGCATCAGCACCAGCAAATACAGTTTCAACAACAGCATCAACAACAGCAGCAGCAGCAGATCGGACTCCTTCCTACACACGGCGATCAGATAGATGACAAGAACTGGCCGGATAGCCCACTTGTCGGAATCGATGGCGGAAACACCAGTTCGAGCAGCAACAATGTTGCCAGCAGCAATTACAGCAACAACTCGGTCGGCACAATCATGGGTGCTCCGCGTGAGAGCAGTAATGGTGCGAACGGGACACATTTCGAAGAAGGGTCTCGGGACTACGAAGAGCAGCAACGACTCGAGCAGGAGTACACCAACATGCTTCGAAGGAATCCTAATGATCTGTGGAATATTCAGCAGCAGCCCCAGCAGGATGAAAATAAGGAAGACGCCGCAGAGGCAAAGGAGGAGAAGGGGGAGAGCATGCCGTTTGGTTTGAGTGGATTGATGAATTTCATCAAGACTGAGAGCAATAACGATCTTGCCCTGCTCGCCATGGGTAGCGATCTCACAACGCTTGGTCTTAATCTTAACCAGCCTGAGTAAGTAAGCTGTGTTTTTTTCATTCGTAACTGTAATACTGACAAATCGCAGTTCCGAGCCATTGAGTGTAACCTTTGCGTCGCCATGGGCTGAGGCGTCAAATGTGAAGGTCGAGCCCGAGTTTCATCTTCCGTCATGCTACCATGTCCAGTCCGCACCGCCTCAGCAGACCAAGATCTCCAACTTCTCGGACGAGACTCTGTTCTACATCTTCTACTCGATGCCGCGTGACTACATGCAAGAGGCCGCGGCGGCGGAGCTGACGACGCGCAACTGGCGGTACCACAAGGAGCTTAAGGTCTGGCTGACCAAAGAGCCTGGTGCGGAGCCAATACAGCAGAATGTGCACTACGAGCGCGGAGTTTACACGTTCTTTGATACGAGCACGTGGGAGCGGGTGAAGAAGGAGTATGTTTTGTATTATCAGGCTATTGCGTGAGTAGAGAGTATGGGATCCTGCTTTTGTGCAGGCGGCGATGAATTGATGTCAGACAGAAGTTAGTGTATACTATTTATTTTCTTTCTTTCTATTTAAGACTATTGAATATGAAGATGTATGACTTGCCTTGCGTAGAGTAGTCGGCTGAGATATAGGGCACAGGCGGGTCGAGTCATGTGCCCACCAGTTTGCCCGAAGCGGGCCAGAGCCAACAAACACCTTTCTCTCCACCGTGTTGACATGGTGATTGTATCGTGGCCCAGCTGACTATGGAGCAAGCTGGTGAACCATCAGAGTATGTCTCCTTCCCGAAGCAGCCGACCGCGACTCCCAAACGCCGTCTGATAACGATGTGCGATGGTGGGTACTGATCTCGACGCGCGACAGAGCAAGGACACGGGTGTACTGACAGCGATTTCTAAAGGAACATGGCAAAACTCGTATCGACGCGCAAACTCTGGGTCGTCTAACATAGCGCGCATAGCGCGTGCGATCATGCCGCAGAGTAAGGACGGCAAGATTCCACAGATCCTGTATTATAATCCTGGCATCGGGACCTCGCGGTCTGCGTGGAAGAACTTCTGGGGTGGTGCGCGTGTTTCTCTCTTGATCTCTCGAGTTTTTACCTGGACCAAACACACAGCTGACAAACAAAACAAAAACAAAAAGGTGCTTTAGGAGAAGGTTTCATTGACCAGATCGAGCAGACGTACTGTTTTATTTCATACAATTACCTCCCCGGCGACGAACTGTTTTTCTACGGCTTCTCTCGCGGCGCGTACATGGTGCGCTCGATCAGCAATCTCATTCTCGATTTCGGAATCCTGCGCAAGCCCGGCATGAGCCGGTTTGCGGAGTTGTTTAAGATATATACCAGTCGCGAGACAGCGGCGAGGACAAAAGCGCTGGCGGAGCTGCGGACGGAGCTGGTGAACAATCATCTGCTGATTGAGGGGGAGAAAATAACAATCAAGTTTATAGGATGCTTCGATAGCGTTGGTGTTCTTGGGATACCCCATATTCTTCCGTTTATACCCTCGAGTTATTCATTTTTAGACCTGCAGCTGAAAAATAGTGAGTTTGTGTTTTGGCGAGTGGTGGTAGGTAGAAATGACGGTGAGACTTGTTCAGATGTTGAATGAAATGTAGGAGTCGAGAACGCGTATCATGCTCTAGCGCTAGACGAAACACGGCTTCTGTTCCGTCCCGTGATGTGGTTTTTTGATCCCTCGAGTCCGCATATCGAAAATTACCAGCAAACATGGTTCACCGGTGCTCACATCAACATCGGCGGCGGCAGCATGGGTAAAGAGATTCCCGGAACCGGGTTACTCAGTGTTCCCGCAATCGTGTATCTGACCAAGCTATGCCGACGAAAGCTCGCTGCTGCAATGTGTCGCAGCCGGTCGCGGAGACTGAAAGCCAAGAAGCAGCAGGAGGCGGCGTACAACACGCTCTCGGACGGGACTCTGATCTGGATGATTTCCAAATCACGTCCGTTCCTAGACTTTGACGAGGATTATCTCCACTGCAATATCCGCGCACAACGGATTTCGCACGAGGAGCGCGGAGGACCCGCGGGCGATGGGTTTCATAAGCCTCTTGATTTGTTTCCGGAGCTGCCGGGGCAATTGGAAAGTCCGTGGTATAACGGTCCGATTGCGGATAACTATTATGGAATGTATATGTTTTGGCTTGTCTTTGGTCGTCACGTCCGACGGGTCCTGGGATATACTCCCAAGAACGGCGAGTGCGGCCCAGCAATGTCGCCCCGTCGCGAGGGCAAAAAATCTCGAAAAGGCAAGAAACCGGCCTGTTCGCCAACCAGCAGTGCGGACTCGTGCGCAGAACAGGCCATCACCAACGAGTGTATCCACAGATCTGTCCTGGATCGAGGAACCACGCATCCAGCTTTGGAAGCCGTTTACTGGGGCGAGGAGTCTGAGGTTGTGGATGATGGCATGAAAAAAGTTGAGGTGGAGGAGTATTCTGATTTTGAGCTGGAGTTTTGGAGAGATGAGAAGCAGTTTCCGTGATACCCTTGTTCTGTCGAATTCTACCCTGAAACTGTGTTTGTACGGCTTTTGATAGCTTGTTCTGTCAGTCGTTTGAAGGAGCATGGTGGGCTCTGTGACTGATTTGAGATACATCGCGTTCGTTGAAGTTTTATTTTATACAAGCTTGTGCTGAGACAGACATAGAAGAGAGTGGATTCTAGATAGTAGCCTCACTTTATAGATTCATGTCTATAGACTACCAAATATTCCAAGGCAAAGAAAGACAGATTATATTGTGGAGACTTTAGGTACAACAAAACACAAGCATCTTACTCAAACGCGGTAAAATTCTCTTCATCATCTGCAGGACGTTGCTTGAGAACCAAAGGCTTACCCTCGATCCGCTCGTAGATATCCTTGACGTCGTCGGTCGTGGTCTCAAAGTGACTGGTCGCGTCATAACTCTTGGAGATGTAGACGTGGTCCTTGGTGCCATCGTCGATGGGCTCCAACAGATCCTCGACACCGACGAATTTCTCCAGCACAGGACCGAGCAGGTGCATCGCCGGCGTGATTTCGTTCAGCGGGTTGTCTGTCTCGCAGATGGTGGAGACGATCGCGAGATAGTGGCCCTTGGACGAGACGTTGTGGGCAGTGGACACCATCGCGATATAGATGTCGTGCTTTCTGCCGACCTGGTTCTGTGGAATCACAATCTGTAGCGAGTCGGCGTTGTCTGTGTTGGGGATCGGGCGGGTGAGAACGCAGATCACGCGGATGACCTTGCCGGTCTTGCGCACCTTGGTCGGGAAGTAAGTCGGGTCACCGATGATGATCTTTGCGCGCGCAACCTCGTCCCCGGAACGGACGCCGACAGCGACGCCGTCTTCGTAGACGATCTCATCAACGGGCTTATCGAGCATGTAGGTACCACCGTAGATTGCTGAAAGACGCGCAAATCCCTGGGGAAGCTCGCCCAAGCCGTAAAGCGGATAAAGGTAGGGCGACTTGCCGAAGCGGGCCATCGACTTGACGTACAGCAAGATGCGCTCGACGGTTTCACGCGCGGGCTTGGTGAGGTAGTCGTCGTCGAGGTAGAGAGCCATTGCGTGACCGATGAAGTCCTTGGTACCGGACTCGAGACCAAACTTGGTGTAGACCTCGTTCATGCTGTTGCGGTCGAGGTTCAAGCCCTGGTGGGTGGAAGGGTTGCCCTCTTCGTAGTTTCCAATGAACTCGAAGAAGCGCTTCATGCGGCGTTTCTCAAACAGACCCATTAGTGGGGAGCGAATGGCTTCCATTTCGTTGGAGGGCACCTTGGCGATCTTGCCGTCGCGGTAGACGAACGATCCTGAGATCTGCTTGAACTCCATGTAGCGGGTGACGTTCGTGTGCTGTCAGATCACGTTAGTTTTGTCTGTGTGTAGGTTTGAGATCCGTAGTGATGTACATACAACAAGGATATTGGTCAGCTCTCCGTTAGCCATCAAGAACTTGGGAATCAGATCAATATTCCAGTCACGATCACGGCCCAAGCTTTGACGGGGTTGCTCGCCGGGACGGTACTTCTCGTAGATCTAATGTGGGGCATACAGTTAGTAAACTGAGGGATGATTCAATCGACTGTAGAGTGATAGCAATAAGGCAAAGTACCTGAGTAAGAGACAAACTCGCGCTCTCTCTGTAGACAAAGTCAGCATGTCATTGGTTCACTGCTTGGTGATGATCACAGTCAGATGGAAGCAAATAGGATGAATCATACCCTCCGTAGTGGTCCTGTCGATCGATGTGGAGGACCTTCTTTCCTTCGACACTGAAAACACCAGACAGAATGCACTCGGTCAGGCCTATAGACAGTAATTAGACAAAGAACAGGAAGTGCGGCCAACAGCTGAAAGGGGGAGAAGGGTGGCTCATACCAGTGCCTACGTATCAAGAATCAAAAGTTAGCAGATGCACCTTCACCACAGAAGAAACCAAAACAGAAAACAAGCCTACCGAGCACAATGACATCGTACTGTTCATCCATTTTAATCCAGTCTTTAATTGATCAAGTTCGGGGCAAACGAGTCTACTTTGAAAGCGAGAGAACGTGGTGGTAGCGGAGAGGACGATTAGGAAGGTATCTGATAGACCGCCATCTCGGCGTCACTCCTCTGATCACGTGAACGACGATTAACCCGGCACCAGAACGCGTCGAACGCGGATCAGACGGCCGTTCAGCCCTGCGGAAGCGCGCACGTATTCGAGAATGAGGATGAAGGTTGATTTAGGCATCGTCCTGGTCGTGTTTGCGGTTCTGTGCGGACGAGCAGCGGCTTCGGTGGGCGACCGACTGCCAGAGTTCCGCGACTGCGTCTCGCGCTGCGTAGCTTCGGTTTGCGAGACTTCTCCGCAGCTTCCGCTGTATTTGACAGTGTTTGCCTGGACCTGTCCGCAAAACTGCGATTACGAATGCCAGCGAACGATCACGGCCGAGAGGATTGCGGCGAACAAAGAGGTGGTGCAGTTCCACGGGAAGTGGCCGTTCAAGCGGTTTCTAGGAATCCAGGAGCCGGCGTCGGTTATCTTCTCGATGCTCAACTTTGTTCCTCATTACCGCACCTACAAGTACTTTACCTCTCCTCTCAGTCCACCGATTGATGATGTGCATGCTGGGTTCTACATGAAGAAGTACTACGTGCTGGTGACGATCGTGGGCATGAACGCGTGGGTTTGGTCATCGGTGTTCCATTGCCGCGACTTCAAGCTGACCGAGCGACTGGACTACTTCTCCGCGGGAATAACAGTCATGACTGGCTTCTATTTCGCAGTTGTCAGGGTATTCCGACTGGACAGACCTGCAAAGAAGCCTCTGAGACGGTTGCTGACGATAGCGTGTGTTCTGTCGGTGCTATCGCACATCTCGTATCTCTCGTTTGTGAGATTCAGTTACACATACAACATGGCCGCGAACGTTGTCGTCGGCCTGCTGCAGAACGCTCTGTGGATCTACTTTTCGATAAAGACGTATTTCTTCTCGGAAAAGCGAGAGACAAGGGCGCTCGTGCCGCTGTTCAACGTGCTCCTGCTCAGCGCAGCCATGAGTCTCGAGCTCTTTGACTTCTCGCCGTTTCTGGATACAATCGACGCGCATTCGCTGTGGCATGCTGCTACGGTTCTCCCGTCGTTCTGGTACTATGATTGGATGAAGGCAGACGCGGCGCACGAAACAGGTGTCAAACTGAAGTTGTGAGGAGAATAATGGAGGCGCAGCTGGGGCGTTGACAGACGCGTAATCAGCTGGCGGTCTGCATATACGCTGAAATTTTCTTCAGACAACGAGGCACTGCAGATGAATTGGTTGCAGGTGTATTATTCGGATCATTGTATATTTATCTAGCCATATTCCTACTCGAGAGAGATCTCAGAGCATCTCAGAGACGTAGGATCACAGTCTTATTGCGATAGTATTGTTATGATCATTGGTTTAATCTGAGAAAGAAGATGTCGAATAAGGTTTGTGTGCGGCTGGCTGCAACTCGGTTGCGGTTCCGGTTCACAACTCCAGTTCCTCGTGCTTCTAAAAAGAGTCGACTATCGTGGGTTTGTCGACTTATCGTCCAACTATCGCGAAAGCCTTCTCCGTCGCTGTCCGTCGTGCTTGTTCTTGTCTTCTGCGTCCGTCAGATCTTCCTGGTACTTTTGTTGTTCTTCCAGTTATCGTCTACTGCCGCCAATGCACCTCATCGTCACCGCAGAGACGTCAGAGGAGATATACACCCTCGAGGTCTCCGCTTCGATGACACTGGGAGATCTCCGCGCCTACGTCGAGGCAGAGTCAAACGTGCCGGTCCAGAATCAGATCTTGTTCTACCGCGCGAACATCCTTGCAGGCGATGAACAGCCGCTGTCCGCGTTCAACATGGAGGACTACGACATGATCATGCTCCGAGTCCAGCAGCCCGCTGCGCCTCCAGCCAGCATGCCTACGATATCCGACGCAGCGGCCGATGCGCAGACCGCGATCGTCAATGACTTTGAAAAGGTCCGGTTGCAGATGCTGGGCGATCAGGCGCTCTGTGATCTCGTCAGACAGACGTATCCTGATCTGGTGAACGCGGTCAACGACCCCGCACGGTTCAAAGAGTTGCTGACGCAGATTGAAGAGTCGCGGCTAGAGGCGGAGGAAATAAAACGCAGAGAGCTTGTATGTGGTTATCAAAAGCGTGTTCCGTATTTCAATTAAAGCTAACCTGTTATCTCTTTATAGAAACGTCTGAACGATGATCCCTACAACGAAGAATCTCAGCGCAAGATCCTCGAGCTCATCCAGCAAGAAGCAGTGATGGAGAACCTGAATAACGCACTCGAGCATAATCCTGAATCGTTTGGATATGTGCATATGCTTTACGTCCCTGTCGAAGTCAACGGCCACAAGATCAAAGCCTTTGTCGATTCCGGCGCGCAGCGGACTATCATGAGTCCATCGTGTGCTGAGGCTTGTCAGTACGTACCATCTGCCCCTTTATTTTTTTGTTGCTGATTTGAACACTGAGCTGATGTTGATTTGATTAGTGTGATGTTTTTACTGGATCGGACTTTTCAGGGAGTTGCTAGAGGTGTGGGAACAGCAAAGATTCTGGGCAGAATTCACTCTGCGCCACTTAAGATTGGAAATGCCTACCTGCCTTGCAGTTTTACAGTCATGGAAGGAAAAGATGTCGATCTGCTTTTAGGACTTGATAGTATGTGTTTGTGTCTTTTTTCCAGAATGATAAGAGATCATGCTGACAGCTGACTTTGATTAGTGCTCAAACGTCATCTGGCGACCATCGATCTGAAGCGTAATGTTCTTGTCCTCGGCGACGAAGAAGTTCCATTTTTAGGTGAAGCCGATCTCCCGATTCAAGCGCGACAAAGCAATCTTTCAGAAGCCGAGATTGCCGAGCTCACGCAACGCTCCGAAGCCGAGCATCAGCGAGAACTCCAGCAGACGCAAACGCAGCTGGAGGAGCAGCAAAGGCAACAGCTGGGTATACAGCAAGCAGAGTCCTCAGAGTCGCAGTCATCACAACCACAACAATCAGGATCGGAAGGAGGCTTAGGATATGTTCAACCGAGGTCATTACCGTCAGGATCGCAGGAGGAAGCCGTAGCTCCGCGATCGATACCACAGCAGCCGATTTTGCGGCCAGATCAGCCTCTGTTCCCCGAATACACCCCTCAAGCAGCGAAACCGTCGACAGAGATATCGCAGGAAATGACCAGCACTGCTTCGCCTTCAGCTCAGGTTGTTTTCTCAGAAACGAATATCGCGCAGCTGGAGAGCTTAGGCGTGTCGCGGGAGGAAGCGATATCCGCCCTGCGAACTGCGAATGGTAACGTAGAGATCGCGGCGAGCTTATTATTCCAGTAGAACTTTTTTCTTTGTCATGCTCCTCTATTAGTTTGTGCTAGTATTTGCTAGATCCAGCATTATGTCTTTTGCTTTTTCTTCTTTTCTCCCATTCTAACAACATCGGCATGTATCTGATGTCAGTATGGAGATAACTGTGTAAGATTGCGTATCGTGAGGTTTATTTGGTTTTAGTTTATCGTCGTTTGGTCGTTCAGTGGCGCTGTTTATCTTTTGTGTCTTGCTTATTCGATTACATCTACATTGTTCATCTGCTTTTAATGTTGTTGTTGTTTGTAATAATCGACGGCATCTTCCTCGAGAGCTGATCAACGTAGACGCGTGCTGAGCCGCACAAACTCTTGAAATCTCAAACTGATTGTCGACGACCAGAAGTCACTCAGAACCGTCTCTCTTCTTAAATCAGACACGCAGTTATCTGTAATCTACATTACTGATCAAGCATAGAACACGACCGGTATACACAGCGCCCAGCACATGAGATGACGAGCGTTAATCAGACTCTCAGGTTCTACGACCTCTGTCGGCAGGCTGCAGAGCGGAAGGGAGTCCGCTGCTCGCTGGATGCGCCTCCTGCGCCTGTCTCGGGGACAGAGAGCGACAGTACATCAGTCGAGAGCGAGAAAGGACGGAAGAAGCAGGATCCGTTTACGGCTGAAGCTCGGCAGACTGTACGTCATCCACTTTGGACGGGTTTTGTCGTGTACTGACACTGACACGTATATATCTAGTATAACCACATCATCTCGCTCCAGTCGTACCTGGCCACCATCCGTCCTTCCTATCTGAACGTGTCAACCCACGGCATGCTTTCCTCATACAGCTCGAGCGCGGGATCGGCCTCTCTGCGCTCGTCAAACAGAGCGCTGACCAACGCCCAACGCGACGAGATCGACTACGAATCCCGGCTGATAATCCAGCGCTGCACGAACCGAGTACGTGATCTCGAGAACTTGGCTGCGCAGGCCGCGAAAGCGGATGCACAGATGACAGGGCCGACGTCGGTGAAGGCATCTCTCGCGAGGTTGTTCATCAAGGACGATGAGGACGCAGGAGGGCGGAAGACGCTGGCGATGCATAGAAGAGGGATGACGCAGATGCTAAACAAATTACTGAAAGAGGTCTCGGAGATGCAGACTGAGTTGCAAGAAGTGCGGTTATCGCGCGACAATGAAAAGGCAAAGAGTATGCTCAACAGCCGTGCTGCGGGGGGTACCTACGGCGGCGGCGCGTCTTCTCTAAGCGAGCAGAATGCCGGCCAACAGACGGCGATTACGATGCAGGAGCTACTTTCGGAAGAGCATCAAAAACAGGACGCCGAGCTCGGTGCGATGACCGATCCGGTCCTCCTTCAGCAATTGGAGACCGAGAACGCGGCTCTCCTCGCCGAATTTCAAGAACGGCTCGAGCAGGCTCAGCAAGCAGAGAAATCGCTCTACGAGATTGCTAGTCTGCAGGGAGAGCTGGCCGCACATCTTGCCGAGCAGGCTGAGGTCACCGAGGCACTGTACAACGACTCTGTGGATACGATGGGTGTGGTGGAGAGTGCGAATAAAGAGCTGCTGAATGCGCGACAACGAAATCGGCTGGCGAGCAAGATCATAATAGCGATGGCATTATTCTTGGCTTTTTTCTTGCTGTTTGTCGATTACGCTACAAGTTAACGGGACAGAAAAATAAAAGTCAATCTAATATTTTGGGGAGATGTACGAGCAAAGCATCGGCAAAGAAGCAAATATATTTACAAAGCAAGCAAACAAAGGAGAAAACCAAGAAAAAACACAATATATGAACCAATTTGACAAAAGAGACAAACAATAACACGTCACGCCATGATATAGAAAACTGAGAGTACATGTTCTAACCCGATACAAATCAAAACACAACACACTTGCAAAGAAAGTACACCAACAAACACGGACAAAGACTTTTTCACTCACGGAATCGTACAAGCGAGAAAAAGTAGTAAAAGAAATAAATGCTGGCTAACGCAAGATGCACACACACACACACACTAATCAGAGTAGTTGTTGTCCTGAATGCTGATGATTACTCGATGGGGCGTGAGGGAATGAGCGATGATGTAGTCACCGTTCACGAGATCGTTTTCGTCGGCGCGTTTGGCGGCTTCTTGCTCGTCTTTTGCGATACCGACTTTTATGTGTCTTTTGATTATCCGTCGCCGCGCAATGTCGCGGTCGACACGGACAAACCATCTGTGAAGGCGCTGTTAATTCCACACACTTGTTCAAGTCGTCATCAAATTTAGTAAACTTACAGCTCGTCCATCAATCCTGCGATGGCACTCCACGGCTCTTCATCTAAATGCAGGTAATTGCCCTCAATAATGAGAACTCGATCGGTGGGCAGAACCTCAATGTCATTCTCGACCGGATCCTTTTTCGCATGGTCGAACGAGGGTGCGTATATCGGACGCGAATCAGCCGTCAGAGGTTTCCGCAGCTCCTGAACGAGCGCTAGAAGCGACTGCGGATCGAATGTGAATGGTGCACCACGACGGGCAAAGGCCTCTTCCGGATTAGGCATGGCAGCGAGAGAGGCGCGCGTTAGGTGAAAGCCGTCCATTGGAATAAAAGCTGCTATCCTGGACGCTGTCGTTGTGGTTTGAAGCGCAGTCCATTGCTGATTGATCTTGTCGAGGACGACCTGGGGAGAGAGTGGTTAGCTGCACGCGACGGAGTGGACAGGTGGGCAAGATCATGGCGGTGGACTTACATTTCCAAGGGTTGTCTTTCCGCTGCCAGGGATTCCAGAGACCTAAAAAAAGTCAGCGAGTGTTGATTCTATATAAGACTGAGGAGAAACATACGGCGATCAGAATGCGCTGGTCAGGAGGAGCACTAGATGTCGAACTCGAGTTAGAGACTGCCGCAATCAGGCGATGAAGCAAAGCACAGAGGACCAGTGAGCTTACTTGTTAAGCAGATCCAGTGCATGCCCGGCAAGCTCGTCAAAAGTGGCATCCATGAGGACTGTGCAGACACCGGTGGGCAGCAATTGGGATGGAGGGATGATGCAGGAGGGGAGGAGGACTGCCGCAGACTATGGCTGCTCCTTCAAAGTGAATATGGGGCTTCTGCTGGGTAAAGCGACCAGGCCAAGACGACTCGCCGCAAGAAACAGGCAGCCTGATGACAATTGAATGATATTTCCGACAAACAACAACAATCGCGAAAGCCGGGGCGGAGTGTTTACAGAGGAAGAGCTGCTGATTCTGCTTCACTGTTCAAAGCGGTCCTCGGTCGAGCGATGCCCGGCGGGTCAGTCGTTTCGGGACGCGGGTCTTTCGTCCCCGCATCCGGACCCGCGCCGCTCCAGGTCAGACTTAGTAATTAAGCCACGATTTCAGCCACATCAGCAGCCACGCGATCTCGCACTTTGGGCCCGGCTTTTGTGTTTACAATTACTCGAATCGTCTCTTCACGCGATACCGGATCAGAGCCTTTTTCATCGTCCTTTTCTAGTTGTCGCTGGTCAGGTTATTGTCTGCGGGCTCTGCGTTTTTTGTCTGTCTGTTTCTTCTTCATCCAGACAGCCGTCGCTCTCCTCGTCGCGCTGCACCAACAACATCCGAGATCGCCGCCCGTCCTTTGTTTACATGACTCGGCCTCTGCTTAAATGACTGGCAAGCTCTGGTCGTATCTCTCCCCGCGCTCGACTGCCAGGAAGGAACAACTGCAGCAGAATACCCCGGGCACTGCTTCAAACGGCTTCATGAATAACACTCCTGTGCCCGCTACTCCGAGATCGGCGTGCACGCCGGGCAGGAAAGCCGCCCCCGAGAAGCCGATAATCGGCAACTACGTACGTCTTCACCAGTGTCCTTCTCTACTACTTGATTTCATTTTTTGCTAAACACCATCTTATATTTCAGTCACTCGGAAATCTTTTGGGTAAAGGTGCGTTTGGCGAAGTCCGTCAGGCTCTTAATCTGCGCACCGGCGAAACCGTCGCGGTCAAGCTCATCAGTCTGTCAAATGTCAAAAAAAAGGAGATCCAAAATATCATGGTACGTACTGACTCATATAACCTGGAACCTGTTGCTAATGATATACAACTACAAACAGCACGAATCAGACCTCCTTCGCAATCTAGATCATCCCAACATTGTACGATACCTAGGCTTCTTAAAGTCTGAAAATTACTTGTATATTATTCTTGAGTATGTATCTATCCAGTCTGCCTTTATACAGTGAGAACTATCTGCTAAAACAAACAGATTCTGCGAAAACGGCTCTCTCACTGCGACAAGCAAAAATTTTGGCGTATTTCCCGAGCGTTTGGTTGCGATCTTCATCTCCCAGGTCCTCCAAGGGCTGATGTACCTACACGAGCAAGGCGTCGTTCACCGCGACATCAAAGGGGCGAACATATTGACCACAAAGGAAGGGATCGTCAAACTGGCTGATTTCGGAGTCGCTACCTCTCGCACCATCGCTGCTGTCGATTCAGATTCGGCCGGGGAGGAACAGCATGAGGTTGTCGGAACCCCTTATTATATGGCTCCTGAAATCATTCAGCTTAAAGGTGCTAGTCCAAAGTCTGACATTTGGAGTGTGGGCTGTACGACGATTGAACTGGTGACCGGTCATCCTCCGTATCACCACATTGAACAAATGCCCGCACTCTACCGCGTCATCCACGATCCCCATCCTCCATTGCCGGAAGAGATATCTCCGGCTCTCCGAGATTTTCTACTCTCTTGTTTTCAAAAAGATCCTGCCTTGCGATCATCTGCGCAGGAACTTCTTAACCATCCATGGATAAGGAGCGCGCGTAACTCTGGTGACTACAGTGACGCCATAAGCACGATACAAGCTAGCAATTACAGACCGCAGAACCAACACATCAGCAGATATAGTACTTCTTCAGATGAAGAAGAGTCTGGTATTCCCCGGCATCAAACCCCTCGCAACAGCATCTCTCCCCCTACATCAGTCTCGTCGACAGCATCTCCTCGCTCTACTCCTCCTTTGAATCAATCTGTGCCTGTCTTGGGGCAGTCAAGACAGCAGTTTCATTTTAATGCTCAACAGATGAGGCAATCTGTTGATGAAAAGTATCAGCAGAGCATTGTTGAGACCAAGCTCAACAAATATTCAGAGATCCCCAGTCAAAATTCCTTATTATCAACATCTGCCGCCCCTCAGCTTCCGTTGAGCTCGTTTCGCCAAGTCTCAGAAGAGCAGCATCCTGGTTCGGAAAGGTGGGACTCGGACTTTGTTCTTCCCAGAGAAGGACTCTCTAATGCTCTGGCGACCAAACTAAGAAGGCCGACTACGTTGCTGCCGCGGACAACATCTACGCGGACACCTGCGACGAAAATCCCATTGACGCCATCTTCATCATTCACTCCGGCAACTTCAGACTCACCTATGTCATCTTCCGCGTTTGTATTGGGAAACCGGGAGAGGAGCCACACCGATGCCTTTAGACCGTCGAGATCAGCTCGCCAGTCGATGATCGAGCCCGAGACCGAGCAAGATCAAACGAACTGGGACCTAGATTTCGAAGGCGAGCTGAAAATAAACCGGCACGGGCGTCTTGTCTGATGGCTCTCATTTGTATAAATTAAGTAAATAGGCCTCGTTTCTGTGTTTATAACGCTTTGTATTCTTTTTGTATCATGCATTGCTCATGTATAGATGTTACTCGCAGAGATCTGGGATGGGTGTTTTGGTAATTTTGGGAGTTTTCTTTGTCTTGCTGCTTACTGGCGACATCATTACAGCGAGAGGTTTTTAATATACTTCTTTACACAGCATTACTACTAATTGAATACTGTAGATCCCATGTATGGCAAGTCCATCTGCATTGCATTTGGTAATTGCCAAAATAGGAATACCCTTACATCATGATCCCGTGACCCAGCCGGATGAGGTCATAGACAAGCGATTTCCGGCAAGCCATCCAACCCAGTCTGTTCTTGCGGTGGTTGATCACTCGAGCCGAGCATTTAAAGATTTGATTCATTACAGTCCTTCAAGAAATCCCGAGGATTTGCCGCTTGCTTGAAACATGCGTTCTGCCGGCTTGCTACTCCTGATCGCAGGGCTGCTGGCGTGGGCTAGATTGGGATATGGAGCGATAACAGAAGTTCACGAGCCAGGCACCTGCGCGATGTACAAGAATGCAAGATATCCTCTGAAAGACATGACTTTTGCTATTGTGGAAATTTAGCTGACTTTGATTGATTCTGTAGTGCGGAAAGAAGAGCTTCTTCGGGGCTCAGCTCCCATGTCCTTATAACGGTCCTGCTGCGACGCCCGATCCTGGTATGAGAGCTACGCTCGTCGATATATGCGGTGCTGAATGGGCAGAGACCAATGTTTGCTGTGACGCAGATCAGGTATGCTTACATATCTACTATATACAATGCTGAGGATTGGAATTGCTAATCTCTTGTACAGCTCGAGAACCTGCGCGGCAATCTCAAAAAGGCAGAGACATTGATTTCATCATGTCCTGCGTGTCAAGCAAACTTTGTCGAATTCTTCTGCTCTTTCAGCTGCTCGCCCAATCAATCACAGTTCATAAACATTACAAGTCTTGGAACAGCAACCTCCGGAAGTGATATCGTCACCGAGCTGGACTACTTTGTCGACGACCTATTAGCCGAAAAGTTCTACAACTCGTGTAAAGATGTCAAGTTCTCAGCAACGAACGGTTATGTCATGGATCTCATCGGCGGAGGCGCAACCAACTACAAGGAATTTCTAAAGTTCTTGGGCGATGAGAAGCCGCTTTTGGGAGGTTCCCCGTTCCAGATCAATTTCCCTTGGGGAGAGACTCCAGACGAGATCGACCGGTTAGAATTTGACGCAAAGAACTGCGCCAGCCAGGATGTGCGGTATCGCTGTGCTTGCGTGGACTGTCCTGGTGCTTGTCCGTCGCTGCCGCCTGCAAAGGAGCAATTCCAGTGTCATATCGGCGCGCTGCCTTGCTTTTCGCTGGCGGTTATTCTACTCTATGCGCTCATGCTTATCGTCTTTGTTCTCGTGTACAAGTCAATCATTCAATTCAACCGCGGACCGTTTTATAAGCCGGAGAGACTTCGCCTGTTGCAGGAGAACGGCGGTGCTTCTGAAGATGAAGAAGAAGGAGACATTGTGGAGACCTCGGAACTGGTCGAGCGGGAGTTGGCAAAGACCTACAAACTTCATAGTATTTTGCAGTCCAAGTTCACAACTCTCGGTCTATTCTGCGCGCAGTTTCCTGGACTGGTCATAGGACTTTCTTTGCTCTTTGTGGGAATCATGTCTCTGGGCTGGTTCCATTTCACTATCGAGACCAACCCCGTGAGATTGTGGGTGAGTCCTCAATCGGAAACCTATTTGCAGAAGCAATTCTATGACGAGCAGTTTGGACCATTCTACCGCGCTGAACAAGCCTTCCTTGTCAATGAAGACGGTCCTGTGCTGACGTACGACACCTTGAAGTGGTGGTTCGAGGTTGAGTCAAACATAACAGCAATTACCTCTCCGGTCTACGGCACCACATTCGATGATATCTGCCTGAAGCCAACTGGTGAAGCATGTGTTGTCCAGTCAATCACGCAGTATTTTGCTGGTGATATAGATAACGTCGACGTTGACGGGTGGAAAGATCAGATTGCTGTTTGCACTGCAAACCCAGTCGACTGCCTGCCCCCTTTCCAGCAGCCGCTCAAGCCCAGTATGGTCTTGGGTGGTGTTGATGGTGAGGATTACGTCAATGCGCATGCAATCATCATCTCCTGGGTGGCCAACAATGACGAAGAAGGATCGGACCACGTCCAGCGCGCGATGGACTGGGAGACTGTGCTCGAAGCTTATTTGCTAGAGGTTCAGGAGCAGGCTGCCTCGCGAGGGCTTCGACTTAGCTTCAATACCGAGATCTCTCTTGAGAAAGAGTTGAACAAGTCTACAAACACAGATGCTACTATCGTCGTCGTCTCCTACATTTTCATGTTCATCTACGCCTCCATGGCTCTTGGAAAATTGTCTTGGAAATCTGGAAGACGCTCGCTGATCGAGTCCAAGTTCACGCTAGGATTGTTTGGAATTATCATTGTTCTTCTGTCGGTGTCGGCATCGATTGGATTGTTTTCAATCATCGGTGTACCAGTGACGTTGATCATTGCCGAGGTCATTCCGTTCCTGGTCTTGGCAGTTGGTGTAGACAACATTTTCCTACTTTCTCACGAACTCGAGCTGGTCAATCAGGAATACCCCAACGAGCCTGTCGAGCACAGAGTAGCCAGAACGGTCGGAAAGATGGGACCTAGTATTCTGTTATCAGCCTCTTGCGAGTTCATTGCCTTTGCATTAGGCTCCGCCGTCGCTATGCCGGCCGTGCGCAACTTTGCAATCTACGCCGCCGGTGCTGTCTTTGTGGACGCTATTCTCCAGATGACGATGTTTGTGTCTGCCTTGACTCTGGATCAACTTCGGGTGGAGGACAACCGAGTCGACTGTTTGCCTTTGTTGAAGCTTCAGCTGAGACCGGCAGCTACTTCTAGTTCAACTGTGATTACGAAAGAGTCAGAGCTGGTGCGGTGGATTAGAACAAAGTACGCGCCCGCCATATTGAAGAAAGAGGCCAAGGCTATCATTTTGATGGTCTTCTGCGGTGCATGTGCTCTGTCACTTGCGTTGATTCCAAAGATCCAGCTCGGCCTAGATCAAAGGATTGCTGTGCCGAGTGAGTCGTTTCTGGTCAACTACTTTGACGATCTGTACGACTACTTTGATTCCGGTCCACCAGTCTACTTTGTCACGACAGAGTCAAACGTCACAACGCGCGCGGGTCAGAAGGCTCTTTGCGGTCGTTTCTCGACCTGCAATGAGTACTCGCTACTAAACATTCTAGAGCAAGAGCGAAAGAGACCCGAGTCTTCATACATTTCTGAGCCGGCGGCGTCGTGGATCGACGACTTCTTCCACTGGCTGAATCCGCAATTGGATGAGTGCTGCCGCTTCAAGAAAGGCTCGACGGACGAGATGTGCTCGCCGTTTGCGCGCGACTGGCAATGTGATGTATGTTATGCAAACAAAGATCCGGCCTGGAATATCACTATGAACGGGTTGCCTGAGGGAGAGGAGTTTTTGAAGTTCTTCTCGTTCTGGATCGATTCGCCATCGGATCCTTGTCCTTTGGGAGGTAAAGCGCCGTACTCGAACGCGATCGTGCCAGACTACGAGCGGGTTACGATCAACGCTTCGTCCTTCCGAACGTCGCACACACCTCTTCGTTCGCAAGATGACTTTATCAATGCGTTTGCGAGCGCAAAGGAGATTGCAAAGACTGCTTCCCGCGAGACCGGAGTCGAGATTTTCCCGTACTCTGTCTTTTACATCTTCTTCGACCAGTATGACTCGATATTCCGGCTCACAACGACGCTGATCGTAGCCGCTTTGGCAGCCATTCTTGCAATCTCTTCGCTTCTGCTTGGCTCTATCAGCAGCGGCATCATCGTGACTGTGACGGTCGGTATGATTGTGATTGACATCATGGGAGTCATGGTAGTCTGGGGCATCTCGCTGAACGCCGTCAGTCTTGTCAACCTCGTCATCTGCGTCGGTATCGGCGTCGAGTTCTGCAGTCACCTGGCGCGCGCGTTCATGGTTCCCAACAAAGACGTCCTCGATCTGAGCCGGTCGCGCATGAAAGGTAACGACGAGCGGGTATGGGCCGCGCTCGTGAGCGTGGGCGGCTCGGTCCTGAGCGGCATCACGCTGACCAAGCTGATTGGCGTGATTGTGCTCGCGTTCACGAGATCAAAGATCTTTGAAATCTACTATTTCCGAATGTGGCTCTCGCTCGTGATCATCGCCGCCTTGCACGGACTCATGCTGTTACCGGTCGCGCTGTCGTATTTCGGCGGCGAAGGGTATACCTTGGAGGAATTCACTATCGGGCCTGAGAACACGAGTAGGAGGTATAGAGCGCTTTTTGAGGAGCCGGAGTCGGTCGAGAGTGAGACGGACGAGGAGGAAGAGCAGGGGCCGTAGTTTGTACTTTTTTCGTCATATTCATATTTCCGTTTTTTTTCATTTACCATATAGTCATAGTCGCAACGGGGAAGTTGGGGATGTAGTGTGTATAATTAGTCTTGAATCAAGAATCTGAACACCATAGTGTGAATAAAGTTATTCGATACCGCATGCGCCTAACATAGCTTTAAATGGACAACAATACGAGCTAAAATAATCAACAAAGCAAAAAAAGATCGATATAACCTTAACGAAACAACATCGAACAGCATGTGTGAAAAACCAAATCAAAGAAACAGAAAACCCCGAATTTTAAATGCCTTCCATATAATAAATCAAACTTTTTTTCTCTTCATTTATCTTTGCGCAGACCTTTAGCGCAGGCTCGTCTTCTGTTTATCCCTGGACTGTCTTTGCGAGGATAGAGTCTGCGGGGATCGAAGACGGGTTTGTGCTGTAGATGTATTTGAGCAGCTGGACAACGTCGTTGCGCGTAGCGTCGTGCTCAAACTGCTTCGACTCCTCGGAGTCATTAGCAAAGACAACCTCGAGCGCCTTGAGGATCTCGCCCGTGAGCGACTGCACGGTCGCGTTCTGGCCCTGGTATAACTGGACAATCAGCCGGAAGATCGGGTCGTTTTCCTCAAAGCCGTCGGTGAGCGGGAGCTTGTAGACCAACGGCGGCAGGATCGCGTCGATCGGCGCGCTCTCCGGGTGCGCAGAGCACATGCGCGCAACGCAGCCGCAGATGTTTGCGATGCAGCGCGCGCTCTCGGCGTCGGACACGAGGAGCTGCTGCAGGCGCTGGAAGGTCTTGGTGTATGTCGCCGTGATCTCTTGCGAGGACTGGCTGTACTCTGCGAGCATGCCGTAGCCGTAGACGGCGTTGCTGCGGACGTCGATCGATTCGTCTGATAGACGGTGGGTGAATGTCTTTAGGAGCTGCGTGGTCCAGGGTGTGACTGCGCCCTTGAGACCGTTGACGATCTCTGCGAGCGCGCCGACGCCGGCCTTGCGCTCGCCGACACTCGAGCTCGAGCAGAATTTTTGCAGGATCGGGAAGAAAGTGCGGAAGTACTCTGTGAAATCTCCGCCGAGAGCAGCAGCAAGCGACACGACGCAGTCCATAGCCGACTCGATCAGCATGACATCGTACTCAGCCGAGTCCTCGTATTCTTCGTCTTCCGGGTCGTCCTCCATCGTCTGGCACTGGTGCTGCTTCTTGAGAACGGCAAGGACTTGCGTGCAGATCGCCTCGGTGTTGTTTCCGACAATCGCGGGACCACACAGACGGATGATTTCGCAAAAGTTGTCGCAGATAACGGTAGCCACCGAACTATAACACAAAGTTAGACCAATCATTCGGAATCGACGCAGAGATGAAAACCTCTTGGATTCCGAAAGACTTCTTGCTTTAGGTTCAGAATAGGACTAATCAGCAATGACAACTTGTGTCTCTGAGTGAGCTGAGTTTGTAAAGTGATTTTCTCATCATGTTAAGAAAGCAAGAAGTCTGTCGGAATCTAGTGGTGATCAAAAGTAGTGCAGAAAATACATACCGATCGTCTTCCTCATCAAAGGCCTCGAGAGTAGCCTTCATCACCATCTCAGAATAGGTGGTAACAGACTCAGCAACAGGCACCTTCACCGGCAACCCAGGCTGCCACTTTGGCGGGTTCGAGATGTTATACACAACCCCGACGGTCTGCCACAGAGACCCGATAGCAGCCTTTCTGATACCCTCGTAGAAATGGGAGACCAAGCCCAGCATGAGCTGTGAAGCCTCTTCCATGTACGGCAGAAAAGCCGTCTTTGTTCCCGCGGCAAAATCACCCAACACATCAATGGCGATTTCTTTCTCGATCGCGAGCGCGCTGTTGATGGTGATGTTGTTCCAGTCCGCTTCATCGACGTCACCGACCTCGACATCGTCATTCTCTTCAAACCCAGTCTCCTCCTGCTCCAGCACCTTGAATAGCTCTGGCATGATGCGAGGCAGGAAAGAACCAAACTCCTCGCCGTAGATCTTGGCGAGACAGCCAAAGAACAGATAGACGCACTCGCGCAGCCGGCTGTGCTTTGAGCTGAAGCATTGGTAGGCGGTTTCGACAAGCGCCGAGGCAAACGGGTTGAACGCCTCTTTACCGACGGCGGTCGCCATCGAGGACATGGCGTCGAAAGCCATGCCCTTGACGTCAAGCTCGGCTTCGCCCTCGGTCAAAGCCAAGAAGGGCTCGAGAGCATGAACGGTGGTGTTGAAGTAAGGCAGGAAGTTCTCCTGCGATGCGTGAGCGGCTGAGCCGATGGCAGCGATAATCGGGCCCTTGATTGAAATGTCGGAAGCAGGCTGGTGGAGAAGCTCAATCAGACGGGTCATCAAGGTGTCTAGGTATTTCGAAATCACATCCTTCTCCATTGTCTCAACCATCGCATCCAAAGCAGTGCACGCGGCCTTGCCGACCTTGAGATCGGAAGTATCCATCATGTTGAAGACGAGCGGCAGCAGCGTCTCGTGCTCCTTACTGATGCTCTCCTGGAGTTCCTCAGCGAGCTGAGCAAGCGCGCTCAAGGCGGCGCCTCGGACTTCAAGAACACTGTCCTGGAGACCCTGGAGGATAACAGGCAGGACGAACTTCAATTGGGTGGCCAGGAACTCTGGTGAGCCTTCGGCTGCGACACTGAGCGCGAGCAGACCGGCTCTTCTGTAGTTGGGGTTGGGGGAGGACAAGTATTTGGGGATTTCGGAGAGGAGGGTGTTCATCACCTGCGACGGAGGAAGAGTAGAAGACATCATGTCGATAAATCGGAGCGCCAGTCTGGGCACGCTATCTTCCTCGGCGTCCTCATCAATCTCGTCCATCGACTCAGCAGCGATTGACATCGCAGTGCTCGTCAGAGTAGGTCCGATTCTCAGACCCTGGATCTTCATTCTCTTGAATCTGACGGCGTTTGTCAGGAACTGCAAAGCCAAGATGCGGGCTTCACTGTCTGCACTGGGCTCTTTAGCAAGTTCGAGCATGAACTGCATAAGGTCACCCAAGCTCTTGCCAATAACACCAGACTCGATCCACAGCAGGGTTTGGAAGACATCAAATGCCTGGTTAAGCGCTTTCGTGTCGCCAGCCTCGATAAGCTGCTTGAGCACGTTAACCATGCTGGGAAGAAATTGCCGGAAGACGGCAACATGCTCGCTGTTTGTGTCGATGATTTCGGCAATCTTGCCCAGCGCCAGCAGCGTATCCGTCCGAACGGTCTGACTTTCGGGATCATTAATAGTTTGCGAAAAGAGCGTCAGAAAGTCGCCAATCTTCTCGGTGAAGGTCGGGTCCATGGACTCGAGCAGCGAGTATAAGAGGTACACGCCGACCTCGCGCTCGTTCGCAGCCGACGAGGTAGCAGCTTTCTGCACGTACGAAGGCAGCTCCACCCACTCGTTATTCGGTAAATCGCACTTTGCAATCTCGGAAATCACTCGCGAAGACGCATGGCGGACGATAGAGACCGGCTCCTGCAGCGTGGACTGGAAGAGCGTCATCCGGATCTGAGCCTTGAGCCCGGCGTCGAGTTCATCCCAATACGCCGGAACGAGCTTGCGCGCTTCAATTGCAGCAAGCTGCCGTAGTTGAACAGACGGGCTCTGCTGGATAATCTGTATGAGGGCAGGAACACATTTCTCGGAGACGTAGTACTCCTTTTGCAGTTTGGAGGAAGCAGCTTTGATGACCTCGCTGTTCGGAGCAGTGATCTGCTCCAGCAGATTGCTGATTTCCAGCGCGAATTGGGGATCAGCCATTATAAAGAGAGTATGACGTTCCTCTTATAAGAACTCTGAAAGATAGACAAGGACTCTTCCAGCGAAAAAAAAAAGGAGGAGGAAAAAGCCACGAGGGAGGAAGTGCACCGGAGAGAAGAATGAGAAACAAAAAAAAAATATTTTGTTTGCGCACAAAAAAATTTTGAGAAGCCCTAGCGAGCCGGACCCCTGTCACGTGTAATCCGTCCGAGGGTGTCGTACTCCTAAACTGGTTCCCCGAATCCAGACCCGCGTCGAGAGTCTGATCAGCCCGGAGCTGTCGGGTTTTCTGTCTGCAGCTCGCAGAGAGAAGATGTCGGCCGACGACGAGGACAATTACGTTTGAAAGATATTTCAAGGTATTCTGGGAGGCCGTCGCGATATGCAAACATGCTCGCCGCCGTGTCCTCTGCTCTGTTTGCGTGCGCGCATGTCATTGATATCACTTCGCCGTTTGTGATATACTCCCACATCCGCACCGTCCGTCCCTTCCGCCGTCCGCACACCGCAGAGCTGCGGGGGATTTCAGTCGACATGCTCGTCCTGAACTGCGAGTCCGCGGTCTACCGGCTGCTGTGGGCGCTGGTGTATCTGTTTCCGAGCGAGACGGTGCGGAAGCAGCATCGCGCGCGGTATCCAGTCACGAATCCGACGATCGATTCGCGTGAGATTATATGGCAAGACGTCCCGCTCGCGCTCTCCGCGCTGGTTTTCACGATCCTCATGCTCGGTTTCGACAGGCGCGCGGCTGTGGAGCAGATCCGTTTGCGGTGCTCGCCTATTGCGAAGTACACGTCCCTGTTTTTCTTCCTGTGCGCGTTCGTGGTCTTTGTGCTCGCGTCCTACGTTCACGTTGATCAGACGACCGGAATGGCCTTCTACGGACTCTACTACATCGACTTTGTCGACCTCCTCAAAGGCCTCGCGCACTTCTTCTACCAAGTCCGGCTCTGGCCCCAGCTCGTCATCAACTGGGAAGAAAACTGTACCGTCACATGGAGCACAACGTTCACCCACCTCCTCCTCTTTTCCTCAGGCTTGAATATATCCGGTATACTCCTCCGCTGGATCTCCCTCTCCGGCCTCGACAGAGCAGCAAATCCCGCGCCCGGCCGCCTTCTCTCTTCTCTCCACACCCTTCTCATCTGCACCCTCCTCTACGGCCAAATCTACTGGCTCTACAAACGCGACAACGAGCGCGCGTGGAGAGGCATCATGAAACGCGCGTCAGACGATGGCTACACCTCTGACGATAGCGACGCTTCGTCGGTGAGCTCGGAGTCCGCCAGAACTAGAGCACGGCGGCGGACGTCGCCTGGTGTGCAGCGCGCGGTCGATGATGAGGAAGGTCGGATCGGGCTGGTCTCTCTTTCTGTGAAATAGTGTCTATAGTTGTAATTACGATTGGAGTTGGGTATTTGGTGTATATACGGGTCTTTTTTTTTGTTATATAATAGATATAAAACATTTCAAATCACATGAAAAATTATGGCTACAAGAAGCAAATAAATAAAATAAATCAGATTAAACACACAAATCATGATACGCAGAACCACAAATTTTCGTAAACTCCTAATCAAAAAATAATAATAATGATGATGATATCAACTTTCAGACCCATACAGTATTTGTTTTTCTTTTCTTGCAGTGATAACAAACCCAATAACTTCTTCCTCCTTTTCATTCTTTCCTGACAAATGATCATTTTTGTTGACTTTTTTTTTTCTATATCTCCCAAACAAATCTTCCCAGAACAATAAAAACACACAACATCCAATTTTTTGTTTTCGGTCGATGGTATTTTTCTTTTCGAGAGGCGGTTTAATTGTGCTTGCCGCCGGTACGCTCAGCTCTCAACTTGCGCTGCGCCTTCTCCTTCTCGGCGTCGTAGACCAAGAACTCGTGGAGTCCCTTGCCGGCGGGAACCATGGGCAATACAGGGACCTTCTTGTCGACGAGGACCTCGACGAGGACGGGACCGTCGTACGCGAGCATCTCCTTGAGCTTGGGCTCTAGCTCCTCGAGCTTGGAAATGCGGATACCCTTGACGCCCATGGCGTCAGCGAGCTTCATAAAGTCCGGGTTGGTCTGGTGAGTGTGCGCGTATCTGTCCTCGTAGAACAGGGACTGCCATTGGGTGACCATACCCTGTTCCTCGTTGTTGAGTACGATGGCCTTGACGCCGATGTTGAACTGCGCGGCAGCAGACAGCTCGGTGAGGGTCATGTTGAACGAGGCGTCACCGTCAATGTCGATAACGACATGGTCGGGCTTGGCGACCTTGGCTCCGATGGCAGCAGGCAGACCGAAGCCCATGGTACCGAGACCGCCGGAGGTGATCATGGTACGGGGGTACTTCCATCTGTAGTGCTGAGCGGTCCACATCTGATGCTGACCGACACCGGTGGTGATGATGGTCTTGTCCTTGATAGGATCCGTCAGGCGCGAGAGCTCAGAGATGACGGTCTGCGGCTTGATAAGCCCGCCGGGGGTCTCCTTCTGGTAGTCAAAGGGAAACTTCTTCTTCCAAGTGCTGATCTGCTCCATCCACTCGGCTCGCGACTCGACCTGGTTGACGAGCGGCATAAGCTGCGCCAGCATCTCGGTGACATCGCCCTCGACGGCCTCGGTGACGTCAACGATCTTGTTGATGTTCTTCGGCGAGATGTCAAAGTGAACAATACCACCACGGCCCTCAGCCTCTGCCCGACGAGCCTCGGGGGCGAACTTGGAAAGCGTGCCGGTGACACGGTCGTCGAAGCGGGCGCCCAGAGCAAGGATCAAATCAGCCTCCTGGATGGCAAGGTTGGCGTACGCACTGCCGTGCATTCCAAGCATATGCAGGGACTTTTCGCTGGTCTCGTCGAACGCGCCAAGGGCCTGCAGAGTGGTGGTGACGGGGATGCAAGCCTTCTCGGCAAGCTCGCGGAGACGGAACGGGCCGTCGGGAGAGCCGGTGATGCCCTGGCCGCAGTAGATGACGGGCTTCTTGGCCTGGTTGATGAGTCTGGCGGTGTTCTTGAGCGCCTTGTTGGTGACATCGGTCGAGGCCGCGAGCGCGGAGACAGAGAGTCCCTGCGATGGGAGAGAGTTCAGGGTAGGGATCGGTCGGTTGAGGATACCAGCCGTGACATCCTTGGGCAGATCGACCAAGACCGGTCCTGGTCTTCCAGACATCGCAATCTCAAAGGCCTCGTTGATCCTCCGCGGAAGCTCGGCAACGTTCTTGACCATGACGTTCCACTTTGTGCACGAGCGGGAGATGCCGACGACGTCGGCTTCCTGAAAGGAATCGGTGCCGATCAAGGAGGTGGCGACCTGGCCGGTGAAGACGACCAAGGGAACACCGTCGGAAAGAGCGTCCTGGAGAGGAGTAATGACATTAGTGGCGCCGGGGCCCGAGGTGACGAGGACGACACCGGGCTTTCCCGAGGCGCGGGCGTAGCCTTCGGCCATGTGGCCGGCGCCCTGCTCGTGACGGGGGAGAATGAATTTCAGGTGGGGGGAGTTGTAGATGGCGTCGAAGACGGGGAGAATAGCACCACCAGGGTATCCGACTGAGAAAGAGATGTGAGTCAGAGGATCGAGGTTGAATGATTAAATTAACTTACAGATGGTGTCGACGTTGTGCCTCAGCATCATCTCGTGGAAGATGTCACCACCGGACAATCCGACGAAGCTGTAGAGGAATGGGAGGTTAGCTTGAGGAAGTTGGACGCGTGGTGGAAAAGACGTAACATACGAGTCATCGGCTTGGGACGGGGTCTTGCGGATAGGCGCGAGCTCATCGATCTTGCTGGCCTGGACGGCAGGAGAAGAAGGAGCGGTTTTAGGACTGATAGAGAATTAGTAAGTACTCTTGATTGACGATAGCGAATAGGAAACAAAGCAGACGGGACATACGCGGTGGCCGCAGAGTGGGCTTTCCGGGTGGTGTTTTGGTTGAGAGTGGCGGCGACGGTGGATTTTGATCGGATCGCGGAGGGTAAAGCGCGACGAGAGGCCCTCGCGGCGGCAGCCCGAGCAGCAGGCGAGATATTTCTGAGCATGAGAGAGTGGTTTGAGTGTAAGAAGAGGAGGAAGAAGAAGAGGAAGCTGAGGAAGAAGAAAAGGCGGAGAACAAAAGATGAGTCGAGGCGAAAGAGTTTTTCGCAGAGGTTTTAAAGAAAAGCAACGCGGCACCAAAAATGAGTAAAACTTCGCGCCGATATCGGCAATCCCCGGATTAAGGTTTCTGCGCTCAACCTTCGCTGTGGGTTGCTTCGTGTGTTTTTGCTCGTTGGTTCTGGCGAGTTTTGCTGGAGTTGGTGTTAGAATAAGTGTTGATCGCGTAAGTATCTTCTGTTTGTATGTTGTTTGTTGTGTTGTATTGTATTGTGCTGTGCTGTGTTGTGTTGTGCAATTGATGGACACTGTCTCTCGTAGACCATCGAGCACTCAGATCAGATATCGCATCGATCGAGATCAACTCCCTGCCATGTTCACACATCATCACCTCTGTGATGGCACCATGATATGAGCTGTGACAATATCATTTTACACAGCACAATCAATGTCTATATAATCTGATGATTAACTCGTCATTTCAGATTATCTAGATCGGAGCTCGCATATCATTTTAATCGTGTTGCATCTCGAAAGTCATAACTGGCATGTCTGCCTCACCCAAAAAATCCCCCATCAGACGCGGTACCGTCGAAGACGTGCCCGTAATCCTGGTATCACCACCCATCTCTTGACCATCCATCCCACACGCGCACAGACTAATTACTTCTCTCCCCAGGGCTTCATCAAAGAACTCGCCGAGTACGAGCACGAAACAGATAAAGTGCTCTGCACCGAATCCATGCTCGCGAAAACAATCTTCGGCCCGACGCCCTACGCCAAAGTCCTGATTGCGCAAACCGATGAAGGCGTGCCCGCTGGCTTTGCGCTGTATTTCTACAATTACTCCACGTGGAACGGGAAGCCGGGTATCTACCTAGAGGACCTGTACGTGCAGCCAAAGCATAGAGGAAAATCGTTCGGCTCGGCGTTGTTGTATGCGCTTGCCGAGGAATTGGTTGCTATCGACGGAGGCCGATTAGAATGGAGCGTAAGTCGTTTTCTTTTCTCACATCTCATATATCACAGCATACTCACTTTCTCCTTCATATTCTTTCAGGTTTTGAAATGGAACACGCCGTCTATTGAGTTTTACCAGCGTATCGGCGCGAACCCAATGACTGAATGGCAAATGATGCGTGTTGATGGAGACACGATTGCAACGCTGGCAAACAAGTCTTCCGGCATTCTTGAGTAGAAGATATTTCAAAAGGAGTAGATCATTGCATAATTAATGTACTTGCAGAAAACTTGCACATCAACTCATTTCTACTGTTTATATAGAGATTTATTGAGCAATCACAGAGCAAATCACTATAAACCATTCACACATCATAGAGCAGACAGTTCTGCTTCACAAGTGCGCGCATTATGTCCTGGCATCCTACACTTTCCACAACGTCGTCCAGTCGGCCCTGCGCTGCTTTGCGCTTCTAGCTGTGCCTGCTGTCCAGCAGCACGTCCTTGCGCTCCCGTCAAGGATCCCCCACGCTGTAAACATAGACCCTCTTCTTGCTGCTGTGGCTGTCGATTAAGGATCTTGTCCCTCAGCGCACGTTCTTCCTCTTCTGGCAAGGTCCCTGACTCTGGTAACTCTCCAGCCAGGATTGCGCGTATCAGAATCCGTCCTTGCGCTCCAGTCAAGGACCCCCCATACTGTATGCGCAGATCTCGTCCTTGCCGTGGTTGCTGTCGATTCACGGCCATGTCCCTCAGCGCACGTCCTTCTTGTCCTCGCTGTGAGCGCAAATATTCTTTCTGCGCGGCCTGCTCTCCGGCAATCTTCTTCTTCTCTAGATCACGTAGTATGTAATCTCTCAAGGGCGCAAAGCACTCATGTTCCTGCCGTGCTTGCAGTCGAGTATTGGGCCTGTTTCTCGGAGGGAGTGCCCTGTGTATTGTCAAGGACCCTCCGCGCTGTGAGCGTGTCTCTTCTGGCTGTGATTGCTGTTGAGCAGGAATGTCGTCCCCCTGAGCACGTCCTTCAGCTCCTGTCGAGGACCCTCCACGCTGTGAGTGTGAATGCTTAGCTTCTCCACCTCTGCAAAAACTCTCATAATCATCTTGAAGGTCCTTGTTGGCTTTCTTTAATGCCTCTTCAACTTTTATGCGACCTGATATATGCCTCATGTCTCTCCTCAAGCGCTTGCTCATCAAATCCCCAGTTAATCGCCTCAAGTTCCTCTTCACGGTCATCAAACATCTTCTTTGTCAAAACAAGTTTGGCCTTCTTCTTCAAATCCACATTTATAAGACCCTGGGTAGCCTGGCGGAGTGGCTTGGCCGCAACAGCCACAATGTCTTCCGGATTATTAGCCATGAGACTTTGCACGTACTCAGATTGTCTCTTGAGCTCATATCTGTTTCTTGGTGTTCGAGGAACCCAAGGGCTCTCAGGTCTCGAAGGAGATCTGTCTGGTGATGGCGTCCGCAATCGCATATCCAGTATTGACGCGCCCTCATCTGCTACTTCTCGCGTAGCAGATCCATCGCGTTCGTCGCGTTCCGAGACACAAGGGCTAACAGATCTCGAAGGAGATCTCTCAGATGATCGCATCCTCAACCGCCCACGCCGGCTAGACAAAACCTCTTTCGCTGATTGCCGCTTGATAAATCTAGAAGCCCAGTGTTTTCCGACGCGTCCCGCGTCGCGACTTGCCAGCTACGCATTCGCCATATCGCGCACGTCTGCGACCGTAACGCGTCTGTCAAAGTCGAGAATGTGCTCAACAAAAACCTCCTCCTCCTGTTATCTCAAAATCGTATTATGGCTACCCCCGTGTCGCGCGCGACGACCACCGGTAAGTCTGCCGCGCAAGGTGCTTTCAGGAACATCATATCTCTTCGCAGCAGCTCGCAAGCTCAGATTTTCTTCGTTTTTCACAGCTTCGATCGCCTGTTTGATGCGGTCTTCTTTGGTGGGGGGCATGGTTGGTTTGGTGTGGAATGTTGGGGAAGGGGGAAGGGGAGGGTTTTATATAGAGGTGCGCGAAACTATTGGTTTGTTTTCATGTTTATTGTGTTGATTACCCTTTGTAGCGGCGCGCTTCTCCACATCTTTCTACAAAAAGGTAATTACTCAACCACAACAAGTTAAATCAATTAAAACTATCTAAAATATTAAAGAGTGGACATTTCTGCATCTTTAACGAGTGCGCGAAGTATACCCCGTCCTCCTACACATGCTACAGCGTCGTTCAGTTGGCGCGGTGGTCCTTTGCTCTCCACCCCCCTCACGCGTTTCCACCAGCAGTTACTCTTGAGCATTGCTCTCGTTTGTCAAACCATGTTCTTACTACCCTGCGACAGACCCTCCATGCGTGTATTTTTGTGTATTCGGCAGCTGCAGATATCCGAGTTTGCCTCATGAGGTTGCTGAGAGCTAGACTTCGATGAAGAGGATTTGGATCTCATACTGGTCATATCTTTCGCATATCGGCCGATCGCTATGAAGGATGAGGTTTGAGAGCTTCCCTGATAACTATCTTTGTACCAATGCGAGCTCGTTCGAAGACTCTGGAGCATTGGGCGGGGCGGTGTTTCTGGTACCTACTTCTCATAAGCGAGCTCAAAGATCTCGTACATGCTAACCCCACGCGTTTATCTTCACAAAATATTCATGGAAAAGGGCTCCTCAATAGTTAACAGACAAGTAAGACGCGTTTTAATAAATTCTCCCGTTGCAATTTGGCGAATCTGAGGCCCAGTTCTGTCCGACGCGTCCTCGTGCTCTGCCGGTAAAACATAAGCCATATCTCCACGTCTGCCAAACATAAATCGATCTTCATCTTTCTAGGTTGCTAATACATCAAATAAAATAATCTACTTCTCTCTCATTCAATTTCAAGCAATTCGCGCGGCAATATCGTCAAACGTGTTGATTGTTCGTGCTGTCATGTAGGGTACTTTCGCGATCAATTGTATGCCTTAGCAGCGCTTCTAAAGCTCCGCTTTTTTTTTCCTTCTAAATAGCATGATAAGTAAGAGCTCTCAAATCTTTATTTAGTGGATACCATGGTTGGCTGGTGTGGGATGTTGTGGAGAAGGAGGAATGGTCGAATTATATGTAGAAGCGCAATTCACGTGAACTATATGAGTCACGTGCATATACGGATAAGCAGAATGAGGGTCCGGTGCCCCCACCCGAAAGCAAGAGAATTCAAGGATTCAGACTTCATCTGATCACCTGTTTGGCGCACGATAAAGCAAAGATCCCGGCTTTCGACTGCTAAACTACTTCCACAAGATAAAACTACAGCGTGTCTAACCTCAGAGCGACATGTCATGCTCACCTGCGGCTATTGCGTCTGCTGAAAACTCAGCCGGACGAGCGGATGTCGGTACAGCACACAACCAGGTAGGTGCTTGTCTTTATGCCTGTTGTGAAGAAGTGTTTAATAAAAGATGAGTCGGTTGGCTGACGGTTGTTATGTGAGATAGACAAAAGAGAACTCTGACCATCTGGCGAGAATACGAGAGAATCAGCGAAGATCCCGGGCGCGAAAGCGGGAGTATGTGTCAGACCTGGAATCAAAGATAAAGGGGTGTCAGGAGGAAGGACTACAGCTCAACATTCAGATTCAGCGGGTGGCGCGAAGGGTTGTGGAGGAGAACAAGAAGCTGCGGGAGTTACTGGCGCAGGTCGGTATAGACGAGTGGACGGTGGAGGATTACTTGAAGAGCAAGAGCGGAGAGGATTTTCAGTCGTGGATTACGCAGCGGCATCAGGAAGAGGAGATATTGAAGGCGCAACATCCTTGTCGCACGTGCGGGACTGCGCCGGCAAAGGCGAAGGATGAGAATATGAGCCGGTCAAAGTCCAAGCCTGTGGTTGCTGCTGCTTCACTTGAGTCTTCGTCGTCGTCAGTGCCTGCCGTGGTGACTGCTCCAAGGCCTGCAGGCGTCGCGATTCTTCCGCAGCCGCCGTTCAACCCAGCTGCAGCTGCGCTGCCTAGTTCTCGGGTTCCGGTGGCAGCACCACCGCAGGTATTTTCAGGTGCGCCTCAGTATCCGTCGAATATGCTACCGTACGGTATGAACGCAGTCGGGCCAAGCACGATGGTTCACCCACAACCACCTGCCGCAGCGGCAGCAGGCGACAGCGCGACGGTGCTGCCGATAGATTTCACAGCGTACTTCCAGTCGGTCGACATTGACTCTATACAGCTGCCGAACGACTTTTATACGTCGTCAGCGTCATCGTCGTCAGCGCAGAACGGGGCAAATTCATCAAGCGAATCGTCAGCTTCGTGCTGCGCGTCGTCGGCGTCGTCGGCGTCGTCGCCAGAATGCACTGCGTCGGACGTGTGTGCGTCGAAGTCGCAGTAGGATATAGAAGAGAATGGATATATACAGATTTTGCGTCAGCTCGGCTTTCGAGCAAGGGAAGGGTAGTTTTTGGGATATTTTCTTGTTGGCGAATAATTGGATTTCTTTGTTTTGTCTGTTCTACATATGACAGTAATGGATTTGTACATGTTTGCTCTGTGCCTTTGTTTACGCGTTTGTCAGTGTCTGCTGGCTATGAATAAAAGTATTCAATCAACAACCAGCTCAAACACCAGAGATCAAGAGAACCACGTAGAGAACAGGATTGGCCGAACGTTTACTATCGACACTCTGCTGCTGCTGAGCCAATCGGCACGGGCGGGTGACACTCAAGAGCGCTGATCATGTGACATCAACACGAACCCCGTCCGATAGCCAATGCTGACAGACGGGCGTATCGGCAGGTGGCCGGCAGCTGACAGCAGCGGCGACTCATCGCGGCCTTCGTCTGGCGCGACGGCGGTCGGGATCGTGAAGAGCAGTCGGTGATCGCAGACAGAAGCAGCAGCAGCCAGCAGTAAACACAGAAGAACAGGAGCAGCACTCATCCACTTCCCTCCTCCTGCTCTGATCTTATCGCTTGAGCCGCCGCATCGAGATAAGAGCGCGCTCAGGCTGCCCGGTCCCCGCTGCCTCGCTGCCAACTGCTGCTTCGAGACAACGGCCTCCGCACCCGCTGCTCTTCTTCTTCTTCCGTCTGCGTTCTCTGCAAACAACTTCGCCAGCACCGCTGACGTAATCCTCTTCTGTTGTATTCAGGGGCCTCGCCTGAGCACGTGCGCCCGGCCGGGTACCCGCGCAGGGCCGGCAAAGTGGCACAACCACCAAAACACCACTGCGTTTGTGCCGTAGACTTCGCTTCGTCCCTGCCCTCGAAATATTCGCCATTGCGCGCGTCCGGGCCTTTTCCCTCGTCTCTCGTCCCTCTTCCCTTCTTCTATTACTGAGTCTTCTTCTACTTCTTATCTCTCTGTAGTTTCATTATCGTCCTCTCTGCGGTCTGCCGTCCGCCGTCTCTTCTTCTTCTCTCTGCTCTCCCACCCCCCCCCCCCACAATGTCCGGCCCATCTCCACCGGCAAACCAAGACTACAACGACCCCCTCGGGGCCATCCCCTCCGACGACCTCGACCTCGAGCGCGGCGACACACACCGCTCCGTCATCTCCGGCCGCGACAGCCTAGACGATGAAGCCTCGCCGCTCCTCGTCCGGTCAACCACCGCCACCACCTTGGCCTCCACCCAGGGATCGGAGTTAATGAGAGTAGAAACCAAATCAGCCCCCATCGAGCAGCTCAGCATCCTCGACCGCTACCTCCCGCTCTGGATCGTGCTCTCCATGGCCATCGGCATCCCGATCGGCTACTTCTACCCCGACCTGGGCGAGAAGCTCGAGCGCGGCGGCTTCGCCGGCGTCTCTATCCCCATCGCCATCGGCCTCCTCATCATGATGTATCCCATCATGTGCAAAGTCCAGTTCGAGTCCCTGCACCGGCTGCTCGTCGTCAAAGCCCTCTGGGCCCAGGTCGCCATCAGTCTCGTCATCAACTGGATCGTCGCCCCGCTCGTCATGGTCGGTCTCTCCTGGCTCTTCCTCCCGGACGAACCTGAGCTGCGCGAGGGCTTGATCATGGTCGGCGTCGCGCGCTGCATCGCCATGGTCATGATCTGGATCGAGCTTTCCGAAGGCGACACCGACTACGGCGCCATCCTCACCGCCGTCAACTCCATCCTGCAGATGTTTTTATTCGCCCCCACCGCCATGTTTTACATCAACGTCATCGGCAAGAACGCAGACCACCTCGACATCCCCTACGCCGTCGTCGCAAAGTCGGTCGCCATCTTCCTCGGCCTGCCATTACTCTTCGCCGTCGTCACGCGCGTCATCTGCCGCGGCCACCTCGTCAGCGTGCAGACCTACGACGAGAAATTCCTCTCCTTCCTCGAGCCTTTCTCGCTCCTCGGCCTGCTATTCACCATCCTCGTCATGTTTGCCTCCCAAGGCCGCGAGGTCATCACCCAGCTCACCTCCGTCCTGCGAGTCATGGTCCCGATGTTTACCTACTTTGTCATCCTCTTCTTCGGCACCTTATACATCTGCTACCGCATGGGCTACACCTACAAGATCTGCTCCGCCCAGGCCTTCACCGCCGCCAGCAATAACTTTGAGCTCGCCATCGCCGTCATCGTCTCCTACTACGGCATCACCTCGCGACAGGCCCTGGCCGCTACCGTCGGCCCTCTGCTCGAGGTCCCTGTCCTCCTCTCGTTCGTCTACGTCATGCAGCACTACAAAGACCGCATCGCTTGGGGCCACTGGGGTAGCACCGAGGTCATCTCCGGCGCGACTGTCTAGAGACCTATCTCAAAAGCAACTCTACCAAAGTTCTTGTAGTTATGTTTTTTCTATTATTTTACTCGATATCTATTATCTTATTATTGCTTGGGGCGTAACCTAACGACATGTTTGGCTTAAATTTTCAAATTTTTTCTCTTTTTTATCTAATGTGCTTGGGTTTCTAGACTTGGGATGGGTTATGTTTGTAATATAATCATCATAATATATTTGTTATACAATTGCAATTAATCTGTAAGATTCTCCATGTCCACATCTACCTGTAATTTCGTAGAGTAATCGTTCATAAGCCGTACACCTCCTACTTCCTCTCCGTCCCAATAGTCTGATGAAAGTAATTCATAAGCCCGATATGTCCTCCCCGCTCTAGATCCGCGTTCCGCTGCTGCTCCTGCTTCTTCTTTGCCTCCTCGAGCTCGGTTTTCTTCTTATTCGCCGCTGCGTTCTTGTCGTTGTAGTACTTCACCACGCCGATCAAGATCACGGCCGCGATGATGCAGATCACGATCGCGAGACCGAGCCGGGCGCCGAATGTGTCCATGTGGCTGTGGTGGGGGTGGAGGTGGGTGTGTGAATCAGGCCCCAAATGAGTCGTGAGGCAGGACCAGAAGTGAAGATGAGGAGGAGAAGTAGATATCTGGTAGAGGTGACGAACGCAGAAGATCAGCGAGCAGCAAGGTCGGGAATCAAGATAGCAGCAATCAGGTATATATAGATAGATCCACCGGGCAGGCGGCTTGTTTACAGTTCGTCATGTGTGTGGGAAAGTAAACAAAAGCTTCTGATGTCGTAGATTCGGGACGGGGCGGCTAACTCTGCTGAATCTTAGTCTGCCTTGCCACCGTCTTCTGACTTGATCCAGAGTAATCTGCTGTAGACTTTTGTATTCATTTCTCAAGTGAGCAAGCTGGTATTAATTATAAGAGATAAATACCGACGCAGAAGTAACACAGGCATCAAAACATCCTCGCACAGCACTCCCACAGCACAGACATCCCCCCCATCTCCCACCTCCCACGCCCTGTCCTTGATTTAGAAAGAAAGAAAAAGGCCACCAGCGCAGCAACAAATTAGACGCGCAAACCTCAGATTAACTCCCCGATGCCGCAAATTGCGGTCGATTCGACCGAGCGAGACGGGGCGGGTGGGATGACTGGGGAAGTGGGAGTTTTGAGGCTTCGCGAATGGGAGGTTTGAGTTTAATATTTATTTAGTGCTGCTTTTTGAGAAAAGATGAATTGTTGATGATTGTGTGGATGTATTTTATTTAGTTTGAGAAGAGGCAAGTTGATGAGTTGATGTGGAAGAATTATTAATTGACTAGACATTAAAAATAGCGAGTATTCAGCGGCGGTTTCTATCGATCTTTCTCCCTTCACTATCTATCGAAGGCAATTACTCCTTCCATCCTCAAAATTACACCCAAAGCAAGCAGCAACAACAACTAGAAAGCACAACTGAATAAATTCAGCACCAGTTATAAGAGAGAACTAAAAAAACTAGTGTAAAACTCCTTTCCGGTGCCGATGACGGAGTCGCCGTGACACATCACGACCGTGTCAAAGTCGAGCGCTTCGATTACTTTCAGTGCTGTTTTCCCGGTTCTATATCCCGATCAAACGTCAGTTGAGTTCTTCTTATTATCGAAAAAAAGAGCAACTTTGAATAAACTTACTCCTTGTTTTTGATCAGCAGGTCGGGGATCTTGGACTGCGCGTACCGACCGATTCCTGTCGCGTACAAGAACCTGTCCAGCAAGCCCAGCTTTGACTTGCTGTACTGCTCAGTCGGCGGCAAGTTGAAAATCAAGTCCCCGACAACCATGACCTTAGACTGGCCATGGAAGGTCACAAGTTCTCTGTTCATGTGCGCGCCGACGATTATGAACTTCAGCTCCTCTTCCTCCTTGACGTCGTTCAGACCGAGCTCTTTTGCAGGAATGACGCAGTCAAAGTCCGTCACTTCAAAATCGCACGCAAGACCGAGACTCGTCAGCTTCTGCGACGTTAAACTCTTGCAGCCGATAATCTTCGCATCCGGGTATTTCTCCTTCCACCCCGGGATAGCCATGTAATGCACCATATCCGGCGCAACGATGTACTTGAGCGGCAAACCCTCCAGCGTAGCAACAGCAACATCACACACCGGAATCGGCGAGACCATAATCATCCCCGGTCCGTCCGCGAACTGGGCCTTGATGTGTGTCGCGCGAGCCCCAATCTCGACAATAACCCGACTGAACGGACACGCCAGCGTCGTCACGCCCGGCGCGATCTCCTTCACAATCACAAACGCGTCCAGGTCCTTGGGGTATCCCTCAACAGTCGTCATGGTTTCTGCTGTTCTGGCGGCAAAGGCGGTGCGTATGAAAGAAGGATGGTGCAGGCGGAGACTGAAGCAGCTCAGCTCATCGCGGGTCTTCAAACTCAATCTGCCAATTTACGACCGATAAGAAACCGTCTGGATACGCTCAATACGCGCATGCAACTCGGCAAGAAGTCACGTCCACGGCTTCTGAGCGCAGTATCTGCATTCTCTTTCTCTCAAGTGCATGTAACTGTAATCATCTGCTTATATTCAGCACGCCAGATCGTATACATCGCCCGCTGCGGATGACGTCAAGGGAAGCGAGGTTACCCTGCTCCTGCGCAAACCGCTTTCGAGCGCGAACCATCACCGCAAGCTTATCTCCACTCCACAGCACAAAACACCCAAAGCTCTGCTGTTCGCGTCAATCGTTTACCAAAGGAGGAGAGCATTAAGAAATATTCTTCTGGCGTGCATGAATGTCAGACCAAGCACTGCCACACGCGGGCGTGACCCTGGCCGCCGCTGACGCTCTGGCTTCTCCTGCTCCAGAGATCGCCTACCCATTCACCTCCTACCGCCTCTCCCACGCCAACCCATCTCACCTGCACACGATCTCCCGTGTTGTTCTCATCGGTCCCATTCCAGCAGACTGGCTTCGCCGCCACCAAAACTCCTGGCTCGCGCGCGTCTCGCGCTCGTCCGACGCCCAGTTCAAACAAGCATGGTCCTCCGTCTTTCCTGATCTTCCCCCGCCGCATCCCGCGCTCTCGCGCGCAACCTCCGTCAAGATCCCGGCTTCTGTCCGCCATGAGCGGATAAAATCCGGAAGCGCAAGCATGAGCGCGCCCTTCTCGTCGTCGTTTCGCAGCTCGGCGGCGGCGCGCAATGCGACTCGAACTACGGGCATTTCGTACCCCGAAGAGGGATCGCCCTCGCGCATGCACAACGGCCACGCGTCTCCAGCGGGAGGGGGCAGTCCTGCCGGAAGTCAGTTTGCGACACCGGTAGGTTCCTACAAAGACAACTACTTTCCCGACGGAATCAACGCCGCGCTATCCTCGTCCATCGAGTCCGGCCCGGTGATGTCGAGCGCGTCGTCGTACTACCACGACGTGCGCTCGCGCGTGTCCTCGGCGGAATCTACGCCGATGCATTCGCCTGCGCTGACGGCTTCCGAGCCACTACTTCCTGCAAGTCCGACGCTGACGCCGTTTACGAGGTACTCTGACGTCCCCGCCAGCGTTGAGATTTCGAGATCGCTGTCGCGGGGACGGTCGGTGCAGCGGTTTGGTGCGAACTCCGGTTCGCTGGGCGAGTTTGCGCCGTCGAGTTATACATCGACGCAGTCGTTTCTCACCGCACGAGGCACTTCGATATCAGCATCTACCACGACCGACCGATCTGCCCGCTCCGCTTCCGCGACTCCGTCCCAGTCGTCGGCGGACTCGGCCATCCTGACCCCGCGCCGCAGATCAAACTCGCAAGGAAGCGAGGCCTCCACGATCCGCCCCGAACGCGAAACCGTCGCCGTGGCGACAACCTCCCGGATCCCGTCGGCGGTGATGCCGGTATCCAACAGCACGCGCGTCGTCGCGGTAGAGGAAATGCAGCCGCCGCAACCGGTGATCCTGCTCGCGACCAAGAACGCCGCAAAGTCGAGCTTGTCGGTGATTCTCCAGAAAGACGAGCAAGTGCGCCAGATCCGGAGTCAGTCGCGAGCTACGCGAGGCTCGCGCGCGAGCATAAGCTCGGTCGCGTCCGATCGGCCGTTGCTGGCCGAAGCCGATCGCGAGGACCGCGCGCACTCGAGTCACAACGGGTCTGACGACGACTCGATTCGCGATCTAGATTTCAATTTCATGCCGCGGCGCGGCGCGATGGCGCATCATCACGGCGAGGACTTTGACGTTGTGATTGACGGCCAGAGCGTGCTCGGCGCGCTTGGTCCTGATCTCGCGAACGGCGGCGGGCAGACTGCGGATGCGGAACGGTATAAGCTTAAGCGGGGGCAGATTGTGAAGGTGGATAGAGTGTTGGTCAGTATCAAGTCTGCGAACGTGCGGTCTTTGCCGTCGGATTTTAATGAGGCAGATCCTACCCCGCTCGATGTCGTCGAGAGGGCGAGGGAGTATGTTGCTGTTACGCGCTACTTTGGCAATGAGGAGGTGCCATTCTGCCTTGAGCTCTATAAATCATTAGTGCGTTTCCCAACCTGTTATATCACATTCTGATATGTACTAACAGAAATTGTACAGATCGTACCGGCCATCTCTACAGAAAGTCCGCCTTCATCAATCGCCTGCTCCATCCCCTTAGACCGCAAATTCGTCGGCGTCAACCTTTTCTCGTCGCTCGACAAATCGCTTGCGTTATGGACTCCCGACATGAAAGGCAGGAAGAAAAACAACCGCACGATGATTTACATACTACGCTTCCGCTCGCCGTCGACGAGTATCGCCTGGTACGGATTCCTCCGCGGCGTGCTGGGCGGAAAAATCGCAAAGGATATAATTCTGCAGGTGCCTGATTTGGAGGCGTCGCTCAAGATTGGGATTCCGTGGGATGATATCCGGGAACACAATATGCGGATCTTACTCGAAGCGCAGGAAAACGAGGATGCGGGCGCGAATCATGCGCAGGACGTGACGAGCCCGAGACGGACGGTTCTCGATATAACAGAGTACACTATCCAGACCGCGCTCGACATTTTAGAAAAAGTGCCCGAGTACGCCGAGACGGTGCGGTACTGGCGCGAGCGCGAGCGGCTAGGTCTCGCGTGGCGGAGATACGATCGCATCGAATGGCTCCACGACGTGACCGAGCAGCACATCTACGCCGCCTGGGCGCTGCGCAAGACGCACGAGCTCGAGCTCCGGCCGCAGGTGCACTACGCGACCTTCTCGCCGCTGCCGAAACCGCGCGCGGCGCAGTCGGTCGCGGAGCCGCCGCCGATCGAGGGCTTTCTGATCCGACTTACGCAGCACTCGGGAAACACGACGCGGCTGGGCAGGCTGTTTTACAAGCAGTTTTACTTTATGTGCCATGATAACATGCTACTGTTTGGCAAGCCGCACCACGCGACGCCGCCTGCGTTCGAGAAGCCGTTCTCGTTGACGGAGGGATCTGGGACGCGCACGTTCATCCATGAGTTTACGCCGTATCCGATGAAGGAGGGGAAGATTGAGTGGTTGGATGGCACGCGGGTGCGCGATACGCACAAGCTGAAGGAGTTGGATGATATCGCGCTGTCGGAGGTGTATAGAAGGCTTTACCAGATTCTCACGTCGTCCGGGTTTATTGACCTGTGTGATGTAGTTGAGGTTCGCAAGGTTGAGAGAAGTAAGTGGATTCCTTCTGTTAAGTACTACGACGCAAGACTGACCAGACATAGATGCAAACATCGACTCAAACATCGGCGTCGGCGACGGCGTCAACTTCAACAACTCCGGCCGCAACGACAACTCCAACTACGAAGACGGCGTAGTGACCGAGTTCGACGACGACCGCGTCTTCGAGCTCGTCCTCAAATCAGGCCTGGTCGTACGTCTGCAGGCGTTCAACAAAATCACCCGCGACGAGTGGATCTCGAGGTTGGACGAGCTCAGGATATATTGGCAGGCGAGGCTGGAGGCCGACGCGCGCGCGCTGACGAGGCTGAAGGCGGATAATCTCGAGCAGCTGCATATCGATGAGGAGATGGAGTCGCATATCGGCGAGGCGGCGTCAAAGTGGGAGGCGTTGCGGGGAATCGCGGATCCACAGATCTACAACGTCTGCCCGCTTTCGTTCTGTCGAAGCATAACTGTAAGTCGTTTCTATATTTGATGATTCGAGATGCACCGCTAACACCCGTCATATAGATGAAAGGACCATTATTTTTCAAACTCCGCAAACAAGCATCCTTCAAACTCAACTACATCGTCATCTGCCACGGCCACCTCCTAATCTACGAAGAACAATCACGCACCACCTCCGGCGTCGAAGTCCCGAAAATCTACCGCAAAAAGCGCGACGTGATCCCGCTGAAAGAATGCTACGCCTACTCCGGCATCCTCACCGAAGCAGACCTAATGCAGCACAACAACTCCTTCAACGTCTCCGCCGCGCCGGGCATGTTTTCCATGCCGCGCATCTACGCCGACGGCACGACCGCGTCCGACGACGAGTTCTCCCGCTGCTTTGTCCTTTGGCGCGCAAACGCCGCCGCCGAACTCGCGCCCCGAGACGCATCCGCCGCGTTCGACAAACAGTTTCGCAAAAAGTCAAAGGCGGCTGCGGGCGTGGCTTCGGACTCCGGGGATAGGTTCTATAGCATAAACAGGCTGGGGGTGTCCGGGACACCGCTGATGTTCATGGCGAGGTCGAGGATGGAGAAGGAGATGTGGGTTTCTGTCATCACCGACGAGATCGGACGGGTGCAGGAGAAGAGTGTGTCGCACCACGTTGTGTCTTGAGTGAGTGTTTCTATCATTTTTTGAATATTGCATTGAGTGTTTATGGTCTGTTTGGATGGATTTTTGGATTTTTGTATGGGATGATGTACGATTGTAAAACTATCAATGTATTTTTCCGCGCGTATCTCACTTATCTTGAACTTCCGTAGCCCTAAACTTCTATCAACCACCCATCGCATCCAACATCTATTCCCTCCTATATATTCCAATAATCACCAGCGGTGACCGCAACGGTGCCAAAACATCTGAGTCTTAAAAGTACTGTGCATTATGACGTTGGACGCGTCCTGGACCCTGACAACGTAGGAAAAGTTTAAACAATCACGACAACTTTTGTCGCGTCACTGCTGTTTTCTGGGTATTCTATATTTTTCTCGTCGCCGGTTTCGTTCAAACATACTCGGTTCTATTATTTCTGTATTGTGAAGCACGTAATTGTTTTTTTTCTCTAGCTTATAGGATGAGAAAATCTACTGCGACTATAATTCGAGATTGATTGATTTTATTCAGATATTATTAAAACATTTCTGGGTAACTGCTAATCATAGGAGCACACCTGCTTTTGACCGGGATTCAAGGCTTAGTAGGTGACAGAGTACACCGTGAAATACGACGCGTCCTCGGTAAGCGTCGGAGTCTTATGGCTTCCACCGCGCAGCTTGAGATACATCTCCTTCTCCTCCGAGTACACCGAGTATCCGCTCCCGGCCACGAACATGATAGTCCAAATCGAAGCCTCGGCCTTTGCGTCAAAGAACTCGCCCGAGTGATGCAGATACGTGTCGTGGTGTGATTTGATGTAAAACCTGTGCGAGAACGCGTTGCCGACCTGGACGACGACGAAGCGCTGCGTGGTCGCGCTGTAGTCGTCGGCCGCGGCCGTGTTTTTCAGGTAATGCGACGTCGACTCGGAGCTGAACGAGAGTTGCTTGCCGTTGACGGTCTGCGTGAAGACGAGGTAGCGACCCTCGGTCAGGTCGCCGAGGATCTGCTTGTACCCGGACTCGGTCCAGATCGTGGCGTTTTGCTCGCCGTAGGGGACGGGCGGGCGGCGGTCGTCGAGGTCTGGGTAGGCGTCCATGCAGATTTGGTAGCCGTCCCAGGATTGCGAGGTAGTGTTGAACGACGGGAAGGATGCGTTGGCGATCTCGGGGATCGAGTAGTCGGGCTTCATTTCAAAACAGATTAGCAAAGCCTTCAGACAACGGGAAAAATTCACAAGGAATCTTACATTCTCAAAGTCAAACATGTTGACCAAGTTCGACATGTGCTCACGACGCCAAGGATTCACATACTCGTTGTAAATCGACTTGCCGTTGGCCTCCGCCCATGCCTCGAGAAACAAAATCTGCGAGCTGTGGTCCGAGGGCTCGGTGAAGACGCGCGAGCCGCGGGTCCAGGGCGAGATCACGTAGAACGGAAGACGGAAGCCGGGGCCTGAGGGCACGTAGTTTTCTTGCTCCTCGGGGTCTATGGCGGGTTAGCTTGATATGGACTTGATATGGAAACGGGACTGAGATAGAGAGAGTAGAAGCTTACCAACGAACCACTCGCCAATAGTGCCGTTGGGCGAGATGAAAGGCTCGACGTGATCACCCCATCCACCAGTCTCATCATACGAAATAAACAGCACGGTAGACGCATAATCCTTGCCGTTCGTGACCGCATCGACAACCTTCTGCTGCAACCAGGCGCCGTCCTTGGGCATATACGGCTGATGCTCGGTAAGCTCCGCAGGCCCGATGATCCACGACACAGCAGGAAGGGAACCGTTCGCGGCCATTTCGTAGAAGGACTCGAGACCGGTATAGCTGAGGGCGTTGATCGCCATCGAGTCGTCCTCGTCCGCGTCCTGGAACTGCGCAAACCACGCGAACGGGTTGTCGTCAAAGTTGTCCTCGTCCTGGTAGACGTACCAGTCGATGCCGGCGGCCTCGAGGTAGTCGGCGGTCGTGTTCCAGCGGAGGGGGTAGCACGAGTAGGTGACGTTGCCGTTGGTTTGGCAGCCGTCGGTGTCGTAGTTCTCGAGGAAGGGACCACCCATGTACTCATGTGGCGCGACCTCATCTACATACACAGTCAGCGTTCAGTACGACAGAGAAGAATACAGAGCAAACTTACCTGCAGGAGATCCAGGCACGTTGATGGTTCCAGAAACCCAGGATGCACGATTAGGATGGGTAGGTCCGATAACGGACTCGGTGTACATGTCACCGACAGTCCAGCCCTCGGCGATGCCCCAATGAGTAGGCACATCAGAGCGTCTGAGATGGCCCCAAGACCAGGCGGTGTTGTTTGTAACCTAAAGCCATGTGAGCACAGTTCTGTATATATAGCCAGAACGGGAACTTACCCAGCCGTTGATCTTGCCGTTGTTCCACGAGTAATGGTTCGGCTCCCAGTCATTAGACCCAGCGACCATGCACTGCGTACTTTCGACGTACGTGGGATCCTCGTTCAAGTACCACGGCAGCAGATAATCCGCCTCGTCAGAGGCAGTGGGCTGGTAAAACACCGGCAACCCGTCCGTGATCTTGACGTTCGGATCCTTGAATCCACGCACGCCGGCCATGGTTCCAAAGTAATGATCGAAAGCTCGGTTTTCTTGCATGAAGTAAACTACATGCTTGATACTGGTCAAGTCATCGGCCTCAGCACCTGAGATGGAGACCGAGGCGACGATCGCGGCCGCGACGGCGAAGAATGAGACTGCGGGCTTGGAGAAGGACACCATTTATTTCGTGGGGATGTAGCCAGTTGAAACGAGCTTGATAGAGCAGTACTGCAGGTGTTTATATACCCACCGCCAGAGGTGGTGGGCATCGTGAGAATGCATGGACACGAAGGGAAAATGACAGGTCAGTCTAGTGGTACCTTCAGGCTACTACAGAATACAGAATACGCGATGGGATTTAACCCAAGGATCAAGAATTAGAAGTCCTCGTAAGGAGATGAAGCAGCTTGACGTCCAATGGTACAGAGTCAATAACACAGCAGCAGCCGTTCAGAATCCATCGTGTCATCCACGTGCGAATCGGTTAGGACATCTCCGGAGAATGTGTTCAGCAACCCGAGACGAAGCTCGGTTTGCCAATCGATGGAAACGAACGACAGCACTGACAACCTCGAGCAGAAGAAAGTCAATCCACGGTAAGCTTACGGCCACACACGTGTGCCGAACCCCGAGCCGGGAGACGCGCTCGTTGCGTTGCGGGCGATGGTTAAATTTGGCAGATCTGGTGGTTAGCCCGGAGGAGGACGTAGACCGCGCAATGAAGCAAGAGAGGAACAGTTGCTTATTCGTCGCGTAACGAGAGCTTAATGAATCGCAGATATTGCCGATGCAGTGTATCCCCGGGAGGCAGCCAATTGAGGTTCGAGTATATCGAATACAGATGTGTTGTTTGACTCAGCCTTTTGACATCTGAACGATGAGCGCTGGTACATTAAGCTATCCGTTTGACTGCCTGTAGAGTGAATATAGCACAAAGACTCCACAGCTCAGCATTTTAACAGGCCTCATTGTGGAAATCACTCGGAATAACAGATAGAAGAACCAGCAACAGCATCAGCAGCACGTAGGGCTCGGCGTTCGGACCGAATCGAAATCAGAGGAGTTAACAGGAAAGTTTCATAATTTCAACAGAAAAATGTGAGACGCAGTTCTTGGCCCTTGCTTCATTTCCCGGTGAAGTGCGAGGTTGGATGGGTGGGGGGAGCGGAGGGCTAAGCCGTGCGATATCGAAAAAGCTGAGGTACTGAGAAGGAACTGGCTCTTCCTCTGCCTCCCCTGCTGATTTACGGCACGCAGATCATTGCCCGAGGTAAATCTCAATTTAAATAATCGTCGAATGATACAAGATGCCGCCATAGAAACAGCGACTAGATGAAAGAAATTGCATCTCGTTATCCATTTCAGTGCCTGCTAGAGGAGCTTAAACCTGTGAGGCTCGAACTTTCAAGGCACGTTTCTCGGTGCCCTATGAGATGCCGTGAACCCTCCCACGCATCGATACTGCCCCAAAAAAGAGCGACCGCGCTGTCAGGTCATGCCAGGACGAGACGTAAGCTCGTATGCGGACTACTGCATTGGTTTGTAATGATACATGACTCGGCCAGATTTGGCAATCGCTCGCGCCGGAGGATGGATGGATGTGGAAGTGCCGTCAGAGGTGGGTGCGAGGATGCTGCGAGGATGATGGTGGAGTTTAGAGACGGATTTCTTTAAATGACTGTCAACCACTGTTAGAAAGCAGAATATCTGTTTAGTGAGAAGACTATTCTAGGCGATATGTGCAGTCTCAGGAGAGATTGTCTTGCGTTGAGAAACTGTGAGAGATCGTCGGGAGTCCGACAACCTCGGATTTTACGGCGTTTGCAAATAGATCATGATCGCGTCTGCAAATGGATTCATGATCGCGCGCATAACTACAAGCTCAGCCTTCGGATATATTCGTGGGACTGCGGTCTTCTGATTGAGCTGGTGGGTTGATATCGGATAGAGAGAGGTAGGGTATTCGGTTATAGCCGGGAGAGAGGCAAGAGGATATCATGAGTGTCTGGTGCCGTGCTGCCCGAGAGAGCACTTACTAGCCACAGCGTCGTGGGAAGATTGTATTACAAATTCAACACACATTAATCCTCATTACGATTGTAAAGCTGATGACGACATCCTGGAGTTAAGAGAAAGACGTACAGGGAAGGAGAGAGAGAGAGGGAGGCAGTGCACAAGTCCCAACAGCGAGTTTTACTCCGCCACAGCCGCACGCTCCCCAAAGAAATCGCAGGGATTGCTGGTCGCAGATCCCGAACGGTGGACATCTGACCTGCTTGCAAATCGTGGATTTGATACGCGTGTGCTCTACGGTGGCGAGAGTGTTAGATGTCGCATGTGATAGGCAAGGTAACAGCTTCTTGTCTGGATGATGATGCTGGGCTGTTACCTGTACGCTCTGTACGCGGTGGGACTTACAAATCCAGAAGACGATCTGTAGCAATGCCGTAGCTAGGAACTGCAGTATTCTAGAGATCAAGCCTCTTGTGCTTTCTCGACATTACTAATCTCTCAGGATCACCTCTGCGAGCTGCGCGGTGAAGCTGTTTGGTAATCAGTCTGAATATTACAAATACTGTCTCGGTTAAACCTCGACCCTCGCCCTAATCGTTTATCATTTATCGATAGTAACTAATCGATAAGAATCGGCAGAGATGCTGGAGCGATTAAGGTCTACACTCTACAAAACAAAAGTTATGTCAAAAGCTCCTGTCTATCGCACTCCAGACAGACTGCCTCCTACGAGCAGCCCTCTTTTGTCTTCTGAGGATTGAGTATCCCGATGAGGACGCGGACGGGGCCAGACTCGACCTCAGCTTGGCGAGCCAATCAATCTGGCGGCGGTGCGCACGTGCAGTTAAGGGCAGGTGCCATAAATGCGCAGCTGCAATGCAGATATGCAGTCACATGGTTCTAGATCGTAGACTGCTTACGGAGAGCAATCAGATTAGATGCAAGATAATAAGGCAACGCTGCCCTGTTAATCTCTTTCTCCCTTTACTCGCTGTAGAACCACGTATAATTAGCAGACCTGTGCTTCCTACGCTGAGCAGATATGGACAGAAGAGGTTTACATGCTGGCTCTGCACGATCTACAGCAGACGTCTGTCGCTAAGCTTAAGCAGGTACGAAGTTAAGCGTGCCGCTCGCATCGCATACACGCTATCTACAGCATCGCGGAGTAGATTGGACGACTGGGGTGGCTTTGGGTCGGGTGAGAGAGATCCGGCTTGAATTAGTTTCAGAATAGGAAGGTCATGTTGATGTTGGAGGATATACACAGACCGGATGATTAGATCTGTGGAGCTTATCGACGGCAGCATGATACGGCAATCAGCAATCAGCAATCAGCATCGACGGCGCCGAGAGTGCACTTGCGTGGGCAGTGACAGTGTTTACAAGACTACACGGCACTCAGTCTTATCGATAATGTTTGTGGAGGAAGTGCTGGTTGTGGAGGGAGTGGAATGTAAGGGAAATTGGATGGAGGCAGGAAGTGTTTGTGCATCCACCGAGGCCGATGACAACACCGACAGAGCGCAAAGTATAACGGCACAACAACACACCACGTTTACCACCTTCACCACGATCCTTGATTCAGCTCGATTTATGTTTTTTTGTGCGCGTGATCTGAAGAAGTACATCGATGTTCTTTTTAATCCTCACGACTGCATTTATCCTACAACACCTACAATCAGCAGTTGTTGATGGGTTCTACAGAGTCTTGAGATCAGATGTCTGGGGACGTGGCGCACCTTTGCGGTTACAGCGCTCGAGGAGGCGGGCTCGACTGCTATTCGCGGCCAGGCCTTTTATCTGATCTACTGCTTTCGTCGCGCTGTGGCTGGGGCATCGTGAGGGGCTCGTGTCGCTGCTGCGTTGGCGCACCCGCTGTTACCCAGGTGCTTTGCGGGCTTTTCTTGCTTTTCTTGCTTTTTCTGACGGCGCCCACTAGCTGCATCAGATAACGTTGTTTACTTTCTCTGACGGAGCTGTTGATGATCATACCTTGTGTGTTGATGCTGGGCTGGTGCTGATACCTTGGGGGTTGTTGATCGGACAGTAAGCTGATGCTGTCTTGGCCACGCTGTGCTGTGCTGCTGTGTTCACATTCTAGGACATTTGGAGGCATATTTATACAACAAGAACATATATTACAAAATCAGAGTGCCTTCACTATAGCTATATTCAAATCATTTGGTATTCGTAGTAAGCACCCTAACCGCGCTGTCTGCAAGCAATCGCAAGCCCGCCGAGCTGCCGAACCCTATCCGATTACATGTCGTCTGCGTGAAAAGTGCAGCAATCGCAGCAGACCTGACAAAGATGCGAGAGTCGGCTGGATAACGATCAGCTGGCGAGGATGTGTAGGCAAAGGCAAGACTGCGACAGTAAACAGTACCCCATTGGTTATTCCGAGATAGTGGTTATGATCTTCTTACAAGTAACAACCGGATAACACAACTTCAATGCTTTACCCGAGCATGAAGCGAACGCGCTGATAATGATTGAATTACCGATAAGACGACAGCTGCTTGCTCCTCCGGGCAAGAGAAGCAAGGAAAAAGCAATAACGAGGACAATAGAGAGGAGGAGATGGATGGGAAAACGACGCTAGTGATGAAAGGGGTATGAAAACAACAAACACTCGCTCGCCAAGGATTGCGCAGGTTTTACGAGTCTTGGTGATGATTGCGCCGTCGATGAGGTGTGGAGGGCAGCAGAGTGATGAGCCAGGCAGATTGATATTCCAGACTACGTCTTTTACTCTATATTCTCTGCTCTTTGTTGCTTCAACAAGACTACCTGCACTCTCGAGGTGGAGATCGCGGTGACGGGGTGGCGTGGGTTGCTAGTTATCTGATGCGGAATGATAAACTGATTATGTGCGGCTCAAAATCTGATAAAAAATTTCACCGCTCAGCTTTCCCGAAATGTCCGCTGCCGACCAAGAGACCTGTGATTTGCAAGATTAAAAGACAATAAAAGAAGACGGAATGTTTTTGCTATAGATATGCTATAGTTATTTGCAGACTATAAAAGAAAATAGACCTCGGCTAAGAGGGACTATTACATTGCTCATATATTATTACTGCTGGAGTTGGAGATTGGTCGCGTGCTCGCATTTAGGCTCGTTTCTTCTTCCCGGTCTGACCACGCCATTGGCCGATTACATTCTCGCTCAGACACCGCGGACGCACCGTTCCTGAGTCCGAGTCCTGCGATGGGAAACAATCTGGCGGTCTGCCGCATTGAAGCTGATTTGTTTGTTGCGAAGAGAGCGACGAGGAGGATGGACCTCGGATTTAGCATGTATCATCTATACAAATCAGCCCGGATCAATACACAAGACTATCCTCATTATATACATCTGCCCTTTCGATTCCGCTGCTGGAATTTCAACATCCGCAGTTATGGCGATAATTCAGAGTGATGATGATATTGACGGGTACTCGGGTATGCCGTCACGGACTTGTTCTTCGGAATTCACCCTGCGGTCGCGCCCATAAGCCCGTAGATGGTTGTTGTTGAATACATAGTATTATTTCTACAATTATTTCAGGAATTCATAGCAAATCATCTCAACAGATAGAAACCATTAAACAACTGCCCGCCCGACATCGGCGTCGGCAGGAAAAGCAGACCTGAAACGGACCTGCCCATAACGAAGGGCTAATGCCAGGTAACAGACAGACCGGGAACAGATCGCACTCTGCCCAGCTCGCGGCTATCGCCCGTCTTCGCGCCGCTGGTCTCCGAGCACAAGTCCGCGGCCTTCGCGCACGTCTCCTGCTCAGCTTCGCAGTCGTCCCGCTGCCGGCTGCTCTTCCACACCGCGTGTCGTCATCAGCCAGGCGGCGAGGTAACAGCGGTAACAGGCGGAGCAGGCAATCACGGGACTCGTGTGGCGCGGTTGGGCCGACGGCGGTCTGGGCCCGAGCCTTTGTTGCTGGAACGGCGGCTGTGGCGCATGCGATAAAGGTCCAGAGCTAGCCTGATCTGGACAACAATTTGCCCGCTTCCCGATTCTTTTACCCTCCGCCGCCCAGCTCTTCTCCTGCTTCCTTCCTCCATCCAACACCCTCCTCGCCCAGGTCCTTTTATCTCGACCATCCCGCCCGGCCTCGATAGCTTCTACTCTCCCGGCGCTACTTCACAGGTCCCCTTCGCCTTCCTCACTTCTTCACTAACGGGGCTCGACCGGTCAGCGGCTGTCTTCCATCGATAGCTTTCCACATTCCCCCCGTCCATCCTACCCACCACACATCCCACACAATGCCGAGCTCGCATCTGGAAGTGCGTCTGTCTCAGGACGAGAAGCGGGTGCCCATCACCGAGAAGGCTCCTCTCACCGCTGCCTCCTCGCGCTCTGGCTCGACCTACGGCTCCGGTACGCCGTCCTTCCCTTGCTCGTGTTCTGATCAGTTCCGAAAATGCTAACCCTCGTCTTTCTTTTTGCTTCCTAGTCCAAGACGACGTTCTAGTAGACATCGGCTCGCCTTGCATTCCCTCCGACGTGCGCTCCATCAGATCCGCCAGATCCCTACGTAAAACCGGTGTTTGGGAAGACCTCAAAGCATGGACCAACAACGTCCTCTTCGGAAAGACCGCCAATCTCACCAAATCCTCAGAAGAGGAGCACCGCGTTGCCTCCAAGCTTCGCGAGGTTGCTGCTCTTGACAGAGACGAAGTCTTGAAACGCTTCGACACCGGATACAACGGACTTCCCTCAGCCGAGGCGCTCTCCCGTCTCAACAAGTTTGGTCGCAACGAACTCGAGAGTGGCGCGCTCAAGCCCTGGTACAGCATCATTTTCCAGGGACTCATCCATCCTTTCAACGTTCTCCTTATGGTTCTCGGCATCCTTGCCATAGCGGTCGCCGAAGATCCTACCACATTCTATTTCGTTCTCGTCATGGTCGTCGTCAGTGTCGGCTTGCGTTCTTATGAAGGTATCATCTAAAACTATATCTCGTATTCAGTCTATTCAACACACGCTAACTTGCTTTACAGAAATGAAATCCCAAAAGTCCTTCCAGTCGATGCGCGAGCTGGTTACGCCTATGACCAAGGTGCTTCGCCCTGATGGCGCCGGCTCCTTCATCGAGACAGAAATCGCTCTCGCCGAGACTGTTCCTGGTGACGTCGTTGTTCTCCGCCCTGGTGACATTTTCCCTGGCGACTGCATTCTCATCGAGTCCAAGGATCTCTTTATCTCGCAGTCCTCTCTTACTGGCGAGTTCCTCCCTGTCGAGAAGTCGACCAACGTCAACGAGCCCGAGTCTGTGTTTGACTTGGCCAACATCTGCTTCATGTCTACATCCGTTGTCTCTGGCCGCGGTCGCGCTGTTGTCATCTCGACTGCCAAGGACACCTACATCTCCACAATCAACTCCACCCTCAACTCTGAAGCCATGGAGACCCGCAACTCTTTCGACGTCGGTGTCCGCAAGGTCGCTTATCTCCTCCTCGGATTCGGTGTCGTCATGGTTCCTATTGTCATTGTCATCAACGGTCTCACTACTCACGACTGGTACGAGGCTGTTTTGTTCGGCATGTCGGTTTTGATTGGTTTGACCCCCGAGATGCTTCCTATGATTCTCAACGCCAACCTGGCCTACGGTGCCGCTGAGATGGCCAAGCACAAGACCATCGTGCGTAAGCTCGACGCTATCCAGACCATGGGTGTCGTCGATGTTATCTGCAGTGACAAGACCGGTACTCTTACCAAGGATGACGTTGTTCTCACCGAGCACCTTGACTCGTCCAACGCCCAGAACACTGAGGTTCTCAAGTACGCGTTCTTGAACTCGCATTTCTCTACTGGCTTGAAGAACGTTCTTGACGAGGCCGTTATCAAGGCTGCCGAGGAGAACGAGGAGGTCCGCACCAACTACGCCCCTACTGAGAAGGGTGAGCTTTTCTCGCTCGTTGAGGAGCTTCCCTTTGATTTCGTCCGTCGTCGTATGTCTGTCGTTCTCAAGACTGGCCCTTCCACCACCGAGGTTATCTGCAAGGGTGCTGTCGAGGAGCTTCTTGAAATTTGCTCGTCTATGCGCCAGTACACTGGCAGCGCTTTCTCTGACGTCACTCTTTCGGTTGCATTCCGTGAGGAGCTGCTGTCTATCGTCTCCGACTTGAACAACCAGGGTCTTCGTGTTTTGGCTGTTGCCGTCAAGAACATTCCTGAGAAGGAGTTGGAGGCTGGTGACAGACAGTTCAGCTCTGAGAAGGACGAGATGGACATGACCTTTATTGGCTTCTTGACTTTCTTGGATCCTCCCAAGGACGACTGCGCGGAGGCTATTGAGGACTTTGGAAAGTACCATGTTGGTATCAAGGTTTTGACTGGTGACAACTTGGCAGTTGCTTGCAAGATTTGCAAGGACGTCGGCATTGACACCACGTACACAATCACCGGTGCCGAGCTCGAGGAGATCGAGGAGGATGAGGACGAGTTTGCTGAAGTTGTCGAGCGCTGCACTGTGTTTGCCAAGCTCACGCCTTTCCAGAAATTCAACATTGTGAACGCACTCAAGAAGAACGGCCACTCGGTCGGATTCTTGGGAGATGGTATTAACGATGCGTTGGCGCTTCGCGGCGCCGATGTCGGTATCTCTGTCGACACTGCTACCCCGCTCGCTAAGGACGCTGCTGATTTCATCTTGCTCGAGAAGTCTCTGAACGTTATCACTCAGGCTATCATCCGTGGCCGCATCACTCACGCCAACACAATCAAGTACATCAAGATGGCTGCCTCCGGAAACTTTGGAAACGTCTTCTCGGTCATCATTGCCTCTGCCTGGCTGCCTTTCCAGCCCATGACTGGTAACCAGATCCTGACGCAGAACTTGCTCTACGATCTTTCCCAGATTGCGATTCCCTGGGATCACGTCGACGAGGAGTTTTTGCTGACTCCGCACCAGTGGTCTGCCGACTCGATTTTCAAGTTTATGCTCTACTTTGGTCCTCTGTCTTCGATCTTCGACGTCTACACCTTCGCTGTGCTCTACTGGTTCTTTGACTACAACACGCCTTTCACCGACGACGTCCAGCACTTCCAGACCTGCTGGTTCTATGTCGGCTTGATCACCCAGACTTTGATCGTGCACATGATCCGTACCGAGAAGATCCCCTTCATCCAGCGCAACCCGTCCTGGCAACTTGCGGCCGCGACCGGCGTCGTCATCGCCGTCGGCATCGCGATCCCGTACACCCCGCTCGGAACCCGCGTGCTCGACATGTTACCCGTGCCGGGCCTGTTCTATCCGTTCTTGATTCTGGCTATTGTTGGATACTTCATCTCGACCCAGGTCGTCAAGAGATACTACATGCATCGTTACAAGGAGTGGTTGTAAAGCCTCACTCCTCTGTTTTCGATTTTTTCTTCCACACACTCAAACGGTCGGGGGACGAGGTAGGACGTGTATCACAGTACCTCTGCATGGACGCTGCAAGCAAAGTTTCTCGCATCAATATACATCCATCGCGACAATATACGATCCAATGAAATTAGACTCGCACGACGTTTGATTTTTTCCACATGTTTTTTTTTCTTTGGTATATATTCCTTGTTATCCGTTTAATCAGTGTCGAGAGTACCACACATTATACCTTGCTCTGCACATACTTGTTGTTTGTTTTTATTTGCGTCAAAGAAAAAAAAATCTGGTGAGGAGGAAGAAAGTTGAGATTCATTTATCCAAAGCGACGAAAGTACACAGCGATGACGCGACGAACGAGCACCGCGAGAACAAGAAGACATTTTCTGCTAATTGCTTCATTGTACATTTTTTTTCTTCTCTATTTCTATTTTTGGGATTTTCTTATATCATTTTTATTTACTTTTTGGGTTTGCTTAAAGGATTCAGTTATCTTTTCCTTCTTTTGTTTTTTTCTTTCTTTCTTGATGGTGGTGGTAGTGGTGGTTCTCTTTCTTTTCATTTACATATCGTTCGTTTGTGTCATATAGGAGGTAGTTTTTTTTTCGAAGCAGCATGGTAACTTATTTATTTATTCCTTTTGGGACTGATATATATCGACATATATATATTTTGATGAGAGTGTTTTCGCATTTGGTGGTCGCTTATGAATATACGACATATACTATTTATAAATCTTTCATAGATGTAGTGTGTTTAAGGAGTGAGATTGATGATATCTACAAACATAGAGAAAAGAAAGAAGACTCCGAGATTTCTATAAGGTCTCTTTTGATACGAACAGAAACAGATACAAACAAGACAAGATAAGACAAGACAAGACAATACCAAGCCCAATTCACCGCAAGACACAATCAAGTCACGATAAGAAAGAAACACACATACGAGCCAAAAAAAAGAGGGAGAAGAGATTAAAGTGGGGAATTAGCGTATGAAAGAAGGAAAAGAGAAGAAGCTGTGATGAGGGAGAGGGAGAGAGGAGGAGGAGGAGGAGGAGGAGGAGGAGGGGGTGAATGATGAACGACACAAGATGCAGATATGGAAGGAATGATGGAGCGGACCATCACGAAAATACGAGACACGCGGAAAAGACGGAGAGACACGCGTGTTTGGCTCACTCTCCCGTCAGAAAGAAGAAGAAAAACTACTCGTTATAATGATAAACCAAATAATTCGGCAACCCGAACGCGTCGTAACCCAGTCTTTTCGCCATCTTGGTGAAGCCCTCGGATTCTAGTAAATGGTAGAACGGGAACGGCGGGAACATTGCGCCGTCGCGATGGACGTCTGCTTTAACTAGCAGAGCAGTGCTGTTGTGAGTTGTTAGTTTAGAACGGAGGCGGAGAGAAAGAGGTGAAGGGAGGAGGAGGGACTTACGCTCCGACACCGTCTAGGGGGACTTCTTCGTGGACGTCGTTGCCGGGGACGTACAGGTATGCCATTAATGTGCGATATGTCGCCATCTCCGCGTAGCCTAAATCATCGTCAAGTCAGCCTCAGTTATCAAACAGCAAAAGGTAAAAAAACAAAGCAAGGCGCACCCTCAAAGATCACATCGTCCTCGCCCATTTCGTTCGCCATCTGCGCAGCCGTATCGCTATCCTGCCAACTATTGAAATCATACGCCCGGATCTTGCTCTCGCCATGCTCGACGTACCGCTGATAGCAGTTCGCGACAATGATCGACTTATCGTGCGCCGCCAGATCCTGGATCAACGTCGCCGGCGTCTCGACAATATCCGCGTCCAGCCAGAGCACCCAGCTAATCTGCGGATGGATCGTCGTCGTAAACAGCGAGTTGCGCGCGCGCGCCATCGCCGCCCGCCGCTCCTTCTGCCCGCTCAGCGCGTGCCGGTCCTTCTCGCTCTGCGAAAACGGACTCTCGAAATCCTGCCGCAGAATCGTCACCTTGCCGAACCGGTTCTTCTTCGGTCCAGTCTGTAGCGCTTTCACCGCAGACTCAATCCGCAGCAACGCCTGGTTCGCCTCGCGGCCGCGCGGGAGGATGAAGCCGATCTCGATGAGTTCGTGCGGGTAGTTTAGGTTGCAGAGGTTATTCCAGTACTCCTCGTAGAACCGCGCGATCGGCGTGAGAATCAGCACGCGCTCTTTGTTCTCAAACGAGTTCCAGGACGCAGACAGCCCGTTCAGCTGGTGCCGGATGATTGACTTTGCGCCGCCGACGGAGGCGTCGGGACGTTTGGTCACTTTGGCGGTCGAGGGTGATGACGAGAGCAGGTAGACTAGGAAGAAGATCGCGGCCCCGACGATCGAGATTATTGTAAGCGGGCGATTCCGTGCGCGAGAGGACTTGTAGGCACCCATGGTGAAAGACGGTTGTGTGTAGGAAGAAGACGTGTGGTGTGGAAATTGCAATTAGGAACAGTATATAGTCAGTCGCGTGGCGGGTTTTTTTCTCGTTTGTACAATCTGGCCCGGACCGCGGGATGCAATAGCCCTGTTGCTGTCAGCAACTAGATAATAGATGTGTGCATTCAAAAAGAATCAAGAAGAAGGGAAGGAGATCGTACAGCTTGCGTGATGAGGTGGAGCAAGCAGGAAGAGCCGGATTAACCACCAAAACAATGGACGAAGGAGGGTGTTTTGACAGGAAAACAACCGGGTGCGTATCACTCTAGAATGCTTGGGCTACTACAGTTCAAAACAGTCCTTCGTCTCAAGATTCATAATAGACCGGAGCAACGAGAACAAGACAACCACGAAGTGCGAAAAGAAGACAGAGACGAAGACGAGCGGGAACTGTGCTGGAGCTGGCTGGATATGGAAGGGAACGCGTTATAGGCACAAAGACGGTAGCCCTACAGTTAACCAGTTGTGGTAATAGAGTTGCCTGGAATTAAGATTCTACGTCACATCCTGCTTTGCTGCTGCCGCCTCCTCGCCGCGTCCCGCTCCTGCAGCTGGACGATGTGACGCTCAAATATATTTTGTTTGACCAGGTTGCTATTCACTACGACGGTCCTGAGTTCTGCTCTTTTTTATACAGCAGCGCGGCCTCGAGATCAGCGATGTTTGCCGTTGTAGGTGGGCGCGTGCACAGAGACAGGGGGCGTGCGGCTCCTTCAGTGAAGAAGAAGACAAATATAGAACACACACCGCTGCTGCATCCGTCTTCGCCCTACTCTCACCGCTTCCACGCTCATCATCATCGTCTCTTCTGTGCCGGGTTGTAATAGGCTTCGGTGTACTGTAACCCAGACAGCGAATTGTGGCTTTTTATCCCGCCGTCCTCGCTCTCTCGAGTTCGCATGTCTGAGGTATCAACTACTTCACGTCACTGTCGGTCTCAACTGAAGTCAACCAGCCGTTTTTCTCAAGTAAGACAAGTTCTTTCGCGGCAGCTCCCGTGTCCGTCTCGTCGTCACATTTAATGAAATACGCACTGCCTCTGCGAGCGTCCGAGCAGCCACCAGCCTACAAACCCGCTAGTCGACGCGCACGCACCTGCAAAAAGATGCACAAACGCGCAACGCCCACACACCCACACCCCGCGCACACTCGAACACATCATGCTCTTCGCCGTATGCTCGGTTCGCTATACGTAAGCTTATCACTGAGACTGTCACACCTTTCGGTGTTGCTAACCTGCTTCTATATGAGCATCACCGGCGCTCGATCTTCCCGCTGAGTCAGCAGATGAACTCGAACACGCTAGCTGAACGACGGTGTACTAGAGTAAATCTTCATTCGTAAACGCTCGCCTATGACGAAAAGAGACGAGAAATAATAAGCGGCATCGTAGTCTGCGTAAAATGAAGGGCGTAAAGGGCGAGTTAGGCACTAGCTCCAAAATCTCGCAGACTGTGCTTCTCTACTTCATGATTCGCTGTTCGAATCCGTTCACTGCGTTCGGCGAGTCTTCTCATTTTCTATCCGTCATCGATCGGCCAGTCGTTCCTGTCATTCTGTCCTATCATCGGACATTGCGGCAGACCCTTGCTCACCTCTGCAGCGCCGGTCACGGCCGCTAGTTTGGGATGACAGCTGCAATTTAATTAGAGGTAGCGGGTATTGTCTCACCCGCCTCGGCTGCCCTCGCGAGCCTTAATTCATTCTTTGCCTGTTCATTTTAAACTCGCTCTTCATATTACTTGCAAAGTGGTTTGGTACCGGGTTAAACAAGAAGGAGAGTGATATCGGGACTGCATGCGATAGATCATATGGAGTGGTTGCTGCACTGCTGGATTCGGAGGCGAGCTCGTTTGTCTGCTGTCTTGGGCGCAAAGCGGTAAGGTAAGCGACAACCCCGTTTCCGGTGCAAGGTGTACCTCCCCTCACTTCCAGAATAGGGACGCTCCGCTTCATTATTTCAATCGCCCTTACAATCCAGTCATTCAGAGAGTGCGCCTGTTTATTTGCTCAAACATCATCATCATCGCTGTCACCATGATGGTGCGTGTGGATAAACAGCTAGAGGAAAAGCCTCATCGTAGTGCGCGCGACCCGTAGAAAAGGTCATGATGCCGTCCAGTGGCGCCGTTTTCGACCAACTACTACATTTTTGGGTATACCCGGTGCATGTGGAAAGACAAAAAAAGCCCGACCAGTTTGCAGTTTGATTTCCTTTTGTTCACTTGCGCTTCCAGCAGTTCGCGTCAAGATCCGGTTCAATTCAGCTTAAGTGATGATTTTTGAATAGGCTTTGAGTTCTATGTAAGTATACAGGTTTTGTGGGATGGTAGTCGTTGCCCTTCCTCTCTCTTTATCTCTCTTCTATCTCCCGGGGCTGTGGCAGGGAAAGATGGATGGTTAATATTGTTTGATCGCAAGAAATGACTTCTCTTGATATCTCAACAGCCGATGACCTTTGTGAGCTACAAGTTTAGTAGACTAGTCTGCGATATCTACATCACTAAGCACATGCCACGATCTACCCTTCCGAACCAGAACCGCAGTCTCCAAATCTGAGCTCACCTTGAGCAAAAGCGCGAGACCAACCAGCGGCCGATTTTTGGTAAGAAAACCGCCTAAAGATGGCGGACATAAGAAGGAAACAAAAGACGGACCAAAAGAGGGAGAGCGAAAGAGCAGGGGCGAGAAGGCTTAAGCAGGTAAAAAGTATCACATGTGAAAGAAGAAACTGTGCGATGATGCAGGGTGAGAAGAAATGACAAAAGAGCTGCAAGTAAGAACGCAAGGGCCGCCCCGCCTTGTCTGCCAGATACCCACGGCGCCTTCTAAATTTGCCTTTGCTTTTGCTGTTGCTTCTGCTGTTGCTCCTTGCTTGGCCAGGCGATACTGCTCGTAGACTGTATCTCTCTCTCGATCAATACTGATTGCTTTTATAGCCATCGAACCGGCTGCTTTTTTCCCATTGTGAGTTTTAATATGATTATGGCAGGATGCAGCTAAGAACTCGCAGAGCCTATGCATTGCATTTGCCGAATGCACAGAAATGCAAGAAAAAAAAGGTCGAGCTTGAGAACTGGGTGGAAGAAAGCAAACCAAAAAAATGATGCCGAGGTAATCAAGAGGGATCTAAAGATGTGCAAGAAGTTGTAGAAGTGACTTTCTTGAGCGGTCTGTCTTCCTTTGCGATTGAACACTCATCTCATCGCTGGTGTAGTCTGCTAATGAGCGCCGTCTGCTCCCATTTGTGGGTTTAAGGGAGTTAAGGCTGTCTTGGTTGATGAGCAGTGGAGAGCACCCGCGATGGCGATTCATTTCTCCACTATTGGCTGTGTTGGCTGGTATTTACTAGTCTTGTTTTCAAATACTAGTTTGCTATTAGATCATTTGGATCGCTTTGTGGACGCATTCCCACTAATCTCAAGATCCTATGCATTCAACTAGATAAATTTGCATTGCATTAGGCGATCATATTCACCATTTAGCAGATTCACGGGTATCATAGACTAAACCTATCTCAGCGGCAATCACTATTCTCTATCCGTCCCAAGTCTTTGCCTAAGCAGGCCACCTCCCGACCATGCATCTCGTCCCGTCCTTTGGCTTCGTTGCTCTGCAAACTAGCCTGGCTGCACAGAGCGTACAGCTCAGCCGCCACATTCAATAAACGGCGGATCAGATCTTCGGATCGATCTGTGTGTATTGTCACTCTGTGTGTGTCTGTCCTGTAAGCGCGGCTGCTGCTTCCCAGCAGTTAATGAAAGATGGCGTTGATGGGAGTTTTGTCTAAGGTCTCCACTGCTCCCATCCCACTTCAAAGCAGACCACGTACCCCCCCTCTCTCCTCTCTGGCAAAATAGGACACACAAACACAACATATTTTCCCAGGCTCAATACCGGTGATCCCATCCAACCGGCGTAAAAGTTCTCTGCACGCATGGAACCCAGACATTTTGCGTTTTGTCTTAAACTTTAACTAACAGTGAGAAATAAATAAGTTTGCAAGGAGTCGTGAATTATTTCTCTTTCTCTCCGTTTGGCTGCTGCAGCACTGCACACCGAAAGCTAAAAAGCAGGAAAGAAAAAGGAAGGAAAGAAGAAGAAGGAGAAGTAGAAGTAGAAGAAGAAGAAGAAGAAGAAGAAGAAGAAGAAGAAGAAGAAGAAGAAGAAGAAGAAGAAGAAGAGAGCAAGAGTGAGCTGACTGTTGACTGCTTTGGTGATTTGCTGCTGATTCTCTTTCTTGTTGGCTGCTACCCTGGTTCAATCCTTTCTTTGTCTCCTCACTCATTCCATCGCTAAAGCACAGGATCTGTCGGTATCGCTCGCTCACAGGCTTCATCACACTCCCCAGATCGATCTTTTCCGTCCTTTCGCTTTGATTTTCCTCCCACGCTCGCTTGTGATGACCACCTCCGACGCCGATTCACACTCTGGCTCCGCGCACCACGCGGATGCAGCAACCTTCAGTGCGTCCGCGACAAAATCAGATATCTACAGCACCGCGCTCGACGCCGCAGAGGCCCTGTTTTCAGACACAAATTTCTGGCCGTCGAACCTCGCCAATGCGGCGTCGCTCATGTGGTACGCGTTCGAAGCGCTTGAGATGAAGGTCAACTGGGCCGGCTTCTACATCTGCTCGCCCGATGAACCGAAATCAAAGCTCCTGCTCGGCCCGTTTATGGGTAAAGTGGCGTGCCAGTCCATTGTCATTGGAAGTGGGGTCTGCGGCACCGCCGCGGCGACCAGAGAAACGCAGGTCGTGCCTGATGTTGAAAAATATCCGGGACATATTGCCTGCGACGGCGAGACGAAGAGCGAAGTTGTTGTACCGCTTGTTGATCGGGAAGGTGGCGTGCATGGCGTCTTGGACGTGGACTGTCTTGTGCTCGACGGGTTTACTGAGGACGACGTAAAGTTTCTGGAAAAAATGGCGGCGCTGATTATTACATTCTGTAAATTCTGATTTGCTTGTTGTAACGGTTCCATTGTTTATTTTGAATTTTTCTTGTGCCTTTAATCGTGTAAAACAGTGTTTATTGTACGGCGTTTGATTATAAATGAATGGCTTCGGTAGTGGATTCACAAAAATGTCTGGCTCTTGGAGCGCGCAACCACTAATCTCGTAGTTCGAAAGCACGCGAAACAAAACATCTCGATCCAACCGCCAAGCCGGCAGCAACAACATAAAGCCAGAAAAGAGAATGCTGTTTACAGTTGGCTGGCCAGTCAATACAAACACACGCGCTTTCAGCTCGTCGTTGCAAGTACCCAGCCAGCCGGAAGAGAAGCGAAGGGGGGCGGGCGGAAGAGAGGCTTTTCAGCCGCCCATATTCATCCAATTGCGCAAACTGAGATCGTTTGGATACAGCAAGGTCAGTCATCTCTAATAGAGAGAAAGATCAGATGCCATGTTGGCTTGCTTTTAGTGTGATGTTGGGAATCTTATGTATCTGGTTTCAGAGATCTATTGCGGGGTTGAGGATGCAACGAACATTGCGTTGTGTTCGGTCTTGGTCGAATGTGCTGAGCGTCTCTAGTTGCTTGTTTTCTTGATCTCTTGTCATTCCTTTGTTTCTTGCTTGTTTTCTAGCTTGGTTTGTACCGAGGAAGTACAATTTTTAGAGTAACAAAGTAGGCATACCGCCGACACCCGCGAGCAATGCATCAATACAGCCTCTCTCTTCTCCACCTCTCAACATACACACAATAGCCTAGAGCTCTACCCATTGCCGCCAAGTTTGTCACTCTCTGTGCCTTCCTTCGCCCTCTCACCTTCGGGTATTAAAACTGCCCGGGACCTCCTCGCACCCCGCTCCGGCACTTACCCTCTCTTCAACTTATTCGCCTTTTTCTTTCCCGTTTACGGCTTTCATGCTGCCCCTCCTAGAAGTGAGCAAGCCATACTCCTACCCTCATATCCTAGCTGTCTACTACAACTCCTACCCAGAAAAAAAGAGTAAGAAAAGAGAAAAAATAGACACTCTTCTGCACGACGCCGAACCGCGCAAACCGCAATTTCTCACAAACGAAAAAATGTTCATTAAGCGAAGGGCGTGTGTCCTTGGAAGCGAGAACTTTAATTGGCCATATCACCCTTTCCTCTTTAATCGAGGCCGGCTTGCGCCCCGCCGAGCCTGTACGGCCGGTGCCCGGGATTGAGAGGACGAAGGCGATTGAAAACGGTAGAGACGAGATGAATGATACGGGAGGGAAGATGAATGCTAGATGGAGAGAGCGCGCACATGCTGTGTCTCTTGTGTATGAAATTTACAGAAACCGCGTTGCTAAAAAACACAAGTCCCGGCTGTCTCACAATAAAGCTTTCGGCATCCCTGCTGCCACGTTCTTATCTTCTATTTCCCCCCCTTCCCCTTCAACGGCCAGACACCGGTGCGCACACGCCCTTGTTACAAACTAGCCACGTTTCCAGAACAGAACAAAAGAGCGCAGAAGAGGTGAATAGCTGAACAGGCAGTAACGGATGCAGATTCCCCTCGCTTACCCTCACGAGGTAATCGCGCGCGGGTAGGCGTTGGGACCGACTTTCCGCCGCGCCTCTCGCTATTCAGCTTTAGTCCAAACAGTAATCTCAAAATGAGGGTTTAGCGCGCCGCTTGCTCCGCCCGCCCTCAACCTGTGTTTTTGATCTATTCTGCTGACCAAGCCCTGCATGCGCTCGTTCTGCCTCTCGCCTTTTGCCCGTCCTAATTCCTTCATTTGTTCGTTTTCGGCTAGGTGTCCCTTTCTCGCCTCGACTTAGTCTGAATCATAAGCGTGCCTAAGAAGGGGTTGGTTCTTGAGCGCCGTCTCGCCAATTAAGAAGTGAGCGGTGAACGAAAACGCCGTATGTAAACTCTGTCAATAGACAATTAGTCACAGCTTCTCCCATAAGTCGCAGCAATTGATCATGTATCCTCTCACTCTCTTGAGCAAACATACAAAAAGGAAGAAAAAGGAAAAAGTAAAGAAGAAAAAAAGGGCAAACAAGGATTCGTCGTCCGGTCTCGGCACTATCTCGCGAAAAAAGAAAAAGGGAACTTGCAGTAGCGTGTGTGACCAAACTAGTGTACGGCTTTGCCCATACCCGCCGCCCCAGACACCAACTTCGAGTTTCTTCTGATCGCACTTGGAAGGGCGTGTAAGACATCTGTTCTTTACTTTAAAATAGTGCAGGAAGATGTAGAGACACGTATTATAATATTGTGTGCAAGCGAAAAGCGTAGTAAAGCAAACCGAAAACACCCCAAGAGAAATGCAAACTAAAAACTGACCAGGACTCCGAGACCTTCTCCGCGGCAAGTGAGATGAATCGATGCTTCTCTCTGCTTTCCATTCCCGACTGTTTGCCGATACCCTTTCTGAACTATAATCAAGACACAGACGCAGACATACACGCAACACCCACAAAAGAAAAGAAAAACTTGCACAGTACGCAATAAACAGATAAAGAAAACATATAGGCATTACGATCCAGACAACAGAAAAGCAAACCGCACATGCATGTATAGATATATTCCCTTTAGAAAGATTAGAAGCTCGGAGAACCCGAGCGGGACAGCGTCAAACACGAAGGAAACAGCCAAATAGCAGGGACCTAAGAAAAGACTGAAGACTGATAGATATGCAGATATATACAAAATGAAAAACGAAATTAAATCCAAAGGATTGCGAGAGGATAATATGTAATGAGCAGATTAGTAGCTTGTGAAAGCACACACACACCCCGCACACACACAGACAGATACACCCACACGCATACATACATACATACGTACAAACACGCTCTTGCAAACAGAACAACCCGGCGTGATAATAAAAATATATAAGGTAAGAAAGCAAGTCACAACACATTAATTTCACTAGGAAGGTTAACAGAAAGAACGACATTAGTGAGTATTAAACAGAAAGCAGAAACGCTAGAACAAACCAATAAAACAGAAAATACCAAATAAAAAAGCTATCGAGAATGGTAATATATAACATTATACAAATATTAATATACTGCAGAACAATAAAAAGGTCGAGCACCTATATATAATATATATCCGGGAAATAAGAAACCTCAACAGAAAGAAGAAGCTAGTAAAAGCAAATCGTCAGAGGACAGCGCTAATATTCAAGACCGCTCAGTGATCTGAGCTCTCTTTCGACTCGGCAGCAGACTTGTCGTGATTGTTGTTGTCCCCGTTGCTGTTGCTGCTGTCATTCGCGTCGTTACCGTTAGTCTTGCTGCTGCCGCTGGCGATGTTGGCTGAGGGGGATGCCGCCGTTGTCGTCGTTGTCGTCGTCGCTACCGTCGTAGTGCTGCTACTGCTGCTACTGCTGCTGCTGTGGCTGCCGTTGATGTTGTTGTTGCTGTTGTACAGATCCTGCGGCACCGGTCGCGGCGGCTCAAACGACGAGCGCTGAGATCGGTAGTCATAGTGCTGCTCGGGATGGGCAGTCAGTTGCGCGCCGGGGTAGGGAGGATACATTTGAGGTACCTGTTGGATCATCTGCGGCGCGGGCGGTTGACGGCTCGCGGTTCCTGCCACCGCCTGGTATCCATAAGTGTAGTAAGGCACAACTCCGAGAGGTTTGTTGATCGTATCCTCCGCCGGCGACGAGCCACTCGAGACGGCAGCCGATGAGCTTCCCGACACGTGTGCACGAGATGCCGAGCCCGATCGTGGCGAGAGCTTGCGCGTGTTGTCGACGCCGGCGGCTGTGTTGCTGTTGCTGCCGTTTGTGTGTGAGCTCTTGCTGCCGTTGCTCGAGGCAGCCATCATGTTGCGTTTCTTGACCAGTTTGGCATGATCTGTAAATGTTTGTTAGTATTCTGTAAATGGATAGATAATAAATGACAAAAAAAGATAAACTCACGCAATCCACAGGCATTGCAAAGCGTCCTCACACCATCAGGACCGCGCCTCCACTCAGGCGTCTCAGATATTCCACACTGACGGCACCGGCTCGGCTGCGATCCACGGATCCTCTTCTTCCCCGTCGCCCCGGACTTTGACGACGACAACGAGCCCGCGGCAGGCTGCGCAGCAGACGTACTCATTGTGTTGAGGCCGTTACCACCATCGGGAGATGACGCGGACGAGGACGAGGCCGCGACGGGGTAGGCGAGTGTCGCGGTCGCGGGCATGACTGAGTATCCGGCGGGGCCGATGGCGGCAGCAGCGACGGACGAGGAATCTGCTGCGGGCGCGTGCAAAAGTGGTGGTTTGTCGACAACGGAGGCGGCAGAGGCAGCGGCGGTCGCGGCGGCGACAGCTGCCCGGCGTTGAAGCTCCTCGGCAACGGCAGCGTCCCTCCATGCCTGAAGGAAGCGGACGTTTTCCTGGGCACGCTTGAGGATGTCTTCAATCATCGGCAGGGACGAGCCAGGCGGGTAGCCAGACGCGCCGATGGTGGGTGAGGACGCGGCATCGAAGGACTGGCCAGCAGCCGCAGCGGCGGTGGGCATGTTGCTGGCAACGAAGTGGTAGATGTGGGAAGAGTTTTCCTGGATGCGCTCGATGCCCCTGCGGTAGGAGGTGACGGCCATGGCGTGGGCGACGGCCTCGGAATGGGACTGGTGAGTGTGGGGAGATGGCGCGTCAGCGAGCGCGACAGGAAGCGCGGCGGCTGCGGCGGACTGGGGAAAGACAGGGGCCTGGTCGCGCTGCTGTTGGTGCTGCTGCTGTTGGTGCTGCTGCTGAGGCTGCGGCTGCTGGGGCTTGTCGCGCGCGGGCTGGGGTTGCAGCGGGGGCTGGGGGTGGTACTGTGGATGGGCCTGGGACTGCTGCTGCTGGTCGTGGGGAGAGATCAAGGCGGGCTGGCCGATGTGGTTGTGCAGCAGGGAGGGCAGGCGGTGACGGTCGTCGGGCGGGTCGTCTGCATGAATTGGCGGCAGGACGGAGGCCGTGTAGGGCGACAGGCCGCGGACAGAGGTCGAGGCCCAAGCGGCGGGATCAGACGGGCGCTTGTCCCACGAGGGGGCGGCGTGGAGGGGGGTGAGCATGGGGGCCGCGGCGAGGACGGACATGGTGTCGAAGGAGGGCAGGGTTGCACGGCGCGGTTCTGAGGGGGTCGAGGTGACTTCGTAAGCAGGCGAGGGACCGGAGAGGGAGGCAGACTTGAACGCAGACGGATGTGGGTGGGGGGGATGGGGGTTCATTGGTGGACTCCGCTCTGAATGCGCATGTCGGAAGCCATGAGGGATGGAGAGCGAGCAGGAACGGGAGGTGGATGGGCGGGGTATGGGAGTGAGTTATATCCTCAGCGCAGCTGCGTCGTGAGCTCGCGAGACTTGGACGCTCGGGGACCGTAGTCGAACCGAACCTGAACTGCAGACTAAACCAGTTACTGCCCCGCGACGCTAATGCACGCACGTCACTAGCGTGCTGCCGGTACGTCAGTCCCGAACGTACCCGCAACGGAGCAGCCCGCTTGACGACGAGTATGCAGCCCGTGGTTCAGGTTCCAATTCCGGTTGCCAGGTTCGTAGCGGCCCGCTTCTAGAAGGGCAGCAAGGGGAGGTGACAGGCCCTGGCAGACCTCCGTGGGATAACGGTCTCTAGGCCGGTGACTACTGCTGTTGCTGCTGCTGCTGCCTTGCCTCTCTGCATTCTCCTTCGTCTTGCCAGAGCCGGTTCAGTAAAAAATTTTGCATCCTTTGTTGGGACCCCATCTCGTCATCGCGGAGGCGAAGAGGGTCCGTGGGAGAGTGATGCCGTGCGCAGGAACCGAGAGAGGGGAAACAGACAAAGTCTGGGAGCACGAGACGCGGGGTGGTTGGTGTTAGACATCGACGGACAAAAGCGAGGCAAGCGAGGGCTGCTCGAAGCGAGGATGAGGAGGCGAGAGACAAGCAGGAGCACAAGGCCAGGTCCAAACCGTCGACAAAACGAGACACTGCGGACCTGCGAGAAGGTGGCACGCTCTCGTTATCAGGGAGTTACCGCGCACAGCCCCTCTCAAATGATCAGGCAGCCGAACACGATTGCGCTACACGTAGCCAAAAGACGGAGGAATTCCAGAAGAGCGGTGTCGTATTTTTTTGGGCTTACGCTTTGCGGGCATCTCCAATATCGCTACTGCATGTACTATCTACCGCTGTGCTTCTACATCTGTGAGAGCGCAAAAGTCCGCAAATCTGGCTGTCACCACCCTTGTTCGAGATGCAATGCAAGCCATCACCAGCGTGGATCTAGACGCACACGCACAGCGCTCGGCAGACCCTGGCTTTTTCTGCGCACGAGAGATGGCCGATTATCTTCAGGAACTCCTGTTATTACCAAACTGCAGAACGAAAGCTGGAACTTGGTCCTCATCGGCAAAACATGACGTAGAGCGGTTGGACCTGACCGAATGGACCTGCCTGCTGCCATATGACCTCGAGTTGGTGCCGCGCAAGGCAGCCAATGATGTCATATTAAGCTATATCGGATTACAATAGAGCTATAGATATCCAATCTGTGGCAAGAAGCAGAGAGCCAGAGCGTGCTTACTGGCTGCCCGACAAGGCAGGAGAGGGTGCCTGTAAATAGACGAGAAGCTTATTCCCACGACCTTGTTCCCTGTGCCTTGCAAAAGCGAAGCAGACGACGATAGCATGGACATGGAGAAAGCAGGCACAAACTCTCTTCAGCTGCGCCTTGTTTCTTTTAGCGGTCGTTCTTTTGTCTGCACGCATGTCGATTCTTGCTACATCATCGCGGATTGCCGAACGAGAAGGCGCTGTTGCTCGTAAATCTATTTTGGGAGGTGCATGTGAATCTCGCACTACAGCACAGGAGGCTTAGCCCACGAATAGCAGCGCAGCGGATATGCAGAACTTGCAGAACTAAGCAATCGGACTCCAGCTAGTTATTCGGATAACAGAATAGTGAATGCTTCGAATCGTCCTAGTTAATATACAGTGCTTAGCTATGGTCATTGTCTTAATCAATGGCCAATATATCCTCTCTCTTATTTTGCCCAACGCTGCAAATTCGGGTCACATATTTGGCAGGTCGGTACCCGACAGATAACGTGACGTATCCAATTTCCCGTGTTTATTTTCTCAATCTCGTTTCTAGCATCGAGAGAAAAGAAACCATCGAGAATTTTTTTTCACCTTCGAAAGTTCTATGCACAGAAGGCTGTAAAAGCGGGTGCGTACGGCGTTGATCTACTATTCTCAGACCTGTTTTCTGTTTTACTCGTGCCTCAAACGGCTCTGGTGTATTGGAGCGCGGGTGGTGTTGCGGAAGTTGGGGAGATAAAATAAAGATCGAGATGACGTACTTGGGCTAGAAGCGACGGCTCGCGTAGAAGCACGGGTGTCCGAACCACTGCCAGAGCAGACTACCAAAGCACATCATGCACATATCACAAAACGATGTAGATATCTGAAAGTGATCATCACAGCAGAGGCTGCATGGCGCATACATGACGAAGATGGGAGACGAGATGTGGAGTGGTCAAGCGTGGAGGCCCCAGGCCGGACATAAAAAAATCCTATGCGGCGTGCAGGAGGTCAAAGCGAAGCGGCGCGAAAGGCAGGCAGGCGGCAGGCAGCCTGTGCCGCCTGCCTGGTCGGTACCGCAAAGAGCCTTCGCATCTGCCCGCCCGGCCCAGGCGGCCTAGAGTGGCTAGCGCCGGACGTGCGCGCTCAGGCGTAGGCGTCATCGAGCAAATGTTGTCGTTCCTCTCTATTATTGACTCCATTAGCCCTGACAGAACATGGACTCTGCGGATTAACTCCTGTCGCCGCCCAGGGCGCTGCCAGGGCGAATGGATGCCAGCGTGCTAGGGTTTTGTCGGTCTTGCCCCAAGATAGTTGTAATTAATCTTGCGGTTAAAATAAAGACTGTAGAGTTCTCGGCTGTTCTGCTGCGGCATCAAATAGGCAATGGGGGCTACACCCATCCGCGCTGCTGATCCAGAGCCTCTGCAGACTGCTCATTGACTTTCCAAGATAACGCAGTGCTCGATAGCTCTGCCTGCTATCTTTATAGATACTCTTCTCGACGTGAAAAAAAAAAAACTAGCAGACTAGAGATGCGTCACTGCGTCACTGCGTCATGGAGAAGAGCAAAGAGTGAAAAACTTTTAGGGTTTAGCCCGTCGTCACTGCGAAATAAAATAAAAGTTTTCCACGCTAAGTGCTGTTAGCGCGCCATCTCGGAGTGCGAGCGTCATCTTAAAAAACCTTTTCTTTTTTTTTTTTTTTTTGTTTTTTTATTTTTTTCGCGCGGCTCGGAAAATCTTTGCTGGGAGGAACAACATGTGAAGAGCGGCGGGGGGATGACGACATGAGAGCGAGCGCGTAGAGCTGTGCCGGCGAGCGAGTCACGAAATCAAGGAATCTGGTTTCGTAAAAGTCAGAGTCGATGGTCAGAGATAGCAATTGAGTTCTTTGATTTGAATTTCGAGGTCTGGGGAACGCGGGATCAGGGGAGCGGGAGGTTGGAGAAGCGACAAAGTGGGGAAGCCGGAGCGCAAATTTCTTCGCGTCGCCGGCATGACCGGTCACCGTTCTTGAGAGAACCGTTCGTAGCACATGAGTTGGTATACAGCTAGCCCGGTTCATGCATCAATTGCACATAGTCCTTTGACCTGTGTACTTCGTTTGCTACGGTCACATTGGCTCCACATGGGAACTTGCTGATAACGACTTGCAGATGTGGTATCACCGGCCACCTTCGTGTCTCTATCTCGGCACCGTTGATCATCTGACATACCGGCGCTTCCATCTATCTAGATTTGGTCTTCTATTTTTTGTCTTATCTATCGTTTTGTTATCTGTCAGGCATGCTAGCACTTTCCAATGGAAGCAGTGTAGAACAGTACAGAGCGGATCAGCAGACATGATCCGGTCGAGAAGCCTGCAGGTAAATCGAGATCGTTTGGTCAATCTCGGACAATTAAGTAGTAAATAGCATGCATTTTCATATTTCATCTATCTCATTAGTCAGTAAGCGCTTATATGAAGGTGTAAAAGGGTGTAGTGGGGACTGATCATATGACGACGCGTGCTGGGAGAATGTTTGTTGACATTGATACGCGACGGGCAAGTTCGCTAATTGACTATCTCTATCTTCCACCGCGAGATAAGAGATATCAATTGCGGTTTGAAACCAACGCGATGTGTCACATTTCGGCGAAAAGGAAGAGCAAGCAAGATAGAAGACGGTCACAGACTGCATGCGATGTCGGGCTAGACCAGGTTGGGGTCAGGTGTGTAGGTGGTATCGCAACACTGAGGTTGAGTGAAAAAAATCGACCGACGTGTTTTGGGAGAGCAAAAAAAAGAAAAGGCTCTTCAGCGGCAGGCTTGACGAAAAAAAAGAAGAAAAAGAAAAAGCAATGAGCATTGTTTTAAATCGAGCAAGATCAGGAAGTTTAAAAAACTTTTTCGTTTACGTTTAAGGCACGAGAAACCCAACTCGGAGCGGAAGAAAAAGCAAAGATGCAGAGGCCGCAGAGACTGCGAAGAAAAAAAAAACGCGTGAAAGGAAAAAGTAACCTCTAAACTCTAATCCGTATGCGTGCCTGCCTGCCCAGTCTAACCGCGGTCCGGTTTCGAAATCCAGGTCGGGTTCAGGTGTGATTAGGCGAAACCTTGTTTATACCCTGCTACTTTATAAAGAAGAACCGAAAATTTTGCTCGCTCGCAAGAGTATGGAACCGATGAGCGAGCGCAAAAATGGAAGGAAAAATGAAAAATGAAAAAATTTTGCAACTGAAGGGGATTATATAAGCAGGGTTTTCTGTGTTTGTCTGGTAGGGAGGAGAGTCTGATCAGGGAAGGGTGGAAAGAAGCGGCAGAAGCCACGTTCTATTTCTGATTCTGGCTGCACGACCATCGTCCGCCCCCGAGATCCAGGCAAAGACAGAGAAAGATTGGTGATGCCATGGAAGGGGGGTGAAGCTCTCGCGTTCTGAGCAGCGAGAGAACAGTTTAGGCGTGGCTCGGTGCAGCCGCAGCAACAGTTTTTTTTAGTTTTTGGTAGATGAGAGCGCGTAACGGAAGGATCAAAAAAAATTTTTAAGCTCGCTAGGCTAATTCGAGCACTGCGATGCCACAAACATCAAGCATGTGGAAAATGGCGGCATAGATGAGCTGCGTTGTTCTTTAATGAGGTGGTCAAACTCATGCATCATGAAATGAGATACCTTTTGTATTTCTCGTGTTGTTGTTTTTGTGATTGTTATTTTATTATCTGTTTCTGCTGATGCGACCTCTTCGGGCTAACCTCGTCGGCATACGACTTTGTCACTTCCAGCACTCGCAGCTCGATTCAATGCCCTTCTTCGCATATTCTAACTGCTACCAGACATCCACAAAGAACGATCTTCCGCTGGCATTAAGCTAGCTAGAGCAATGATCTACGCAGTAAGATTATTTCCCCTGTGGTGATGGTTGACAATTAAAACTAATCTTGGCCGTGGAAGGTTGGAAAAAGTCAAATCCGAGAAAAAATCGAGACGTTGTCCTATTACGTCACGCAGAGATCTGAACAAGTAAACAAGAAGAGATTCTGCGAAGCATTTGATGAATCATATGGATTATAACGCAATTGATCTCAATTACAACTCATCCACTCCAATTGATCATAATCCATCCTCTGTTTTCTCTTTTCTTCATTTTTTCTTCGCGTGCTTCCACTGTAGGGTTCGTCTCACCGGCATGTTTTGAGTTTCGCGCTTACGCTAGTCGAAAGACGGCAGCGAGAGGAATTTGAGAGAAGAATTTTCTCTCTTCCTTAACCGAGCGGCTGATCTTCTGGTTTTTTTTACATGCCCGACGTACTTGCTCTGACTGCTTAGCGTTTTGCGAGGCCGGACAGAGGGAAGTTTGTTTAAACAAAAGATCAAAATAAGCGGGTACTGTGTAGTTGCACAAGCTATAGTATATGATTCATTTGCGATAATTAATCGTTATATAGCTGTAGTTGATAAATACCGAGATGTATAGCAGTAATATCGGGGATAGATTGCTCGCATATTGGAGCTACTGTCGTATTGACTTTGCGCCCGAAAAACACAAAAAAAATAAACAAACAGCGAGCAGAAGAGCAGACAGAAAAAAGTACGGCCATCGTATCTGCCAACGGCTGGCAACGGCTGGCCCTGAATGGGAGCAAAGGAAAAATCGGAAGAAAAAAAGGCTCGTGCTGATGCGAAGCTCGGGTGGTTTGACTGATTTCTAACCCTGTCTGGCTCTTCACTTTGACGAGGTGCTGAAATGGTGAATTTGGTCAAACCGACGCAGACAGGGGGCAGTATCACCATGTGACGACATCGAATCCCTTGCCTGGTTTTTTGACACAAGATAAGGTCGACCTGTTGATCAAATGTATGTTTGTCTTTTCCTCTTCTCTACTCGGTCTCATCAGCTGCTGAGCCAAACAAATCCCCAGCTCGTAGAGCCGTAGAGCAGCGAAGAGCAGTCTAACCCCAGGCTCGCTAAGAGCCTCGATTAGTTTCGCTTGTGCACAAATAAATTTTTTCTCGTTGCGGTTTGAACTGGCCATGCCGCACCGCAACACAGCCGCCCTGGAGCCTGCCCAAACAAGGTCTGTCCTTTGCTCCCAGCCGCTACATCGTCGGCAGCCCCCAATCGGAAGAGGAAATGGGAGTTGAGAGATATCGGCTGCAGGATTGAGCTGCTCTGTTGGTTTGTCCTCCATCAAGACGGATCAATTGGGTCATCTGCTTTCTTCAGAATATGACTGGTCCAAAGCCATACGGCTCTACTTGATTTCTTCTCCGGTTTGCCTTCTTGCTTTGCTGCCGGTTCTCTTGATTTGTTCTGATGCACTCTAGCAGCCTGCGTGTTCAATCTCGTCCAATCTGTAGTCCGTATCTTGGATGATCGTCTCAATCTGCAGCGGCGGCCGCAGCAGCAGAAGCAAGGCCGATCAACACTATCTACCGGTTGCAATCCGCAATGAGGCAGCCGCCCAATTCACATCAGCACCAGCAGCAGCAAGAAGCAACATAATCGAAAGAAAAAAATGCACTTGCGGCGCAGATTGGATTGGATAGCTGGCGGTGGCCCCTGTGTACCCGCCGTGCCTATGTGTTCGCTTATTTTAAATTGCTGAACCCGTATCATCATCAACCCAACCCAACCCAAACCAATGCCTGCGCCGCCTGGCCGCCCGCTGCCTGCTGCCGGCTGCTTTGCCAGCGCTCGGACGATTAAACTCAGCCGCTGGTTCTTTTCTTTTTCCGTTTCCCTTTTTTCTCTTATTTTCCGTTAGCGGCAGAACGAACGAAAAAATTTTGTAAACACTGCGCTCTCACAACACGCGGCGCACGCGTGCCTGATCGAGATCTCCGCAAATGCGCGAAACGAAGGAAAAAAAATTTCTTTCACCAGCATGCCAGATTCCTCTCCCTTCGACGAAAATTTTTTTCTTGTCTCTTCTGTCGACATGCCTGATGCGAATTGTCAGAGCCTCTTATCTCTGGCTAAATTGAAACCCGAGGGGGGGTACGGTTCTCGCCTCGGCTGGCTGGTTGCGTAGGTGTACCGTCGCTTTACGTGTAGTGTTTGTTGACATGTACGACGCGTAGCGACTTTAGATAGCCCAGCATCACATGCTCGCTCCCCTGCAATTCCCTATCTCTATGATATCAGCCTAGACTACTATTCCGACTCGTTATCTCTTCTCTTGTTTATGATATCTGCAACCAGCCCTCTGCATATCTTACCTCGTCACGAGATGCTCGCTCTTCCGATTTCGGGACTTCGCGCTATCTGGTTATCTCTCTGACCAGGATTTCCCCTCATCAGACACTTATCTACATCCAATCGAAGACATTGGCATGCATGTGATGCACAGTCTCTGCTCCCTGCCCGAGGATCTGCTCTATCTCACCGCATTGCACTCACTTGCAGTCTCAGTGCGCGTCTGCTTCTTGGATCAGCCGATCTGCTCCTGCGATTGAATCAGTGCACCGATCTCTGATGAGTTGGATCAATTGATTGATCTACGAGATATATAATATGTAAATGCTATATAAAACACATCAATCGACATAAACCACACAGACTGCTATTTTTGAATCAGTGGAGGTCCATCGCGATGATGTAGCTAATTACGTCACTCCCATGTTGACGATATCTATTCCGTCATCGACAGCTGCTGTGATAAGCACGAGGGTCATATGACAGTGCCGACGCTGTCATTCCAAGATTTGGAGCGCTAGATAAGAAGATAGGCAAGAAACTCGTGTTTGTTATCTCTGAACCGGGACAGAGTCACCGGGATGGGATGTAGTAGGGACGGGCGCGGTATCTAGTGATATCAAAGATCCCGCAGGCACGAGCAAGAGGTGTTATCAGAGTTCCTACGCCCCGTACAGAGTTGGTTCAATAGACAGACAGAGATATCATGAGTACACAGCCTGCCTCTTTTCTTTTTTCTTCTGCTGCAACAGTGTGGTATTTTTTTCGTGTTTTTTTTTTTTCGTCGTTGTCGTCACCCGTAAAGCCTTTTGCGGGGATCTGAAGCGAACAAGGACGAGTTAAATTACAGTTTGAAGAAATTTTTTATGATTTACTACGGCGCTGAGCGAGCGAAAAGGTTAATCAAAGAGAAAAAAAATTGCACCCAGGAAAAAGCAAATTTGGTACCGACCAGCACTGCGGCCATGCAGACACGGCCCTCGTAGTGCGCGCGCCTTCGGAGACTCACTCGAACCGGCGCCAAACCGGCGCCAATGTAAGGGTTTCAACGAAAATAAACACAGAAAATAAAAATTTTCGCCCAGCGGCTGCCATCCCGCCCCTGACTGACACTTAGGTTGGTTACGCTCGTCGACCAAAAAGTCTCTCGCTTGCCGACAGCCCAGCTTAACTCTGCGGTCTGACTAGTCGCCTCTCGAGCCTGCCCTGACCGCGGTCTCTTCTGCTGCCTGTTTACCGTGCCTTTCTTCTTTCCTATCCCGTAGCCCTGCCTCACTCCGTATCTAGACTGGCAAACTACTCGCCAGGTGGGCTCAATTGGGACTTCCACTGCCCTTGCAAGCCGCACATCACCATGGCCCTCCCGGCCCGGAGCCATCAAATTTTTTTCCCTGCCTAACGTAGTTCCTCGTCTTTCTCTAAGCCTGTACTGAGTTTCGCGTAGTTTCTGCTCCCCTCCTGCCCATTGTATATCTATCTTTCTCTCTTCTTCTCTGGTCGCTTTCTATGCTACCAACCGTCGTCATCCGAGCTCGCATGTCAGTTCAAGTGCCCGACTTGTCTCTCTTCTCGTCTGCTTTGCTTACCTTTAGTCTGCTAACTGCGCAGATCTGGCCTTTGAGCAAGTATGCGAAATCTGATTCTCGCTTGCTCCATAGGTCTGCCATACCTGCCCTCTCCTTTGCAATTCACCTCTGCTCTACAAATCAGGCCAGCCGTATACTGCACCTTACCGTCCTGCTCTAGCCGTTATGACTGGATGCAGATTTCCGAGACCTTCGCTGGGGGACATTGCCCTAGCTCGGTTTAGACTGACTACATACCAGTGCTCATTTATCAAGAACCTCGATCTTGTTCAGATCAGACGTCCTCAGATCCACCGCCTGATCTTCTGTCCGTTTCCATATGCCGCATTCAACTCACCAAATCGCAGCAGGTAAAACACTCCTCAAGCCAAGTATCCGGCCATCTATGCCGCTGGGCTACAAGTCTGCGTTCTAATTTGCTCGTACATGGAATGCTTAATAATCTAAGACCTGCATGCATCTTTCGATCCTTCGATCGTGTTTTTATATTTATTATTTCAGCAAGCGTGTACGCGGTTGCAAGATGGTTCGGTACATTGTCTTGGAGAACAATCAGAAGAATTAGACGCGATCGAGAAGGTGAAGCAGCATCTAGATCGTTCGGCGGATATCTGATCATACGAACGGGATTTTCGAAAGCGTACCTGGAGCGTGGGGTCGTGCCCGAGGATTGTACATTGAGCATGTAAATGCAGATAACCAGTCCACCGCCTCAAGCACCTTTCCTACACTCCGCTCCCTGCCACCTTCAGCAAAGACATATGCAAAAACTCAATCATTATTCACTCTGTAAAATGAAATCATTTCATTGCTTCTCGCCGCCTCTCGCTCATGCGTCTGCGTCAAAACTAAGACCCCAGTTCCAACGCTAAATCTAGCTGCTCTGTTGGCCAATTTAGCCCGGCTGCATACCCCACAAACGCCCGCTTCTTGTTTATCGTTGCTACCGGACTAGCTCGGACTCACTAGCCTGCCCTAATCTGCCGCACAAGCCGTGTGTGGTCGAATTGCGTTGTCGTAACATTGTGTAAATCCCGACTGAACAAGAAGCCGCGATTTTTTAATTGATCGATGCGCGCTGTTCAACTGCAGCGGTGTGAACCTTATTATGTACGACCAATTTCCGTAACCATTAGTTTCTCTCGCGCGATTGGTCAATAAAAAGCGCTGTAACATACAGTTTAGATACGGATTAATTGATGAAGGAAGTAGCTGAAGTCCGTTGCAAAAATAGAAGCTCGGAGAAGAGACGGGTGAGGGCTTAAATATGTCATTTTCCGAGCGGTAATTGAAGACCGGAGACTTTATGGTCTCACACACATGCTTATACTGTAAAACAACTCTCCAAATATATAAACAAAATCCCATTCAAACTGCTACTGTAAATCATCCTGTTTATAACTCAACTCCAATTCACTGGATAATAAAACACGAGAAAAACCAGCGCAGCGTACTATTTCCCCATTTGGCTGATAACTGCATGAGCCGCAGACTGCGTTCCTTTCCACCCACAGCTGTCAGAAGAGAGCGGTGACGCAGATCAAGAGCCGTCGAAGCGGCTGTCAAAGATCTACTTCTCCCAAACATCGAGTCTCTTTGTTATTTCTCTCTAGACAACAAACCGTGGAGCATATTGCATTATTATTCCGGAGTACAATTCCTCTTTCTACCTGCTCGAAGGATAAACACGGGTGTATGTTACGATGGCACATAATCTCCTAGGCCGAGGTTTACGATCGCGCAACGGATCTCGAAATGCCTCGCCGGCCGGAAGCAGATCGTCGTCACCTAGACCACCGAGTGAATCCTCGCTGATTCTCAAGATATACATTATAAAGGTACGGATCTGAATACTCTCGCTTTAATTTTCAGGTTAGTCGAGAAAGGTTTGCTAATTGCCCGTCCATGATCCCGTTATAGGCCAAGGATCTCGCCGCGCTTGATCGAGGCGGAACAAGTGATCCAGTACGTTCCCCAATCACCTTTACTTTTTGATATTCATTCTAGCGTACACGACGTTCTGACAATGTAACTGCGATAGTACGTCGTCATCACATTAGACGACTTCAAGGCGACCACGCAGGCAATCTCAAAGACCCTGAATCCAGAATGGAACGCCGAGTTCTCGATCGGCTTGTCTCCTGCTGTGTCGGAATTACTGTTGATCGAGGGGACCGTTTGGGACAAGGACCGGTTTAAAAAGGTATTTTGGTTGTTCCTCCCCTGAAAGCTCGGCAAATTCTGACTGGAGATACAATGTAGGACTACCTGGGGAGCTTTGATATCTCGCTTCCAGAGCATTTCGGCAGAGGCCAAGAGAATGGGCTAGTAGTAGCTGATATCCCCACCAACAAGCAAGTTCCCGTCACATCCGTTTCCGTCGTCCCGCACTATCTAACATTCCAGCAGACCACGATGGTACGATCTATACTCCGCCAAAACCCGCAAAACATACGTCAAAGGCTCCATCTTTGTCAAACTCGCGCTCGCAGACACCACGGACCCGACCGCATCTAACGACGTCCTCCTCGAGAAATGGAATGCATTGCTCTCCAAAACCGGGCCGGCAGGGTCTATCTCTGATTACGAATCAGACGGCCTGGCGTCGCCTAACAACGAGGATGAAAGCGGTGTTTCGGAGAACGAGAGCGCGAGATCGAAGTCTCGACGGCAAGAAAAGAGACGTGAGCGGCGACAGAGGCTTAAGCAGCGGCAGCTCATGAATCTCTATCAAAGAGGCGGGGATTCTGATCTGGCTGGCGTGGTTTTCTTTGAGATTGTCAAAGTTACGGATCTACCTCCGGAGCGAAATGGTAAGTTACTCCAAACTCCTACGAGCTGCAAACGATGCAGGAACTGACGACTATGTAGTGACACGAACCGGTTTCGACATGGATCCCTTCGTCGTCGTTTCCCTCGGCAAATCCGTCGTTCGCACTGACGTCCAGCGACACAACCTCAACCCGATCTACAATGACAAGTTTCTATTCCAAATCATCGCTCGCGAGCAAAACTACGTGTTTACAATCACCGTCATTGACCGCGACGCGCTCTCAAACAACGACTTTGTTGCGCGCGCGCAGGTCCCGCTGCAGGAGATATTGATGCTCGCGCAGAAGCCGAATCCAGAGTCGGGCGTTTATGAGTTTCAGCCGGCGATGCATGCGCATGTGCCTATCAAGAAGAAGCGGGTGGGAAAGAAAGATTCCTCGACGGAGAACAAAAAGGATGAGACGTCGTCGTCTTCATCTTCTCCACCAGCGACAGACGACGAAACTATGCATACGTTTGAAATCCCTTTAATCCTAGCAAACAAGACTAAATGGGAAGGCAAGCACCAGCCTGTGATTGAAATCAGAGCAAAATACATGCCGTACGAAGCCTTGCGACAGCAATTCTGGCATTATCTGATCCGGCAATTCGACGACGACGACAGCGGGTATATATCCCGAATCGAGCTGTCGAATATGCTAGAGCATATCGGGTCTACTTTGCGCCAGCAGACTATTGAGCGGTTCTTTTTGGAGAATGGAAAGACGGAGATCGATGACGATATAGAGATAGACAAAGTTGTCGCGTTCCTGGAAAGCCAGGTTGAGAAAGAGTGCCGCGAGATGGTGGACTATACTACCGGTAGCTCATCGCGGGCATCTGCGATTCCGATCCTAGTGCGCGCAGCCACCGCACAGCCGGATGAAACAGAAGAGAGGGACGATACCCTTACAGAAGCCACAGTAGCAGAGCTCGACCGTGAGCTCGAAGCAATCTCATCGGAAGACAAAGCCGAAGACAAAGCAGTCTCGCAAACCTCCTTCCCGCTTGACATGGAAGCCTATCTCGAAGAGATCGACGAGGACGAGAGTGAGGTCGAGCGCGTGATGACGATAAGAGAGTGTCCGATCTGTCACCAGCCCAGACTTGATATGAAGGCCGAAGTCGATATTGTCACGCATCTCGCTTTGTGCGCGAGTCAGGGGTGGAGTCAGGTTGATACCCTCGCGATCAGCAGCCATGTCACTGCCGAGCAAGCCTCGCGCAAATGGGTGGGAAAGGTATTGTTTATACTTCTATGATGATTTCTCAGCTTGAAGACTAACACAGACTTTTCTAGGTGGTATCCAAAATCTCTTATGGAGGCTACAAACTGGGCGCAAACTCCGCAAACATCCTGGTACAAGACCGAATTACAGGTTACATCTCCGAAGAGCGCATGAGTCCATACGTGCGCACTGGTATCCGTTTGCTCTACCGGGGTCTTAAAGCTCGCGAGATGGAACGTTCGAGGAGTATGTCTTCTTCTTTCTTTATATACTTGACGGTTGTTAGAAATGCTTACAGGATTTGCTGTAGTTCGGAAAATGTTGGCGAGTATGAGCGTCAAGCAAGGCAGGAAATACGATAACCCGAGATCGGTGAAAGCTATCAAGCCATTCATCCAGTTCCACCAGCTCGATCTTTCAAGCGTTCTGAAGCCGCTGGATCAGTTTAAATCGTGCGTTCTCCTTTCCAACACTCCACCGCTTTTTTAACAGAAGGATACTTATCTGCTAATTATCAGGTTCAATGACTTTTTCTACCGCGAGCTAAAACCCGGATCACGACCCTGCGCCGCCGCAAGCAACCCCAAGATCGCCGTCTCGCCGGCAGACTGCCGCTCGGTCGTTTTCGAAAGCATAGAAGAAGCCACCAAGATCTGGATCAAGGGCAAGGACTTTTCGATCCGTCGTCTTTTTGGCGACGCGTACGCGGACGAGGTCAAGAGCTTTATAGGCGGGTCGCTAGGGATCTTTAGACTTGCGCCGCAGGATTATCACCGGTTTCATGTGCCTGTGGATGGAGTGCTTGGGAAGCCAAAGTTGATTGAGGGGGCGTATTATACCGTCAATCCGATGGCGATCCGGTCAGCGTATGTTCCTTTCCCTTTTGCGAGTTTTACGCGAGTTTTGTAGCTGACGAGATGATATACAGACTAGATGTCTACGGGGAAAACGTTCGGGTCTTGGTCCCCATCGACTCTGAAGCTTTTGGTCGCGTGATGATTGTCTGCGTGGGCGCAATGATGGTAGGCAGCACCGTAATCACCGCGCAGGCCGGCGCGCGCGTGTCGCGCACCGACGAACTCGGCTACTTCAAATTCGGCGGCAGCACGCTCGTCGTCCTCTTCCAGCCGGGCAAGATCTCGTGGGACTCTGATCTGCGGCAAAACACCAAGGAGTCGCTCGAGACGCTGATTGAGGTCGGCATGTCGGTCGGGCATGCGCCGGACGAGGCAGAATGCGGGCTCGAGTATGCGCGCAAACGGCTGTCGGCGGGCGAGACCGGCGAGTTGAGCGAGGAGGAGATCGCGGAGGTGGCGAGGAGGATTGATGGCAGTCTTGCGCCGCTCAGACGGGAGGCGGATGAGGATTGATGCGGGCGATGAGTTCTCCGTAGAAATGAATTTGGTATCGCTCTATAATATAGTCGCAGAGTAGACAAGTTCTCTATAAAAGTAAAAACCCCCCCTGAGTAGGGAAGTAACGGGGTTAGGGGAATATAAGTGGAATTTCAGAATATTTTTCTTCCTCCCAACTTCAATCTTCAAAATCTAACAGTCGTCGGCCTGACACGACTGAAATGCGCAATGTCTGAAGCAATAGCAGCAAAAACAAAAAAACACCATGCCAAAGGAGAGCGAGTTGCGTTCTTATCAGCGGTGCAGGGCCATGTCGGCAAACTGCCTGGTGAGGGCAGTTGGCGGCGGCGGCGGTTGGCTGTGCGGTGCTTTCGACGGGATTTGTTTTTATCGTTTGGCTGGAACTTGATGATTGGGATCACGAATAAAGATATGAAAGGTTATTCGCAGAATACTATGGGGATTTTTGTGGAGGAGCGGCAGATTGACCGGTTTCTCAAGGCGGTGCGGAAGAAGAGCGGGGTGAAGATGTCGGGGTTTGAGGAAACTAGTCTGCTGCCGAGGCACGCACTCAGAGACTTTCGGTTTTTCGAAAAATCGACGGACTTTGTTGCAGAGGAAAATCTGCTGATGCGGGTGGCTGAAAGGTACAGGAGAGATTCGGGATTGCCTGGGGCTACGAATGATCAAATTAGCGATGAGGTGCTGGGAGTGAACAAGGCTTTAGCGACAGCGACCCAGACAGCCTCGATTACGATTCTAGAGGAGCAACAAAAGAAACAAAAAAAGGCGCTCAAGACGTTAGAGAGATTCGCAAAACAATGGACGGAGCGCGAAACGTCGCTTCAGATTATACAGCAGTGCATGAGGGAGAGGACGCAGGTGTTGGTCGGGGTCGACATCGAGGCGTATGAGTATAATCACAAGATAGTGACCGAGATCGGGATCGCGACGCTGGATCTGTCTACAGTCGATAATGCGCGGAAAGCGGAACCGGAGGTGCGGCATCTGCGACCGAAAGAGAATGTTAGATACAAGAACAAAGTGTATGTGCCGGATCACTCTGAGGACTTCAGTTTTGGCAAGTCAGAAGTGCTGCCTATGAAACGGTGTGCGTCTGAACTCCAGCATATATTTTCCGACATAGGCGACCGTGCCGTCTTTGTCGCGCACGGCTCGGTTCAAGACATCAAATGGCTGAACAGTATGGGCGTCAAACTACCGACGAACATGCCCCAGATCAACACACAACATGTCTGGAATCAGTTATACGGCGACAAAGCGCCAGCTAAGCTGGAGTATATCCTCAGAGATCTCGGAATCAAGTTTAAGAACTTGCACAATGCGGCGAACGACGCGTATTACACCGTGCAGGCTGCTGTGAGAATGGGTGAAGAGGTGGAGGAGCAGCTGCCGTGGTGGCCGCGGTCGCGGTCGCAATCGCCATCGCAATCGCAATCGTCATCACCATCGTCAGAAACCTCCTCTGGTGAGGAGGAGGCCTCGTCATCGTCATCGTCATCGTCATAAACACCACCATCACCATCACATTGCTATCGCCTACATGTGCTGCCCCGTCGATAGTGATGTTTCCGCCGCGATGGTAGTGTCATTGTATATATCTACAGGTGAATCTAGGGGAGTATCACTCCAATTGTACATACAAACTAGCCGCAATATTACGCACTTACGCACACTGTTTGCATTAACAAGGCAGGAATGCCCAGTCCTACATGCCGAGCCGCTCCGCTCGCTATAGCCGCTCGCTCTATAGCGAGCGCATACGGCGGCACATGGTCGTCGATGGTCGCTCTAGATCACCGTCCTTGGGCTGTGCTGTACACATCGATGTTATTTATTATTTATATTTTGTCTACTTCAATTCCGCTCAGAGAACAGGAAACGTGCCCGCGACGAACTCTCGCAGAGGGCCAGTGTGTTGATCACGTGTGCGCAGGGTTGGGGTCGTAAGAAGAGTCAGCGGCCCCGATTGGGAAACCAACGCAGAAACCGAAAGCGGCGAAGGCCAACGAGGCGACGACGCGTCGGTCGGCTTCCGTCGGTCTCCACCCGGCTGCCTTCACCTTCACCACCAACCACCCCTCTGTCTTCCCCAGACAATTGCACCCACCCTCCCCCCCTTCCCCACCGCTCCCAGCGTGCCCTTGCTTCTCTACAAGCCGGGCTTTACTCTGACGCTTTGCTAGATGGCCAAGTCTGCTCTGTCCGCGGCGCTTTCCGCATATGCGGGTCCCGACGCGCCGCAGCTGCCCCGCGTTCGCCGTGGATCCGCCTCCGCGTTCTCGTCCTCCTCGCCCGGTCCGCGCGACTCGGCCCTGAGCTCCAGCTTCGGCAGCTCGTACGGGATCGGCAAGCAGCAGCAGCAGCAGCAGCGCAGACGTCCGTCGGCAACGAGCCACGGCAAGGCGTCTGAACAACGCCGTGTTTCCGGAAGCGTCTCGCCCGCCACCTTGAAGCCCGTCAGCGGCGGGTCGTCCCGCGCCAGCGTACCGGTCTCGCCGAATATGTTTCCGTTCTCGCCTCCATTGTCGGGCGTGCGCGTGCTGCGAGACCAGCGTCGGCGCGGCAGCTCGGTGGTGACGACGACGATTCTGAGTCCCTACGATGGCGATCTCATGTTCTCGTCATCATTCGACGACCGCGACAGCGTGCTTGGCGAAGAAGACGAGATCGATATGGACAACATGGACGTCGACGACATGGATCTCGACGGCGACCGGCGCTTCCACAGCGACGCAGAGAGCGACACCGACGAAGAGGATTGGCAGTCGGCGGGCGTGGAGTCGCTCCGCCGCGGCAACGCCTTCCACCTCATGCAGCGCGACACGGTCTCGTCTGTGTCGTCGGACTCGATGTTTTCATCGCGCACCTCGGTCTCGTCCTTTGGCGACTCGAAGGTGTCTGTCTTCTCGCAGTCGGTGCCGGCTGTGGCGATGGTCAAGCCCAAGACTTTGCCGACCGGGCAGATCCCCGCCGGCTTTGGCTCACACAAGGAGAATGTGCCGGTTGACCGTGAAGCCGATGCAATCCAGGCATTAGTGCAGCTACGGTCTTTGTAAATAGAGTGTTGTTTTGTGTTTTTATGTGTTATGATTGCTTGTTTGTTTGTGCTATCTCTACTGTGTAAATGTCGTATTCAATCCTATTGGTCGCCAGCTGGACTGCAGGTATTTGAGGTGTTATCAGTCTGGGTGATCGGCGTCCGGGTGGAGTTCGAACTCATTTGATGTTGCTAAACTGCGAGGATATTAAACAGCTGGCAGGCGCGCCCTGTACTCAGTTCAAACAGATTCTAGTCGTTCTCATTGTTTTTGTGTATTATTTTATCGAGAATTTATTGTGTCGTGATCGCATGGCGGTCGTTGACGACGCTTATTCTGTGCGGGTCGGGTACCTTAGGTGCAGATCAGTCAGCTTGGCTGGTTGCAGCAGGTTTGTGTGTCTTAAGTTATTTGTCTCTGCTCAGTGTATTATTAGAGGGTTGGCAATACAGGTGGTAGTCGTGCTTTTATTAAAAGTGATGTGTGGAGTGTAAAGGATTAGCTGTGGTTGTGTAGAAGTAGGAGCAACTAGACGTCTAGACGTCAGTGCAATGACATCTCCCGCGAACGTTTTCCATCAAGCACCCAACAGCGAGCGATAAGCCGATTCTGCTGTTATTTACTCGACAATAATAGCAGGCTGCAATTCTTGCTTCCCGAGTGGGTCTTTGGTCTTTCGTAGGTTACGTGAGCCGTTACCTGCCGCGTTACCGAAGCTCTGATTAATCTCCGTCGACCTGCCTGTCCGCCCCGCCACCGGCTACCGAAGTCCTGCGCTGAGAAGCCTTCCGGATATCGAATCAGAAGGGAAAGGAGTCCGCTGCACAGCGCAACGCAGATCATTTTCTATTTCTGGTATTCTCATCTACAAGGTCCCTGATCTGAGTTGCTTCTTCTCTTGCTCTGCTCTTTTCTCGACCGCTGTCAGCCGAGACAATGATTGATCCGTCGAAAAATGGCGAGTATCCCATCACTGTGAGCAGAAGCTTTGCCGAGCCTGCGTCCTCCGACCAGCTCTTTGCTCTGCGATGTATGTAAACTCTTATGCTCTTGACTGAGAGCAGCTTTGCTCTTTTTGTCTTTTATAAGCTACATGTGCTCACAAGGCCTTGATTTCACGTCTCAGACAATTTCAAGCCCGAGTCTGTCGACGACAGTCAGCCCTCCGTCTTAACCAGATCTGGCTCCGAGTTTACTCTCCGGTCTCCCGGAATCCAAGTATGTCGCGCTTCACTGTTTGTATCTACTTGTATATTGTTGCTAATCGATTCTCATCTGTGTAGAAGGAAGAATCGTTCACGTTCACCGGACAAAGCACAGAAGGCAAAGATGTCGACTGTCTGCTGATTTACAACGAGGTTACAAATGTGAGGTCCACCGCCCTGCTACTTTGCACTGCACGTCTCTAACACTTTTCCATTTACAGTCCTTTGAATTAAAACGTCTCTCGAACGTCATCCGTCTGAAAACTTCACGATCAGCTCCCAAAAAACCTTCCGCAACCTCAGCAAACTCCTCCGCCTCTTCCTCCTCAACCTCACCCACAAAAGAACCTATCGTCCGCCGAAGCAAAGACGAGCGGGTTATCGATCTGCCATCACTAGACGACCTACCTGCGTCGTCGTCCGACCAGACCTCTGCCGTTCCTCGAGCACAGGTCCGCGTGCCGTCGCCTTCGGTCCAGAAGGATGACAGGACACCGTCAGGCAGAGCACAGGCGCGGAAGCATGGCGATGCGGACTTGTCGTCCTCAGCATCGTCAGACGAAGACGACGATGTACCGCTGCGGGCATCAACCTCTTCACAGCCCTTACGACAGCCGATTTCCGCCAAGGCCCGATTTGCGGCTGCGGAAGTCGAGGAGCCTGAATCTTCATCGGACGAGGACGAGGACGATGCTCCACGATCGCAACCGCAATCACAACCACAGCCTGCTCGACAACCGCGGCAACCACCTGCGATACCACAAGTGCGTGCGCCGGTGCCGATTCCAGTCTCGAGTCGCGGCCCGATAAGTCTACGAGGGTACACCGGGTACGGGCGAGTTGAGGACGATATCTCGTCGAGCAGTGAGGAGGAGTAGTTTCTTTTTTTGCTGTGCGACATGTTTTACTTAGAAATGCATAGGTTTGTTTGGCGTACTTTGTCGGCTTTTTTCATGACTTTTGAATCGTTTTTTGTATGAGGAGGGGGTATTGGTATTTGTTTGCTGCATATATGGCTTTGTTAGTATCCGCTATAGGCACCAAGTAGCTCCTGATCTGAGTAATACACACATCAGATACATCTATTATATAGCTCCATCCCAGCTTCGTAAAGCACCCACAATTACAGTAAACTGCACATTATAAATAGAAGGAAAGGTACAAAGCCCACTTCCGAGTGCGCAACGGTTGATAGATCGACGCGTGTTCTTCGCGTCGCCTTCGAAATTTCTTTTTTCCGCTTTTTCACTCTGCGCAGATTTCGTGGTTCCAGATATCACAGCCAGACAGCAGCCAAAACACCCTGATTTGCTGTTCTGAATAAGCGAATAATACTCTGAACATCTACTGAAAACTCATTTGATCTTTTTGACTGCTCTTTACGCTCTTTAAACCGAGCCAGCGAAGCCACAGCAGTGCACTGGACATATCATCAACCTCCTATGCACTTATGCCATAACCGCAGTTTGCGCACTTCCCTTCTTGGTTTGTTTACCCAGGCCGCCTTTCGACGCGCCCAGTTCGCAACCGCAACTGTCCGCTGGCACGCTCCTCTTCTTTCTCCCCCTCGCTCTCGCCCACAGCCTGCTTCGACTAGGTTTTTCACATCTTCTGTATCTCAGTTTGAGCAAGTGTCGAAAATGGCGCCTCCTGTTGTTTCTCTGTCTTCGGACGACGAGGATTTTGACGTGAGCTATTCGCCTGTGGTCTCTGTGAGTGTCTCTTCTTTCTTGTTTCTCCAAATCTCTATATTCCCGTCCGCTAACCTTCTTTCTCCATCATTCAGCCCAAGAAAGCTCCGCCGCGCCGTGCTGCTGCCGCTGCTTCTCTCAAGCGAACCGTCGTGGACTCTGACGAGGTCTTTGACTTTGACGAGCAATCAGACGACGATTTTGAAATGACCCCGCCCAAGAAGATCAAAGTTAGCGCAACCAAGAAGGCTCCTGTTGCAAAGAAAGCTGCGCCTGCTGCGAAGAAAGCTGTGCCTGCGCCTGCACCAAAGTCCAACAAAATCAGCTCGATCTTCTCTGACGAGGACTCGCTTGAGTTTGAATCGCCTCCTGCGAAGAAGGCGCCTGCGCCAAAGAAAGCTGCGGCCATGAAGAAAGCCGCGCCAAAGACCACCTCGATCTTTTCAGATGACGATTCTGGCAGTGACTTTGAAATGTCGCCACCGGCGGCCGTGAAGAAGACTGCCGCTGCCGCAAAGCCAAAGAAAGCACCCGCAGCTGCCAAGGTCACAAAGCCAAAGGCTGATCCGAAGCCCAAGACTGCTGCTAAACCCCGCGCAAAGCCTCTGACTCCTCTTGATAATGTCATGGACAAGCTTTCGTCCCCAGCCGCGCCGGCTAAGGGGGGCCCTAGCTCTGATGAAGGTAGTGATGACGATGATGGCTCGTTTGGAGGAACGCCGCCTGCGAAGCCTCCCCCAAAGAAGTCGGGTACTCAGAAGTCTGGCTCTGAGACCTATCAAAAGGTAAGATGATTCTACTACAAAACTGTCCCTCCATCGTCGTACTAACGAGATCATCTCTGTAGCTCACCCAACTCGAACATATCTTGAAACGCCCCGATACCGTATGTTGTCTCCATAGTGCGCCTGTTTTCTTCTACTGCTCTCTAACAAGATACTTAGTATATTGGGTCTATCGAATACTCTGAGCGGTTGATGTGGAGTTTTGACTCTGATTCCCAGAGCATGGTGTATAGGTAAGTTTCACCCTGCTAATTGCTCGAGAGAGCGGCCAAATACTAATCGACTATTTAAAGAAACGTCCGCTTCGTACCCGGTCTCTACAAGATCTTTGATGAGATTCTGGTCAACGCCGCCGACAACAAGATTCGCGATCCCGACATGGACTCTCTCAAGGTCTCGATCGACAAGGAAAAGAACGAGATCGTGGTGTACAACAACGGCCGCGGTATCCCGATTGAGATGCACGAGAAGGAAAACATGTATATTCCCGAGCTCATCTTTGGTAACCTTCTCACGTCGAGCAACTACGACGACGACGAAAAGAAAGTTACCGGTGGTCGTAATGGTTACGGTGCAAAGCTTTGCAACATCTACTCGACCGAGTTCATCGTTGAGACTGCGGACAAAAACACAAAGCAGAAGTACAAGCAGGTTTGGAATTCCAACATGTCGAAAGTCGGCAAGCCCAAGATCACCTCGAACGCGAGTGGACAGCAGTACACAAGGATCACGTTCAAGCCAGACTTGAGACTATTTGGAATGACTGAGCTTGACGATGACTTGATTGGCATCATGAAACGACGAGTTTATGATTTGGCTGGATCGGTTAAGAACATCAAGGTGTATCTTAACGACAACCGATTGATGATTCGCAACTTCAAGCAGTACATGGAGATGTATGTTACCGCTTTGTCTGCCAACACCGCTATCAAGGAAGAGGAGGATATTATCAAAAAGTCCGAATCGGATGACGAAAGTGGGTTTGAGTCTGATGCGAAGGAGTCAAAGGTGGCGGTGCCAAAAGGTCCCAAACCTGTTATTGTTCATGAGGTCGTCAATGATCGATGGGAGATTGGATTCGCGGTCTCTGATGGAAACTTCAACCAGGTTTCATTTGTCAACTCGATAGCTACTTCCTCTGGTGGTACTCACGTCAACTATGTTTGCGATCAGCTTGTAAACAAGATCACAGAAGTCGTGAAGAAGAAGAGCAAGTCGAGCGCGATCAAGCCGCAGCAGATTCGAAACAACATGTTTTTGTTTGTGAATTGCTTGATCGAAAACCCTGCGTTCACATCGCAGACGAAGGAGCAGCTGACGACGCGTCCTTCTGCGTTTGGATCAAAGTGTGTTCCGTCTGATGCGTTTCTGAAGAAGGTGGTCAACTCGAGTATCATTGACAGTCTGTTGGACATTGCGACTGCCAACGCCGACAAGGCTTTGAAGAAGACTGATGGATCGAAGAGAAACAGAATCACTGGTCTTGTCAAGCTCGACGATGCCAACAAGGCTGGTACCAGAGAAGGACACAAGTGCACGCTGATCCTCACCGAGGGAGACTCAGCCAAGGCATTAGCTGTTGCTGGACTCAGTGTTGTCGGGCGAGATTACTATGGAGTTTATCCTCTTCGTGGAAAGTTACTGAACGTGCGTGAAGCGTCTCATGATCAGATTATGAAGAACGCCGAGATTCAGGCGATCAAGCAGATTATGGGATTGCAGCATAAGAAGAACTATTCGAACACCAGAGATCTTCGATATGGACATCTTATGATTTTCACTGATCAGGATCACGATGGTAGTCACATCAAGGGATTGTTGATCAATTTCTTGGAGTCAACGTTCCCTGGACTGCTTGATATTCCTGGGTTTTTGATTGAGTTCATTACGCCGATTGTGAAGGTAACGATTACCAAGGGCAAGAAGGTGACGACGATTCCGTTCTACACGATGCCAGAGTATGAGTCTTGGAAGGAGACTGAGGGCTCAAAGTGTACGTGGAAACACAAGTACTACAAGGGTCTGGGAACGTCGACGCCAGCGGAGGGACGAGAGTACTTTAAGCAGCTGGATAAGCATCTGAAGCAGTTTCATGCGTTGGAGGAAGGAGATAAGGAGCTGATTGATCTTGCATTTTCGAAAAAGAAAGCGGATGAGCGAAAGGAGTGGCTGAGACTGTTCAAGCCGGGAACGTATCTTGATCCGACGTTGCCCAAGGTTCCGATCAGTGACTTCATCAACAAGGAGCTGATTCTGTTTTCGATGGCTGATAACATTCGGTCGATTCCGTCGGTGATTGATGGATTAAAGCCGGGGCAGCGAAAGGTGCTGTTCAGTTGCTTCAAGCGTAATCTGAAGTCTAGTATCAAGGTCGCGCAGTTGGCAGGATACGTTTCGGAGGTTTCAGCGTACCACCATGGTGAAGCCTCGCTTGTGCAGACGATTGTCAGTATGGCGCAGGATTTCGTGGGAAGCAACAACTTGAATCTGTTGCTGCCCAAGGGAATTTTCGGTACGCGCGCGACAGGTGGAAAAGATGCGTCAGCGCCGCGTTATATTTACACTGAGCTCAACCCGCTTACGCGGAAGGTGTTCCATGTTGACGACGAGCCGATTCTGAGTTATATGACGGAGGAGGAGAAGCGGATCGAGCCGGATTGGTATATGCCAGTGATTCCGATGGTGCTTGTTAACGGCGCGGATGGAATTGGTACGGGATGGAGTACGTCGATTCCGAACTACAACCCGATGGATATTGTGGACAACATCCGGCGGATGATGAAGGGCGGCGAGATGTTGAAGCCGATGGATCCGTGGTATCGTGGATGGCACGGGACGATTGAGAAAGTGGGGACGGACAAGTACAAGGTGTCTGGCACGATTCGACAGACGAATGATACGACGGTCGAGATCACCGAGCTGCCGATCCGGATGTGGACGGTAACGATGAAGGAGTTTTTGCTTGCGGGTATGGCAGGGACGGAGAAGCAGCGACCGTGGATCAAGGACATGACGGAGCAGCACAAGATGGATATCAAGTTTGTTGTTGTGCTGTCCGAGGAAGAGATGGCGAAGGCATTGTCAGAGGGATTGTTGAATAAGTTCCGGTTGACGAGCTCGATTAGTATGAACAACATGGTCGCGTTTGATGCGAACGGTCGGATCAAGAAGTACGAGACGGTGGAGGATATTCTGAAGGATTTCTACTTTGTTCGTCTCGACTACTACCAGCGACGGAAGGACCATCTCGCGGGGGTGTTTACGGACCACCTTGAGAAGCTGGCAGCGCAGGCGCGGTTTGTGAAGATGATTATCGATAATAAGCTGAAGGTGTCAAATCGCAAGCGGGTGGAGCTTGTGCTTGAGCTGAAGAAGCTGAAGTTCCCGCCGATTGCGAAGAAGAAGAAGTACGGTCCTCTGGACGATGAGGAGGATTTAGAGGAGGCGGCGAAGAAGGCAGAGGAGGAAGATGATGGGGTTGTCGGGGATGTTGATGTTTCTGCTTACGATTATCTTCTGGGGGTATGTTCTACTGATTTCTTTCTTTCTTTCTTTATCCACGATGCTAACCTGAATCTGACATAGATGCCAATCTGGTCCTTGACGCGCGAGAGATTCCAGCGTCTGGAGCGCGAGCGAGACGCGAAGGAAGAAGAGTTGAATACGCTGTTGAAGAAGACGGCGAAGGATCTGTGGGATGCGGATTTGAACGATTTTGAGAAGAGCTGGACTGATTTCCAGACGAGCTACAAGACTCAGCGACCTGCGTAGAAGGTTGGGATTTATGTGAATTGCTATTTGCGGTGATGTACTAGATAGTTAAGAGAATATGACATATAAAGTAAGCGCTGAGTAAGAGAGAAATAGTGGGTTCGGGTTCTGGTTAGGGAGACCGAGCGCAGATCTCCGAAAGCCCTAAAGAGCGAGAGAGCAGAAGGAGGAGAGAAGGTGAAGGAGAAGGAAGAAAGGGTTTGTTTACGTTTGTGTTTGTTTTTTTCTTGAGCCTGGTCGAGGAGGGCAGCGGGTGCGGCATCCGCTCAGAGTCGGGATCTGAGTGTTTTCTTTCTGAAGTGAGATTATTCTGAAATTGTATTTCTATGCGGTAAAGCACAGAAAGAAGTCTTCTTTGTATTAAATGCTGTCGGCAGGAGGCGGAAAGAGCGTGAAAAATAAGTAAACAAAACAGCGGACTCGCCACCTTTGCGCCCGCAGCACTTCACCATCTCGCTAGGCTCAGGCTGTCTCGGCGACGAGTGAGAAAGACAGAATAACAGCATTTACACCCATCCATACCACTTATAGTAATAGCATCTAATTCCTCTTCCTCACACACATTCTCTGCGCTGGATGCCGCGAATGTGAACGCGTGTGCTGTTTGTTTATTGTAACGATAAGCCGCTCGCTCGCAGGGAGAATCCACACCGCAGTTGAGCCAACCCTTCTCCTCTGCTCTTCCCACCTCCTTCACACATTCCTTCCTCCCACCACAACCTCATCACTCTCCTCGCCTGCTCCTCCTCGCACCTCAGCACCCACAACGTAAGTACTTTTGTCCTGATCCCCTGCTTGTCCTTCTCCGCGCGCACTTCCCTGCACCCGGCTTGTCTGCCCCGCAGCCCGGGCGCTCTTCTCTCGCAGCGGCAAGACGAGCGAGGAGATTTGTAAACAAGGATCCGAGATTTTTCTCGTCTGTACGTCAGCCTTCTGCCATCGCTCGTCGACCGCGATCTGTCGATATTTTTGTTGTTAATGTTGTCTGTTTCCTTCCTTTCTCTCTTTATTTGCTCTTTTTCTTTTTGTTTGTGCTCGGGGGTGTGCTCGTGGCCTGTCGGCTTGCTTACGTCTTCTGGACGGTGACAATGCCGCTGGCCTTTTGATTCCTCCATCGCAAACCCGCACTCTTTGTCTTTCTAGCCTTTGTGTCTCCTTTTGTCGTCTTTGTTGTTTGTTCAAACAGGGTGTCTTGGGTACTTGTCTTGCTCGCTGCCGTTCTCGTTCTCGTTGTTGATTCTATCACGCACTATCCTCTCCTCGTTGTGTTGTCTCTCTCTCTTGTTTGCGCCCGCCTGCCTGCCGCATCGCGTCTGCGACACTCTCATCACCACCTCCTCTCTTTCTTGTCTCATTAGTCTAACAGGCGCTCTTTTCTCGATCTAGAACCGAAATGTCCTCGCCATCAAAACGACCCCGGCACAATCGATACAGTATGCCAATACAAGTGCAACCTCCTCCAGTCGACATCGCGCCCGCTCCGCCGGTTGATCGCAAGAGTAGAAAACGAAAGGTGTGTTTTTCCGTCTCTTCCAGTGATTCTCTTTCTATATCTCATTTCCGCTACGTCCGGTAATGTTTTTCGTTGAGCGATCTGTACTAATGTTTACGTTTTGAAACCATCGCAGTCTACTTTCGATGACGAGCCCTCGCTCTCGCAGCCAGACAATCTCAATGCAATTATTCAAAATCTGTCGATGCCGGATCATTTGGTCCAGGTCGCTGTCGACTACGCGAACGCAAATTCGGCTTCAAACACCGACGTTCAAGCCTACGCTAAGCTTGCGGGTGAGTTCTACTCCACTGTTATAAATAGCACTCTTCTAGGATGGTTTAGGAGATCATTGCTAAACTGTGGATAGGTGCGACATGGACGTACTACGTCCGGGAGCTGAGTGTCACGATCGGTAGGTATTCTGAGCCGGTAGCCGGCCAGGTTGATCCTGATCGAGTAGACATTGATCTCGGTCCCACAAAAGTTGTCTCTCGGAAGCACGCGATAGTACGCTACGACCTCAACCTGCGGGTCTGGATCATTGAAGTCACGGGCCGCAATGGCGTCAAGATCGATGGTGTCACATACAAAGGCGGACGGACGCAGGCGCTCCACAGCGGCAGTATTCTAGACATTGGTGGTGTGCAGATGATGTTTGTGCTTCCGGACCAGGTTCCGGCCGAGATCGATCACAGTGGACGGATGCAGGAATACGACGAGTCCGAGATGATTACGACTCGTGCGCCGCCCACGAATTCGTCTGTGGCCTACCCGAAGGGCGTTGCTATCATAACCAAGCCTCAAGTGCGCGGGGTGGAGACTATTGATAATACGTTTAATGATCTGAGTATGGACGAGGCGCGTGATATCAAGCCACCGTACAGCTATGCTACGATGATCTCGCAGGCGATTTTGTCGAGCGAGGAAGGCAAGTTGACGCTGGCGGCGATCTACAACTGGATCTCGGATCACTACTCGTTCTACCGACATGCAAAGACCGGCTGGCAGAACTCGATCCGGCATAACCTGTCGCTTAGTAAAGCGTTTCAGAAAGTGCCGCGGGCGACGGACGAGCCCGGAAAAGGTATGAAGTGGCAGATCAACCCGGAGTACCGGGACGAGTACATCAAGAAGCTGCAAGATAAGGAGCTGTCGCGCCGGCGAGGAGCGGCGCTGTTTGCGGGACATGGTCGGCCTACTGTGAATTCGATTGAAAACCTGGGCATGCCGCTTGCGGGGTCGCAGCTGCCGCTGTCGAGCGGGAATCTTGTGAGCAGTTCATCATCGCTGTCAGGGGCGGTGTACGGCACGCCGCCTAAGCAAACACCAGGTAAATTCCTCCTCTACTCTTAATCTTTTCTGTTTTAGTTTTTTGTGGAAAAGCGCGCGCTACCTCACTGTCAACCACCTTCGAATGTTGCGATAGACGATCTTAGGCGGCCGAAGAGCTCGAAGAGATGATATCAGACTCTGAAGACGGAAATGTGAGGCTGGAATGAGGTTCTATAAAGATTTCGAGCTGATGAGATGGCCTAAAAAACAAGAGCTTTTTTCGTATATCAGGGTCGATCAGCATGAAGCAATTAAGGCAATCCAGGCCGTCAGGACGTCTACGCAGCACCGAGATGAAGGGCGAATGTTTTGAGGAAGCGAGCCGCGTTTTCAATTTTCTGGCGAGGAGTGTATACTAACGAGTGATGGGGGATATTCAGCGACATCGGCACAAGCTTCTGTTCTTGACGACTTGACGAGTAACGGAGGCAACAACAACAGCCACAACCGCAACAGGAGTAGCAACAACATGATCAGCAATAACGGCGGGAATAGCAACAGCAGTCACAGTAACAACAACAATATCAATGACATGAACAACAACAGCAACAGCAACAACAGCAATATGGGCGACATGAGTAGCAGCGACAGCCACAAGCGTGTGGCATCGGGTCCCGCGACCCTCCCTGCAAACGAGCACAACTCGCAGCACCTACAGCAGCAGCAGTCGCAGCCACAACAGCAACAGCCGCAACAGCAGCAGCAGTCTCAGCACTCACAGCTGTCATCGTCAGGCGTGGCTTCGACGGGAAGCCCGATCTCGCTTGGGTTGCGGAGTAACAGCGAGACCAAGACGCCGATAGTGAGTCGGCAGACGGATGCGCTAGCACTGGCGCCTCCGTCGTCCGGGCAGCAGAAGCAGCTGCCGTCGTCGTTTTTACCAAACAGCTCGCCTGCGCAGTTTTGGAACTTTATGCACTTGCTTTCTACGCCGGTGAAGCAGGAGTACTCGCCATCCAAGTACGACAATTCGCCGGTTGCGAATGAGCAGGTGTCGCCGTACAGGATACGGCGGCCGGGGGCAGGGTCAGGAGCGGGGAATAACGAGGAGGAAGACGACGGGAAGGCGTATCCGTCGCCGCAGCGGACGAATGGTAGTGGGAATATACTGTTTGATGCGGTGAATGCGGTTGCGGGGGGAGCGTCAGGGAGCGGGACGGCTTCGTTGTCTGGGGCCGCAGCTAGTCAGGGTGCACACGAGGCGGAGGGGTTGGGAGATCTGCAGGGAGTTGATTTGGCGAGGTGAGTGTTGATGAGTATTTCAAGATGAGAAGTGGGCTGATGCTAACGAGATGATATAGAGGATTTAAGCAGATTGGAAAGTGGCGGAACAACAAGTCTATTGAGGGACTAGAGTCATAGGTGGATGAAATGAAAAGAAAAGACAAGAATGTAAGATAGTGGAAGGAGAGGACGAAGAAGATTGCTGCGAGTTTTCGGAGTGGGAGTTTACGTTATGCATGTTGATATTTTAGCCGTGCGTGTGCTGATTGAGAAAGCTGTGGCTAGTAATGTATATAATAAGTTACAAGAAGATGTAAAGTCGAGAAGAGTAGAGGAGTAGAGTAGAGGAGGAGAGGAGGATTGGCACGTGAATGACGTAGGTCGAATGTTACTGATTGGAGGAGGAAGGAAAGATTGAGTTTGGCTGTCAGGGCTTTATTTTGGGTTGTCAGGCGCAATTTCCCTCACTGATTCCTTTCTGTTCTTCATCAACCTGACTTGTTTAGTAGTTTGATAATCCTCGACAAGAGAATCGGATTGTGTCTTTACGAAATTGATAATAGAGAAGAAAGAAATAAGAAAGATGTCGGATGCTATGCCTATTGCTGAACCCGTCCCTGTCGCGGCGCAGACGGAGACTCGTATGGTGCGTCGTATCTTGTTTTTTTGCGTGTGTGCACGCGAGCAGATGGTGTGCGGTGAGGAGGAGTGGGTTTAGCTGACGATGATTGATTGTTTAGTGTTTTGATTTGCTTTTGATGATAATTGAGGATGGCAGAAGGTGGTTGTTTATACCACCCGACTCTGGAAGAAGAGCAGAGAAGCCATCCTCATGCGGTGTGACTGATCTACTGGATAACTAACCATAACAATTCTAGCTCCCTTTGACAAGTACAAGACCTTGATCTCCGATCTGCTTACGTGGAAGAAGGTCGCGCAGTCCGGGATCGCGTTTGGCTCGCTGGTTACGGCGTTGCTGGTGTTCAAGTACGTGAATGTGGTCAAGTTGGTGTTTAACGCCGCGTATATCGCGTTTGGCAGTAAGTCTATTCTTTTTCTGTGTGGTAAAAGTCAAAGTGAGGGAGAGATTGCTAACGAGAATTGTGTAGCTGCGGTGGCTGTTGAATTCGCGGGCCGGACGATCAAGAAATCGCCAGGGTTTGTGTCGTCGTTCCGCACGGCGGGCGGGTACTTTGTGATCTCGAAGAACGTGGTCGAGCCCGTGTTTGAGGAGCTGCTTGTGCTGCTCAACTTTGGCCTGGTCGAGGTGCAGAAGATTGTGTTTGTCGAAAACACGCAGACGACTGTTGTTGCGTTTGTGGCGTCGTGGTTTGTGTATAAGATGGTGCAGCATGTTTCTGTCTGGTCGCTCGCTTTTGCCGGTATGTTCTTCTCTTCTCTCTTTCTCTCTGGTTTTATTGTCAACGGCTAACAACAAATTGCAGGCGTGATCTTTGCCTTCGCCGCGCCGGTCGTCTACCTCAAGTTCCAGACCGAGATCGACGCGCAGATTGAGTCCGCGACCAAGGTCGTGAGCGCAAAGACCGACGTCGCAAAGTCGCAGGTGAAGGAGCAGTACGACAAGGGCGTCAGCCTCGCGTCGGGCTATGTCTCGCTCGGACTCGAAAAGGTCGGGTATAAGCGCAACATGCCGCCCGTGCCTGCCGCGACTGAGGCTACTCCTGCTGCTGCTGCTCAGTAGGTAGGAGTCGGTCGAGGAGGCTTTTCTATCCATGACTCTTGACGACTACGATTACGAATTTTCTAGCTGTGGTACATTGAGGCGAGAACAATCTAAGAATGCTATATCAAATCATAGAGTAGATATATATAAACCAGTACAAGCACAAAGCGGCAAGAAATACCGGACGAACCGCGGTGTTTGTGTCAGCAGAAGCGGGTCTGGTGTCAATCGAATTGGCGGAAACTTTGGGCAAAACCGAATTCGACCGCTACCCGAAAGAAAGCTCGAGGGCTCTCGCTCTCCACCGCCCGCCCTGCTTCTTCCCCCACATACAACACCGCTGCTGATTTTCTGAGACCGCTGTAGTTGACCTGCTGCCGTTGAGCATCTGCTTTGCTGCTCTTCTGCGCTCTTAGTCTCTCTCTCAGCGTCGGGCATCTGCTAGACCCCCGGGCCACTACATCCCACCCCCATGGCGCAGAGCTCGTCGCAACAGCTGCAGAGCCCGATAAGCAGCGGCGCCCACGAGCCCGGCTCGCCACCCCCGAATCTCAACGTCGTGACCTTTCCGAAATCAATCGCGATGGCAATCGACCGCTCCCGGCGCGCCAGCCACGACGGCGGCTCGCCGCTGACCTCGCACCAGACCCCGGACGCGATGCTGTCGTCGACGCTCGAGGGGCTGACGGATTACTTCCGCAAGCCGTGTTTTGTGCACTCGCGGCTGGACGACGCGGTTGACGTGTCTGCTGCGCTGCGGGAGTTCTCGGCAGACTCGTTCTCGCATCTCTCGCACTCGTCGCTCGTGCAGACCGCCACGGGCGTGCGCGAGCTCGCGAAGCGGATCGGACAGGCGACGATCAAGGTCAACCTGCGGTCGGTCCTGATCGTGACCAAAGCGCGCGACAACTCGCTTATCCTGCTGACGCGGCAACTTGCCTCGTGGCTGATTCTCACGCGCGGAGTATGTGTGTACGTCGACGCGAAGCTGCGGATGTCGAAGCGGTTCGATGCCGCGGGCCTGTTGGCGAGCGATGCGCGGCTCGAGTCGAATCTGCGGTACTGGACGCCCGAGCTCACGCGGTCGATGCCGGATCTGTTTGATCTCGTGCTGACGCTGGGCGGCGACGGTACGGTGCTCTACACCTCCTGGCTGTTCCAGCGGATCGTCCCGCCCGTGCTCGCGTTCTCGCTCGGCTCGCTAGGGTTCCTGACGAACTTTGCCTACAAAGACCACCAGGCGCATCTCAACCGCGTCTTTGACGAGGGCTTCAACGTCAGCCTGCGCATGCGGTTCACATGCTCGGTCTACAAAGGCGGCCACCAAACCGAGACCTTCGAGGTCATCAACGAGATTGTCATCGACCGCGGCCCGTCGCCGTGGATCTCGATGCTCGAGCTCTACGGAAACAACCATCTCCTCACCGTCGTCCAGGCCGACGGGCTGATCCTCTCGACCCCGACGGGGTCAACCGCATACTCCCTCTCCGCCGGCGGCTCGCTCGTGCACCCGGAAATCCCCGCAATCTCGGTGACCCCGATCTGTCCGCACACGCTGTCGTTCCGGCCGATGCTGCTTCCGGACAGTATGCTGCTGAAAGTGAGCGTGCCGCGCGGGGCACGGAATACGGCATGGGCGTCGTTTGACGGGAGACACAGGGTCGAGCTAAAGTCGGGAGACTACGTCACCGTCACGGCGTCGCAGTACCCGTTCCCGACGGTGACGGCGGGGCCGATGGATTATATCGAGTCGGTCAGTCGGACGCTGAAATGGAACGTGCGGGAGCATCAGAAGCCGTTCAATGAGTCTTCGGATGAGGAGGACGTGAATTTTGATGATGATATCGACATTGATTTAGAGGTAGACCAACCTTCGACCGACCTCACCACTACCGCTACCTCCTCAACCTCAACCTCGACCTCCGACAAAACAGCAACGACAAGCACCACCGCCGCCGCCGCGGCACCCGGCAAAACCAGCATCACGAGCCACCAGCTAAAAGTAGACTATGACTGGGACGTGGACGACAGCGTGTTTTTCAGCAGCAGCTCGAGCAGCACGATGCTGAGCGGGAGCGCGAGCATAAGCACGCCGCAGTCGACCGCGACCACGGGCTCGTCTAGTCCGCTGCATAAGGAGTTTTCGTATCTGAACCTGGATCGGTGACGAGATGGTTTTTTTCATAAGTTGCATAGGTTTTACAGGGTTGTTGTTGCTTCATGTTTTTAGTCTGGTTGTGGTTTGGCGTTACGTTTGTGTTGTTTTTTAGAGTAGATGGATGCATGCATGGAATATAATCACGTATATAAGCATGAGGATATGATATGATCAAATAGATGACTGTAATTGATAATTGATATGAGTATACAACTAAACACTATTCGCTATAGATTGATAGACAGTGTTTGAGCTATTTACATCATAGCCTCCAACTCCTCGCGGCCGGCCTTGCTGTAAAGGAACTCGTTTCTACACAAATCGATGATTAGCAATCGCATCTTCTCCACCATCGAAACCACCAAATAGTAAACACTCACCTAGCCTGAGCCTTGTTGACGACGTAGACGAGGCCAGAGACGGGAAGAACGACGTAGAGAGCCTGCGAGGAAACACGGCGGAAGGTGTTGAAGAAGGCGTTGTAGAGAGCGCCGGCGAAGGGCTTCTGGGCGTACGAGGAGACGGCGTAGGTGACGATTCCTTGGGTTGTTTGTTAGATACCGTTTTTTTAGAGAGTAATGATGATGACAATAGTGGAAATAAAAGGTGAGAAGAAAGATTGGAGTTGGAGATACCTCTTTGCTTAGGGCCACCTGTGTTTTGAGAGGTTAGTAAACGTCCGAGTTGATGACCTCGCAAGACAGCAACGATACCATCCGCAGACAGATGATACGTAGCTGTCTCTGCAATGCAATGAAAATCAAGAGATCATTGACATACCCATGTGTCCCCACCATCCCATATATCCATGCGGTTCCGGAGCACCCATCTTGAAATACTACACACGACGTCAGTCCCTCTCTTCTCTTCCTTCCTAAAATTCCTCCTCCAGTATTCTTCCAGCACTATCATCCACTCACATTTGCTTATATCTGAATGAGTTGATAAAAAGAGAGGTAAGATAAACAAGACAGAAGTCGAGCAGCAGTCAGTCCCGAGTTTTCCTTCTCGAATTCTTTGGTGGCCGCCGCCTCCCCGACGCTTTCTTTACCTCCGCGCTCATTGGCTGACAGCCCGTCAATCGAGGGGTTTGTGCTTTCACGTGATATGAGTGTAAAATATCACGTGACTTTGAGAGAGCGAGAGAGAACTTTTGGACGGTTTTCTGACGAAGAAGGTTCTGCTTTTCTGATTTACAACAACGAGTTTGGACGAATACAAAAGAGATCATGTCTGTTCGAGCTTTAACTTGGGTGTATCGTATGTATAATGCTTGATTGTTTTGTTTACGATTCAATGTGCTGCTTAAGGAATTACATGCTGACTGACTTCTCACCAGGCCTCGCTCTTCCCGTCGCCATCGGCGCATCGCTCGTGCAGTCGTCGATCTACGACGTCCAAGGCGGCACGCGCGCCGTCATCTTTGACCGTTTCTCGGGAGTAAGACAGACCGTCGTCTCCGAGGGCACGCACTTTTTGATTCCCTGGCTCCAGCGCGCGGTGATCATGGACGTCCGCACCACCCCGCGCAACATCTCGACCACGACCGGTTCGAAGGATTTACAAATGGTCTCGCTCACGCTGCGCGTGCTGCATCGTCCGGAGGTTAGCCGCCTGCCGCATATTTACCAGAACCTCGGACTCGACTACGACGAGCGCGTGCTGCCGTCGATCGGAAACGAGGTGCTCAAGGCGATCGTCGCGCAGTTCGACGCCGCCGAGCTCATCACTCAGCGCGAGATTGTGTCCGCCCGCATCCGCGACGACCTCGTCAAGCGCGCTTCCGAGTTTGGCATCGCGCTCGAGGACGTGTCGATCACGCATATGACGTTCGGCCGCGACTTTACAAAGGCGGTCGAGCAGAAGCAGATTGCGCAGCAGGAGGCCGAGCGCGCGAGGTTTGTCGTCGAGCGCGCGGAGCAGGAGCGGCAGGCGTCGGTTATCCGTGCCGAGGGCGAGGCCGAGGCCGCCGAGACGATCTCGAAGGCGCTCGATAAGAATGGCGATGGATTGATTCTGATCAGACGGATCGAGGCCGCGAAGGAGATTGCTTCGACGCTCGCAAAGTCGCCGAATGTTACTTATGTTCCGGGTGGTGAGAATGGCGGGTCTGGAGCGAATGCGCTGTTGTTGAACGTTGGCAGATAAGCGCTGATGGATGGTTGTTGTTACGAGTTCTCTATGTAAATAAATACTCTTGCCTTTCTACTCTCATCTATATGTCGTAGGATTATGCGAATAGTATTCTCCGATGCTCTATATTGTATGATACAATCAATCTACAACCATACATAGTCATTATTGTTCTATGTAAATGGTACTCTACTGTGATTTATAGTTGTAGAATAATATTCAATTTTGATGAACCCACGGCTTCAAGCCTTACACTACTAATAAGAATACAAAGAACCCACAAGACAATAACTACTTTTGTCTCTTACTTTTCGCAACACACAAAACAATCTATGCACTTATTTCTCGTTCAAGAAAGTGCGGGCCCAGGTAGGCAAGACAAACGACGCCCGGTGGATCTCGGCGTTGTAGTATCTGAACTTGTCCTTCTCCTCCTCGAGGTTGTTGATGCGCAGGGGCTCGTTGACCTTGCGGCTCGCGTCCTTGCTGCAGACCATGAATCCGATCTGGCCCGAAGGGTAGGTCGGGATCGTCGTGTAGGCGTACTCGGCCACTGGGAAGACTTCGCCGCACGCCTTCTTGAGGTCGCGGATCAAGGGCATGTGAAGCCAGATGTTTTCAGCTATAAGTAAAGAATAAAGGTATTAGCAATCATGGACAAACAGAGCAAGGAGACAGGAGCGGGAAATAAAGGTTTAAAGAAACAAGCACAGCACAACCTTGGGTAGTGATGACGCCGTTCTCGGTCAGCGCATCGTTCAAGAGCTCAAAGTACGGCTTCTGGAAAAGCGACTCGGCAGGGCCCTCGGGGTCCGAGGAATCGGTGATAATCACATCAAAGTGGTTCTTGTACTGCGCAAGGAACTTGAAGCCGTCCTCGACATGGACCTTGGCCTTGGGGTGCTGCAGACCGACGGCCATCGAGGGAAGGTACTTCTTCGACACGCGGATGACGCACTCGTCAATGTCGCAGAGGACGGCCTCCTCGACGCACTCGTGCTTCACGACCTCGCGGAGAACACCGCCGTCGCCGCCGCCGATGACGAGCACGCGCTTGGGATTGGGGTGGTTGTACATGGCGAGGTGCGTGATCATCTCCTGGTACCTGAATATCCACGTGTTAGCTCCTACTACAAAGAAGCAGCAGCACTGAAGACAAGCAGTAATACATACGCAAACTCATCACGCTCGGTGGCCTGGATAACACCATCGAGCACGAGCACGTTTCCGTAGTTTGAGCTCTCAAACACGAGAACGTCCTGGTACTTTGACTTCTCGACGTGCAAGATCTCGTTCACGCGGAGAGTCATAGCCTGACCGGGCCAGAGCTCGTCAGAGACCTCTCTGAACCATCCGTCTGTATGAGCATTGTCAGTCTGTATTCTACTACACTCTGTATTGTACTCTGTGCAGCCCGCTTCCAAATCACGATCTGCACCACCGCTCTCTCGTCGCACCACAACTAAATCAAACAATAACAAACCTACCTTTAATAGTAGCGTGTGTGAGTTGCTCAGGCATCTTTAATCAGTTCTTTGCTTCTGTATCTTTGGCACAGCAACAAAATCGCTAAAAAAGAGAGAAAACAGAAAAAAAAATTCGATTTAAAATCCTTTTTTTGTTCCATCAGCTCCCAAACTCTTTTCTACCGCTGGTTTAGGTCTGGGTTTGGTGGGAGGAGGGTGGAGTGAAGAGTAAATAGGGTTTATTATCTGTTTAGGAAGTCTTTGCTGCGCAGGTTTGGAGTAATGAGTATAGAAGAATGATCATTAGATTACCAAACATAGAGGACTAGAATGAAAAACAAAGAAGAGAAAGGCATGACTCTAATGGAATTACAAGATGGAAAGATAAAATATAGAAAAAAAAAAGCGCTTACAGACGCTTGATGATCTCCTCGGTGAAGCGCGCGGTGTTGGCGGTACCCTTGAGATCACCAGTGATATTCTCGGGCCCGGAGGCGATGGTCGACAGGACCGCGTTCTCGATCTTGTCCGCGTAGTCGTTGAGCTTCATGTGTCTGAGCATCATCACGGACGAGAGCAGGAGCGCGGTCGGGTTCGCGAGACCCTTGCCGGCGATGTCGGGCGCGGAGCCGTGGACGGCCTCGAAGATCGAGACCTCGTCACCCATGTTACCAGACGGGGTGAGACCGAGGCCGCCGATGAGACCCGAGCAGAGGTCCGACAGGATGTCACCGTAGAGGTTGGGCATCACCATCACCACGGGCTTGTACGGCTCCGGGTCGGTGACGATCTTGAGACAGGTGTTGTCGAGCAGCTCGGCGCCGAGCTCGATCTGCGGGTACTCCTTTGCGATGTCGCGCGCGGTCTGCAAGAAGAGACCGTCGGACATCTTCATGATCGAGGCCTTGTGCACGACCAGGACCTTGGGCTTGCCGGTCGCGAGGGCGTGCTGGAACGCGTAGCGGATGACGCGCTCGCAGGCGGGCCGCGTGATGAGCTTGATGGACTGCACGACGCCGTCGACGACGACGTGCTCGATGCCGGAGTACTCGCCCTCGGTGTTTTCACGGATGAGCACGGTGTCGACGCCGTCGTAGGGGGTCTTGTAGCCGACGACGGAGCGGCAGGGACGCAGGTTGGCAAACAGGTTGAATGTGCGGCGGAGCGTCAGGTTGAGCGAGACGTGGCCCTTGCCGATAGGAGTCGCGAGCGGGCCCTTGAGGGCGACGAAGTTACGCTTGACGGACTCAATTGCGGCGTCGGGGATCGCGGTCCTGCCGTCTTTGAGGATCGGGGTGACGTCGACGGGCTCCCAGATGATGGGGACCTAGATGTGTTAGAATTGAGTTGAGAGGGGGGGTGATCGTAGTGATCGTACCTTAGCGGCGGCGTAGATGTCCTTGACGGCGGCGGAGATCTCGGTTCCAATACCTGGGGAGAGGTTAGTCTGACTGAGCTCACAGAGTAAAGAGAAGAGGACAACTGCAGTAAGAGCAGATGCCGGAGGGTACTTACCATCTCCCTCGATCAAGGTGACAGTGTACTTGCCCTAAGAGAAGATGAGTTGTCAGTAGAGCCCAGATACAAGCGCACTCTCAACGGCGGCTCAAAGAAGAAAAAGCACACATACAGCAGCATTCTTGACACCCTTGAAAGCAGCAACGTCAGAGTTGAAGCGACGGAAGGCCTGCGAGAGAAAAGAAGACGGAGGTTAGTTGGATGAAAATGGTTCAGGTAGATAGCACCGTCCGGGTCTGCCGCGGATCGCAGCCAGCCCCGCAGGAGCACTCACGACAGCGGAGGAACGGTAGGACGCCGCGCGGACGGCAGCGGAGCGCGAGAGGAAGAGCATTGCGTGTGTTTGGAGGCGGATTGAGGGGAGCAGAGGCGGTGGTGAGGGTCGAGGAGGAGGTGAGGAGGTGAAAACAAGCAGAAGGAAAAGAGTTCGAGCATCGAGGCCCGGTCCGCTCGGCGCCCGCCCGCCAATCAGAGCCGTCGACCCCTGAACATGCCTGTTTGGGACTAGCGCCGGAGCAGCAGCGGCGTCGCTCTTCTTACTAATACTGTATTAAGAGGACGATGTTTGCTTATTGTATATTTATACTATATATATATATATATATGTAACATCATCACCTCACGTACTTGGTCTCCACAAACGGCATCCTCGCAACCTCGCCCTCCCGCTTCCTCCCCCGGACATCCACCAACACCTTCGTCCCCGTCTTCCAATACCCCTTCCTCAAATACCCCATCGCGACATTCCCCCCCGCCGTCGGCGACGGACTGCCCGACGTAATCTTCCCCACCACCTCCGTCCCGCTCTCGTCATAAACCACACATCCCTCCCGCGCCGGCGGCCCGCGCACCCTCATCCCCACCCGCCGCCGGTCCACCCCCTCCGCCAACTGTCGCGCGACGGTCTCGAACCCATTAAACCCGCCCTCCGCGCGCCGCCTCTTCCCAATCGTCCACGCAAGCGACCCTTCCACCGGCGTCGTCTCCGCGTCGAGGTCGTGGCCGTACAAACACATCCCTGCTTCTAAACGCAACGAGTCCCGCGCCGCAAGCCCAATCATCTTCAACACCCCCTCCGAACTCGCCAACATCCGCTCCGTAAAACTAAGCGCCTCGCGAGACGGAAGCGAGACCTCGAACCCGTCTTCGCCCGTATACCCACCCCGGCCGACATGATACCTCTCGCTGCCTTTGAAATCCAGCAGGCCTGCCATGCCGAACTTGAGCGCGCCGAGATCATCCTGCGTAAGTCGCTGCAGCACCTCCGCAGCCCTCGGCCCCTGCACCGCCAGAATCGCGCTCTCGTCCAACACGACGTGCTCCACGCTCGGAAATAGTTGCAGCTCGCGCTTGAAGAAGGCGAGATCGGACTCGCGACAGCCGGCGTTGGTGACGACGTAGTACTCGTCCTCGGCGCGCTTCGTGATCATCAAGTCGTCCGCAATCCCACCAGTGTCGAGAAGTAGCGTGGAGAGCGTCGACTGGAACCGCGGCAACTCACGTAAACTCGACGGCGTGATCTTCTCCAGAAACGAAGTCGCCTCCGGTCCTTTGAATCTACAATATACCCCGTCAGTCTCAGCTCCTACCACAGCATTAAAAAAAAAAGAGTAAGAGAAAACATACACATGCTGCACCATATGCGACACATCAAACACCCCCGCCTGCGCGCGCACCCACTTATGCGACTCCACATGCGTCTGCGCAGCGTACAGCACCGGCATCGAGTACCCCGCAAACTCAACCATATTCGCGCCGTGCGCCAGGTGTAGATCGTAGAGCGGAGTTTTCTTCAGGAGGGTCGGGGGGGTGGTTGAGAATGCGCGGAGGAGACGTGTGGGGAGGGTGCGTGGTGATGATCTGAGGCGGGAAAGCATTTTGTTTGTATATGACTTGTCTGACTGTTTCTCTTCAGTAATATGTATATCGACCACAATAGATGTGAGTAGTAGGGTGCTGAACAATCCGGATCAAGCTCAGAGATCAAGCAACAGAAGCAGAGAAAAACAAAAAAATATTCAAAGTCGAGCCGAGAGTTTACTCCGCGCACGGCCAACGCCTCCCCCACAACACCCACTGACTCATCTCTACTCCTACAGCTCTTTATATCCTGATGTTGTTACTAAATCTTCATATTATCCTATACACACGGCAAAACTCATAGCAACAAATGAAAAATAATATATTATTAAAAGACATGAAAGTAAACGTCAACTACGGCCACCTTACAACTTCTGCATGGCAATAATGTCAGTCGACTGGACATGGTCCTCGTCCTCCTCGATCTCAGCCTGCAGATCGTCAAGCGAGACCTTCTCGTCCTCGACAACAAGGTTGATCTGAATCTTCTTGATTCCGTATCCGACAGGAATGAACTGGTGCGCACCCCACACAAGTCCATCCTTCTCGATCCCCTTGAGATTCTCGAGCATCTCGTTGATGTCGGTCGTGTCATCCCACGGCTTCACGTCGAGCGTCACAATCGACTTGGCCGCAGGCTTGGGGCCCTTCGCGGCCTTCTTGGCCTGGTACTCGGCTAATCGCTCGGCCTTGACCTTCTCGGCCTCCGCGTCCTCCTCCTCGTCGTCGGAGCCGAAAAGGTCGACGTCGTCGTCGTCCTCCTCCTCTGCGGCGGCGGGAGCAGCCTCGGCAACGTCCTCGGGTCCGAGCGACGCAACGTCAGCGGAAGCATCACCTGGCAGAGAGGAGCTATTCCTGTTAGTCTCTTCTCATCACTGGTGAAACAGTCATCACTTGTAAAACAAACGCAACTTACAATTCACTCTCGTACGAGGCAATGTTCTTGTACCAACGAGCAGCAGCACTATCAACCACGTTAGTCCTTCCTCTTCTACAACTTCCATCATAAAACATAAGTAACATACGGGTAGGTAGCCTTATCGGGAGCGGCACCGACGGCCTTGAAGACAATCACATCAGCCTGCGAGGGAGCAAATCTATAAACCAGTCAGCCCTCAATCCATCTCTCCTCTTCCCTTCTCCTCTCCTATCACGTCGTCGTCATCCTGTACTCCCCCTCCCCCTCCCTTCTCCCTCCAACCACCTCACAGAAGAAAAGCCAGACGCGGTGCATTTTCGAGCTCAGAAATGTAATTAAACATGGGTTTGTATTCAGCCAAATGCGGGGTCTTAAGCCGCTATCATAAACACGGACCATTGATTTTCATCATCGGAACACCGCGTCTTCTCTTCTCTTCTTCTCTTCTTCTTCTCTTCTTCTTCTCTTCTTCTTCTCTTCTTCTCCTCTTCTTCTTCTTTGAGCTGCTACTGCAGGGTTACTGCAGCAACGACATTCAGGAATTTCGGACGACGACGGACATGCCTCATCAAAAACAGGAATTGACATACCCAGAGATGTAAGACTCAGACACGAGGAACGAGTTCAGCTTGGCAAGGCCTGCGAATGCTGTTAGTACTCTTGTCTTGTATAAATTGTATAGCCTCGCTCCATCCTCCTTCCAAACATCTTCCACAGCTATCTTCAGCCTCCGCACTGTCTTCCATACTCCTCATTCGCCATAAATCTCTCGATCTCACACCTCACCACCACCCTCCACAACCCCACCCACACTCCTCTTCACACAAACAGAAAAAACTCACCAGAAGCAGCAGAAAGATCTCCGAAACCCATTGTGTATGTATGTATATATATATCTCAAATGATGTGATTCGAAATAAAGAAAACTGGCGGTCGTCAGTGTGGTGAAGCAAAGAGAAAAACCAACCGGAGAAAAAAATTTTGACCAAACCAAACGTGGCCGGCGCACCTGCGTTGTGCCCTAATGAGATTACGTAAGCGGGGGGGACAGGAGGGAGGGTTGGGGTGTTAGGTGTGGAGGGGGTGGGAGAGTTATGCGGGATCTTTGATACACGTGTAGCTAACTGATATTGTATTTATTGTACATTTTGTCTACTCCACAATCAGGGAGGTGTACTGCGCCGCGCAGGTGTCGAAGAGCGCGCTCTTGTCTTCGTAGTCGGTCAGGAACGCGTTGTTAGGATCCTTAGCCTTGAGAGTTCTACGGTCGCTGTCAGCACATATCCAAATATACACCTCACAAAAGAATAAACAAAACGTACTCTTCATACTGCGAATAATCGCGCCCAAGCAAGGTAAACAAAATAATCGCATTAACAAGAACCTCAGAGCTAGACTCATCCCGCTCGAGCGCAGAGTTGATCGCGTCCTCGGCCTCGGGGTAGCGACCGAGCTGGATGTCGGCGATGGCCTGGCCGACGAAGGTGCGTGCGTTCGAGGAGGACGGGGTTTGCGTTAGCTCTTCGTAGATGTAGAATGCGTCTTGGTATTTGTCGCCGCCCTGGAATACAAAAGAGAGGTTAGAAGGGAGAGAGAGGAGAAGGGGGAGGAAGGGGCTTACGAGACTGAGATCGACCCACGCCTCGGCAAGGTTGACGAGCATGTTATCCTGGCCCCATCGTTTGGCGAGAACGACTTCTTTCGCCGCCTGATCGATCTTGTTCTGCGCCAATCTGATCTGCACAATCAGCGCGACCCTATACACCTATCCATCAGTAAACTATCAACAATCAAGAGAACTAGATTGACATACGCGGCAAGATTATCCTCATGCTGACTGAGCAACAACAGCGCATCCTCCGCCTTCCCAGCAAGATAAAGCACAATCCCGCCCAACACCTGCACGTTCGCGTCCTCGGCCGCGGTCTCGACGAGCTCCTGCACAATCTCAAGACTGCTCTCGACCTCGCCGGCCTTGAACAGCGCGAGCGCTTTCACTGCCGCCAGCGCGGCCTGGCCTTCGGTGTCTTCGAGCTCTTCAATTACAGTAGTGGCCGATCCAAGCGCGATTTGTGCGCGGTATTTGTAGATCCGGCATTGCAGCTGCGCAGAGTCGGAGTAGCCGGCGGTGGAGTGGTCGAGGACTTCTTTGTAGGCGCCCTGGTAGAAGAGGTTGTGGATCGCAAAGAGCTCTGTGGTTCATTAGTTCAGCTAAACAATCGCAAGTAGATGGCTTAGTCGACGCACCTCCTGAATCTGAGAATTGGTCCATGATTGTGTGGAGATGGGGATGGATGGGGGAAGATACGTGATGAAAGAAGGAGAGCGGTCGAGGGCTGCTTGCGGCCGCACGGAGGGCAGAACTGAGTTACCCTCCTCGAAATGCTCGACGATTATACCTAAGTTTCTACTACAAGACAAGAGTAAGTTAGTTTTTGAACATTTGCTATTGTCTGTTGATCTGTCTTTGTAACTGATCTTTATCATTTGTATGGGATATTGTACGATCTATGGACGTATAATACCGTCCCTGACAGCACGTGGAGCGTGGACTCTTCTCATCACAGCCGTGCTCATCTCCTCCTCTCCTCCTCCCCACTCTTCCTTCATAACTACCACTGTACATAAACCGAATGACGCGGGTGGCGATAATCGGCGCCGGCACAGCAGGACTCAGCTGTTGCCGGAAACTACTTGAACTTCTTGATGAGCCCGACAGCAGTGAGATCGACAAAATCGTCATCTACGAAGCGCGCGATCGTTTCGGCGGACGCGTAAGTCCCCAATTGTCTCTACTGTATCTATACGCACAACTACACATGCGCATATGTCAGACTCAAGATTAACCCCTCGTAGATCCACTCCGCGTCCCTAGACCCCTCCGCGACAGCCGTCGACCTGGGCCCGAACTGGCTGCACGGGGACTCGTCCGCCAACTCCGCGCAGCGGTTCTACCACGCGCCAGAGGTGACGCTGCACGACGTCGGCGACAGAAATGTCATTATCGCGCCGGACGGGCGCGTGCTGGGCCCGCGCGAGCAGGTCGAGGTGGAAGGGTATATGTGGGAGTACGTGGATCGGGCGATCGCGTACTCTGCCGCGCACTGCGCAGAGATTCCGGCTAGTGCGTCGCTGGTTGACTTTGTGAAGCAGGAGTTGGAGCGCGAGGAGGGAGAGAGCGAGGATAAAGAGCGGATGGAGAAGAAGAGGGAGAGGGTGCTGAGCGCGATTGAGATGTTTGGGTTCTACATTGGCGAAGCAGCGGCGCGGCAGAGTCTAAAGTATGCGTGTCTGGAGGAGATGGCGCCGGGGGATACGATGTATGTCGCGAGCGGGTACGGAGGGATCTTGCGAGCGATGGCCGAGCCGGTTTTAGCTGCGGCAGCAGCTGCTAACAAAAAAGTCGAGGTGAGGTTATGCGCGCCGGTGGTGGCGGTGGAGAGCGAGATCGAGAAGCAAAAGTCGAAAGTGGTGACGAGAGACGGGGGCCAAGAATGGTTTGAGAAGGTGGTGGTCGCGGTGCCGCTTGGGGTGTTGAAGGCCGAGGGGATCAGGTTTGCGCCTGAGCTGCCGGCGGAGGTGCGACGGGCGGTGAGGGACGTGGGGTATGGGAGATTAGAGAAGGTATACTCATGCTGCTGCAGAGCTGCTGCAGAGCTGCTACAGAGTTGAGCTAACAGTATGGCAGGTCTACATGAAGTTCTCGAGGGCGTTCTGGGGCACGAACGACCAATTTGAATTTCTCTCGCCGCGATACGCGCAGGATACTAACGATCAGCACTGGCCGATGACTGCGATCTCGCTTGCGCAGCTGCCAGGCCGGCACGGACAGGCCGCGTTGCTGTGGTACACGTACGGGGAGATTTCCGAGCGGGTTGTGAGGGAATTAGAGTCGAGTAAGAGTGACGACGAGGCGATAGCAGCGGCGACGGCGTTCTTTGCGCCGTACTACAGCCGCATACCTGGGTTTGATGCGGCGGTGGATGAGCGGCCGGAGAAGGTGGTGTGGACGCGGTGGAGCGAGGATGAGTATGCGGGCTACGGGAGCTACACGAACGCGATGGTCGGGCTGGAGGAGGGGAGGGAGAAGTTGGGCGTGCTGAGGACGGGGATGGGAGGGCGAGGGGTGTACTTTGCGGGCGAGCACTGCGCGGACGAGCTGCAGATTGGGACGGTCGGCGGAGCGGTGATGGCGGGCGAGCAGGCGGCGGAGAGGTGTTTGTCAGGGCGAGGAGGGGATTAGGTGAGCAGAGATGGCTGCTGTTATCGGGCTCGGAGCGCGGCGAATTCCGTGGGCGCGGTACGGTGGTACACGTCATAGGTGGGTACGTCATTACGTCAGAGAGAGAAGGTTTGTGAGCAGCTGTGATTGGCGTGTGAGTTGGTCACAATGGGGGCAGTGCGGAAGGAGCGAGTACGGATACGACAGGCTGCAGACAGACAGACGGACAGACAGCCAGACAGAGACAGAGCACAGCCGGGGAGAAGAGAAGAAGTATCGATGAGGTAACTATCTGCTCAGATAGGTGAACCACGATGGATGAAGAAGATGAAGAAGATGAAGAAGAAGAGAAGAAGAAGGTGGCGACAACTAAGACGGACGAGAGAGGGCCGAGATCAGCACCAAGACCACGAGCAGCAGACACAGACACAGAGTCAGAGAGGAAAGAGAAAGAAGAGACAAGAAGAGCAGCGCGAAGGATCAGCGCAGAGAAGACGCACGAAGCAGAAGAGAAGACGAAGAGAAACCGGTGGGTGGGAAGCCACTCGCCGTAGATCTCTCTCCGACCACGTTGTCTGAACCGCCCTGGTTTTCTCTTCCTGCTTATTCTCTTCTACTCTTCTTCTTCTTCTTCTCATCATCATCTTCTTCTTCTTTTTCTTCTTACTACTCTTCTCTTACTATCCTATCAACAATAATAACAGCATATATATCTACGTAATGGCGCAGGGGGTACGGCCAAAGTATAGGCAACGGCACTAAACCCTGTCTGGACTGCCGACGCAGGAACCACACACCGCTAACCAAATTAGGTTAGACCTAGGTGGCGATACAGAGTTCGGATCACAGCCTTGCTCCTGCTCTACGTCGTCCGTCTGCTTCGTCGTCGGGTTTGCCCCTTCCCGGTGGCGCCTATATAAGTGCCCTCTTCCCCCACCTCCTCTTCTATTCCTTTTACTATATCAATCACTACTTTCAATTACTACTTCGCTATTTCTACTACTTCAACACTTCAACACTCATCATGTCTCAATCTCTTCCCACCCGCAAAGACGTCGCCATCTTCTCTGACTTTGACGGCACCATCTTCCTCCAAGACACCGGCCACGTCCTCTTCGACCGCCACGGCTGTGGCTCAGAACACCGCGAGAAGCTCGACTCGCAAATCAACTCCGGCGAGCGCTCGTTCAGAGACGTCTCCGAGGAGATGTGGGGCTCTCTCGACGTCCCCTTCGACAAGTCGATCGAGGCCATGAAGGAGAAGCTCGAGATCGACCCCGACTTTGCCGACTTTCATGACTTATGCATCCGCGAGGGCGTCCCCTTCAACGTGATCTCCGCCGGTCTCAAGCCCGTTCTCCGCGGCGTGCTCGACGAGTTCGTCCCGGGCTCGGACCGCATCGACATCATCTCCAACGACGCCGTCATCTCCGACGACGGCTCGGACTGGAAGGTCGTCTGGCGCCACGACTCCCCGCTCGGCCACGACAAGTCGCAGTCGATCAAGGAGCGCCGGTCGCACTACCGCAAGCACCTGCCGGCCAACACAAACCCGCTCATCATCTTCATCGGCGACGGTGTCTCTGATCTCCCCGCCGCGCGCGAGGCCGACGTCTTGTTTGCCCGCGCTGGCCTGAGACTGGAGGAGTACTGCAAGGAGCACGGTATCGACTACATCCCCTACGACTCGTTCGCCGACATCGAGCGCGAGGTGTCGCGGATCCTGGACTCGGGCGACCTCGAGCGGTTCAAGAAGCCCCACAACCGGAGTCCGCAGCGCGAGCAGCAGCAGCAGCAGAACCTGCGCAAGCACTTCTTTGGCGCCGCGGCCTCGTCTCCTGTCGTGGACTCGACCCGCAAGGCGCGGCGGACAGACAAGTCGATGGCGCCGCTGAGTCGGAGGTATTCGAAGGGGATTGCGACTGCTTAGATGTTTTGTTTTTATTATCATGATTGTATAGACTATGTTATTTGCATTGGGTTTTGTGATTACTGGATGGGATGGTCGCGGTGTTAGGGTCTGCTATTATCAATGACACTATTACTATATTACTATATTACTATAAGAAGAATGAATTAGAATAAGATAGAATCAAGATGAGAATAAGAAGACAAGAATAGATGAAACAGAGAATGCAACAGAATCACAGCAGGTCAGATATGCTATTTCCTGCAACAAGAGCAGATAAGGCGTTTCAGGTGGGATATCTCGACTGCTCGCAACAGGTTAGTGCCTTGTGACCACTGTGCTCTTGACTTAAGAGAAGATAAAACCCTAATCGTGAAAACATCCGCTGGCGGTTGGGGTGGCAGGTGTAGGGCTGGTCTTCGCAGTTGTGGCGTATCTGTCGAGGGGGGTTGTGGTGCAAGTGTGGAGGTTCTGTGCGGTTGTGCTGGGTTTGTGCTGCTGCTGGTTGCTGTGTCTGTAGTAGTAGTTGTATAGTCTCGTATATGATGGTTTGTCAGTATTCTGTGTTATTAGTCTCCTGCTGTCTGCAGTCTGCAGTCTGCTCATCGCAGCAACACCTTCACTCCTGCCATCAACAAAGAAAGAAAGAAAAGAGGGCGACACCGCCCTTTTATCTTCTCCTTCCTCGCCGCTGCTCGGTCCCGCTCAAACATCTCCCGATTCGGCAGCATAAATTCACACCTTGCCCTGACTACTCTTACCCGGCCTGGTTTGTTCGGACATCTTGTTTCAGCTTACGGTTAGTTAGTCAGTCATAGGTTTGTTATAAGTTTTTGATGATGGTTGGAGCTGCGGTTGATTAAATGCTGATTGATGATTCTGGTGGTTGTTTTGGTGGTGTGTGAGCTGTTTGTGGGGTGGTGGGAGTGAGTGAAGACATAGACATCTTCACTTCACTTCACTACTCTACTCTACTCTAACCTATACACATTCCATATACACACGATCCCATTACATTACTTATAACACATACCCTACATCACTACATACATAAACCATCTTTACATCTGCACATCTGCACACACTCACTCCTCCCCAAACGCCCGCCTCCGATGCCCATAACTCTCCTTCTGCTGCTGCGCCCAATACTCCATCTCCAGCGTCTGCATCCGCCGCTGCAGCTCGTCCTCCTCGTCCGCCTGCGACCCTCCCATTTGCTGCTGTTGCTCGGGGATATACCGGCCCCCGGGAACGCTTGACTCGCTTTCTGAGCCTGAGAGGTCGGGATCGCTGGCGGGGTAGCTCGTAGTTGGTAGTTCGGACTCGTCTGCGAGTGCTAATTCTTCTTCGTCGTCTTCTAAGCCCTCCTCATCTTCGTCTGCGAGATATGCCTCCTCGCCTTCATTCTCTTGTTCCCGCTCCCGCTCCAGCTCCGCCGCCCCCGAAGTAGCCGAACTAGGCACCACAATCCTCTGCTGATGATACTGCTGCTGAATCGTAATCTGCATCACCCGATTCTGCTCCTCCAACCTCGCAACCTCCGCCCACGCCCGCCGACACTCCATCCTCGCGCTCGTCAACTCCATCCTCCCCTCCTCCACCACCCCCCTCACCCTCCTCTCCTCCTCCCGCGCCTCATCCCGCTCCCGCTCCGCCCGCTCCCGCGCCTGCCTCTCCCGCCCTGCCTCGCGCTCAAGCTCGGCCGCGAGCTCGGACACCCGCGATCGCTCACGCTTGTAGTTCTCGTACCAATCCGCGTAGATCTTTTGCGTCTCGTGGCGGCGCCGCTGCAGGGCGACGAGGGCTTGGAAGAGCGTCTGGCCTGTTGCGGAGAGATCTTCGACTGTTCGCGCGAGCTGCTTGAGTGCGATTTGGGTCGCGGCGGGTTGTGACGCGCGGCGGTTTTCTGCTGCTGTTGTTGTTGTAGTAGTTGTCGTGGTTGTTGGTTGTGTTTTTCCGGCGGCGATCTCTGCTTCCGCGTCTTTAAGCCGGCGGATCCAATGACTAGATCGACCGTCAACATCCATCCCACAGATCCCCCCCCCCAGTCAAAACAACAGCGATATAAAAAGAGAGAAAAGAAAACAAACCTCGAAATCCCCTCAAACTCCGCAGACAACGCATCCCACCTCGCGGCCGCCGCGTCCGGTGTTTCCAGCGGTGCCATGGTTATACTCTGATCTTGATAGTATTGTTGATTGGGGCACTATATTTTTATTAAGTGAAGGGTATAGTACTTCCGGATGCAGCGGGGTGGGTAGTTGGCATCTAGACTAGATCAAGTGCTAATAACAAAGAAAGATGCACCGGTAGGGGGTGTGTGGTGTTGGAGGCGGGGGGAGTGGTGGTGGTGGTAGTGATGGTAGGCGGCGGATTGTTAAAGTGGATGGAGACGAGTCGTCGTATTCTTCACTACTCTACTCCTGCTCTTTACTCTTTTTATCCATCTACTCCTGCAAACAGCAAACAAACAACAAACAGCAGTATTTTACAGTAATTTACAATTTACAGCATAAAACAATAAACAGAGCAATTTATCGCTAGCTCGGATGCATGACTTGATAGATAAATCAAGTAGGTAGTAAAAAATCCGAAAGCGGCTGGTTAATTAAACAGATACACACAGAGACGCACACACACAAATACACACAGACAGGGATAGAGTGATAGAGAGATAAAGATCCTCGTGGATTTCAATCCTCATCTCTTTTGTCTGTCTATTTCTCTATCTTATACTTTACAAACAATACTCACAATCAATAAGTTATCTACAAAGAATAGAGAATACTTCATCCTCAGAACCTACCTACCCATTCATTTTCACTACGCCCACTCATTCTCCTATAGTTATCAGAGAAGTTAAGTATAAAGGATAACACGGAAAATCAATTGAATCTAGGAAAAAAAAAAAAATAGAAGCACGACGAACAAAAAGGCAGAATCATAAGAGAAAAAACGAGAAAAAAGCAGGAAAGATAAAGCAGAAAAGAAAAATGAACAAGGAAACAAGACACAAGACGTAAACATAAAGAGATAACTACTCCTCCCTCACTCTCTGCCATCAACGCACGATATAACGCGTCGACACCACAGAAAAGAGTGAAAAGTAGTGAAAAATAATAGAAAAAAGAGAATCATAGAGTATACGTAACCATACAGAACAACCACACCACACCACACTTCCATAACAAATACAAAAACTCAGACAAGTGCAAAGAAACAAACACACTCATAACAAACAAACTAGAATAAGAAACTAGAATAAAAAACTAGAAGAAAGAAGAAAGAAAAAAGAAGAAGGAAAAACAAGCGAGGAAAACCGTTGCGATACTGCACAAAAATAACGCCTGCAGAACACGGATAAAAGCACAGCAGGAATTCCAACGATAAAAAAACCTCAGTATGCCTTTGCATAGTATTTTTCTCAAGCAGCTTTTCTTAAGCAGCTGATCGCAAAGCACGCATGCAGAACACAAAACAACCGGAAAACGACACAAGCACAAGCACGACACAAGCACGAAAAAGCAAACAGAGATATCCCTAACTTATACATTTTCTCCTCACGACTCACTTGCTACTACATCCGCGACGCAGCCGGCGCGTACGGCGAGTCCTTCGCCCGCCCCATCGTCGCCGCCTGCGGAATCCCCCGCGCAGCGCCCCGTCTCGTCGGCGCGATGCCCTCGATCGTGAAATCAGGGTTGGCCCGCAACATCATCTCCGTGCGGTCCCGCTTCGCCTGCTGCGCGGCCGTCAGCGCGCCCCCCGTCTGCGGCGGCAGTGGCTGCAGGCTCTGCTGCATCTTGGGCGGCGCGGTCGGACCACCCGTGTAGTACCGCGGATTCACGCCCCGCTGCGACACCGACGTGAACTGGCTCGAGATCGACCCGTCCGGCGAGTGCGGCGGCGCGGGCACGTAGCTGCTCGGCTGCGCAAACTCGGGCGGGTACATCGGTCGCGACGCGTACGGCTGCGGTTGCGGTCCTCCGCCTGGCGACACCGGCGGCGCGCCGCCCATCGCGACTCGCGGCTGGCCTCGGCGCTGCTGCTGCTGCTGCTGCTGCTGGGAGTCAAAGTAGTTGGGTCCCTGCGGCGGACGGAACTCCTCGTACGGCGAGCGCGCGCTGGGTAGCGACACGGGCGAGACGGTCTGCGTGTAGCCTGCGTGGATCTCGCTCGCGTACTGCGGATCGACGTCGTCGTAGTAGTTCGTGCTGTTCTGTCTTCTGCGCGGGGCCGCTTCTTGCTCAGCAGCGACACCAGCAGCGACACCAGCAGCACCAGCACTAGCAACAACGGCGACATCTTCTTCGCCCCAGTTCTGTCGTGGCGGGACGTACTCGCCCTGCGACTCATCAGTGCCGCGGCGCGCACTCGCGTTGTCCACAGGCGTGCCCGCGACAGGAAGCTCAGTCGGTCCCGCCAGTGCCGACGACGCACCCACTCCTTCGCCAACCGCACCGCCGCCGACCTCTGCACCGGCAACAGGGATCCCGCTCGGCGACTCGAGCTCAGATCCAAGCGAGTCCCGCGCGGTGACGTACGATGCCATCGGCTGCGGCGGCGTGCTTCCAGACGCAGACGGCAGCACGACCGCGTACGGAGGTCGCGGACCGCCGCCCATCTCTTGTCCGGGCGTCAGCGCACGACCACGCGGGCCGCCTCGCTGCTGCTGGTACGGCGGCATCTGGCCGCGAGGCAGACGGTCGCGCGGGTAGTAGCCGTTCGGCGGCTGCTGGCCATAAGGACCGTTTGCGCGACGGTCGTAGGCACCGTCGGGGCCCTGCTGGGGAGGTTGACGGCCGTAAGGGCGCTGCTGCTGTGGGCCGTAGCGGTTGTACTCTTGTTGTGGGAGAGGGCGGCCGTACTGATCAAATCGCTGCTGCTGCGGGCCTCTATTTTGACCCGGCGGCGGCGCGGCGCGCGTGTCTGGCGTGCTTTCGTAGTCCGAGATGGCGTGGCCGACGGTCGCGCTGTTGTTTCTGCGATTGAGCGAGGCGGCCTCGTCATCGAGATCGGCGTCGTCGTCGTCGTCCTCGTCGTCGTCTTCGTCGTCGTTCGTGGACGACTCAAAGATAGCCGACGTCTTTGCCTCGTTGTCGTAGATGAGCACCTCGCGGTCGGCGTTGCCGTCGTCCGGGTTCGCGGTGCCGGGCGGGAAGAACGACATTTGGTTGAGACGCATAGCCCCCGCGGACTCGTCCTCGTCAAAGATGCGCTTGTTCATTGCCTTGCGGGAGGAGAGAGTGCGGCGCATCGTGCAGAGGATGAGGGACGCGATCGCGATGATGACAGTCGCCCCGAGCACGATCCAGCCGCCCCAGGCCAGATGGGGCACGAAGAGGAGGATGTCGACGAGGAAGGCCAGGAGCGAGAGAATGAAGGTCGGGAGACAGAAGATGAGGAGCGCGAGCAGGTAGCGCGGGGAGTTGGCGGGCTGGTGGAAGTGGGCGACGAGCGCGAGCACGAGGAGGATGAGGGTGAAGCCTGCCGCGATCGGGTGCACGATGAGCAGGTTTGTGAGAGACTGGCGGGCGCCGGAGGGCAGAGACCAGTCTGTTGTTCCGGAGCCATCAATGATTGAGTCTGCGCGTTGTTAGCAAGAGTGTAAAGAAGCAGCTAAGAGCGAGGAGAGGAGAGAGCGACATACCGGGATAACCGACTCTGACGCTGGAGCAGGAGGAGTTTGTGCAGTAGCCAAAGACACCGAACTTGACGTTCTGGTAGTTTGCGAGCACGATTTTATCGACGACGGGGACGGAGAGCACGGAGACGAGCTGGAGGCCGAAGGCGACGAGGAGAAGCAGGGTGAGGGGCGTGGCTGCGCGAGGGATCATTGCGGCGAGGGGGGGGGTGATGAGAGGTGATGGGTGGGGGGTAGATGAGAGAGCTCTAGAGAGAGCAGCAGAAGTGCAGAAGAGCAGCTGGTGCACTGGAGAAGAGGAAGAGGAAGAGGAGGAGAGGGAAGGTGGTGATGGGAACAAAGTGCGGTGGTGAAGAGAAGCGGACGAGGGCGCAGCAGAAACGCGCAAAGCAGCGAGAAGAAATAAAACGCGCAGAGAGAGAATAGAGAAGTGACGAGTTCTCTCTTCTATTCAGATATCTCTTTCTTTATAACAAACCTCTCTCTAACACAAACAACAACAACAATACCCTCTTGATATCTCCTTCAACGCTTTTCAAGACGAGGAAAGGGGACGCGAGCCCGCTGCGGTTCCGTTTGATTTGATTGTCGCCCTGCGCCACAGCCCATTGTCCGCCACTCCGATGCGTGGCGGTGCTCGTCTCTTTTTATAGCCCAACGCGTATCAGTCAGAGATTATGTAATAATTACAGTTGTCGTTATGTCATAGTGGTCATCCCTCGAACGCGCCCTCCCGGATGTCGAGCCCAAACCGCTCCCGCGCCATCGCTCGCATCTGCTGCTCAATTACGTCCTCGAACCCGCTCTTATGTCTGAACACAACCTGCCGCACCCGCGCCGCCAGAAACGACAGATCTGACAGCGCGACCACGACCGTGAATACCACATGCCGCGTCCACTCCACCACCCGCGCCCGCAGTCCCAGCCCGCGCTCCCGCGCCAGGCTCCGGCTCGCCCACTGGCCCAGGATCTTCACCCGGTTCACCGGCGAGCCCATCAGCTGGTTGCACCCCTGCACGATCCGCATGTTGCGCCCCAGAAATACGAGCTCCAGCGGCATCTTCGTCGTGTCGTTGATGAACTCCTTGAACCGGTCCGCCGCGGACTTTTGCCGCTCAAACGCCTCCCGCTTCTTGCGCTCTTCTTCACTCATCTCGGGGTTAACGCTGCCGTACAGATCCCGCGCCTGGCCCGCCTTGTACGTCCGCAGCATCGTCATCGACGCAAACGCCTCCGGCTGCGCAATCCCCCAGTTCGACACTATGCTCTCAATCCCCGCCGTGTTGAACGTAAACATATGTCTCCACAGCTGGCTGTACTCCTTCCTGAACTTGTCCGGCTCGTATATGTAGAGTCCGTGGTCGATCAGCACGAGCTGCAGCTCAGATTCCTTCCCTGGCCGCGGCCGGATGATTATATTCCCCGGGTGCGGATCGCAGTGCACGACTCCGAAGCTAAAGATCTGCGCCGCAAACAAGTTCACCATCGTGTCCATGATCCACCGCTTACTATACCCGCGCTGCTCGAGCTCCTCGCGCCGGCTCATGCTCACGCCGTCGATCCACTCGATCGTCAGCACGCGCTTGCTCTGTAGCTCGCCATAGATCTTTGGCACGTAAACTTTTCCCACCAGCGACTTCTCGCCCGCCAGCTTCTGCGCCATGTTTTGCGAATTCCGCGCCTCCGTCTCGAAATCCGTCTCGGCCTGCATCTGGTCGGAGATGTACTGCGCGACAAAGTACACCGGGATCTCAAACAGCCAGTCGTAGAGCCACATCATGCTGCGGTACGTCAGCAGGTCCCAGTACACCTGCTTCTCGATCTTTGGATGCTGGATCTTCACCGCCACTTTCTCGCCCGTCCCCTTCAACCGCGCTACATGCACCTGCGCAACACTCGCGCTCGCAATCGCAGTGTGCTCGATCGAGTCAAACACCTCGTCCGGCGTCCTGCCGAAATCCTGCACAAACACCTTCTCGACCGCGCTCCACTCGTCCTGCGGCGCCATATCAAACAGCTTCGAGAACTTCTCCTGGAACACCGGCGGCAGGATCTGCGCCTGCATCGCAAGCGCCTGGCCAATCTTGATATACAGCCCGCCGTTGCGCGTAATCAGATTAAACACGCGCTCGGCCACCCGCGCCTGCAACGCGTCCACGTCGTGGTCGGGGTCAAAGTTGAGCTTGTAGTCGGCCGCGATGAGCGAGAGAATGTAGACCGCGCGAGCGTTGCGCACGAGCGCGGACTCGTTGAACGCTCTGTCGTAGGCAACGACCGCACAAAGACCTGCTGCTGCGTACACGAGTCTCTTGCGGGTTTTCGAGGGAGGAGGTTTGCTGGAGGCTGTGGATGCTGATCTTGTCGTAATCGTCTGTCCCGCCAACCGCCTTATCGAATGCTCAACTGACACCGCACATGGTCTCGAAAACAGCCTGATCATCGATCTATCTCGTCTTTCAAAATGATCTAATTCTATCCAAAACCTCTATCCCATGCACTTCAAACAGCAGCTGACAGGAAGGAAGTGAGTGCATTCGAGTCAGCGGGATCTTCGAGATGATTTACGCGGCGGCGGTCATCATTGTCAGGTTAAGCTTTTGGCGCGTTGACGTCATCCTCCCTCGACAAATCTTGTAATCACACGCGAGAATCTTTTTTTGGTACTTTGAACTCTTGAGTTTCCTGATATTCGCCAGGGAAAAGTGTGTTAAGGGACCTGTCTCGGCAGAGAGAGAACATGCATCTATAGACATTTCATGAGTTATCGACACGGCGAGAGTTGAACGAATCTACGCGATGACCCCTCCATCGCAACCGCCTTCGACCACCAACTTCACGCGTCTCCTCTCGTCGCGGAGGAAACCCGCCTCACTTCCTCAAGACGAGCCATCCGAAGCCAAAGACGCGCCCAGCACGCCCTCTCTCCTCGCCTCCAGCCCACACCAGCAATTCAGCAGCAGTCGCTCGGCCTCGGCCTTCGACGACCCCGAACTTCCCCACACCCGTCTGCACACCCTCGCGCTTGCCTCGTCCTTCCCGCTGCTCGCGGGCTGGCTCGGTCCGATCTCGAACCTCTTCTCAATCACAGCGCTGGTCGAGTCCTGGCTCGGCGAAGTCACCGAGGCGTCGGCCGCTAGCGACGACAACACCGTCGAGTTCTCGGGGTACTACGACGACAGCGCCTACGTCGTCGTGCTCAATGCTGTCTCGTTGTTTCTCGGCGTCGCGGCAAATATCTCGCTGCTGCTCAACTTTGCCGGAAGGATCAAGTATGACCATTCGCAGGCAATCTCGATCTCGTCTTTCTTCATCGCTAGCATGATCCTCGTCGGGCTCACGGTCGCAGAGTATAAAAACTTTCAGCACCTCGAATATCAGATTGGGCAGGGTGCCGGGGTCGAGGTGGGGATCGTGCGAATCGCGCTTACTCAGGGATACTGGTCTGCGTATGTGTTCTTTATCTCGCTTGCTTTATCTTACTCACGCTGACAGCTCAACAGTGTAATTACCTCTGTCCTCTACTTCATCTGCTTCTTCCTCCTTGCCTGGAACGAAATAGGCCACCTCCTAGGCCTCTACCCCGCCTCCTTCATCCTCTCCTCCCACCAACGCTCGCTCATGCTCCAGATCCTCGCCGCCGTTCTCTGGATCGCCAGCGGCGCAGGCGTCTTCTCCCGCATCGAGGGCTTCAGCTACGCAAACGCAGTCTACTACTGCGACGTCTCGATCCTCACCATCGGCCTCGGCGACATCGTCCCCGTCTCCAACCTCGGCCGCGCGATCTTACTCCCCTACGCGCTCATCGGCGTGCTCCTCGTCGGTCTCGTCGTCTCCTCCGTGCGCTCGCTCGTCATCGGCGTCACCCGCAGAGCCCAGGCGCTCAACAAAACAGAGCGGTTACGCATCCACCACCTCTCCCTCCGCAACGCGCGCACGTCCGAACCCGACCCAGAGATCTCATTCAAAGTGATGCGGTCGCTCCACCGCCGCGCGCGCCGCGCCGATCGCTGGCAAATTTTCGCGATCGCGCTCTTCGTCTTCTTGACTTTCTGGATCGTGCTCGGCGCGCTGATCTTCTCGCGCCTGCAGCACTCGTGGACGTTCTTCGAAGGCCTGTATTTCACAAGCCTCTGTCTCTTGACAATCGGCTACGGCGACTTCAAACTCACGACGCCGGGTTCAAAGGCGTGGTTCGTGCTCTGGAGCTTGTTCGCCGTGCCGATGGTCACCATCTTGATCTCCAGCATGGGCGACACCATCCTCGCCGCGGTCATGAAGGGAACCGCAAAGCTGGGCGATTGGGCGCTCGCAAACGTTAATCACGAACATTCCGGCACCGGCGGGACGCACGAGCCTGAGACGCGCTCGGCGGGCGCGAAACGGAGGAGACGGCGGTTGACGTTGAGCCAACCGAGTCTGCTGCGCAGGGCTCCGACGTCCATCGCGCCTAATACCGAGGACCTGTGGACGCTCGTGTACCGCCGCATGAGGGAAGACATTGAGCGGCAGCATCCCGAGCTCGACTCATCCCGCGCGTCCTCGGACTCTTTTTCCGAAGCCGACGACAGCACCGCCAGCTTACAAAGCGATCTCGAGAAAGAAGCGACGGTGATTGACGCGATCCAGCGGATCCTCGTCGATCTCCGCCGCGACCGGCATAAGCAGTATCCGTACGAGGAATGGCAGACTTTGTCCTCCGTGCTCGGTGTGGACTTTGACTGGCTGGGCGCGGACTCGCCGATTCGGTTTCCGGGGGTGGACGAGCCGGCGCTGTTGTTGAGGTTATACTGGATCTCGCTTACGAGGTTACTGAGACGGCGGCGGCGGAGGATCGCGAGACGCGAGAAGATGCAGGGCAGTCGTGGGGATGAGAAGACCGCGGCGGCGGCGGAGGCGGACGAGACGCGGGAGGAGAAACTTGAGGATCTTGAAATGATGCAGCAGGCTGCGGATGAGTTCCACATGACGACCGTCAAGCGATCTGGCTCGAAACCTGCTGCTGCGTCGACTGCTGCGGCTGAGAGCGCGGAAGACGACGACGACGACGCGGCAGATGAGGAGGAGGTCGAGATTGATATCGTGGATGAGGATAGCGAGGACGGGTATAGTTCTAGTTCGTCTGTGTCTGATTAGGTGCTGTGTATATAGAGAAGGCGTATTTGCAAATGTTTTTACTTTTGGATATAAGTTTTGGGTGTTACCGCGTTTGTGCAATAGATGTTGAAATCTCTGTACTTGTATTATATATCGTACCATCACAACCACATAAAAACAAAACTCCAACAATACAAATCAAATACATTCAAATACCAACCCACTATCATATATATATATCCACCTACATAATCGCACATCTCTCCGAACTATCAACGCGGCTCTTGCCGCTCGCGTAGTTCGACGTGCTGCGCATCGCGCTCGCGGCTTTACTCCTGATCGTCGGCGCGGCCTGCAACTTTGCCGGCTGCGACCGCTGCTGCTGCGGTCTGCGATACGCGGGGGCGGCGGGTTGCGGTGCGGAGGAGGTGGGTTTAGCCTGGGTGGTGTGCTGGGCGACAGGGACGGCGGGGACGATGAGGCCCTCGCGTTCGGCGGTGGGGAAGAACGGGCGCTCGGGAGGGGGAGGGACTTGGAGCTGAGTTGCGCGCTGCTGGGGGGCGGGAGCGGGAGCAGAGGGGGAGGAGGAGGAAGGGGTGAAGTTGTCGCTGCCGGCGGCGATCATTTTCTGGGCGAGGTAGGAGTAGATTTTGACCCAGGTGAGTTCGATGTTTGGCGTGAAGCGCTGGAGAGGAATTAGAATCGATAGATTGTCAGAAAAAAGAGAATAGGGAGAAGACGTACGCTGCCTAGACGGTCACGAAGAGTCTGGATGAAGATCACACCGAGCAGTTCAAACTATAGATCAAAACCAGTTAGCCCGCCGCCCAACTTCTAGAAGTATAGCAGAATATACATACATGCTCAGGCTCGACGCCCATGATATACGCATGCCTCCGACCAAGTCTTTCCAGCACATCATCGAGCGCGCGGATATTATCCAGCATCGCGAGCGCGGCAGAGAAAATTCCCGACAAGGCCGCCGACTGGCGCTGGATGTCGGGGAACATGAACTCGAGGTCCGGGCGCAGCGCAAACAGGTTCTGGTAGAATTGGCTGAAGAACAGATTCGCGGGGCTGCCGAGAGATGAGCCGGCGTTGTTGGAGGGCGAGAGTCCGATTGTTCTGTGGGGTGTTAGATCAGGGTGGGGGAGGACTGTAAAAAAAGGAAGGATCAGAAGACGTACTCGTTGTAGGCTACCTTGACGGCAACTGCGTCGTCATCGGTGAGCTCGATCGTGATCTCGTGGAAAGCAAGCGGCTTGGCCTTTGCCTCCGCGACCGGCTCTTCTGGAATCGAAGAATACCCAGTCGAGGTAGAATGCTCCGAGTACGCGGCCGAGTAGGTCGACGACGTCTGGCTCATGGCCGGCGACGGCGGAACGCGGTATGACGCCGGCGAGGAGGTCGACGTGGTGGTGTAAGACAGCGGGCGCGGGCTCATCACAGGCGTTGTAGGAGACGACGGCTTTCTGTTGCTCGCGGGCGACTGAGCCGGAGTCGGGAGTGAGACCGAGGCGGTCTTTGACTTGTGTTTTCTAGTGAAGAACGGCATGCTGTGTGGGTCTGAGAGAAATAGATGAGGCAAAATAGATAGTAGCAGAGATGCAGGGATGCGAGAAGCAAGTCGATTGACCAGAGGAATTTGTGCCGAGCAGGAGACATGGGCTGGTAGATATACTGCAGGGATTTCGGAGGGTGGTGCTGCTGAGGACGGGCAGCGAGCAGGAGAGATGTGGTAGCGCCGGGGATAAGGTTTAATGGTTTAAAGTTCAAGGTACGGTATATTGGCAGAGTTAGCGAGAAGGGTGTATCGGATAGATTGAGATAAAAGTTGATTAAGGAGGATAAGGGTGAATAAGATATAGATAGAACACAATATAAGAGAAATGCAGTAATATAGGATAGACTATAGAAACAAGCAGGATAGAAGCAGAGAGTAGAGAGACAAGGACAGAGACGAGACAAAGGTGGGACGGTACGGTGACCGAGATCTGGAACAAAAAAACGCTAAAGCAATGCCAACGACAGCCCCCTTGCTTCCCGAACTACCTCGACCGTTGAACTGGATCCAACTACAGCGAGCACGCCTCCTCACTGTATCATCCCGTTAGCTCTGAGTTTCTAGCAAGGGGGGAGGGGAAGAGCTAAGGACAGAAACTAGCAGCTAAGAACTCCGAAGGGCCTGATTACGGAAAGAAAAGGCTCAGGCGATCGTCTCGGTAGTAAAATGTATTGCGAAATAGATTGGCCGATAGCGAGCGGTCTGCCTCTGCCCCTGTCGAACAGCAGCAGAAGAACAGCAGAAGGATAGAAGGCCCGAGGGTGTCTTGAGTGCGCTGGATACCTGGTCTGGGACGACGAGACCGAGATCTGCGTGAGACAATTGTCTGGCCCGCCAAAAGCCACTGTTAAGTGTCCAGCGTTGTCTTGCCCATCACACACGCGGACTATTAGCGCAGCTGCAGCTGAAGATACGGCGGAGGCACGGAAGGACACCTGCCCGCCCTGCGATCTGTCACAGCGGTACGCAGACAGAGAGAGAAAATGAATGGAAAAAAAAAGTAAAGAGGAGGTGAGGAGGGCGGTGAAGGCGGTGAAGTGAAAGTTAGCAGCGAGCTGGTGACGGTGTTGCAGCTAGTGACAAGTACAGTGACGGGATTCTAGCATCCGCTGTCTGCAGGTTGCTGTTCATAGATGTCGCCCCTGCCTTCATGAGTTGCTTAGTTCTCTGTCGAGTTCTAGTTCTCTGCACGCCAGGCAGTCTTACATGATCTACAGCCCTCAGCTATCACAGCACACGCAGTACAATTCTCGTGGAGGAGAGGCGGAGCAGAGCGCAGTGGGGATAGCGAGCACTCGGGCGAGCGAAACGATCGCGAGAACAACCCCTTCCTTCCTAACTTTCACTTCTCCAACTCTCTTCGTCGCCGTATCTCCAAGAGCCTCAGAGCCCGCTCTCTGCGATCGGCACGTTCATTTCCCACCCGTATCATGCGATCGGAAAGAAAGCCGTCTGTGCACGGACTGAAGGCAAGTCATGCGATTTCCGGCACTGCTCTGGGCAAGGATAAATGCTTTATAACTGAGCCAGCCCCCCTTGCTTGCTTTACATTACATTACATTACACGACTTGCGCAGTAGATTGCAGCTGCTAATTACCTCTGCGCAATTACTACTAGTCAGGAGCCGTTTGGTCGCTGTTCAACTGCTGCTCAGCATGCTATCCAGTCGCTATCGGCAGGACGCGAGCGAGAGAGCAGAGGCCCGGCCAGCAGCCATGGTTCGCTACGAGCCTCGCTTTTAAGCTTTGTCCCAGCCCTCTGCTCGTCTGCCTGTTCTGCGGGCTTTGATTGCCTTTTCGCTGGTTGCGAGCGACGAGGCGAGGCTGCGAAGGGGTCGGCACTCGAAACACTGTAGCCGAGTTAATTGCGCTCAGGCTCAGAGCAGAGTAGCGATAATCTACGCTGAGCTGGGGTTCGCTCACCTGATGCTGATGCTGGTGCTGATAGCTATGAGCTGATTACTGATAGCTGATAGCTATCTTCATACACTACACATATACTATAACTAAACCAACCCAATTGCATCAGTCTAATGCAATCAACGCGTCATCACCTTTGGATATGCGCACCGTGACGGCCCTGCTCCTCCTGCTCCGTTGCTTTAGTCTGCTGCCCGAAATTGCCCGCCTCACCGCGCCCTGTCCTGACAAATATATTACCTAATACAATGAGTAAGCCATTACATAACCCACACCTTGTCTATTGTGCTGCTCGTCCGTTGCTCACGATGCCTACATTCACCGCTCCAAAGACAACTGCACGCCAGACAGAGGCCGAATAGCTGTCCAGACACTACGCCATCACCAAGAAGCAGCGGAGGAAGAGCAGAGAGAGCAGCAGCGGCAGTTGGCATCGCGAATCGCTGCAGCTTCCCCGCATGCACTTTGACGACTTAATATAAACCAGAGCAATAAACCTCCCCAGTGCCAATCTTCACCACTCCTCTTCTCTTCACCACCTCCTCTTCTTCTTCATATTCTTTGCTCTTTGTTATCCTGACTGCTGCGGACACTGCAGCTACTCCCACTCAATCCTCTACCCCCGCCACCATCGACAACCCCGCCAACAGGGCGATGACCGTCACGCCCGTCCCAAAGTCGGCAAAACCCCCAGGCGAGCTCCTGACCGCCGAGGAGAAGAAGGCAAACCACATCGCCTCCGAGCAGAAGCGGCGGCAGGCTATCCGTGAAGGCTTCAACCGGCTCACTGAGGTTGTTCCAGGACTTACCAAGAGCCAGGGCCGGAGCGAGACCATCGTCTTGCAAAAGAGTATGTCCTGCTTGTTTCCTCTTCTGTTGTTTCTTTTCATTATAATGTCTAACAGTCTCAAAGCTCTGGCGTATCTCAAAGATCAGCTCTCGGAAAACCAGAGCCTGGTCCAGCAAATAACAGACCTCGGAGGCACCTTCCCTCCCTCGCTCAAGGTCGTCGTCAACAACGACTACGTGCCTCCCGACTACGACGACGACGACGACGAAGACGAGAACCCCTCGAGCTGATAAGCGGAGCGCATGATGATCTCCTGCGCGCGCTGTGGATTATAAGATATGGGCTGAGAGTCTGGCGCTTGGTGTTCCGGTTTGTTTGTAACTACTGTACGATTACTGGTTTTGTCTTATGTATGTATTTAAATGTAATTATCGATTGACTACTTCCCCATATCATACAACCATCTTCACCAACAACACCAACGCAAACAACCCCAGCACCACAAGCGCAAGCAACACGCCCACGATCGCCGGCAGTCCAAACTTGTAGATATACAGCTCCTTGAGCTGCTCCAGATAGAAAATCATCACCTTGCCCGTCAACTTTGACTCGCCGACCGTGCGCACGCCAAACGAAAACGGCAGTTCGGCGATCGACGACGACGGGATGCCGGTCTTGACCAGGATGTCGAGCGCGATCTTGAAGCCTTGCGCGTTGATATGGTCGGCTGCTTTTGTGACCTGCTCAGCGCGTTAGCCTCTCTACTATCTCTTTAGACTCTTGTAAAATCTAGACATACGTATTCCTTTTGTATTCCAAAGAACCCAGTCATCGGATCGCTAACGGGCGTCAACGGAACAGCAAGCGTGCGCGCTCCGCTCGAGATAATGCGTCGGTACAGCGGCCAGTCCTTATCCATCTCGACGCCGGGCGCGTACCGAGTTCCGAGCACGAACGCGTAGCTGTGCAACTTGTGCAGCAAAGCAGGGACGCGCTCTGGCGGGTGCTGTAGATAGATTGATCAATTAGCATCGGTGATACTTACTAGACAGATACTAGACAAAAGCAAAAAAAGATCAGACGAACCTGCAAATCCGCGTCCATGCACACGAGGTACTTCCCCTTCGCCTCCATAAACCCCCTCACGACCGCCGAACTGAGTCCGCGCTCGGTCGTACGGACGATGATTGAGACATTGAACCCCTCGGCCTTGAGCGCGTCGACCTCCTCGACCGACCCGTCGTTGCTGTTGTCGTCGACGAAAATCAGCTCGGTGCTCGAGGCCTCGGATTCAAGTGCTGCAAAGAGCCGCGTCGTCAGCGGACGGATGTTGTCGTGCTCGTGGTAGGCGGGGACGATGATTGAGTTTTCGATTGCCATTGCTGCTGGGGTGGAGTGGTGATGTAGTTGAAGTGAAAGTAGTTGATGTGAAGTTGCAAAGTCAAGAAGATCACGCAATTACCAAGTTCCAGTAAACCTCAGAATTCCTGATATATCTTTTCTTCTGCTCTTTCGTAGTCACGTAGTCAGGCAATCAGAAACACCCACAAAAACGCAGAGAAATCAGGTAGAAAATCACAAGGCAGAGGCGCAGGTCGAGTTTATTGCTGTCGTGGCCGCCGCCTCTTTCAACCCTTTTTTAGAAGACGAGGCGCGTCGACGCGATTAAACTCGAGGTGCTCTGCCAGCTGGGTGTACTTTTAATGCCTACAATTGATATGCTTTTGTATCAGGATTGATGGTAAGTGTAGATTATTGGGTCTGTTTGCCTATTATGATTGTTGGTTTGATTGTAACGGTGATAAGCTGTCTTGAATAAATGCTGGCATGTGCTATCTCGTAGACCTCAGCGCTGCAATATTTACTTCACCTCCTCGGCCACTACACACAACAGACAGCAAGTATCCTCTTCAACTTCCACGCATGTCCAGTCTGTCAACCCAATCGTCCTATTCTCTCACCAGCAGTGTATCCCCCTCAATCAAGAGCACTACATAGCAACCATCACATAACCCCTTACATAATCAAATAAACTTTCTAGACCACAAATCTTCGGGAAACCAATTTTGTCTCTGACTCGGGATACACCATCTTCTTTCCACCACCCCGCGACTTTTGTGATTTCTTTTATCCACGAGTGCAAGAATGGCTAAAGCAAAAGGTATTACTTCTTATGTATTTGCTTGCTGCTGAGGACGAATGGAATTGCGCGGCGGATGTGGAATTGTCGACTGCGGAGTCTGTGTGCAATTATCGTCCTCGACAGCACTTTTGAATATACCTGCTCGTGAGAATAGTACTAACCATTCGTTTTCCTTACTCATACAGGAAGAAAACAAACAACGCTCATCACCCTCGTGTCAAGCGCGCTGACGGGCATGAAGCGGTCGATGCTAATCCGACGAACTGCGCTGCCTGTGCGGATGATGCGGTATGATCCTACCGGTACGTAAACTCCCTTTCTTTCTTTTCCATATTGCTGTCAGAATGAAGACAGAGAAGACAGGGATTGAGAAGAAAGAATGGCGAGCTGACGTCGTTTGTAGCGAAACGACATGTTCTCTTTACTGAATCCAAGCGACGACGAGCACCGCCCAATCTGCAATTCGGCTTTGGTCGCAAACTCGAGAAAGATAAATAGTCATCTCTATTCCACTATCACCAATCAACCAGACGCTGTCTGAGAAACAGAAGACGAGAGAAAGGAGAAAGTTTTGCTTGGGATACGAGAATGTTGAGGAAGAAGGCTACTACTGAACGAGACATGTACATACACACGGTTTACCACTTCCCGACGACGAAAGAAGACAACTTCTCTTTACTCACGACGGATTTGTATAATAATGAATGATTCAACCACTTACATTACAACCCACACCATTGACGCCGAGAAATCATTTGTATTAGACAACCATATCCTTATTTTCTCTTCTCATAAAAATGACAATCGACACCTGAAACGTCAGACATAACTGACGCACCAAGCAGCAAGAAACAAAGAAAACAAAAACGTATATACATTCTTTTTCTTTTACTTATCCCTCCATCGTCCATTTTCGATCGCAATCAATATCTCGGCTATCTCAATTCTGCACCTCCATTTTTCGAAAGATATAGCCGTTCCATAGTCTTCAACTAGAATTGCATATATACAAACCAAAACAGAAACCAGTAGCTATGTTCTCCTTTTTTCTTTCCGTAATCTATACTCTATCTCTTTTCTTTTCTCTAATCTCTCTACTCTAACTTCTTTTTTTGCTTTCTCTTCGATTTTGATTTTTTGCAACTTTTTCAATCTTGTGCTTGGCCAGTTGAGAAACTGAAAAGGACAAGAAAGAGGAAAGAGGAAACAGGAAATATAGATACAAAAGAATATAAAGAAATGTTGGTGAAAAAAGGTAGAAGAAAGAAGAAGGAAGAAAGAAGAAATTGAAAACGCTCACGAACGTACACCACACACCCACCGCCCATTCTGCACCCGATATGACATAATCCAATAGAACAAAGATAAAAGGTAGTGATTAAAAGAGACAAAAAACAAACAGAGAAAAAGTAGCAGCAATTTTGGTAGATAGACGTCGAAACAGAGAGAGAGTGTGTCACTCAAAGCAAAAGATAGAGCCAACATTCCCTTTTCGAGAACACAACACGATAACAAAAGCAGAGGAAAATCATCATGCGGTAACCTATGAGAACTTTTTCAAAAATTCTTTGTGGAATTGGAGCATCCGGTCGACATACTCCTTTCCGGGAGCAAGGAACGTAGTTCGGAAATGGAACGTGCCGTCTTTTTGGCCAAAGCCGGAGCCAGGCACGACGCATACGCCAGTGGATTCAAGTAGTTGCATGCAGTAGAACTCGTCTGGTTCTTCGTTTCGGCGTTGGGCTTCCTTGATGGCGTTGGGGGGAAGGGTTATGGTGGGGAAGAGGTACATTGCGCCCTAGTTTGAGAGTTAGTAGCTGATAACCAGGTGACATTTCACAAAGAAAATATTTAAAAACAAAACGGACCTTTGGTTGTTGACAGGTGACACCTTCCATCTCTTTAAATGCTTCAAAGAGCGTGAGCGCACGTTCTCTGAGTCTGGTGTAGATAGTGTCGTACTCCTGCTTATAAAGCGGATAAGACTCGTCGCCCTCCTTGGGCGGGTTGACCATCAGCTCCGTCAGGACCTGACCGGTGACCACGGGACAGAGCGAGATGGAGACCAGCTTGTAGAGCTCCTCGCGCACTTCTGGGTCCACGCCAATCAACTCCATGTATCCACCACGCTGGCCGCACTCACCCACCATGCCCTTTGAAGTCGAGTGCAGCGACGCAAGCTCGACCGAGTCGTACTTGCCCGGGAAATCGCGCTGCAGCTCGCGCAGCATGCGCTTGAATGAGAAAAACTCGCCCTCGTAGATATTTGTCTGGTAGACCTCGTCGGCGATGACCATGAAGCAGTGCTCGGCCGCAAGTGAGATAATGTCCTTAATTTCACTCGCCGTCAGGCAGCTGCCGGTCGGGTTGCACGGGTTGATAACCACGATTGCTTTCAGGTTGACGCCGGAGGCGATCGTCTGCCGGATGACAGAGGCAATGTACGCGGTGTCGGTGCCCCAGCAGGTGGACTCGTCGAGCAGATAAGGCACCGCGGTCGCGTTCTCAATCGTGAGCGAGGCAGAGTAGAGCGGGTACTGCGGCACAGGGATCATGACCGCCGTCTGCGGGCCGTTGCAGATTGTTGTCATCAGCGACGTGACCGCCGACGACGCACCGCCTGCGAGGTAGATGTCGTTCGGGTCGGCCGCAAAGCCGTCGCGCTGGGCGATAAAGTCCGCAATCGACTGCCGGATGTAGGGAACACCTTGGCTCTGCGAGTACGCACCGACCGAGCCAATTTCACGCAGCAAGACGCTCGCACGCTCACGGGCGTCGGCAGGGAATATCGTCGTCGCGGCCTCGGACTCGAGCAGGTCGGGGTACTGCACCAGCGCGAGCACTTGTCTGAAAAAGGTAATCGGTCGCTGGTCCATGGCCTGCGGATTGCCAATGTTCGCGTTGACGACCTCGACGAACGGCAGGTTATGGTTTTGCTCCTTGAGCTTCTCGCGCAGCTCCTCCGCGCGTATCGCGAGCCGGCCACGCACGGCGTAGTCGGCCTTGCGCAGGTGCTGGTTCATGGTCTCGAGCGTAATTGCCTTCCGCGGCTGCGTCGTCTTCGCTGTGCCATTCCGCAGGTGGTGCGTGTTGCTGCTCATTGCTGGTTGCTGTTGCTGCTGCTGCTGTGTAGAGATGACCTCGGTGCTCGAGAACGAGCGGACTGACGGAGGAGGTGGCATGGTTTGTGAATGAAACTGTGTGGAGGAAGCTTGGATGGATTGCCGAGTCCAGGCCGGGGAAAAATTCTTGATCGATCACCAGGGTTTCGGGGTTGAGCACGTGACCATGAATTACTCACTCTATGTCACGGGATCTGGGTCTGCCACTGCTTCTCATTAACATCAAGGATTGTCTAAATACAGAGAATTTTCTTTATTGCTGTAAACTACACTACAGAGCGTTGGCGGCGGCAGCGGGTGGCGGCACCGAAGTCGCGTTGGCAGCAGCAGCACTCTTGCTCGCTCTGCGCTTCCGCAGCCGCTGCTCGGTCTCGATAAAGACCTTGATACCGACATCAACTCCCTTCCACGGGTCGTCGTTCGCCTCCGCCAGACTGGCCGCATCCTCAAGCGTCTCGGCCCCCTCCTTCGGGTTCCGGCCAAAGTCCTCGGGCCACAGATCGAACCTGCCTGTCTGCACGAGCTTCTCCATCGCCTGCTTGCGCTTTTCCTGCCAGTACTCAAAGTCCTCGCGGTAGAGCTCCCACACGCAGTTCACGCAGCCCGACATGCAGCAGTTGTCGGGCTCGACCGGCCGCGGGGGCACTTTCAGTCCGAGAATGTCGCGGTATGTAGACGCTTGCGCTTCGCGGCGCTTCGGGCCTGCTAAACGGGAGCCGAAGACGATGCCTGTGAAGTGCGATAATTGTCAGCTGCCTTGCGTCCAAAAGCTCAGAGTAATATGTAAATTAAAGACATACGTGCGCGCTCTTGTGGCGACAGTTCTCTAGGCTTTGAAACTTGCTCAATATGGGGATCCAGCTTCGCGTCCTGCTTAGCGCTGCTGAGTTCAGGATTCACTTGCTGCTCGGCCTTGCGGGCACGTATCCGCTGCTGCACAATGAGTGCCTGCTGTTGCTTCGCCACTATAAGTAGAGAGTAATTCGGTCAGTCAGTCAGTCTCCAGAACAGCACGGGAAAAGCCAGGCAAACGTACGCTCATAAAACGAGTCTGACAACCATCTCTGACAAGAGTGAAATTCTCTTCTGCTAGACAAGCAGGTCTTGGTAGTCTGCCGTCTTACACTTGACGCAACAGAGGTTGCTCTTCTGACCGACATCTTTGATCTTTTCCTTCTTCTCGCTCAAGTATATAAAAAAGCCCTGATACTTGTCGATATTGCCAACAAAGCCCGAATACCAAAAAGATATAACTCTTCCACACACGCTATGCAAATCCCAGCGCTATAGATGCAGTGACAACGCTCTCAGTCCCGCAAAAGCACAAAATCCTCTGGAATACAGTCCAAACCAAGCTTATCTCCACTCGCACGCCTCCAATTTCTCATCCTCCGCACTCTTCCCGAGCGCCCCTCCGAACCCCGAACCCGCGATCCTCCACCCGAACCGCGGTTCCAAACCAAAAGTCACGTGAGCTTAGTCTCGAACCCGCCGCCAGGGAAGAATCAGCATCGCGGCGGGTGCCTGGGCGTCGACTGCTTCCCCGCTGCGTGGAAAGTGCGTGTGTTGGCAGAGAAGAGATATTCCAGTCGCTCGTTTGGAAGATTTCGTTGCTGTGTGGATTTAGTTGCTGTGCAGAGATCGACAGCGGGACAGGAGGCTCGCGATCTGTCTTTTTTGTAAGCGTACACGATGGCACCTCCAAGGAAAGGCCCGAAGCCATTCGAGAGCGGTCTCAAGCGGATCGACAATAAGCTGCGACAGACCTCGTTTCTGCAGGCAATTGCCATCAACCAGAAGAACTACTACACGTACGCTACTTGCTACCTGCTTTTTTCGCACCCGCCGTGGGAAACACGTCGCGCGCATGTACTGACTGTGATTTTCTTTCTGCAACAGTGAATACCTCAAACGTGATGACCAGGCTATGATTTTACGGCAACTGGCCGAGGATCTAGCAAGAGCCAAAGAGCAACAGAAAGATGCTGATCTGAAGCCGGCCGAGGACGAAATGGACGTCGATGGGAAAGAAGATGAGGAGCCGGAAGAAGAGGTACTCAGTTCAATTATACACCCCCTTATAGACGCCGTTGCTCATTGCTTTTACTACTATTTAGGAAGCGCATGGATCGAAAGTCATTGTGATTCATCTCGGCTCGCGTAACACGCGAATCGGGCTTGCATCAGATACCTTCCCGATCACTATCCCAACAGTAATCGCGCACCGTGTCGAAGAACCAGCAGCAGCAGATGACGAGGTGACATCCCAGTTCCGGCCGCCCACAGACGCAAAGTTCCTTGAGCAAAAGCAGACAATTACTCAGGATTTTAAAGAGCGCATGCGGTTCTACAAACGGCGCGTTGCTAGCAACTCGCACGACTCAGTGCTGTCGTTCAACAAGCGCACTGCACCTGAAGAGATCCCGGATCATAACGATCCGAACCGCATCGACTGGACGATTCCGACCGCGGAAGATAAATACTTTGTTGGCGAGAAAGCACTGAAGATATCTCCCTGGTCGACTCCAAAGTACAAGCTGTACTGGCCCATCAAGCACGGTGTTTTCAACGAAGGCGAATACAAATCCAAACGACAACTGCTCGGCGATATCTCCATCATTCTCGAAAGCGCAATCAAAAACGAGATCGGCATCGCATCCCGCGATCTGCCTTCTTACTCGGCGATTCTCACCATCCCAGATTTGTACGATAAGGTCGAAGTCTCGGAGCTGATCAGCCTGCTCCTGGAAGAACTCCAGTTCAGCAAAGTCAGCGTGATCCAGGAATCCGTCGCCGCCACCTTCGGAGCCGGAATCTCATCCGCCTGCGTGGTCGACATCGGCGCGCAAAAGACCTCGATATCGTGCGTCGACGACGGCATGTGCGTCGTGGATTCTCGAGTCAACATCCCATTTGGCGGAGACGACATCACTCTCGTGCTCGGCAAGCTACTCAAGCTCTCACAGTTCCCGTACCGCGAGCTGAATCTCGTATACCAACATGACTGGGCGCTGATGGAGGAGATCAAATCAAAGTTCGCGACCGCAAATGACGCCGAGATCGCCGTCCAGCTATATAGTTTTTACCAGCGCACTCCGGGACAACCTGCACGGAAATACTCGTTCAAAACTTTTGATGAGGTTATGCTTGCACCTATGGTATGTTTTTTTCTGTCATTTTGTCGGTGTGAGGAAGAGTGTCAAGTGGCTAATATGCAAACAGGCATATTTCTTCCCGGATATATTCGAGAATGAGAATAAGCTGAAAAGCAGACATACCCTGTTCGAGCGATCAACCGATATCTACGATGGCACCTGTAACGATCCTTACGTATGTCTTCTTATTCTACACAAAAGACTGTTTCTCCTTTTCTAACAATATTACAGTCCGAGGCCCAAGTTTCGCTATACACGCAATACACTCCTGAATCAGAAAGCACGCAACTCCTCCAGCAACCCCAGTCCTCATCGGTATCCACCCCGCGCGTCACCTCCAAGTCCGGAAACATAACCCAGATCCAAGAAGAAAGCACGCCGACCTCGTCTGTCGCCGGCACACCCGCCCCCGAGCCCGCACCGTCGTCGACCGCCACTGCCCCGGCTGCTGCATCGGCCACGCTGGCCGCTACCGGAGTCGCCGGCGTCGCGGGAGGCAACGCAGCCACGCGCGCGGCGGCAGGTCCGTCTGCGCAGGCGCTCGCGCTGGCGGTGATGAACACGCAGATTGTGATTTCGGCGCCGCTGGACCACGCGATCATCGAGAGCATTTCGCAGTTCAGCAAAGCGGACGAGGCGCGGGGCCGCAAGATGTATGAAAACATTATAATTGTCGGCGGCGGCGCGTCGAATATTCCGCAATTCAATCGGTTGCTTGAGGATCGCATCGCGATGTGGAAAGGGTGGAGTACCGGCTCGGTGTGGGTTATGCCCACGCCGAGGGAGATGGATCCGATGCTGTTGGCGTGGAAAGGCGCGTCTGTGTTTGTGAAGCTGAAGATTGCAAATGAGGTGTGGATCAGTAGTCGCGACTGGGATTTGTTGGGAAGCAGATGTTTGCAGTACAAGTGTCTGTTTTTGTTCTAGTGTGTGAATTTTGTAGTTGGGATGTATTTTTATGAACAGTCGATAATAATAGATGTTTCACAGCGTGTGTGCTGCTACTCTTCTCGTGATTTGTTAGAATATACAAGACTTGATATATTTCTATAGTTTTGTACAAAAAAGTATATTCAAGCAAGTATTCTGCTACTAAATAAAAAACCATAACAAGATAACCTAGAGATATGCAGATTTATACAACGAGAGACATGAGACGAGAAAAAAAGAAAAAAGGGAAAAAAAGAGAAAGTATAGACAAGAAAGATATTAATGATAAAAAATAGTGATGCTATACCTCAATCTCATTGCTTTTCGTATCGGCGCCCTCCGCACCCGCACTCTCCAACCCATCCTCCTGACCCATGTCGATCCCAGACTGCCTCTTCCACTCATCATCATACTCCCTCAAGATCTTTTCAATCTCCCTCGTCATCTTCCACCCAGGCTGCACGTCATAGTCAAACAAGCCGCGGTTGACCAGGTCGTCGATCGCCCTCTGTCCGAACGGGGACGCGAGGTTTTTCACCTTGCTTAGAAGCAGGTGCACTTCGCGCATCGTGTCCCAGTCGTGCTCGACGAGCGTCTTGCGCAGGGAAAGAGGCTGCTCCAAGTCTTTGGCAAACTCGAATTCCTTGGCTTTCACGAACCGCGAGTTCGATGGCTCCGGGTTGACGTTCACGGCAGCCGGGACGTTGGTTTCGGCTGCGGTGTTGGCGTCGGTGGATAGCGGGTCGGGATACAGGTTTGGCTTGCATGATTCCTGATCATCTTTGAATAGCTCGTCAATATGATCAGGACTCATACCCATACTCTCAAGCGTCAGCAGCGCCCAGTTATACGTGCGCGCATCGCCCGAGAAAAGTGCATACCGCCCCACCCATTCAACAGTGATGAAAGAAGCCCTTGCGCCGTCGAAAATCGACTCGTCGTAGTAATCGGCCGCAATCACCTGATGCTCCAGGCCGTTAGCGCTTTCGTCGACTTCTGCCGGTCTGCTGTCCTCGCGCTTCGGGCGTATGAAACCGGTGTACCGACTTCGGGGTAAAAACAGCGAGGACCGGATGCCCGTGGCTCTCAAGTTCAGCTTCACGGGGTCGTCGTCCTGGTTCAGCAGTCGCGCCATCAGACGGGCATACTGGAGCTGCTTTTCGGCAGAAGAGGTAACCTTGCGCTCTTCCACATCATCCATCGTCACGACGTTGACATCGATCGTATCGCTGAGCAACCGCTGTAGGATCTGTCTCGCCTCCGCCGTGCCGAACTGCCGCGAGATATACATCAGCAAACCGGTGACGTAGTACGCGCCCCGGCGACTGTGTTTCGTGCCCTCGCTCGCGATATCGTACATCCCTTGCTGCAGACCCCGCAGCATCAACGTATCCCACGCAGCCTTGCGGTCCGCATAGGATTCACGCTTCTCGACCATCGCGTGCGCATAGCGAAGACCTTCCTCGGCGATTGTTTGCTCGATCAACACACTGTATTCTATCGGCGTCAAGGGTGTCGAACTTCCCTCAATCATGTCGATCACCGCCCTGCGTCCTTCCGCATCTTTAAGTCTCAGCGCAACGTACAGCAACTCCCGCAGGATCTGGCGCGGCACCGGCCGCGGCACGAGCCGCAGCGTCTGGTTAACTAGCTTCCTGTTCTCTGTGCGTGCGCCGAGATTGAGCAGTACGGCCTGGATAAATGGGTTCCGGACATACCCGCGGTTGAACTGGAGCACGATGTCCTGCGCGCGCTGGAAATATCTGTTTCGCGCCAGTCCGCGCACAAGCTTGGCGGTGACTTCGTGCGGGACCATGTTGATCGACGAGTTTTCGCGGGCAATCATCTGGTTGACCATGTCCGCGGCTGCGAGCATGTTGCCGGCTTTCATATGCCGCGCAATCACTTGCAGGTAGATTGCTGTCGGGACAGAGGTCTTGCGTAGAGTCCACTCCTCTTGCTTTCGAATGTGATCCAAGATCGCGACTGGCCCCGTCAGCGCAGGAACCGAGATCTTGCGTCCGACCCTGATCTTACGACCGTCAGGAAATGGCAGCAGTTCGACAGCTTCAGCATCCTCGTCCATCTTCTCGGTGATCAGCAACGCTTTCTCCAAAAGCGTGATATGCAACGTTCGAGGCAATGCGCCACCATTGTCCATCACTGCGCGCCACAAGCTCACGACGGCCTTGAGTCGCTCGGGAGACGGATCTCGGTCGAGAGAAGCAATCAACTGCTTCAAGATCTCGTCCATCAGATCAGAATTGTGATCAGGTCCGAGGTCACGGCGGGCGACCAGCCTAGGGAGACTTCCAGGCAGCTCGCGAGCTAAGCGCAAGTAAATCAAGGCAGCAGTAAGCTCATGACCGCTATTCAGCGCGAGTTGAACGAGCACGACCGCCAGCAAACGAATGCTCTCTTCCTCCTTTGCATTGACGATCTTCATTATCAATCGGTTCGTGTTTGGTATGGAGAGTTTCCGAGCTGCACTGAGCAGCGCTGATCGCGGCGGAAGCGCCCGCAGCGATTTGGCGACTTCTGTGGGGTTTCGCGTCTTGACAAAAAGCCCGACAAGTGCCTCGAACGCATACTCAGGAACTCCTGGTCTCGCAAACGCCGTGCAAAGGCAATTTATCAGTCTACCCGTAGCCCGTCCGTAATCCCGCACGAGATACTCTTTGATCATATTATACGGCGTCGGATTATCCTGCGCGCGGCGCAGAATCGGCAGGATCCGGCACTCGACCACTTTTGCGGAAGGATATCGCGGGATGGTATCGAGCTCGTGCGAGAGGGCTTCGATGAAGTACGACAGCGACAGATTTGCCGATGGCTTGATGTGATCTGGTGGACTCCACTCTTGTGTGCTTTGCTCTTCGGGAGGGAGGATTGCGCGGTCGTAGGAGAGCTGGGGTTGGAAGATTCCGTCGGTGGGGGCTGCCCACATGAAATTGTGCGCAAATCTGATGTCGCGGATCGGATCTATTTCCTCTTCTTCTTCTGGTTGTGTGAGCTCTGTAGATTCGCTGGCGTCTGTTTCTATATAGTCGAGATCGTCTGTTTCTTCAATATCGAGATCGGATGATGTTTGTGTGAGTGATGGTGATGATGGCGATGAAGTTGAAGATGGGCGCGATATTGATTCACGTGTGTTTGTGCTGTTCTCCTTGCCCGCCTTACTTTCATAAAAGTCCTGCTGCATAAATTCTGACAGTGGAGGAACTACTCGTTTCTCCTCCTGGGCAATTTCCTCCTCCGACTCTGGCTCGCTCGCATCCTTCCGCCGAGTCGGTGTAGTGTGTATATTTCTGAGTGCGTAATTCTGTCGTCGGCGAACCCCCGGCGCTGTCGGAGGACTCTGTCCGTCTTCGAGACTGTAGACTGTACCCCACGACGACGAAAACAAAGACAGACGGGTCCCCCGAGCGAGCGCGGAGTACTGTGAAAATGCAGGATGGCGATGTAGATCCAGCAGATGCCGGCTCAGCTTCCGCGTCGTCGGCCGGCAGGTAGCCGCCCGACGTATTATTGTTATTGAACTTTGCCCTTTCATTTTCTCTGTTCTCTCGTTCTGGTGGCGTGCGGTAAGCGTGTACAGCGCGCTACAGCCTGCACGGGCTGGCGACTGGTGCGTCTCGCGGCGGTAGTCGAAAGTCTGCTCTTCTTCTCGGTGGTTTAATTTGAATTGTCACTGGGGAGCATAATATTGTGTCGGAAAGGGTATGTGAAATAGAGGTCGAGTATTCCCGAGATCTGTTGTGTAGGAGCTCGAGCATATGTATCTGGCAGATGGTTAGTTGACTTCTCCTCCCAGCCATCAATGTCTGCGATGTCTGTCCAACCACAGCCAGCAGCAATCAATGGGACAAGCATACCTTCCAAAGAGCGCGCAGTAATATATTATCCTCTGCACTAAGCAGTCCAACCAAATGTACAAAAAAGAGAAGGACCGAGTCAAGACGACGTGAAGTTATAAATCTCGGTCACCAAGCTGGAAACTCGTCGGGACCGCAATCGCAAGACTGTCTGGCTCACGCGAATAGCATTCCCGCTAAACTAGAAGTATTGCTGAATCAAAATTCTTGTTGTCGCTGTAGCAATGTCCTTTGCAGTAGACAAAGGAGAGCAGAAAGAAAGCCGGTATCGGAGTTTGTACACTGATTTTCGAGAACCAATGTCGAGCTTTCTAAAAAATTGTTAGCAGCTCGACAGTTCGGGAGTTTGAGCAAAGTGGATAGTTTTTAAGGTTTCAGTTTAGTACTACAGCTGTGCGCTGTAGTATGTGTGATATAAACCTTAAGACGGTCTGCAGGTTCAATTAGGTACCAAACCCTTCTAAACAACATGCTCATCTCAAGAGGATTGTCTTCTACGAGAATTATCAGACGCAGGGACCGAACAATTCATTAGGAAAGCGCTGTATATATTGTATAGAATTCACGCCTTTTCTTTTTCTATTTCTTCAGTTTCTCGGTGAGCTCTGGGACGGCCTCGAAGAGATCCGCGACGAGACCGGCGTCTGCGACTTCAAAGATGGGAGCATCGGCATCTACAATGCGTAGTTAGTAAACTGGAAAATAAACAGACTACATAAAAACAAAGGTAGACTTACCCTTGTTGATGGCAACGATGGTCTTGCTGTCCTTCATACCAGCGAGATGCTGGATCGCACCGCTGATTCCGACGGCGACGTAAAGATCAGGAGCGACGACTTTTCCAGTCTGTCCGACCTGCAGCGAGTTATCAGCGAATCCCGAATCGACGGCTGCACGACTGGCGCCGACCGCGGCACCGAGCGCGTCGGCGAGCGGATACATGATCTTGTCAAAGTTCTCTTTGTCCTTCAGTCCACGGCCGCCGGAGACGACCTTCTTTGCGCTTCCGAGGTCAGGGCGCTCGGACACGGTCAGATCCTCAGAGACAAACTCGGTCGACGAAGGCGCGTTCGGGTCGACAGCGCTCTCGATCGGAGCCGCGTTGGATCCGGGTGCGGGCTCGGGAAAGGCAGACGAGCGGACGGTGATGAGCTTTATGGGATCGTTTGACTTGACGGTGAGAATGACGTTGCCGGCGTAGATTGGCCGGACGAAGGTGTCGGCGGATGTGACGTCGATGATGTCGCTGATTTGTTGCGAGTCGAGCAGGGCAGAGGCTCGGGGGAGAACGTTCTTGCCAAAGGCGGATGCGGGAGCAAAGACGTGGGTGTAGCCGCCGGCTTTGACGTTTTCGACTATCAGAGGGGCGTAGTTTTCAGCGAGTGCCTAGGGTAAAGATATTGTTAGCCTAGAGCAGGTCTAGTCGACAATTGCGATGCACAGGATCATTTCCCGGGACGGAATCGAGTCTCGACCACCGAGGACCGATCAGAAGACAAGGCAGCAGAAAAAAGAGAGCAGGATCGGACGTACATGGTCGTAGGCACCGCTCGAAGCAGTAAGCACTTTCTCGACACCATCAAACTTCGCCACTGACTCTGCCGCACTCGCAGCATTAGAGCCCGCGAGCAGGACAGTGAGCGGGCCGCCGACCTTGGCCGCGGCGGAGAGCACGCTGTAGGACGGAGCCGAGGACTCGAGCACGGCGAGGGTCGAGAGCAGACGGGATGAGTGCAGGGAGTAGGTCCTCGCAAGGGACAGCGCTGGGCGGCGCAGTGATCTGGCGAGCGACGGCATTGTGGATATTCTCTCTGTATGAAGAAGCAGCGGGAGTGAGCAGGCAGGGCTTTCACATTCACACTCACGGAAGAAGAGCAGGTGGGGAAGAGCCGACAGCGGGTGATTCCGCGAGCGCACCGGCGGTGATCCAGAACACGCGGTCCGCAAATCACGTGTGTTGTGGCACAACCGCCTAAACACCGCCTCCTCGTGCAGCGGCGCATCGCAAGCCTCCTCGAAAATCCCCTCGTCACCCCTCGACTCTAATTATTTGCTTTGTTTACTTTGAGCACTCGTCGCGTCCTTTCTCCCCCCGCGCCTCTCCTTCTCGAGCAATGGACACCGACCCGAAGCAGCCTACAGATGCCCCTCTGGAGCAGGACCCTGCCTCCGAGCAGCAGTCACCCGCCCCTGCCGCCGCCGGCCAGACGCCCGTGCCGGACCCGCAATCGACGCCCGCCGACACCGGGGCCTCCTCCGCAGCAATGTCGGCCACCTCCTCCGCATCCCAACCGCCAGCACCCGCGGTTCCCACCCCTGAGCCTGCCGCGTCTGCTGCTGCTGCTGCTGAAGATGAGCCGGCCGCTGATTCCACCGCAGAGGCTTCTGCCACACCCGCCCCCGCAGGGGAAGCTGCCCCTGCTGCCACGACAACAGAGACGCCTGCCGAGTCAGCCAGCGCCGATGCGCCAGCGGCCGCAGAGGAGAAAGTAGAGGAAGAAAAAGAACAGCCTGAGCCGGCACCTGCCGAGACATCGATCGACACAGAGATCCCAGATGCGCCTCTTGCCGAGCCAAAACCCGAGCCGGCGACGGAAGAGACGACGACGACAGCAGCAGCGCCCGAGGCCGCGGCGACGGAGAAGCCGGCGGAGGAAGAATCCAGTGCGATGGAGGTTGATGCACCGGAGGAGCAGCCTGCTGAGCCGGTTGCGGCGGTAGCGGAGGCGGAGGCTCCTGCTGCCACGGAAGAAGAATCAAAGCCTACCGTTACAGAGACTGGCACGCCAGCGGATATTGATGACGGGGTGAAGGTCACGACTGAAGACGCGAGCGTGCAGAAGCGAACGCTCGAGGCTGAGGCCAAGTCGTTCCTTGTCGAGCAGACGTACTCGGTCGTGATCCCGTCGTACGCGGCGTGGTTCGACATGAACAAGATCAACGACATTGAGCGCAAAGCGTTGCCCGAGTTTTTCAACAACAGAAATCGATCAAAGACGCCGACCGTGTACCGCGACTACAGAGATTTCATGATCAACACTTATCGGTTGAACCCGACTGAGTATCTGACAGTGACTGCGTGCCGACGTAATTTGGCGGGTGATGTGTGTGCGATTATGCGAGTACACGCGTTTTTGGAGCAGTGGGGATTGATCAATTATCAGGTATGTGCTTTTTCTTTTGCTCTAATATGTGTGAAGCTAACAATCCAATTTCTGTAGATTGATCCAGAGACACGGCCGTCAGTGATTGCGCCGCCGTTCACAGGCCACTTCCGAGTGATTGCCGACACGCCTCGCGGTTTGCAACCGTTCCACCCCGGCCACGGCGCGACGGTGTCAGGAGGACAACCTCATTCGTCTACCGAGCGCGGGATTGCCGCGCCGCCGATCAAGCCGGACCTGAATCTCGAGATCCGCAAGACGTTTTACGAAAGCTCTGCGGCGACGTCGCTGTCTTCGGACACGCCGAACGGCAACACGCGCAAGACGTACAACTGCTTCACGTGCGGGAATGATTGCACGCGGGTGCGGTATCACTCGATGAAGAACAAGCAGTACGATTTGTGCGCAAACTGCTTTCTCGAGAACCGGTTCCCGTCTACGTCGCAAACTTCTGACTTTGTCAAGTTCGAGGACACGGGATACCTTTCAGCGGACCGGGACCGCGAGTGGTCGGACCAGGAGACGCTACTGCTGCTGGAGGCGATGGAGCTGTATGATGACGACTGGAACGCGATTGCGGACCATGTGGGCAGTCGTACGCGGGAGCAGTGCGTGCTGAAGTTTTTGCAGTTGCCGATCGAGGACCCGTATTTGGAGTCGAAGCCGGCGGAGCTGGGACCGCTGCAGTATAACCACATACCGCTGTCGCAGGCGGATAATCCGGTGATGTCGGTTGTGGCGTTTTTGGCGAGTATAGTTGATCCGAAGGTTGCAGCGGCGGCGGCGCAGAGCGCGCTTCCGGAGATGACGAAGGCGATACAGAAGCAGTTGGAGAAGCCTAGCGAGGAGACGAAGGAGGGAACGAATGGGACTGAGAAGACTGCGGAGGCGGAGGATGAGAATGAGAATGAGAAGGAGTCTGCAGGAGGTGCGAAAGAAGAGAGTGAAGAAAAAGAAGGAACGGTGAAGAAAGCGGCGTCGATTGCGCTCGGCGTTGCGGCGGCGCGGTCTCATTTGCTAGCGACGGACGAAGAGCGGGAGATGGCGCGGCTGGTGAACTCGCTGGTGAACATGCAATCGCGCAAGCTCGAGCTGAAGCTGGCCAAGTTCACGGAGCTCGAGCAGGTGCTGGAGGCGGAGAAGCGCGAGATCGAGCAGGCGCGGCAGCAGCTGTACAGCGACCGGCTCGCGTTCCAGAAGGAGATGACGGCGCAGCGGAAGATGCTTGCGGAGCAGGGCGCGGCATTGCAGGCCGCGCAGGCCGCGCTTGCGCAGCAGCAGCATCTTGCGCAGCAGCATCAGCATCAGCCGACGACGGTAGCGGGGGGCGGCGATGTTGTGGATGGCGGGGCGTCGTTTTCCGACAGTCTTTTCAGCGCGCAGGTTCCGGATCCGGATGCGATGGAGATTGGATTATAGGGGGTGTAAGGAGGAGTAATGTATTGATAAGCAGAGGAGAGTGTTTTGTTGTGTTTTAGTTACAAGTATGTGCTTTATATGTTTTTAGTTGTGTGTAAAATACAATGTTTGTAAGTGCTTAGATAAGAGGCGTTACATAAGAAATTAATAAAAACGCGAGAAATTGAATAAGGTTTAATGGCAAGTCGCGTCGTATTTCCGCATTTGGGAGGAAGGTAGGTAGAGGAGGACGCGCGAGGGAGGAAGGAGGAGGGGGAGGGAGGGGGACGCGTTTGAGGGCGGAGGAGGGAGAGAGAGGAGGTAATTGAGTTGATGAGGTGGTATTTGAGAGGAGAGGAGGGAGGAGGAGGAGGAGGAGGAAGGATTGATAGGGAAGAAGGAAGAGGGCGCGGGAGGAGAGGGTTTAGTTTAGGTTTGTTGGTAAGGCGCGAGCCCCTGCACAAGTGAGTAAACGCCGGAAGGTGTGGATGGTGAAGGTGGAGAGGAGAGAGGGAGAGAGGTGAAGAGATGAAAAGAGGAGAAGGGTGGATATGTTGAGTGTGATTATAGAGGGAAGAGGAGGGATTGAGTGGAATGGAGGAGGAAGGTTGGTGGGGAGGTCACGTCACGGAGTATGAGTTTATTAGGTACGTGGCTGTGAAGTGGTGGAGTGGAGGAGTGAAGTTAAGTAGAGTAGAGTGGATTAGAGTGGAGTAGAGTAGAGTAGAGTGGAGTGGAGGTGGTGATATGGACAAGAAGAGAAGAGAAGAGCAGAACAGAAGAGGAAGAGAGAAGAGAACAGAGGTGACAGTAAATACACCGCATTAACAAAGTAAACCAGTAACAACGGCAATCAACAAGTGATAATCTAAAGAGGCAGCCGAGGTGGTTTTGCTGGTTTTTAGTGCACGCGGAGATCTGCAGAGCTTCCTTGGCTGCACGGCAATGGTCACATCAGCGGATGTTAGTTAGTAGAGAAGGAAGAGAGGAGAGAGTAGAGAAGAAGACAGATAGAAGCAGAATAGATACAGCAATAAGATACATCTACATTTCCTATTAATCATACACTAATAATAACAACAACACTCTACGGCTCTCGCGGATGGAGACAGGTCACATTCACCTCAAGCCTGTTGTTTCCAGCTGCTTAAAAGGCTTGAGGGTCAAGGGCAGGGCAGAGGGCCAAAAGAGGCAGCGTAATTGATCACGTAACGCGTCCGCTCTTCTGTGTTCTTCAGTGCTGGTGCTGTTCCTTCTTTGTTGTTTGTTGTTTGTTGTTTGTTGTTGTTGCTATTGTTATTGTTATTGTTATTGTTTATTATAAGCATGCTTATATGTATGTGCAGCCAGAACACGCATGGTGATTAAAGCGGAAGCAGCAGGATGCAGTGCAGGCAGGTGCAGGCCGCGGGATTAGAGCTGGCTGTATCGGGTGCGTGTGATCGGACCTCGACGGACGAGAGGAGGAAGGCGAGGCCGTTCTTATTCTTGTTCTTCTTCTAGTATTTTGTTTCTTCTTATTCTTCTTATTCTGTTTGATCTTGTGTTGTCTTAGCATTTGTATTTGTATTAGTATCTATTGTCTGTATAATCATACATCAGACACGTAGCATCCTTAACCAACCACTAACTATGCAACTATCTCCACCCAGCCATCACCACACTACTGACTAACAGACACTCACTAATAACTAAAACAAAAGTGCTCAGTCCGCCAGCTACTTCCTACAGCTTGATGACTGATGACTATGCTGGTTACTCACACCTGCAACTGGGGCTTGTGAGCGTGAGCAGTGTGAGCCGGACTCCCAACTTTGCTTTCTGTCGTCCGCCTTTTTGCTTCTTCTCTGCCTTCGACCTCTGCCTGCTTCCTGCTCTTTCCTCACCTCCTCCTTCTCTCTTCCTTCTACTCCTCTTCTCTCCTCTGCTCCTCTTCACTGCCTCCATCTCCCTCTCCTCTCTTCTTCTCCCCCAAGCGGGTCCTTTGTACACTAGTCCGGTAGGTCCCATCATCCTCCCTCCTCCTCCTCTCCCTCTCCCTCTCCCTCTCCCTCCGCCCCTCCGCCTCTCCACCCCCGGCTCCCTCACCCCCCATCCCCCTCCTGCTCTCAATCATCTCCTTCTTCTCTCCTTCCATCTCCCTCACCCGCCCTCTTTCCCGCTTCTTCCCCCCTCCCCCCTCGTCCGCCAATCCCCCCTCTAATCAGCATTCCGCACTACTCACACTCACACTCACTCACTCACTCACTCACTCACTCTCCGCCTTCGCCGATTCTCCTCCTCCACCACCTCTCCTGCCTCTCCCGCTCCCTTCACTAACTCCCCCTCTAGTCCACCGGTTGATGGCTTTTTCTGCCCACTCTACCTCGAATCTGCTGTCTTCTACCCCTTCAAGACTCTCGCAGTCCTCTCCCGCCCCTCCCTCCTCGCTCTCGTTCAGCGCCTCCTCATCATCGCCTCCCCTACCACCCTCCCCCTCCTCCTCCTCCTCCTCAATCCCGCCCTCCCGCAGCCCGCTCGCTGCAGCCGCCCCCGTCCCTTCCTCTTCCTCCTCCCATCAGCTGCGCTTCTCGCACACCCGCGGGCCTTCCTCCTCCTCCGCAATCCTTCCGTCCCCCTCTTCCGCCTCCTCGAGCCCTTTCCTGCGCTCCTCCGAGTCCTCCGCCAGCAGACTCGCGTCCTCGCCTTCGTCTCTCGCCGCTCTCGCAGCCCTCTCGGCTCCTTCCTCCTCCTCTTCCCCGCCCTTGCCAACACTCTCCGCCGCGCCTTCCGCTGCCATCCTCTCCCGCCCGGCTTCCACCCTCATGGCCGATTCAACCCTCGCAAAGTCGCAGCTCGGCATTTATGACGGCGCCGTATGTTCCCCTATCGTCCTGCTCTTTTAACGTCATTGATTTACTTTTGCTTTAATGATTTGTCTATCTTTATTTGTGTTTTATTTGCTTGTGTTGTTGTTCTCCATTCTTCTGCATTCCTCCTCTGTCTTTCGTTGTTCTCTCTCTGGAATTTCCTCCGCTGCATGGCCGCAGTAATGCACTAGTCAGCACAGGTGACGCCGCCTCTCGGCTACGTCCTTCCACCCATTCTCCTAATTACCCTTTGTCTTTCTTCTTCATATTTTTTCTTTCTCTTTTTGTTCTTGTTATTTTCTTTTCTTTTTCTTTTATTCACTTCATAACTCCTCATGACCCTCGCTAACTCCCTATAGCTCGAACAAAAGCGCCAAGAGCACGAACTCATGCGTCTAGAGCACATCCGTCGCTTCGAGCACGAAATGCATCTCCTTGCCGAGCAACAACGCAAAGACGAGCAAATGCTCCTCCAGATGGCCGCCGTCAGTTCCGCTGAGCAAGACACCACCAACGGCGCAAACACCGCCACCACAATCTCAGAGCCAAACACCCCGCCGGACTTTCGCGACGCAATCCCCACCCCGGGCGCAACCTCCATGCCCGGCGACAGAATACGCTCAAACACAGTCCCCGTCGGCGTCTTTGTGACTCCCAACGGACCATCCCGTCTCTCCGGCCAGCAGCTCATGACGCCACCCGACGACGTCCTGCCTCGGACGCGCACGCTCACTTCGACTTCCATCGGCCCCTCGCGCCGGCTCTCCAACGATGATCCGATGATGTACTCTGCGCAGCTCTCGCAGGCCGACGTCGACTCGGCTTCCTTCGGTCTCGGCCAGATTAATACGGCAAAGTTCCTCTTTGGCGACGACTCCTCGTCCTCGCCCTCCGTCTCGGTCGCTTCCTCTTCCGCCGGCCTTAACGCGCTCAAGTTCAACACCACCGACGACAAGTTCCCGATCTTGATCCGCCGCGAGAGCCTCAACCAGCAGCCGCAGCAGCAGCCGCAGCAGTCTCCGCTACAGTCCATGCAGCCCACGCAATCGCACCGCCAGACTGCCCATCATCAACTGCCGCAGCAGCACCAGCACGCACACCCTGCCGCCGCCAACCAGCAGTGGTCGTTCTCGAACCGCAACCGCGGCGCGCATCACCAGAGCCTGTCGGGAATCCAGTACGATCCCTCGGCTGACAAGCCCGACGATGTCTGGGCCAAGCAGCGCTACAGCGAGTCTTCCTCGCACTCCCGGCAGCCGTCGCAGCGCTCGCTCTCGGACTACGAGCGACGCGAGCCTGCGTTCCCTCAGTCCATCAGCCCGCTGCCGACTGCCTTTGGCGGTCAGAGCGCTCAGGCCGGTGGGGCGCTTGAGCAGCACCCCTCGGGACCCGCAGCGTCATCCTACACCTATGGCGCGCCGCCGATGAACCACCACCAGCCGCCGGTGTTCCACCCGCAGCAGCAGCAGCACGGCTTCTCTTACCCTCCCCACCCGCCTCATCTTTACGGCAACGCCCACGCGCTCGAGAACATGTACCCGAGCGGTCCGTCGCCTGTGCACGGCCAGCACCACTCGCAGTCCCGCTCTGGTCCCGGCCGGGTCGTGCCTCCGCCGCCGTCGCAGCAGCAGCCACCGCATCACCAGCAGCCGCCGCTTCCTCACCAACCGCACCCGCAGCACGGCCAGCACCACATGATGCACCGCGCGCAGTCGTCGTCCGTGAGCCTGCCGAACGCGGCGGCGGTGTCGGCTGTCGCGGCCGGAAACCGTCGCCAGAGCGACCAGGACGTGAACCGGTTCGCGAACGTGATGCTCGAGAGCTTGGTGAATGAGATTTACTCGCTGTGTAAGGATCAGCATGGGTGCCGGTACTTGCAGAAGAAGCTCGAGGAGCGGAACCCGACTTATTTGAATATGATCTTCAACGAGACTTATCCTCATGTTGTTGAGTTGATGATTGGTGAGTCTTACCTCTGGTTCTATATTGAGACTATGCTAACACAAACTAGACCCGTTTGGCAACTATCTCTGCCAGAAGCTGCTGGAGCACGCTAATGACGAGCAGCGCACTGTCTTGGTTGAGACTGCAGCGCCGCAGCTCGTCAAGATTGCGCTCAACCAGCACGGCACTCGTGCGCTTCAGAAGATGATTGAGCACGTTTCCACTCCTGAGCAGGTGCGTGAATTTACTAGTGACTGAACTGAAGACAGCATCGTACTAACACAGTTTTAGGTCCGCTTGATTGTGAATGCTCTGAAGACGAATGTGGTTGAGCTGATTCAGGATTTGAACGGCAACCATGTGATTCAAAAGTGCTTGAACCGTTTGTCGACCGAGGACGCGCAGTTCATTTTTGACGCTGTTTCCGAGAACTGCGTAGCGGTCGGCACCCACCGCCACGGCTGCTGCGTGCTACAGCGCTGCATCGACCACGCGTCCGAGGCGCAGAAGAAGCAGCTCGTGAACGAGATCACGGTGAACGCGTTCACGCTCGTGCAGGACCCGTTTGGCAACTACGTGACGCAGTACGTGCTCGATCTATGCGACTCGACGTACTCGGACCCGCTGATCCGCCGGTTCGCGGGCAACGTGTGCACGCTCTCGGCGCAAAAGTTCAGTTCGAACGTGATTGAGAAGTGCATCCGTATCGCGGAGCCGTCGACGCGCAAGATTCTGATCGAGGAGCTGCTGTCGTCGGTGTTTCTCGAGAAACTGCTGCGGGATTCGTATGCAAACTATGTGATTCAGACGGCGCTGGATTATGCGGATGCGCCGACGCGCGTCGCGCTCGTGGACGTCATCAGGCCGATTTTGCCGTCGATCAGGAATACGCCTTATGGACGACGGATCCAGTCCAAGATCGTGGGATCGGCGGGAAATTCGGCGGCTCCTAGCTCGGCGAACTCGCCGCAGCAGACGTATCAGCAGGCCGGGTTCCGCAGCAGCACTGCGACTCCGCAGCAGTCCTCGCAGCCGCAGCAAGAGCAGCAGCAGCAGCAGTCTCAAAGAGGATCCTCCAGCGGCTCGGCGGCGAACGCCAACACCCTCGCGCGACGCATGCAGGGCCTTGATCTCCAAGACGAGTATGAGTATTCGCAGAGCGCGAGCAGCGGCGGCCACACGCGCCAGCAGACGCACCCGACGCACGGCTCGCCCTCGATGCCAATGAGCGGATTACACGAGAGGCAGTATAGCACGGGCGCGCAGTTTGGGCGGAGCGCTGCTGCGTCGTCGTTTGGCGGGAGCGAGTTTGCGGGGTACGCTCCGCAAATGTAAACACATCTCCATAAGAGGAGATAAGTTTTCTACATACATATCATTATCAGGTCGGGTTTCATACTTGTCACACTCTCTTTGTCATTTTCTCATTCTCATTCTCTCTTTTCTATCTTTGTATATTCAAACAGATGTCTCTTTTGACTTGACGTTTCGTGATATATACAAAGTTATTGTGCATTACACTGTATATTGTTGCCATATTATCAATCTCCTTCTTTTCTGCTTCCATGTGTTTTTATCTCTGTTTTATCATTTCCGCAAATTGTTAACATTACTTATTTATTTTCTATATTATTATATTGCTCTTTTACGATCTATTTGTCAATAGTTCTTCTTCTTGTACTTTTTTGTGTTGTTTGAGTTGTTGTTTCACGACATTCCGTTCCTTTATCTCCTGTGTGCGAAGAAAACACAAAGCAAAAGACCGAAAAAAACAAAAACAAAACAAACAAAACAAATCCTTGTTCTGGTCTTTTGTTTGATTACGACATTTCCTTTTTTCTCTTGTTTCAGTATCTTTGCATATTAGTATATCTTCTTAATCAAATCTATATACTCAACTAGTCTCTTCATATACACAACATATCTCCACACCCACCCACTAATTAGCCCAAAACCTACCCTTTTCACTTTCAGACTAATATAAATTTTGCAGCTCGTCACTATATAAGGTTTATCTTTCAGGAGGTAAGCGTTTATTTGACGTCATTGTGTGCCGCGTTTGTTGCGGCTCAGGGGTAGGGCTGGGTGGGTGGTGTGGTTGGTGGATGTGAGAGAGAGGGGTGGGTGGGTGTGAGAGAGAGAGGGGGTAGGGAGGGAGAGGGAGAGGTGGATGGGGGTGGGGGTGTTGGAGTGGGAGGCAGATTGTGAGGAGGGGTGGTATGCGGAGGGTGAGATGGGAGGAAAGGAGGTTGGCTAACGTGGAGAGGAAGTGAGGGAGGGGAGGGAGGGAGGTCTGTGCAGGTGGGCTGTGCTGTGTTTGAGGTGAGATGCGAGGAGGGGCGGGTGAGGGAAGAGAGAGCGAAAATAAGAGAAGAGAGAGAGAGAGAGCGAGCAATAATTTTGACTGTGAAGAAAATGATGATAAAGAAAGCGATTGACTGACTGAACCGAGATAAAGAAAGCGATTGACTGACTGAACCGATGAGCGGAGGGAATCTGCTTATGATGATCCTACTACGCAGGATAATGCAGTTTCGCGCACGCGCACTCTGTACATTCTCTAATTTTCAAGATAAAAAAGTGAAACAGCGTTTTGAAAAAGAGTGGCCGTTGACACAAGTTAAATCCGTCGTTGACAAGACTCTTGTTCAGGATCAGATATCCACCGACTCGGAGCTAAGGTTGAGATCGAGGGGAATGGTACTTTCGTTCCTTCTCGTTGTGTTTGTAAATAAATCCTAGCTCGTCCTCTTCTCTTTCTAATAGTAATCAAGTATTTTTTTTAACCGCAAGAAAAAAGACGACGAGGAAAGCACAAAGAAGATTCCCAGGCGTTGATTATCTGTGTACATGCTAATCAACACCAAGCCAGGATATGTCACCCGTCGTCAAAATATGTTCGTATATAAGCGAGTCTGCTTTCTCAGATTTTTGTGCTGTATTTTCTTGATTTTGTCTGGGGTTGGAGGATTTTTTGTGTTGTGCGTTGCGTGCTGTGGTTGGGATCTGGAGGGAGTTGGTTGTTTGTTTTGCATACCCGCCGCCTATCATCATATCATCATCACCACCACAAATTGAATACAAAGAACACTCTTCCTCTTCCTTTTGATACTCTACCTCAACATCTTACTCCAACATCCACTTCAACAACTAACTCTCACACCAGCGCACGCGATCAACATCATTGCGCGGCAAATAACGACATCACCCTCAGCCTCACACGTCATCACCACCCCCATCATCCGCCTTCCCTCCCAAACAAGTCCCGCACTGCCCATCCCCGTCTACAACTCTCCTCTGCGCTGTGAATCTGTGAATTACGTGAATCGCACTCTGCTACCTGCTTGAGAAAAGAAAGAGAAAGAAAGACGCGCTGATCTCGGCCGCCGATCTGCTCGCTCTTTTGCCGCTTCTTACTTTTCTTACCTTAACGAATTCTTTTCTTGTTCCGCGACTTATTTTTTAATCTAACTATTTGTTCTTTCTCGGAGGGATATTTGGGGTTCGTTGCCGGTCGGAGATAGTACCGAAATTGAAAAGCCAATTACTTTTCTTGTTCTGATGCTGTTTTGATTTCCACACTGAAACAACCTCAGGCAAAGCTCTCGCACCGACGCATTTTTCTTCCTACATCGTCAGTCTCATGTGGCCTTGAAACAGTGTCTCGTTACTTTAAACACATTTACACATCTATCAAAAAGAAAAGACAGAATCAAACAAAATCCAAAACAGCATGCGTGCGTGCGTGTGCACTTATGCCAACCGACGATCTCTCTCCTTCTCCGGAGAAAAGTCAATTCCTCTTCCCATTTTTTATTTATATTTATTTTAATCATTATTAAAATATCAGTGGCAATTGTGATATCTACGCAGGTTTGATCAAGACCGAGACTCAGGTTTTGATTTTTCTAGACACTAGCTATATCGAATCATACACCAAATAGAATAAAAAAATGTTGTACAGTATACGACACCAGATGCGACATCTGTTCAAACCACACAACACGTAGAAGAAGAAGAGGAAAATGTTTGAGCTACTTTAATTCAATAAAGAGTAGTCAAGATCGCTATTTACAACTCGTATCCGACCATGACGGCGACAAGCGTGCCGACGAGGGCGAGGTAGCCGTTGAGCGCCGATTTTCCGGAGAGCGCGTTGGCGGCCGACGACGACGACGAGGAAGACGAAGAGGACGACGACGACGACGAGGCGGACGATCCGCCGCCGGTGGTCGAGGTCGCGAGGGTGGAGCTGGCGCTGCCGCTGCCGCTGCCGGACTCTGCGGCCGAGGACGAGGAGCCGGACTCGGAGGCACCGGCGGCAGAGGACGAGCCAGATTCGGCGGCAGAAGAGACAGCAGAGGACGAGCCAGATTCGGCGGCGGCGGAGGACGAGCCGGACTCGGACTCAGCGGCAGAGGAGGACTCTGAGTCGTCAGCGGAGGCGCTGGCGGAGGAAGAGGAGTCGCCGGTGACGGAGGCGACGGCGCTGCCTACTGCGGAGGTGGCGCCGCCGAGGGCGGAGGTCGCGTCAGAGAGGATCTGAGCGGAGGCCATGAAGGCGAAGGCGAAGAGGGCAAAGAAGAGAATGAAACGCATGGTGGATGTGTAGAACGAGAGTGTATGAGAGGAGGGGGATGATATCACAGTCTACTGGGGATGGAGGGATGTACAGAGGTGGCGCATGGCTGTGTCTTTATAGAGCACACGGGCGAGCGATCTACAGTCGAATTGACCCGCAAGACCACCCGATGACGCTCGAGGAGGGATAAGAAAAGAAAGTCAGGGCGCGCGTAATATCACGCAAAAGACAGGAAAAAGGAAGTGGCCCGACCCTGGTCTTAACCCAAGAGAGAAGGAAACCGACCAGAAGCGGTGATCAGAGGAGTGATTAAGGTTGGCGGGACAGCTATACTGGGAACCCATATGGCGGCAGTGCTTGACGAAAGAAGAATTGAGTTGTGACGGGATCTGCGGGAGCGATGATGTTCTTTGTGCTGTGAAGAAGACGGTAATAATAGAAACGCGGTGGTGACTCGAGGGAATAAGCTGTGCTGATCACATCCAAACCCACGGCATCCCGCGCCGTCTGCTCTTGTTCCGCCTCGGAGAAAAGTACTCTGACGCAATTGTTATCAAATATATCAAATATATGCGATAATCACTGTCCTTCCTTTTCGAACCTTGAACCTTGAACCCGCCCCCGAGCAGGCTGTCGATGAACTCTTGAGAAGAGCCATATATAATCTGCCTCCTGGTGATGAGCACCGGACAGCTATGACGCAATCTTATTGTGGTGCTTACAGTGTGAGGGGGTTGTGGCTATTTATGCGACATTAAAGACAATAAGTTGTTTCAAGATGGAGATGAGTGGATGTGGAGGAGGAGTGAGTAGATGTGATAATAGTGCGTAGTATAAAATAAGAGAAGAGCAGTAGTAATAGTAGTAGTAGTAGTAGTAGCAGAGTAGAGTAATAGAGAGTAAAGAGTAGAGAATAGCATCTCACCCTCGACTACAATAAACATCCCGAACAATGGCCACGAGCAGCAGCCGAGCAGCAGCCGAGCAGCAGCCTCGTGGTTTTCTTCACTACTTCACTATCTTCACTACTCTCTATCCTCTCTCATCTACTCTTCACTACTATCATCCTCACCAACCACTGCTCTCATCATTATCCCCCAGCCGATCTCATGCAAGATCCAAATCGAGGGCTAGGGCTCTCGCCTACCTGGCAGCTCCGCTCGCTGCTTCCCCGCCGTCCTCGCATCCAAACCACAGACCCGCATCGCGAACCAGAAGAACAACAAACCCCCCCAAAGCACAGCCACCGCTCCTCTTTGGCTGGTCCCGCGCGGCCCTCCATTGCTTCTCCTTCTCTGTCGTCGAAATGGTGCGTCTGCTAAACGTCTACTCCATCTCGGCCTTCGCCGCGCTCGGCGGCGCCCTCTTTGGCTTTGATATCTCGTCCATGTCGGGCGTCCTCGGCACTGATCAGTATAAAGACTACTTCGGCAACCCGCTCGGTACGCGCCAGGGTGGCATCACCTCTGCCATGGCGGGCGGCTCTTTGCTCGGCGCTCTTTCGTCCTCCTATCTCGGCGACAGGTTCGTTTCTACTTTATCTTTAAGCTTATGCATCCGGGGTAGAAAATTTTATAAACATCTACTGACCTCTGTATCCGCAGGTTCTCGCGAAAGATTTCGATCCAGATAGGTGCCGTGCTGTGGATAATAGGCTCAATGTAAGTCTTCTTTTCTTTTTCTTTCCTTTAATGCTACTGCTGACGTCGACAAACCCAGAATCCAAGCCTGCTCGCAAAACGTCGCCATGCTCATCGTCGGCCGCGTAGTCTCCGGTCTCTGCGTCGGCCTCACCTCCTCCGTCGTACCCATCTACCAATCCGAAATTGCGCCCCGCAAGATCCGCGGCCGCGTGGTTTCCCTGCAACAGTTTGCCGTCACCTGGGGAATCCTCATCCAGTACTTTATCCAGTACGGCTTCTCCTTCGTCGGCTCGCAGGCTTCTTTCCGCGCGCCCTGGGCGATCCAGATCTTCCCCGCCGTCATCTTATTCATCGGCCTGATGTGGTTCCCCAAATCGCCTCGCTGGCTAGCGGGTAAAGACCGGTGGGACGAAGCGCTCAATGTCCTTGCCTTTCTGCGCACGCCCGACGGCGACATCAACCACCCGCTCGTGCTGGCAGAGTACAAAGAGATCGAGGACCAGATCCGGTTCGAGCGCGAGGAAGAGTCGAGCAGCTACCGCGAGCTGTTTAGCAAACGCATGCGCAAACGCGCCATCCTCGGCTGCTCGATCCAGATGTGGTCGCAGCTGTGCGGAATCAACGTCATGATGTACTACATCGTCTACATCCTCGAATCCGCCGGCGTCACAAACACTCTCCTCGCCTCCTCGATCCAGTACGTGATCAACATGGTCATGACCATCCCCTCCATCCTCTGGACCGACCGCTGGGGCCGCCGCCCGACCCTCCTCCTCGGCGCCTTCTCCATGGCGGTCTGGCTCTTCATCATCGGCGGCCTGCTCTACCACTTTGGCTCCGTCAACCCGCACGCAGACGAATCCTCCTACACCTGGTACGTCATCGGCCACAAATCCGCCACCCGCGCAATCCAAGCCTGCGCATACCTCACCGTCGCCTCCTTCGCCATCTCCTGGGGCCCGATCTCGTGGATGTACCCGCCCGAGATCATGCCGCTCCGCATCCGCGCAAAGGCCGTCTCGCTCTCCAGCGCGGCCAACTGGGCCACAAACTTCGCCCTCGGCCTCGCCGTCCCGCCCGTGCTGCGCGCAATCAAATGGCGCATGTTTTTCATCTTTGCCGCGTTCAACCTCGCAGCGCTCATCCACGTCTGGCTCTTTGCGCCCGAGACTAAACAGCGCACGTTGGAGGAAATGGACGAGGTTTTCGAGCACGGCGATCCGCTATGGAAATCATTCACGGGCGTAAAAGCAAACACCCGTCTCGAAGGCATCGCGCACGCCATCGAGCTGGGGAATCTGAAAATGCACAAGGAGGTTAATGTCGAGATGTATGATGATTTCGAAGGAAGCGGCACGAGCTCCACATAGCTCGTCTGATGTTGTAGGATCAGGTTGTTTCTTTCTTTCTTGTTTTTGGGATCAGTGTTTTTTTGTAATTTTTCATTTCGGCGTTCTCGGAATTGGTCTGTTTTTATTCTCTTTTCTAATTGTAATCTCATCTAATTTTTGTATACTATCGGTTCTAATCTATACCACTTATTTATCAGCCACTTTATATAAAACTGCCGCTGCGATATTTAAACACACATCCAAACACTCTATTTACAAACTACTGCACTAAACAACTCATGCAAAAAACTTGCCATACACCCGCCAAATCCGCCCAATCGTATCCCGCTGCCGTTTAACCCCAAGCTTGATATCCTCCAAATCGCCCAAATCGCGGATCCAATCCGCCCGCAACCCCGCCGGCAGGATCCCAGCGCTGTTGCGAAGCATGTGAACCTCGCACAGCAGCAAGCCCTGATCCATGAACGTCAGCCATGCGCTTTCGAGACCCGCGCCGCTGCCGCCTGCGTCTCCACCGCGACCGTCTCTCCCGCCACGACCGCCGCGGACACTACCGCCGACGCCGGGACCTGCTCCACCTGCTCCTCCGCCGCGGGAGTACGAGGCAGAGCTAACTGTCAGCATGCGCTCGACATTCCCCAACGTACGCGCGACGGCCGCCCGTTGCTCGCTGCGGCTTTTCACGCCTTTGCCGGTGTACACTCGCGCCGCCCACTTTGTGATGAACCACGAGATGACCGAGCTCGGCAGCGCGGCGATGAAGCCAAAGACTAGTTCCTGCGACTTGAGAAGTCGGTCAATGCCTGTGATTGCGACCTCGACGTCGACCTTTGTCTTTTGCATCTGAATCAGCAGCGTGCGGATCAATTCGCCTCGGACCGCGTTCTTGATCGGCGACTTCAACTCCTGCTCATACACCCTCAAAACAGTCGACAAATCACCCTCCCGAACACCATCCTTAATCCCACTAATCTCCGCCGCCGTCACAACCGCCCCGCTACCGCCTCCCGTGTCGACCGCGAAATCGACAACCATCCGCTCAAGCGACTCCATATCGGCCTGCAAACTCTTCCGGCTCACGATCGCGACCTGCGCCGCGTCGTCGTGGCGGATCGTGGAGATTATGTTCTTCACCGGCTCGACGATCCAGTTATACCAGAAATCCATCGTCGTCGCCGCCGCGTCCTGCGCCCACTGCGCGATACTCGCGCGGCGGTTGAATAGGATCCTGAGCGCGGTGCCGCCGAAAGTCACGCTCGCGAGACAGACGGGCCAGTACCGGATCCAAAACTTGGGCTTGCCTGCCTCCTTCAGCGCCTCGCGTTGCGCAACCGCCTGCACGGGCAGAAACTCGTCTGCGATCCGAATCATGCGCTCGGCCATCAGATACGGCGGACGCCGCGGCCGCGCCCGGTCGACTGCTGAAAACACATTCGACTCAAATCCATAATCGCCATCCCCCTCGCCGTCCTCGTCAGCGGTCGTGGTGATAATATTCCGCACCACAGACTCCATCACGTCGACCGCGCGCTCGACCCCGCGGCGCCAGTCCGTATCCACCGAAAGCGTGATCGACTCGCCGACCAAGATGCCGAGTGCGGCAGACTGGATGTTGCGCAGCTGGCGCAGCTTTTGCTGCTTTGTCTGCACTTCCTTGTACACGGTCGACAGCGGCGACATTGCGAGTTTGAAGACCGAGCCTGCGTAGGGAGCGACGCGGGTCAGCGCGCGCAGGTTGCGCGAGAGGCGGCGGCGGCGCGCGAAGGAGGTTTGGAGGGTGCTGATCCAGTCTGAGAGGGAGGTCGTGGCGGAGCTTCTGTGAAGTCGGTTGCGGGCATCGTAGTAGATTTCTTTTGACGCAGAGAAGATCGTGATGGGTGCATCTGCGACAGTTAGTCAAGGTAATAATCGATAGTTCAACAAAGTAGAGGACATACGTTGGATAGAGTAGGTCAGTAATCCACCCGTTTCAGTCAAGACCGAGTCCCAGTAGTAAATATCCTCGGCCAAAGGCAACGTCTGGTTCAGAAACTGCTCAAGCATATGTCCATACAGAATAATCGACCCCGCCGCAACCACGAACCACTCGACCTGTTTCGTGCCATCCGTCACCGAATCCTCAAATCCCTCCCACACCTCCTCATCCTCCTCCTCCTCGTCATCCTCCTCCCCATAAGTCTTCACCCGATCCAACCCCGCCCCTTCCTTTCTCAGCGCCATATACCGCGCCCTGTCCGGCGAATGCTCCAAATACCTCGCCAGCGCCGCTTTCAAGCTCGACACCGACGCCGGCGATCCCCCGGGCCTGATCAGCAACTGATTCAGCACCTCGATCAGCGGCTCCGTGACCTGAAGCGACTGCTTGAGCTCCTCCTCGTCTGCCTGCTGCGCCGCTGTCGACGAGGAGGACGGCGTCGAAGAGCCGGATCGGGGGATCTGCGCGCGCGGGGCGAGGAGGGTGGGGAGCGTGGTCGAGGCTAGCAGTTCGAGCTGCGAGGAGAGCGTGCGGACTTTGTCGTCGACGATCGTGCTCATTGCCTCTTAGTTCTGGGGTGGTCCATAAACTGCGTCTGGCGGATCTATAAAATGCTGCTCTATCGAGTGGGTGAGGTAGAAGATGGAAATGGTTCAAGAAGTGGAGTTTCTCCTAAAGCTGAAGTTAGGAGTAGAGGCATTACGTCATCCGCTGTGGAACACTTACTCTAATCAGCAACTATAACAATCATCTATTCTTACACTAACAAACTAAACCAACAATACCAAAGAAATGACAAATACTCCAGAAAATCATGAATAATGCACAATGATACAGTAATACAGTATTACAAAAAAGAGACGACTACCGCTGATATCGCTGCTTCAATTCCTTCATCAACGGCTTCTCAAACCACTCGTGCACATCATCGATAGTCACGCTGCCTTTCAAAACCGCAGTCGTAGGAATCACCGGCACAGTCGCGTTCCGCCGCTTAAACTGCACCCAAAACTCGTCGCGCGAGGAAGATAATCCTTCTCCTCCTCCACCACCGCCGCCGACGACCACCGCGCACGCAGCGTCGATATCAGCACGTCTGATCTCGCGCGTCGGTCGGAAAAACGACTTATCCGACACGCGGATGCGGCACTCGGTGATTGGGATCGCGGCGGCGATTATTCTGCGCGTGAGCTGCCGCGCGAGACTTTCGAGGACTTCGATTGTCGAGTGCTGGATCGAGAGCTTGTCTGTCTTTTGCTCGACTGACGAGGGGAGATCGTCTTGGTTGTAGTATAGTCTGCGACATTCATATTAGCAAACTAGAAAAAAGATAGAAAGGTCTAGATTGATGGTGGGGGTACATACCGCTTTGATAGCTCGTAGAATTTCTCGACCGAGAGTAGTCTGAACGTAGGCGAGAACAGATCCGCAACCGCATCAAACTCCTTGTCGCCCAGATTCTCGGTTTTGTGCCGATCAAGTAATCCGACACAGTACTCATCCACTCGTCCCGCTATCTTCATGATCTCCACAGGCACCTCTCTCGCGCGCATCAAAGGCTCAAGAAGCGTTCTCTCCTCCGGCCCAAGACCGAGCACATCAGCACCCCGCACGCGCTGTAATCGAACCCACGCCTTCCGATCCCGATCCCTCTCCAACCTCTCGCAATGACTCTCAAGCTTCCGACTCTCTTCATTCTCCATCCGCACCCACTTCCGCGACATCTGCCGTGCAGCCGGCATCTTGCGCACCAACCGATTCCACCGCAATCGCATCCCGTACGCTCGCCGCCGACGCTCGTGCGCGCGCAGGATACCCAGCCCGGACTCGAGGAAGGTGATGTACTCTGCGCACTCGATCGCGGATTTGCTCCCGACGCCGCGCGCGATGCCGGCGGGGTCGTGGCGCGTGCGACGGCCGAGGTAGACGAAGAACCGCTCTTTCTCGGCCGCGGTCCAGCGCGTGCGGGCGTTGATCAGCGACGGACGGGTTATGCGCGAGGAGGAGGGGGAGGAGGAAGTGGGGGAGTCGGTGGAGAGGAAGGATGCGGTGGAGTGGCAGGCGGGATCCATGAATTCTTCAATCTCGTAGTTGAGGTATTGCAGATAATTAGCATTGTAGCCGTCTGTTGTAGGCAGGTCGGCATCAGACCCTCCTTCAAAGCTGTCAGAGTCGGAAGTCGACGAGTCGTCTTGAGAAAGATTTTCTGCAGATGAATCGTCCTCAGTCGCAGGAGATTCAAATCGCGCTTTCCGAGGCTGGATACTATCCACTTCCTCCGCACTCAACCTCTCTTCTTCTTCCTCATCATCCTCATCCTCACTCATCCCCATCGCCTCCTCAACAACCTGCGTATCCACACCCCCTTCCTCCTCATTCTCCTCATCCTCACTACCCACCCCTTCCACAAACCTATACGCGCTCGCAAAGTTATCAGCTACCGACCGCGCACCTCGATAATTGTCGTTCTGAATCCCGTCAGCGTCATCGTCGCCATCGACACTGCCGCGGTCCATATTCTTCCTGCAAAAGACACCGGCTCATATGCTTTTGCTCTTGCGCTCTTTTGAACTCAGCACACACGTTCTCCTTCTCAGTTACTCTCGATTCTCGCTCGTTCGTGCTTGGGTCTGGAGAAAAGCTGGTTCTCGCGTGCGCGCCGAGGAGCGCGAGTTGGGAGTTTGAAAAAATTATCCAGCACGTAAGAGCTTAGTCATGCCCATACGCCCAACCTCTTCCTCGACCACGATCTTGGTGCTGATCTTGCAGAGACACTCGCGATGAACGACATGCGATGACGGCAAAGAAGAGTTTGTCGCGACTGTTATGCATCCCCGGAATCCGTATGCGGAAAAAGAGCCCGATTTTGCGGAGTTGGCGGCGTTTTACCCTGCGCTGAAGCGGTTGTATGTTCTTGGCTGCTGTACTTGGTGGATCTGGAGATGAGCGCTAACGCGAGGGGGATGGGTTTAGTTTGACGAGGAACAGGTCGATTGATTTTCAGAGCCATGAAGCGGTTTGGTGCGCTTTGACTTTGCTTTGCTTTAATTACAATCTACTGCTCGACGCTAACGAATGACTGGCAAGTACACTCACGCAAGCCCTCCTCGCCCGAGACTTCGACCTAACCATCACGCTCTCTCCCGACCGTCTCTGCCCGCGTGTGGCAAACAGGCTAAACTACATCCTCTGGATCCAAGATCTTCTAGACTCTGACCTGTCTCGGGTACCCGGTGCGAAGGCTAGTGACGAGGTGCTTGGTCTGGATATCGGGACTGGCGCGTCGTGTATTTATCCGCTTCTGGGATGCAGATTGCGAAAGAACTGGAGATTTATCGCGTCAGGTACGTTCAACACAGACTACCGATCCACCGCTGTAACCCAAACTAATAGAAAGAAGCAGACATTGACTCATCAGCAATCTCATCCGCCGCCGAAACCGTCGAGCGAAATAATTTCCACTCGCGCATCTCACTCATCAAAACCGACCCCGCCGGTCCCTTTTTCGATATCCTCGACACTTCCTCCTCCTCACCCTCCTCCGAAGCAGCGCCACGGTTCGCATTTACCATGTGCAACCCCCCGTTCTACGCCTCGATCACCGAGCTCACCGCGCTGCGCTCTCTCAAAGCCTCCGCCCCGCACAGCGCGACTGTCGCGTACGAAACCGAGCTCGTGACGCAAGGAGGCGAACTTACCTTCGTCCTACGGATGCTACACGAGAGCATCGCGCTATCACACAAAGACTCCGCGTCGCGAATGACGTGGTACTCGAGCATGTTTGGCAAACTAGACTCGGTGAAGGGATTCGTTGCCGAGCTGAATAACGTCGGCGTGGCGAATTACGTCGTGGCGGAGTTCGTGCAGGGACCGCAGACCAGGCGGTGGGCTGTTGCGTGGAGATTGGGGTTGTACAGAGCGTCTCCAGCGCTGACGAGACCTGGCTTCTCCTGCTCTGAAAATAGCGCAGAGGCAGTCTCCGCCGCATTGAAGAGCTTCCTTCCCCCGTCTACTGGATTTATCATCCCGCTACCGCCGCCCTCGGATCACCCTACCTCACCCGCGATCGTGATCTCCACGATCCGCGATTTTCTCGAGCGCGAATACGGCGCGTCCATGCACCTCTCTATCCCCTCCGCCTCCATCTCTCCATCCATCACCGGCTCCTGCCCGCAAGGAAACATATGGGCGCGAAGTTTCCGGCGTCAAAAGAAGCGGAAACGCGATGACCAGCCAGAGACGCAGAAAGATGAGGACGGCGACAGACTGTTTATGTTTCGTATCCTCGGAGATGAGGAGGATGGGGTGTGTAGGAAGGTTGTGGTGGAGTGGGTTTATGGAGCTGAGGGGGCTGTTTTTGAGAGTTTTTGCGGGATGATGAAGAGGTTGTTGAGTAGCATTCTCTTAGAGTAGATTTGTATAGTATATATGTATATTATTATTCTTAAATGCATGTCATAAATCATTCATAGCCCTACCTCATCACAAAAGCTCAGACTTCGCACTAGCAGCCGTGTCAACGACCTTAAACACCGAACTTCCACTCCTATCCTCGCCCATCTCACCCGCCGACGACGACGACACCGCCGCCGCCGTGCGGTACGCCTCCGGACTCCGATCAAGCAGTTCATCCAACTCCGCGTCCGTCAAAATCACATCCCCGCGCTCCTTCACCACAACTTTCTCCAACCCATCGTCGCCCAGCAACAAATTCCGCAACTCGTCCTCCGCGCTCAACCTGCTGCTGCTGCTGCTGCTGCTGCTGCTCGACCGATCACCGCCAGCCACGCTGCGGAACTTGCCTTTCTGAATGACAAGCTTCTCGAGCTGCCGCTTGGACTCGGCCTTGCTGAGCATCGTCTGCTCGACCGTGTTTGCGGTCGCGAACCGGTACACAATGACCGGCCGCGTCTGCCCGATCCGGTGCGCGCGATCCATGGCCTGCAGATCTTGCTGCGGATTCCAGTCGCTGTCAAAGAGCACGACCGTGTCCGCCGCGGTGAGGTTGATTCCCAACCCGCCCGCGCGCGTGGAGAGTAGGAATAAGTTACACTCGTTCGTCGGCGCCGTGAACTTTTCCATCTCGATCTTGCGGTCTTCCTGCTTCACGCCGCCGTCTAACCTACTGACCTCCCACCCGCGCAGCAGCCGCGCGTAATCCTCAATGATATCCAGCATCTTTGTAAACTGGCTGAAAATCAACACCTTATGGCCCCTTGCAAACAGCTCGGGAAGCATCCGATCGAGCAGCAGCATCTTGCCCGAGTCGTTCACGATGCGCTCGTCCGGGGACGTGATCAGACTGTGCTCGTCCTCCCAGGGCGCGTAAAACAGCAGCGGCGAGTCGCACGCCAGGCGGAGCTGCATAATCACATTCTGCAGCTTCTTATTGTTCATCGCGCGGTTCGCGTTCGCAATCTGCTCGATCGCCTTCATCTCCTCGTCCTCCTCATTAGCAGCAGCAAGGAGCTCATCAGGCGCCTCGAGCGCGCGGAAGAATTTAGAGTCACTCAGCTCGGTGTAGGTCCCCGCCTTTGACGCGAGCTCTGCCGCCCGCCGCTTCGATCGCCGTCGGTCATCCTGCTGCTCGATGCTTGCCTTTCGCTTTCTAGGCGACGCGCGGCGCTGCACCTCCTCGAGCGGTCTAATGCCGCGCGCCTGCATGATTTTCTCCGTCAAATACTGCTTGACGTCGCGATCGAGTAAATGCTTATAGAGCTCCTGCTGCGACGGCGTGAGCGGCGCGTAGAGCACGTACTCGCGCTTCGGCGGCAGCTGCAGTTCGACGTCGGTCTTGAGTCTGCGCAGCAAGAACGGCTTGAGGATCGCGTGCAGGCTCGACACGATCTGGCTCTTGCGCTCGTTTGCGAGGATCTCGTGTGTGCCGTTTTCGCGCTGGAGGGCGGAGAAATCGAACCAGCTCTGGAAGAGGACGACGTCGTGGAAGATGTCAGGGAGGAGGAAGTTGAGCAGGGACCAGAGCTCGGAGAGGTTGTTTTGTAAGGGGGTGCCGGTGAGCAGCAGGCGGTTTGCGGAGTTGTATGATTTGAGCTCGAGGATGAGTTTGCAGTTCATGTTTTTGATGCGGTGGCCTTCGTCGATGATTACGAATTTCCAGGGGATGTTGCGCAGGAAGCGGCCGTCGTTAAGGATCAGGTTGTAGCTCGTGACGACGACCGGGTAGGATTTGTCGGGCCGTTTGAGCAGGTGCTCTGCGCGCATGGCGGCGCGGTCTTCGGGCGAGCCGTGGTAGAGAAGGACGGGGATCGAGGGGGCGAACCGCTTGAACTCGTTGACCCAGTTGTCGAGGGTCGAGAGCGGGGCGACGATCAGGAACGGGCCGTTTGAGCCTTTTTCGCGAAGATGAGCGAGGAAGGATATTGTTTGAAGGGTTTTGCTGTGGTTGTTAGCTCTAGTGCTATTCTAACTATAAATAGAGAGAGAAGCATACCCGAGGCCCATCTCGTCAGCGAGGATACCATTCAAGCCATTCTCGTATAAGGTAATAAGCCACTCCACCCCCGCGATCTGATAATCTTTCAGCACACCACCAGTAACGAGAGCCGGCTGCCGCGACGAGGATGACGAGGGAGGAGCAACGGGGGTTGTGAGGTCAGCATTGTCATCGTCGGTCTTGATGAAGTTTGTGATTGAGTACTGTGCTTTTCTTGTTTTCCTAGAAGTTGAAGTTGTAGATTTCTTCGCGGGCGCACGACTACGCGTCGACGAGGTACGTGTCGATACAGAAGAAGTAGCAGGAGTAGTAGCAGGAGTAGTCGTGGTCGTAGACAAACTCTTTGCAGCAGCTTTCTTGCGCGCCTGCTCCTTCTCGGCCTGCTGGCGGGCAAAGTTGTCCGCGATGATGGAGGCGTAGATGGAGGATCGCTCGATGAGGGTGCGTAGGCGGGCCTCGCGTTTGTCGTCGGAGAGGCGGTTGAATTCTAGCTGTTCCTAGATAGAAGAGAGAGAAGAGGTTAGTGCTGGGAGGAAGGAGCGGAGAGGTGGGGGGGGACTGACTTCGGTGAATGGTTCGGGGGAGGAGGTCATGGGAGGGGTGAGCGGTTGCTGCTCTTGGAAGAAGGGGGTGTCGTGGGGAGAATCAAGTGGTTTTGGGTCGTCATCGGAGGGGGGGTCGGTGGATGGCGATGATGCCATGATGGAGGACAGGGCTTTTCCGAGCATGCGGATCATGTCGTGGAGGGGGCGGTAGAGAGAGGAGAGGAGAGGAGAGGAGAGCAGGTCGAGGACGCGTTGCGGTTGAAGGTTTTTATTTTCGGAGTTGGGTCTGCGCGCGAGGGACGCGTTGAGTGAGTTGAGTTTGAAGAGAGAAGAGAAGAAAAGAGACAAGAAGAGAAGAAAAGACGACAGAGACAGCAGAGAAAGAAGAGAGAAAGTAGACAGACAAGAAAGAGAAGATATAAAAGACAGAAGATGTTGTGTTTAGGAGATATTTGTATTCAATAAAAACAGTCAAGTAGAATAGTCAGCTATAACATAGTGAACAGGCACGGACTCGGCAGCAGCAGATGATGAATGCAGTTGATGTCGATCAACCTGTTGACAACATACAATATCCTTTCAAATGAGCTATCTCACATCCTCAGACCACTCTCAATAACATAGTCATCTCTTTCTACATCTCAATAGCACTAATACACACAGTTCTATTTCCTATTCTAGATCCAAACAAAGTTCTTAATTAGCCCAATCGGGTCAAGCGCAGGGTTGCTCGGCGCAGTCAGATAAGAAAAGGTGTTGTTGATATCAGGATGACTGTGTTGGTGTATGTTACTGGTTATATAAGAGATATATACAAATATACGTATAGGAATAGAGCATATTCAGTATACAATACACCCTCATCGTCTTTTATTCATACAAACACAGAGCATCGCGGCGACATCTCTTTTGACTGCTATCAAAGCTTTCGACAACGAGCTCGGAGACGGCGCCACCAACCCACAAACTCGACTCTTCCCTCGAACTTCCTCATTTTTGCTTCTCTTCTTCTTCTCTACTTGTTCTTCTTCTTTATTTCTCTTCTTTACTTCTCTACTACTTCTCTTCTCTCCTCCTCCTCTCCTCCTCTCCCCCTCCTCCTGTAGCTCTCCCAAACATCTCCAGGGACACCATGCCCTCCGACTTCTTCGACCTCGACGCCGTCGGCGCATCGCCCTTCTGCGCTTCCGCAAACGACATCGATCCCTCCGCCCTCGCCGTCGACTGTCCCGCCCAGTGCGATCCCGCCCGAACAGCCTCCTCTTCCTCCTCCTCCTCCCTCTCCGCCGCAGCCTCCTCCTCGCCCCCCGAACTCGCTATCGGAATGTGCTTCTCCTCCCGCAAAGAGCTCAAAACAATCCTCGAGATGATGGCCATCCGCGACAACTGGGAGTTCATCTGCGTCAAGTCAAACGTCTCCCGCTACACCGTCCGCTGCAAAGACCCCTCCTGCAACTGGTACCTGCACTCCTCCCGCCCAAAGTCCCAGTGCCCCGCCTCCGTAGCCGACGGCTCCGGCTCGTCCCCCTTCATCATCTCCGTCTACCGCCCCGACCACACCTGCAGCAAGCGCCACGAGGGCAACTGCGTCGCCTCCTCGCCCTGGGTCGCCCGCAGAATCATCTCAAAGATCCTCGACAACCCCTCCTTCTCCCCGCACGACATCATCCGCTACATCTACACCGCCCACGGCGTCACCATCTCCTACAAGCAGGCCTGGCGCGCAAAGGACTGCGCCATGCAGCTCCTCCGCAAGCGCCCGCCCTGCTACGCCATCAACGACAAGTTCGACAAGTTCTGCCACGCCCTCGAGTCCCAGGACCCGTCTGCGCGCGCCATCGTCGACGTCATCGACAAGCTCGGCCGCGGCGCCCTCCTCCCGGACCCGCGCCAGTGCAACTTCCGCCGCATGTTTTGGACCTTTGGGGCCGCCATCAACGGCATCACGTTCTGTCGTCCCGTAATCGGCCTCGGCCGCATCGAGCGCCTGCGCAACTCAAACGTCGTCATGCTCGTCGCTACCACCCGCGACGCAGAGGACCAGCAGTTCCCCGTCGCCTTCGCCTTCACCCGCTACGAGTCCGAAGAGACCTGGACGTGGTTCCTCTCGCTCGTGCGCGAGGCCCTCGTGCGCCATCTCGTCACGAACCGCAAGGAAATGTCGTTCGACGATATCTGCGACTTTGTCCGCGGCATCACCTTTGTCTCGGACTACCGCTTCGGCCTCGCGCAGGCCGTCAACAACATCTTCCCCGACAACGTGCAGATGCACGCGCTCTGCCTGCGCTTTCTCTACGCGGTCGTCGGGGTGAAATACGGCACCGCCGTCGCAAACGCAGTCATGCGCGCCGCGGCCGCAAACACGCGCGCGGACTTTGACAACATCCTCTCGCTCGAGCTCTCGATCGACCAGTACGAGTGGATCACGTCGCAGTGGCCGCCCTCGATCTGGGCAGAGTCGCATTTCCGCGGCAAGCGGTTCGGCATCCTCGACGCGAACATGGCCCGGCTCTTTGTCGAGTGGGACTTTGTCCCGGGCCATCCGGAGGGCGGCAAGATCGACAGCGAGCTGCTCAAGTGTCCGGCTCTGCACCGGCCGGCGCAGCGCGGGCTGGCGATATACTCGTGCCCGTGCATCATGCTGCCGGCGGACCAGATCGTGCAGCGCCTCAACGTCGGTCTATCCGCCCTCTTCTCTGCCCGTCTGCGGCGGGCGAAATTGAAAGCGCAGGAAGGCAGAGCGCTGTCTGACTACGCAGACCAGTACATGTCCGAGGTCCGCCGGCGCGTCAAGAGCCATATCGCCCGCGTCGAGACTTCGGAAATGGGATCTACCTGGCGCGTCCGTCTCGGCCAATACCCGCCTGCCACTACTTCTACCACCACCACCACCGCCGACGCCGCCGCCACATCCCCCGTCTCCGACCAAAGCCCAATCTCCCCCACGAGCAGCACCAGCAGCACCGGCAGCTCCAGCCCGAAAGAAGACATCGTATACGAAAAAGTCCTCGGCGACGACGGCGCCTCGCACGGCTCCGACGCACACCTCAACCCGAGCGTGATCGCGGCGTCGACCGACTACGCGCGCGAGTACGTCGTCGACTTTGCGCTCAAGCATTGCTCGTGCATGGCGTGGTCGCGCACGGGTCTTCCGTGTGAACATGTGCTGGCGGTGTTGTGCGCGACTGATGGCGCGGGACAGAGTTCGTTGCAGGGCGTGGCGGAGAAGTTGGTGGATCGACGGTATTGCGTGGATATGTATGCAAAGACTTATGAGGTTCCTATTGAGGTTATCAAGTGCGATTAGCTCTTCTTCTTCCTTCTTCCTTCTTCCTTCTTCCTTCTTCCTTCTTTCTTCTTTCCTTTGTTTTGTTTTTGATTATATATTATGATCTATGGTGTGTTGGGGAGTTCTCAAGGTGGTTTCTTTATTTGTTTGATATCTATTAACTTATGTCTTTTGTCTTAAAACCTCTTTATCTTTGATTTCTTTTCTATTTCTAGTGGCGTTAGTGTCAGTAGTGTACTTTAATCAACCCAACTTTGCTTTCCACTTATTCCCGACCGCTCTCCAGCTTTTCTGGCCGTCTTCCAACCTCTCCAGGCCACTTCTCGACTTTCACACAACTTGTTGTTGCTTTTAAATAAAGAGAGCCTACGGCACTCATAAACAGTAGATAACTTTTATTGCATTTCTAAATATGAAATAAAGCAAAAAATCAGTAAACTAACCAACCCAGACAAACCGAACCAAAAAAAAAAAGACAAAACCAACACAAAGAAGGATCAGAAAGATCAAACAGCAACAGAAGAAGACGGCAAAGTAACATACTCCATCTCCTCCGACCGTTCATACTCATACATATCCAGCGCGACAACAGCCGACTCCCTCACGACGCGTTCCTTATCTTTCAGAAACTCATGCAAGACAGGCATCACCTCGTCTGTCGCGATACTTCCCAACGCCTCGGCCGCCTCGTGGCGGACCATGCCTTCTTCCTCCTCGTTCTTGAGGACTTCAACGAGAGCGTCGACGGAGCGCGGATCACTGAGCTGGCCGAATACGTACGCGATCTCGTGGCGGAACAGCGCGGACGGGTCTTTGAACCCAGTAATCAGCGCGTCGACCGACTCCTGCGTGCCGATATCGCGCAACCTGAACATCGCGCGATACCGCTCAAACAGCGGCCGCGACTGATCCATCAACTGCCGCTGCAACTCGCTCACATCTGCCTTCTCGAACGGCAACGGCGGCGCGGGATCAATACTCTCAAACTCGCTCTGCCCCAACACCTCCTCCGCAGCCTGCTTCGAATGCTCCCACTCTATCCTCGCGATCGCGAGCTCGCACGTCTGTCTGATCACCTCGAGCGGGTCGTTGACAAAGTACTCCCGCAGCAGATCAAGGCTCTGCGCGTCGCCGATCGCGCCGAGTGCCTCCGCGGCTTCGTGGCGCACCATCGGGTCTTGCGATTCGTCTTTGAGCACTTTTTGCAGGGTGGGCACGGCGTAGACGTTGTGCGTCTGGCCGAGGACGTAGGCTAGCTCGTGCTTGAGCAGCGCCGAGTCGTCTTTGAATGCTGCGGATTGTTAGCCGTCCCCTTCTAAAAACAACCACCAACTAGACTACCAACTAGAGAGAGCAACTAGAAAGAAAGAAAGAGAGAGAGCATACCCTCGTCAATAGCATCGATGGCAGAGTTAACGCCCTCTTTGCCCAACGACTTTAGACTGAACAGCGCCCGGAACCGCTGGCCGAGCGGGACGTCGCCGGATTCGTTGATGAGCAGTGCTCTGAGCTGTGATACTTCGTCTGCCATGTTGTTGTAAATAATCAGAGGGGGAGGAGATGAGGAGAAGAACTGAGGAAGAAGAAGTAACTTGTGGTTGGGAAAAAATTATTCGTTCGGTGACAATCTGGCCACCGGCGCCGCACGAGTCTCGGCTTACAATGTAAACTACTTGTTACTATCAAAATTCATTATAATAGACATCCCAGCTATATAAGTTACATTAAAAGAGAAAATGAGGAAGACTACTGCATGTTTACGCTTAAAACTTGTAACCGACCAACTTGGCGTAGGCCTCGGTCGAGAACGACTTGGGTCGCTCGATGGGCATGCCGTAGGCGCGGTCGATGATGTACTGCGGCAAGACGCCGAGCGCGCGCGAGACACCAAACAGAACGGTGTAGTACGACTCCTCGGTCAGGCCGTAGTACTGGAGCAGGACACCGGAGTGCGAGTCGACGTTGGGCCAGGGGTTCTTGGTCTTGCCGTGCTTGGTGAGCACGCCGGGAGCGACCTCGTAGATCTGCGACACGAGCTTGAAGAGGTCGTAGTCGGGCAGGTACTTGAGCGCGAACTCACGCTGGGCGGTGTAGCGCGGGTCGGTCTTGCGGAGGACGGCGTGGCCGTAGCCGGGGACGACGCGGCCGGCGTTGAGGGTGTCCCAGAGGTACTTTTCGATGTCGGCGTTGGTGACGTTGGAGCCGATCTTGGACTTCATCTCGAGAATCCACTCGAGAACCTCCTGGTTGGCGCGTCCGTGGAGCGGGCCAGCGAGACCGTTGAGGCCGGCGGCGAGGGAGAGGAAGGGCGACGAGAGCGCGGAGCCGACCAAGTGGGTGGTGTGGGCGGAGACGTTACCACCCTCGTGATCGGTGTGGATGGTGAGGTAGAGACGCATGAGCTCGACGAACTCGTGGTTGCCCGAGTATCCGAGCATCTTGGCCAAGTTGTAGGAGTAGTCCTTGTCGGCCTCGATCTCGGCGACCTTGCCGTCCTTGAAGACGTTGCGGTAGATCTTGGCGGCGATGGTGGGCAGCTTGGCGATGAGGTCGATGGAGTCCTCGTAGGCGTAGAGCCAGAGGTCCTTCTTGTTGACGCCCTTCTCGTAGGCCTTGGTGAACTGGGACTCGGACTCGAGCGCGGTGACCGCGATCGAGAACTGGGCCATGGGGTGGAGGGTGGCAGGCGAGCGGTCGATGAGGTCGACGACGTGGGTGGGGAGCTCAGAGCGGGCGGCGAGCTCGGCGGAGAGAGCCTTGACCTGGCCCTCGGTGGGGATCTCGCCGGAGACGAGGAGCCAGAAGAGAGCCTCGGGCAGGGGCTCGGATCCGCCGGCGGCCTTGGGGAGGGCGGCCTGGACCTCGGGGATGGTCAAGCCGCGGAAGCGGATACCTTCCTCGGCGTCGAGGACGGAGCCTTCCCAGACGAGGCCCTTGATGCCGCGCATGCCGCCGTAGGCCTGGTCGAGGGTGACCTCGCCGATGACCTAAATGAAGTTAGTATCAGAGTTGTTGAAGAGGGAGGGTGGAAGGTGGATCAACATACGGTGCTGCCCTTGGCCTTGCGGAGGGCCTTGACCTTCTCGATCTCGGCGGGGAAGATCTCAGAGAGACGCTCCTTGAGGGTCTAGAAGAGTGTTAGAGAGAGTGAAGAGTAATTGAAGCGGAGTAGGTAGTGGTGGAGTAGTGATACGTACAGGCTCCTTAGCGGTAGAGTAGGCGCGGAAAGCACGGAGGTAGTTAGCAGCCAACGGACGCTGGGAAGCGCGAACGAAGGAAGACGCAAGACGAGACGGAGCAGGCATTGTGAGGGTAATTGAGGAGATACAGGATAGGAAGAGGAGGAAGAAGAAGGAAGAAGAGAACAGCAAAAGGTCCCGGCGGCTCTTTCTTATTTGCTGCTGCGGGTCGAGGAGAAGGCCGGGTAAACTCATGTGACCCAATGAGCGGCCGGGGTGCGGGATCCGTGCGCCGAGCACCGGGATAGCGGGGCGGGGAGGAGCGGTGCCGAGGGGCCGATGACAGTCTCTTGAGCGGTGAATGAAGAGAGTGTAGTATATAAAGAATACTAATACTTCTTCTTCTGTTTTATCACTCAATTACAGTGATTAATGCTCTCTCCAGAACGTGCTCAGCGTCCGCTCTTTCGCGGAGAATCCCCACGTTCTTCTTCTGGGGACGGATGCACCCGTGCGGCTCGTGGGCCAGACTTGACTCTATGATGTTCCTTCAGCGGGTTTGGGCTGTGGCTGGAGTACAAGAGTAGTAGTAGTTGTAGTCGTGATAGTGATTGTTATAATAGTAGTTATAATACTAATAGTAATAACAGTAGTAGTAGCAGTACAGAACAACAGACAGCACAACAGCAACGCAATCCGGGGTATCCGCCAATCAGCAGAGAGCCCGGAGTCGGCGGAGAAGGACAAGTCACGGGATTTGAGCAGCTCCTCCGAGGCGCCGACCGAGCCGTTGTCCCAATCAGTTCGGCCCCCACATCGGCGGATGCCTGTTCATAGATGCTGTTGTATGTATTAAACTGCTTGTATTAAAGATTAGACTTGATATATAACTGATATTGATACTAATGCATACTCATGACATAACAACATAACACCATCACCGAATCCGATACGCATAATATAGATATATCCCCCTCTCCAACCCTCCCCCATACTGCACCCCGCTGCAATCAATCTTCCTGCTCGCGCCCGCCCACGCCTCCGTAGACCCCATGTCCATCCCCAGCACATGCTGGCAGTAATGCGCACTCCGAACCTCCGGCGACGCGCAGTGGTGCTCCACGTTCAGCGCATCCTTGTTCTTCTCCCCCCGGAATATCCATCCTCGCCTACCCTGCCCGATCACCACCGTATACCCCGGCAACCGCACGTCCGTCATCTTCAGCAGGATCTTGGTCAGATCAAACTCCCACGTCCGCACCGACGGAATCCCCCGTAGCAAACGCATATCGCCCACCGTCCACAGCGTAATATGCGGGTTGCCCGTCAAATCAAGATACCGCAGCTTCTCCCGCCCGGAAAACGCCGTAATCAGACTATCAATCTCGACATCCGCAAACCCAAGCGACAGCTCCTCCACGCTCTCTCCAATCTGCTCCAAATGCGCCTCCTCCACCGGCAGCCCATAAAGACTCAGATACCTCAGCTTCGGCGCCGTCCGCTTCAACCCCTCCAGCACAGCCGTCAAGTCCTCCGCGCTCAGATCGGTCCACTGCAGCGAGAGCCACTCCAGCGACCCGCTCGTCACCGCCGGATGCGTCGTCAGCAGCCCGACTATCGCCTTCGGACTCACGTTCCGGCATTTCGCCAGCGACAGGTGCGTAATCCGCGCGCGCTCCGGAATCGACATCAGCGCCCGCGCAGACACATGCGTGTGCGTCAGATCAAGCCGCTCCAGACGTCCTAGGCGGGGGAGCATATGTTCATACACCTGCGCGGGGAGCGACACGCACTCGTGGAATCCGACGCGGGAGAGATACTCTAATGAGCCGAGCTCGAGCTTGAGACTTGTCATGGACGAGACAAAGCTGTCGGACGACGCACCGCAGAAATCGACCGCCTCGAGGTACTTTTGACGGTTGAAGACGGTCTGTAGAACGTCCTTGCCGAGGTCGTCTTCGAGGGCCTCTGAGACTAGAAATTCGCGGAGATTCGGCATCTGAAGAAGGGCGTCGGTGATGGTCTCGCAGGTGACCATCTGGATCTCCCTATTCATCTTGCGGGTCCGGCCGAGGCCGATAGATGTGAAGTCGGAGACTGTTAAGTTAGTATCGCAGTATAGAAGAATATGAGACAGAAGGAAAACACACAGTCAAGACACTTGACATAAGCACCAAGCTTAGGATTTTTCGCGAGCTCGTGGCGAAAGACGTCGAACGCACGCGGGTGGCCAATGTGCACATGGGAGTAGAGCGCGTGCAGGCCTAGGTCGTAGAACCGGCGGCAGACGGGCAGGATGTTTTTCTTGAACAGCGCAAGCCGGCGGGTGAGGTGGACGGGGATGCCATGGGAGTCTTTGTCGTCGGAGTAGGCGAGCGAGAGGATTTCTTGGAGGATCTCGGGCGGGAGGTCGAGGATGGGGGGGGATGTGGGAAGGTGTGCGGCTTGCGGGTTATGAGCAGTGGCGCAGGGGCACGTTTGCATGGGTGTGTAGTAGAAGTGAAGTAGAAGTAGAAGAAGTAGTAGAAGAAGAAGTAGTAGAAGAAGTAGTAGAAGTAGTAGCAAAAGTAGAAGCAGAGTAGAGAAGAAGAAGAGGAAGAGGAGAATAAATAGTCACCGGGTCTTGGTGGTCTGGCTCCAAGGCTTTTGCTGTCGGACGCCGCCGAGACCGCAAAAGTTTTTATGCTTTGCACTTTCCCTTTTCGTCCACAGACAACGACCGCTGAGTAGAAGTAGTTGTTGTATGTTGAATATACTGATGGTATATAAGTGCATGTATTGAATATATACACACATATGTACTAATACACATATATATACACACATACACACACACACACACACACACACTACTACCTACGATCGCCGAACCCCCATCGGGATGGTGCGTGTGCGTGACCTCAGCACAGACTGCGCAGACTCTCGCTTCAGCAACTGACCTCCAAGCTCCGCACTGTCGATGGCGTCAGATCCCCTCACCCTCGCCTCTTGTTGTTGTTAGTAGTTTAGTATGAGTAATAGTATAAATGTGCAGCATGTGGATAGTATACTCGGCACGTTGCATGACGAGAGATGACGCAAGTCTTATAAGTATCTAATATGCCTCATCAACCCTTCTCTCTTCTATCCTCTCTTCGTCTTCTCTTCTCTCACTTCTCACGATGGGCCGAGCGCGCAGGGTCTCGTTCTGCTCGGGAAGAACTGACGTCGGTGGCGCTCGCTTAGCTTTGTTTGTCCCGAGGTTGTTGTTGCGGTTGTATGCTGTGTGCTGTTTATTGTATCTTTATATGTTTATTGCATATTTGTTGTATATTTATTGTATATCTATATACTGTCATCTTCATGTCTACCTCACCACAGCCCGACAACAACAGACATCAGCAGATCAGATTAACATACAAAGTGCGAATGCGACTCACGTCAATGCTCAATCTCAATGCCGTCGCCACCTGCAAAGTGACGCAGCGGCACAACTGCGCAAACACCGCGCCAATCCCGCTGGAACAGCCCAGAACCGCGCCCCCGCCCCTCCCGATAGCATAGCCTTTGTTAAGTTTAGATAGTTGTGGCATCAATTGCAGCACTTTTATGTACTTGTGCCACATCGGCAGTCTGCGTCCCTTGCACCGGCTTCGTCCGCCCGTCACACTTATAAATACGCCGCCGCCACCCCATCGTCCGCCTTCCTTTCTTCTTTCTCCCCATCTACCTTAGATACACTTCATCAACATACTCAGTTCATCATGCAGATCTTCGTAAAGACTCTCACCGGCAAGACCATCACCCTCGAGGTCGAGTCGTCGGATACTATCGACAACGTCAAGTCCAAGATCCAGGACAAGGAGGGAATTCCCCCAGACCAGCAGCGACTCATCTTCGCTGGCAAGCAGTTGGAAGACGGCCGCACTCTTTCTGATTACAACATCCAGAAGGAGTCGACCCTCCATCTCGTTCTCCGTCTCCGTGGTGGTATGCAGATCTTCGTCAAGACTCTGACCGGAAAGACTATCACTCTCGAGGTTGAGTCATCAGACACCATCGACAACGTCAAGTCCAAGATCCAGGACAAGGAGGGAATTCCCCCAGACCAGCAGCGACTCATCTTCGCTGGCAAGCAGTTGGAAGACGGCCGCACTCTTTCTGATTACAACATCCAGAAGGAGTCGACCCTCCATCTCGTTCTCCGTCTCCGTGGTGGTATGCAGATCTTCGTCAAGACTCTGACCGGAAAGACTATCACTCTCGAGGTTGAGTCATCAGACACCATCGACAACGTCAAGTCCAAGATCCAGGACAAGGAGGGAATTCCCCCAGACCAGCAGCGACTCATCTTCGCTGGCAAGCAGTTGGAAGACGGCCGCACTCTTTCTGATTACAACATCCAGAAGGAGTCGACCCTCCATCTCGTTCTCCGTCTCCGTGGTGGTATGCAGATCTTCGTCAAGACTCTGACCGGAAAGACTATCACTCTCGAGGTTGAGTCATCAGACACCATCGACAACGTCAAGTCCAAGATCCAGGACAAGGAGGGAATTCCCCCAGACCAGCAGCGACTCATCTTCGCTGGCAAGCAGTTGGAAGACGGCCGCACTCTTTCTGATTACAACATCCAGAAGGAGTCGACCCTCCATCTCGTTCTCCGTCTCCGTGGTGGTATGCAGATCTTCGTCAAGACTCTGACCGGAAAGACTATCACTCTTGAGGTCGAGTCATCAGACACCATCGACAACGTCAAGTCGAAGATCCAGGACAAGGAGGGCATTCCCCCAGACCAGCAGCGACTCATCTTCGCTGGTAAGCAGCTCGAGGACGGACGCACTCTCTCTGACTACAACATCCAGAAGGAGTCCACTCTCCATCTCGTCCTCCGTCTTCGTGGCGGTATGCAGATCTTCGTCAAGACCTTGACCGGAAAGACTATCACTCTTGAGGTCGAGTCATCAGACACCATCGACAACGTCAAGTCGAAGATTCAGGACAAGGAGGGCATTCCCCCAGACCAGCAGCGACTCATCTTCGCTGGTAAGCAGCTCGAGGACGGACGCACTCTCTCTGACTACAACATCCAGAAGGAGTCCACTCTCCATCTCGTCCTCCGTCTCCGCGGTGGCATGCAGATCTTCGTCAAGACTTTGACCGGAAAGACCATCACTCTTGAGGTCGAGTCATCAGACACCATCGACAACGTCAAGTCGAAGATTCAGGACAAGGAGGGCATTCCCCCAGACCAGCAGCGACTCATCTTCGCTGGTAAGCAGCTCGAGGACGGACGCACTCTCTCTGACTACAACATTCAGAAGGAGTCGACCCTCCATCTTGTCCTCCGTCTCCGCGGTGGAAACTAATTCATCGTTGATTATTATGGCACTGTATTTTAGGAAGGAAAGGATTGTATTTGTTTAGTTATTATACGAGGAGCGGGTACGGCGCGAGATCTTCATTGACTGATTGGGTTTTGCGGTAGAATCACTATGTTCGGATGTAAGAGTAATAGTGTTTTCGAGTACGAATATAGATATCGCATATTGATTGCGCCATAACCAACATTAATAACAATAACAATAGTAGAAATAGTAGAAGGTCTACTAAAAAGGCAGGCTTTGGTGAGATTAGAAAGTAGTGATTGGCTCCAGCGGCAGAAGCGGGAGGAAATCGGGTATCGCAGTAACTTTTACGTCATCAACAACTTCCTCTTCCTCCTCTCTCTTCCTCTCTTCCTTTCCTCCTCCCCATCCTACTCTACTCCACTCCAAAGGTATCCCTTCCTACTGCTCTAATAATCCGCTCCAGACTCATCTTGAGCCAATTGCCCTCTTATTCCTCTTCAATCCACCTCCCCATTGCTAACACCCTCCTCTTCATCCTCGCCCTTCAGAACAGATATCCGATATCACCTCTTAACTCCTACCATGTCCCTCGCTCTTCTCAGAACCTCTACCGTCCGTCGCGCTGCCTCGACCGCCGCCGCGCCCGCTTCCACCGTCTTTGCTCGCGGAAAGGCTACCTTGCCTGATCTCAAGTACGACTTTGGCGCGCTCGAGCCCGCCATCTCTGGCCAGATCATGGAGGTACTATCCCGCAAGAGCACCTTTCCCAACGCGACCAGAAAAGCTGATTAATGTCATTTTTCTAGCTCCACTACACCAAGCACCACCAGACCTACGTCAACGGCTACAACGCCGCGATCGAAAAGATCTCGGTCGCGGCCGACAAGGGCGACATCCGCACGCAGATCGAGCTGCAGTCGCAGATCAACTTCCACGGCGGTGGACACATCAACCACTCTTTGTTCTGGGAGAACCTCGCGCCCAAGTCGCAGGGCGGTGGCGAGGTGCTCGATAGCGCGTCGCCGTTGACGAAGGCGATTGTGGCGAAGTATGGAAGCTATGATAAGTTGATTGGCGATGTCAACACTGCTGTATGTTTTTTTATTGCAACTTAGTAGAGAGGAAAGTTGTGCTGATTATTTTTGTTGCTTAGCTTGCTGCTATCCAGGGATCCGGATGGTCGTGGATCGTCAAGAACAGCACCACCGGTGAAATCGAAGTCATCAACAAGCCCGTACGTCTCCCTCTATCTTTTTTTTAAATCACTTACACGACAGCAACAACTAACAACCCCAACAGAACCAAGACCCCGTCACGGGCCCCTACATTCCCCTCGTCGGCATCGACGCCTGGGAGCATGCGTACTACCTCCAGTACAAGAACGTCAAGGTCGACTACTTCAAGGCCATCTGGGACGTCGTTAACTGGAAGACCGCCGAGAAGCGATTCCTCGCTTAGACTGCTTGTTTTTGATGTGAGCAGGCTGTAGTTAGTTTTGTGTTTTGTGCTGGGATTGCTTTATGAAGGGGACAGTACTGTCGTTCGATTGAAGACAGATCGAGTGCTCGATATTGATATATGTATTTTCATTTCTATAAATATACCTTGATTCATCCTAGTTAATATCAAACCGCAGAACGGAAGCCACAAATTTCAATAGTTTCCTCTGTGCAGATATAATATTCTGAGCACAGTGGTGGAATCCGTAATTACTCTCGCAGCCTCTGATGTTGATTGTAATGACCTTTCTCAAAACCCACGACTGCGCTGGCTCTGCGCACACCTTCTAGTCGCATACACAATTATCAATTCTTCTGCTACACCTTCTAATTAACAATAAATTCCAAACAATCTCATCTGCGCTATCTCAAAAACTACAGTTCCAAATCCGCAAGCAAAATGTACATTTAATCTTCTTCTGGAAAGAGTTCTGGGAGAAGCAAACGAACGCACGTGCCTCCGCTCCCTAAAGTTCCAAACCACCCAACGAAACCTGCCAGCTAATCATCCAAACCCACCTTCATCCGCCCGCGGTGCGATAAACGTCCACCACGCAGAGAATTGAGAAAGAGCAGAGCAAGAAAGGAAAGGGGTAATTAAGAATTGGGAGGATTTAGTGGATCGTGGTTTGATTTTGGCTGTTGCTGTGTTGTTGCGCAAACGGGTGATTCTGCTGCGTCGAGGGCCGTTCATATCTCGAATATTCAGGACGACTATCTTCTAAACTACACTACACTCACCTTCTCACACTCTCAACTTGCTGCATTTCAACTCACAGACAAAATGTTCTCTGCAACGCCACCAGGCTTCAAACACGCACCAGTCACGAAGCTGGTTATAATCTTCAACATCAGCGCGTCGATAATCACCTCGATCTTGGGGATCAAGCACTATGCTTTCCTGCAGTTTGTTCCACATGTTTGGAATTGGGGTATGTCCTTTATCTCTACAATTTACGTTTCTTGATTTTATTCACCTGCGTGACGGACGAGAGACGCGAGAGTGGGAGGCTAACGCGGATCTAGGACAATGGTGGAGACTGCTTGTATGGCAGTTTGTATATTTGAATGAGTCCGAGGTTTTATTCTCGTCGCTGCTGATCTATAATCTCCGCGTTATAGAGCGTCTACTCGGTAGTCGCAAGTTTGCTGTGCGTCTTCTCCCTCATATATCTTCACAACTGGATAAAATCAGATTGCTAACATCAATACAGTCCCTGCTCGTGCTCTCTATCGGATTCTCTCTCTTCACAGCCCCCATAACGCTCCTCTTACTCAAATTCATCCCCTCCTACTCAGCAAACTACCTCCCCTCCGGCCCCACCCCGCTCGTATTCACAGTCCTCGCCCTCTACCACGACCTCGTGCCCTCCGTCTACAAATTCAAAATCTCATCCTCCTCCTCCTCCCCACAACCCCACTCCCTCACCCTCTCCGACAAAATCTTCGTCTACCTGCTCGCAACCCAACTCGCCCTCTCCCAACTCCCCGGCTCCCTCATCTGCGCCTTCGCAGGCTGGCTCCTCGGCATCCTCTGGCTCAAAGACTTCCTCCCACTCCGCAACTTCCGCATCTCCCCGCGCGTCTGGTCCGCAATCCACGCCCGCGGCCGCGCCTCCCTCCTCGCCCTCAGCACAACTCCCAACCACCACGCCTCGGGAATCGCAGGCTTGGTGGCTGCTGCGGCAGCAGCAGAACGCACGGCGCAGCAGCAGCCGGCGATCGATCCTGTCGCGGGCTCGGCGACAACGACGGCTACGCCGCCCGCGGCGGCCACGGCGAGAACGCAGGCGGGGAGGGGGCTCGGGAGTCAGTTGTTGGATACGTTTCGCGGGGAGTTTTAGTGTGGTGAATTGTTTATGATAGTTGAATGCATGGTTTTCTTAAATGTTTGCATACGAGTAGGAGTAGACAATATTCTATCAATTTTAATTACGCGGTATCACTTCTCTCTAAAAAGTTTCATGAAGCAAGAGAGAGAAGGACGGACCGCCGGGGATCTAAATCACAATATACAGAAACGTACGCCCTTATACACCTGAACTTACACAATACATAACAACATGACAAATATGACAAATAGCAGGAGCAGTTTAAAATACAAAGCTGTGTATCCACCGAAAACACGCGGGATAAATATCCACAGTCTCTACATTCCCACAGCAATCACTCTATCCAAAAAGCAAAAGAGAAGCAGAAATTAAAAGTACGCGCTAGACTGCCCGGTCATGAACTGATACACGAGCGTCTCGTCATCAAACAGCTGGTAGAACTCAGTCTCGTCCACGTACGACACCGGGAGCTCTTTGATTTCCGCCAGCGCGATCTTGTCTTCTGCGGTTAGGTAGGGTAGTTGTTGGTGGTTTACTGGGAGTTGTTGCGTTGACTGCTGCTGCTGCTGCTGTTGTTGTTGTTGTGGTTGCGGCTGCGATGGGGTTTGTTGGACTTGGGGAGGGGTGGTGCTCGGGGGATAGGACGGCATGGGATTACTTATCCTCGCCGGCACCCGCGAGTCAGAAGGCGACACGGCCGTGGGCGACACGAAATTGAGCGTGCTGGTCGAGAGCGGGTCGTAGGGGCTGAAACCGCCGATACTTCCTCCCGTGCTGTAACTGTCCATCACGCTGCTGGCCGTGCTCTCGGTCTCGGACCAGATGTAGTTGTTGTTGTTGTTGTTGTTCGTGGACGGCATCAGGCTTGCGTCGATCGTTGGGGCGGGTACATTCTGCTGTTGCTGGAGGAGCTGCTGTTGATACAGCTGATCCCGCTGCTGCTGTGGTTGCTGCTGCTGGAAAGACATGACTGAGTCTGCATTCTTCAGCTGCGAAAGATACGTCGCCGCCGCCTCGCGCTGCTGGAAAACAATCCGCGCCGCCTCCTTGATCTGCCCGAGATTCACCGACGCCGTATCCCAAACCCCGCTCAGCGCGCGCAGACTGCCCACCGCCAACTTCACCCTCTCCTTCGCGAGCTCGCGGTCCTGCTCCTCCGCCCGCGCGTCCCCGTACTTTGGAAACAGGTCCCAGACGCACGCGGACAGGTGCACGATCGCAGAGAGTAAGATGCCGCAGGTGAAGAACGGCGAGCGCCGCGTGATCGAGTCGGCTGCGTAGGAGATTAGGTTCGCGAGCGCGTCCGCGGACGCAAGGCATTTCGCGGTGTGCGCGTCTGTCGCGGAGGAGTCTGCGTTCCCGCCGAACGAGCCGACGAGGTAGTTTAACTCCTCGACCGTCGACGGCGTGCGGGATTTGTATCCCTCGCTGTGCCGGTACGAGAGCGCGCGTGCGCGGAACGAGATCAGCAGCGACCGGGGCGTGAAGCAGGTATTATCGATTTCCTCGTACGCGTTCGGCACCAGAGCGAAATGCGACAGCCGCTTGTGCATCAAGATCAGCATGTTGTGGATAATCGTGCTCGCCATCAGCATGAGCTCGTCGACCTCGCGCCCGCCGCGGCCGGAGGGATCAAAGAAATGCGCCGCGGCCGTCGGCCGCACGAGCAGCATCTTCTTCTTTGACTCGGGCAGATGGAGAAGCCAGGTCGAGATCGAGGTGTCGACCATCTGCACTGCGCGCTCGTCCGATCGCGTGCGGTAGGCTTGGAAGATGCAGACGCCGCTGGTGTGCACGGCGTCGATGAGGTAGGCAAAGGAGGAAAAGTCGCGCGTGTCTTCTGCGAATATGCGGTTGACAAAGTCTTGCCGGGTGGGTGATGGCGGTATGAGCTGTGTACGTTAGCAGAATGATTTGAGAGAAGAAAATGAAGAAAGAACATACCCCATTGTCGTACTCGTCTTGCTCGCATGGCAATGGATAGTCCTTTCTCGGAATTGTGGCCAGCTTGAACTCCCGCTCGCAGTGAATAGAAGTAAGCCAAGCGTCCATGACGTACAGCATCCAGAACGTCCGAACAAGAGACTCTCTAAGCACCGAGCGAAAAATCGGGTCCTGCGACCGGCACGAGGAGGCGATGAAGCTGTCGATAAACGACACGTTCTGCATGCCGAGGTAGAGCGCCATGTCGACGACGTAGTTTCTGACCGCGAGCGATTTCGTCTGCTCGTTGCTGCTGTGGAGGACAATCATGTAGATCAGCAGGGCCTGGACTGCGAACGGGGAGGGCGTGAGGATGAAGGAGTAGGTCTGCGTGTGATCGGTCGAGGGGGAGATGTCGCCAAAGACGAGCCGGTCGATCGCGTTCTGGTAGAGCTTGCTGTCTGCGTTTTCGGAGTAGAACGAGCCGGTGAAGTGCACGACGGGGGCGAGCAGGTCGGAGACGATGGCGTTTGTGTCAGAGTCAAAGACGCCGGAGATGAGCGTGCTGTAGAACGAGCGCGGGACGACGACGGGGTGGGCGTTGTGGAAGTAGTAAAAGTAGAGGTCGATGAGTGACGGCGGCGCGGAGACGGCTGCGCTGTCGATTGGCCGCAGGCCGGTAGATGCGCCGGCAGTGAGATCGGCAGCGGAGATGTCGACGTCGACTAGTCTGCGCTTGGGGAGACCGACGCCGTCGACGGAGGACACGGTGGAGGAGGAGAGTGATGAGGACGCGGTGGAGGAGGAGGAGGAGGAGGGGGAGGATTTCCAGCCGCGGCGGGACTTGACGTAGACGCACTCGCGCTGGGCAGACTTGCAGCGCTGGCAGACTGGCACGCCGGCGTCGCATTTGAGATGGCGGGAACGGCAGGCCAGACAGGCGGTGGAGACGGGGGCGGGGACCTCCATGAGTAGGGGAGGATGAGATGAGGATGGGAGAGGAACTCGATGAGAGATCTGGGGGGATCCGAGGAGAAGAAGAAAAAGAAGGAGAAAAAGAAGGAGAAAAAGAAGAAGATAGAGCTATTAAAAAGAATAAAAGAACAAGAGAAGGTAAAGAAAGAGAAAAGAGGTAAAGAACGAAGGAGGAGTGGTTTTCGAGGAGTCGGAGAAAAGCAGCGCGTTGGTCGAAGAGATGACGAAATGCGCCACAGTCTCGCCTTTAAAGCCCGGTTAGGTCCCTGAGGGCTTTTGAGGGATCTTCTGCCAGCGACTGATTGTTTGCTGGGTTTATTGTTGTTTAACTGAGCTAATTTACACCGAAATGACTAGAATTCAAATCAAACACAATATCCGGATTACTAAACACAGAACTGCTGAGCAAGCACTGCGGTGGCTTGTGAACGTCAGGTCTTTCCCTTTTCAGTCATCTGTCTCCGGGCACAGGTCATCCGATATCCGGCCTATGCTCGGCGGTTTTGCCAGCCTGCACGCACGGGACTCTCTTGACTGACAGTCGATTGTTTCTGTACGGCTGGGCGTGTGTTGGAATATGGATAGGGAGTGTATTATTCATTGGAACAGCCACGATTAAGATTAGGATAGGTAATGTACAGCAAATTATAGAACAAAACATAGAACACAGAATAAAGATACAAACGCTCACTTCAAGAAATCCTCAAACAACGACTTGAACGCCGGCTTTGCGTCCTTATCGATGACCTCGCCATGGCAGGGCACGATGGTCTCAAAGTCCCAGCCGTAGATGATCTTGAGTCCATCGGCCGTGGTCTTGTCGAAAGCCGCGCCAATCATGCGCTTGTGCCATGCGCTGTAGGGATGCAGACGGTTGAACAGTCGCGAGAAGAAGCCGGTGGGTTTGGTCGATGACTTGGAGTACTGTTCGGTCGCGGGCAGGTTGAACATCACGTCGGCCTCGATGAAGGTCTTGGTCGGGACGTGCAGGATGCCGATCTCCTTGTTGCGCGTGCCGGCCATATACACAAACTTGAACGCAGACTCGAGCAACGAGTCCTCGATCCCAAGATCCTTCGCAGTCACCTCCTTGTTCGACTCTGTGATCTCATAGTCGACGTGAACGCCCTGAGGCTCCTTCCGCGCGCGCAGACCGGCAGGTCCAATCACTTTGGCGGACGGATACTTGTCCTTCCACCCCTTGAGCGCCATGTGGTGCTCAAAGTCCGGCGCAATCAGGTAGCGCACCTCGCGGCCGGCGACCATGGTCTCGGACTCGGTGTCGTAGGGCACGGGGGCGATGACGGCCAGTGTCGCGGGATCTAGTGTGACGACCGTGCAGCGGCCGCCGATCTCGAACAGACCCGCGCGGCGGAACGGGCACGAGAGGATCGAGATCGAGGGGTTGAGTACGCGGGGGACCGCGCAGAGCGGAGATGGGTAGGCCATGGTGTAGTGTGTATGTGTGTGTGTTAAAAAGTGCTGATAAGAGGATCAATGGCGATACCAGCTCGATGATGGACGAGCGATGGGAATTTATCTCGTCGAGTTAGAGTTACGTCATCGCCTTTTCCTTCTTCCTCGGCTCCGCGAATTCTATTGCCCTCAGTCCCCGACGTTTTCATCGCTGCTTTCGCCGACCAGAAAATCAGGTCGCCGGCGTATTATTAATCGTCTTTTGCATTAGAAATCAGACCTTCCGCAGTCTCTTCTGGACCGCTTCGTATTGCTGACTACTCCGCCCTCGGCGTGTACGGGTCTCTACTCTTCCTTAGCCGAGTCTGTACTTCGGTCTGTACGACCTTCTATCGTATTCGTATTTGTCAGCACAAGGGCCTCGTGTTGATGTAAACAAAAACCACACACATCTCATCATCAAAAAACTTTCGTGGAGCTGAATCAGCATCCTCGTTTCTTTCTCCCATCTTTATAGCAAAAAGAAGAAGAAGATACAGAGAAGGACACTTCTTTCCTTTCTTATTCATACACTTGCATCTTTCATTTGCATAACCCCACCAGCATCAAACAATGGCACCAGCTGCAGGACGCAAGCGCAAGCAACCTCACGACGACGAGCCCGCCGCCACGGCAGCTCCCGCAAAGCGCCAGCAAAAGACCCCGTCGACCAAACCACCCGCACCTGTTCCCGCCAGACGCGGCGGCCGCAAGCGGGACTCACTCACCTCCTCGTCTTCTTCCTCCTCCTCTGCTTCCTCCTCGGTTTCCGCAAAGGGCTCTATCAAAGCAGACTCGGTCCTGACCACCATCACAGAGCCTGATTCTCAGCCGATCGAAGATACGCAGGTTGACGTCGACCCCGAGGAGAAAAAAGAGGCCGCGACCACTAATGGCACAAAACATGAGCCCGCGGCGCCGAAGCCATACAAGCTGCGCAAAGTCACAAAAGAAATCACTCCGATCCCAGCTCTGAAATCCGTCCCCCTCAACGTTTACGTCTTTGGCACCGGCAGCATGGCCGAGCTCGGTCTCGGCCCCGAGGCAAAGACAAAAGAAGTCAAGCGCCCGCGTCTGAACCCGTTTCTTCCCATCGACTCGGTCTCAATCGTCGACTTCGCCGTCGGCGGCGCGCATGTCCTCGCCCTCGACAAAGACGGCAAGATTTGGTCCTGGGGTTGTAATGACCATGGTACCCTCGGTCGCAATACCTCACAGGGCGAGGAGGGATTACTCCGTGATATGGATGCTGAAGACGACGACGACGATGACGGTGATCTTAACCCGCTCGAGAGCACTCCGGCTAAAGTCACCGGACTGCCTGATGATCTTGTCTTTGTCCAGGTCGCGGCTTCTGATAGCTTGAGCTTGGCCCTCACCAGCGAAGGCCGCGTCTGGGCCTGGGGTACATTCAGAGTATGTACCATTTCCTTCCCTCGTTAAATTCTCTTGTGACACTCATAACTTACACTCCACACAGCACAATGAAGGTATTCTCGGCTTCAACGAGGACGTCATGTTCCAGAGAGAGCCAGTCCAGGTCCGGATCGAGTTCCCCGTCAGCCAGATTGCGGCCGGCAAGGACCACGTAATGGCCTTAACCACGAACGGCAAAGTCTACACCTGGGGCAACGGTCAGCAATTCCAGCTCGGCCACCGCGTGCTCGACCGCTACCAGAAGCAGGCTCTGCAGCCGCGCGAGATCGGTATCCGAAATATCAAGTACATCGGATCTGGCGAGTTCCATTCGTTTGCGATCGACACCCAAGGCCGCGTGTTGGCCTGGGGGTTGAATCAGTTTGGCCAGTGCGGAATTCCAAGCGAAGGCGCGGGCGAGGACGGCGCGGTGGTCACCGAGCCGACGTACATCAACGCGTTTGATGGCAAAAACATCATCTCAATCACAGCAGGCGAGCACCACTCCGTCGCGCTCTCGGCAGAGAACGACATGTACACTTTCGGCCGCATCGATTCGTCCGAGATCGGCATCGAAAAAGACGAGCTGCCCGACACCGCCGTCAAAGACGACAGCGGCCGCCCGCGCTTCCTTCCCGTGCCTACCAAAGTCGCGCTCGAGAACGAGGACGGGAAAGTCAAGTACATTGCCTGCGGAAGCCACCACAACATCGCGCTCGCGAGCTCCGATGGCTCGGCGTGGACCTGGGGATTCGGCGAGACGTATCAGTGCGGCCAGGGTCCTGCGGGCGAGGACGTTGAGATTCCGACAAAGATTGAAAACACGGCTACGCAGGGGGTGAATATGCTGCTTGCCGGCGCTGGAGGACAGTTTAGCGTTATTGGTGGACTTAAAACTGAAGCGAAGGAGGAGAAGTGATGCGTGTGAGATATTTCGTCAATAGACTGGTTGATTCTTTTGAACAATTTTGTCTAATGAGACTTATCCTAGCGTCTCTCTTAAAAGTTCTTGCTGATCTGCAAATCAAAGCTAGTACTCATTGTATTAAAAGCTAGAATGAAAAAAAAAGACAAGAACTATGTTTTTAACCCGTTTAAAAGACCCAAATTATACACTCTTATTATTTTACAAATGCATCCGCCAACCGCGCAAGAAGAGTCAAGTTCATCCTCCCATCACCCTCTCCTTTGAATCACCTCCTCTGAATCACCCGAGGGAGAGGATTTCAAGATGACAGATCAGAAAAGGTCATTCATGCCTTATCGGCAAAGATGGTCATGACTGCGAAGACGCTGTAGAACAGCATGAGCGGGTATGCTACCAGCGGTCTCATGTCTGAGAGCTGGAGGACGGCGACGAACATTGCGGAGGAGGAGTATGTGCACCAGAATATGGAGAGCGCGCAGAAGAGGTAGCCGATGAAGTTGCTGGGGGAGTAAGATGCGGTTAGCTCGATTTCAAGATGGATGGAAAATAAAAGGTGAGAGAGAGACGTACTCGACAGAGACGATGATGCCAATAGCAGAAGTGACAACAAGCGGAAGCAGACAATAACCAAGCACGCTCGCAGTTCTGATAAAGTCGATACCGCCGGTGGTGGCCATCAAGTTCATGATGAAATGCAGCGATATTGATCCCAGCAGCGCGACGCCGTAGATGTAGCCGAAATGAATCTTGCCAGATAGGAGGAGGAAGGTGCCAAAGAGGAGGAAAAAGAGAATAGGACCGGCGAGATCGGAGTCGTCCATGATGTTTTGATCTACTCTGGCCAGGGGATTGAGGACGGTTAATGTCTATCAGCGATGAGATTAGAAAACGGTCTGTTTGGCATGGAATGGTTCAGTCTCAACAAACCTTTGACTTTATGTGTCCGAAATTGATTCCAAGCTCTAGAGATATCGGCAGTTAGAGAATATCCAACGCAGGTGATGAGAAATAGCAACATACCTTCCAGCAACGGAGGTTCATCAGAATACCCGCCAGTTCCAAATGCAGCCAGCAATCCACGACTCAACCGTTCACCGCTCGCAGCAGCAGACATACCGTCCGCCGCCCCACCCGCTCCAGCAGCTCCAGTGCTGCTGCCGCCAAACGCAGACGAGTACTGCGGAGTCACGCCGCCCATCCCGCTCCGGCTGGTGCTGAATCGTCCGCCGGCCGGGGCGTTGATCGGCGCATCGTAGTTGGAGGAGTAGAACTGCAGGTTCGCAGAGTCGCCGTACTGCTGCTGCTGTGATTGATTTGCATACGCCATTTCTTCTCTGCTGATGCTTCTTCTTGCTGTCCTTCGCGGTGTCTTCAGCGCCGTTCCTGTGCCTGCGTGTCGATGTCCACGGCCTCCCCTGCGAGGCTCGAGATAACCACTTATGTCAGCCTCTTACTCACGTGATCGTGTTCACGTGAGTCCACGTGACTGATTCTGACTGTCCGGGAGTTCGTCGGCTCAACGCGGCTCCTGTGCGCCGCACGAGCTCCACCCCGCGAGCCGAGGCAAAGAGACGAATAGATTCGAGATAAAAGCAGCTCGTCGCGACCACCGTCTGTTGTTGCTGCTGTTGTTGCTGTTTACTGCTTATTATCGACATGTCTGAGTCCTCTTCTGATATCTCACCTATCGAGCATGTGCTCAAGCTCGAGCAGCTCGACGCCGACCTCTTCCGCAGCGCCGAACCTCTCTACAAGGCCCGGGGAGCCCGCGGTATCTTTGGCGGCAACGTGATTTCGCAGTCGCTGATGGCTGCTATCAAGACCGTGCCGGAGACCTTTCAGGTGCACAGCATGCACTGCTACTTTTTGCTTGCGGTATTGCGCTTTGTGTGGTTTAGAGAAATAGAGCTGTGTTGCTGATCAGATATGGGATTTAGGGTGATTCGAGCTTGCCAGTGCTCTACTTCGTCGAGCGGATCCGCGAGGGCAAAGTATGTATCTTTGTTAGCTGTATTATGAAGCGCACACATTCTAACATAATCCTACAGTCTTTCTGCACTCGCACCGTCCAGGCTCGCCAAAAGGGCCGCTGCATCTTCTCGACCACAATCTCGTTCCAGATCCCCGTCAAGACGCCGCTGAATCACCAGGTCAGCTTCCCAGGCACCTCGCTTCCCCAGCCTGAAGACCTACCTAGTCTTGCCGAGTACGCACTGGAGCTGTACAAAGCTGGTGCGATCTCGAAGACCGAGTATGAATTCTCTGACGAGCTTTCGCGGGTTGCTCCTACTGAGTCCAAGACCTTTATCCCTCGTATGTCTTTACTCCTTCCAATCTGCCTCGTATATCCCCAACAAGACCTGATCTGACGCCTTTGACAGAGTATTCGAAAGATATGCCACCCCAGGACCGCCGAAACTACCTATGGATCAAAGCAAAGGGCAACATCCAAGAAGCCAGCGCACACGCCATGGCTCTCGCCTACATGAGCGATAACGCTCTCCTCGGGACCTCGGTGCGAGTCAACGGGATCGGATCCAAGCATATATCGATGATGGTCAGCTTGGATCATATTATCTATTTCCATGTGAGTGGTGTTCATACAGCTGGGTGGTGGATGCGGTGAACTAACGGCTTGCGTGTAGGCTCCGATTAAAGCTGACGAGTGGCTTTTGTACGAGATGCAGTCTCCTTGGACCGGATCTGCAAGAGGTACATATTTGTTTTGCTCTATAAAGGGTTTTCAAGCAGCTAAATAATTGACTCATTATTCAATCAGGCCTAGTATATGCTCGCGTCTTCAGCAGAGACGGTACTCTTCTCGCGTCCGTCATTCAGGAGGTATGTCTTCCGTAATTTCTTCTTTCCTGTTGTCCAATTTGCTGATTCTTCTTTATACAAAAGGGAGTCGTGAGACTGAAAGACTTGGAACTCAAGTCAAAGTCCAAGCTATAGGTTGTTTATTGATCTTGAAGATTGTAGTATAGAAAGGAAGTTGGTAGCACCCGAATGTATTATATACAGAAAACTCGAGATTCTATTAGATGTTCTCCCCGTTGTAATCATAGTATAAATTCACGAGGACTCTTTCAAAGAGTTGTTCACGAGATCGATAACGTCTTTCTGCTTGATGTGGTGCATGATCCTGTGGATTTTATCAGATTCCGAGGTTTGAAAGTGTACAACCGGGACATCGAATGCCTGTACTCCAGCAATTAACACACGCCACTAAACCTCTGCAAATACAAACAAACAAGTCCTCACGTATTTATCAAACCATTCCTTGTTCTCGGGCTCGAGAATATTGACAACCTGTAACTCAAACTCGGGCAGTTCCTTCACTGCTTTCGAGATCGATTCCTTCGCTTCCTCACAAAGCCCGCACTCTGGTCTGGAATATAGCAACATCCTCGGCAGACGCACAGTAGCAGCCGCTACAGAACGCGAAAAGAATCTCCGCGAGATCATTCTGGGCTGAACTGTGGGCAAACAGTCGATGATTAAAGGCAAACCAGAGCTCATCGCGGACGGGAAGACAAAATGAATTAAGGTTTCAATAGGTTCCTGCGCCGGCATCTGAAGCTCGCCGTGCGCAGGTCTACGAACCAGCACCCAGCAAGGCCTTTGAACACCGCTGCGAACAACAACTGCAGCAGGTTCTGTCCTCTGACTGTCTTGGTGCTGCAATTGTGAAGATAGAGACAGATCGATGCACGGTGGAAGATAGCTGATCCGTGAACTGCTTGGTAGGTCGAATGTTTTCTTTTGATCTCATGGTAGAAAGGGAGGGCTCAGTCCTGCTCTCCGCCTTTTATGCCAAATCTCCTTCGCATACAAACTAACTCCTGTCTGCGTACTGTCAACAGCACGAAAAGACAAAAAACAATGGATGAGGAAGACGCGGTTCTAGATCGGTCCGACGACGAGCGCGAGTCCGACGAGCTGGCGGGGCGCGAGTCTGACGCCGACGGCAACAACGATAACGATAACGACAACGATGCCGACAATGACGGCGACGCCGACGCCGACGCCGACGGTGAAATGGACGTGGACGACGACGATGAAGATGACGCGGACGGAGACGGCGATGCTGATGGCGATGCCGATGGTGAGGAAAGAGATCAGGGCGATGAGGACGAGGACTACCCCGCCAGCAGTGCCGCGACCAAGCACCCGTCCGTCGACGACGAAGATCCCACAAACACAGTAATAGACAAAGACCCGACCTGGCTGTACTCCTACGCTCATTCTCGCCAGTTTGTGAAAAGCAAGCTCCTCCCAGGCCTCGACGGTTGTCCCTCATACGATATTGCTCCCTACGTCGCGGCGCCAATGTCGACCTCGATCAACTGCGTCGATCTACCGCAGAGCATGAGATGGATCTTCACCGGCGGTCAAGACGGGTTTATTCGGAAATTTGACTTCTTTGCCTCAGTAAACGGAAAACTGCCGTTGACTGTCGCGCAGAAGCATCCGTTTGCCGACAGTATCACAAAAGCTGGTGTATTGCTATCTTATTGGGAGAATGAGATTCCCACCGAAACCGATGGTCAGTTAATAAACAGCATTGCGAGAACTTGTATTTCATACAACAGTCCGTACTAACCTTCTTTCGCTCTCCAGACACGGTTGTAACAGGCCCCGAAGACAGCGAGATGCAGATTTCACCTGTTTACGCGATGGCCGTCCAATCACAATGCTTGTGGCTCGTGTCAGGAACTTCGGTAAGAGCAATGTCATTCATTAGCCCGTGACTCTTTTATTGACTATGACATTTTCTATAGACCGGAGGAATTACTTTACAGTCGATTCGACACGCCGAAGGCCGGATCCACGCACACCTCAAAAAGCACACGTCCGCGGTCTCTGTGCTGCGGTTAAATCGCGACGAGACCTCGGTCATCAGTGGAGGCTGGGACAAGAAGATTTTCGAGTGGGATCTGAATACAGGGAATGTTGTGCGGGATTATTCAGGAAGTACGGGACAGATCAGTGTTATAGCATGGCGGCCTGAGGTTGATACTACTGTACCCTCAAGTGCGTTTAGTCAGAATCTGGAGGCCGTCAAGGAGGACATGTCAGCAATGAACGGGGCCGATAATGACGCCGATGCTGCCGCTGGGATGGACAAGAAGGAAGACGACTCGGATTCGATGGGTTCACTATTTGGAGAAGACAACGACGACGACGACGAGGAAACGCATGGGGTTAGCAGTGAACTGATGCAGCATGACGTGATTTCAGCTGCAGCGTCGACAGAAAATCATCCAGACGAGGAAATGGTAGACGCTGTCTCTGATCTGAAGGCGGAAAAAGACGAGTCTGAAGGGTTTGAGCAGGCTCAAACAAACGGAGCAAATGACGCAGATTCAGCAAAGCAGACGACCGAACAGCAGGAAACGGATCAGAAAGAATCCTCAACATCATTAGGTGGTGGTAGCGTCGTCGTTTCACTCAACGGTGACACCAGCGAAGGTGACCAAAAGGACCAGCAGCAGTCGAACAACGTCTTTGTATCGGCATCGATCGACGGAAAGGCAAAACTCTGGGACAGAAGATCAGGCAAACCCATAGCCGACATAGGTCAACAGTCAAGCGTTCCTCCCTGGTGTACGAGCGCCTGCTGGTCTCTCGACGGCAACAGCATCTATTTTGGTCGCCGAAACTGCGTCGTCGAGGAATTCTCGGTGCGCGGATCTCTAGAGAAGCCTTCGCGGACACTACGTCTGCCCGCCGGGTCCGGCCCTGTTTCTTGCGTGAGCCCGATGCCGAACGGACGACACTTAGTCTGTGCGTCGTTCGACAACATCCGCTTATACGATCTGCAACAGTCCGCGGCATCGAGCACGTCACAATCCTCGAGCGTCACAAGTAAAGTGCCTTTCCTGATCGTACCCGGTCATCACGGCGGCACAATCTCGGACGTTCTGATAGACCAGACGGGTAAGTACATGATTACCACGGGCGGTAATAGAGGGTGGGAAGGAACTGCGACCGAAGTCATGCTGGTGTACGAGATAGAGAAAATCATGTAAATATATCCTATCGACTATGAGTTTAATCTAGATAGCTGTATATTATGCCTTATGTTTTGCTTGTTTTCATCTGTTTGTTGGTGTGTGAATAGCTTGCTATCTGGAGCCTATTAATGCTGCTGATGATAATTACTCAATCTTTTAAATGATTTGACTTGTGTGAAGTCTAACCTTCCAAAAGATTATCCCTGATCTGTGATATCTCGTCCTGCGAGAATCCTAGATACTCTGTAAGATAAAACTGTACACCACCAAACTCTTCGTCTAGCATCACTAGCGTTTTATACATCGTCTCGTAGCTAGACAAAAATTTTAACATCAGAACAACATACTAGCGAAGAAATAGGACAAGATACATACGTTGAGCTGATCATCGACTCCAGCTTCGCCCTATCTGTGACCTCTGGATATTTGAGAGAGAAATTCTGTATCACTTGCTCAAACTTGGACGCTATGCCGATTCTCGTGAGCTCATATTCTCTTCATTATCAGAGTAATACTGGTTAGCGACTTTCCTACTTTGTCGTCTGTTAAAACAGGCAGAGGGCAACAGATACCTTGATATAACATCCCGATCAATGCCACAGAGCTCTAGAACCAGCGCGCAAAATACACCAGTCCGATCTTTTCCCGCAGTACAGTGAACCACAAACGGCTGCGACGGGTACTTCAGCACGTGCTCGAAAATCGTCCGGTACGCAAGTTTCCCGTCCTGGAGAATCTCGCGATAAAGGTTAATGTACCCGTCTACGCCGGTACTCAGCTGTAGCAATTTCGTGGACGTGTCGAGCGCGGATTGATCGTGGGGCTCTTTTCCCAGCGGGGTGTGTATCCGCTCGATACCCTCGATGGAGTAGATACCGTTCTTTTCGCACTCCGAAGCGGATCGTAGATCAAAAGCCTTTGCAATCCCCAAGGCCTTCAATTGACGCTCGCCATTCTCTGTCAAAGAGTGAAGCGACGCAGCTCTGTATATCATGCCCGACCGAACCTTCTTCCCTTTTGCTGGCACCTTCCACCCTCCGAGATCTCTGAAATTCACCACCCCTTCTATATTTTTAAACCGACTATTAATCTTCAACGCTCGACTGCTTTGCTTAACAAACCGCTGCCGGCGCGATTCTGGCGAAAGCCAGTCTGCGATAACCCGCACGACTTCAGGATTATAACTCACGCGCTCGCCAGATTCTGGATCCAGGCCGTAGAAGTTATGATCACCCTTGCGAACGTAATGCAGTGTATGGCGCGCACCGAGTAAATTTGCATACTTTGCAGAGTCTTCTACAAACAATGTGCCATCGTTAAGTCCGTACACAGACAGAAAACTTGCACATTCTGAAAGATTAACGAGGGAAGTCATATCTGGTTCTGCAAGACTGAGCGTTTCAGAAGCCGGAATCAGCACGCGCTTGGTCTTCATGTAGCGCGGTACGGTGGCCCAGTAGCCTCCGTCTTGTTCCCAGTTTGGGTTGGCGTTCTTTGCTTTCTCGATAATGAGCTCGGTGCGGAATCGTGAGCTGCAGTTGACGTAGTAGGGAAAGGTATGATTGTAGCGGAGAGAGTAGATGAAAGAGGCGATGTTTCCTGCAAAAGTGTTAACATTCGTCTCTAGTATACACAAAGAAGTTTGAAAATGTACCTCTCGAGTGAGCTACTGACGCGACCACTTCCATCCCCTTCGTTGCTCTAAAAAACGTAACGACGTCCCTGATATCAGAAATATCATCATCCAACGTTCTCCCCGCCGAACTCTCAATCTCAGCACTCTCCCCACAATTCCTAAAATCAAACCTAAACGAGCAAAACCCCAAGTCGTCCTGTGCAAGTCTATGTGCCAGCAACTTCTGATAGCAGTAATTCTTATGTCCGCCAAAGCCGTGCATGATCAGCACAAACTGAGTGGGCGGATAGGACGGCCTGCGCGGGGTGGTCAGCGTTCCCACAATCGCGCCCTCCGACGAAGTCGACGGGAGCGAGAACGGGATTTCAATCCGCTCCTCGGTGAATGCGTCCTTATCTGCTACAACCGCCATCGTCGAGTTCTGCAAGGCTGTCGACGACCTTCAAAGGTGTTTGGGGAAGACAGCCGCGCAGTCATTTATCGGGGCGAACTTGTTGAACGGAAGTCTGAATTAAGGTTCTAGTTACCAACTCTATTTTCAGGGGAAGGCGAGAGGCTCTTGAAGAGGCTCCTTTATTTAGAAATCCCAGGCATCCATCTCGCCTTCCTCCTCTCTCAAACAAAGACAAACACATCGCAATGGACCCGCTATTCTCGCTAGACTTCATCTCTCCCGAGATCAGCTCAGCTCTGGCTCCTGAGTACAAGCTGCGTCCGCTACAGACTTCTGACTACGAGAACGGGTACCTCGACGTGCTTAGTGATCTCACCACGGTGGGCAACATCAGCAAGGAGGTTTTTGATTCTCAGATCGCATTCATCAAGTCGCGAGAGGGAGAATATTTTAATATCGTCATTGAGAAAATAGCAACTGGAAAGGTTGTTGCCGTCGGAACTTTGCTTGTCGAGCACAAATTGTAAGTACAAACACGATTGCTTCAGAATGCCTGGTCTAACGGAATCTTACTTTGATACAGCATACACGAATGTGGATTAGTCGGTCATATAGAAGACATCGCGGTTGCCAAATCCGAGCAGGGAAAGAAACTCGGAATCAAGGTTATCCACGCCCTCGATTTCATTGGCAAAAAAGCCGGCTGCTATAAGGTGCGTCAACATCTCTGCCCTATGTGTTGATCTACTAACGTTCCACCGAAGAATATTTTGGATTGCTCGCCTCATAACGAAGCGTTTTACATCAAATGTAAGAGACCCCATTCTTTATCTCATAGTATCATGAGTGCCATGCTAATTTTTCGTTGTCAAGGTGGCTACAAAAACGAGGGATTCGAGATGGTACGTATTCATCAACTGCTAGATTATCTGTAAACACGTTTACTAATATTGAGAATTGCGTCATTATAGGCCCGCAGATTTTAAGTAACCTAATGGGCTGTCTTTTACTATTATGACTTAATGGAGAAGTGAAATCATATAGAGTGTTCAATTAACTTAGAACAATAAACGTGTCCCTGACTTCCAATGTGCTATAGTAACTCACGACATAAGCATGTTAACCGCCCACGGAACAGACAGGGTACGCAAATCAGTATACATCTGGCCAGTGCCCACAAACAGCACCGGAATTCCAGTAGAATACGTCATATTGACCATACTTCCAATCATATCGCCCACCGTATCGCATTTGCTGATCAGGAAAAAATCGAGGTTCCGGTTAGGACCGAAGGCAGCGTTGAAGTTCCGAGCCTGCTGCACCGAGTCAGTGCCGACGAGTGCCTCGCCCACCATGACGATCTTATCAGGATTGGCATATTTGGCGAACTTTTCCAGCGACGACATCAAACGTGTGTCGTTATGGCGACGACCGGCGGTATCAATCAAGACAACGTCATAGCCTTGCTCGTTTCCGTACGCAATAGCGTCCCGAGCAATCACCGCCGCATCTTTTCCGTAGCCTTTCTCGAAAAGCTCAATCTTGCCACCTTCTCGCTCGGTCAGCTTCTTGAGATTGCGGGCGTGGACGCGAAGTTGCTCGACCGCACCGGATCTGAAGGTATCACAGGCAGCAATAAGAAGCTTCATGTCGTTTTGAAGTAACCAGTAGGCAATCTTGGACAAATTTGTAGATTTGCCGACACCGTTCACACCAACGACAGAGATGACATACGGCCGCGCTGAGGACCCTGATTTGACTCTTTGAATCTCATGGAGTAGATCGACCGAGGTAGACGGAGTCAAAATCTTACGAAGCGCATCTTCCATCGCAACGCGGACCGTCTTCTCGATCGATGTCCAGCTCCCAGTTTTCGTACCAACAAGACTCTTTCGGACAACATCACACAAATGCTGAGCAACCTCCGGCGCCACGTTTTTCTTCATCAGATGATCCTTCATCCCGTTAAGCGCATTCTCCATGTCAGCCTCAGATAAAACCTTGCTGCCGATGATGTTGCGGAAATAGCCAAAACCGGAAGAAAGAACAGATCCAGATGAGTTGTCGGACTTCTCATCGGAGGAAGCCAAGATCGAGTTGATTTCACTGGACAGATCTTTCAAAACAAAATCACCAGACTTTGTTTTAGATCCCCACTTCGAAACATCAGCATCTTCGAGTAATTGACTGTTAACGGCCGAGTCATCATCCGGTGCACTGCCATTCGCCTTCTTGCTAGCCGAGAAATCCAACGGTCCTTCGTCGTCCGAAACATCGCGCGCAGTACCGTCGGCATCCCACTTTCGCAGTTTCTTCTTTGCGCTTTTCTTTGACGAGTCGTCGCCATTAGAAGACTCCCGACTCATAGGACTAGCGGATTTACTGCCACCGCGTCCGCCCCGACGACCGCCGCGCTTGGCCAATCCAGACAGTTTGAGCGGCTTGGGTGATTTGCTACCCGCCCCATTGCGCGCAGGTTCAAGCTCATCTTTTTCCAAGTCTTCGCTCTTCAGTCCAGCATCTTCACTATCTTCTTCAGCGTCGTCAGCAGCGGCAGCGGCTGCGGCCACGGCAGAAACTGGCTTGCGCCCGGCAGTTGATTTCTCTAATTCGGCATACCGAACGTCGAAATAATCTCCAAAGTGGCAGACTGGCAAATGATCCGAGTCCTTAGCTTTCAACTCGTCGGCGTAGAGGGTCGTGAAGAGCTTTTTGACACTGGCTAGAAGCTCATCGATGAAGGTAATCTGCAACAATGACTGGTAGACCGCCTGTAGGATAGATCATTAGCACACAGGACTGATATTCTGATATATAGTAACAACTACCAAAGCGCCAACATACCACGATAATAATACCAAAGTCGTTTGACGAGGTCCATTTGACGGTGTACCTGTCCTTCGTCATCGAGCTGTCCGAGCCAGCCTTGCCGCGTCGGTCCTCGATAAAAATATCAGCGACGAGCGAGTCGAGGATGTTGGCCGACACCGGCTGGTAGCACTTCTGCCAGAGCACGATACCGCCGGTGGTGAACACAGAGAAGTAGTCAATCATTCTCTGTCTATTATAAAACACAGATATTCGTCCAAACAGACGCGCAAAGGTGGTGGGTCCGAGCAGGTATTGTTGGAGATAAAAGTGAGCAAACAGGTACAAACCCCGCGATCCGGAGTCGGCGGCAGAGTGGCCGAGAGACGCAAATGACGTTCCGCAGTGATCCTTCTCCCCGCGTCCGCAGACTGTTGCTCGACTCCAGATACCGATACCGAGCCCGAGGATTTGGTGTTTGTCGTAAGTACTGTGGCTGTTGTTGTTTGGTGTATTGTGACTGTGGGCTTGTGGTCTGTTTGGTGTTTCGAAAGTGTTCTGACCGTCGCTGCTGGTTCTGCATCCACTAGGTTACCACAGTTTAGTACTGCAGATATCTCTTATATCCTACAACCGAATCATGTCTCTTCCTAAACGGATCATCAAGGTGCGTCTTTTTAGCTTGCAGGGCTGTAATTTAGTGCGGCAAAGAACAGTCGCGGGCTGATACCAAGAATCAATAGGAAACCGAGCGTCTAGTCAGCGATCCGGTTCCTGGAATCACCGCCGTTCCACATGAGGAGAATATGCGATACTTTGACGTTACTGTCGATGGGCCATCACAGTCGCCATATGAAGGTATATCAAGATGTTTGTGCCTGCTATGGGCTCTGCGTTGGGATACGCTACTGCGCTGATGCGCTCGGTGGCTGACAGAACGACTTACTTACATCTGCATTAATAATAGGCGGTGTCTTCAAGCTAGAGCTTTTCCTTCCTGAAGAGTATCCCATGGTTGCTCCCAAAGTCCGGTTCTTGACAAAAATCTACCACCCAAATATCGACAAGCTCGGACGAATCTGCCTTGATGTCTTGAAGAGTACGAAGCATTACCCAACCATCATGCAAACGATACTATGATTCACTAACGCATCTCTTTCTTATTGTTTTAGCCAACTGGTCTCCTGCTCTTCAGATCCGGACGATTCTGTTATCTGTGCAGGCTTTGCTGGGCGCACCAAATCCTGTAAGGCTACCGCTTTCCACGTCTTCTACTTCATAGACTTGATTATTAAATGCTAATCTGCTACAGGATGATCCGCTTGCAAACGATGTTGCTCAGCGGTGGAAAGAAGACGAGCGTGCTGCTATCGCTACTGGTAAGATCTGACATTAGTTATCAAATCCTGTGACATGTGCTAATCTGCCTCTCTTTCGATGTAATATAGCCAAGGAGTGGACACAGACCTACGCTGCGCCTTCAGAGACTGAGGCCTAGAATGTGTGAAGGAGAGGAAGAGGAACTGGGATCTTCGTATTCATGTTCCAAATATACGCATAGGATAGGCGATTGGTGCTTTCGAGTTTGTTTGTCTTAATGGTCATCCAATTAATTTCTACACGCGCGCCTCCTTTCATCGTTACTACCAATAAATAGTCAAAGGAATCAAGACCATTTCTTATTACTTTGATATGTGTTCTTTTGCAGAGTGTGAAAGCATGTAATTTAGAGGGACATTGACTGGCGTAGTCGGTGTTTGAGGGTTTAATAATACAAAAGATGATTACTCAGTTCGTGATCAAGAGAGATTCTTTTGGATGATAAAGCTTTTAGATTTTGATTTTTTAGACCATTCCGAATACCGGACTACTCTAGACTGAATTGTAAACGAGCGGGTGAGAGAATTTAGCTGGTGAGCTCCATGATACTAGAGAAGAAAAGAAAAGTAGTTAGCACCTGATTGAACCAATTCATCATATTGTAAATCGAATGCAATTGAACGCACCTGTTGACTATGTCAGAGTCGTTCTTCTTCAAAGCCTGGACGGCTTTTGCCCGTGAGACGGCAGCCTGAGCCATGACAATCTGAATATCCTTCTCCAACAGTCCGGTCTCGTCGACCTCACCCTCCTCCTCGGGCTCAGCCTCGACAGGAGCCTCCTCAGCCTTCTCCTTTCCCTTGCCCTTGTCCTCGGGAGCCTCGGTGGTCTCGGCCTCAGCGGTGGCGTCGGCGGCGCTGGCAGCCTGGAGTTGTTGGGCGAGGTTGGCCTGCTGGCTGAGGTCCTCGATCTTGGCCTCGCCAAAGACGATGTAGCAGCCGGAAGAAACCGATCGGAAGACTTCGGGGTTCGAGACGACGAAGAGGATGTTCTTGGAGCGGCGGAGGGTGACGCGGGTGATGCCAGGGACGGGCTTCAGTCCGAGCTTGAGGACGGCCTTGCGGGCCTTCTTCTCACCACGGGAGTAGACCGAGACGGAGGCACCGGCGGGGATCTCCTCGTCTCCGGAGACGGAGGAGGCGTCGTCGGCAACCTGCTGCTCCTCGGGCAAATCGGTAACGTCTTCGATTGACATGATGTGTGTGTGTTTGTGAGTGTTTTGGATGAGTTTCCTGGACTGTGGAGACAAATGCTAATTGGACCCGAATCCTGTGATCCTCACGCGAGACGGAGGAGCGCTCTCGGAGGAGTTGTAGGGTTCGTTGAGTGTAGGGTTTCAAGCAGTCACAGCTAACATTATGTTAGTCAGCGCAGTTGACTAGTGTTATGTAATAACAATGTTATGTAATCATGCGTGTGGGTATTATTAATAGTCTACTGACAAATATGTAGAGCACTGATCCAAACACAGACAAAAAACACAAAAGACAACGCCCGTAATGATACAGAGAGATAGAGACACCGCATAAATATACACAAACCAACGACCTGATCCAAAGAGATACTCGATAAAAAGAAACATTCCCGGTCCAAAAACAAAGCCTACAAACCCATTCCACGGAATCCCACAAAACTGCTTATAGCAGCTCAAACACCGGACGCCCGGGCGGCGGGCGCGTGTCGATCGCTGGAGATGAGGTCGCGGTGGGCGACGTCGGCGCGGATGCGAGATCGACTTCAGGGATGTTTTCGCACGAAATGTCTGTGTGGAGTAGTGGTCAGTAGAAGGCCCGGACAGCAGCGACGGAGCTTGGGAGCACATACCAGAAAGATGACTGATTGCTGCTGTATACCTCTTCACAAAGGCCTCTGTGCGGTGTAGATCTATTTCCAGTTTCCGTTTGGATTCCTCGTAGTGCGCAGTAACTGTAATAATAACATAAAAGAGAACAAGTCAGTAAACCGTCATCACAAGAGCTATCATGATCACCGCTATCGCCGACTTACCTTCCTGCGTCGGCTCCTCAGCCTTGCCGTACTCAAACCTCAGCTTCTGGATTTCCCGGCGAATCTCTGAGCTCCGGCGCAGAGACTTGCGCAAAGTGCTCACCAAATGCGACATTTGCTCCGACTCTGGCAGCGAATTTATGTCGAAGCCGGACATTGTGCGGGGAAGTGCGTACAGTGACAAGGTCGATGAGCTCGAGGTTGGGAGTCCATGCGCGCCGTGATGGTGACGGCGCGCGCCCGGCAGCCCGACGAGCGACGTCGTCGAGGACGCGGACGTCAGACCGAGACAGGAATCTTCGTGCAAAGCCATTTGGGTGCCTGCGAATAGCTCTGAAGTGCTCAACTGCTGCTGTTGCTGCTGCATCGCGGATTTGAGCAGCACGTTCGCGAGGCATCCAGATCGTCGGATCCGGAAAGTCAACGTAGAACCCTAACCGCACATATCAGACCGATTTAGAAATCTATGCATTATTCATTCAAGAAGGAGCAGATTCTTTATTTATTCAGTATGATGCATTTACTAAAAGCAATATGCTCAGTCGCAGGAAATCGTACAAACTTGGACTGAGAACAAACGCCCGATACGAACAAAACGTAAGAACAAACAATATATGCCACGCATTCAAAACCAGTCACCTTCCTTTTCAGACGATCAACCAGCCGACACTAAACAAAAAAACCTGTCCTTATCACTGCCTTCATCTGTGAAACAAGATAAGTAAACTCTTGTCCACTTTTTCTCTCTTTGCTCCTTTTAGATCTCGTCAATGTCGAACTCGAAGTTGCACTCCTCATCACCCTCGTGACCATAAGTATCGGTCTCGTTGATCTTCGCAGTCTCGGGCTATTATAATTCAGACACGTTAGTTTAATGCTGCAAGCGCCATCAAAGCAAGTCTCTCTTCTCATAACACAGATACAACGTACCAGCTCGCCGTAACTCTTCAGACTTCGCGCTTCGTCCGCGTTGTACTTGAGAATAACATCACTGTGATCATCCTGGAACTCACGAAGAGACAGGAGAATAATATCGCCCTGGTTGATCCACACCTGCAAACAACAAGATAAGTTTCGTCAGCACTACCGCTTCTTTCTCTGAACAATTTCTTCAAGATCGACAACGCACCTTCTTGCGCAGCTTTCCTCGGATATGTGCTAGTCGCTTCTCACCGTCAAAGCACTGGGCCTCAAGACGTCCGTTTCCAAGCATCTTGGTCACTTGGGCGTATTCTGTAGATTACCAAAAACTCGTCAGCAAAACCATTTCTTGTGACTCTGCGATGATCCCCCTTGCTGGCAACTCACCCTGTCCATCTTCCTTGAACGTAAGCTCACGCTTCTCGTTGTCGTTCTCGTTCTTTCCTCTCCGACGATTCTATATAAGTTCTCCAGTCAGATTTCTGTTTTTGTGACTCTATTTCCGCTGCCACAGCTAGAACAGTGGTTCATGCTGGCTTGCGGCAAGATTTAAACACTCGTTTTGTGGCGAGCTTACCTTTCCTCCCTACACAAAATAACCATTAGTAAATCACTCTCAACAATGATGACAGCCATGATCTCGTCAAAAACTCACCTTTCCTTTGTTCTTAGGCATTATAGGCTACTGCTGAAGCACTGAAGCTAACACAAAAAAAAATTGAACGCGTGCGTAGAAGAAATCCAGATACCGGACACGAAAGCAAAATACACCGTTTTTAACCTTCTAATCCCAGAGTAGCAGTTTTCTTCTCTTCTCTGATATCAGTTATAAAGACTGAAACCTGAATCGAGAGATATTCCTTGTGAAATAGAAAAGGAAAATTTCACAGAGCGTGCTGACTTTTCTCTTTCCAATTGCCAACTCCCAGTTTTCTACAAAGGTCAATTTTACTGTGCTCACAGCTACTGCGGCGCGCGTAGATTCAGTCCTGCAACATCACTGATACGCCCTCGATTCCCATCTTCACCAACCAGTCCCCCTTCTGCTTTCCACTTCCTGATCCCTTTCGTATCGTCATCAATCCAGTGCTGCATAGTATCTCCTGCTTGTGCTTTTGACCGCGCAGCAAACTAGATACTCGCGCAGATCGCATCCTCTCCGACCATGTACCAACCACATCATACTCCGGCATCTCCACCCCTCCATCATCCCGTCCCTCAGCATCCCATTCCACCCATGCGATCCCCTCCTCCACCAATACAGCAACAGCAGCATGGACGGTCTGTAAACACGAATCCGTATATGCCGCAAGCAGGCGCTGTGCCCGCTGCATCGTCTGGTTACGTGCCTGGTAGCGCTAGTGGAGGATACAACCTGTTTAACGATACCACCGCCCAGGTCGGACTTCAGGTTGGCCGAAATGCCGTATTAGCTGGCCAGGAATACGTCGAGCAGAACTTTGGGCGATTCATGTCGCTTTCTATGCCAACACTGCGGACATATTTCAACGTCTCGAACCGTTACGTTGCGAGCAAACTGTCCCTCGTTGTCTTCCCCTGGCGACATAAGGTTAGTTCTGATTCAGGCCGCTTTTGATGGATGATCAACTTGGACGATAAGACTGACATCTTCTCTTCAATAGCCCTGGTCTCGGCAACCTAAACGATCGGAAGTGTCTGGTGCGGTTGAAGGTTACATGCCCCCAAGAGAGGACATCAACGCGCCTGACATGTACATACCAGGTAAGCTTCGTTTCTGTGCTGTATACAGTCCGGAGTCTCCCAATCTAACGCGTCAACAATTTCATAGTAATGGCTTTCACCACCTACATCCTACTTTCGTCGATTCTGGCAGGAATTAAGGGCGACTTCCATCCTGAGCTGCTGGGGTACATCTCTTCAATGGCATTCGCAATCGTGATCTTTGAGATCTTGGGATTGAAGCTCGGGTGCTACCTCCTTAGCATTTCGAACGAGTCGCAGATCCTAGACTTGGTGGCGTATAGTGGATACAAGTTTATTGGGTATGCTTTTCCTTGTTATGCTGATAGATATCGTCAGATCATCATGCTAATTGGCTGCAATACAGGGTTATTATGACCATGATCGCGGGTGCCCTGGTTCCTGGTTACTTTGTTAAATACACCGTTTTATTGTATACATTTGCGGCAAATGCCTTCTTTTTGGTATGTCAACGACACCCTATGATCTGATTGATCTTTGCGCTGTTGCTAACCTGTTCATATTATCAGTTGCGCTCACTGAAGTACGTCGTCCTCCCCGAATCCTCGATGAACGGCTCGTCCATGACTACCACCAACAGGCAGCGACAACGTCGGATACAATTCCTCTTTGCCTACAGTTTTGTGTGCCAGTTCGTATTGATGTGGCTTCTTGCTAAGAGCTGAACAAACTGCATACACAAACAGTGAAAGCAGAAATAAGCGAGTGATGGATGTGTCTGTTGGTTTCTAGTGTCTATAGAGCAGGTCAGTTGGTGTAACTGATTGTCCTGAAAACAAATGGGGTTTCTAAATTTTGCTCTGTATAAATAATTATTAGGCGGATGGTTCCAACAGTTTATTATTCTAAGTAGTCTAACTGAGATCTTGCAATCACATGTATCCGATCCCAAGTAGCCTCAATCCAAGAAAGAACATCTCCATCAGACTTAATCGCTGATCGACTGTAATGTTCAGACTTATTTCGAGAAGCGGTTGAACCACTGGACAGCCTGGTAGAACGCAGCCTCGTGTGCCCACATAGTAACCGGGTCGCTGGGGTCGCCGCGAACAGCGAATCCGTGCTCGACAGACGAGTACAGAGTCAGAAGGTAAGTCGCGCCAATCTCCTTCAGCACCTTCTCAGTCAGATGGCGCTGCTCCTCAGGCATGAGGTGGTCGGTCTCTGTTTGTTCATAATTTATGATTAGTCTTGTTTAGAACATCAATTGAGCGATCTTCTTGATCTTCACTTACCGGCAGCCGCGATGGAAAGAGGACCCTTAATAGCACGGAGCTCAGGCTCGGTAACAAACGACGGGTGGGCAATGAAACCGCCATCAAGCTTTCCCTCGTCGAGCAGACGAACAACGTACTTTCCTCCAAAACAGTAGCCAACAGAGAAGAACTGGGTCACAGAAGGGAATTCCTTCTTTGTGTACTCAAACGCCTTCTCGATGATCGGCTCGGTGTACTCGATGTTGTGGACCGCTCTCCAGCTGGGGAAGTCAAACTCCGCAGGCATGGGGAACGGAGCCGGGTCATCGCCAAAGAGGTTGGGCAAGATCGCAAGATATCCCTGCTTGGCAAAGTTGTCCGAGATGATCTTGTGGTTCAAGAACGGCATGCCAAAGATATCGGCAAGATAGATCACGGCTCTGGTGGGTGCCTCGGTGGTGGGCTTAGCGACGTAAATATCAACGTCTTCGAAGGTGACAATTTCACCAGTGGGGGTACCACTGTGCTTGTATCCCTTAGTGCAGCAGGATGACGATTCGTAGGAGGCCATGTTTAATCAGCAATTGAGTCAATTGGAAACTTGAGAGAATGGTGAGAAGCAGGATACGATAACTTATCAGTTCCGACTCTCGGACCCTCTTATAATCTCGAGCGACCGCCCTAGCCCTACATCAGATTAGGTGGGCGTCCCTGGGCACGCAATGGAATGGCATTATGATCCCTGTTGAGTCTTTTTTATTTGTACAATCTATAAATCCATCAATTGATACCCAAACATGTTCACTAGACATCCCGCGCAAGCTCTTTATATATTTTATAGGCATTACCACCCTCCGTAGCAGCTTGTCCCACGACAAGCATTAGCGTTTTCGCGTTATCCTTCACCTTATCATCAAACTCGGTGCTTGTAAAAATCTCGCGGACTTTCCCCGACAAATCGCTGGAGTTATCTAGTATCTCTGCAACTGCAGCTGCCGCTTTTGAATCTCGGGCAACTAGCGCTAGCGAGAATAGAGCCTCGGAGGATAAAATCCGACGGTGCTGCTCCTCGTTCAGTAGGCTTAGGATCATCGAGAGAACTGTCGTCAGTTTTGTCTCTGTGTTTTCTGGCGCTATTGTCGTCACCAAATCAAGATCCTGATCTGACTTCAGCGATAATGATCTTATAAGCGTGCAGAAAAGTCTTGACGTCTCCAACCGGATAGATTTCTCTGAGTGCTGCGAGTGTAATTGCACAGCCTTCGTCAAAAAGACGTTCTTGTAGTCGGTTGAGACGAAATCATGAGCATTCTCGTCTTCAATAATCAAAAGAGCTAGGTTAGCATTATCCCGTATATCAAGGCTAGAGTGAGAAAATGCTGACGTACATGAATTGCTCAAGACCACGCGTAATAAACCCAGGGCGGAAAAGATAACCTGCGGGGATTCGTCGCATTCCAGCAGCCTCCCGATCGCAGAGAACACATCGCTCTGTACTAGTGTTCTCTTATTTTTATCTAAATAGCAGCAAGTCAGTGAGACAATGAAAGATAATTTATAAAATAATCTGGCCGGGCCATACCACTGATGGCTAGATTTTTGAGCAAGCCTGCAGCTGAGTACATCTCATTTGCGGTCGAATTGGAGTTTTTAATTATCGATATCGCGCTGATATGAGTGTTTCTGGAGTTTACCATATATACACATGCAGTTTCTAAAGTAACAACATGGTTAGCCAAATCAAGTCTCGGCGCTATCGAGATTGCAAAGGACTATTCCACTTACCATTGGTGCACAAGTTGCCGATGAATGTTAATCCGGCCACACGAAGATATGAAGTTTGAGCGCGGTTATCATATAAACTGATCCACCTCTCCCACAGTTCAACCAAACTCTCAGGTATTGACTCGGCAGAGAAAACATCCATGCCAGAAATATTACTGAAGTCTCCGAGTATAACCTTTAAAGCATCGACGTCCTCTGTGTCAATAAGAAGTTCATATTTCTCGCATAACAGTATCAAGTCCGCATAGTTGTTTTTCAATGTCTGCAAACGAAACGACTCGAAGGTTAACAGCGTCGAAATCAAGATGATATTATCTGCAACCTCGCTCGCTGGAATGGCGCGGAGAATGACTGGAAGTGCGTCTGGCCGCAGCTTATTCTCTGTGAATGCCTCTGTAAAATCAGTTTGTTAATGACCTGTATCCATTGATCGAAAAATAGAAAATAAATTCTTACCGTTCAGGATCAGGAACTCCATAAGACGAAGCACGTATGCAGCAGTAGCCTCGTCATGTATATTGGCCAGCATTGACACAAGCAGGCCCAACACGTCATTCCTCGCCTTCACCAGGAAACTTTGTGCCACATCTGTTACCATCAAGAACAACGTTAGAAAGATTTTCCATGTTCAATGTCTTCTTTTCCCAAATTGTGGAGAACCACATACCGTAGTCGTTGCAGAAATTAAACGCGACTATAATTGCTGTATTGCGCAGCTTCTCATCTGGACCAGACCAGCAACTATCAAGAGCATCGACAAACCCCGGCACGCTCATCACAAGATTTCGATTCAAGTCTAAAAAGCATCAGTAATACTACTCGCTTTGGCTGTTGGGTGGAATTTGTAGACGCTCTTACTATTGTCAGCGCATACGTTGCCCAGCACCCGCAAGCACTGAAATCGCACAGATGGCTCTGTGTAAGTGCTTTCAAGCTTCGCAACAATCTCATTGATTAACGCGGACCGTTCCGAAAATCTCTGTCGTTCATTTTCTGTATTTTTGCTACCAGTCAGCTCTCAATCGTCCCTTTCCAAGCAGTGGTTGTCCGGTGGTCACAAGCAAGTCCTTACCATTCGCCGCAAGCGCTGCCAAGTCAGACAATTGACTCTCTAGCTCCTGTGTTGTCCATCTAGGCCACAAGTGCTCGGGGATTGGAATGCCTGAGGTAACGGAAGGCATTCAGATTCTGCTTTTGGTGCGGGTTATTGATGTAGCTTTTAAATATGGCTCCCAAAGTAACGAGCAGTGAGCGTGCATCAAATTAAAAGAGCACAAGTCGGTAAAATCGGCGTCTTGTGCGATTAGAGATTCAGGGGTAGAAGAAGTCTAACAAAGTCGAGTCTCTACTAATGAACTGCACCAACGTCATTAATATTTCTCCACAATTAACTGAATCGTCTCAAAGTGTTACCGCCTTACATAGAAAAATCTCAAAGATAGACTGTACCTATCGTGGTATTAATACCTGAAACTGGCTTGTGCCCACAACCACAAAAGCCTGGGACTTTCATGTACAGAAAGTGCTAGGATAAGCATGGACCGTCTAAGAGTCGGTCAGCCATTTCTACACACCGTACATATAAAATATGAGCACCTAAAGCTAAAGCCAAGAAAGACCTGAATCTGCGATATTTAAGAATCTCTTACAAGCAATTTCGCTGGAATCGATATCAAACTACGGTCAAAGCACAGTACCGCCGCCGTCTGCGGCTCACTTATTTATTCATTGCTTCGAGTCATAATGTCGCAGTGGCCAATCAACTATAATTCCTGTCAACTTTGGTCTGGCAGAAGGATAGACTTAACTAGGATTTGCAGTTCATCAGAAGCATACGTCTATAGTACTATTAACATCACCCAGAACAAAAATCACCATAGCATACAAGCAGGACAGAATAAGCAATCACAATCATACTCCAATCTTCAAATATACCAAACGGATACAAACGAAGAATATAAGACAGCTATTCAACATTACTCAGTCGATATACTCCTTCAAAATGTTATTCAACACCTCACATCCGCGCAAAACAAAACCCCACTTGATATGCATCAGCAACGACGCGGAAAACGCGACTAGTCCAACAACTAACGGCTTGCCATCACTAGATTCAATCCTAGCCGCATCCTTCGAATCGTCACCATAGCCTTGTGCGTCACGGAAGCTGCGGCTTGAATTGGCTTGCGGATTGCCAAGTCCTATCGCATGTCCCCTTGCATTCATTCGTCTCAAATATTGCAGAGCATCTTGCTTAGCCAGACTGTACTCAATATTTCGCCCGTTCACCGAAACGTATTTTCGACTGCTACCAGCAAACGTCGACGGCGTCTCATCATTAACTTCTTGATATCGCTCATACGACCAGACTGTTAGAGTAGCAAGATATACACCCCATGGAATATGTACAGCCTGGTCCAGCAAACCTTCATTCTCAGCGATTCGTCTCATGAATTGCACAGAATGCCAAGCTGCCAGGCGACCATCTTCTGATTTTGCCCAGAGATGTACTGCTCTGTTGGAGTTTTCTCTATCGATCACTCGAATCTTCCGTCCCAAGACGTTCGGTGATCCTGCATTGATTCGCAGACTCATCGTGTCGACATGAAGAGCCAATAATCCGAGCTGAAACATCGCCCAATTTGAACACAGCATTGGAGAGTTGTATGTGTAATCGTTCATCGGACCCATCACCATTTGCATCGCAGATTGCCCTAGACCTCGACCACCAAAGCCTGAACTGCTTGGAAAAGGGTCAGGTGTACCTTGATTACGGGGTGAAGACTCTCCCGCGATCATGACAGTTGAGGAAATAGACGGAAGATTTGACTTGCTCAACTGATAATCAAAGTAGTTTTTCCAGTTGGCAAACGACGTTTCTAGTCGGTTTTTAAATTCAGTCATTCTTCTCTTTGAGACTATTCCCATATCAAGCAGACCTCGCCATTGCATATCCCAGCAAATACTGAGCAGTCCGTGCAGCAAAATAAGGCACGAGAATTGAGAGAAGTTGGCGAGATGAAACTCCTTCTGATCCTCTCTCGACAGCCGGATCAAGCGCTTTAAACTGTGCAGAAAAGTTGGCCACAAAACCTCCTTCGCTTGGCCGTCACCGATTGTTGGGCCTCTCAGTTCTTCTTTGGAGTCTACTGGTGCTTTCGCCACTCCGTCGCCAGGATTCGATCTGAATTGCATCATCCCGACTTCAGCTGCTTTGCACTGAATCTGATACATCTGATAGAATTCGCCGCCATCTTTTGCTGCCCAGCACGCGTCGGTGGAAGGAAGTTCGAGACGAACCTCAAAAGCGGAGAGAATCGGACTGTGACGAAATAACGTGGCGTGTTGGGTGTCGCATATAAATGCAAAAAAAGCAGTTCTGGAATCAGTCATAGTTAGCAATCACACTCAGGGTGGGATATATCAGTTGCCGAGAATAAATACCTTTTTGTCGTCTCGTACCACACCCATTCTCTCCATTGGTGATCTGCGGTGTCGTTATCGGATGTCTCAGAAATCTGTGGTTCCTGCAGACCCTTAAGGTATCCCGAGAAATGAATCAATGCGATATTTGTCCCGTGGAAAAACTGAGACATGTCATACTGGACCGTACTACCAAGCATTTTGTCAAAGTAGTTGGTCAAGAGCAAAGTTTGATGAACCCAGAGCTGAACTTGTGGTTGGTCTTCGATCATCAAAAAAACAATGTTTCTGAACTTCTTGTGTATGACGATAGCAAGCGTGGAAGCTTCCCGATCAGTAGAGTAAGCCATACCGATAGTCACGATCGCGATAAGAAGAGCGGGCTCCATGACTGATGGATCAAAGGTCGGCCGGTGAAGGATGGGATAGAGTGCATCAAAATGAACCCAGTATAGATTCAAATACTGCTTCATTGCTTGAATAGAGAAGTAAGGGTTATCCATAGTTATCTCAGATATGGGTTTAAGGACTTCCACCATTCTAGCATGGACTTCAGGGCCGATCTCGCAATCATCCTTCTTAGCCCAAGAGGCTGCGTCGGAAGAAGCACGAGGTAAGGGCGATAATTTATCTAAACCGATTTTAATGTGAGTAATTAGTTGAAGAAAATATGATAAAATATACTGTGTCACACGAACCTGCTGGAGGTGAGTTGCGAATGTTACTATCATTGGCAGTGACAGGAACTGTCCGAGCGTGCTTTGAGATAAACGGCACAGGGCCGATGTGACCAGGTCCAGGCATCTGTGTATCCAAAAGAGCATCCTCTAGCGTTACAGAAGATTTCTCGGCCATTGCCAGAGGTGCTGTTGCTATCTGACTGAGAGAGGCAGAAGATGAATATGCACGAGCAGTCAGGTCATGACTTGCCCCATGACCAGTATCGTACATCCTCTCTGCCGATTGACTGTTTTGTAACTGAGGGTTACTCCAGACATTTTGAACTTCTTGCGATGAGTTTCGAGAAGGTAAAAGGCTTTCAGAGGAATCTGTCCAAAAATCCGAACCAAAAAGCCAGGTATAATGATCTGAGAGACTAAGGTCGAAAGTATCGAGAGAGAACTTAGGCCAATCAGTTGCCGAACCGTATGAAAGACTGTACTGCTCTGCAGCAGTTGGGACATGTTGAGAAGAAGAGGCGATAGAGGCTTGTAAAGCGTGAGAAGGGTGATCTTCCGGAAGTTTTGCCATTTCCTGTTTTGGTTCAGTGGAATTACTGCGGGAACCTAGCACACTGCCTGGTAGAGATACTGAACCCTGTAATAGTTTCGCCTTGTTGGAGGCGCCCAGGCTGTTAGCCTCTAATTTCAGTTTTCCGTCACCGTGAGACTGTTCTGAACCGAACTCAGGGGAATGGGTAGCTAGGTGCGTTTGTGACTGTGGATGAGGAGGAGGTGGTGCAAAGTAGGGAGCCTTGATTTGACTACCTGGATCGGCGGAATTATCATACACCATATCAACTGGAACGACACGAGAGGAAGACAGCGCCTGAGCAGCCTGCTCAGGGGAGTTATACTGCTGGTGCTGTGGAACAGGCAGAGGACATATTGGCATGTTTGAGTTCAGTGACGGAACGCTCACTGCTGGAGGTTGGTGGGGCGCCACATGAAGGGGTCGGAGAGGATCGTCAAGAAGGTGATTGGGATGAGCAGAACCAGGCTGCTGAGGCAGCTGGCCCTGCGGCAAGAGGTTCACGAGGGGTTGAGTAGAAAGAGAAGGAAGGGCCATGGACGACTGTTGTTGCGCAGCTAAGTGTGTTTGCTGCAATTGCTGGATGCTGCGTTGCAGTGCTTCTCTCTTCTGTCGCTTCTCATGGGCTTTTGTTGACATGTGCTTCTCCAGCAGATCCTGCCGAGCGAACTGGGAGGGACAGATAGGACATTGGTACGGTCTGACCTCCAGGTGATTCGCAGAGTGTCGTGCGAGATAGTCTTTGCGATTGAAAGTCTTTCCACAGCCCGGATGTGTGCAGGCGAACTTGCGGTCTTGCTTCTGTGCCGCGGAGGAGGACGCGTCACGGGAGCGCTTGTCGACCATTGCCGGTGTTCACATCAATGCGACGCGAGGGGCCGAGAAGAGATTGCAGGAGGGAGTAAGGACGGAAGGAGGAGGAGCATGCAAGATAGGAAGGCAAATGTCGTCGGCTCCCAAACGTTGGCGAATCTTACCTTGGTATTGCTTGCGCGGGACCTGTCAACTCTCTGAGTTTATTATGGGGCGATAAGAACCGTATTGATGCACGGACATCACAGGAGTGATCGCACCCTGTTTAGCACCGAGAACCCAATTCCCAGTATCTCTCGATCAGCAGCAGATACCAGTTTCATCAGTTTCATAGGCAGTTTGACAGGAAACCAGCTGCTACGTCATCGATGCGCGCAGAACTGCTCCGGATCGGCTGATGCGAAGCAGCAATCGGACGCACTCTTTGAGTGCTCTCGGATGCGGGTCTGTCTGCCTGCAGTGACGTGAATATCTAGCCCAGCGCTATTATTACGTTAACGATTACATAATGACTTTGGGAACCTTATTGCGTACCGCCGGAGATGAGCTGCCAGAAACCTGATCGACTTTCGATCTCATCGAGCTCGGCTGAACATCTGCGGATCCCGCGCTCACTCGCTTCCTGATATGGTACCCTCGTATATTAGCCGACTAATATAGTCCTGTTCTCGTCTGCTTCTTTCCACTTTTTGGTCTTTTTGGTTATCGAAAGTCTTGTGGCAGATAGCGACGTGAATCTTTCTCCTCGCTGCACAAATGCGGCAACTTGTCCGAGCTTATGCAGGGTGGCGGTTAAAGTCGGGCGCTTAAATTCAAAGGCAGCTGTTCTAGCGCTTAGGCGGGGCAAGCGAGAAACCTATATTAACCTCCTCTACCCGCTCTTCCCCACCACCCTTTTTCTTCTCCTTCTCCCCCTCCTCCTCGCAATCCCTCTTTCACCACAACAATGTACTCAATTAGTTCCACCTTTGACGCGGAGGACACCTCCAACAAGCTGCACACTCTTGTGTCGCCCAACGGTCTCGTTTCCGCCAGCTTCGCCAACCGCGGTCTTGCCTTGGTTTCCTTTGGCGTCAAGCGCGATCCCAGTGATCCCTCTTTCCACAACATCTCTTGCGGCTTCGAGTCCGGCGAGGGATACCGCCGTAAGGATAACCCGTTCTTTGGTGCCTTCATTGGACGCGTTGCGAACCGCATTCGCGACGGACACTTCGAGCTTGACGGCGTTGATTACCAGCTGGTTAAGAACAACTTCGGCCACTGCCTCCACGGAGGCGCCCACGGCTACGACAAGGTTGTCTTTGCCGATCCCGAGGTTCTCCCCGCTCCCTCTACGACTGCATCCCCCAAATTGAAGTTTTCCTATGTCTCTCCTCATATGGAAGAGGGCTTTCCTGGTGAAATCACCCTCTCCGTGACTTACTGGTTAGAGGACGAATCAGCCGGCGGTGCTCTCTACGTCGACTACGACGCCTCCCTTACCGGGCCCGACGGAATCGCCCACGCGGTCGTTAACCTCACGAATCACTCTTACTTCAACATCGGAAACGAAAAGACAATTGCCGGAACTGAGGTCACTCTCGGCACAAACAAGTATCTCGAAGTCACCGATACCTTTGTCCCTACCGGTAAAATTGTCCCGCATCCATTAGTGCCCGAGGATTGCTCCAAGTTCACTCTTGGTCCCGTCGACCCTGATATCGATCACTGCTTCGTCTTTCCTGACGTTCCCGATCTCTTGGCTACCGATACTCGCTCTTTCCCAATGAAAACTATGGCTGAGACTTACCACCCCGTCACTGGCATCCATTTCGCCGGAAGCACCACCGACCCGGCATACCAATTCTACACCGGTCGCTACATCAACGTTGCTGATCTCTACCCGGCTCGATCTGGATTTTGTCTGGAGAGCTCCCGTTACGTTGACGCCATGAACATCGATGAATGGAAAAAGATGGTCACTATCGGCAAGGATGACAAGTACGGATGCCTCACGAAGTTCTCCCTTCATTATTAAAAACAATCACTACACGGAAGTAATTATTTGGCTTGCATCATATCTCATTGTATAATAAAAAACACTTCTATATCCTTTCATTGGTAACATTACTTAAGACAATTAAAATCGGTCAACATTATATCTGCTCCCCATCGATCACATCAGTTAACTGCCACCCACTCCCAAATTCTTACAATCTCTCCATGAAGCTCCATCTGGCGACTACGCACATTGGAGTTACCTTCAATCTTCTTTTGAACCTTGTCCCAAATCTTTCGTCGGTTCCCGCTAAATTCGTCGGTATTCAGCAATTGGTCCTTCAGCTGAGCCATAACAACAAACCGCGGAATTCTACCACTAGTGTCCGAGTCGCTACGTCTCTGCTGCTCTTGCATAATACGTAGACACGCTTGAGAAAGCTCACGAACTTTCACCTGCTGTAGCCGCATCCCATTCGCCATAGATGTTATAAGCATGAACGTTGCGAGCGCAATAGCGAGTACTAAACAATCAAACGTAATGTATCAGCAACCCGTCACAAATCTCTCGCTTAAATCAGAAAAAAGCCTTACGTGTAATCTTCAGACGGTTGGCCTTCAAAAACTCTCGAAGCTCCAACTTTAGCACACACGTCCATGGGAACTCTTCTTCAGATTTGGATCCCACGCGGTCGCCAAATTCTTCACTAACAACATATACCTCATCTTGCAATGTCAAATCCTTGTAAGAAATATTCCAGAGCTCCTCAAACACACCATTAGGAATCTTGGACTATAGTTTCTCGTTAGTACGCTGTATAATCCTCGAATCTGCCGCAAAACTTACAGATTTCATCGCAGACAATGTTGACTTTAGCTCTTCCACAGAAATCGTGGCATCATTCTTGTCCTTAGCGACACCACTGCACTCGACTTCAGCCAGTCTCTTGCGAAGAAGCAAAAGCTCAACATCTAGAAGCTGTCTTGCCTTCTCGAGCTTTCCGCTATCAGGAACGCACTTAGGCGCTATCGGAAGAAATCCACCCAACGACAGAGGACTGCGAACAAAGATATAGTCTGGCTCACATTCAACCCTCAAATCTGAATAACACTTCGCATGCTCTGGGCACGGCAAGCAGTCAAGCTCAAAATAAGACAGGAGATTCGTGCTATCGTAATCTCCACCCAGTTGTACGCCTTGACCTTCAATCTCACAGTATCCCGTGCGAAGTCTCTCGCTTTTCCACCACCATATTGACACGGAGGTAAGCAAAAAAATGATCCAAACACCAAAAATTGCAAATGGAAACTGAAAGGGAGGAGCATCTCGAGACCCGTCCAACAGACTGACATCAAACTCTTCCTCTTCCTCCTCGTCAACTTCCTCATCATCTTCTTCATCAGCTTCCTCATCTTCATCAACACTCTCCTCATCTTCATCAACACTCTCCTCATAGTATTCCTCGTCATCCTCAACAGAATCGCTGCCAGCAACAGACACATCTTCATAAGACGCTGCGAAGTCTTCTTCGCTAGGTTCAGGATACTGCATGGAATCCAGCGCAAACATATCGGAAGAAAAATTTGCTGGCGACGTTGCCAGACTCTCTTTACTAGGTTCATAGCCTGTGCTTGACATAGGCGACGAGTGAGTCTTGGGCGAGCGGGCCTTCTATGAGAATCAAACAGAAGTCAGTATCATTAAGAATTGAGTTCGAATTGAACGTTCAGAGCAAGACTCACTACTATCTGGGAACTCTTTCTGGCTCGCGACGGAGTTTTTGTCTCAACCCGTGGAGACTGAAACGGGTTCTGCGCCGAAAACGGACTTCCCTCTTCCTCCGCCTTTAGACGGCCCTACTTATTGTCAGCTCAAATTCACAGAAACCAAATAAGCCAACAGCAATGATAAGTATAGGTCTTACCGCCTCTGTATTATCCAAATCTTCATGCTTCGGAACAGCCTCTACCGGCGATTGCTGTCGCTTTCTAGGTGTAGTAGTAGAAGATATCTTCCGAGGTTGTGTAACTTGTGCCGATGTTATGTTCTTCGAGACAGAAAGTTAGCATCGAGCCACGTCGGCGCCGATCCAAAAGTAAACATACCGCGTCCACAATAGCAGGGACATCGCCACCACCAACAGACAGACTGGCCAAAAGCTCCCCAGCGCGCGGACTTATATAAGTTCGAAAGATATCAACAAGTGTCGCCTTTCGGGCGGCAGACGGGAACGGAACCTCGTGAAACAGCAATACGCGTCTGAGATCAACGACCCTAAGATTTGCCGGATTAAATCCTGACGTAGTAGTTTTAGCAAGACCAATTCATCTAATCACAGAAAAACTCAAAAGTCAAAAGTACCAGGCTGCAAATACTTGAGATCATCCATCGTATAGATCAGTTCGGTTTTTCTCTTCAGGCTTACACCGCACTGCGTCGACGGTTTTGTTGAGGGCGATGAGGGCAGGAAGGTAAGCGGAACTTTAGAAGTAAATAAACACTCGGACGATCTCGACGCTCGAGCTTTCAAAACCTAAATCACGTGCTCCAGCGACGTCCTGGTCCATTATTGACAGTTGTTCAGTATCGCACCTTCAAGTGATCTCACATTTTTATACGTGTTTGGAAATGGCGTCGAGTGCACAAGATGTTTGGATCAGAAATGTTGCTGCATCATACCAGCAAAGGGTCAAGAAAACGGTTGCATCCGGCGACGATATCAATACGCCATTTGCGCGACAGTTGATTGCGTTATCCAAAGTCCCATTGAGATATGAAAATTCCGAGCTACTAGACTATGCTTTGGAAGTAATGCCTCTTGGAGATCTTTATGCAGCAGCTGAGGAAGCACACGAGAAAGATAAATCTTGGGGCCACCAGGATCATCTGATAAAAGAACTGCTGAAGTAGGTTTCACCATCAGTCTACGTCCCAGATCAACGCTAACTACTATAGATGGTTTCGCAACTCCTTTTTCACTTGGGTTAATGCATTGAAATGCGAACTCTGCGGAGTAAGACAGCTTTTACAATAGTGATATATATATACGAACGCCTACTGACGACTTTCATATAACAGAGCGACTCTGATGTTGTTGGGAGTGCGCCTCCGACAGATCAGGAGCATCGAGATGGTGCCAATAGGGTGGAAATACATCAGTGCAAGAGTTGCAGGCATCAGATGAGGTTCCCTCGATATGACGACCCTAAAATACTCTTGACCTTTAGAAAGGGTCGTTGTGGTGAATGGGCTAATGTAAATCATTTCGTCACCATTTGCTGATACAATTGCCGCCATGGGTTTACTAACCAGAAACTGACTGTTACATATAGTGCTTTGGATTATTATGTCGCGCTCTGGGCTCACGTACAAGATGGATTTGGAATGCTGAGGATCATGTGAGTTACTGTAAGGAGGAGAATGAGAAAGACGATCTGATCTAACGCGTGCTTGGGGCGTAGGTGTGGACTGAAGTGTATTCGGAAGCTCAGAAACGATGGATACATGTATGTTTTGCTTTTTTGACATATATTCATTGTAAATCGGAATCCTAACACTCTTCAGGCCGATGCATGCGAAACAGCCTGGGACCAGCCGAAATTGTACGAACAAGGATGGGGCAAGAAGATGTCCTATGTGATCGCATATTCGGGTGTGTATCTGAAACTATTGTGTAGCCTTACAGCATCAAATATGCTAACCCCATTGATTCCAGCCGAGGGAGCAAAAGATGTAACAGCTCGCTATGTTCGGAACTCTTTACCAAGAACAAAGATTTCAGAGCAGAAATTGGGCCAGGTTCTGCAGTATTATACAGTCTCCAGAAGGATGCATTTATCCCAAGAGGAGCAGAGAAGCTTAGAGGCAGATGACATAAGAGAGGTGAAGGAGCTAGTCCGGTACATATATGGCGATGCGAAACCGACGTCTTCCGAAGAGAGTAGACCTAGAGAGACTGGCGCAGGAGAATGGACAAAAGTTCGTGGTGAAGATGGAACACACTAGATCCTTGCGTTTCTTCTCTCAAAAATAAACAAATATGTTTTCATAGCTTTAGAAAAGACCATCATTCTCCATCCTCTTCAGCTCTCTTGAAAAAACTCATCTCGATCATTTGAAGCTGTCTCCCACAGACGTCTCATCTTTTCTTCATCAGAGAGTTTTGATGAGTATTCTACTTCTTCGGGCGGAAACCGCGGCATAATATATAGCCTCCTCTTCTTTTTGGACGCCCCACCAATCGTTCGGTGTACGGGGATTGTCGATGATGGATCGCTCGCATTCAAGACACGCGAACTCTCGGGGATCCGAACTGCAACCATTGGCTCGACCTGCAGAGGTGATGATGGCAGTGAACTCTGTGGGTCTGCGGTGGATTTATCTTGAATGTTTCGATTTTCAGTGATTTGCTCGTTATTTTGGTCCACAGGCTCCCTTGACACCCGCTGTTCCATATTCAACACTCCTGCCGCACCCCCAGCTTCTGCAGCTTCATCAACGTTTTCCGTGGCACTTTCAATATGAGCTTCTGTTAATATTCTCACTGAAGGTGCCAGTAAAGCCTGGGTCTCATATATTGGAACAGTACTGATTGAGTGCGCGGAGTTATTATTGGTGCCAGAAGTTTCGGCCGAATCTACGACGGGCGACTTTTCCTGCGTCGCAGCGTCGTTTTCTGCTATGACTGACCGAAATTGTGTCGGCTCATTAAGCTGAGGTACTGTTGAGGTTACAGATGGCATTATAGGCGTTATATGACTTGTATGTTCGCGCCTGTAGATCTAGTCAGTACTTAACTCAGAAGACGCACTAAGGGGAAATACTGACAGAGATTCGATACGCTTCGCTATAGCAGCCCATATCGACTTATTACGCCGGATCGGTACCGGCGATCCCAGTATCTGAGCACCGTCCGCACCGATATATGAGAATTTTCGCACATATAACACAGGGACAAATTTGATATCAGATCGAAAGCGATCAGCAGGTGGATCATTCATAAACGGCGTCGAGACATTCAAATCGCATTTGATAGGGTTCCCAATACAACTCGAAGGAAATAAATGCAGATCTGCTTCCGTTATTCGTAGCATGCATCCCGACGTATTGTAGGTGAACCGTCTGGCATATTTCCTGAGGGTAAAGTGTATTAGCGCCATACCTTGAACAAAGAGATGAAGTTCGATAGGATGATACTTTTTGAATGAAACAACAGACTCGTTCGAAAACACTGTATTGATGTAGAACTTCTTATCAGAGACAAGCCCTTGTATGTATTCGTTGGGAGGATTAGAAACATAGGTAATAATCTGAGAAGACTGTTAGTGCCACACGCGTCTTTCATGTCAATAATACGCGTGTATACCTTTATCAGCTGAACGGCTTCATTCAGTACCGGTCCAATTTTGAAAGTGACGCTATTCACTGTCCGTCCATCTGTCAGAATAGAGAGGATTTTCTTTCTAAGAAAGGCTTTTTCTATTTCGCTAGTCATAATGGCGGCGCACTTACAGACAGTGAATTCGACAGATCAACAAGAGTTGAAGATGGGTTGGCGATGTGCTTGGATGTGGGGTTTGTGTTCACCGTATCGCGTTTCGATCTCAAATCCACACCAGATGCCGCTCGAAGCCAGCTTTGAGGTACTTGCAAGGAACACGTTAAGACTTTTAGCCTCCTAATGGCGGAATTAAAACTACTACGGCCTGCCTGTTCTCAGTACATTTTTGTATAATTCCAGGGAGCCGCTGCTTGTGTAAGTACATAGACCAGATGCTGTGCCAGTTTCTCCGTGCGTTCAACACAAGATATGCGTTCGAACCTGGTTTTAGTGCCATCTACAAGATGATGGGATACTCTCGAATCAATTGAAAGATTCGCACCGACTCAAGGCTTAACGGAATTTGAGTGTTTAGCTGGAGTTTTGATATTAACATAGTGTAAATAACTCTTAACATTTCTCTAGCTTTCACATGCAAATTAATGTCTCCATTTGACTCCTAAACCAAACCTTTAAGTAAACGTTCTAACCGGGTAGCTGTCCGGATACATTCCACTCTCCGGCTCCTCAAGCAGCTTCCACGTAGTCTTCTTAGTCAAGGGTGCGGGGTATGGCGGCTGCCCGTCCTTGGCGAGAACTTCACCAAAAACAACTTCCTTCGGAACAGACGCAAGCGCAGCAGTAAGACTCAAAGATCCATCCTTCACGGTCGTAAGCGCCTTCTGACCAGCATCTCCCTTCGCGATGCGGGGAGTCGCCTCAGAGCCGTAGAGAAGTAGGCCACCGATATCTGACTGGCCGTATGATGCTATTCTAGGGTACGCGCGGCGAGTGTCGCGCTTGTAGTAAGGGTTGTTCACGATGTCCGAGGCCGGAAGAGTCGTCGGGTCGCGGTAGAGCTCGGCATCAGGATGTGAGCCGGTGGAAGGCACGCGGTAGTAGGGGACGAGCGGGTTACCGGTGGATCGGTTGGGCACCTATATCAACAAAGAGTAAGTCCAACCTGCAAAACACGACCGGAACATCCGTCGAATAATCGAGGATTCACAGGTACATACCATAGCCAGCAGTTTTCTTATTTTCTCCCATATTCCCTGGGACCTGAGGGAGTATTTCTATGGTAAATATACGTTAGTCGATGCTCAACGCTTTGGATCCACGAGAGCGACACACCTGTGCAATCGGAACGGGACCTCCTCCAACCATGATTATCGCAGCTGACGTAGACGAGTGATGAAAGATGGCAGATATAATCCGGGCAGCAGCGAGAAAGGGAGCTGCTGAATACACCTGAATGGCACAAGTTTTGTGGTGACCGGAAGTTGCGCGGCGGCCAATCAAAGCCGAGCTGATTAGAATCAGAGCCGGGTAAGTGATGTTCGGCTACAAGACCCTTTTCAGACTGTTTCGTGCTACCCAACCTTATTCTGGCCATCACGCCCGAGCGATCGACCTCATAAGCTTGTCTAATGACGTAACTTGACGATCATTTCTCGGTTTGGGCTAATTCTACCCGCTTCCAGTCTGCCTGTCTCCAATATAAATATGCGACGCTCTGATCTGTTCTGTTCTTTTTTCCCTCTGTTCTGTATCTACCTTGAATTGCGTTGAAATATGTCGCTCAAATACTTCCCTACCGTTACTCCTAGGTATGATCTATCTGCCCTGATCCACAGGTCGGCTCACTCTAGACCTCATACTAACCTCCTCCATTCATAGCGCTATTGCCTTGGGCACTGCCTTTACTCATGCTACCAGCTTAGTTCTCTCGGCCCCGTTCTTTGGCAGCGCCTACGAGCGCGCAAAGTCTGCTGATACTCCCGAAGAGTTCTTGAAGTCAAAGGAGGGAGCCGGTGCCATCGCCGCATGGGGATCCTCCTTGGCAGGTGCAGCAGCAAAGACTTATGCTGTTGCGGCCATTCTCCAGTCGACTGGCACCATCACCCAGAAGGGCGCCGTGTATCTCGGTGTTTTGCTCTTCGCCATCGGATCCGTCCCTGGCGCGTTTGTGAAGTAAGATCTCTAACTGTGATCCTTATACTCCTTGACCTCTTTACTAATCACATCTTCTACAATAGCATTTTCCAAGAGAAGCGCCCCGGCGAGTATATCTTCATCAAGCTGGCTTCTGAGCTGGTCGACAGCGTCGGACTCGCCGCGGTCTTGAACTGGTGGGGAACTAGACCTGATATTGTTTAAGTCTTTTGGTGTTTTATCTCGCGACTACTGCAGTCGACCTTAGTGAAGATTACTTTGATTCATTCATAATTAGCTCTTAACTAAAGACATAAACATACTTTTGCATCCTTAATGAATTTCTGTTGCGTAACATGAGCATCGTAATCGGCCTCGCCGTAGACCGTTCTATCATGTGCACAGGCTTGCTCATTGAAACTTCCTGCTCAGTGAAACTTGACCGGTCTAGAACTTAAGCGGAGCCTGGAACTCACAGACCAAGTCCTATCACCACCTGCCAGCGGAGACGTCCGACCACGGACTGGCTTGTAGCTGTGAACGTGGTGCACCTCCGTGTGCATACTCGTGTTTCGCTATTTACCGACAGCCATCTGTCGGCGAGCGGAGAATACCATAGCAGCCGTGTGTAATTGCTTGAGGTATATAGTAGAGCTCATAATATCGCTAATCCTTAGACTTGACTTTCTAAATATGAAACTCGTCGTTTGAATTCTTTGCTGTTGAGAGGTTAGATATGTTCCGTTTATCCCATAAAGATGTGAATATCTGCCTTCCATGTTTAACTTACACAATTTCACCAATTCTTTTGATCTTTGCAAACTCCAGATCGAGGTCACTACATTTTTCCATGACAAGCTTGAGTCTTTCTATCTCCCACTCGGCCTCGTCAGCTATCGAGACACACTGCTCATGGTGTTTATCAGATGACTCGCAAGTTTGCTGAATTAGCTAAATAGACACCGTGCGGTTAGTAGAAAGAGCTTGATAATTGCACTTATCAGACTGATATGATGGCTTACAGAATTCATTCTGTCGGAGATCTCACGTATCATACTCTCGAATTTCGTCGACATTATCTCCACAGACTCCCGACTAGAAGGGGCAATATCATCGGAGGGTTTATCCATCGTCAGCAGATTGGTTGAATTAAATGCGAATGAATGACATCTACCTCTCAAGTAGGAGCAATCATGCGCTTCTTGATTGCAGATGAGTTGAAAGCCTCAGCATATAAGGGGTTTGTAGACATCTGAGAACAGCAGCATCATCAATTTCACCGATCCGCCTTTTTGTTGGTATTGACAAGCTCCGCAAATTATCACATTGACAGTCAACATGTGTCATAACATGCAATTTTAAATCGAAGGAATCTGCTTTTTTTCATATTCTCGAAAGTGACGGCTCGATCAGAAATGGAATCAAGTTCTGGAGATGAATGCCAGACCAAGGAGATGGAGACTATCGAGCGACTGATTGTCTCAATTCCGCAATATGACAATCCATTACGATCACCATTACCTATAGAGGCACCTATAGATGCTCTTACTGAAGACTTTGTGACGCAGATTTCCACAGGGTCCCCACTCCGGTCGATAACGCAGATATTTGAGTCTACCGGAAAGTTTCTCTTATATAAATATGCGGCACTTGAAGACGAGGATCGCAAGATTTCACGCCTATGTCAACTGATCGACGTCATTTGGATCCTTTCTCGCAAAGGTCAGTTTAAAGGACTTAATCCTCTCCTATTTACTGCAGTTTTGGATAGCTGATTACAGATCTAGGACATGTTGAACTCCGTCTTGTACACGAATTTCTGGAAGATCTGTTTGATATTCAAACGATTGATTGGTGCCAGACATTCTGGCCTTTCCTGGAGTATCGGGAGTCACGAATCGCTTCGGTATGTTGGAACTATGTTTAGGTACCTATAGGAGAACGAAGCAACTGACGTTTGGCAGAATCTCAATGGAGCACGGCGTCCAGGAACCGATCTGATCCGCATATGCAATGCACTCCTAAAACGATTATCGAAGACCCAACACTCGTCCTTTGCAGGCAGAATTTTGATTTTCCTCGGCAAAGCTTTCCCTCTGAGTGAGCGATCTGGTGTGAATCAGCGGGGAGAGTTTGATATTGAAAACACTACACAATGGGACCAAGATGTCGACGGTAAGCATTCAGCTTTCGATGGCAATGACTGATTTTTTGATATCTTGAAACGCCCATATCTAACCGATCTTTAGATAAAGTTTACTCTTACTTCTGGGATCTTCAAAAGTATTTTGCGGATCCTCTTGCACTTTTCACTCAGCAGGCTGAACGATCGAAGTTTCAAGAACGACTCACGCTCGTACTGGCAGAACTGAAGAAGTACTCGAACGTTGGCGTTCCCAGTGAGAAATCGTCTTCCTCAACTTCAAACACAAACTCTGGAAACGAAAATGGTCCTGTCCAGATGAAGGATAGAAGCTCAATCTCTGAGGGCGACGAGGAACGATACGTGCCCAAATGGCTGACGAGTAAGTCTTTGTTTGAGCTGGAGCTTAATGACACCCTATTCAGGCGGACGATATACAGTCAGATATACTTTATCTGTGACTTGATCATTGGCAATATGCAGCAGGCTGAAGGGATCCGGAACAAAAGCGTACAATATGCACAGATTGCTGATCCTGATTTCATGAAGTTCATCTCTGAAGTTCAGGATTCTCTCACTAAGACGCAGACATCTCGAACTATCGACCTGGATTCAGCATTCATTCGGTCGCTGAAAGTTGTTGTAGCACGAGACAAAAACTGGCAGAATTGGAAGAGACAAAATACCCCATCATTTGAGAAGCCCTCACTTTCCTCAGACGCTTTGGAATCTGCAAGCGATACATTAGCAAAGCAAAAAGGGTTAAAGCGACCATACCAGTTCATGATGGGTACCCCTGCATTGTCACGCTTGTACAAAGAGGCAACTGGACTGGAACTACTCAGAAATCGGAAGAAGTTTGAAATACCAGAGCCCACAGAATATCATGCAAAGGTGAAGAAATTAAAAGAGGTTGGGGAAGAAGGTGGGGATCATGCAGACATTGACTACGAGTTACTGTCTTCAGTCGAATGGCGAGGATTGCGTATTGCTAGAATGCATGGTTTATGGGGTCAGTTTGACAAAATGAATGAGAGGAGTATCGACGCAATATTCCGAGAGAAGGAGTGACAGTAAATTTTTGTCATTTTGAGGAGATATGCTTGTACAAATATATGCTTTGTCTCTGTAAACTACACTACTGAAAACATGTAAAGTCAAACTAAGTGTAGGACATATGCCCCACAAGCTATACAAAGGCTTTCATCACACAGAACCAGAGGGATAAGTTATGGGTCAAACATTTGGTTGATCTGAGAGTGAGACTTGACGATCTTGAGACAGATGAGTATCAATGAGGATGTTAAATTCAATAATGATGATGATGAATTTCTGTTCCAAGTCCGTTGCATCAACTAGGTTATAACAGACTATCTCCCCCTTCACCACTATATAAAACAAAAAGATTCTAGGACCGTGTCACAATAGCAAATAAATCAATAACAAATCGATCTTTAAATCGAAAAGAGCACAAAGAAATCTCGCAAAATTCACTGGTTATAACATATTTCAAATAAAGATAGAAATCCAAAAGTTCAATGACAGCTGTCCAAGCTATCATGTTCCTTAAACGACCTCACTGCTACTCCTCTTCTTTAATATTGGCGATGCCGACTCTGAAATCCACCAGAAAATTGATCCATAACTCATCTCTCTGGCTCTGTGTGAGAGAGGTTTGCTGATACCAGTGACCAGTGCCGATGTGGGTCTTCTGAAAATATTTGACAAGATCAGAAAGCTCTTTGCCTGTCCATAGAATGTGTTTAAGCGTGCGTTCGGCCATAGGGATCCTTTGAAGGCGATACTTCGTTCATCTCTGTGATTGCGAGAAGAAAGAAGTACATGCTGAACTAACTGCAGAGGAATTCCACACCAACACTCTGGAGAAAGGCGAGACTCTCTGCTATGTCTTGAAAAACAGCTGTTCAAGAAGCCACGTCCAGTCCAGAACTCACAATACAGCTGGCAACGCTGCGAAGGATATTTTCAGGGGGCATGTCAATAGATAGTCGAGGCTTGCCATCATAATCAAAGAAGTCTGATGAAGGCGTGGCTGGAAACCTGACATTCCATTCCTCAAAAGCGAGGCCATCAACTAGCTTATAAAGAAAGCGCAAGGAACAGTCATGATTGACAAGGTCTGGCAATGAAGCTGCTTGAGTCGCTGAGGCCAAAGCGCATATGCTGCCCTCAACTTTGGTAGCAGAGCGAAGCCAGTAAATAGAGATTTTGGTGTTGGATTTAGACAGTCGATCAATGGCTTGATAGATAACAGTCGCTTGGTGTTGATTTGAGGCGCACAGAGGCTTCTCCAGGCGTCTCAAGACAGCAGGAGCATCAGTGAAGAAGTGTATGGTCTCGTTTGACAGTCTTTGTTTTTGGTGTCCAAGTTGTGGCCTTCGCTGAGGCAGTTATCACCACAGAGTAAAGATCAGATTGAGAGCCCAAAAAGCCAGACTTGTTGAATTCGATAGCTCAGATGTTTGAAATTGTAGTTGTAGATAACTATATATTTTTCATTTGACTATTAGTTTAAAACAAATTTTGCAAATATGTTTTGTATTCTTTTGAATTTGAAATTTATGTTATGTTTAGTTATTTGTATTGGAACACAATCCTGGAATTTATTTTATTTTATTCAATCTTTCTTTGATAATGATGGTGATGAATCTATGTTTGAGTTTTTGTTTGTTTTATTATTCAGTGGAGAAAGGGAAGACAGTCTGTCATGCTATTCGTTATTACCACATGAACTTTGAGTATATTTATCATCAACATCATCCAGTTGATGCACACAGGTGATGATAGAGATTCATTATCATCATCATCCAAGCTATGCTCTCCAATTAATGTCCTCATTGCTACTCATCTTGTTTTTTTGACAAGGCCTAGTGCGTATCAGTCATGAAGAGCATGATTTTTTGGGCATTCGATCTGATCTTTACTCTGCAGTGATAACAGCCTTGGCGAAGACTGTAACTTGGACATCAACACACTTCTTCATGGAAGCCCCTGCTCAGCTGTCTTGGAACATCTGGAGAAGCCTCGGCGCACCTCTAATTAATTAAAGCTGAGCTACCTACCAAGTAATAACTCCATGGCCCAGAGGCCATACCACTGGGCCATATCACTGTTCCTTTCAAATTTTGCCCTTCTTGAGATTGCTGATGATGATGATGATAAATCTCTGTTTTAAGTCCGTTGCAACAACTAGGTTATGACAGACTAACACCTCCTTCACCACTATATAATACAATAAAATAGATCCTAAGATCATGTCCCAATAACAAATAATTCAATAACAAATAAATCTCCAAGTCAAAAATAACACAAAGAAATTTCGCAAAGTTCACTATAACATGCTTCAAATCAAAGATAAAAATTCAAACAAATTCAACAATAACTCTCCTAGCTATCAACTTCCTTAAGAGACCTCACTGCTACTCCTCCTCCTCATTACTGGCGATCCCCGCTCTCAAATCCACCAAAAAATTGATCCATAACTCATCCCTCTGGCTCTTAGTGAGAGACTTGTGCTGATGATACCAGTGACCAGTGCCAACATGGGTCTTCTGCAGATATTTGATGAGTGCAGAAAGAGCTCTGTTTGTCCCTAGACTGCGATTGAGCGTGCGTTCGGCTATAGGGATATCTTCAAAGGCACTTTTCCGTTCCTCTGTGTGCTTGGAACAAGAAAGAAGCACATGCTCAACTGACTGCAGTGAGTCTCCACACCAACAGTCTGGAGAGGGACGAGGCTCCCTGCCATGTCTTGCAAAATAGCTGTTGAAGAAGCCATGTCCAGTCCGGAAGCTCACAATACAACTGGCAATGCTGCGGGAGATATTCACAAGCGGCTTGTCAATAGAGAGTCGAGGCTTGCCTTCATATTGATAAATTCTGATCGAGGTGCGGCTTGAAACCTGACATTCCATTCTTCAAAAGCGAGGTCATCGACGAGCTTATTAAGAAAGCGCAAGGAACAATCATGATTGACGCGGTCTGGCGACGAGGCTGCTTGAGTTGCTGAGGCCAGTGCGCGATTGCTGCACTCCACTTTGGTAGCGGAGCGAAGCCAATAGATAGAGACTTTGGTGGTGATTTCAGACAGTCGATTGATGGCTTGATAGATCACAGTAGCTTGGCGTTGATTTGAGGCGCGCCGAGGCTTCTCTAGGCGTTTCAGGACAGCAGGGACATCAGTGAAGAAATGGATGGCCTCGTTTGACAGTCGATGCTTTGTTGCCCAAGTTTTTGCCTTCGCTAAGGCGGTTATCGCCGCAGAATAATGATCAAATCGAAGGCCCAAAAAGCCAAACTCATCATGCTTGAAGTGCCCCCCATATTCGACACTGAAAGCCCAGCCAGTAGCGTTGTTCTCGTTGGTGTAGGATTTTGCAGTAGTCAGTTCAGCATGTGCTCCTTTCTAGTCTGAGCACAGAGATGAATGAAACAGCGCTTTTGAAAGCAGTACTTCGTCAGAACTACCACTTAATCGCCATTTGATGGACAGGACCTCTCTAACCCAGAGTCAGAGGAATGAGTTATGGATCAATTTTCTGGTGGATGGGAGCAATGATATAGCACATCGTGGCCGCTGCATTGATCCATTTAGGTCCACGGTTCGCGTCCCGCTTGTGAGCTTTTCCTGGATTTTGGCCTAATATTGAACACCCCCGACTTTCACCCTGATAGTTTTCAACAAAAATGATCTTGGTTGCAAAATTTATATTGAGCCACACACTGCAGTAGCACCAAGTATACAACAAAGCGGTGAGAGAAATGAGATCCCCGGGATGATGATGATGATGATGATGATAAATGTCTGTTTTAAGTCCGTTGCAACAATGAGATTATGACAGATGAGAACCCCAGGAGTTCATAGATTATACTACGGACTACACGCCTTCCATTTGTGGAAATGATTGAACTAGAGCACCTACTAGATCTCCCAACCTCCAATTCGGGCAGGCCTACCTGGATATCTTTTCAAGAAGATGGAAAATTGAAATTGAATTAAAAACTGGCCTACCCCCTTTTAGCGGCACACCCCTTGTAGCGGCACGCTTCCACTTCGCAGCGCTTCGATTGCTCAAATTTTCAGTGCTATCAAGAGCTTGAATAGCTAGATTTATTTGATCTTCTTTGGAAGGGGTTTCCATGGTTGTTTGGTGTGGAAAGTTGTGGAAAGGAGGGAAGGGTCAGTTTGTTACGCGGAAGCGCGCCGCTACAAGGGGTGCGCCGCTAAAAGGGGGTAGGCGTTACCATAGCGAGCAGTTTCGAAGTCTATGGTGCGTTAAGCGGTGTTTCTGAGACCAAGGGTGGAGCCTCTCAAAGGAGAGGTCGAAGACCTCATACATGCTAACCCCACACATTTATCTTCATGAGGTCTTCGTGAAGGTCTCCCCAATAGTCAAAGATGATACAAACAGTTTGTGCCAGTGGAAGTTCCAGACATGTTGGAGTTAACAGAGGTGTCCATTGTGGATGAAAGTTCTTAAGAGTGCTTTGGTAAGATAGTGTGCAATATTGTTGGTTGGTTATTATTATCACAAAAACAAGAGAGTGAACAGGTCAATTTATAGTCAAAATCAAATCATAGAGGGCCCAGCCACTTCCCGAGCCACCTCTCAGCCAGCCGCCTTCTCATTCATCTTCCAGCATTCTTCTAGCCTTCTTCCAAGCCATCTTTGGCGACTTCTGTTTTCCTTAGGGTTTCAGTTCCCATTTAGGAAACCCTAGATTCTTACTGCATAATGGAACAGCATTTTTAACAAAAGAGACAAGTGAAATGCAGGTTAAAGCTTCTGGTTGTAATTCGACAAATCTAAAAACCCTGTTCTTTCTAAAGTGTCTCGTGTCATCTCTGCCAGTCAAACATTAGACATATCTCTACATCTGCCAATATGAAATGAAATTTCATCTTCCTAGATTGAGAACACATCAAACAGAGCAAGTATATTTTCTTCTCTCTATTTCGATCTGAAGCATTCGCGTGGTAATGTTCTCAGAAAATGTTGGTTGTTCATCATGTCATGCAAAAAACTTTCGTAATCATTTATATGCCTTTG